TTTTTATAACTATTTTTTTTTAAAGAGAGTTTTTTTAGTAATAAAAGATTTTTACAGGTATTTTACAGAGATACTTTATAAGATCTATTAGAGATAAATTAAACTAACTATAATAGATTTTGTAAATAAAATATTTTAAATAGATATTAAGCTCGCGAATAAATTAGGATAATTATATCAGTTAAATTTTTATAATAAGAAGGCCAGCTTCGCGAGAAGACTAAAAAACTAATTATAATAGATTTTATAAATAAGATATTTTAAGTAGAGGAGTAATCTCACGAGACAGGTCTATAATATATATAAGATATATTTATAAAAAACTATAAAACTAATTATAATAGATTTTATAAACAAGGCATTCTAGGCAGAATATACCTTCGCGAGGATTATTTATATTATACTATACTAGGGGTTCGCGAGACAGTTAATACTTATAAACCTAAAAAAAAATAACTCATAAGATAGTATTTTTTATAAGATTATAAAAAAAGGCAAATTAAGTATTAATATTTAAAAACTATTAAATAAAAAGTCCCAGCAGGATAAAAAAGATTAATTAATAGCTATATTCACAGAGGGGGTCTATGCAGTATAATAATCTTATAAGATAGTAGCCTTCGTGAGAAAAATAATCTCACAAAGCTTAATAATATTAACTAGTTAATCTTATAAGATGCCTTGGAGATTAAGGCCTTTAAAAAAAAAATAATTATAAAGATCTATATAAGATCCTTCTAAGAATATTTAATCAAAACAGGTGCTTAGTTATAGCCTAAGGAATATATAATAAAAATATATTCTCGCGGGGGTTCTCCTGAATCCCAGTAACAATATCTTAAGCAGAATATACTATATGTTTAATATCCCTAGCCAATTACTTTCACGCTGCCTTACCCTTAAGGCACCAAGGTATTCAACCTTATACGTAATTAACTCAGTAATAATAGAAGATAAGATTATTATAATCTGCTTCTTCGCGGACTAAAAAATAAAAAATCTTATATAAAAAATAATATATCCTTTAAAAGATTTATTATCTAAATAATCCTAATAAGTAATATTAATATAAACTTTTATACCCCGGGTATAATTAAGGCCTAGTACCAGATTATACTGATTCCTGTTAATATATTAATATATAGACTTATATATCTTATAGTTAATTATAGATAGATTTACCGCCTGCTTTTAAAGATATATAAAATAATAGATGATATTAGAATAAGTCCTAGTTAATAGCTAATTTAATAAACCTATTTTTAAAAGATAATCTGATCCGGAGACTTTATTAGAGGGTATAAAGGAAATTATAGTTTTTTTATATAAAAAAAATATAAGAATAAGATTTCTGCTAGACCCGGTTATATTTATATAATTAAAAATAATATCCATAAAGATATTCTGGAAGATAGTAATAGTTCTTTTCTTTTAGTCCTGCTTAATAGAGCTGCTAAGAAATCTGGTAGATTTTTTTAAATACTTACTTTTAAATAATAAGAAAAAATTATTATAAAATATATTAATTTCAGATATTATTTTTGCTGCTATAATAAAGTTATTAATATAAATAATAATAATTTTAATTAAATTATTTATAGAATAAAAATAGAGGTAAGGGTCCTCTGTGAGAGAATAAAATCCTATAGATTTTAACTTTTTATTTACTATATTATTCTAGAGATGGCCTGCCTGATATAATTTATAAATTATTTTATATAAATAATAAAAATACTTATCTTTAATCTTAAATCCTATTAATTAAATTATATAAATATTCTTCTAGTCTATTTCGGAATACAGAAAGATAGTAATAATATTAAACTACTTTTATTTAAGACTATAAATTAATATAGTAGTTAGGGTTATTTTAACTGTAATATTAGAGATAACTAGTATATAAGCTAAGTTAAAATTAACTCTAATTCTCTGTATATTACCGCAAGCCACCTATTTAGCTTTAAAATAGAGAATAATATTTTTTTTATTTTTTTTAATATTATAAACCTATTTCTTATAAAGAATTCTGGATCCTTTTTATTTAGTTCTAGAGATAAATTCAAAGATGCCTTTATAATATAATTTATTATATTTAACCTTTATTATAGCTAGCTATTTAAAAGTAAATAAAGAATTTAATACCTTTTTAAAAATTAATAAAACAAAAACTTTATAAGCCTTAATCTTAGAGTTAGGAAGATTTAAATTTATAAATAAAAAAGCTAGTAAAACATCCTCTGAGAACCTAATCTTTAAAAAATCTATTATATTAAGGTTTTCTTTTTTCTGCCCCTTTGTTAATCTTGTGGATAACTATGTAAAAAATATAAAAGATTTTATAGATTTTTTTTTAGCTAGAGAACTAGCTTATAAAAAAAAAATTAAAAACTATGCTTTAGAATAAAACCGGGGAGATAATCATATTATAGATTATTATAATATAATTATTATTATTATACTCTAGGGTTTTTATAATTAAATCTATAGGGATGGGATTAATCTCAGGGACCGAACTAATTATTTATTAGGAAGGACTAGGTATAAAGATTTAAGAAACTGTGATTACTCTACCCTAAATAGATAATATATCCAGAATTATTTTAGGATTTATCTAAATAAGAATTCCTGGATATTTAACTGCTGTATTTTTTTTAGATTTAAGTAATTTATTAAGATCTATTTAGGATACTACTAGGGTGTTATTATTATAGTCCAAGCTATATAAATTACTTTTACTAAAAATAATACTCTCTAACCTGTAGATCTTATTATCTGTAGGATACTAAACTATATAAATATAGTTATAATTATTTTTATATCTAACTAAATAATTAACCCTAGCTTTAGGCGCTATTTTTTCTGACCGGATATAATTCTCAGCAGGAATATAAATATATATTTTATAATTAAAAATCTTTAAATAATTAAAAGAAAAATTCTGATTAAAAATCTTATAAAATTTACACTATTTCTAAATAAGACTTTTTAAATCCCTATAAAAAATAAGACAATTAATAATACAGCAAGCTGTCTTTATTATAAAAAGCCAGAGTTAGATAAAAAAGCTAGAATTAATTATTATTATATAAGCAGTTTAATTAATATAGTTATTTATTTATTTATTTTGTTTATTTAATTCAGGGGTCCGGAGAGGCATAATATTAATCTAGATATTTTTATTTTTAATCTATTTTTAAAATTTATAAAACTCCCTGCTATTATTAATCTACTATTATTAAATATAATAATAAACCTGAACCTAATAGGTTTTATTAAAAAAAATTATTTCTATAAATATAACTATTTTTATATATAATATATAGACCTCTGTGTAATTTGTCAAGGCATTAATTATAACTAAATAATATTTAAAACTATTGTATCTAGTTAGTTTAATTATTTAAACATCCGTATACCAAAGTTCGGATAAACTTTCTGAATTATTAGATCGGGGAGTATAAAAAATAATCTTTTTAGTTTTTATCTTTTTATAAACTTTATATATTCCCTTTAACCCTTTAATAATAGTTTTTAGATCTAATATAACAGTTAATTTAAGCTTCAAATCCCTAGTATAATCCAGGTAGCGGTAAAGTGTTATTATATTTATTATTATATCTAAATAACTAAGAATCTGGCGATACAGAAGATTAATTATAAAAAAAAAGAGGATTTTTTTTATATAAAAAAATCTAAAAACTTTATTTATATTTTAATAATAAAGCATCTAATTTTACTAATTCTATTATATTTTTATTAATTCTTTCATATATTTTATTATAAAAAGACCAAAATTAAGGCCAGGGATATAAAATACGGGGATTTTATATATAATATAAGTTTTATTATACTAATTAAGTTAAATAGCTACTAAACTATATCCCTTAGCTACTATATCTTATTTCTTAAATATTTAAAATCTATAGGGGGAATTATCTAGATTATACTCTATATAAATTATAAAGCTGGATAGATCAGGAGTTATATAATTCGCGGAGCTATTATTAATAATCTAATTTTTTTTATTAACTAGAATAGACAAGACTACCTGCCCGGAGAAATTAAATATACTTTTAATTTATTAAAAAGTAATTATCTATAGATTATTAGATTTTAGAGCTTTCTTTAAATAAGTTCTATCTTTTTATTTAAATACTTATATATTCTTTATAGGTAATTATTTATTAGGATAAATATAAAATATAAAATAAAAATAATTTATTATTTTATAGCCACAGATCTTATAATAAGTATATATCTTATTAATTATTTTCTTATTTTTAAAAAAATTCTGCTATTTTTTAGTAAAAATATAATTACGCATATTATTCTCTGGCTTCCGGGGAGGATAAATAAATAAAAAAAATATAGTCTTAATAAAAGAAGTGTTTGTAAAAGGATTTTTTTTTTATTCTTTACCGCAGGTGCTGCAGAGGAAGAGTTAAAAATCTAGTTTATTAAAAAAACTATCTTATTTGCGATCTTTTTAAAATAAGATTATTTTATTATAGTGGCCATATTATCCTTTAGCGAATAATAGATTAGATTATAGAAAACAGGTAATTTATTTTAAATATTATTAAATAATATAAAGATCACTATCCAGGGGGTAATTAGATAATAAATAATTAAATAAACTTTAATTACTTACTAAAAACCCTTAATATAAGTAGTAAGTAAATTAAACTTATTTTTATTATAATAAATAGTGTTAAAAAAAAGTAATTCAGATCTCTTATTACCGGAGCTAACATAAAAATAATATAATTTATTTTATAATTTATTAATGTATTTAAAGACGCCAGATAATATTTTAATTTAATTAAATATATTATTTAATAATTACTACTTAATCTAATAAACTATTTATTCTAAGTATTTAAGCCAGATTTTAAAGTCCTCTGTATTATTAATTAAGGGGCGAGGAATTAAATTATTAAATAACTAGAAATAATAAAGCAGTTTTAAAATAATTTATATTTTATTATACTATATATTATAATTCTTATAACTCTTGAGCTTTCGCTCTAACCCCTTAATTATGGGAGGATTTGAAAGATCAAGTTTAAATATATCCTGCGGTCTATAATAGATTTAATCCTTAGGAAGGACCACCGCAGAGGTAATAATCTAGTTAAATAAAGAACTTATTTTAAGACGCCTAGGAAGGAATAAGATAATATATAGCTAGGGGTTATTAAAATAATAAAAGATTAAAAAAAATAAAAGTAATTAAATAGCTCTAAAAGAGCAGAAGGCTTAAAACTTATTAGGAATAAATTTTAAAAAGAATAATAATAGAATTGGATGATCTCTTTACCTATATAAGGTAGACTATGGTTTATATAGCCATGGTTACATGACCTGTATCGCGGAATAAGCCATGCAACTCCCGGAACCTACTGCCAACGTAGTGGGAGGTTCCAACATATTCCATATAAATGAAAATTTCGTCACCGTCTGTGCGCCACCCATATACTTCAGGAACAGGAACATGACCCTCGAGGAATCGGCCGAGAGCAAGGAGCACCAAGGCCTCAGAAATTCCCACATAGCGCCCCCACTTAATTAATAGGCCCATGTCTTCGAATACCACGGGCGGTGGTCTGACATACGGTATAGGGATTGAGTAATCTGTCCTAGGGTCTGGACCAACTCCCGCACGATGCTGATATTCTGCTTGGGCCTTGACTTCTTTTGGTGAAGGCAGCTCACGCCATTGACGAAAAAAAGAAGAGTCCTTGACGTCGAAGTTGTTAAAGTTGGGGATCATTGATGGAGTAAGCCGAACCGGGCCGTCATTGTCAACCATCTTTGACGCCGAGAAACTGAAAATGCAACGAGGCGCAGAGCAGTTCTCATCTGAAGGGGCTACTCAGAAAAATGATATAAAATTGCTTGTATTGAGATGCTTGCGCTTCTGTGGAGTTGAGCGGGATTGACTGCCCACTTTCCACTGTGGGTCACGCGATGCACTAAGCCTAGTTAGGCGCCCCCTGTTCCCATAACGAAGTCTTCGCCGTGTCATTCAGATGCTGAAATTCTCACCCAGTCTGGTGGATCTGTAAGGAAAAACTCTCATGACGAGGGGTACGTCAAGATCCTGGGTCTTTTGGGTACCTAGTTTAGGTGCAAGGCCTAAAAGTAAAATCGTACGGGCGTGAAACTTGATAAGTGAAAATATATAGTAAATGTAAATGTATAATACCCAATTCCCTAGAAGTCACTCACTCAACTACTAACCGACTTGTGTAAGGCTTAGGTACGACTGAGCGGATGGGAAGCCCTGTTCTCCTGTGGTCGTACTTACTTGAAGCTATCCACGTAGGACACACATAGGTGTTTTTAGCTCAGGAGATAGCAATAGCGTTGAATATGAAAGTCCTCCTATCAATTCCCTTCGTTGGGCTTCTCAGTCGACTGCGCTTTCAAGTTCAACGAGCCCCACGAGTTAAACGGTCGAAGTTTTTCATTCAGTTAGGGATTTTTCTTTGATCAGTACATCGCTTGAATGACCTTCTGAAAGAAAAGAACCATGGAAAGCTTACCAGGGCCTTGAAATCATTAAAGCCAGGAAAAGGTCCCGTTAAAACGGGCCCGGCCTCTTTGACAACGACCTTGACAATCCCTGCCCAGTTCTTTTGTTCAAACCTGTGCATGTAATGTACCATGCTATCCAATCCGATCCCATCTCTTGATACCATCGTCTTATCACTCGGCGGGGTCATCTGCATATTATTTGTCAGCGATAACCTTAACTATATGACCATATACTGAATTCTCTCTGCACACCTGCTGGCCGGTGACGGTTGGGTCACTCCACAAGGGCTCTCTTTCGATGTAGAGGCACATTTTGGCCATGAAGGCTTGGATATGGTTTTTGATGTCTGGGACCTCAGTCCGTGGTTTATTATACTTGGACATATAGCATTCCAGTTCCGTTACCCAGTTCCAAGTCTTGGGGAGATTCGCTGGTGATTTTCGGTATGAAAATGATGGATCGACCCAGTAGATTACATGCTGCAATAATTTCTTCGCAGGCTGTGCCACAGTGCGGTTTATGTGGACAAGTCCTTCCTATTTTCTTCTATTAGCTGGATCCTTCATTTTAACTCAAGCGAGAAATACATTAAGGAACAGTCGATTCCGGGGGTTTCTTTGATCTTCATGTAGATCTCGCAGTTCTCTAGGCAATATAGATGCGTCAAGAACTCGGGTCTTTTGGTGCTGACAGTTTCGGTCGCAGTGGGAAGCCATTTTCCGATCTCAGGCAATGCCCATTTAGTGAGAATATAATGAGGATAGGGGTTGAGGGAGAGAGAAGAAATAAAGGAAACGCTTGGCAATGACAGATTACTTATATTAGTTTAGAAGCCCTGCTTCTCATTCATTTGGCTTGAGTTCCTTTAGATAGTGAATTATAAGAGTATAGCCTACATGTAGAGTCACGTATGGCTGTGAATACAAGGCATCCATTCCCTCTTCACCGGAAACGAATGAATACTCACAACTGGCTGCTACTTTTTCCATTTGATCAAACCAGTCTATTTTGAGCAGAAACAAAAACACTAGACACAAGTCATCATAAGTCAATTCCTGTGAATAAATCAGCAACATAAGTAGAATCTTACTTTCTTGCGAGGACTTAAATTTATATTATTGCCACTTCCGATTGTTGTGTTCTCTCCCAAGTGCCTCTTCCTCGCTGCTCATCACGGCATCCTACCAAGTCCATTTACATTTCTCCCTCATCTGCCAGGGTTCCTCTTCGTGTTCCGACAGAATCAGTGGCTTTCAACCTATAATGGCTACAAAATGCCAGGACTTGGGTCTTTGTCCCGCAACAGTCAACTGCCTGGAGCTGTGGTTTTAACTTTGATTTTGATTTTCGACAGTTCAAGATTGGGTCTATTACTCGTAAGATCACCTCTTCTCTCCGCCATTTTGTTGTTATATTTGAGTTACTAATAAGTAATAGGGACAGGATCCCAATAATAGGGCCCCCCGGAAACAGCTGCCATACGAGCAGTCCATACTCTTGAGACAAGTCTATCCAATAAACGGTTGATCTGAACTTTCCACACAGCTCTGCGAGACCATAATCTGATTTAGGTATCGCATCGACAATATGGCCCTGAGGTGTTGCTTGTTTACAACTCGTATGCGGGCACAAAAGCCGGAGGCAGAGATCCACCCGTATCCAGAAGATCATACCGATCTTCAATAATATGCACATACTTTCATTATACGATCGCTTTGGAGGGAAAATGTCCTTTCAAGACAGGCATTGATCTACGAATTCTATTATCTTCCGAGCAGCTCGATGGTTTTCGCGATCTGTTTCCCGCCTTAGTGGGTGTCCAAACGTTTGTTGCAGGTTTCGCCGTGGTTCTATTTAAATCGTGTTCTGATGTCCATGATTTTTATAAGAAAGACTTATAATGGAACATAATGGTCTACAGGTCCTTTACACCACATTTAATCGGTTTGTCACTACGAACCAGGAGACGCAGGCCATAGGTAGTACCTCACGTCAAGTGTGTAGCCCCTCGACCGTCTCGCGTTTCTCTAATGTTTTCCAATTTGATTTTGAAGACCAAAGACGCTCTATGACAATTGGCCCGTCTACTATCTACTTACACTTGTGCGCTTGGTCTCGCACATCCCCGTTTGGGAAAGAAATTCGGTTCGCCAACAAACAGGTCAGTTTCTTGTATTCGTCTACCGCTAAGGATCCTAACCTCATGAAAAATCTAGGAAAAGTCTAGGTTGGAATGATCTCCTTTTGTTTTGATAATCCAAGTCTGAAACTGTCATTCTAAGCTGGTTATACCACGATCTAAGCCTGGTTGTCAGCGAAAGCTTGCCCTCGGTCATTAATCCCCTTTGCTAGTTTCTTGTCTCACAATGTGTATCAGACTCTGCCGTACTCAGTGGCTCAAACGTGTATGCAGTAAGACTTCACACTGTTGTTGGAGGATCTAGTCATTGAGGAACTGTGAATCCTTGAGGGACACAACCGAGAATCGGTGCCCGTATTACCTATTGTCTGTTTATTCAGGCTCATAAAATGCGAAGTTTTCTCCCTAATTCAGATGCCTACATGAGCACAAAATCGCTTGTCTTCCTGTAAAAGTAGCTCATTCGTTCCAGGGTATCTTGAAATTCGGATTAATCATTGCCAAATCGGTAATCCCTCACATACGTAATATGAAATGAACCATCCCTACATATGGCTGCTCATGGCACTGCGCACTATCCAAAAATTAGTTGTCCTTGTTGTGCCTTTCTTGTACCATTGTCTATGATATTTTGTGAAATGCTTTTTATTTACTAAGATACATGTAACGGTGCTACGGGGAAAAGTCTGGAATGATGGTACGGGCTGTAAAGTGCTTGTAGGCTCAGGAATTGGAGGGGGGAGGCTACTCAGTAAATAAAAAACCTGGTGATCCAAGCCTGGCAACCAAAAGCGAATTGCATATTATAGTGAGGGTGCAATTCCAAGACCTCCTGATACAAGTATGTGCTGGTGGACAGCGGGAAGAAATTTGCGACTTGATTGTCTATGGTCGATCATCTTTGCTTTCTGCTAACTGTTGGGGCGATGTGGAAGCCTTAGGCCACCACCATCTCTTAAGATTACTGGAAGACCAGTTTCTATTCACTAACCTAGGCATGTCATCCATTCCTCCTTCCCTCCTATGTGCCCTCGGGGGGATTGTCAACTTCTTTTTCCTTGTTTGACCCCATCCTGAATTTTTCCAGCCGTCGCAAGAATATCGTTATTTGCTCGAAGTTCAATTCGCTCGATCATCACCTGTCTCCACTCTCGGTCAGGATGCCAGGCCAGGAAGAATTCCGTCTATTTGGTGACCTGTGGCTACCAGACCCAGAGCAGGCTTTATCCAGCCAGGAGCTTGTTCATGTTCGTGCGATCCTTCCACAGATTCGGGCTTTCGAGACGAATTGGATGAATCACACAAAATATTCTTACAGTCAGTCCCTTTTCAGCTCGAGTTTGCGGTCTTAGTAAACACGCCCCTTTACTAATCAAAAAAAAAGACCAAACAGCTCGCTCTGGGTGGAGTTTAAATGAGGCATACGAAGAATTTCGAGACCGAGAATGCAACTGGTGGGAGGCACGGGGTGTCACCCGCCCCAGACAGTATATGGTTTGCCCTAGTGGCGAGCTAAATGCTTCTGTTGCATGTCATCTTTTCAACCCCACGTTCAGCGTTGATGACCCCTGTTGTGGAGAAACCGAAGATCTTTCAAATCCCTCAATCTCACAGCTAAATAATGCTGAATTTTCAACTCAAAACAATTGCCTGATTTTTGACCACCTCGCTCGAAGAGATGCAAGTAAACACTGCGCAACTACTTACCCTGACGATCTTTTAGATCTTCATGAACAATTCGTTTTTGCTCTCAGAGACGCAATGAACGCTAAGATCGAAATATGTTGGGGGGCTAATGTGCGCGAACGAATGTTCAAGAAGATTCATCTGCAGCCTTTTCGTCTTTGGGGGGAATTCGCAGGGGTAGTTCTTTACATGGAAATAACGCAAAACAGGTTGAAACGGTTTGTTATCTTTGTGGCACACCCTCAACGCTTTCTCTATGTCAAAAGTAATAGAGAAAAGGCTCGAGCTTGGCGTCATCGATTTGGCATATCTCAAGACCAGGCTTTAACTGTTGCTGCCCGCTTAGGGGGAATTCAAATTCCGCCAAACTTTTACGTGCTAGATCCTCGTCTGGCTCGAAACCTCTGTGTGCCGCGCACAGTTAGTGATCAAAGAAGTATCTGGCGAGGCCAAGCAGTGGCTCAATTGAAGAAAGCCTTCCCTGCGGTAGATTTATCAGCATCAACAGACAGACCGCATCATATTCGCCCTACAAAAGAAGACAAATCATCGGTTCAAAGTGTATTCACGCTTCTGGCTAAAGTCAAGCCTGGTAAAATCAATGAATCTGTTAATCTGCCACAGATTGTCGACGATACAGCCTTGGTAAGAAGAAATATCCTACCATGATTTTTTTCTGGCCTGCCTAACATTAGGAAGAGGAATTTACGCCTTCAGAAAATAGCCAACTATTGGAATGATCTAGGTGAACTGTTGGATGCTTTTATCTCAAATCCTAATGTTGGAACCTATTCCGGAAGCGCTCCTCGCGAAGTTCTCGACTACTTTGATGATATCTCTACAGAAAGCCAGGGGTTGGACTGTTGGGAATAGGAGGGCCTTCCGGACCCATTTATTGAATTCATACAGGCACAGGATGGCCTTAAATTCAATAAACGTGAAATCTCATGCCGTGCTGATCTTAAGATAGCTTTTGAGCTTCTTCAGAAATGCCAAGGCACACCCGAAACGTTAGACATTCTTACTCTAGCAGTTTCAGTACTAACTGCTTATGGTTGGATGATATCCCGCCCAAGAAAGCCCCAGGTTGATAATCTACTTATTCTCCGCGGGTATCCCAATAATACTGTGGCACGTAAATGCTCTGGCTGTCGCAAGGAATATCTGGATGATCCTTTTGCCTACTGGGCAAAGTCTCGCCCGAACTGTTATGTTCTCTGGTGTATGGGCCATTCTAACTGCGGTAGAAAGGATTGCAAAGCGAAGACAACTATGCTGCTACCTCTTAGTGGTAAAATAAAGCATTTGCCTTGCACTCGAAAGGATCTGGAGGAGAAACGCTTAGACCAGTTTGACAAGTGGTTTCTGCTACGCCCAGAAGAACTCGGAGACCTCCCACCTGAAGTTGAGGTCAGTTGCCGAAACTGCCAGGAGACAAGGCTTGTTGAAGCACGTTGGACCGGTCATACTCCACCGAGATTTGTTATTCCCGTGCTCAAATGCAGAAAAACCGAGAAGCGAACAAATTGGATGCCTGCTGCTGATTATCCAACTATCCAAGGACCAAACCTGGTTACTCTGTGGAAAAAGCTCAGCAATGTCCCCGGTTTCGATATTACCCGTTATCCACGCCGACCAGATATCTACTTCAACAACAATCTCAGTATTAACGGTCGAATTGCCGCTCTGATCGAGGCCCAAAGACTGATTGAGGCAGACAACATAATAAAGGAGAATGGGTTAGACCAAGACTGAATCAGGGACATTGCGACATCGATCTTCGATGATTGCCAGGTGTTGATGTCGTCTTGTCAAGGAATTAAATTGTGTTGAACGCGGGTAGTGCCCTCCTCAAGAAATGGCAATTTTGCCTTTGCCTTTGCCTTTCAGGCATAAGGTGTTGTAGTATCCTATTAAATAGTGGAGGCTTCCGGAGATTCATGGCTTAACTCGCTGACCACCTGTCACCTGATTACCCCTGTATAAGGATAATCATTACCCTACTGTAGATATCGAGTTGTTGATTTGATTCATTCCTTCCATTATTTCAATATCAGTTATAACCACCGATTGTTTAAGACTTGCGATCATGGTTCAGCAGCATCTTTACTTCTGAGTGCCTATCAAAATCCGCTTATATAATTAATATCTGCCTATGTTCCAGTCTAGAATATGACCTGGATATTGTGCAGTGGCCGGAAGTTGGTTGACTGTCGGTGGCGCATGGCCCGATTCGTAATAGCAGGGATCCGATTTGTAGTAGTGTGATGTTGGACCCTTTGTCTAGGTACAACTACGGAGTACAATGAGCTAAAACCGAGCTATCGCGCATGTCGACAAATTTTAAATGATTTACAAGTGTATATAATCCTGATTTACGAAGCACCATATGGAGTTGACGAAGTAACTGTGGCATCCGGGTCTGCATAGACGCCCTCAAAGGAGGCCGAAAGTGGTGCTTCCATGGAGCAGTAGAAGATTTGATAAATCAGAAACTCGAATGGCAAGATCGTTGTTGCTACTGTGAAAGTCAAGTTGTATAACTTTATGACTAGTTACGGTAGTACTGAGTAGCTGTTTATCAAGGCAATTGTCAATTTGCTACATATGGCGAAGTTGGAATATTCAGGACATGAAGCGCCCGGATGGTCTAGTGGTAAGTTCTGTCGAAGCAGCATCAACTCAAGCATTCCTTCTAACAATTGATATAGGTAGGATTCGCCCTTCGGGTTAAGATTCTCGGATCCTTCAAAGATCCTGAATTGGGCGAGGTCCCCGGTTCGATCCCGGGTTCGGGCCTTCTTTTTTTTTTACTGTTTCAACCCCGTTGCTGCGTGGTTGGTCTGTTTGTCAAGCCGTATCGCGGCGGTCAAGGTATATATATATATATATACGCCGTATGGATTGGTTGACCCTGCTCAAATCCGCCTTCTTACCATAGCGATCTGATTTAATTGGTCGATCGATATGTTCTTGCTGGCCACATCCAGTCTTTCCTGCTGGCGTCTGGGCGTTGTTTCTCTTCCAAGAACTTTACCACTACAAATAAATTCATTGTCTTGACGACTGCGCCCAACCCCCACACCACCCTTTTTTGTTTTCAGTCCATCTAGTATGTAGTACACTCTCTACATCCAGAAGGTATGCAAAGTGCCCGGATGGTCTAGTGGTAAGTTCGATAGGAAGACTGCTATTTAAATACCATTTTCTAACAAGTAAACCAGGTAGGATTCGCCCTTCGGGTTAAAACTCTCGGATTCTTCGAAGCTTCTGAATTGGGCGAGGTCCCCGGTTCGATCCCGGGTTCGGGCCTTCTTTTTTATTGTCCACACCTTGTGGTTGCGTGGTTGGTCTGTTTGCCTAGCCGCATCGACGGTCATGGTATGCATAGATTACCATACAACCCGCCCGCCCGCCTTCCCACAGCGATCCAACTTTACCTCTCTAAATAAAAATTCATCATCAACTTGACCACTGCCGCATACCCGTCTCTCTTGGGTCCAGCCCATCCCGTATATACTATACCGACTCCTAACCAAAGTGCCCGGATGGTCTAGTGGTAAGTTCGCCGAAGTAACCTTAAAGCAAATCAACATCCTCTAACAGTCAGAATAGGTAGGATTCGCCCTTCGGGTTAAGATTCTCGGATCCTTCAAAGATCCTGAATTGGGCGAGGTCCCCGGTTCAATCCCGGGTTCGGGCCCTCATTTTTAATCATCTCCTTTTTTTCTTTCTCTCAAACTTGGTTTCAACTTATGAAAGCTGAACTGCCATCAGGACTGCCCTCGCGGTGTCAGAATATTAGTACTTCGCTGGTTGGTGTTCTGATATTGTAGCGCCACTGCGACCCTGGGGTGCCCACTCGCCGGGGCTTTATAATGTAGTTAGTAATCAATGCATGTAATCCAGTGCCCGGATGGTCTAGTGGTAAGTCTGCCGAAGCCGCCTTCTTGTAAACACACTCTAATCCCATGCAATAGGTATGATTCGCCCTTTGGGAGTTAATCTTAAATGGGCGAGGTCCCCGGTTCAATCCCGGGTTCGGGCCTTGCCAACTTCTTTTTATTTGTTCAACTCTTTTATTATCCATTAGCATCCATCGTCTCCAACCCACAGATTCTTGTAAGAATACCGATGATATCTCGAACCGGACAATTCCGAGGAGTGGGACACCCGAAGTTCAGGGACCTCCATCGGAGTAGATGACAGGAAGGCCCGAGCCGCACTCCGAACTCCGAAATGAGCTCCGAACCCCCCCCCCCCCCCCCCCCAACTCCGAACATCCATCGGGATTCCACTCCCTCGCAGCATCAGCCTTCCCTCGCCATGCTGGCAGATCTCAATTGAACCGCAGGGTCGGCATTCAAAATGAGCTCCCGTCGTCGGAATGGGAAACCCGCGTCCTGCGAGCCCTGCCGCAAGGACAAGGTGCGCTGCGACCACGTCCTCCCGGTCTGTTCGCGCTGTCGCCGACGAAAGATCGCCAATCGCTGTTTCTACCACCCTGCGCCTCTGACTAGACCCACAGCGGTCGCGACCGACGGTGGAGATCCGGTCTCGAGTGCGGCGCCCGCCAGGGTAACCTACACGCCGGCAACGACCACCTCGCCCACTCCCGAGGGCCAGGCCGAAGAGCCGTTTTGTCCGTCGGCGACCGACCAGGCGCTTCCTACGGGGTATCTGGGACCGACGAGCTTCGTTGCGACGTTCGAGGGTGGTCGCGAGTTCGTCTCGAGTCCGAGTGATGTGTTGCGACAGGATGGCGCGGAGGGCTCGGCCTCGTTACCGGGTCTCTCGCCGTACTGGGTCCATAAGGCCAGGGAGGTGTTGGATTGCTTGAAGGATTTTTCGACCATCGCGCAGCTCGTCGACGAGTATTATAATATCAGCCAGGCGGCGGTTATTCCGGCCCCGTTGGTCCTGGAGCCCCTGGGTCGCGTGAGGGCCGCCGTCGAGGAGTGGCAGGTTCATGGCTACCCGGGTGATTTGGCGACGAGTGTCCTTGCGAATACGGCCAAGCCGTTGCAGATCCCGTCGACTATGGAGGCGAGCCAGTTCTATGATATGTATACGGGACCGAGACTGCGGTTGGAGATTGTGGGGGTGATTTATGCGATTGCGGGTCGGACGTCGATGTTTTCGCTGGCGAGGGATAGGTTGCCGAGTAGTAATTGGCTCGTTGTGCGGGAGAAGTTTGCCAGGAGAATGATGGTGGCGAGTGATATTATTCTGCAGATATGCAGGATTCTCACGCCGGTGAATGATCTGACGGTCTGGTTGATGTATGAGAATTTGCTGCTGGCCAGCGTGGTGCATGGGGATTCCAGTAAGTATTTGTCCGAGGGAAGAAAGATACAAGAGATATGCTGACATGGGGCAAAGGCTCCGGGAAATGGCACCGACTGGGTGATTTGTCCACCCATATGTTCGAACTGGGTATCCATCGGGATCCTCAGCAATTAAGCGATCTTCCCGTATTCATCCTCGAATCGCGCCGACGCATTTTTGCTGCCGCGTACCAACTCGATAAAAGCGTCGCCACCTTCCTTGGACGACCACCGCGGATATCGTGGCGACATTCCGACTGCAGTCTTCCTCTTGATATTGCCGATGATGCCTTGGTGGGGAGTCCTTCGGAGTTCGAGCTGGCCTCGACTTCTATTGACAACAAAGGGTGGAACGTACAGACCGTCGTCCAGCGAGCGTCCTGGATTCGGGTGCGTTTTTTGATAAGTACATTTCGAGAGGAGATCTTAGAACTGTCTTTACAAAGACCGACTCGTGAGATGGCCGATCAGTTAAGGTGAGCTCTCATTTTGCACCTTCAATTTCAAGCCATGTACTCACTCCTTGGATAGGGATATCTCCTTCCGGTGTCACCAAGCATGGGACTCGCTGCCGGGTCATCTGCGTTATACTCCGGACTGCTGGGACCGCGGGCTTTCCATCGACATCTGTCTGATGCTCTCGGTATCATACCTGGCCTACCTGTACAACGACTTTCTCATTCAAAGGCTGCTCGTCCAGCAGGATCCCGAAGCCCAGACCACGCTGCTGGATGTCAGCGCAACCCTTCTATCCACAGTGCTATCCTTCGGCATCCAACGCGAGCACGTAATTGACATTCAGCGCGATTTTATCTGGACTGTACGCACATGACCTCCTTCTCTCTTCTTGCCCCAGAAAACAAGAAATTAACCATCCCAGGTCCTTTTATACGGTTTCCCCAGCGCCGGTGTCCTAACTAAGGCCCTGCAAAACCAAGCCCGCACCGGCCTTCCCATCCCCTACAATGGCTCCCGATCTCGTCTTATTCGCGACCTCAGCGTTTTCATCTCTCATCTAGAAAACATGGCGAGGCCCGGTATTGCGAGCCATGAGCTGTTTGCGCGGGCCAGCCGCGTCATGTCAAGTATCATCGACGAGATATTAGAGACAAGGGAGACTGTTCCGTCCACTAGCTTGGACAGGGGCGCTATGCCGTCTATTCTCGACGGGTTCGACATTTCAGACGATCTGAAGCTGCTGGACAGTGTGGACTTCGGGGCCGTGTTCGATCAGTGGATCTTCTAGCTTCGCTACGATTAACGAATTATAACGAATAACGAACACCTTCCTAGTGACATTCAACCCCCCTCCCCGGCTATTCAAACAACACTACCAAATACACCCACCTAACCTACTCCGTCCCCATTCCCATCCCCTGCACCTCCCCCACCCTCTTCAAAATCGCCTCCGGGTCCAAAAACACCTTGAAGAACCGCATCCGCTCATCGTGCACTCCCTTCCCAAACACAGCCATCCCTTGCACCTTGATCACCTGCCCCTCCGGATCCCCCTTCAGCACATACTCGATGTCCGCTTCCTGATACACCCGGTCCTCAGCGACATCGACGTGCCCGATGGTGTGCTTCATGGACGCGAGGATCTGGAACTGTCGCTCGAAGAAGGCGATGATCTGCGCGTGTCCTTTGATGGGTGGTTGGCCGGGGAATAGCATTTCGCAGTCCTCGGCGTAGAATTTGGGGACGGAGGTGTGGGGGTCCATGGAGTCGCCGGAGGCGTGGTAGGCTTGGAGCCATTTGAGGGTTTGGGTTTGGATTTGGGTGGTGGTGGGCATTTTGTTGGAGTTGTCTGTGTGTCTGTGATGTGATGCTGGTGAGGATGTTAGGTTTCGTCTGGTATGGTGAAGCGGGGGAAGGGAAAGAAAATATACATACCTTGTGAGAGGATGGTTGTTGATCGTGTATGATCTGATCCGGTCTGTATATACTGTGTCTACGTAGTTGGCAGACTTCCAGTTAGTTAAACATGTAATTGCGAAGGTCGACGACAATATTTATACCATCCACACCGTCCTATTCGCAATAGTGCCACTTCTACTTGCGTATGTGACCATAGAAAGCCACAAGCCACACAATATACATTATAAATCATCCCATCCAGGAACGAGACTTGGATTTGTCAGATATGGCTTCTTCCTTCGCGCCGGTTATTCCACCGGATAAGCTCACTTCAGCACGTTTGTACTCGGCATGTGGCCGACTCCACCTGGTCTGCGGCCTTCATTCGACGTTCATCCCGCATAGATGCGAGGGAAGTATGAGTCGAACGGCTAGCGCAGCTTCATTGCTTGAAAGCTGCATTTCAACGTGTTACAGAACGAAGCTGCATCGCAGGGATGATGACGGCCACGGGAAGGTGGAGAAGGATACATTGAATGGAGGTTTGATTGGTCTATGCGAGGATGACGCCGGATGAGTCGACCTTTTAGGGTTTGGGCTAAGCCTGATGGGGCTAGCGCTGTTTAGTGTCTAGTTGGTCAGCTGTGCTAGTTATGCCAGTTATGCATTGGTAGCTATACCAGTACTACCTTCCGTCCGACCTGTATCCACTTATTGAAATTAGGCATAGATAGATAGCCAATGTTGTCTTTTTGGTCCGGCAAGAGGGGAATTTGATTGTGAAGTTAGAAGATATCGGCCATAGAACATCTGGAAAGGCTTTTATATGATTGTTACAGTTGACCCGGCTCTTACCCACGAATTGGACATGGGCTTCGAGCAATCTAAGTATTCAAATATGGCATGAAACTTGGAGTATGGCTGATCTCCAGTTCGGTCCTTATAAATCATGCGAGAGTATAGTCGTTCTTAAGTATGACATGGTGCGGTTTACGAACGAGGTGCACTGGTAAAATATAGATCGATTTGAGGGGGTCCGAACTACAAGGCGTCTACATTGAGTCAGTCCAGCGCAGAAAAGGAAGGAAAGAAACAAAACGAAAACCTACCGCTCTGGTGGTCAGTGGACTAGTTCTTCTGAGAATAAGAACAAAAAGATAAAAAATGTGAAGGTGGTTATTCCGATGCGGGGAATCGAACCCCGAGCTGCCGTGTGAGAGACGGCGATGTTAACCATTACACCACATCGGATGTTGTTGAAGGGAACGCCTTAAATGTGCTCTATATTCCCTTTCTAAAAAATTGGGGGTCACTACGTTGCTGGTTTCTTTGTGGTTTGAAGAGGTATGAAACGGATGAAAAAGACAAATATTTATAGGATACATTGCCTTCAAGGGATTATTAGAGCCTCTCAAATTACTCCTAGTCGTTTAAAATGCATTTGACGGCGTATAGACAACTGGAACATTTTCTTTTCATGTACGTCCGCCCCTCTGTCAGTTGATATATATTATCAACCACACCGTGATGCCAAAGTCAACAGATTCCTTTCATGAAACTAAAAACCAACGAGGAAACTTCGTTAGACACAAGGAACTAATTAGACAATGGCAGTGATAGAATGACTTTTAATGGTTCCTTATTAGCATATTCTTTGTCGTTCATGGAAAAACTTGAAACCAAGCGGCCATGGAAGGGCAACCCTAGTATAATCCCGAGTAAAGAAATCCTGTAGTCTCTCTTTGTATTATCCTTTGTGATGGTTTCTTTCGTGGTCTCCTATGCTTCCACCCCTTCGCTCGAGCACAAAAGATAGCCTTTGTTTGCAGGCCATTGTCTAACACTTTGTTAGACCACCGAGGACGAGAAATCTTTATCACCCACCGTCCCCTCCAACCTAGCGACACAGACAAATTCCTAGCGTTCATTATCATCAATTTCAAGAACCCCAAATCAGCGAGACCAACCACCCCAAACACCCGACGCCAGCGAGTCCGGATAGACACAAATGGAAAAAAGCGAGCAAAGTCATCGAAGAAGCGCACGTCTCCGCGAGAGAACCGAAAGATCAAAGAAGTCCGAAGACAAGAATGCTGCGCCGAAGAAACAACATATGGTAGGTCGCTCAAGTGCGCTGCTTCCGTCCGAAGGAGATTGCGAATACCTACTGACTCTTGCTTTTCGTCCTAGACCCAACCCCAACTATTAACCCGCAAGCGAAAACGAGAAGCAAGTTCGGGGCTAAGGACACGCAAAAGACGAAGGAGAAGATCGACAAGGCAACCGATTCCAAAGTACTTCGAGCATGAGGTTGTCCTAGAGGTACGTCTACAACTCTATGTGGGTTTCGTGCGATGAAGAGAAAATTTCTAACATATCTTTTTTTTTTGTTTAGTTATCCTATAAACAGTTAAAAACGAGCAAAGACGTATCGATTCTCCACTGGATTCAAAATGAGAAATGGCCGCAAACGCTCTTCGAAAGCTCCCCCAACAGGGAACCGAAGGATATCATCTCCCCGTCCAAAATAGCCACGTCGTCGGAAGACACTGAACCTGGTGACACTGAAATCGAAAATTTCACGCCTTTCCTTGAATCCAGGGGATGCTTTCTAAACGGTACGAGTAAACCCGATAAGGCGGATATTGCCCTGTGCAAAAAGCTGCTAAAGCGACATTGCGAGGTTCCCAAAGACACGACCCTAGATGATTATGATTATATCCAACGGATACTTCCCGAGAGAAACGAAACTGCTGTGAATCTGGTGATTGGGCGATTAGTGGTCCCTTCGGCAGAGATTGAGATTGTCCGTGGTCGGATTGAATACGAGTACTTGATCGACAGTATCAAGGAGGTCTGGGACGGATCAGTCGCGCTTGATGAACCCCCCGGGAATGACGCGGACAATGCAAGGAATGGACAATGCCAAATGCCAACGCCGCAGCCCGACTATGCTGTAGGCTTCACGGAAGAAGCCTTCACCAAAGAGCATTTTGCCAAACTTGAGCCCTTTATCGGCCAACTAGGCCACAACTCTGTATTTCGGGGTACGCTGGAAATGCTTTTCCCTTTCCTTACTACAGAAGTGAGGTGTAGTAAGGCGTCTCTTGAAGTAGCGGACCAGCATAATGCGCACAGTATGGCTCGTTCGTTAAGAGGAGTCGTGGAGCTGTTTAAGCTAGTGAAGCGCGAGAGGGAGCTGGATCGGAAGATCCTGGGCTTCTCGATTTCTCATAATCATGATACTGTGAGGATATATGGCTACTATCCTGTGTTTGAAATGGGCACAGTCACGTACCATCGCTACTCCGTACACACGTTCAGCATCACAGCGGCGAAAGGCAAGGAAAGATGGACATCGTATAAATTCGTCATGGCCCTGTACAACGACTGGGTCCCAGTTCACTTCCAACGACTGGTCTCGGCAGTCAACGATTTACCCGCGGGCGTTAATTTTGCCGTGGATGGTATTCGGCGTTTTTCGTGTTAGCTTAGCCAAAGATAGCACGACATAGATGTGGGCTTCATATGAAACTCGGATGCTCAAGAGAGGCTAGTCTGAAGTCTGTTAAAATCCGTCGGAGCAGCAGACGCTGCAGAGAGTCCAAGGACGGCGCTTGTGTTAATCATCAAGAGCCATGGCTGTACAGAGTAAGAAGCCCACATCGGAGAAGTATCGCCACTTCACTCAGGTCTCGAATAGAGCTAAGCATCCGGCAAAGACCGGATCATGCAACCCAAAAATAAGCCTGACAATTAGGCTGTTAGCATATTAGCATGTCATCACCTAGTTTCCATATCTCCAATCTCCATTCTCCGGACCACAGTATAAGCCCAAAAATGATCAGCACGCGTTGATAAAACTCTCCGAATCACCCCGATGGCCGAGACCATGAGCAAGAAAACCTTAATTCCTCCCCGGTCAGCCACCCACAGGTGGAAAATACACCACGTTGTATGTCGTCATCAGCCCTGGCTAAAAAATAAAATAAAATAGAAACTGGCGCCGAGCTGTGGTCCCGACCAGGGCCGAGTGGAGCAAGCACAAGTGGTCAGCCATCCGCAGAAATCGGAGTTTAGTGCGGCATTTGAAATGCGAATTTCTCTGCTCAGAGCCGGTGGATGGAAGACAAAAGAATTCTTTATTCAGATTCTAGCCAATTGACGACGGTGGTGTATTCCGGGCCCACGGTAAAGCGCGGTAGAGGCTCCACATGGCGACTGACCCGTTCTTCCGGCGTAAAGATTCGGTGTAGCCTCGACAGGGATTATGCAGCCACGAGGCCAGAATGTATAAGCTTAACGCCTCTTGGCTTATATTTAATATAAGCCGGCAGATAGTCATCAGCGGAGATGTACCTGCTTGATTAGCATATATGATTGTTTCTGGCATTCCGAGCCCTTGAAGCCGTGCCGATTGTTGGAGATAGCAAGACACGATCCACTGTCATCACGGACATAATGGATTTAATTCTGGGGGTATGTGGATCAGCTCAGTACCTGAATTTCTAATCTTTTTGTTCCGATTTTTTTCTGGTGCCCCTCCAGGACCGAATTGCCCCCCTTATTTTCGTCATTTGTTGTAGCCACATCTTCTCCCTATAAAGCTGCCTGAGTACCCCCTGGGAATCAGACCCTTCTCCAGATTCGATCGACATTCAATTCGATTTAGCATCCCGCAACCTATATTCAAAATGGCCGCTACCGATTACAAGTTTGAGGGCTGGATGGGCCTGGACTCCTCGGCCATCGAGGGCAAGATGGTCTGGAAGGAATTCGAGCCCAAGCCTTGGGAGGAGACCGACATCGACATCAAGATCACTCACTCCGGTATCTGCGGTTCGGATCTGCACACTCTCCGCAGCGGATGGGTAAGTTTCTGTGCACTCGGATGTGGATATTGAACCACGCGCTGACTTCGAGCACTAGGGCCCTACCCAATACCCCTGCTGCGTCGGCCACGAGATCGTCGGTACTGCCGTGCGCGTCGGCTCCAAGGCCGAGGGAAACATCAAGGTCGGCGACGTCGTTGGTGTCGGAGCCCAGAACGACTCCTGCCAGGGCCGTAAGGGTGACTGCGAGGCCTGCGCCTCCGGTCTGGAGCAGTACTGCCCCAACAACATGGTCGGAACCTACAACAGCACCCACCTGAACGGCGGCAAGTCCTACGGTGGATACGCCCTGTACCACCGTGCTCCCTCCCACTTCGTCATTAAGGTCCCCGACAACATCTCCCCCTCCGCTGCCGCCCCCATGATGTGCGGTGGTATCACCACCTACTCTCCCCTCCGCCACAACGGCTGCGGTCCCGGCAAGACCGTCGGTATCATCGGTGTCGGTGGTCTGGGCCACTTCGGTATCATGTTCGCCAAGGCCCTCGGTGCTGACCGCGTCGTGGCCATCTCCCGCAAGGACAACAAGCGCGAGGATGCCCTTAAGCTCGGTGCCGATGCTTACATCGCCACTGACGACGACAAGGACTGGGTCCAAAACAACTCTCGCTCTCTGGATCTGATCGTCTCCACTGTCTCCTCTTCCAAGGTATGTATTCTGCCACATGAACGCATCGCAAACCGGACAGCCAGCTAACGAAATGACAGATGCCCCTTGTCGACTACATCTCCCTCCTCAAGACCAACGGCAACTTCGTCCAGCTGGGTGTTCCCGAGGACGGTGCCCTCGCCATCCCCGCCGCCGCTCTCATCATGAAGCGCGTCAAGTTCGGTGGTTCCCTGATCGGCAGCCCCAGCGAGATCCGCGAGATGCTGGAGCTGGCCGCCGAGAAGAACGTCCAGACCTGGGTCCAGGAGCGGCCCATGCAGGACGCCAACCAGGCCGTCGTCGACATGGACGCCGGCAAGGCCCGTTACCGCTATGTGCTCGTCAACCAGCAGTAAGCGCAATGACGAAAAGAAAATTCTTTGTAAATAGACATAATAGAGATAGAGTATGACGAATGAATTGAGATGCCCCACATACCTTACACAATCTCTTCAAATGATCGAACTGTATATTCCTCGCCACAAACCAGCACTGTCGCCCCGGGAGTGCGCCACGCACCTGTTCCTTCTCCGTCGAGATCCTTCATAGATGGCAGTTTCACTCCTCGATCCTGGAGAACATATTTCGCTGTCCATCCCGTGGTAGGATCCCATTCTTCCCGTCGAGCGCTGACATCCCTGCCTTCCTTCACAGAGATTGTGTCAGAACCACGCGATCGTCCGACAACCTGAGCTTGGCGGATAACAAGGTAAGTCCCCCAAATCCTGGCCAGGAACGTTCTCGCGACCTCCATCTCGCCGCCCTCCTCAGCAGTATGCTTCGACTCCAGAACCCACGATATTCCCCGCCCCGGACCCTCGGGGCCTTCTCGGAAGGTCAATTCCCTCCACACCTCCTCGTAGTCGGTCACAGGAGCACCGGGGCGATGGGGCCGAGGCATCGAGCCGATTTCAAGATCGTCGCCATTCGACAGGGCAGTGAAGGTTCCGCAGTCAGCCGCATCGAACGAATTGAGCGAGTCGATCTCATGCGTGAATTGGACGCGATCTGCGGTGTCAGTAAACAAACTTTAACCTTAGACGACACCGGTGGGGAACGGGGGAAAGCATACTGGAATCTTCACTGTCTACGATGCGCTGTCCCGCAATGGCCCAGTCGATCTCATGCGAGGACTTGTCCACGCGCAGGTCCACATACCAGCCTTTCACGGACATCACGACGGTGTCGGTGGTTTCGGAGGCGGGCTCGGGGATCCAGCGGATTGAGATGCGCGTGGAGAGACGGCTGTCGGATGGAGGATTGGGAGACTGAGAGGCCATGGTGGAGCGCTTGTTGACTGCTTCGGATGAAGGAAGGATGATAGCGTTGGGGAGAGGGGTTTCTTTAATTATCGCCCTTATCGACTGCCCCGCACCGGTGGGCAGCGCAGTGATTGGTTGGCAGTGCAGCAGTATAGAGTCACGGGATTCAGGATGTTTAGCAATTCAACAGCCGAATATGAATTAGGACTAAGGCATACTTGCACTTGTCAAGGTAAAAGTGAACAAAATATCTGGAGTTGCCATTATTGTTGCCTATTGCCAATATGGCACAGCTCAGCAAGCCGGGCCCTAAGCGAACCAAGCCACGTTTAGTATTGGCAATAATTGCTGGTATCGGAGAATAAAACCGGGAAGTCTAGACCATGAAATATGTCTTCTCCGCTAAACTACCGTGAGCTCTTGCAATGGAGAGAGTGTACTCCAATATTTTCAAATGTTCTAGGTGATAAGTCAAAGCACCAAACCAGATAATAAGAATGGTGCTGTGGTCTAGTGGTAGGACGTCACGTTGTGGCCGTGCCAGCGCCGGTTCGATTCCGGCCAGCGCCAATATGTCTTTTCTTTTTTTTCTTTTTGTCGCACGGCAGTATCTCAGAGCCTTTGAAATAAAAGAATTCAATCTCCGCAATAATTTATGGGAGTCATGCATGTCAGAGCTCCTTAATGTTTGATGAAGCGATTACTTTAAGGCATGGCTTTGATCGTTTTATATAGAACGGACGAGTCTAATGCACACGAGATCGATAGATCAACTGCATAAAAGAGAGAGAGAAAGAAAGAGAAGAGAGACAAAAAAGCGACGGGAGTTCCCGACACCCTCTGAATAACAGTTGGCAGCCCCATCCACGTATAGCCGCCGAGCACACCGACCCCCTTGCGTCCGTCTGCTCAGTAAACTATATTTCTATGCGAGTGACACCTGGACAAGTAATAAGTACTAGAAAAGTCTTGGTATGACGAGTCAGACCTGGCGACAAACTTTCATTTTCGATTTTCTCTTCAGTTTACATCACTTCACAGCCCGAAGTAACCCTGCTCTTCCGCATTTAGTTCCCATCCGCTCGCTGATCCGTGGGTAGCGAGGGAAGGATCCACCTGCCATAGTTTATATTGCTTGATCTCCACCACATCGGGCAGCCGTGGGTTTCCGAATGATTGCAGTGTGGTTGCCATAATGGGGTATAAATATAATATGCTCCTCCCAGCGAGTTCGGGGGCGCAGAGCCATCCTCGAGCAACTTTTGCAACTTCACATCGATAACACGGGCCCCGTCTATCAATATGACGCCGTACTCTCTTACTCTCGGACTAGTGCTCTTCTTATTCTCGTTCATCCGATATGCAGACTGCCAAGCAAGCCCTGTCCCAACGGTAGTGGTTCCTCAAGGCACAATCATCGGCACTGCGACCACATTGCCGTCGGCCACGGCCGCAATCAACAAGTTCCTGGGTATTCCGTATGCCATTTCGCCGCCGGAACGATTCGAACCGCCTGAACCGGTAGAAGAGTCGGACGATACCATCACTGCGACCCAGTGGAGGAATAAATGCTTTGAACAGACGAGTGCGCAATAACTGGACCTCGACGCATTTAGACCTCGAGCTAATGACAGCATAGATGGCTCGCCTGTGGCCCCTGGGGACGAAGTCCCAGCCAGCGAAGATTGCTTGTACCTGAACGTGTATGCACCTGCCAATGCCACAGACGATGGGGACAAGGCTGTCATGTTTTGGATTCCCGGAGGCGCACTCCAGTATGGCCATTCGGGGCAGCCCATCTATGATGGCTCGGGATTCGCCGCATTCCAGGACGTGATTTTGGTCTCCATCAACTATCGGACAAATAGTATGTGTTCGGGTGGAACTCATGTTGATTCAGAGACTCGATCTAACTGCTTCGCCAGTATTTGGATTCTCCAATTCGCCCGCCATTAACGATGACTCGCAGAATGTCGGCCTGTATGACCAACGTCTTGCACTTGATTGGGTCAAAAGCAATATTGCTTCCTTTGGCGGAGATCCTGATAAGATCACTATCTTCGGCGAGTCGTCGGGCGCTGCTTCTGTTGACCGACTGATCACGTCCCCGCCCGATCCACTACCATATCGCGCAGCGATTTTGCAGTCGGGACAGGCGTCGGTGAGCCCCAGAGATAATCCGGGTTTGCCAAGCTGGAAACAAGCCGTCGGTTACCTCGGTTGCAACAAGACGTCAACAGAGGCGGATGAATTGAAATGCATGCAAAGCATTAATGGGTCCTTGATCCACGAGGTTGTTCAAAAGTATGCACTAAGCTTTCTGCCCGTGAATGACAATATCACTCAACGGGCCACTCCCCTGTTGGATGCCCGCAGCGAGGAGCCATCTGCCGACGTTCCGATCATAATTGGGAGCAACTCCTATGAAGGTTCACTGATGTCAGCAACGTTCTTCGGAACCGCACTGCAACCTAACGGGAGTTTATCATTCCCTACTATCATGCAACTTTTGACGGGATTCCTGGGGCCAGATCTCGCGGCTTCAATCCAGGGCAATGTTACTGCTGCCTTTGCACAAAGCCCCAGAACACTGTTCTTCTATTTGGCGCAGTACATCACATACCTACTGTTCCAGTGCCCCGCGAATCTTGTCTCGCACGCCAATGCTAAGGCCGGAAGCTCCACATACCGATACTATTTCGATGCGACTTTCCCAGACACGCAGAACTCATTCATCTATCCTGCTCTGAACATCACTAACATTGGTGCCTACCACTCTGCGGAGATCTCTTTGGTCTTCGGGACTTATAGTGTCTTTGGTGGCAATGCCACGGATGACGAAGTTGCTTTGAGTCAATTCATGCAGAGGTCGTGGGCCGACTTCGCTAAGGATCCCTACGCTCCCGAGGCGCCCGGGTGGCCCGAGGTAAGTACCAATGGTACTGCGGAAATTGGCTGTCTTGGGTGTTCCTCGAATCCAACAGGAGTGAGCGTGATATCGGAAAGCGTGGATTCAAATTGTTCCAGCTACTTCCCAATCTATGACAAGACCCTCCCTCCATATTAGGGCCTTGAAATTGTGCTTAGTCTGATGACTGTCTTTCGTGTGAGCTGTGTATTATTGATTCTCTCACCCTGTTTTTCTGTTTGTATCTTATATCCCCGCGGCTTCAACCGTGTCGTATTGGTGAAATGCAAATATTTCGGTAACTCTGACGTTGTCACGATTTCATACCTTTGGGCCGGAGTTCTTCGTAGTCGTAAAGATTAGAGATCTGTGACCGATGTCAACCGTTTCATGCCTGCAAGATCGGCAACGGGCGGAAAGCCTCGAATGCAACGTTCCTAAATGCGTGGGGTGTCTTGGCGTTGACACCGAGATCCAAATTTTTCACAGAAGACTGAGTATGTGGAGATATCCTGACGTCGATGCTACTGAAGTCTCAATCTGACCAATAAATACCGTGACAGGGACCTGGGTAAATCCATACCGATGATTCCGTTCTTGTGGTTAGTGTTCAGTCCTGGCTCAGCGGATAAGAAAAAAGAAGTTTCATAGAAATCATTAGTCCGAATTAAAATAGACAGCGTACCTTCAGCAACAGTTCGAACGATTTTCTGTCCGTTCCAATCCACATTTTACTTCATACCATCACAGTAGAACTCATGACGGAGCCACCCCCACCCCCACCCCCAAACCCACGATGGAAATCCCCCACCCACCGTCTACCGTCTTCGCGACATCCACGAACTCCCCAACCGTCAACTTCACTCCCTCAGGACTCAATAAATCATCGCCCGGTCCTAAATCCCCCCTCTCCAATGGCCCCGGCAAACTGCCATTCAACTCCCACACTTTCCCCCGCACGTCCTTCACAAATGCGATGAAATGTCCAGCTGCATGCTCCGCGGCACTGGGGACAGTAGAGCTACCCCGCACAGCGGCATCCATATGCGCGTCTTCCAGGAACTGGGAGTCGTAGAGGACTTGGGATCGCTCTTTCGGGGGCAGTGCGATAGCAGTCCTGCGCAACTCGTCGAGTTTCGAGCCAGGGGTGATGTATTTCCCGTCCTCGAGGTTGAAAATACAGTGAAGGAGCGCCATCAGCCCGCAGGCATTTCCGATCGTTTGTTTCATCCAGATGATGGGCTCTGAGGGCCCGGAGCCGGTATATGTGGGGATGGTGGATTTTGTGTGGGAGCGGACGGGGTCGAAGATGGGAGGGGCGCAGAGCAAGATTAAGGCATTCATGGGACGGGGAATAGAGCTTTGGGAGGCGTCATTGTCGATGTTGAGGTCGAATATGTCGTGGAATGTAAGGGCGGTGGGGATGCCAAGGTTGCGAGATAGCTGGGAGTGAACGTCGGGGTTGTTTTCTAGGTGGGTTAGTGCGTGTTTGGTGGGGATTTGGAGAGTGAGAGGTACCGATGGGGATGAATGTTTTTTTGCCGTTGATGATTTCGACTCCAGAGGGCATGATGGATGGATGGATGAATGGATGAGATGGAGATGATGTTTGTTGGTGGGAAGAAGTTGGTGGGGAAAGAGACGCGGGGAATAGCAGAATGGCACATGATGGCACATGATTCAGGGAATAAAGATCATTGCATATCTTTTAATTAATGATTTAAAACCATCAGCGCCAATTTAAAGCCGCTTACGATCGCAAAACAGAGAGATCATTAACATTACTAGTGAACTAATTGAGCGACATCCTCAAAGAGACCAGTCCGAGAGATCAGCATGGGCTTGTATCAACCCTGTGGTCAATTCTCTCAATACATCAATGACAAGAGCATCCTTGGTCAGTTCCGACCATGTATGATCGTAATTGAAAGCAGAGCAGCTAGCCACAATATGTCTAGCGATAGATTGTCGGATTTCCGAATCGTTGGTCATCTTATATGTGAACCTGGCGGTTTCAAAGGACATGGTATAATATGATTCTTTTGTCACAGTCCTCTGGATTTTATCACGGGTCTTTTGCTTCAACTCGTCAATTTGGTAATGGTTCGCTATATTGAACATCTTGAGATGAGGAATGAGAGCCTGGATTATCGGTGATTTCGCAGGCTTTGTTCCTCCGTTGTTTTCAGATGCGTCGGATGTTTCCTGGAGCAGTGAGACCGTATAATTCGAAGTGTAAAGGTACTCGATCATAGTCTCGACGGTCTCGATATCAAAACCGCTCATTTCAACAACATCGTCATTGGCTATCTGCAGTCTATGTTAGCGCTTGTACACGATTTCAGGACTTATCATACCTGAAGTAGTCCGCTACAAGCGGCTTCGATTACTGGGGATTGTGGAAACACCATGGACTTGTGAACCCGATAGCTCCTACCTCGACATGTGAAAGTCAAGTCGCTGAATTTATCTGGCTGTAGGATCTGACACATGAGTAATTCCGGCTTGTAGGATTTGTATGCCATGTGAGACATGAAAGTCACGACTATGAGGAGGCTGGATAGCACGACTGGAATATGTGTAAAGAAAGGTAGAAGAATAGCAAAGGGAGAAGTGGAGAGACAGGATGAAATATAGAGAAGCCCACTCAGTTATTCATCAATACACTTAAAACCGCTAAGTTTCCGAACAGAAGCGACGGAACCGTTTGGATTGAGGATTAATTGGTCGGTTTCTGATCCGGCATAACGTCACGTCGATGCCATGACACTCTATCTCAATTAGACCTGATTCAGTTTCATGTGGAACCCCGGGCCATCTCAATGATCTTGGACCCTAAAAACCAAGCTTCTGAAGTGGAGCGGCCGTCAAGGGTGGATCCCGTTCCGGCCTGGTCGAAGCTCATCATGAACAGCCATGCTGAGAAGTTGATCCTTAGGTATCCCGGAATGAATAAGTCCTTAATAAATCCCGTATACAGGCCTTTCACACTGAAATTGACCATGGTGAATGAATCGAGCTCATTGCTTGCCATTATGAGCGGACATAAGTCATTGCTTGGCATGCAGCCAAGCCCTAACTGCTGGGCCTTCGTATATAAAGCACCTCCCAATGGTCTCAGTTCTGCCCTATTCCCTCCATGCAATTCAGATTCAATCAAGGAACAGCCAAGGTTACTGGGCGTATGGAGATTACTTAGACTACCGCGACGCCCGAGCATCTTGTACCCCTGTGGCACCAACATCCAACCCTACGATGGGCGATAATCCATCCGTCTTCAGCATGTCCGAGTCTGCGACGATCGAAAAATCCACTGACAAAATTTCTCGTTCCCTTACCGGAACCGATAAGTCCAAGGGCACTACCGAAGGATTGCAAGACAAGCAACCCGACCATGAACATCAATACCCTGGCAAGATGAAGCTCGCCATCATCCTTTTCGGCTTGAACTTAACCATGTTCCTCGTCGGTCTTGACATACCATCATATCCACGGGAATTCCTAAGATTACCGATCAGTTCCACGCCCTGGGTGATGTCGGTTGGTATGCCAGTGCCTACATGCTCACGGTCTGCGCATTCCAATTGATGTGGGGAAAGCTGTTCACCTTCTACTCGATCAAATGGGCATACATCGTGGCACTGTTTCTGTTCGAAGTTGGCTCACTGATCTGCGGTGTCGCTCCAAACTCAACGTCTCTCATTGTCGGTCGCGCCATTGCTGGTGTTGGTAGTGGTGGCATCAACGCTGGATCCTTTCTTCTCGTCGCATATGCCATCCCCCCTCGCCGGCGACCGACACTCGTCGGAATGATCGGAGCCATGTACGGCTTTTCGTCAATCGCCGGTCCTCTTATGGGTGGTGCCTTCATCGATAACCCCAAAATGACCTGGCGTTGGTGTTTTTATATTAATCTGCCTCTTGGTTTCGTTTCGGCTGTCATCATCATCTTGTTCTTGACCGTCCCTGGCGACACCAGTTCCCACGATATCCCATTTATGGACCAACTCAAGCAGATGGACCTTCCCGGAACTTTTCTTGTTCTGCCCAGCGTCATCTGTTTGTTGCTCGCTCTTCAGCGGGGTGGTACCAAGTATCCGTAGGCAAATGGTCGCATCATCGGCCTCTTCGCTGTCGCCGGTGTTCTTGCCATTGCCTTTGTCACTATCCAGTTTTTCAGCGGTGACTGTGCCACCGTTCCAGGCCGCGTGTTCAAGAAACGCAATATATGGGGATCCGTTGTCTTTGGTTCCTGCCTTGTCGCCCTTTGTGATGCTGTATTACGTGAGTTAACTCCCCCCTGTCTCAATGAACCCCTTCTCACTGATCCAATAAACCCAGATTCCCATCTGGTTCCAAGCCATAAAGGGTGTCAGCCCAGTCAAATCCGGCATCATGAACCTGCCCATGGTGCTCAGCTTCGTCGTATTCTCCTTCCTCGGAGGCACCCTGACCACCATGACCGGTCACTACGTGCAATTCGCCTACCTAGCCATAATCTTCATGGCCGTCGGCAGCGGCCTGCTTTCCACCCTGAAAGTCGACTCCGGCCACCCCGAATGGATCGGATACCAGGTTATCTTCGGTGCGGGCATCGGATTCGGTCTCCAGACAGCTTGCCCCTCGAGGATATCCCGATTGGTACTGCAATTCTCATCTTTGCCGAGAACCTGGCCGCGGCTGTTATGGTATCGGTTGGCCAGAACGTGTTCACGAATCAGCTGTCTAAGAACTTGAAGACCTACGTTCCGTCTTTTGATAGTGGAGTTCTTCTGGATGCGGGTGCTACTCAGATTAAGGAGAGTGTGCCGGCTGAGTTGTATGATAATGTGCTGGTTGCTTATAACAAGGCGCTGACGCAGACCTTCTATGTCGGTGTTGCTCTGTGTTGTCTGGCTGTTTCGGGGGCGGCGTTTTTGCAGTGGAAATCTGTGAAGGGGGATAAGAAAGAAGATCAGACAGGCGTGGAGAAGGTATGAGGGAAGAGGATATAATATTGTCTTGTCTTTTGAAGATAGATACGTTGCATTGCATGACTAGACAGCGTTTATTGATATGATTAATATTGATAGAGATGATCTCACGCATACCTGATTCGACGGACTCTGCAAATTAAAAACATAAGGCAACAACTTCCCACTAAATCTGACTCGACACTCCCCCCTTCCTAAAGCCCAACTGCTGATCCATCACATCCCTAACAATCACATCCAACGACCTCCACTTCATCCCCAACTCCCTCTCCGCCTTTGTAGTATCCACATCCCAAGACTCCCCGGGTATACTCTCCCCAATCCTCGCCCCACACTTCGAATATTCCCTCCCCACAATCCTCGCCACATCCTTCCACGCCGCCCTCTCTCCCGCTAGCAAAAACGTCGATCCATCCGGCACAGATTCATTAAGCGCCTTGACATGCGCCTCGGCTACATCCTGAATATGTACCGCCGTGATATTCCCCAATGGAGCACCAGTCATGATTGTCCCGAAAAACATCTCATTCGTGCCACCTTTTATCTCATCGGCGGTGGTTTGGAGGTGGTTGTGGCCGAAGACGAAAGCGGGATGAAGTGTGACGAGTGAGAAATGAGGGGATTGATCTTTCTTGAAATCCCAGGCTGCGTTATATGCTAGGAGTTTGGAGGCATGGTAGAGGCGCATTGCGGTGGCAGAGTCGTTCTTCGGGACTGTGAAGTCTGCGCTGGGATCGATGGTGAAGTCCCAGGGGTTGTTTTCTAGATTCGTGAGTGTTTATCTTATTTTACGCCAAGTTATTCCCAAGCGCGAGCGTAGAATGGGCAAAGAGGACACCGTGGAATCAAATACCTTTAATAACACCCCCCTTCGGAAGCCCAGCAACAGGAATAAACGCCGCAATGGACGACGTGATAACGACCTTCTTGATACTCTTTACTTTAGCTGCCTCGGTCAATATAGCCGTCGTGCCCTTGACCGCTGGATCGAGATAGGACTCTTTTTCCGTTCCATGAAGAAGAGGCGATGCGATATGGAGCACGTAGTCCACGCCATCGAGTTTCCCTGCGAAGGAAGATTCCTGCGTGATGTCTGCGACGACGACAAAATCGACCTTCTCGCTATATCCGTACTTCGAGAAAAGGGTCTTGAGCTTGAGGATCTGTGATTCGCGCCGCACGCTGATGCGTAGCTGGTAGCCTGTTTTTAGGGCTTCGAGGGCTACAGCGCTGCCGATGAAGCCGGTGGTGCCCGTGATGAAGATGAGACCGGATGGCATTGCGCTGGTGGTTTGGATTAGGATGGGGGTTGGTTTGGAAAAATGTAGACTTGGTTGATTAGTATGTGGATTTTGGGGGCTTTAAGATCAATTCATTTCGGAGTATGGCAACATATCAATATTGCTTATAATACTTTGCTATTTTATAGTGGCCAGTGATATTGATTAGTGAACAGGGATGTTTAGTGATCAGGATTCTGATTATGATGGGATGTCCGAAGCGGAATATTTTGATTAGTGATCCACTTTTGCATTGCTAATCAGTATACAAGAAAATGTTCTCTAGTCGACCATTTCGTCAAAAGAATAGTGCACAATTTGATAAAGAATTCACACCCTCTCAAGGCTCCGAGGATCTGGTCAAGTTTAACTGCTGGTGGCCCTTTGTTTTTGTATTCGCGAGTGCAATCAGGTCGTCAATAGCCGTTCCAAAGTGCACTCGAAATGTCTCGAGGAGATCGGTGATAGCATAAAACGGTTGCGATGTCCGATTCATGGCATACTGAACTGTTGGTAAATTCTCTGACCGGAGATTGGGTTGTTTATCTTCTTCTCTGCAGAAAGAAAAGCCTTCAAGATAGCGCGAGGGACTGTTAACATTGCCCAACATCCAGCAACGCGGGAGGAAAAGTGCAGCATCTCTCTCAATCAGCATCTTGAGTGCTAGGAAGTATGATTGCTTATTGACGGCGGAAGTATTAATTCCCATGTGTAACCATTGTATTAGTGAAGAGAGAAAGAGTGCCCAGACAGAAGTTCCACTGTATAATTGGTTAGGGTCTGCCCCGAAATTTAGAACCCGGTGGAGAAGGTCGACACTGGGAATCGAATTTCCAATTTTCAAATTCGCTTCTGGCATTCTAAACCTTGGCCGGAGAATATAATCTAATATTGGGCGACCTCTTTTGGTGTGAACTACCTCTTTCGTAAGGTATACCGCGCAATAACCTCGCATGTCAAAGTCGATTGCCAATGTGAGAAAAATGCTTCTTTCATTGTGCCAATTAATCAGCGTGGGACTAATATACCAAGCCCAAGAAATCGACTCATCACAGCAGGAGGCGAAGGCTTCGATGGCGGGCTTAAGCGCATTTGCAGCTTTAATGGATATTGTTGACTCCCTCCATTCGGGCAATGACAGGGCACTTACGAGATAGCTCGCGATCGCCAAGGAGATATTTCGACCGTTTTCGACCGTTCGGAGACCCAGAAACTGAGATATTCTGGAGTTGACGATAAACATTCTGGCATCGTATGGACCTTGTGTATACTGGTGAAGTAGTCTCTGGATGTGTGGCGAAAGAAGGAAGTCTCGACAAGACCGATGGAAAAAGTCGACTGTGAGCATGAAGGAGCGGAGTAAACAGGGACCATCAAAAACCTCCGAGTATATTGAGGGCTCAAACTTGAAGCATTCATAGTGTGAATTATCTTCTTCTTCCTTTGTGGGCTGTTGATCAAACATTTGAAAGAAATAGTCAGGGCTGTAGGTGCATTCAAGTATGCCCATGCATCGACTGTTGAGTCTTCGAATAGTTGAATCAAGGCGGAACATGAGCTCCTTGCGGTCATCAAAAGAAATTTTACGATAGTTGAAGGGGTCTGATAGTGCAAAGTCGGGGATTGATTCGTCGCGGAATGACAAGTCAAGTAAGCGGAGGGGATGTGCTGAGATAAAAGCCGTGTTCTTTGTGTAATGCAATTTGTAGGATGATCGACGCTTCTCGCCTGTGCTGAGGCTCGATTGAGGTAATCAAGCGTTCAAAATAATCATTCAAGTCGACAGGTATTTCTTCAAGTTTCCGATATAAAGCATGAATGCCATCTCCGTCCCGGAAGCCTTTCAGTAAATCTCGTACCACAAGCCGTACCCATAGAAAAACACCTTCAGCTCTATCTGCTATTGCCAAAAAGAGGGCCTCAGCAGTTTCAAGGTCACAACGAAACAGATATTGAAATCGTGGATGGTCGAAAAACTTTCCGCGCACATACAGGCTGATATCGTCTCGCGTGAGATCCTCCAGTCGTATCTTGGGAATATTGTTGAAGCTGTCTTGGAATATATTCCAAGGTCTGCTTGATAAAACCATCTTCACATTTTCTGTGCAAGCAAGTCTCGTCAACATTTGGATAAGGTCTTGGCGCATCTCATCCGCACATTCAAACTCGTCAAGCCCATCAACAAAGAACAGGATTTTGAAGAGTTTCTGTGAAGCTGAGATGCACCTATTAATGGAAGAGAGTAGTTCTGAGTTGCTCCAGTCAAGTAAATTGACTGAAGACCCCCGAGCAGCGCTCCATCTTGTCTCATCGATTACCATCGGCATCAGATCCGGTTTCTGTTCAAGAATCTGCAGCAAAAACGAGCGTAAAAGACCTTGCACAGACTTCTGTAGTAAGTTCCCAGAGTTCCAAGAGAAATAAACCGCCCGAATCACGAGAAATCCATTGGCCCACGGGAGCATGTGCTTTTGCGCGTCAAGGTGGTCTACCAAAAACCGCATCAGCGTAGATTTCCCGGATCCAGGCTTACCAAATATCCAGTAAATCTTTCTTGTTTCGGTACTGGAGCATAGCCATGTGACTAGGTCATCCCACCTGCACGTTTGTTCATCCTGAGCTCGGAGAATCCATTCATATGTTTCCTCATGGGCTTCGTCAATCTGCTGTGCGCGTTCTTGCATTTGAGGAAACCGGAGACTGGCAATAATCCGCTGTCGGGCGTCTAGATAAGACTGGCTTTTCTCAAGTGGCTCCCCAAAATTCTGGCCAACACCTTCAAGCAGATATCTCGGTGTTGAATGGTAGATGCCGTGGATATTCCAAGGAACTCCCTGGTATGGAGTGTGAAAAGACCCGCTGGTGTAATATCCGATAGCTGCTACATACTGGTTACCGAGTTTGTTCCCGCCCAGTCAAATGATTTGGATTCTGTCGCGGGAGCTCACCATTGGAAACCGATGGATTTGGAAGCATTTGAGGTGTCACATACTGCACCAAAACCTCTTTGGCGACAGCAGCAGCAACCGCAGCCGCATATTCCTGCCAGACCTTGTTCTTATGACTATCTGCATAGTCACAAACACCTTTGATGACAAGGCAATTGAACTTATCCCAAACACCCACGCCCTCCATTTCAAACGCTATGATACCATCAGAATGTGCATGCTGGTCTCTATGCTGGGCTGACTTCATAACGGCATTTCCAGTACCAATCGGGCCGATATGAATATTAGGGTTGGGGATTGTGCCGTCCGGCTTTGCTGCTGCTTCCTTCAGGCGATGGCGAGGAACTATTTTACTCTCATCGCACAGGTCGCTGCATGAAGCCGTGAGAGCATGTTGACATACGGATCCCACGACATCACTACATTCCATGCATTTCCCACGATGTTTATGTATGTAATCAGGTTGAAAAAGTATGTCTTGGCGCACGCCTGGATAGTTCGTGTTCATGGTTTGCAGCAGAGCATTCAGATGCCGCATGGAGCCTTGCCGTAATGTTTCGAAAATAACCGGGATTTTCCAACGCTGCAGTAGCCCGAGTATCTCTTCGTTCGGTCGACCATGGACGTCAAGTAATGCATTTTTCCGTCTGAAGCTGTCGGAATACTGTCGGCCGTAGTCCAACTCAACAATCGTTTCACTGATGATAACGTCACCGAGGACAATTTCGGACCCGTCTTTCTTGAATGGAACCGCACCGCACATGCCAACAAGCAAAGCCAGCTTGATGGAGCTGAAGCTCATCTTGAGGGATCGGGAAGCGCTTGACGACTTCACTAGGCCCATATTTGGCAATGTTACGATGACCACACTGTGGTTGCCAATTTCCCCGAAATCATAAGAGTTATCATCTCCAGCGCTCTTTCCATAGTAATGGCGGCAATCATGCCAGATCTCATCCATGCTGCAAAGAACAGCATTGGTTTCGCGGGGTAAGGCGCAAATGATCGCTATTTCGAACCCATCACGGTTCCACGGACGATGCTGAGGGAAATCCATAACAGTATGCGTAAATTTAAGATAGCTACCTTGTCGGCAGATTCAAGAAACCGGACAAGTTTGCCAGGCTGGACTTTGTTGGCCCGTTAGGCGCTGTCAAGATGCCCAGCTTCTAAGGTGAATCCTCCCCTCCCACTCTACTCGGGCCGTCTATTTATCCGTTAGTCTCATCGGAGTATCTGCCCACTGACAACGATTTTTTTGCAGCCCTTTGAGTTGCGTCTAATGTGTACCTATAGATGATCTGACCGGCAGACCACAGAAAGTCACGGATACTAAGCTTTCGGCTCAACACTCCGAGCGGGAGGGGCGGGACCACGCGCCTTCCTCCCCGACCCGCCGGAATGTGATAGCTCAACCAAGGCCGGTCCAGCCACGATAGCCTTTTTAAAGCATGATATAATTGATGTTGGCCGGATCTATTCGTTGTTATGGTCTCTGAAGGCAATAATTTGCGTGTCAATCGCCACACTTTGAGACTTGCTCTCTGGTGGTTTGTAATTGTGTATGGGGACCTGTTCCGCACACATGATATATCCCTGACGTCATATGCTCGCAGCATTCTTGTATGATATCATGCAGGCGACCGCATACTATATTAAGCACGTTCGTCGCTCCCAACCATTCCGGCTTGAGTTTGAAAGAACCCTCTCCTATAGCGAACAATCTTGAATACCCCTTCGAAGATAACATACCAAAAATGGCCCGCATATTCATCACCGGATCAAGCGACGGCATCGGCCAAGCCGCCGCCAAACGCCTCGTTGAGCAAGGCCACTCTGTCGTTCTACACGCGCGAAACGCCGACCGCGCCGCATCCACGCAACAGGCCGTTCCCAACGCCGAAGCCGTGCTCGTCGGCGATCTACGCTCCATCGCCGAGACGAAGAAGCTCGCCGAACAAGCCAACGCCTTGAACAGCCAGCCCTTCGACACGATTATCCACAACGCGGGCATCGGGTTCGGCGGGACCTCGAGTCGCGAGATCACTGCCGACAAGATATCCGCCGTCTTCGCAGTCAATACTCTTGCGCCGTACATCTTGACATGCGCGATGAAGCGACCAACTTCGCGGCTGCTGTATATGAGTTCAGACAGCCACTATGGTGGCGACAATAGCCTGCGGAACGTGACGCAGTCGCATTCGTACGGAGATAGTAAATTGCACGATATGATGCTCGCGAATGCGTTTGCGAGACGCTGGGGCGATGATATTCAGGTCGTCAGTATGCATCCGGGGTGGGTGCGGACTAAGATGGGAGGTATGATGGCCCCCGGCGGCTTGGAGAAGCCGACGAAGGCGTTGGCTGCGTGGGCCGCTGGTGAGGGCCCGTTGGCAAAGTTGAAGAGTGGTACCTTCTTCACGCCGAGTGGGCAGGATACCCCTGATTCGGCGGCGGCGAATGTGAATAAACAGGAGGAATTGTTGAAGATCTGTCAGGAGGTGTCGGGGGTGTCAATTCCGGAGAATTGAATTAGAGTATACGTGTGATGAGCTGTATGATAAGTTATGATGGTCTATATACTGCCGTGGAAAACATTTTTATTTCTAGATTCTACACCAGGGACGAGTATTGACACTCGAAAGCCTTCATGCGAATGAGTAGTGTCTCACCAAGATCACTCCGAGTATGTCCAAATCTGTATCTATGGATATCGACATGTTTCTTCTTCTGACCAATAAAGTGATGTATGAAGTATGGAAATTGGAGGGAAGAAGATACCCCGAGCATGTAATCATTGAACAATCATGATCATTAATCGATATCACATACTGGATGATCGACGTTTCACAAAGCGGGCAGATTATGATTACTGATCTCTCCGAAATGATTATTCTCCCCATCCGAAAGAAGATCAAAGAACACAAATAACCACCAACGCCTCGAGCAATTGCGTTCAGCATCTCAAGCAATACTTCTTCATACGACCATCAAAGCACATAACTCCTAAACTTCGCTACCCTTCACCAATCCAACCCAACCCAACCACCGCCCAAAATGCCCCTCTGGCAAATCCACCACGGTTCCCAAACCCTCACCGACGAGGACAAGCAAACCCTCGCGAAACAAATCACCCAGGTCTACGTGAAATATGGCCTGCCCGCTTTCTACGTGCAAGTCGAATATCAGGAAATGTCGCCGACGACCTCGTTCACCGGCGGCGAACATAACCCCAAATTCGTGGGGTTGACCATCTACCATCTTGCTCGTGAAATGTCGTCAGACGCCCAGGTGAAGCGGTTTTTGGGTGATATTGATGCCGTCTTGACGCCCTTGTTCGAGCCGAAGGGACTTGATTGGGAGTATTTTGTGACCGAGGCACCGAGACATTTGTGGAAGATTAATGGGCTTGTGCCGCCGGCAGCAGGGTCAGAGGAGGAGAAGGAATGGAAGAGACTGAATAGGGCTATCAAGTTGTGAGAGAGGGCCTTTTGTCGAGGACTTTGTGTAATGTCATTCTAGGGGGTGGATTGAGAATCATCTCAGTTCATGTGAATGGGTGAAATACATTTACTGCGGCAAGACTGTGCATGAAAGTATAGGAATTGGATTATTGTTGTAGCTTGGCAGAATAAACCGCATACGTCGGAAATTAGGCAGTCCACTACGGCCATCTGCTGTGTCAATATTGAAATACAACTCCATAGTTCAAATCCTAGGCAACACGTCTGTCTGATCCTCTATCGCGATCATTCGTCCATGTCAGCATTGAAACGGATCAGTTTCGAGTGAACGATAAACGTCACAAACCTGACGTAATGGCAACGAGAGACCAGAGAATCCATCTCGTATCGGTCAAGTGGCGCTGGTCTAGCCAGTTTGGCGAAGCTCGTATCGCGGTGTCACAGGTTTAATGCCCCGCTTCTTTGTCTTTGGTACGAACGAAACGACTATATAAGCCAAAGACCATCGCCGAACATTGAGTCAGAGACTCAAATAAACTGGATATTTAGGTAATCCCCCCAATTTGCGGAACAGTATGTCGTTCGACACAAGCAGCAACTTCGTCCCCTCCAGCAAGATCGACCATGTGGGAATCTCCGCCCCAGGCGACCAATTCGAAAGCCTGGTCGAATGGTACAAGAAAGCATTAGCACCGCTCAACTATAAAGAGTTGATGCGGTTCCCGGGCGCAGTTGGCCTGGGCGACGAAGTTCCCGATTTCTGGATCATGCAGACGGAGTCGGATACGCCCCAGAATGTCCACTTCGCGTTTGCAGCCACTGGTTCGTTCTCGTTGGAGCATTCAAAATGTGACGTGTCCCCTGACAAAGTTGTATGCTGGAATAGACTACAAGACCGTTGATGCCTTTTATGACGTAGCCATTGCAGCGGGCGGGAAATGCAATGGAAAGCCAGGGCTCCGGACAGAATACCACCCCAAATACTATGGGGCTTTCATTGTGGATCCACGAGGGAACAACGTGGAGATGGTGAGCAGGATGGTATCTTTTTTCAGGCACCTGCTAACACGAATGGGTTAGGTTTGCCATTATGGATGTCCAGGCAAGGAATAGGGAGGATACTTTCATTGCATTCTTACTGGCTGTGTCGAAAACACTCATTTACGGAGTATGGGTCGAACTCATGTACCATGGAAACGAGAGAGGAGATTTCGGGGTGTGTTGAATTATGTTTTAGTTCGGAACAGCTAGTTGAAATAGTTCTACTCAGGTTGTCCTAATTGAGATTATCCGGGGAATTCGAGTTCTTCTATGTATTCAGATAATCTTTCGCGCCTTGAAATTAAACGCTTCATATCTAAATATGAGCCCAAGTTATTTAAACCACACTCTCTAGATAATCCCAAGCCCTCGACAGGATGAAGGAGCTATCTGTCGAAATGAATGAACGGGATCTCATTATTAGACGCACGCATAGATGGCATGATGGAAGCGAAGTAGCTTAGAAATTCTTGGCCCCTGAAATTTCCCAGGTAGATGAAGAATTGGACGAAAATGTCTGGGCTCTCGTTTCCAGACTCCATAAATATTTAATTGGCTCGACGAGTAAAAACCTCAACATAGGAGCGCATAAATGACGGTACTAGAAACAGAATGATGAAGCCACCATCCATGATAATGGCCAAATCACGGTGCCTGTCCCAACACACTGCTTTGTCGAGTTCTTGATAGTGATGGCAGAATAGGTAAAAGGTGGGCGGCAGTCTTATAGAACAAATACCCCATCTAATATTGGCCTTATTAGATTTCTATGCTCGGTTGATAAATTAAAGTTCGATCAGCACTTACATGGTAAATACTCGGCGAATTAGATGGACTAGACGCCACATGGAAGGACTCAGGGGATTATCTTACTGAGTTAAGGCTAAATGGCGCATCCATACTGTTAAACTCCGTAGGTACGGTAGACCCAGCAGGATATGTCTTAGAGCTGGGGAGCACCTGATATTTAACAGTTTCTGTGACCCTCTCATTTCAGCATGGAAAATGGTTTTATACGCCAACTAATCTATGTCTTCGTGGACCAAGGTGCTTTGGGACCCACAAGCCGGCGGCGCCGAATGTCTTCCTTTCCGACTGGGTTAGAGGATTTACATACTTCGGTCTTTCGACCATCCGGTTAACTATATATAAATTTAGCAAGCAGCATCCTTTAGCAAAGAAATTTAAGAAAAAGGGTGGCTAGTTTGCAAAGTGCGTGCCTTTGATAGAACGAATCTCTGCAAAATAACTAAGACCGAACAACAAGTTTCAGCAGTTTGCAAATAGTACCCAAGCTAAGAGTAGCAACGGCGTATGATTTGAATGCAATAGAATGCAATACTATAGGCCAAGTGCTGCATATATGCCCTGAGTGTATACCTTCAAGTACATACGACCACAGGGTGAGGAGAACAGGGCTTCCCGTCCGCTCAGCCGTACTTAAGCCTCACGCCGGCCGGTTAGTAGTTGGGTGGGTGACCACCAGCGAATCCCGGCTGTTGTATGTTTTTGCTCATCAACTAATTTTTTATTAACTGTTTGAAAAGGAATTGTAAATGGGTGGCTGGTCCGCGTGTGGTTTTCGTGAATGATTGAGATGTACTGGGCACCAATTCTGGACCGCTTCGCGGATGTAGCCTCTGCTCTGCGTCACCAAACAAAATTTTCTAGCATAAAGAACATCCATTAGTAGATAGGCATGGAGGTAATGAACAGGGATCTCACAAAGATTTTTCTTTTTTTTAATCACAAACTCATACTGAAAGACGTGGTGACCTCAGCGTCTGGAAGATTTGAAATGGCTATAGCATCTGCCATTGCATTTTCTAAACCTTACGGGCCTTTCAATTTACCCCGGTGATTACATGGCTTGCTCTCTATCTTTGTTTGGAGCAAAGAACAGGAACCTAGATATGCTAAACTCATATTTCGGAGTCAATACCACACCACACACACCAAGGACGGAGCTACGCGGAAAAAAAAGTACGATAAGATAAGAGAAAAAGTGAGTTAGAAAATAAACTTGGAATTGAATTGCCACAATTTGAAAATCCCAAGGACTATCACATGAACAATTTCACTAAGAAACAAAGGATTCAGTTTGCAAAGATAAGCTGAAGCATCTCTGCCCATGAGTTTTGTATGTCATCATTGCTGGGTGTGCATACGTTCTTTCATACTCCCCAGTCCAGTCTCCCCATATGTCGAATGATCTTTTTCATGCGTGCCTTTGCAGGGGCAGAGAGGGGCTTAGAACCATAGAGTGTCACTGCGTCCATCTCAATGTTTGCCCCATAAAGAGTCCTGGCGATTTCCTTGTAGCCGAGCTCAGCAGCATGCCCCAGTGCAGTCTGGCCAGATTTGTCAGTATGGCCGAGTTCGACATCGCTGTTAACGAGCATCTGAACAATTTCGTGGCTGTTCGCAAGGACAGCAAAGATCAGTGGTGTCTGGCGGCCGAGGGTTTCGATTGAATTGATGTCGGCTCCCCGGTCGACGAGGATTCGCGCCACCTCCGCGTTTCTCCCGATGACAGCGTCCGAGAGAGCCGATCGCCCTATGTTCGAAGGTGACTCCACGTTCACTTTGTACTTGTCGAGTAATTTCGTTACCAATGCTGCGTGGCCTTGTGAAGCGGCATAGTTCAGCGGAGCAGCCCCGCGATTCGATTGGGTTTTAGCATCTGCCCCATACTTGTCGATCAGAAGCGAAATCACGTCGATGTGGCCAAAAGAGGCTGCCCAGGACACCGGAGTCCGTCCACTGGAGGCTTTGGCATTCGGATCCTGTCCGCTCTCAACCAGAGCAGGAATCACATCAGTCAAACCAAACCACGCCGCGATGTGGATCCCGTCCATGTGTTTTGGTATCTTCTGGCTGTAGTTGGGAAAGCGAGGTTGATCTCCGATCGAGAGGCGAGTTCGAGATGCCATCTTACTGCGATAGGGGCCCGATGCTTTGAGGGCTTGAAGTGCTGCGAGAAAACAAGGCCCACCCTTGAGGAAATTTATAACTTCCTGTTTCAGAGTTTCGTACTCAGCAAGATTGAAGTCGGTATTCTGCACGGGAACTTGCCCTCCATTTCCCCCCGTGTTGGGATTGTTTGACGACAGGCGTTCCCTTGCTTCCTTTGCTTTGCGTGCGGCTTCTCGAACATGAAACCCCCAGTTGGTTGCCGCGTACTCATACAGTGCGCTCGCCTGCAATCTGGTTTCGAATTCGCCATCGGACTTGACCATTCCATTTTGAAAGACGAAGAAGTTCATGTACGTGAGACACGCCCGGGCGATCTCCGTGTCCGCATTCTGGAGCCAGTGTCCTAACATATGCTCAAGGTATCGCGCGGATTTATCATAAAAGCCGAATTTATCAATAACGGTTTGGACCTTATTGGATGATGCATCCAGTTTCAGTAAGCCAGTGGATGCCATTTTCATGCGAGCAATATCCGGAACATCAGCCAGGTTCAATTCGGTTGTATGAGGCTTAATAGAAACGGCATGTTGAAGCTCCCAGAAAGTGAGTGGCCGATTGGAGCAATGAACCCATACCAGCATCCGATGGAGGAGGAATTCATTCCTTTCATAGACTTGTTGTTGCTCTGATAATTGCTGAGACATTTTATTTGAAGGAGACTGTCTTTGGTTTAACGTTAGAATGTAGGTTGATATTCTTCGCTTGGGCTTTCTGTCACAAAGTTCTGTTAGAGTAAATATGGACTTTTCTCAAGTCAAGGGGGGTTAAAAAAAGCTCACAATATTTTTATGTTGGAAGGTAGTACAGGGGTTATTTGTATTCCCGTTTACATTAGTTATACGGGATATCGCCGGTAAACTGGCGATACTCTCACGAACTTGACGGAAGATGCCATTACTGTTAGCATGGCCGCCTTGTTTGAATGGGCTTTGTTGTCCTGCTGCCTTTGTTACTTTCTTTCGTTTGTTCAATTTCAGTGAATTAACATCGCTACGTCATCATCTGAGGAATATTAGGCAACTTTTGAAGTCAATCAATTCAGTTTAGGAAATATTCCGTTTGTTGACTAGTAGTTCTATGAGTGATATTTTTTGAAGGCTTGATTACTGCAATGCAACGAGCCCGTGCCAAGTAGGTTTACTGCTCCACTAAAGGGTAGCGCCTAATAACCTTCTATCAGGATTCAGATTATTTAGGCATGAAAGAAATTTACTCGATACAACCAGCACGTGCACATATTGGTTGGGTCTTCTGGCATAAGCATGGAGATAGAACAAAAATGACGTAATCAATATAACGGGATTATGCTGCTGTTGAATATACAGACAGCATAAATGTTGGTAATAGCCCTTCACCCATAGGCTTTGAAGACATCCATGGATACCTACGCTAATACAGTCTTATCTTACTGCTATAACGAGAATTAAAAATTGGTAGGTTTGAGGAAATCCCCTTTGAATGTTGTTATTATGTCAAGCGACTAAAGCCTAAACAAAGATCAATGAAGGAAGAACAATGAATTCTGTGACTGAGGGCCTTGACAATTTGAAATTTACAAAGCTTCAGCATCGGCCTCGAGACGTCGCATTCTTGAACATGTCGGAGAAGTTGATTTGCGCTATAGCAAAGTTGCCTAGCCTTCCTTGGACTTGACCTCGTCTTCCTTGGCCTTGCCTTCCTTCGCCTGGTCGAGTTCCCTCTCCAGGTAATTGATCAACTCTGGAACCAGCTCGTCGATCTGCTTATTGACATCGCCACTTGCGTCCACATAAATTGAGAGAGTACGCGAGGACCCATCTGATGGAAGAGCAGGCTCTTTGAAATGGATTTCAAAGGTCTTGTCCTTGAGCCGGTCAATGAGCATTTCGAGCTTCTGCACACAGGGAGTATCGTTGCGCAAAGAAGTCATGCACAAGAAAACTTCATCTGGCTGGAGCTGAGTAGGAACGAACGACATTTTTGGAAGTAAGATCCTGAAATGAAAGTAAATGGAGAAGGTTGGTCCTTTGACAATGATGCGAAAGGTTGAACAAATGGACTGCACAGCGTACAAAGCGGATGGTTTATAAGTAGATCACTCGAGATGTTGATAGAATAATATTTCCGCACAATCTGCACATCGTAGCGTGCACTTCCCTCTTATGTCGGAACGGCTCTTTGTATTATGTGGCACTTTCCGTGAGGATACCGGTGCTTTCATGTGCCCGTCTTTGTTTGTCCTTTTGTTCGTCACGCCTTAGTGGAATGGCTTTGTTATGCTCGCTTTAGATGGAAATGAGATTTGACAGGCCTGGTTTTTACATACGTGTTAGCATTGAAAAATGTACTATCATTGTCGATGGTGGACACTGATAGTTTGGTAGATTGCTTAGGTTGTGCTGTAGTGTTTGTCGATGCTGCGGAACAAGCCAATGAAGTCACAACAAACTGAAGGCTATGACGAAGAAAACACAATCTCCTTATATGTATTTTTTTGCAGACCAAAGAATGTCACATACAGTTTGAAAGCCAGTGGCTTGGCAACGAGTCAGCAGAGCACCGAGATACGTTCATCCATTTATTCATCAACCTAGATATTACAAATGAAGCTGCCTGAAAGGAATGGTAGACCATACAACTACCGAGGGGTCTTTGTACTTTAGAACATGGGCTTCCTGGCCAAGGAAACCAGCATGATCCAGCTGTACACACCGATCCGAGCACTTCTCGCTGTATTCGACAACAATATGATTTTTCGTCTGAATGCAGAGAGCATCTTACGCCAGAGAGGGAAGGTATCCCCGGTTCTACTTCGTACTTGTAGCTTACTCACTCGGAGGTCTGTTTTCGTTAACTCTCAATCAATTCCAATCTATCCTCTGTGATCTGCCGAGAAACTGGCAGTTGAAGCATTCTCGGTTGCCATTCCCGAGTCTTGGCGGTGCTGTATGCGGGACCGGCAGTTGCCGGTGGAGTGGGCCGTGCCGAAGGCCCGAAACCCTATACGCGAAGGACGGTTTCGGCTTTGAATGGACCTTCACCTATAGAATAGCCTGGATAGAAGAAATGCAACCCGGAGATGTCCAGCAAAGAGATATTTTGACGTTGCTTCAAACTGGATTGATGCATGCGTCATCACTATTATGGACCATCCAAGTTCAACGCCCCCTACGTCCTTCCATAAAGCGGATGCCGATTAGCTCTGGATTAGAGTCCACGAGGCTATACAGATGACGAATGCTGTACATCTCTTGCTGCAAACCATCTCCAATTTGAATGTAGAACTTTGAGAGTGGTAGATTTTCCAACTGGACTCCCGGGCCCTCCGGCTACGGGTGTAGTCGACCGCATGCGGGTTGAGTGGAGCATTTCAAGCTTTTTTTTTTTTTCTACTTTTTTACGGTGACGTACATACATACCATACAAGATATTTTAGTTTTACATTGAATTAGAATATTGACTCGATGAAATTGCAACATCGAAAACTACTACATTGATATGGTAGACATCATATCGATGCAATGGAAATCCCAGACGCAGCTGTCCTCGGCAAAAGTGGAAGTCATTCCGAATCGGCTCTACTGAGTGAGCTTGGATCCCTTGTCAGACTGACAACGGTAAAGTTTATGATATCACCAGAACGAGACGAAAACCACTCACCAATTTGAACCCGGTAGCAAATGTCTAGCGGAAGTAACGTTAGATAAATTGGCCGGGGACCTCGACTCCATCCATTTACGATTCAGTCTCTTTTTCTTCCCAATCAAAACGTCGCCTTGAGCAAAGATCTATCTTTCGAACAAATACCAGAGTGTCAAGATCTCCAACGCCACCATGGCGGACCAAAACCTCAAACCATTTTTTGATAAGTACGAGAGTATACGAAGTCACAGAAATTTATGTCGTGGGAAGATATTAACTTAAAGTCATTAATACAGGGTTGACGACCTAGCGCAAAGCTTTATCGATGATAGTATGTGAGATCATGCGCATACTTTCGAGTTATGACTTATAAGACCTAGGGCTCACACCCGCGGTCAAAATCCCTTCCGTATCGTCGGCTCCGAAGCCGGAAGACCGCCAGAAAGTCTTTGATGTATGTCCCCCCGAAGAGACACATGATATAATAATTGAATATTCAGTAACTAACATAAACCCTGGAAGATGACAGACTTTCTGCAAAGACAACTGGAAGGACTCGGGGCAGCAGTGACAACACACGATTTGGGCGACCAGCCAAAGACCAACGAATCCGATCCGACTCTTCATTTACCCGACGTGATCACAGCTCAATACCCAAAAAACCGGGACCCCAACAAGAAAGCAATCCTGATATACGGACATTATGACGTCCAGCCAGGTGGTGATGGATGGACTCATGAGCCCTTCGACGTCAAAGAGGAAAATGGAAAGCTATACGGTCGAGGCACCACAGATGACAAGGGACCTGTCCTCGCTTGGCTGAATGCACTGCAGGCGCACAAGGAAGCGGATGTTGACGTTCCGGTTAACATTCTTTTCTGTCTTGAAGGAATGGAGGAGTCCGGCTCGATCGGGTTCTCGGACTTTGTCTCGAAAAATAAAGATTTGTTTGCTAATGTGGACGCAGCTTGCATTTCGGATAACTATTGGCTTACCACTAGAAAGCCCTGCTTGACATACGGGCTTCGAGGTATCAACTATTTTACTATGACCATCACGAACAACGGTCCTGCATTGCACAGCGGGATGTTTGGTGGCGTGGTCCATGAGCCACTGACCGATCTGTCTATCCTTCTGTCAAAGCTAGTTGACTCGAAGGGGAAGGTTCTCATTCGTGACATCGACGCCAACGTTGCTCCACTTACAGATCAGGAGGAAGCAGACCTCAAAGGAATTGATTTCACCATGGATGATTTCAAGAAATCAATCAAATGTGACGCAGCCATTTACAATGACAAAGTTGATACGCTCAAGCATCGATGGAGGTTCCCCTCGCTCAGCATTCACGGCATCATAGGCGGAGACTCGACCCCTAATCAAACGACAAGCATTGCCCCCACAGTTTCTGCCAAATTCTCCATTCGCACTGTGCCAAATATGACTGGTGACGAAGTAAACTCGAAGGTGACGCTGTATTTGCAGCAAGAATTTGCAAAGCTGAAGAGCAGAAATAACTTATCCATACAAGCGATGGATGAACCACCGGCATTCTGGCTGGCGAAGCCCGACGATGCCAATTTCACTGCTGCTCGTAAAGCTACAGAGAAGGTTTATAATAAAACGCCAGATAATACGAGAGAAGGGGGAAGGTACGTATCATCATTTGGTATCGATCTGAATAGCTACTGATAACGATATAGTATCGGTGTAACACTTGACTTTCAACAGGTATTGGGTGAAAAAAGTCTTATGCTACTTCCTGTGGGAACATCTGATGATGGTGCGCATGGACCAGATGAAAATATACCCAGAGAAAATTACATTAACGGAACGAAGCTACTGGGTACTTACTGGCATTACATTGCCGAAAGCAGCTTTTAGACTGCTTCATTCTGATTTTACATGTCTTGAAATTCCGTGACAATCTACTTCTGCTTTCGCAATTAATGAGGCTTTCATTTGACATCGTGCAATAATATTAAGGTAACTTCTGACATTTCTCAAGTCATTGGTCTCGGTTTTAGATTACTGTAGACTCGGTGCAATCTACGTCTATAATACCATTATTGAAATAATAACCATCGGTTATAAAATACTGAAGAGGAAGATCTATTAACTGATTCTCTGTGGCAGGACTATTGCATAGTGTGGTTAGATGCACATACTGATAGGCCTGGTTTGAAGGAGTTTCGGAATTTTATGAGTAGATCACACATGATCAACATTATTCAGGGATTTGTTGCAATGCTCTCTGTGGAAGCAAGTCATCACCGTAAAATTCTTAGAGACAAAGTTGAAAGAGACCGTTCGATGCTTTCAAGAGCGTTGCATCTAGATCACTACAACATCAAAACTTGGCCCTTAGTAGGTTATCCCGGAAATAAAGGCTACGTAAAGATTTAAGACAGTCATTGACAACATCGAGTGCATTTCCGTCAAGTATGACATCTACTATCTCATATGCAACCTCAGAGAGTGCAGCGACCCTATGTCTAGAACATGGCTTAATTCCGAAGCCGGGTTTCCATGACGTGTGCTTTGAAAACTTCATGTATAGTGCGTGATTTTCTGGTAGTTCGATCGATCATATTGAATCGTTTATGTCAATATGACTTTTTCATTCAGAGTGCATGTCATCAGTTTCTCAATTCCAATGGCTATCATTGCCTAGTCCACCTACGGCTGTCCTACAAATACCGTGTGCTTGAAGCTGTTCTTTCTGAGTAGACCACTATTGAAAGCAACCATCACCAGTCAATTATTCTTTCCAAAAGCTATAATCAATATATCGTTTAAACAACCCACCCTCGCAAGGCATTATGTCTTTGGCGTGCAGTACCTCTCAATATGAGCCCAGGACTGCGATCGTCCGTGATCTTCGCAAACTCATCTTCGCCGTTCCTGGAAGAGTCTCAGCATTTAGAAACGCTATCAAATCAGCTCGCCTGAAGGATGGTGGCGGACAGGACGATATGAACCGAGAGTTGATATACGATCTGGATGGCTACCTGCGCTTCTGTGACGACCTTCTGGAATGGGCACCCGATGTTTCCAGCCCTGGAGATGAGCTTCTCCGAAAGCTCCTTGTATTCTACTGGGTTATGGATCAGCCAACTACGAGAGGTCTCCAAACACCCATTCTCCCGTCTACCGCCGGCGCGGAGCTGACTCCGCTTTCCAGCTGGCTGGTGAATTATGCCCGCGAAATTGGACATTGGATGGACACGAAGGAGTCTGCCGATCATACCGACTCCTTTTATAACAACCCACTCTACAACCAGGAAGCTTATTTGTGGGAAGATCCACCTGAAGGTGGATGGAAGTCGTTTAACCAATTCTTTGCCCGTCGCTGGAAGGACATAAACGTTGCTCGCCCACTTGACGGGGACGGAGATGACACAATCATTGTCCATGGGGCTGATTCCAAGTTCGGTGGCAGCTGGGACATTACTGGTGGATTTGTGACTCTTGATCCCAGCCCTATTGTCGCCAAAGGAATTGAGTGGCCCATTGACGAGCTACTTCAGTGGATTGGGAAGGACTTCAATGACGGAAGCTTGATGCATGCGTTCTTGTCTCCGCACGATTATCACCGCCAGCATGCCCCCGTGAGCGGCAAAGTTGTCGAAGTCAAGAATATCCAGGATCAAGTCTTCCTTCAAGTCACGAAGGGCAAGGACGGAAAGAAACTTGCTCCGGATAGAGGCCTTGTCCGTCACCCAGAAGAGGCTTCTCGACGTCATGCCAAGAAGAACAAGCAACTTGAACAACTTGATGCTCCAGACGATGCGGGCTATCAGTGGTGTCAGACTCGCGGCCTAATCATTATCGAGACTGACAACCATGGCAAGGTCGCCGTGCTGCCTATTGGGATGGCTCAAGTGTCTTCCGTCGTCATGAAGGTAGAAAAGAACCAGTGTGTAAAGAAGGGCGATGAAATCTCGTACTTCCAATGGGGAGGCTCCGATATTGTCATCGTCTTCCAAGAAAAGGTGAAGTATCGATCCGATCTTGAGGTCAATGAAACGAAAATCAATGTGAGATCGCAACTGGCTACCTTCCAGTAGGCTCCACAGCAATAAGCCGGGATGAGCATGATGAGCCCCAGCTCTATTTTGCAAGGAGACTCTGTTGATTGATAACTTGAAACCTTAATCCAGGCCTATTTATTACAGTGTAATGGAGGCTTTCGTTTCTTGTGCGGGCTTGAAAATGGTTATATTATACAAACCTAACAGTACAATATTAAAACATATTGAGGGCCACCCTGCTGGAAAGTGACATCATTTAAAAGTGTCCAATATCATAATTCGGGATTTGTTCCTACGGGATATCGGCGTTTAAAGTATTGTCTGATCGGGTTTTTGAAGAGCCAACATTCGGATCGGTCTTGACCCGTATCCGTCAAACTCGGCTGTTAGAAGCGCCAAGCAGGATTGCATGACCGCATCCACCATAACTTCATGCCGTACCGATGTGACAAAATCCCGCAGAAATGAACGGACTAGCTATATTAGGCTTTCAAGACGAGACGCCCGCGCCGCCCCGCGGCCTTGTCATTAGAATCATGGCAGATGCCGTGGTTACGGACCGGAAGCGTCCAACTCCGGGAGAGAATCTCCACACGCTCCACTCTCTCCAGACTAACAAAACGCCGTCATCGACAGGCACTATCCCGCAATACCTTCCCCACGCTGTGGAATCTGTTCTCGGGGTGCAAATACTCGTCAAGATGCAAGTCCCTCCACGCCAAGAATTCCCCTCACCAGGTGGTTGAGTATGGAAAGGTCAAAGGATCTCGATGCGAGGCATTCTCGGATATCCTCCGAAATGAGAGACGAATGTCTATAAAAGGCGTCATCTTCTGCTGCGAGATTGACAGCTTCTGTGCGTGGACAATTTCCGGGTTGAATCGCCAATATGAAGGTTCTCTCGCCTTTAATCCAGGTAGCTCTGGTGCAGAGCACGGTGTGCGTTGCCGGGTATACCAATGAATCGGAGGTTCCCTACTATGGCCGGAGTCCTGCCGTTTATCCCTCACGTCAGTTGCCCATACACTCTCAGTTTCACTCATTACTCTTTACCACATATCCCACCATTAATCATTCCAGCTAATCAAACCCCCAGCTATCGGAAACGGCTCAACCAGCACCGCATGGGAAACCGCCTACAAGCGTGCCAAGGCCCTAGTGTCTAAGCTGACCGTGGAGGAAAAAACTAACCTGACTCGCGGCCATGACGGCCAATGCGTGGGGAACAGCGGCGCCGTCCCCCGCCTGTCGATCCCTTCTCTCTGTTTCTCCGACGCCCCCGACGGCCTGCGCGGCCAGGAATTCGTCTCCGCCTTCCCAGCCGGCATTCACGTTGCGTCCACATGGGATCGCTCGCTTATGTATGAATACGGCCATGCTCTCGGCGAGGAGTATCACGATAAGGGCGTTAATGTCGCCCTGGGCCCTGTAGCAGGTCCGCTGGGGCGATTGGCTCGCGGTGGGAGAAACTGGGAAGGACTGGGTGCTGACCCGTACCTGGCGGGAGTGGGTATGGGTGCTATCACCAAGGGAATCCAAGAGGCGGGAGTCATTGCTAATGCTAAACACTGGCTTCTTAACGAGGAGGAATGGAGGCGGAACCCAGGGGATATGGGCGAGGCGTTGAGTTCAAATGTCGATGATCGCACATTGCATGAGCTGTATGCTTTTCCCTTCATGGATTCTCTGAAGGAGGGTATTCGCAGCGTGATGTGCTCGTATCAACGATCAAACCACTCCTATGGATGTCAGAACTCGAAACTCATGAACGGTATCCTGAAAACGGAGCTAGGATTTGATGGGTTTGTGGTTAGCGACTGGGACGCACAGCATGCGGGCGTTGCATCTGCTAACGCTGGTCTCGATATCGTCATGCCAGACGGTGGCTTCTGGGGTCGCAACCTCACTCGTGCCGTCAACAATGGTAGTGTGACTGCTGACCGACTGGACGACATGGTGACTCGAATCCTAGCCGCTTGGTATCTGACCGGTCAGGATGAGGGCTTCCCGGCCCCGGGCATGTACTCCGAAGCGGACAAGCACGATCCTATCGACGTTCAGCGCGATCACGCTGATCTTATCCAAGAGATTGGTTCTGCTGGCACGGTCCTGGTCAAGAATGTCAACAACACGCTTCCTTTCACGAACTCGACCAGATTCCTAAGCGTCTATGGCTACGATGCGACAGTCAGCGCTGCTCCCTGGTCTAACCCCTCCCGATACGGAGGCGGCTACGAGGTGAACTTCGGCTGGACCACCTTCAACGGCACTCTCTTCACCGGAGGTGGCTCTGGTGGCAGCACACCCCCGTATGTCGTCAGTCCATTCCAAGCACTCCAGGAGCGCACCTCTCGCAACCGCGGAACTCTTCGCTGGGATTTCTACTCGGAAAACCCCACCCCTGCATACGTGAACAGCGACGCCTGCCTCGTGTTCATCAACGCGTATGCATCCGAGGCTTTCGATCGAACCTCTCTCACCGATGAGTTCAGCGACAACCTCGTCAAAAACGTGGCTGCCAACTGCAGCAACACTATTGTAGTGATTCACTCTGCCGGTAAGTCCCATTTCCTTCTCTACATCGTCGAAACCATCTGACCCACAATCAAGGCATTCGCACCGTCGACGCCTGGATCAACCACCCCAACGTAACCGCCGTTCTTTACGGCGGCCTCCCCGGCCAAGAAAGCGGCCACTCGCTCGCCGACATCCTCTACGGCGACGTCAACCCCTCCGGACGACTCCCTTACACCGTAGCCAAGAACGAGTCCGACTACGGCTCTCTCCTCAACTCCACCGTCTCCTTCGACGCCTTCCCCGAGGTAAACTTCACCGAGGGCCTCTACATCGACTACCGCGCCTTCGACCGCAAGGAGATCACCCCCCGCTTCGAATTCGGCTTCGGTCTCTCCTACACAACCTTCAAGTACTCCGACTTCCACGTGAAATCTACCGGAAACCGCACCTCCGCTCTCGTGGACCCCAGCATCGCCATCGTCCAGGGCGGACACCCCGAGCTGTGGGATACTTTGTTCGAGGTGACCGCGTCGATCACGAACACGGGAGACGTGGCCGGGTCGGAAGTCGCGCAGCTGTATGTTGAGATTCCGAACGCGCCGGTTCGTCAGCTCCGAGGGTTCGAAAGGGTGCCGTTGACGGCGGGGGAGACGAAAACGGTCACGTTCCCGTTGACGCGTCGCGATCTGAGTATTTGGGATGTTGTGGCGCAGCAGTGGAGGCTTCAGCACGCCGAGTATAGTGTTTTTGTTGGGGCGAGTAGCCGCATTTTGCATTTGAATGGGACTTTGGAGATCGAGTGAGTGGGGAGGATGCGGTTATGCGGGTTCACGAGGGAAGCAGCCTGCAAGTAGGGTTTGAGATGTCAGATGACCTTTCCTCTATTTGTGGAATGGGATGGACGAGTATATGTCTAACGTATCATAGTTATAATGACTTGGCTTTTTAAGGGTAGTGAAATCAAACCAAATGAACAATTGCTTCAATTATCAGAACGTATCTTTACTGTTGGTTGCTTTCGCTTGGAGCACAACCCTACGATCTTATAAATGAAGATCCCAGAGGAAGTACTGTATTCCATGTTTCCAACAAGCCAAATACGAGAAGGCTATATAAAATGCCTTGTCAAAAGCGGGATCCCTCTACAAAGCCCCAACTATGACCAATTCCTCATTTCAACACCTCGTACAATTACATCCCAAACCACACTACACCTCCTCCCAATCAACCAAATGCGACTCCCCCAACACCCCCTTAATAACCAACACCAGCTGATCAACGGTATCCAAAAACTTGACATACGCACTAATCCCCACACAATACCGTCGATAATTCTCATCCCGCAGCATCTCCGGCGACAGTATCAAATCCAAAGAATGCGCGCGCCAATACTCCATCGACCTTCGCACCAACGGCGTCGGCAGCAGCTCCGGCGGCGCATCCCCGGTCTTAAGCGCCTGTTCACAAACGCTCAACACAGCCATGACCTCGCCGATGCAGCGATGATCAAGGAGACCCGTCAGCTGCGCTAATCGATCACGGTATTCGCGGGGCAGGGACGCCGAGAGCGCGAGCAGTCGGCCCACGTTACGGTTGAGGCCGTGGCAGAGGCGTTTCACTTGCTCCATGCTGGAGCTGTCGAAGCGGGAGCTGGAGAACTCGTACCGGAGGAGCTGGATGGGGCCGTCTAGCATGACGAGGGACTCGGCCATGCGGAGGGATATCGGGCCGGCGAGGATCTGGCCGTCCGTTTGGTGGTCCTGGCCCCAGCAGGAGAGGACGAGGGCGTAGTGGTCGGAGATGGTGCGGATGGTGGTGGATAGCGTCTTGCTGATGTGTTTGGCGGCGGAGGGCGGGTGGGGAAAGAGTTGGACGATGGTGCCGGCGCCGATGCCGATGAGGACGAGGAGGAGGCGCCGCCAGAAGACGGTGTAGCCGACGCCCGGGTTGCCGTAGGTCGGGGTGTGGCTGGTTGCGTGTTAGTTGTCAGCGATGGTGGTGTTGGGCTTCGGAGGACTTACGTGTCATTGAAGCTGTATGCAACCACGAGCAGGAAGGTGGCGCCACCCATGATTCCGCCTTGGAGGAGGTTTGGGGGTAGATAAAGACGAGCCCAAAGGAATATAAAGAGCATGACGCCGAAAATAGCCGCCAGTCCGTATGGATTACCTGGTCCAATGCCGGAACCGATATACCATGCCAACAGGCCCAGCACGCCACCGATAACGGTCCCTGCAACTCGTGCGATGACGGAGAAGGTAAAGTCTGCCATGTAAGGTACAAGTCCTGTTTGCGCCATGATCAACGCCCACATGCCTTTCTCGCGATAGTAGAACCCAGCGGTGCTGGGCAGGGCCGAAATAATGCCGAGTGCGATAGTGACCACGACCGTGCGCAAGGCGTACAGCCCTTCATTCGAGGTGAACCAATGGTATGTGCCTAGAATTGCTCGACTAACGAAGCCACGGCGCTTCGTACGGTATCCACGACTAATTCGCAGCTTCTCCTGAACTAGTTTTGTCTGGTCTGCCTGCTGGTCTGGGTCATCGTCGGCTGCTTGGGTCATGGCAGGAGCCTTGTTTCCCTTGCCTGCTAACCATGACCCGAACGATTTCAGGCTCATAGGCCACCACACGCGTGTGCTCTGGGAATTCTGAAAGTTGTCGAGAACTTGAGCCAGGAGGGTTTCTGCCCGATCCATCGCGGTGGACAAAAGTTCTTCGAATACCATCGCAAACACGATGCCTCTGACCCGGTGACCGTGAGCCGCATCGTCTAAGGTACTGTCCAACGACGGACCAAATTCGTTGATCAGGATCTCGGTTGTGTTTTTAATGAACGTGCTACGCATCGCACGAATATCCTCGAGGGCTCTTTGGCTTTGCTCGCTCAGTCGCGCCCGGTCCTCATGGGATGGACGCCAGTACCAGGTTTGACGATTCGCCATGCGAACGCAATCCCTCGATGCTCCTAGCGCCACAACAGTGGCTTCAATCGCTTCAGATGCACTACCAATCAAAGCTTGCAACGTTTCATCCGGAATGGAATCAGACTCGGAATTACGCAGCCCATCAAGCAGCCTCGCCATCTGCGACAGCTGATGACGTCCCACTTCGCGTGATCCCTTGGTCTCGGCTTTCTCTGACTCAATCTGATCCACATATTTAAGCAAGACCTCTTTCGCGCGCGCTCTCCCAGACAGCTGGTTAATGTGAAACTCGAGCACTGAGAGAATGGCAACGACGGCCTGTCGGAGGGGTTCCTTGAAGGTTCCGACATTCTGCGCACCCCAACACCCGATGGAGAAGTCCAGCGGGAGAAACGCCAGCGCGGGCTCCATTTTGCGATATTCGCCGATGATGCTGGCTTGTGTCTTTCGCAACTGTTCGACGTCCAGGTCCGGGTTCCGTTGTCCCAGAGTGGCCATGGTGAAAGCCAGAGGATGCGTCAGCAGCTCGATGATATCGCCCATGCTGTCTAGGACAATCCGCGACGTCGACTGCGGGAAGAAGAGCACCGAGCATGCGAATCCCAGGCCGATGCCGACGCCTGCCGGTTTGGCCAGCGTGAGAGGCAGAGTGCCAGAGAACGACGGTAGAAGTGGCGTGAAGAGGAGAAACAGGTCCGAGATGATGATTGCGAATATTGCCGTGAACGTCGCTTTGGGGTTACTGGCCCGGAGACGAGCCTAGTGTGGATGAGTATTGGTTCAACTGGCTTGGTGAGAGACGTACCATGAAATAAATGAATGTGCAAATGAGACAGTAAGTCACGGCAGTCACGCGTGCATCCAGCATGTGTCCATCATAGACCAACACCTGAGCCACGCTGGCGACTGGTTCCCCGGTCGCATTGGCTCGTTGCTGCGCGGTTTGTTGCAACGCCATCAACTGCGCCTGCGTATCGGCTGCCGGCCTGGCCGCCAAAGCGGCCTTCGTTGTGATAACGCCCCATACCCACGCTAAACAGATTCCCAGATACAGGGAGAGTGCTCCAAGAAGGTAAATGAAGACCACACTGCTCGGGGGGAGCATCAACAGAACCAGACTGGAGAATGTTAGCAGGCCGTTTTCCAGAGGGTAAAGGCTCATACCAGGCAAAGAAAGTCGCAGTTCCCAAGCTCGTTAGAGAGGGAGTAATTAGAAACAATAAGCAGGCCACCCAGGCCGCAATCCAGCAGCGACATAGGATCTTCAGGTCGCGCGCGTTGAAATGGTCCAGAAACGGCGGCAGGCGTCTCTTCTTCCCGGTCAAGACGGTTTGTTGAAGAGACTTCAAGGGGCCTTCATCCCCAGTAGGTGTGGAGTTATTCGAGTCGGTCATGAGGCCAGGACCAAACCCTCCATAGGCAGGCTGGGGAGTCTTTTGAGGGGGAAAAGAATTGACGTCGATCAACGTCCTTGTTAGAGATAGGGGTTTTGTGCGCACAGAAGGTTATGCCCACTTTATGCAAGTATTATGCACAGAATGCGTCATCATTCGGTTGACATAATCTGCATGCGGGGGATCGCCACTTTTCTACCGTTTTGAGCGTTTCAGACTCAATTGCCACTGTCTTGCTCGCCTTTACTATGACACACCAGTTAGGCCAATGTATACGGTATTGATCCGTTGTAATTAATTTGTTTCAGCACTATTCAAAAGGAGCTTTCTCATAGGTATTTAGTTTGAGAAATCAATCATTTTATGCAAGACAAGTTCTTCGCGCAGATATATATTTGCCCTGGCATGCAGGATGTTGTATTAGAAAATTAGCCTATCCAATTGACGCCTTCCACTCTAAGCTGCGAAAATTATCCGAACCGCTTTCTAGACTTTCAAGTGATTTCACAAAATTAATGTGTAAAGAGCTATAACAATTGAATATTCATGATTAATGACTCTTACAATTAAACCCTCGTCGCCGACCAACACAAAACCCTCGTGTTCTCATCATACCCCGGAAGAACATTCCTCGCCTTCCCAATCGCATCCTCTGCAAGAAAGCTCGCCTCAACCTTCCACCGCGTCCGCGTCGCCTCTTCAACATCTTTCCAGAACCCCTTCACCGTCTCCACATTATGCCGGTAGTGAAAAGCACTAGAATCAACCCCATGCATTGGATAATGCCCACCCAACACACTTCCAACCTGCCGTCCGGTAACCATCACCCCGGGCTTGTCACGACACAGCGTAACCAGCCGGATAGCAGCCACCAGCCCGGTCTTGTAATCCCATAGGTGAAAAAGCGAGCTCGCGAATATGATGTCCATCTTGCCGCTCATTTTCTGCGAGAGCGGACTCGATAAGAAATCGGGTTCCGAGGCTGTTAGGTCTCCTGTGGCGAAGGTCGCGTTCAGACGGTCCTGGTCGCGGAAGAGCTGGTAGCCGAGGTCAATGAAGGCTTGCTCGAGATCGCACCCGAAGAGCTGCGCGCTGGGAATGCCGCGGTCCACTAGCGAGCGAATCTCCTGGCCGAAACAGCACCCGGCGTCGAGGAAGTTGGTGGATGGGTTTTCTCGGAGGCGGTCGAGAATCTGGTTGTAGAACGGCATGCGCTGGAGGTTGAAGGCTAGAAATCGCAGTTGTCCGATGCACGGATACCGGAAGACCTGGAAGGCCTCGTCGCGCTGGTGGATAGGTTAGAATACCTCGACGTTGGGGTTGTAGTGAGAAGAACGCACCAGCGATAGGACATGCGGAAGGACCTCTTCCGGTTTGAGGCCGCTGTATCTTTCTAGTAGGGTTTGGGCATCGGGATTGATACTTTGCACGTCTTGTTCGTACCAACCTGAGGGATTTTCTTGCGAGCCCATGGTGAAGGTTGTATGCAATGACGGAAACGTTTAGTTGATAGAAAATATCGCACCTGGAAATTGGCTGGGTTAAATATGCTGCGACGATCTACGAACTCTGGAACACACTTTCATGCGTCAATTAAATGGAATTCAATGGGAAAGCCGAGGGGTTATCAGTGAAAACGAGGCGTAATGACGGTCCACTGGTCCACTTCTTGAGGTTTCTCGCCAATTGGAAGGCGGAAATTTGGGGGCTGAATGACGATCTCTGGTCGTGGAATTGTGAAGCTTGTTCCAGCTAAGCATGCGTGGCCAAGGTTAGTATGGAAGTACTAAGTGTTATCATAAGCTAGCAATGTCATTTACAGCAATTTGATCTCCCAGAAGAACGGCGACATTATTGTGGTTTTGCTTTCCGACTGCAAATTTTGGAAGGGCAATGAATTAAACCCAACCAAATTCAAAAATGCCTTGCTTATTCTAAATAGCAAGCCTCATGACGAAAGCCGGTCTGTATTATAGAAACTCACCACTAAAATCATAGCCAGTGCCACATTTGAAGGCCAATGGAATCTGTATATCCTGGGTTATAAGCGGACCCGCGAAGACCGATCGTCAGTTGGATTGCCGAATATAGGCAATAGGAGCGCCAAGAGAAATAGAGTGAATCCTTATAAGTGATTTTCTGACAGCTCGCATATTATAACAGAACTATACTTATCATGAGCAACAACGCTCCTTCGTTCCTTAGAAAAGCAACCGGCTAAGCAAGCAGGAGATAAGGCACATTACACTCAGTGGTGCTCTACCTAGTATACTTTGTGACTAATAGAGACAAACATATTGTCGCAGTGAGAAGAGCTATATATATTACATATTACTCCAGTTAAAACTAGGGTTGACCCTTTTTTAGCTCAGTGGTAAAAATGCGATACATATCTCCCCTAACAGCATCGAGAAATTCTGAAGTTTGATAATAACTGAAGCCCAGAGGAGAACTGAACCAATTGGGTTAATGTATATAACTTGTTGCCTCAGAAGCTGGAGCACTACTACCATAATATACTAAAACGTGCTCCCTGTCACCATAAGGCGTTTGTAACTGTCAAAGTTTCACGAATCTAGGCGGTGGAACGTCAATATGCTCGATTATGTTTTGTATGCTTCTCCGAAACTTCCTACTGATCCCTCTTATATAGAGTCTGAAGTTTGTCTACCCATCCTAAGATACCGCGTCAAGATAGCAAACATGAGCCTTTGGTCCAATAAGCGGGAGTATCTTGGTTGATCAATTTATCAATCACTTTCTGTAGCAGATTACATCGCTTTTGCGAAGCTGGTCATGCATTGAAATGAAGAATGGTTGACGTCTATTCCAAACCACAGAAAGTCTGCAATTCCTAGATACCTCCCTTTAACCATTGAAGTAGAGCGAACCTCATGTAAGCAGAAAATGAAAGCGTCCTTTACGGTTTATTCGTCACCGAGAACAAGTAGGCAGTATCTCGCAAGGTAGTAGAATTTGATCAGGAATCGTTCGTATTAGGACATCAATAGACACAAAAGTTGTCATTTTTCTAATTCACACGACCATACTGCTATGCTTGTGATTGTACGGTATGCGTTCGTTGTTATGTCTCTCATTCCAGACCAAAAAAGGGTTGCATTTCAATCACTTCTGACTGACAACAGTTCAACCCAAATATCCCATCAACAAAAACTTCACTTTCAGGCCGTAGAAAATATCAAACCCGATCAAATCCAACAGTATTCCAATCCACGAGAAAACCGCCACCCGAAGACAAACCAAAGCAAACACCCGAAAGCACCATGCACTAAGACCAACTATTGAACCTTAACAGCAACCAGACAAGCCCTACGGAAGACCCATCCAGATCGCTCAACGGCCAGGTACCGAGCGCACGATCAATCGCAAAACCCCTCGATGAAAACAAATCAATAGTTCGGCGATGTATGCATTGAGATATCTCCGATCGAACATCTAGCCACATCCATCTTGCCCGTAGCCGGTGCTCTAGACCATCCTCCTATCCTATCTATCCCCACTGCACTATCTACCGCAAATACCAAGACCACCGCGGAGTTCTACCACAGGACCCAGGCATGACAAATCTCGACAGCGGATCTAGCCAATGGTTCTACGGCTAGTAGCTACAGGTCCTAGATCTCGGTGGCGTTGCATCCATTCAATAGTCCTCTGTGGCTCAATCGCAAGGGATCGGAAAGACGAGAACCTATCGGGTCCGGCCGAAAATAGAGTTTGCGCCCAGGCACGTGGCGGAATCCTTTGTTCTATTTTTGCCGGACTCTTTGTTGGACAATCGCTAAGACACTGACTGAGTCGGTGCCCCTGAGGGTGACAGGGGTTCATGACTCATGACTCGTGTATTGTGTTTGGTAATTTGATGAGAGGGTTGATTCGATCTTGGCTTGAGAAACGTCGTAGGATAGAAATTGGTCCACTGATCTCCTTTTTGAACTAATCGAATACAGGGGCAAGAGAATTTCCATATTCATACCATTCATGAGCCCTATCTACATGTTGTAATCCTCTATACAAAAACAACAAATCCGTAAAAACTCCACTCCAAAATATACAGATAACCACCTCCAGCTCTATCCTATCTCTTATCTCCCCATTCTCTCCCAAAGAGCACTTTGAGTAGAAAGAAAAAACTACCTCATCCCATCATTCGTCACCGAAATCTCCACCTGCTTCGTAATTCCCGGCTCCAGATGTTCCGGCGACTGGCCGCGTCCACTCACGCTCGTATTTTGCGTATGCAGCGTGCCATGCGGCTCCAGAATGCGCTCAACACTCCCCGTCTCCGTCTTCGTCCACTTCCGCTGCTGCCTCCGTGACTGCGCGGTCTCGTTCCCGCCCGCGGTGCGACGGTTGCCGCTAAACGGGCCCGTGAGCTCATAGGAGCGCGTGAACCCGCCGCTGGAGATCTTGCGCACGGACGAGATGATCAGCGGCCGGATGCACGGCACCGAGGAGGTGATGATGATGAGGGCATTCTCGACATAGCCCCACCGGATGAGCTCGACTGCGCCGTTGCCGCCGAGGTTCGTGACGCTGGGGACTTGGTCGAGTTTGGTGGTTTTGACGATCGAGGCGACCATTGCTCTGTGGATTGGTTAGTTTAGGAACTAGGGGTTAGGCGTAGGGAGTGGGGGCGTACACGATGCCCAGACTCAGGAGCACGATGAGGCTGATCTTGATGCGCATTTTCAGGTTCAGGTTCCAGAACACGACGGTGGGAAAGACGGCGAGGAAGAAGTCGGTGAAGGAGTTGAAACCTGCATTATCAGCAACCATCCAAGGTCGAGGGGTCAAGGCGACATACTGTTCGAGTAGTAGGCGAAATTGACAACGGCCTTCTGATCGGCGCAGGTCGTCTTGACCGTCGGGTCCCAGAGGATATTCACGTTGCGGCACATGCTGAGCGGCAGCACGGCGGAGGCGATGTTACCGGCCAGCTGGATGACGAGGACGGCCCATAGTGCGATCTGGTAGTTCTTGTTCGGACTGAGGATGGGAAGGAGGTAGACGATGAAAGCCGTGCGGGCGATCGTTGTGCTAATGGTGACGATGGGGATCTGGATAGCGATGTATTTCAGAACGGCCATGCGATCGTCGCTGGGGATCGTTTCGAGGTCCTTGCCGAAGCCACGCTTGACGGAGAGGGTGAGGAAGACGCAGGAGACGATTGCTAGACTCTTTGACGGATTAGAATATGTAGGGAAATTTACTGAATAAAACATACCGACGCAAGAACCATCAAGACATCATCGGCGCGGAAGTGGTTGATCTTGATCTTCGCGAAGACTCTAAGGATGACGATCAGCGCGGCAATCACAACGGCGGCCCAGATGCCTCTGTCTAGTTCGGGGCCGTGGTTGTCTCTCGCGTAGAGCTGATGGGGAGGCATGTTGCAGCCGCGCCGTTCGCTCTGGAAAGCGAAAGCAGAGATATGAGCGTCCCGGGAGTTTGGGAGAATTGACCGGTCTCATATAGTTAACATGGTTGAAACAGTGACAGCGGACGAGAAGAGGCGAGTGTGGGATGGAAATCCTGCCGGGCACCCGTTTTTACTTAATAGCGGCCACTACCAGAACACATGGGAGCCGATACCAGAGCCTTGGGAATTAAACTTTTGGCACCAACTTTGGGCAATGGATGTAAAAGCCCCGGTTGGATGGCGATTCGAGAGAGCGTTCACGACCGACACGAGCAAAAACGGAAACCAGGAGCAAAGGAGTGCCTTCGGGTCGAGAAAAAATCACCCATTGATGGTCTATAACACCGGGTGCCCCAAGGGTGGCTGCCAATAGATCGAGCGTGAACCCCGGATGAAGACGATGACAAGCATCTTTTCGGAAGGGCCTGCAGGCGCCTGACTGGCTGAGAAGCGTTGTGGCTGACAATTGGGACCAGCCAGGACCTTGGATACTGACGCTGAGGGATGGCAGATCCATGGTCCAGAAGACCAGCGAGTGGAGCCTCCGGATGGAGTCCAGGATTTAAGCGACCTGAAAAAAAAGGCCGGGCAGTGATTTGCCGGAGATGATGGTGGGGTGCCTGAACTCAAACGAGGGGATGCGGGCAGGTGATAGGCGTGGAGAGGCCCACTCGCAGCAGGAGAAAGTCAAATGTGCCACTAATTATTGGGACGGGCCTGAACGAGTCAAAGTGGCGGACAACCTTTCGGAAATCCTGGTTTTGCAACGGCTCTATTCTGCGATGGTGTCCTGCAACGGTTTATCAGATTGGCTTTGGATGTGTTGTCAGTCTCGTGGACAGACGATCGCCAGACCGCATTTCCGCATGATGTAATTCCAGTGGTACCTGAACGTTAATAACCCCGTCGCCAGGAACCCTCGGACGGGGACATTCCCTCCAAATAGGGTGCTGCGAGCATCTCCGGCGCTAGTGACTCAGGTGCCTTGGCCGTTTCTCGTATCCGGTCACTAGCCGATTCATGTAGACTAGCAACAATAATGCTGCGCTCCATATTAAGCACACCAAGACAAAGCCACCCGGCACGTGTATCTTGTTCTGGATGGTCCGGAGGGGACTCCGTTCTTAGTATCTATACTACCTATGTACTAGTGTCTGGGAGGGGCTTCCGGATTATCCGGCGCATGGACTTGGAGTCGGCCATGGAGATGAGTCCCACACGGGCATGTTACTACGCAAATGAAATAAAATTAGTCCTGACAGTAGTCATGAACGGAGACTCCGACGCCGGTAGCTCGATAGCCGAGTCCATAATGCTAGACCACGTTGTTCGGTCGTAGTCAGGCACTCCGTTGTCCGTCTCCGACCGTACTCCTGACCCGAAGAATAACCCTCTTTGTTGCTATGAAAACCGTGTGGAGGTCTTGGGTGGAAGAAGACTCTAGGTGGGAATAGAGTGCCTCGTAAGATCTTTAAACCCATGCACCGCGGTTTCTCCAGAGAGCGTAAGAAATAATATCCGAGCAAATTAAGGTCAGCGGAATGATTATGCTCTGGCAAATGGCTGCCTAGAGGATAGATTAATAGGGAATTAATTCATGGATGCAAGGAGTCTAACGCAAGGAGAAGGGCGCATTAGGGCTCCTGCGCCGGAACGATTCTAGCGCGGTGGGGCTTGCAGGGGCCAAAGACGGCGATTGCCAATCGGAATCTGGGGCCAACGCCACCAATGATGGTGTAAGACATGTCTGCTTTTTTTTTTTCTTTTCTTTTCTCCCCTGGTTTGTTTGCCTCAACTCAAGACTCGTCCTGCTACACGCGCTAGACGCTCTGGGGAACATCTCCGGATCCGGTTGTCCCTCCGAGTCTTGCAGGTTATCCATCGCGCATTGTGTGGGTGTCGTCCGTCTGGTCTAATCCGAGGTCCCGTCGTTCTTGCTGCGTTCTATTTTCTATCTTTGCTTTTTCTTGTCACCGTACATTGTCTAGGCCCTCGCCTTGCCACGGTATAAATAAATAAGAGGGAACCTCATGATCGACAACCTTTCCTCCGCGATTTCTTCCACCTTGTAACCTTATCTTTCTTTCCCCTCCCTCCGCCCAAGATGAAGTCTTCTTTGGCTTTGGCTGTCGCCGCGGCTCTCACGTCGCCCGTCGCGGCGGAATGTGCTGCCCGCTCTACCCAGTCGAACTGCCACTGCTTGCCTGGTGACAGCTGCTGGCCCTCGGCCTCGACCTGGGACTCCCTGAACAGCACCGTTGGTGGCCGTTTGATCGCGACGGTGCCTGTCGGGTCGCCATGCCACGATCCCACCTACGACGCCGCCGCCTGCAAGTCTTTGCAGGATAACTGGCACCACCCTCAGGTCCAGTATGTTCCCAGTTGATTACTCCAATGTTGATAGTGTCTAATATAATCCCACAGCCTCGACTCCTCGTCGTCGGTCATGCAGACCTTCTTTGCCAACCAGAGCTGTGACCCCTTTACTGCGCAGTCTCGGTCGTGCGAGCTGGGCAACTACCCTAGCTACGCGGTCGATGTCTCGTCCAGCGACGACGTGATTGCTGCCATTCAGTTTGCGCAGAAGAACAACATTCGCTTTGTCATTCGCAACACCGGCCATGAGTGAGTTTATTTCTATCTTATGTGTTAAGAAAGCCCGCTAATAAGGACAGTTACTTTGGTCGCTCGACCGGTGCCGGTGCTCTCTCCGTCTGGATGCACCACCTGCACGACGTCGAATACAAGGACTGGTCCGACTCCAACTACCAGGGTCCCTCGTTCAAGGTCGCTGCCGGCACCATGGGATACCAGATCCTCGAGGCCGCCTCCGAGAAGAACCTCGTCGTCGTCACCGGCGAGTGCCCCACGGTCGGTGTCGCCGGTGGTTTCATCCAGGGTGGTGGCCACTCCGCCCTCAGCACGACTTTCGGTCTCGGCGCTGACCAGACCCTGGAGTTCGAGGTTGTCACTGCTGATGGAAAGCTCGTCACTGCCAACCGCTCCGAGAACTCGGACCTCTTCTGGGCCCTCAGCGGCGGCGGTGCCGGTAACTACGGCGTCGTCATGTCCGTCACCGTTAAGGCTCACCCCGACGTCAAGGTCTCCGGCGCCGGCGTCCAGTTCACCGCGTCCGGCATCTCCAGCGAGACCTTCGACGAGGCCGTCTCCAAGTTCCACTCCCTCCTGCCCAAGATGATCGACCAGGGCGTCACCGTCATCTACCAGATGACCGCCGTCTTCTTCGCCATAAACCCCATCACCGGCTACAACAAGTCCACCGACGAGATCAAGTCCATCCTGCAGCCCTTCCTGGACGCCCTCTCCGACCTCGGCATCCAATACAAGTCCGACGTCACCGAGTACGAGTCCTACCACGACCACTACAACAAGTACATGGGCCCCTTGCCCTGGGGTAACCTCGAGGTCTCGACCTTCCAGTACGGCGGACGCCTCGTGCCGCGCAACGCCCTGGACAGCAACCCGGCCGGCATCGGCAGCGCGCTGCGCAACCTGACCCAGCAGGGCATCATCGCCGTGGGCGTGGGCCTGAACGTGTCGTCGCCGGGCGACGTCTCGAACGCCGTGTTCCCCGAGTGGCGCCGCGCCGCGGTGACGGTGCAGTTCGGCACGTCGTGGAACGAGACGGCGCCGTGGTCCGCCATGATCGCCGACCAGGACCGCATCACCAACGAGTACGTGCCGCAGCTCGAGGCCGTCACCCCCGGCGGCGGCACCTACCAGAACGAGGCCAACTTCCGCCAGCCCAACTGGCAGAAGACCTTCTTCGGCGAGAACTACTCGCCGTTGCTGCAGGTCAAGCAGAAGTACGACCCGGACAACTTCTTCTACGTGCTGAAGGGCGTGGGCAGCGAGGCGTGGTCCGTTGCCGAGGATGGCCGCATGTGCCGTACCAACTAGAAAATGGCTGGATGTTTTGTATCGTGTATAGTATGCTAGACCGTCGTTAGAGATACCTATTACCTGCGATAGATTAATTTTATGAACGTGACGTTCGCATTCGGGTTACGAGTTCAGAATGTACTCTGCATTATTCTAGAGTTTAGAATAATTCCTATTTGAATTCAGAAACGGACTACAATTGAAGTCTGGACCATGGTGCACCCATGATTGCCCGGGACAAAAGCACATGGTTGACATCTGATGCAATCCTTCCTACACATCGCCACCGTCGGAAAAACATCCGTCGCTGATTGCCACTCCCCTACCCCAAATATCCTAAATCAGCCAGAACCAGTGCAGTCTGTCTAGAAATACAACCTGAATTAAAACCACGAACCTCGGCATCACCAACCCCCAACCATCTCAATAATATAAACCCTAACAAAACAGGCAAAACAACCGCGTTCACATTTTGCGACACACAGAAAAAAAACCCCCGAACCCGAAACACGCTCAAACACCCGTTCATCCAAAATTGGGATTGGGTTTTTCTCCGTTCGGCCTTTGGGACGTTGATCGGCGCGATCGGCGGTGGGTCAAACGGTTCTTTTCCTTGAATCTGGAGACTCGGTCTTAGTCCTGCTGGTTGCGCGAACTGCGGATCCGATCGTCCGAGCCCGTTGGAATTGGAATCCACTGGATCGGCGGTACGGAGATAGTTCTATGATAAGGTGGTTTGATAGGGTATGGAGGGGTTTGATGAGGAGGAGTGAGTCATGTATACTGTCATTAGTATTACCTATTGTGAGGTATGTCTATTTACGTAGGTTGGTGCTGGTGATATGTAGGTGAGAGCGACATGTTAAATGTACGATTGACTTGGCCTGATCTCTTTGGCGGACGGGGAGTGGGATGATGCGATGCATGATGCTATCGGGGATCTGCGCCTAACCGTTTCTACCCAACAGCTCGAGTTCTTGTAACTTCTCTCTCTCTAGTTATATAGAACATGGAGTAATTAATAGAATCTTTATGGAAAGTGACATCATTCTCAGACAGAGGAAAACATCAGGCATCTACCTCGTATCAACCCAGTAGAATTCAGTAGAAGCCTCAAACCCACCAATGACCACCCTTCCAGCTCTTCCTGCATGACACGGAATCCAACGCAGCGCTTAGCAGAGGTATCTCGCCAGCTCAGCAGCTAGCAAACAGTTAGTCATGCACACCAATAACCCTCGCGAGGAATGTCGGCCTTAAGCGCCCGAGTGCGGGGTTTCTGCCCATCAGCTTGTCGATGAAGCTGTTTCTATAGACTTCATCCGGTATATAGGGTTCGCATCCAACTTCATGCACAGAATCCAAGCAGTCCAGTCCATACCTCAATCCACTCCACACCAGCCCACCAGCCCATCAAAATGATCGGCAAAAAAGCCCGCGCGAAGAAGAAATGGCAGAGACACGAGCCCTCCGAGCCAGAACCCCCTCCAGCAGAGCCACTTCAATCACCATACCCCCAATGGGACGATATTCCTGAATACCACCGGCCGGAAATAAGGCAATTCCACCTCCCTACAAACCAATCCCATCCATCCAACCTAGATATTAACCAAGTGAATAAATGTATAGTCCCTACACCACCAAACCCATCACCATCACGATCGGCACCAACAGCTACACCGTCCCGGAGTACTTCCTGCGCCCTTACCCAGCCTTCGAGCTCAACCAGTGGACCCGCATCTTCAACCTCTCCGACATCCACCCCGCCGTCGGCCACACCTTCATCCACTACCTGTACACGGGGACTTACGAGACCACAAAACCCGATCCAAACCCAGAACCCGAGATCCCATCTCCCCGGGCACTTGAATTCCACCACGCCGCGCAAACCTACCTCTCCTCGCGCCGCTACGGCCTCGTGGGCCTCACCCAGCTCGCCAAAACCTACATGCAAGTCTTCGACATCGACGTGTCCACACTCTACGTGCTCACCGTGGCGAGGGAGATCTTCTCATCCCTGCCCCCCGACGAGGTCTGGTTTTGGGGGTATATTCGCGAGAAACTGGCGATTGCGTTCGAGGACGATGAGGAGGCGTTGAGGGCGGATATTGCGAGCTACGGGGTCGGGAGGGATCCGTTTGATGCGTTTTTGGTGGGCGCGGTGTTGGAGATTTATGCGAGTGCATTGCCGGGGAAGGTTTTGAATGGGAATGGGATTGGGCATGGCGATGTGGAAGAGCAGAGCGAGGCGGATGTGTCGAATGAGGGGCGCACGGTTGAGGATGATGACGAGGAGGATGCGGCGTTTGAGTGGGATTCGGATCCGGATCCTGGGGAGCCTGTTCCTGAGGACGGGGAGGAGGTGCATGCGATTGCTGGGCCTGTTGCTGTTGCTGTTGGCAGGCCTGACGCTGTGGATGAGGCCATTCCGGAATTGGATGCTGGTCGATCACCGGATCCTGTGGGTGTGTCGCCTTCTCCTCCTCCGCCTGAGTCTCCGCCTCCAGTCGCCGAGGACTATGATCCGTGGGATCACTGGCGGAGCATCAATGGGGGGTATACGGGCCCTGCGACGGGGGTACCTGCGCGCCTGACGACGCTGGTGGAAGAGGCGTCGGAGCCGTCGGTTGAGGTTGAGGTTGAGGGAGAGCCGGTGGCGGTGGACGTGGAAGCGAAGACGATCCCGGCGGGGGAGTTCGACCTTGGGTTTTGTAGGAAGAAGAAAAAGAAACGGGGGTGGAAGTATTACGATATCGACATCGCGCCGACAGAAGGACATCCTGAGCCGGTGATTGAGGAGCCGCCGCTGGATATAGAACCGGTCCCGACGTCGGAGCCTGGCATACCGCTTCCTGAGCCGGCGGTGCCTGAGACTGCTGTTCCAGCGGATTCTCCCCCTCCACCGGTGAATGGGAATGGATGGGGTGGGTTTAAGAATCAGGAGTTCAGGTTCTATTCGTCTGCGCCGGTGGCGACGGCTGAGTAGTGGTTTGTTGGGTGTGTATAGGGTTTGATGGTTAATGGTTAGCAAGCGATGGGCGTATCAGGAAGGTTACATAAAAGTAGATTCGATTTTGTTATAGGATAAAAGGTTTAGATTGCAAAATTGCTAGTCAAGTTCATCGGCTTCTAACAGAATATCCAATGCAGCCCTCAACGTATCACAATTCCTTAACCCCCGGGAAAAGACTCCGTCAGAATGCGGTAACGTAAGCTGCAACTACCTTTGTTCACTAGCACAAGATTTACATACTTGCAGGAGCCAGTCATTCCACTGGGGATGTGAATCAAAACAAACCTTGGAACAGTCAGAGAGGAATGCTACTGACAGCAATGATGCCAAGACCCCTGGCTGGCCCTAAGTCCAGATGCTTGACAAGCAAATTGCTATCTATGAGTGAGAAAGGAATACCCAACCTATCGCATTGTAAGGTAAATAAGCAGACTGACGCAACAAGATCAGCCCAGGCCTGACCAGTGAGACACATGATTCATCAGATGGGATTCGTCAGGAGTATGGAATGTATGGCAGGTCAATGTGATTTTGTGCCTGTCATTCCCTAGTATAGGCACAGGAATGTCCATTTGACAAGCACGCACATGAGTATTTAACAGGCTTATCCCACGCACTCCAGTCTACCCCTCCCCAGTTCCACTATCTTCCTCAAATATCACATCTAGTTCCAAAATGAAAGCAATCATAGTCACCGGCGCCACCGGAAAACAAGGCAGCTCTGTAATCCGCAACCTCATCTCCAAAGACGCCCCATTCGAAGTCCTCGCCGTCACTCGCGATGTCAACTCCCCATCCGCACAGCGCCTCGCCAAACTCTCCCCCAAAATCAAGCTCATCGAAGGCAACCTGGACCAACCGGTAGATATCTTCGAGAACGCGCGAACCGCCAGCGACCACCCACTCTGGGGCCTTTTCAGCGTCCAGGTCGCCATCGGCAACACCAGCTCGGAAGAAACGCAGGGCAAAAACCTCATCGACGAAGCGATTCGCCAGAACGTCAAATTCCTCGTCTACAGCTCCGTCGACCGCGGCGGCGACGCTGTCTCCTTTACCAACCCGACTAAAATTCCGCACTTCGTGAAAAAACACAACATCGAGCATCACCTTGTCTCGGCGGCGAAGGACACCGATACGGCGTGGTTCATTCTCCGTCCGACTGCGTTCTACGAGAACCTTGTCCCCGGGTTCATGGGCAAAGTATTCACCACGGCGTGGAGCATGACGCTCAAGGGGAAGCCGTTACAGTTGGTTGCGACGAGCGATATCGGGTATCTCGCGGCGGAGGCGTTCGTGAATCATGAGAAGTATCAGGGGACGGCGGTGTCGTTGGCGGGGGATGAGTTGACGTACGAGGACATGGCGAGAATATTTAAGGAGAAGACGGGGCAGAGTGTGCCGGGGACGTTTCGGGCTGTGTGTTCGGTGCTGATGGCGGCGATGAAGGACTTTGGGGTCATGTTTCGCTGGTTCAGGGATGAGGGCTATCAAGCTGATATCGGCGATTTGAGGGCGAAGTATCCGGGGCTGAAGGATTTTGGGACGTGGTTGGAGACGGAGAGTGAGTGGAAGAAATGATAGTCTTTGATGTATTTGGATCTGACACTACATACTCACTTGCGTATCATACTCGGGCCAGTCCCGGGCATATGTATTTAGCTGACAAGAGACTTTCTAGCATTTTCCAGTGTCTTCTTGCGATCTAGCTCATCCGGAAGATGAATCTGAACTTTCCCGTCCCATTCTCCGCTCGCAACACAAAAGAATGATATGTCTTTTCTATTTCAAAAAGGAGGAAATTAGTAATCGTATTCAGAAAGAATTTCTGGGATATAATCGGCAAAGAATAATGTGACTGGCGAGAGAGGGAAAACCCGCTTGGTAAACGAAGTGAAACAGTCCGGATGCTTTCAATATACACTAGCAGTAGAGCAATGGCTTTCATTCCTATCATCTAGCAGATCTAGTCTGATTAAGCTCTTCTATAGAGTTCTTATAACCTCGATCTTCAAGGATCATGCTCGCTTCATCGCTAGCTTTCGGTTGCCGACGGTTAAAAGCAATACGGCTCGCTCACTTCGGACATCAACAAATCACTTAATGGTGAGCACATTAAGAGCAACCGAGCTTAGACGCGCAATCATCCTTGCAATCTGACAAGTTGCTGTTTTGATATTTGCCGTCTTGCACCTGATTTCGTCTGATATGGCTCGGCAGGTCAACTACCCGCTCGGGTCGGTCATATGGTAATCGCGGCACGGGGGAGGTAAATACTACTCCGAACGATGTTTTAAAGCGTAAAAAGGAGTAAAAAAAACGAAGAAAAACATACAACAGCCGGGATTCGCTGGTGGTCACCCACCCAACTACTAACCGGCCGGCGTGTGGCTTAAGTACGGCTGAGCGGACGGGAAGCCCTGTTCTCCACACCCTGTGGTCGTACGTACTTGGAGTTACTTAGATAGAATATATGTAGATAGGGAGGAAATATAATAATTTTGATATACCAGGTTATGGAAATCTTCTGCGATGATAACACAGTTAAGCCCTTCATACACCAATAGGAAGACTTCCCAGAATATCGAGTTGAGGAGCTTGGACTGCTGCCCTTCATTGAACGCCGAGGTTCAAGGAGTCAGTATAGAATGCATGTCGTACAGGTTTCGTCAGGGCCCGTTTCGAAATCCTTGTCCTCCATGCTAGGTCATAAGATGTTGTGTCACCGGCATTGATGGATGTAGCGTTTTGTGCTACTACAACTTCACGTCACTTGCATTTTCGGAGTTTTACCCTTCAGCTGATTCAACCTGGAAGCCAAGTTGCATGCATAGAGCCAAGATGACAGGATGATGAGCAGCAGCTGAGGGCTTTCCCCGCTCGTCGATCTTCTAATTGCGTCAGAGAGATTGGAAATAGACAACATCCGTCATTGTAATCGGGGCTATTGTTTTATAGCCATGATTTGCAAGCTGCTATTCAGGGACAACGAATATTTATTTCAACTATCCAAGTCTATGCCTCAGGGATAGGAGTGGGGTTGAATGGCTTGCGGGTAGGTTCTTATAGGTGCGGAAGAAAGAATCACACAACTTGAAGTTTCCATAATGCATGCTTATAGATGCGACAGAGTGCGACTGTAGAATAATTCGACAGCTGATCTCCTTTAGAACAGAAAATTGGATTGTATAGCCGTTAGCCTAGGCCAAAACTATGCAATCAGATTTGAATCCTGGCTAGTTATGAGTCGGACAGATCTAATCTTCGTCGACATTCTTATCCCTTCCACGAGTCAAGTTATCAAACCATTTGCCTTCGCGCAATATGACCCCAACGACGAAACCAAAACTCAAACATGTGCTACACCTAGCTCTCGGTTACATACACTACATCTGCGAGCTGTTTCGATGCTGGTTGAACAATGACACATAGAAATGTCATCATATCCATCAGCGTACAATGTATGACATGGTATGAAGGTTTTGTAGCAGCTCTCTCCCCGAGTCCCTGCCAATAGAAGGTCTGAAAGTTGCATAAAGGTCAACAATTTCTCCCTGGTTTCTGCCCGAGCACAAGACATCCGTTCCATCCTCTGCAGGTTTGTCAACCACCTCTTCACATTCATCAAATCGCTCTAACATCATCCAATTTATACAGAACCAAATACATCATCATCACTGCACATCACCAGATCCTAACCACACCCAACTTGCCAACATGAAGATCACTCACCCAGACGGCAGCCATTATGTCAACACCAGCGAGAAGTGGGAGATCCGCTGGGAAGACGTCGTCGAGTATGCATTTAACCCCACCCCATATCCCAATCAGGATTAAGTCAAGTCAAGGGCTAATTATCGTCAAGCAATGATCCCCCACTTGTCCAATTCTGGCTCACCCACTCGCATTCCGAACCGTTTCGCAACCCTGTGCTCCTTACTCGTGAACTCGTAGACATCAAGGAAAACAAGCATGTCGAGATACCCGGAGGGTACGTCGAGGGCATGCCGTCTGAGTAAGTTCAACCTCTCTAAGAATATCTTTCTGCATTCGTGAAAAGCTAACCTCGTTTGCCCTTCTATCTAGTCGCGGCTACCGCGTCTGGGCCATGGCAGCCGGTGACGACCCCGGCTTGCAGCCAGCGCCGCTTGCCGAGTCTCCTGATTTCGATCTCCAGAACAACAAGAAAAATGACTTGTAAGCGCTTGGCCACCTCGAGCTACACTGGTACAGTGTCTTGTGGGTCACTTTATAGCCAGCCAGGATTTCTTTGTCGAAGCTCGGTTATATATTTTCGATGCCTCGGTATGGGTTTTCTCCCGTCAGGTTTTCCCATACTGTGATGCGAATGCAGAGGCGGGTTTGAATGTCTATAGCAGTCATTGATGTTTTAATTTGACCTTGACTTGATCTGCTTGACCATTTATTTTCCAGCCTCAAACGCTGGGATTCTTAAGTGCTTGCAAGTTAGGGCTATCCTAAGCACCATACAGCGGCGTAAAGTAGGCGGTGAACAGACCCATAGAGCGGACATAGCCCGGCGGTAAGGGCACTGGCGGTAAACAACCCAGTATGCTAGAGGACAGCAGTAATGTGCAGATTGTTTCTTGAACTCTGTGCTGACGCCTGAGCCCTGTTGGTCCATACCTTCATTAGCTGCAGGTATTCCCTTGTTAGAATAGAAAGTTGCTTGTACAGCACATTAACTATTGTACTTTACGAAATTGAGACGTACCCAGCAAGTGCCGGCATTCCAAGCGGTGTGTATAAATTGACCTCGTTTATAACGATGCTTAAGGGTTCGTTTTACTTTCAAAGTTTCACTTTTCATTCCTACAAAGCGTGTGCAATGAAAGCAGTGGGAGCCGCTTCATCATAGGACTCGCAAGTACAGGTCTAACACTTGCGAAAACACTGTACAATCTTTACGGTGAAGTGTCATCGGGCACTCATGTCGGCTTACTGGGAACACTAGGTCCATTAATACTTGCCACCATAGAAAGGTCAATAGCACGCGTAATTCCGAGATAACGATTCATGGTCATCTATAAGAGTTACTGCGATGCTGTGTTCCATCAATATGTGAAATTAATCTATTCTAACTATTAGCTGGACGTTGAAGAATACTACTCGCTGTGTACTACGGAGTACGGAGCACAATAGACGGGTAGAAAGGTGGACCTCAGATCGGGACAGAGATATAACTGGTTCAACTAGTGGAGCAACGGCTACTAGTGCAGGTCGGTCTATATAAGAAGCCATGGCCGCGACTTGCGCCCGTATTTCGGCTTCAATTTTTCTCCTGGACTTTGTTCCTGTTGAATCCACCCACCAACCATGAACCCAACGAACTGTTCTCCCCCATCCTGCCCATAACAGTCTTGAACACAGCTAGAATAATCAATTTTCTTTTCCATAACCCAGTTTCTTCATTTTTCCGTTATCACTCAGGTCCAGGTGGGTCTGGTTAAGTCAGCCAGATTGGTGTAGTGGGTAACACACCTATTGACACACAGGTTCGCCTGTGCCCTTCGGGGGCAGGAGTCCCGGGTTCGAATCCTGGATCTGGTCTTTTTTTTGCCGAGTGTACAGAGTTTCACGTTTTGCTATCCATCGCCTCAACTGATACTACATGTACAAAGGATCCAAGTCCAGGTGTGATACATAGAATCTGCCAGCCCAAGCATAGTGGACCCTTTAGTGGGCAGTAGTGGCTTAGGCATTGCTCAGGACCCGCAGTCCCACTCCGGCCCGCCCAGTAAAAGCGGCGACAAGTTCCAAAAGCGGAGAAGAAATAAACTCCCGTCGATTTCCGCAGGAATCCTGTTCAGGAATTTACCGTGGCAGTAATTGACCGTGACAGTAATTGTCTGAAGTAGTGATTGTCTGAAGTAATAAATTGACCGCGGTAGTAATTGCTTGAAGTAGTAAATTGACTGTAGGAGTGAATTCTCTGAAGTGGGAAATTGACCGTGGTAGTAAACGTCTGAAGTAGGAAATTGACCGTGGAAGAAAATGTCTGCAGTAGTGGGTTGCCAGTGGCTGGAATCATCTGGTATAGTGGATTGTCGGTAGTAATTTGATAGTAGTAGTAATTTGATAGTAGTAGTAATTTGACAGTAGTAGTAAATAGACTGTAGTGGTAATTATCTGAAGCAGGAATTTTCTGAAGTAGTAAATTGACCGTGGTAGTAAATATCTGAGGTAAGAAATTAACCGTGGTAGTAAATGTCCGAAGTAGGAAATTGACCGTGGCAGTAAATGTCTGAAGTAATGAATAATGATTTGACCGTGGTAGTAAATTGCCTGCAGTAGTGGATTCTCGGTAGTAATTTGACAGTAGTAGTTAACTAACTGTAGTCGTAAACGTCTGAAGAAATAATTGTCTGAAGTAGTGGCTTACCGAAGAAGTAAACTGACCGTGGCAGTGATTGTCTGAAGTAGTGATTATCCGAAGTAGCAATTGTCTGTGGTAGTAGATTGTCACCGACCCTCGAGGACCGCAGTGGCGGTTGGCCGGGCAGCTCGTTCCCAAGGTTGTATGGCACTATATATGGCGGGTTGGACACTGGGACTCCTACAGAGTTCCATGTTGGTCTTTTTGGCGTATGACGGTGCCTATTACATGAATTGTCCGAAGTAGTAAATTGTCCGAAGCAGTAATTGTCTGAAGCAGTAATTGTCTGACACAGGAATTATCTGAAGCAGTAATTGTCCGAAGCGATAATTGTCTATAGTAGTAAATTGACCACGGTAGTAATTTGACCGTGTCAGTAAATTAACTGTGGCAGTAAGTGTCTGCGATGGTAAATTGTCCCAAGTAGTAAGTTGACAGTAGTAGTAATTGTCTGAAGCAGCAATTGACCGTAGTAGTAAATTGACCGTGGGGGTAATTTTCTGCAGTAGTAAATGTCCGTAGTAACGTGGTGAATCGACCTCAGTAGTAATTAACAGTAGGAGGACAATTACAGCGTAACAGGGGATTAAGGTAGACTTTCTCGATTGAGACCCGTGCATTTCTGGACAGGATCTGGTACATAACCTGCAATATAGACTCTATGCAGAGCAATGCGTTTTTGTTGCTAGAAGAGGGCAGTAAGATAACCGCCGGAGTAAACAACCGGCCATCACGCCACCGCAAGGAAGCCAATCAAACCCAAGAATCCAGAGCGGTGGAAAACTGCCCAAGCCAACACCCCACCGCCTTCCGACTACGTCCACTCGGCCAGAAATCGGCGTTTCGACGGGCAAAATTCCCCTCCGAAACGATTGACTCACGCATTCCCGCCCACTTCAAACTCCCTCCCCACCATCTGTTGTTCTACAATCCCCTGACCACAACACATTTGAAAATGAAGAGAGAAGACGTCGTTTACTTTGGCGCTGGGCCCGCCGCCCTGCCGACAGAGGTGCTCGCGAAGGCCGCCGAGGCCCTGCAGAACTATGACGACACCGGACTGTGAGTACCAAGCTAGCGCGGGGAGATCCTGATGTCGCGTGCGATTTCACTGACGCTTGGGGTGTCACTAGGGGCGTGGCGGAGCATAGCCATCGCAGTTCGATTGCGACGGACATCCTCAACACCATGAAGGCCGATTTGGCCTCGTTCCTGGATATCCCCGAGACCCATGATGTCTTGATCATGCAAGGTGCGTATGATTCTGCGATAACTGAGGGATAAATGGCTGATGTTAGGAAGGTGGTGGATCTGGACAGTTCGATGCGACGCTCTACAACTCGGTTGCCATCTGGGTCGAGAACCAGCGCCAGAAGATCCTGCAGAACGGGGAGATCGCCGAGGAGGACCTCATCCAGCAGCTGCGACAGAAGGTGCAGTCGGAGTTGCGCCTGGATTACCTGGTGACGGGATCGTGGTCGGCCAAGGGAAGTCAGGAGGCGGTGCGCCTGCTGGGTGCTGACAATGTGAACGTTGCGACCGATGCGCGGAAGATCAACGACGGAAAGTTCGGCAAGATCCCGGAGGAGTCGACCTGGAAGTTGAGCGAGAAGCCGGCGATGGTGTATCTGTGCGAGAACGAGACGGTGGACGGCGTAGAGTTTCCCCGGTTCCCCAAGGTGCTGGAATCGAAGGCAGCGGATGACCAGACCGTTGTGGTGGGTGACTTTTCCTCGACGATTCTGTCGCGTCGCATTCCCTTCGAGCACTTCTCGATTGTGTTCTTCGGCGCTCAGAAGAACCTCGGTCTGCCCGGTATCACGCCGGTGATTATCAAGAAGAGCCTCCTGTCGATCCTGAGCCAGTCTAAGCCCGATATTCTTCGTCGGGTGGGACTCCCCGTTGCGCCTACGATCCTGGACTATGCGGTTACGGCCAAGAACAACAGTCTTTATAACACACTCAGCATCTTCGAGTATGTCACCTTTTCAAATTGATTTGCATTATACTAACGCTGTGTCAGTGTCTTCGTTGCCGGCCAGGTCCTGAAGAAGCTTCTTGCCACCTTCCCCGACAAGGTCCAAGGACAGGAGGCCGTGGCTGGAAAGAAGGCCAACCTCCTCTACGAGGCGCTTGATGCGTACCCAGATGTGTACAAGGTCGTTCCCGAAAAGAGTGTCCGCTCGAGAATGAACCTTTGCTTCCGCGTTACCAAGGTAAATATTTCACATGCTAACTCAGAGACACGAACTGACATCAACAGGGCGGTAACGTCGACGAGGCCGAGAAGGCTTTCCTGAAGGGAGCCACGGATCGAGGACTGCTGGGCCTCAAGGGCCACCGCAGCGTCGGAGGTACGTACGAGCTGACGACGATATGTTTAAGATGCTAACTGGCCAGGTATCCGTGCCTCGAATTACAACGCTATCCCCGAAGCTGGCGTTGAAAAACTGGTTGCATTTTTGAAGGAGTTTGCAACAACTGCATAGGCGGCGTTAGAGCATGATTTAACATATGGTACAGGAATGACTTCAACACTGGGATATACCAACTACATATAGATTTGGAATGAATGACGTTTACATCACTTGACGAAATTGCAAATACACCGTCACCTCACCACCACGATAAAAAATAAAATACATTCTCATACCCATCATCCGATTCATATCCAGCTCTAACTCTATTTAGTAATTTAGTTCAACCCCTCCAACAGCTCAGGAATCAGCAGCTCGTCAAACTCCCACAACGTCGTCTGGAAATTCACCGAGAACGCACCCCCAGTCCACCACGTCGACCGACCCCCCTGCAACCCATACAGCTTCTTAAAGTACCCGTCCTTGACGTCGGCCACCGATACGCGCGCATGCATGGGCCCATGCGCCGAGAAGTCCACCCAGCTTAGCTCCTGCTTCCTACTCTCCGTCAACCGGCCCGCCTCCAGCAGCGTATCAAAGTCCTTCTGCACGAGCTTCTTCGCCCCCGCCGCATCAAGCGTCTGGTCCCCAACCACAGTGACGCGGAAGAGATGCGCCCCGCCGAAGTAGTCAATCCGCGCCGTGAACGACGGGTCCGGGAGCGCCAGGTAGTTGCTGGGGGCGGCGGACGCAGGGAGATTGAAGTAGGAGGCGTTGGTAGCGAAGGCTCTGTTGTCGACCAGACCGGTGTACTCATTGCTGTAGACGAACTTGTCGAACACGGCCTGCTCGTCGGCGTCGAGGTCGAACGGCGCCATGTTCGACGCGGTCGGCTCGATCGCCAAAAGTAGCCGCTTGGCGTGGATGACCGTCGTCTCGTTCGTCTTGTGGTTCTGCACGGTCAGCGAGACGCCTGATGCGCTGCGTTTGCTGCGAACCACCGTGCTCGAGTACAGGATGTCAGAGTGCAGGGAGTCTGCGACTGCGTCGTATAGGTCCTGGTTGCGTCCGGACGCAGGGACGAACATGTTCTGCTTGCCGAGCATGGCGCGGGCCATGGAGGCGCCGAAGCCCTGGAGGACGAAGAGCGTGGTTTCCTGCGCCATGTTGCCCAGGCCGAGTCCCGTGGACTGGTACATGAGGGGGACGGCGTCCTGCAGGCCGTGCTTGGTGATGAAGTCGGCGTAGGGGAGGAGCAGGTCGGAGGGGATGTCGTCGCCGACGGGGAACTTGGTGTAGCTGGGCTGCATGAGGGATTCCCAGGGCTCGACGATGTCGAGGAACTTGGCCATGGCGGACATCTGGTCGGCCATGGGGGGCGCGGTGAAGTTGACGGTCTCGCCGGTCAGGAAGTCGATGTATTCGGTGGTGACGGGGACGGTGGGCGAGCTGCCTCGCGCGATGCCGAACCGGTCGAAGAAGCCCGTGGCGTTGCCGGTGTCCAGGAAGGTCTTGACGCCGTAGTCGTAGGGAGTGCCGGTTTGGGGGTCGACGTAGGAGTCGACATGGCCACCCTGTGAAGTCAGTCAGATGTTGCACGGTTGAGTAATACCTCGAGCTGGAATAGCAGATATGACTCACCAGGATGCTCTCCTTCTCCACGAGAGCGATGCTCTTGCCAAAGTCATCACGGATGCGAACAGCAGCATAAGCACCGGACGCACCACCACCAACGATCACAACATCCTTATTGAGGACGTTGGATTGTGATGCTGCTGAGACCAGGGGCGCAACAGCCACAAGGCCGAAGATTGACGTTGTCAAAGACAGCATACTGTATTCTCCGAGCTGAACTTGAGATTGAAGGAGAGGAGAGGAATGGTTAACCCGGTAGAAACAGGCGCGGAGTGCCCTTTATCTGCAAACGCCTGTTCCTTTTCATCGTCTTATGCCAGGGTCTTCGGAGACGAGATTCTCGATTCATTGCATAAGCCCTCCGTCGCGATACTAACGCCATAGCGTCTCCATAGCCACCATCCACACCATTACCTTCGGGGGGAAATATCCGCAGCCCTAACTTCTTCTATCAGGCAATATCTTGGCCACTGTGTATGTCGAACCGAGGCCTGGCATAGAACGAAGGGAGTGCCCATTTTCATAGGACCGCTTGAAATACCCACCAATGAACGAGAGGGCTGAACGAGAACGATGATGCCATCAACCTGGTGAAATAAACTAATTAATTAAATCCCTGTCTAGGACGCCAGTAGTTCGACAGCCGGTCTGTGTGCCGCCGTTTGAACGTCAAGCCGTGATTGTTATTAAGATCAGGGATTGCCTGACACAAGCACATACGGAGTGAGTTACCCGAAGAGGCACTAATATAGAAACTCCCTGCAGGGATGCAACACCACCCGATCCCATCCAATGATCATCAATCTGCAAACACTGCATGCCCACACTTTTTCTGGGCGCAGAAAGGACCGTGAAAGGGATCTGTTCCGCGCGGACCGGAATATCCAGACAGGCCCACGATGAATGGAGACATCGGCGTGAACGTTTACGGCGTAGTAGGGAAACGGAGTACGGAACAGTCTGTCCTGGTTGGTGATTTGTGGATTCAGAGGGTGAGTGGGGATCAGTCCTCGGTCATTTCGATTTCGGTCCAGCCCTTTGTGATAAAGAAATGTGCAGGGTTGGTGATCCACCGACAGCGCTAGGACGGCCGGATGTCGCGGACCGAGACGTCAGAATGAAGGCCGTTGCTGTCGCGCGGGACACTAATGGTTTAGTGCGTTCAGTTTAAGACCAGCCGGACGTGGCTTTTGCTGGTCTAGGAGTAGATTGCCACCGTTGTTTTCTGTGGGGTGAAGAAGTTTCTGGACACGGAGTTGCGGTGAGAGTTGATTCTACTGGTGCACTAATTGGAATATGTCTTTCCGTGCGTTTGAAATGGAGCATAAGACGCTTCTACAGCCCGGAAGAAGCCTAGATGAAACGATTCTGTGCAGGGACAAGGAGGCAGAGGACCTATTGGAATCCCTACCTGACACATGCAATTGACAGACAGGAAAAGTAAGATTATGAACACATTCCGAAACATCCGTTCTTCCGTAACGAGCTAATATCCCAGTCCGAGAACCTGTATACTCTCGCTAGACACGTTTAGGTGTTAGCAACACAGACCAAGTCAAAGCTCCCGCGGAGACCGAGTGCATCATGCCATATTGATATCGATGTCTTGAAGTGGTATCCACTAGTTTGGTCCCACGAGGGACAGTAGCATAGAAACTTGGAACAGGTTGAGCAGTGAGCAGCGAACAGGGAGAACTGCGCAGGGAGAAGTGAGCACTTGACCGCACAATCGAAGTCAAAAGAAGATTCTTACTCGGCACACATGCATGTACCAGGATCAAGCCCACATATCCACCATCAAGGGGCGTCCGGATTAAGACGCATCAAGGGAATACGCCGGCAGAAAGTACCTTCTCCTGCTGCAAGGGGTCAAAAGACAAGGGCTTATTAAATTCCGTTAGTCACTTGGCAAAGCTAATTAGACCGGCCTATACATGCAACAAGACTTGCAGGGTTCAGAGCAGGTTTAAACCCATGTCATGATCAGGATCCCTACCATTATACACGGTGGCAGAAAATCACGCGGAGCGGCTTCCAATCGCTGCTCTAAACCTCTCGGGGTAATGTTTCCCGCAATTTATTTGATTTTGCTACTGGATTAGTTTGCCCGAGGAGTCAACTTTCATTTTAATGTCAAAGAAGGCTATTATTTGGGCAATGATTCAGAATAGTACTAGACCGTGTAAGACAGGCTTGAGCTCATACCATCTCCGAGGTTCTTTTTTCACCCTAAACGCTGCGAAGGCTGCCGCAGGAGTGTCGTCCGGTCTAACGGTTACTATGTAACTTTTTCTTTTTTCACGTTGCATAGAGACCACTGCATTTTGAACGATCATCATGGATCAGAGGTGCTAAGTGTGCTGGCCCAGCTGCCTCGATATAGCCGCATGGTTTCCTGGTGACACGCCTTGCAAGTCGGCGGCCGATGTCAGCGATGAACATATACAGTGCAATCCTAGCGAGGACCGAGGATGATACCGAGCTGGCCAGCGAGAATCATCTGGGACACATAATGGGAATACAGACGGCGTTGACGGTTGCGGCTGTTGTGGTCGTTTGTCTGCGTCTGTATGTGCGGATGAGGCTGGTTCGAAGCCATGGCAGCGATGATTGGACTATGAGTCTTGCTGCGGTATGTACTGCACCCAAGCCTGTCTAGACATCCTGTCTCCTTACGAATCAAGAAGAACTCCAAGTTACTGAACTACCTGAATAGATCTGTTCCATCGTCGGCTGGGTCCTCTTTGTCTACAAAGCCTGCCACGGGCTGGGTCGCCACATCCAATTCATCGACCAAACCGACCGAATAAAAATGACCCAGGCAGCCTTTTGGCAAGTTATTATCTGCTCGGCGGCGGGAATTGCCTTTCTCAAAATATCTATTGCCTTGAATCTCCTGAGATTTAGTCCGACGCGATGGTACACAGGATGTTTATGGGCGGGAATTGGTAAGTTTCTCTCGCGCTATCTCGGTCCTGGTTGTCTTTATTGACGATAAACTGGTCACTAACGGAGAAGGTACCGATGGTTTCGTTAGGTCTTGTTTCCACATATAGCTTCATGGGCGCGATGACCTTCTTTCTCCATTGCAAGCCGATGCAAGCGCACTGGGATACCCGGATCAAGGATGCCCAGTGCTACTCGGTTCATCTTTTCGTAACCTTTGCGCTTGTGAACACATGTATACCATCAGAAACCAGTCTATATAGAGAAAGGAACTAACCAGTGCGCTGTTAGCATTCAATATATTCACGGATATCCTCTTCGCGACCCTTCCGATCCCGGTGATCTGGAACTTGCAGATGAAGCGTCGCGTACGCATGTATTTGATCGGTGTTCTCAGTCTGGGCTACATGTTAGTCTCAACCATCTCATCCTCTCTAGATATAAACTGACAAGAATAGAGCCGTCGGCCTCGGCATCGTCAAGACCGTCTACCAACTCGCATACGGCAAAAGCATTGACACCTTTTTGTACGCCGCAGTACCTCCCTATTAACATCAACATAGACACTAACATCCCCCCACAGCAACGACTCAATCATCTTCTGGGCTCTGTACGTATACCCCCCCCATCTGTATCCTCACTTCCAAACCAACAACTAACAGCCGAAACCAAAACAGAGCCCAATTCAACACCGGCATAATCGCCGCATGCGTCCCCTCCTTAAAACCCCTCGTCAGCCGCGTCCTCAAACTATCCGAATACACGAACTCACGATCACGCTCGCACGTCCTCTACGGTAGCAGCGCCGTGGGCCGCCACACGACTACGAGGAGCAGAAATAGTCGACGCATGTGGTCCATGCATCGGGGTGATCAGTACGCGCTGGAGGAGCTGCAGAGCAACGATACCTCGGCGCCGAGGCAGTCTGATGAAGTGCGGTTCAATGGGAAGAATAAAACTATCTCTAGTGGTAATCTTAATGGAAAGGAGGGTAGGGGGGCGGTGATGAAGACGGTTGAGGATCATGGTGCTGGAGTTGATGGCGAGGAAGGAATGGAGGCGGAACAAAGTCCCAAAGGGGGGATTTTGAAAACGACGCAGTTGATTATTAGTAGTAGGGTTGTTGATTGATGGGTGGGCTTTGTTTGGTGGAAATAGTAATAAAATGCAATATAATAATAAGGGTCGGTTTCATTGGTGTGATGGTAGTCCATGGGTTGCTGTTTGTAGATTGTTGTAGTCATCTTCTCCTTGCGTATTGTATCCTAGATATCACACCGGAAAGGATATCTCACAAACAGATTATGACCTGGCTATTCAGCAAATATGAAAGGAATTTATTGAATTCCTTGATTTCTTTCTTTGTACGTTTATTGTTCCTCTCTCAGAATGTGAGTCGCAAGGATATACCTCTGTTATCATGCCTCTGGCGAACAAAGGAAACCGAAGAAGCAAGAAAGAAAACAGAAAGGAAAAAGCAGAATAACAATTAACAAAAAGGAGACAGAGAACACAAGAAGACCAAAGCAGGACAATGTCAAAGCAAGTGAATAAGACAGCGCCTCACAAGCGAACCAGAAGAGGCTAGACTGCACCTATAGCCCCCGACAGATAAAGGATACAAAGAGAGTTGTCTCTCAAAGCAAACATGCATTCTGCACATAAAGGCCTAACGCAACAAGTGGCACAGATGACACAGATGGATCAGCTGGATCAGCTGGGCCAAATGGCAGACATGGCATGAGAGGTCCACCCATGACCATGTATTGTCAGGGAGCCTCATACCATAGCGCAAATCAACCTACGATTTCTCACGATTCATTTAACGCATCTAGTGTAGCCCGAGGAGATAAGGATCATGATTGGTCTACACAGAGATGATGCTATCCAGCAGTGCATTCAGTGACACTTTTCTGTCTATAGTTTGCACCCTTTGTATAACAAACAATTCCGTTCTCTTGGATGGTCTGGCTGGTAAACGATAAATTGCTTTGTACCAAACGTCCATGATAGAAACAAAGAAGGCGAAGCCTTATTAGAGGGACCTGCCGTCAATTTCAGTGGAAACAGATATCAAAATCTATCTTCAAAATAAGATCAATTCTCCATAGCCTAAGTCAACCTTTCTACGATGTACTTTCGAAACAAGCCCAAGGCTGCAAGAGAACGAGACCGCTCGTTCTGGAGCTGGACGAAGCTCGGATACTCAAGAGAGGAGAAGGATCACATTATTTTCGAAATAGTTGAGAGCCTGTACAGAGACAACTTGCTCGAAAGAGATCTCCGAACAATCGCTGCTCAGAACAGAGTACACCGTCATCTTATAAAAGTTATACAAGCAAGGGGCTTCTTACCGACCTCGTTCAAAGACCTACATGCCCGTCGACCGAAGGAGTTGCGAACCCGTCTTCTGCGCGTAGTAACCGCCTACAAATGGACGTATCTGCGCCAAAGAGCTCAACGCTTCAGTCGAATCGAGCTGCTTCCGACAGAAATGATCAGTGCGATTGGCAAATTCCTACAGTTCGGAGCCCTGTACCATTTCGGCGCAGCGTCGAAAAGACTGTGGGTGGCGCTAAAGTTTGACCGGAGAAAACGTCTAGGCGAGAATCCACTGGCCTCAAGAGCCGACTACGGTCGATATCTCTTCAGAAATGTACCTGGAGGTCCGCTTAATTACCTGAGAGAAGCAGAAAATGTTGACCAGCCCATGCTGTGGGCTGTTCAGAACGGATGGACCGGAGCGCTACGGGCCTTTCTGCAACGATCAACCAACCCGAACTGCATCTCGCTATTTGGCAATTGCATGCTATATGTTGCCCTTTCCTGCGGTCAACCGGAATGTGCGCAAATTTTGATACGAGCTGGGGCATTGCTGGATGTATCAGATCCAGGAGATGGGATGTCCCCACTTTTGGCGGCTATTTGCGGTCAGTCAGATGCAATATTCGATATATTAAGAGAGGAGCCTCCATTGCTGAGCAAAGGTGAATGGGATGCACTTTGGGAGCATATGCATGAGGTACCAAAGACCCAAGAGTGGCTGATTGAATCGGGAGTTTGCATAGATGACCTTGCGGACCTTGAAGCACAGTATGAATTCAATCCGCTCCCGATAATTTTTTGTTTTGACTAGCCAGAAATAGTGTTAATTGGAAAATATCTTATGCATGATGTTAATCTTATGATTGAGACCTTTGAGCGAAGACTGCGTCTTGCATGAGAGTGGGCATTCAACGGCAGTTTATTGATTGAGTCGGCATGTACATAGAATATTCCAGAAGAATGAAGACATCGAAACATGACTCCCATGGTAGTGTTCGCCTGCTAGGGCTGGCAGCTGAGGATATTTTCAGGGGCGAAAGATCCCGGATACGAGGATGCAAGGGGCGACAATCACTTGGCCAGTAGACTGCCTAGAAAGGCTCTATTAAGCACGCTAAAATATTAGCACGGTCGCCGCAGTCTAAAATACCCTAAACATTTCGAACTGGTTCTTGCGCGATCGTGCCTTTCTTCAGATTGTTGAGCTATTAAACAAGTACACTAGACGACTTTTTACTACTGCGCTGATACAATAGATACATGGAAACTAATTGATAGTGCTTCATTTACAGCAATATGATCCAAATATGAACGCAAGCCTTTGTAATGTGTGGAAGAAACAGTTCCAGTGCCAAGTTTGGCCCCCACTGACGCCGTCAAAGGGAGCTTCCACGAGCTTATGTGAATTGTCGCTCAACAGAGCAACCCCGTATTAGGCAGTCTTGACGCCGGTCGCATACATACCTTCAGATTGAATAAAAACCTTTCGAAAACTTAATATTAGGCCGTCGCAATCTTCTAGGATTGATCACTCCCAAAAAAACCAGTTCGTAACCTCATTGTGTATCGAGTCTGCGTATAGACAGGGATTAGACCGGTGGCCCAATGACAGGCTATTTGGGGGTGCGAGGCTATCAACTTGGAAGGCTGAGTGGTAAGCAGCCAGGTTTGGGATTCCATTGTCTCAATGCCCCTTTCCTCAAAGACATGACACAGAGCCCCATGATTAGCAGATCTGTCAATATGCGCTGCAGAACTTCTGCTTGTCTTGTATTCAAATGTCTTCGGGAACTTAGCGAATACCATGACGATGGCCGTTTATAACACTGTCCTCCGGCGCTGGCCGTCCCTTGTGATAGCACTGCTCATTCTAACATGTGTGCTCCTTTTCGATAAACATGGCGACAAGTTACTCAGGTACAGAGAAACTCAGATCTTCCTAGATCCACAGGAAGATAGCCCAGAAGAGCTCGCACCACTGGATCTACCATCCGAGTATTCAGAGACGCCAGACGAGACTACTTTCTGTGCGGAACGATTCAGTCCTAAATATCTCGAGGACCTTCGAGACTCCTCTACAGAGTATTGCACGACAAATTCAACGTCGCAGATGACCTGTTTCCACAGCACAACGACACCCGATCGCGTGGACACATTTTGCCTGGGCCGCGACGTACTATACGACGCCTCGTCAAAGAAATTCCATCTGGAGTGTGAATTAGAGCGACACCCACGAACATCCAACCCATCCTCTATTCAAATCCCAGCATACGGGGAATTCCACGACTACTGGTACAGAACCGGCCCCAGCACGGTGATATATAACTGGGTGGACGTACAAAACACAACCCTGAACAGCACGAAGCCCATCAATGAAACAGACTTCACAATCCTGGTCAAACGAGAAGGCTCGCATAATCTGTGGCATTCGATGATGGAGCTATTCTCCATGACTATGACCATGGATGTGCTCCAGATGAGCCGTGCGGAGAACGAAACTCAACCTTTTTGGACTCCTTCTGATGCGAAAAACACGCAGGTGGTCCTGCTCGACGACAACGATGATGGCCCGTACATCGATCTCTGGTCTCTTTTCGCTGAGAAACCCACGGTGCGCTTAACCGATCTTCCTGAGAGCTCGACACTGGAAAATATCATCGTGCCGCTCGCAGGGGGCAGTAATCCGCTCTGGCAAGGCGACTGGGAAATCCACCCGTGTGAAGACTCCAGACTCCTGCGGACGTTCTCGCGCCGAGTCCTGGATAGCTATGGAATCGGGGATAGTGCACCGCGCCAGGGGCCAGAGATCACGCTCACCTTCATCAATCGCACCGATACGCGACAACTCGTCCACGACACCAGCTATCTCGAGGAGGTAGAAGCCAAATACCCGCACGTCAAGGTCCAATCTATAGACTTCGCCGCGATCCCGTTCAAAGACCAGCTGCGGATTATCCAGGAAACCGATATTCTGGTAGGAGTGCATGGGGCCGGATTGACGCATGGGATGTTTCTACCGGTGCGCTCGACCATGGTCGAGATTCTTCCGTCGGCGTTGAATCACAAGGGGTTTCGCAATGTAGCGGGTCTTCTGGATCATTCTTACTTTAGTATTCATGCGTCGACGAAGCAGTCAGCGAGGAAGCGGAATGACTGGCATGGGGATGACGTCTTTCTGGAAAAGGATAGGTTCATGAAGATTATAGACGTTGCGATCAAGGGGATGTATAATCGGGGAGAGAGGAATTATGATGTTAAATGAGTTTATCAGGTCTGGATTTTCTTCATCTTCTGAATATGGTCTTTGTCAGGGCAATTGATTTGCCTTTTTCTTTTGTTCTCACGATGTCAGCATAGTGTGGCGTTAGGAACTATTCACTTCCTGGTTTCTGTTCTGTTTTCACTTTCTCTCCCTCCTTTTTAATTTATCGCCTCTTATTTTCTTCATTGTTTTTTTCGATGCGTCCATGGTCAAGACGGCTGTGTACCCTATCTCACCTAACTCAGAATCCATCAAGGAGAACTTTCTTTAGCATCTCCAATCGTGTCCACGAGGAAGAATACTGGATATACACATGCAGACAGACAGGACACAGGTAACAGGACAGACCGCAAACCTAGCCCCTTCCCACAGCCATCGCGCAAACAAAGAGCTCAACAAAGCATGTACTAAACCCCCATATTACCCAGCATGCACTCCGTCCTCAACACCAGGAGGACTCTGTACTATCAAGACCTCCTATAAACCACAATACACAACCACCTACCACCGGACATCCTACAAACATAAAAAAATCTAAATCCAAACAACAGCATGATGTATATTAACTCAACAACACCAAAAATTACATACTCTTACTTCCCCAAAACCACCGCAAAGAAACCCACCCCAATCCACCCTCCGCCCACGCACTCAATAACTAATCTACTCACCATCCGACCCGATCTTCCTCCTCCTCAATCCCACCAACCTCACCATCTCAGTCCAGAACCCGACCGGCGGCGTGGTGATCGAGTTCTCATACGCATCGATGGCCGGTCTCTCCCAGACGAGATCGACCTCGTGAGGACGGACATACTTCGTGCGCTTGACGACCTTCCAGAAAATAAACAGGACAGGCGCAACGATCTGCATGGTGTAGTTGGAGAAGAAGTTAGACACGCTCCACGGGGTGAAGGAGGTGTAGCCGTAGAAGATGAGGAAGATGCAGTGGGTGAAGATGCCGATGTAGGCGCCGTAGGGCTGGAAGTAGCCGTAGTAGGGCATCTGCTTGCGGTCGACGCCCTGGACCTGGCAGGCCTTGTAGTAGTTCAGGAAGGTGATGGACATGACGAGGAAGTTGATCAGGCCGCCACCGGTGATCAGGCTGACGAACCAGGTGATGGCGGTGGCGGAGCCCGAGCCGACCTGCAGGAAGGAGAGGAAGGGGAAGATCATGACGACGCAGAAGCAGTAGATGGGGACGCCGGACTTGTTGCAGTAGCGGAGGAAGTGGGGGGCTCGGCCTTCGAGGGCGAGCGAGTATAGGGAGCGCGTGGCGCAGTAGGTGTAGGTGTTGCCGGCGGAGAAGATGGAGGTGAAGATGAGGGCGTTGACGATGTGCGGCAGGACGCCGATGCCGAGGTTCTCCATAGCCATGACATAGGGGGAGCCGGCGGCGCTGCTGGAGTCGCCGCCGGAGCCGAAGTAGATCTCGACGAGGGCAGGATCGTTGTAGGGTACGACGATGCTGACGGCGAGGGCGCCGATGATGAAGAAGATGCAGAAGCGGTAGTACACGGTCTGGAAGGCGGACTTGATGTACACGCTGGGGCGCTTGGCTTCGGCGGCGACCATGGAGATGTACTCGGGGCCGACGACGGTGAAACCGGCGCTCCAGAGGGCGGCCAGGAAGCCTTCAAAGCGACCCAGACTGCCTTTCGTTTGGAACTCGGCGAATGCGCCAGGGCTCTTCCAATGGCGGAACCCGTAGGTGTCGTGCTGCGGATTGCCTCCGACCATGGTTATGAAGGTGAATGCAAAGAGGATAAAGATCAGAATCAGTTTGCCTCCGGACAGCCAGAATTCAGCCTCTCCGTAGAAACGGACGGCAACGATGTTCAGTGCGCTAGACATGCGAGGTCAGTTTATCATTCTCAGAAAACTTCCCGCTCGTTCCCATGCGGTAGATGCAAAGGGGGAGAAGGAAGAGGAGGAGAGTGAGAGTAAATCTCGGAAAGGCCAGCGCCATGACAGCAAGCTGAAGCCACGAGAGCCAAAGCCCCCAGGAAGTCGTTCTTACGCATAACAAACAATCACCGCTGCACAGACGCCAGCCGTCGGACCAGGGTTCGCAACGTCGCTGTTCCAGAAGGACATGACCAGACTGAGCGCGGTGATTTCGAATGGAATGAGCAAGGCCTCGTAGAAGAAGAAGTTCCAACCGGCCATAAAACCCAGGGCGTCGTCCACCCAGTTCCCGGCGAGGCGGATAAAACCGCCCGACACGGGCATGTACGTATTCATCTCGGCGATGGAGTTATTCACGAGTGCGAGGACACCGGAGTAGAGCGTATAGGCAATGAACAGACTGGCGGGGCCTCCCTTGGCGAGACCACCGCCGATACTGATGAACAGGGCGGTTCCGATGGAGCCACCGGCGGCGATGAGCTGAATCTGACGGTTGTTGAGTCGGCGCTGTAGGCCGCCCATACTCTCGCCCACCTCGACGCTGACGCCGTCGGTAGAGGTGGACGGATGGGTTTTGGCGCTGATCTCCTCTTTGGGCGCCATCTTGGCTAGAGGGAACGGGGGGTCGAAGCGAACAGACCGGGCGCGAATGGACGATTAGGAGCTATGGGGGTGGAATCGCATTGGATTAGTTGTAGTTGATAGAGCGACGCGTGGGGAATTATGGCGCAAAGGACAGAACTCGCATGGGGGAATCCGACTGCGTATGGGGAAAGAAAAAAGGGGAGGCTGTCAAGAGAATAAAGAAGTAAGAAGAAAGAAATAGGAAGAAATACGCGTGGACGTGAGGCCTCTATTTTTCTTATCTCTGAAGGGCAGAGGGAGTGTTTATCCCGAGTTGGCGATAAAAAAAAAAAAAAAAAAAAAGGGCGAGGCGCCACGATATTTAAGCAAGGATGCCGGCCTCATGGCAAGGATAGAAATTTCGCAGCTGCAGCTAAAAGATGATTGCAGATTCACGGCGTCGCATTCTGAGGTAGGACCAGCGCTGTTGGCCAAGCCCTAAAGCCATCCGACCAGTCAATCGACGCCGCGGAAGGCGCTAACGTCCATGTGGCGGTTTGGACCCGGGGTTTTGGCCTCCCCTGTCACTGGCATTTCCTAGTCTCCTACCGAATAGTCTCAGATGATTCTGGTGCCAGCATCCGTATTCGAGAGTCGGCGTCGACAGTGGTCCAAGTCGTGGTCCAACCCGTGTGCCCGTCGACCCTGGTCCGCGGTGGCGAGATGAGTGGCACGGGCAACGTACCCCGGCCAAGACGCTTATCTTGGAAGCAGTAAGCCCAGCAATGGCAGTGATCGGACTGCAGGCTGCCGTTGGCTATTCCAGAAAAGCCCAAGACCCCGGTCGATATTATAACTTCCGCTAAGTCTGTGCCGTCCCTCGAGGCTGCTCTCGCTAGCCCCGTTTGAGGTAGGACGCGACACTCCGGCTGGTGCGTCCTGAGTGGCTATCCCAAGATCAAAGAACAGGAAAACCCTGCTGAACCCGAGCCACTGGGGCCATGAAAATGTCGCATCGTGTGAGTCGGTCGGAGAAGGCCGCCAGAGGATCAGGGGCGTCGGGCCACAGACGCTAGCGAGAGGATTACGGGATGCGGGGGCAAACCAGATAAGAGGAAAATAAACAGAATGGAAGAAAAATTAATTAAAAGATGACAGTCTCTGGCAGAAATCCCAGCGATCGGGATTCGCTGCATCCCCTTGAGTTTCTTGAGACGCTCTAAAATACTTCCACGGTACCTTTTCGCATTCGATTTCCGAACAAACCAGATCGGTCAGTTAAGCTATCCAAGCCATGTTTATTAGCCGTTCGAATGTTCGAGCCAGCGCCATTCCGAGGGAGTTCCGGCACCCCGGATTCGCTCGTGTTTGGACTCCAGGCTGGTGGAGAGCTCCGGTAGGCTACTTTTGCCTGTTGGATCTGCAATGATTTCAGGAACGGAGAATGTAGGCATGATTCACAGGATGGTCATGTCCTAACAGTCATAGAAAAACGCGTCTAGAACAATCTTTTTAGCCCTTTGCGAGTTCTGGAAAATTCCGATTCATGTAGGAGGCAAGGAGGGTCAAGACGTGCAGAGGGCTCTTCGCCTGCATGCATGTGGAATGAATGCTTCAAGCAAACCACATATCAACATTCCTTCAAAACATGTCTATCTTTGAACATCTAAAAGCTTTCTTATCCACGCTAAAAGCAACCATCTAAAATCTATACGCAAACAAAAAGAAAAAACACCTACCCAATCCGCTGCTTCCTCCTCACCCAAACCTCCTTCTCCCCCTCCCCCTCCCCCTCTCCCTCACCCTCACCCTCACTCACCTCCCTCAACTGCACCTCCCAGACCTTCAGCTTATAATTCCCCCGATCGCCCTGCCCCGAGAACAGATCAAACGACCAATCATGCTGCGGACACGTGATCCCCGCACTCAGGGTGATCCCAAAGTCCTCAATATCAAACAGGCTGCCACGCGAAAGCGGAAACGCCGAGTGGGGGCATTGCTGAGCCAGCCAAGACCAGTCAGTCAGCGACCGGCAGCGACCACAGGGAGGGGGGGGGGGCACTCACATGGTCAATAGCGTGGAACTTCCCCTTATACCGAAAGACGAGGACCTGATCCTTCAGTTCCCGTCCGGGGCGGTCGAGGTTTGCCGGGATGGGGGCCTTGTCGTCGGTGCTGGGCGCGTTGGTCCGCGGGATGCTGAACGCCTTGCAGCTGGGTTTGATCGCCGAGGAGCCATCTTCGGATTGGAGGTCTGGGAAGGTCGAGGCGAGGCCGGCCAGGTGCCAGCCGCCTCCTTTGGACTGGTGGATGAATGGGTTCATCAATCTGGGGTATCAACTATCTGGAGTATTGGGGATGCAAAGATGAGAATCGACAAAGTTTGGTTGGTTTGCACTCGCCGGTGCATGACTCAGCAGATTGACCCACATGCTGGATGTGGCCAATGGGGATACTTCTTGCTTATGCGTACATGAGATGGTTTTTCTTTTTTTTTCTTCTAAATGGTTTACAGTAGGTTTTTATATTGTTATGGCTCGTTGATTATGTGCTTCTACTTCATGGTCGATACTCGATTGACTTCGGCCGAGACCAGGCTGGGCCTTGCACTATATATCTTGTGATCTTCATGTCTAAATTTTGCACGAGAGGTAGCAGGAGACAATATCTCAGGACACTCAAGATGAAGGTAAAATTAGGTCAAACAATTAGTTTCTCTAACATACACGAAAGATCTAGTCGATTGTTCTCACGGGTTACTCCTGGGGTCACCAAGCTTGAAGTATCACAAGTCAACCGGTTCAGCCCACCAACACATGCAAAAGAGGGGAATTGCCCCAAGAAACAGCTCTAGCTTCTGACAAGAAACTGGGCTAAAGCCCCTCCTCTGATAGCCTCTACTTCTTCCTCGCTATACAGAGTAATCACCGAAGTCTCCAAAACGGTACGCCGTAGTTCCGCCCCAACAAGAGAACATTCCATCAACACCGAACGATCCACTAGTCGAGCTAATGTGGGTACCTCTGCGCGATGATAAGATATCCCCTGAAAGGACTGAGGCGTTGAGTTAAAATATTATCTGCGTTAGTCAAACTCGACGACTATCTTATCTCCACGGGACTGTTTTGCCCTTTTAGGTATGGGAATACGCACGAATAATTGCAACCCGGCTGGTATTTCTACAGCGCAATGAGCAGATGGAGGCTCGTGCTCGGGATATTTCTTGAAGTGGGTAGCTCCGTCTTCTCTCGGGGTAGAACAGAGTGTAGAAAAACTGTTCCTTGTCTAAGCAAAAGAGGCTCTACTCAATCTGGCAACGTCTTTTTCCTATGTAATAACCATATCTACACTGAAACACCCCAACAAAAACACCCAATGCGTATATAACATCACTCACAATAATCTAAATCTTAACTTTTCATCTAAATCTTAACCTTAATCTAAATCCAATCGTATATATATACAACCAACCCTAGCACCTCCATGCAAATTGCAAACCAAACGAACGGCTCTCGCCGAAACGCCCCACACCATCAAGGTAGGCGACAACGAATTCTGGGTACTGAAAAAAACAGCAAAATCAAGCATCCAGCCGGTAGATGCAACCTTCATCTATCTCATCGCACATCATATCCACTAGGTGAAGAGGCAAAAGGCCAAGTCCTCATCACCCGGGCTAGGCGGAATTGGCGCATGACCAGCTGCTGGAGCTCGAGTCGTCGTGGATGGCGGCGCCGGAGACGTAGAGGCCGAGACCGCACTGTTTGTGTGGTTAGCGTTGGAGGGGAACGAGACGATAGGTGCGGAAAGAGGTCGTGGGTATAGGGGGTGGGGGTTGGGGACTTACAATAGCAGTGGCGATGGCCAGGATGGCGACGTTCAAGGCCGTCAGGAAGATCTTCCGAGCGTTCCGGAAGTATTGGCCTTTGTTCATGTGCAGCCAGAAAATGGCGGGGAATCCGACTATTGGTTGAGGTTAGTATGGATCGGTGGGTCGAGGGAAAGGGTATCATACAGCTGAACCAACTTCCGAAAAGCGCACTCTGTACGTAATATAGGTTAGTAAGAGATCTTGAATTCACGGAGCGAGTGAAAGACGGCTTACAATCAAACTGAGAAGGTCGTTGAACACAGGAATCGACTCGGCCACAACCCAGGACACCATCCAGACAAAGAGGCAAATGGCCACCCAGGATCCAATAGACATCAGGTCGCGGCGGTGCATCTTGTCCGAACCACGGAAGAGACGCACGTAGATGTACTTGCAGGCAACGTGTCCGAGGACGACACCAGACAAGATGACCTATGAACGGTCAGTATGTGTCGAAGGTACGACGCAACTAGAATTGGAGGGAGAATGACTGACAGTAGGAATGGCAAGACCCCAGGCGATCTTGCTCATGATTGGACTCAAGGACGAGATGGCCGGGGACTTGACGTCGGGTCCGACGTAGCGGTAGATGATCATCGCACTGATGAGATACAGAACCGTGTCGACAATTTGCAACATGGCCAGGGATTTGTTGAAGGTGCGAGGGTCCTCGGTTTCGGACATGAAACCAAAGTAGGCAACGTGAGCGACTGCAGAGTAGATATTAGCATGGTCTTTTGGTAGATGGTAAAACTATCGGTATTTGATGCCAAGGGTCCGGTCATCAATCTTAGTCAACGTACGGTAGGCAAAGATGATGTTGGTCACCGCAAGGAAGCCTTCGCGGAAGCTAACATCTGTAGTGGCATGGATCGGGATATGGCCTTTGCTCTCCACTCCAGCAGCGATCATAGTCACCACTGTAGCAACGAAGACACTCAGGAACGCTAAAAGAAATGAGTCAGAGGTTCTCAAATGACAATACTGGATGCAGGGTACTCACAAACAACAGACATCCAATACACTTTATCCATGGTACGCGGCAAAGCACCCAAGAAACAGATAACCAGACCGACAACACCAAAGACCAAAGTGCAAGTACCGTGGTCCGTCAGAACGTTCATCAGAATGTTGAACGTCAGGATGTTACTGGCCATCAGGAAAATGAGCAGCAACAGCTGGCCGAGACCCAGGACCTCGCGACCCAGACGACCCATTAAAAGCTCGCCAGCGTCTCCCATGCTATGGATAGCAGGATGGCGGAGTTTGAATTGCCCAATGGCATAGCCCGTGTACCATGAAAGGGCGGATATGAACAAGATCATGATAGCAGCGCTGAACAACCATATTAGCAAGAACGCGTCTCGGGAAGCCTAGAAGTACGAAATACATACGGAGCCATTCCAAGCGTAGCCACAGCAGACGGCAGGGACAGAATTCCCACCGAGACATTCTCAGCAATCATGACTGCAGCAGGTTAGCAAGCGAAGCTTCAACATCGTCATCCCGACAGCGAGCCAAACCTACGCATGCCACAGTGCCTAGTATCACAATTAGCCAAACCGAACATCCAATCCCTAACAGGAAAGTAGACACTCACCACCACTTCATGGTCCGGTACTTGACCTCCGCCGACTCCTCATTGCCAAACGGCTCGAGGTCCTTCGCCGGCAATGGCTTCTCCGCATCCTTCCTGTCCCCCGCATAAGATTCCACATCACTCATGGTGGGTATTGAATGCTTGATGACGGCCCGACTGCAGAGCAAAGATTTCGGGAGAGTGACAAGCCAATTGAATAAAATTTACGCAGATATGCCAAGCCCACCCATCTTGAAGATTATGCGATGAGCCATCGGCCGTTTGCAAAAATTCTGACTGCGCATTGGGTGGAGCCCCGCGGTAAACTCTGACCGCCTGCCCGTTCCTGGTATTTCATCGGCGGTTCCTGCCGTTTCCCGCGGGGAAGCAAGGAGTGGGCGGATGCCCTGCAAAGGACAAGTCCACAATGTGCTGGAAATGCTGTCTGGATATATAGATCTGGGGAAAGAAAAAAGATTAACTTCTGTCAAGGGGTTCCGATCTATATAACGGCCATCCTATCAATCCTGGTGAGATTTTAGCTGATCGGGAAACCCTGTCTGCCAATAGAAAAGCCGCGAACTATCTTATCTTATCATGACGTCATGACATAAACGGTGAATCTTTGATCTTTTTTTTTCTCTTTTCAGAGGCCAATATTGTGTCCAAACTAGACCCTCTACTAAGCTTCCTACATTTGGCATTTCGTGCAGCAAACAGGAAAGTGTATCCAATCGTCCAAATATCATGTGGAGGTTTTTGATATGGACAGGAGCAGGTTAGGGAAATTAATGACAGACTACTCGGATGATATGAAATCCAAGCGGCGATTAGATATGTGTGCATCTAAAAGCATATGCTTCTGGTGCATGGCTGACCCCAGTGTGGCTCATGCTTGATTTGGCACATTGTACCCACATGAACCGAAGTAAAAGGCTAAGTCAATACAGCTACAGGACACCGATGGCAATAAATCGAATAATACCAGCATTCTATGAAATCTTCCCGTGTCAGCCACATAAATTGGACTATTGTCCTGGGCGCTTTTGTCGGACTCCTTTCTATCTTAGCTTGCAACTCTTTGCGTACTACGGAGAAACCGCAAGCCTTGAAATAAATAATATACTTTCAGACCACCAAACACGATGAAACTTCAACACATTATGCTGCATACGCAAATGCAAAAAGTCATTTGCGTAAGTCAAAGATTAAATCAAACTACTTTTTTTGTTATTATCGTTTTCAAAAAGCAAGAAAGAAAGCAGCAAGACAACAAACCTCTCTACAGCAGTCCTAACATCTAACAAGCCCATAAGAAAGGTAAATGCGAGTGGCCAACTAGAAGAGGCAAGTATGAATGAGTTTAGGATGCAATGTGCTCGAAACAGAACTCAATCACAGCAACAAGTGTACTTACTGTTGACGACTGATGTCACACAAGAAGTGACCACAAAACCTTTCGGGTAACATCTATCTTGATTTCTACCCCCACGGGATTGCATCAACGGCACATGAATGAGAAACAAGGAACTAGAAGATGATGATGTTGAATTGCATATTTAAGACCCTAGAAGCCCAATAGATCTTGACAGTTAGGGGAATCAAACAACCTAACACAACTCCCTCTATACTCGAACGAAGCGCATTTCCCGTCTTAAAACCAAGATATATTATATTTTCCTATCAATATGGTATCCAAGTCACAGTATCATTCCATGGTGCGAGAATTACTCTCGGATATCGCGTTAAAACAACGCAGTGATTTTGCAGTTGATACGGATATCGAAAAAGGCATCATTGAACGTTTTGCGGCATATGGTCTCACGCCCAATCGCATGGTCGCGATCGCCCGACGAGGTGTCGAATGCGGAGAATGGTTCTTTCCCTTCCTGGAAGGCGAGAATAAGTTCGCTGCGACTCTATACACATCGATGTTCTTCGCCATCGACGACCTCAGCCCGGAAATCACCGAGCCTCTTGGCAGTTTCTGCCAGAACCTACTGGTCGGCCGACCGCAAAAACATCCACTTCTGCGATTATGCTTCGACGTTACCTTGGAAATGAACCGATTCTACGGCCGATTCGCCTCAGATATGATACTCAAGTCGATGATTGAGTTTCTGAGCGCCAATCTGGTGGAGGTTAAGCTTCCTGGAAAGATCACGCCACTTCCAAGCACGCCCAGCTTTCCCAGGTACTTCCGCCTCAAATCCGGAATGCCCGAGGCTTTCGCCTTCTTCCCTTTCCCAACGCTAGATGATGGCGAGGATAACCTGGATGAGTTCATTCTTCTCCTCCCGGATTTGATCGATTTCATCGACGCCGGTAACGACATACTGTCGTTCTACAAAGAGTCGATCCTATCGGACGACAGGGAGAATTGCATCCATCAATATGCCGATGCACATTGTATTTCTCCAGCGGAATCGCTTATCCACCACTGCGACTTGCTGAAGAAGTGTGTGAGCAACCTTCGTGCGTCGCTGTTGAAATATCCCCGTTGGGAAGACAATCTGGAGCAGTTCATCCAAGGATATCTAGGGTTCCATATTGCATGTGACCGCTACCATCTTGCTGATTTTGCAATTTTTGACACTTGAATGCGCCCTCGCTGTGGGGTTACGGTCGGCTTTATGAGAATGATACTCGATTAGTATCTTTAAAATCCTATTTCTTCAATATCTACCATCTTGTCACAGGGAGGGGTTTTTGCATGCCGCGAACGTTACCAATTGTGATATCTTGACCTATGTGAACCGTGTTACGTGTATAGCTAGACTCGAAAATAGCACACCTTATTTCAACTTGTATTGCAAGCCATCTGGACAATGGCATATCGAACACCAAAAATTCACTTGCTTTGTTCATATTATATCTCCTTTTTAGCAGCCTTCAATGCCAGTCATATTGTACAAAAAAGAAAAGAGACAATAGAAAACTGTAAAAGAATCTGTTTGGTTTATTTTACGATAGCATAGAAAGAGGATTCTAGGGAAATCCTCACCCAATCTTATTTAGACTGCTGTCCCTAGAGTACACTCGTGATATTAAGGCCTCTATGCACGTCGTAAAGAAATGAAAGAAAAAAGAAATGAAAAGAAAAGAAACATTTAAATCCACATAGCAGCATTCTATCCCTCGTTAAGATGTAAGTTTAATCAGACCACAAATCTAACACTGCCGACGTGACCGGGGTCAAAAGCTATGACAGGATATAAAGTCGGGAAAATACTATGCAGATCTCGTGTATTTCAAAGGAAGCTACAAGCGAATATCTTACTGCATTTTCATGCACGGGGCCCCTTAGGCACGAATGCATATTTGTCCTTGCTGGAATTTCGACTGGTCCTATCATGGCTTGACCGACTATTAAAAAGCGCCCGTGGTGCATATTTCCCGACAAGTGGTCATTTATGGGGGATCGATAGGATTCTTTTGCTCAAAAATAGGGCACTGGGTCTTATTGAACAGAAAATATATCGTTATATAACATCTGGTATTTGGGAATGGCACTAGGATGGAATTGGGGTTTTATCTGAGGTTGGCCGAGGAAACGCTCTTCCGAAGGGAGGATATGCAAGGGCTGTCATCATGCAGGGATGCTATTCATTTCCCCCCCTTGACATGACAGTCTACCATAATTTGAAAACAGTATGTCCTGCACTTTGGGCTAAGTTGGTCGAATCGGAGCTGTCATCATCTTCATGTCATTAAAAAAAAACATTGGCAGCATATTTACCACCAATTATCGACCAAACTGAGCTTTCAGGGATCGCGAGTTGGCAGGGCAAATGAGCAGCGTCACTTGAGCTATCCGAAGCAAGGGCCGGCCTACAGGGTTGCGGTTACCTGATGTGACGTGTCGGTGCAGTGGGAGCTGCATCCGATGATCTCAGAACGCCATTAGCAATAATAACATCCTGGTATCCCTATTCAAGTGGGAAAATATTTCTTCACGTCCGCCGAGTGGTTTTGCCGAGTGGCTCTATACAAAATGGGCTCTCTCACAGAATCTTACCCGCTTCCGTTGGTCAGCTACGCCGATCTTCTACACGATGACAAGAACACGAGGGATCTGGCAGCTTCAGACCTCATCAAATCCTTGAACGCTTATGGAGCTTGTCGGATCAGCAACCATGGTGTTCCGCAGGATATCATAGATAAATGCTTTCAGAAGGTAAGTACGCGAATAAATCATGGTTGTATACGAGTGTTGCTCTTTCTCAACAAGTTATATTTTGATTAGAGTGGAGGTTTCTTCGAAAGACCACTTCAGGATAAAATGGCAGAATACTCGAACTCCAACGCAACCTCCAAGTCTCGATTTGTGCCATACGCGAGCGAAAAGATCCGCGGGATGACACACCTGGATGAGACTTTGGAATTTCAACACGGTGTTTACGATCTGCCTGGAACCTGGGATGTCCCGGGCAGCGAGCTGGTGAATGCATCAAAGGACATGCACGAGGTATAAATTCAACTTTCTCTGCTCATCGCATGACACAAGACAAAAAGCTCACCAGCGACCGAGCAATAGGAATGCAATCGCATCCACATCAACCTCCTAGACTGTTTGTCGTCGCACCTCAACCTCCCCCAGTCTCTGAACACCATCCACAGCAAGCGAAACTCCTTCTTCGCCCCGTATTACTACTACTTCGACGATCCCAACGACACGTCGACCCTCCGTGTGCCTCCCCACATCGATCCCACGACCATGCTGTTCTGCTTCCAGGACTCGCACGCAGGCCTCAACGTCGCGGACATGAGTGACTTTGACGGAAACATCTCCACTGGAGCCGTGCAGGACACCGCGCGCTTCGTCCCGGCAAACTGCAAGCCCGGGGAATTTCTGCTGTTGGCTGGTCATATTCTCCGGAGACTGGTGGATGAGGTTAAACACTCGGTGCATTTTGTCGAGCGCCCGTTGGGTAGCTCCGGGTATCATCTGAATTATTGGATTATTCCGGATTTCGATACTGCGTGTGACTTCGGCGGGAGGCAGGAAGATGTGGCGGAGTATCTGGCGAGGGTGTTTCCGGCGCCTTTGCGGGATAGCTAGGTGTGGAGTACTGAGGTCTTTACTGGGTTTTATTTCGGGCGCTGAACTTTGCATATCTTTCTTACGGTTTGGGAGTGTAGCCAAGTTGCCAGATGAAGGTTATGCAGCTTTGAAAACTAAAATCAGACCAACCGGATGTAAGTGATCATAGCACCGACTTGGTTCAATTAGTTACTAGCATGTTTCAAATACGCAACATGGCACGAGCCACCGTGAGCGTGAATCGCCTCCTTGACAGGCTAAGACAATTGTTCCGTCAAAGAAGTCCCAGTGCCTCTCGTCGACTAGTACTCCCCGGGTCCAAGTACGGACGCTCACCAATTCCCGAAGCCCTATGGCCAATTCGCTCGTCATCGACATGAACGTCCTTAGTCGCAGCATGAAAAACACATCGATTGTCCCAAATAGCTTGCCATTTTGCTTAGCCAAAAGATCTAACCGGATGGTAAAGGAATACCTACCAACATCATTCGGGCTCTGCCACCGATGCCGCACCTGCAGGTCATGGTTCTCCGTAATCAACTGCAGAAACCACCGCAGCAGATTCTCGCTCTCAGTCGGCTCCAACCCATCGATCTGCTTCACGTGGCGACCAGCCGTAAACAAGCTCTTCCAACCGGTCACGGGATTCGTGCGAATTACGGGATGAACGGCCGTGAACACGGTGTTCTGCGGAGACCCGCGCGGCTCGGTATATAGCTGGTGATTAAGTCTTTTTGCGAGATTCTCGTACCGCGGCTGGGTGCAGGTCGCAGTCAAGCTCTCGAGAAATGTCTGATAGGGCTTGGAAATGCGATCGTATATTTCGTAGCCTGAGGCCCAGAGCGTGTCTACATCCACAACCCTCAGCCATCCCCATCCCCTCGGTACATGACCTGGGATCAATAATGAATGCACTTACCCCCGCCCCCGCCTTTCGGTAACTCCGTGATTCGCAAACACGAATAATCACTAGGGGCAGCTTCATGCAGAATATCCGTGTGCCATTCTTGTCGCGCACTCTGGCTCTTCGTAAACAGCGGCGGCTTCCCGAAAATCATCGCGTCCTGTTCAAAGCTGATGATGTTGATTTCGTCATCGCTGCTGCTTAAAGGCAGTTTGGAGTAGAATATCGGGTGGACGTGCAGTTTGGATGATTTCGGCTTCCCGGAGAGCTCGCCCAGGCGCTGGACTAGCTGCTTTTGCAGCTCGTCGGTGAGATCGTCTTGTTTGCGGAAGAAGACTACACCGCGCTGCGATACTGGGGTTTGGGTGAGTACATACATGGCAAGGGGGGAGGTGTAGGGAGTGAACGTACTTGTGATGGCGAGGTCTCTGAGCAGTGCGTCTGAGTTCGGGGACTCGATCCATGTTCGCAGGCTGGCGGTGGGAAACTCCCTGCCGATGACGGGGGTCACGTCGAATGATTGAGATTGATCTAGCGCTCCGGAGAGCTGGAGAGGTCCGTTGAATGTTCTTTCATTGTGGGGATCGCTTTGGATCTGCTCTGGGTTCGTTGCTGCTCCCATGTTGTATTTGAACTGGCCGATTTGGTATTTCGAGGTACACTATTTCAAGCCTGTTCTTGACCAAGGCACTCTTTAGCCTGTTAATGTCTTCCTGAAAACTGGGCCACACCTAAATCATAGTTGGTGTTACGTAGCGGTGTGCGTTCCTTTGCATTGGTTTGAACAAATAAGGCAGCTATACGTGGTCATGGTCAGGTGACTGAGGAGGGGTACTTGCAGATTTAATCGTGACGAATCTAGGGGCATCATGGGATCAATGAAGTTGTCAGTGATATTGAAGCTTTACAATCGTGGTTTTAAACGTATTAGTTTCGTTGAAGAATTGAACATAGGCACTTGAGACGCACTAAAATATATATAGCCAGTTTGAAACGGCACTACAAGGGTTCCGGCGAGCGTAGTTCGCGTAAAAACAAATATATACCTCTGCACCGAAGCAAAAAGCTAGACCAAAAGGATTGAATATACTTATTTCCTAGATGTCATAAGATAACTCCGTAACCTGGACCGGAAGTCTCGGATGGATCAAATGCTGCCCAGGATTCCACGAAGTGGCCCCGGGATGCCACTCGGATCGGGCTCCGAGATAACAATGCGCTTTCAGCCAATAAAGGCACGGGTGTGGCGCGTGGGGCCGTCCAGGATTTTAGACGGTGGGTCATTCTCCAGTGGACACGAACAATGCACTTTGACGGGGTGGATTTACTCGGAGTATTGCCTCGTCCTGCTGAATACTGGCATGGTCAGGATCCTCTAAGACACCACGTGCTGGGACAGAAGGCAGCAGTTGACTTCGAAGGAGTAAATTAAGAAGATCGGAAAGATACCGGATTATCATATTCTATGTCATTAACCGCTGAAAAGATCATAGTACAGTTAATATACAGCAGTCACCCTAACAACTACCTAGCAAGTGGACTACTCCAGCTAGTCGAACGCCGCGAAGCAGGAGCTCTTCGCGTCGGCCTCCTCCCACCCAACACACTTCCAGCAGTGCAGCAATCCCTCGGGGTCAAACTTCTGCTTCAGCGCCAGCAACTTGCCGTAGTTCTCCGCGCCCCACCACGCTTCCTGCCAATCTTCGGTGAAGGGGTTAGCCTCGGGGCTGTAGGCCCCGCTGCCGGGACTAAGATCCTCAAGGAGCCCCGTCATGTACTTGAGCTCGTCCACCTTCTGCTCCCGCGTGTGCAGCGTGCTGTTCCAGTCCCAGAACCCGTCCGCCCCGAGAGACCAGATCGCCTCGCGCCAGGCTGGCGTTGCGGACGTCGACTGGGCGTCTTTGTAGAGGAGGGGGCCCACGACGGGGATGTATACGCTTCCGCCTTTGGATAGTAGCACGGAGAAGAAGTTCATGAGGTCTGCGCGGCCGCGGGCCGTCTCGAAGACCGATTGTGGGATCAGTCGCGTCGCGGCGAAGTGCGTGTTGCCTACCGTCACGGCGTTCGGGACCACGTATTTCGAGTAGAAGCCGTACCAGGAAGAAAATTCCTCGATCACGGCGGTTCCGCCTTGGGATTTGGCGTATGCGACTACGTCCGCGAGGGACTCCTTTGCCTCGGAGAGCGAGAGCAATGGGGTCACGTTGATCAGGGAGTTGCCGTTAATGTGGCCGCCCCAGCCCTCGTGCGCCCATTTGACGGTGTTGTTGACCAGGATATCGAGGAACGGGAGCACATTGCTAGAGTTCGACTTGAGAGGGAATTTGATGTAGGCAGAGATTAGACTCACGCGCGGTTCGACGCGATGGGTACTTTCGAGGACCACGCCGAATGTGCCGCCGCCGCCACCGCGCAGGGCCCAGAAAAGGTCCTGGTTTTGGCACTCGTTGGCAATCCGGTAGCGACCGTCAGGCGTGATGATCTTGTACTCGACGACATGGTCGATTCCCAGCCCATAAACGGGGGAGAGGATCGAATGGCCGCCGGTCTGCACCCATCCGCCCGAGACACCCACGGTGGGCGAGTAACCGCCGATGAAGGTGACGTTATGAGCGTGAGCGAAGTTGTAGACTTCGTCGAAGTTCACACCCGCTTCGACCGTAATGGTATTATAAGTCGAAGCGTTCCGGGCGCTGCAGCCGGTCGGGGTAAACGAGGAGTTGTACTGCATGGACTGAAGGTGTCGAGTCCAGAGAGAAAGAGTGCCTTCGCCACTGCTGCGGCCGAGGAAGTCATGGCCGCTGTTCTTGATGGACAGACGAGTCCCCGAACAGCGCGAGAACTTGAACGCTTCGACCACATCCTTCGGCTGCTGAACCTCCAGCGACAGAGAGGGGACGTTACCCTGTCTGCATGCGCGTTTGAGAGCCTGGGGATTGGTGGGATTGGTGTTGTCGAGTACACATTGGTTGGCAGGGTCCGAGGCGCACGTTTCGACTTGATTGTACATGAAGCCATTGGCGGAGTTGGACCTGAGAAAAGGATCGCTGTAGTTGCTTTGGATCACTTGGCAGGCGGCTTGATCCGACGCCACGGCCGTGCCATTGAATTGGGAGAAACAGGGCGCCGAGAAGGGCTTCAATGCTTGAATGCGACCGCCGAGAGTGGCGTTGAAGCTGTCCAGCGAACAGCTCTCCCGCCCAGACGCAACGCCCAGAAGATGGACGGCCACGAACAACGCGAGCGAGCTCTTGGAATAGACCATCATGGGGGCCGTTCGACGATCGTGAGACAAGAGAATCTGGGAAGAAAATTTTACGGACAGGGGAGAGGAATCCTTGCAGCTTAAGAGAGGAAACAAGCCCGCGCGAGTCGGGACCCCCGGGGCAGATCGTTACCGGTCAAGTTTAGTGGCTCTCCAGATGGATTCACCCCCCTGTCACGGTTGCATTGGCGTCTTCCACCAACACGTTCGGCTAATCTATTAATTAATTAAGAGTATCCTGCCAGGGGAACGAAAAGAAAATGTTCCGGTTTGACGTGCGGAAGTTGGGTGTCTGCCTGACTCGGTCTACCCTTCCCCCATAGACTTATGTCCGGAGTACATTCGACGCTCACGTCTTTGGATCGAGTCAGATCCCTCTCCCTATAAGCCCTCCATGGCTATTCGGGACGATTACTGGGGGAATGTGCTCACCATCGTCCCCGTCGTTGGGGCCGCGGTCGCAACATTAGTTTATGTCCTGCGACTCGTCGCATGTCGCATGTCCACGTTCGGATGGCGACTAGAAGAACTGCTGATGGGTATCGGGTTGTTCTTGTCGTATGGAGCGACAGCTTTTGTCATCTACAGTCAGTTACTGCACAGCGTGTGTTGCTTTCGTCGCTTACTGGCTTTCAGCTGCATTCAATGGCGTGGGAGTTCCTGGCGACCAGCTACCACAGGATGAACGAATTCGCCTACAATTCGTAAGTTCGAGCCTTTCTGCTGTGGAATTTGCGCCAACTTGCTGTTAGGGGTCCTGGATGATCCAGAAGTTTTGGCCGCCGTCCATGGCTTTCGTCAAGCTTTCCATCCTGGTATTCTTGAAGCGACTATTAGGAACCCTCAAGTCCATCCGGGTTGGCGTGAAGTGTCTCATGGTCTTCACCGTCTGCTGGGCATTAACAGAACTATTTGGGAATATATTTCAATGCTGGCCGGTCCAGTACTACTACGACTCCCGAATGAACGGACACTGCATGGCCGGGCAATCGAAGCTGTTTCAAACGTCCGCCGCCTTGTCTTTGGTAGAAGACATGGTTATTTTGCTCTTGCCCATGCCTGTCGTCTGGGGACTGCAAATCACCATCCAGCAAAAGCTGACTCTGACGGTTGTTTTCTCGCTGGGTGCATTGTAGGTGGCAGGCTAATCCATTATTACTCTCTAAACTAACCGTGGTGCAGGGTTTGCATTTTCAGTCTACTACGAGTCATCGAATTTAATAACTTCCACACCAACGATCTTGCCGGTGAGATGCCCCTTAATCAACTCCCTCTGTCCCAGGCTAATCGATCCACGCATTTAGCATCCAGCGCCAAAGAGTCCATCTGGACCACGCTCGAACTCGACGTCGCCATTATCTGTGGCTGCCTTCCTCTATTCAAGCCCCTTCTGCACGGCTTCCTCGGAAAGGTCAAGGGCCAATCGACTCGAACCTCCCGCACGCCTCGTTACATGCATAGTGCTAGCCAGACACCGGACGGCTTCCATAAGATCAGCGATCCTCATAACTTGAGGGCGAATAAGAACGTGACTGTTACTACGGAGCCGACTGGGAGATGCAGCTCGGATGTTGAACTGCGTGGGATCACGGTCCACACTGCGATCGAACAGGACGTGGAGAGTCGATCGCTTAGTGCTAGCTCTGGTGCAGTGGGGAGATCGTGGCCGCGCTGATATCGGATGTTTCATCTTGTTTTCACATAGATGGTAGGGGTCTGATGAGCACACTCCGTTATATGTAGATATATATTCCTTATTTAAAAGAATTAATAGTGCTTGTATATATTGTGTTAAAACTTTTAAACCATCTGTATTCCCTCGATTAGCATATAGAACCTTGGTTATGAGAGCAAAAGGACAGCAAATGTCAAATGATCCAGTAATGAGTAGTAAACGACCTATAATTTATACAATGGTTATCTCATTCACATCGCTGGCGTTTATCTGCGAGTATTATAATTACACTATCAAACACAGTTTTTTGACATCCAATTAACCCCTCGGAGCTATTTTGTACCATTCTCGGCCTTGCTGTCCTGGCGGGTTCTGGGCTTCTTCGTGGGAGTCTTGTCTTGACCAGAGGTGCGTTTTGTGCCAGCCTCAGCTTTTTGATCCTTCTTATCCTTTTCATTCTTTTTCCCTTGTCGACCATTCTGAAGTTTAGCCTCATCTTGGCTGTCAGCCTTGCCATCTTCCACCTGGTCATCGCCTTGAGCATCACCATCATCAGACCCATCATCCCCTGACCTAGACAACTTTTCATCCTTCCCATGGTCTTCATCCTCTGCCTCATTCTCCTCCTCAACCTCCTCCTTCGCCTCCTTCCTCTCCCTCTGCGCCTTCTCCGTATTCGAAACAAACTGCTTTCCCTCCTTCGACCCCTCCTGCTTCTTCTCATCCGTCTCCCTCCTCTCCTCATCACTCATCTTCTCCCACGCCTTCTTCGGCAGATATCGCTTCTCCGTCCCATCCTCTTGTTTCGCACTCCCTGAACCCTCCTTCGTCTGCCACTCCTCTTTCGTCCATTGGTTTAGACTCCGCTGGGCCTCATCCTTCTTCTCCCCTTCTTCTTTGGATGTGTTGTAGTCTCCGCCGCGCTTTTTGTATTCTGCGGCCATGAATTGTGCCTGGGGGGTTGATTAGCTCTGGTAGGGGTATATTGGGAACGTGTAGGAAAGAATCTATGGGAGGAGGTGAAGGCTGTTACCTTTCTAGCTGACCATTGTCCCGGCGCTCCGCCTTTATCGCTTTGCTTGACTTCTTCTTTCACTTCGTCGCGGAGCTCCGGGTCGGTGTATTTGTCTTGCGCGGGCATGGTGGGTGCTGACTGGTTGATAGGCTTGAGGAATTGTATCAAAATGAAGTCACTGGGTGAATGAAGGGTAATTGGTATATTTGGTTGTTTAATTGCATTTCAGTCGCATTGGTGTTCATAGGGATAAAAAAACCGCATGAATTGGTGACATCATCAAGTTCGTGTCATCATGACCGCCGGCAATCCATCGCTAAGCTTGGTTCTGGAACCTCAGGACGCAAGGGACGAAAGTCTGGAACATGTGGTTAATAAGCTCGGGTCTTTTATTGGTTTCTCTATTGATTATGGTACTTACTTTATCCTGCTGGACATGGCTGCAATTGAGAAATCATATTGGCTCGGCTGATCTGTATGAGCTATGAAGGGATTTATCCTATCGATCAGTGGATTGAAACTCAATTAGAATGAGATTTGAAGAGATGACAGGTTCTGAGGTCCTGGAAGCTTGGTGGGCTGAGAGGGTATCGACTCATCAGGTAACTGTCCATGTCATGAATCAACCTGACTGTATGGCAGAATTGACACGGTGATTCTGTGACTTTCGAAACCTTTAACATAAAGCGTTATTATCCAGTCCCGCGCAGTGTTCACGCCATAGCTTTAAACAGCCCGGTGGATAAATAGCCTCCAATTAGGGGAATGTAAATACGAGGACCACACCAATAAGCTTGTCAGGCACAAAAGGTCCAACCTGTTCTATAGCATTGGGCAGGATGTCGAGGTTAGTGCAAATAAGCAGCGTATGCGGCATCTAGAGCGATTGGTCCTCATATTCAGGGTTTCGTCGGTCACCCGCAGATTAGATTGACGCGCAGCCCCAAATGGCTTTAGTTGCCTTATGGCTCGGAATACGGGGAACGGCGATTTTGCTCCACCTATCAGCCATTGCAGTTGCGTGATTATGCACTTTAATACACTTTACTAGAGCTTATGTGGCTAGCCCTGCTGGAGATGGCATGAATTGTTGAATATCGTTAGACTCAATTCCTGGACTCGATCTTCCTTCGTGTCTTTTGCGATTTCACATGTTTTCCGACTTCATTGGATGCAAATTCGAGAGTTCATCAAGGACAGGACAGCTACGTGGAAAAAAGATACTCAGAAAGAAAGAAGGCACTTTTGGATTGAGGTCTCTGTAGCTACATACTATAATGGTCGTTTTCTTTTGGCAATGCCGTTGAGACTAAATTCTTATACGCGCCATAGACAATATAGGCCCATCAGCCACCTTGGATTGTCGTCCGAGTGAAAATTAAAACCACAGGGAAATTGCTACAATCTCGCATATAAAAAGCACGGCTTCCCTTCACACCTTTTAGCTTTCTCGCCTTACCGACATATTGAGTCTAGACAGTCTATTACCACGTCAAACTAGTGGCGTGATATCGAATTATGCGCCTGTCATCTTTCTGGGGACTGGCAGTACTGGCTGCTGCATCATTGGCAGCGCCGTCTCAATCTGATCCCTGGGACGTCCTTGCAGCTAAATCTCTAGCGAAGCAGATCCGGTACCACGCCGCCAATCCTGATGCTGGTAGCAATTGCAACCCTCGCACAGCAAGTGTACGGCGGGAATGGTAGGCATCTTTTCAACATCACGGATTTTGAGAGATCAAAACACCGAGCTAACAGTCGATAAAGGGGTTCTCTGAGTAAGAAGGAACGGAAGAACTATATTGACGCAGCCCTGTGCTTGGCAAAAAAGCCTTCTAAATCTCCTCGTTCTTTTGCTCCTGGAGCCCGCAACCGCCACGATGACTTTGTCGCGACGCACATTAACCAGACTTGGCACATTCACGGAACAGTAAGTTATTCCGCAAGGCTTATAGCTCAGCTCAAGCGTTCTGCGTCGGCTAATATAATAACAGGGGAACTTTCTGACCTGGCACCGGTATTTCACCTGGGCCTATGAACAGGCCTTGCGCAACGAATGCGGATACAAGGGCTACCAGCCATACTGGGCCTGGAACAAGTACGCGGATGATCCGCTGAGCTCTCCAATCTTTGATGGCTCTCCGTATAGCATTTCGGGAAACGGAGCGTACATCCCACATAATGCCACCGAGATCGCGCCGGGTGTGTTTATCCCATCTGGAAGCGGCGGTGGATGTGTTGAGACTGGACCGTTCAAGGAGTAAGTTTTAAGCGAACTTCTACCTTTAGCCACCGTTTACATGGTTTAACTAAGTATGTCTATCAGCTGGGTCGTAAACCTCGGCCCTGTCTGGTCTAGTATTCATTTGCCAGGCTATGAGCCCCAAAACGGATCCGGACTGAACTACAATCCGCGGTGTCTGCGACGCGATATTAACCTCGCAGCTGCGAAATGGACCAGAACTGAGATCGTAATGGATGTGCTTGACGAACCAGATATTTGGGGCTTCGAGACGGTGATGCAGGGCATGACAGGCGATCCCTCCTACTTGGGTGTCCACTCGGGAGGACATTTCACGATTGGTGGTGATCCTGGTGGAGTAAGTGCTTTCTCATCTCTTTTTCTGTGCTTCAAGAGAGGCGGTACACTTACCATGTTTAGGACTTCTACACGTCTCCCGGTGATCCGGCATTCTTCCTCCACCATTCCGCTATCGATCGCCTGTTCTGGACTTGGCAGAACCAGGATCCTGCGAACCGTACATACCAGGTAAACGGACCTACTGGATTTTGGACGCCAGATGGCGTGTCGATCAATGCGACTTTTGATGATGTTGTGGATATGGGTGACTTCTTGGCGCCGCCAAAGACTCTGAGTGAGCTTTCGGATACTACCGGGGGTCCGTTCTGTTATGTCTATACCTGACTTGGGGATGATGGAATTGAGTTTATTGATAAACGGTTTAAACCTGTTGGAACTGATTTGTGATTTCAGCGGTGAGTAATTGGTATATAAGCTGTTTTGATTTTATACTGGCGCTTTATCGCCTCTCAACTCCTGTAATGTTGCTCTATAGTAGCATCTATAAGTCTGGCAATTCCATAAAAGCATAGGACCACATAGCAGTGATGGTGGTCCATATAAAAACGGTTTAGGGTATTCATAACCGGGCCAGAGTGATTTTAAACATCAATTTGTGCGGACACGGTCGTCTTTGCGCCCTTCTGCAGCTCACACAGAACATATCAGCTCATGGAATTCTTAATCATTAATATATGAGGACTCATACCTTTGTGATTTGCTCCTCCTCAGATTCCTCCGGCTGAGATCTACCTTCACCCTCTCCTACGGAGTTCTCTTCGGCCTTCAAAGCATTCAAGCGTCGTTCCCGGACCGCGAGAAGTTGTATTACGACGATCAAAATGAGCGCAGCAATGACGAATGCAAACGTGGCGGGAAACCCCTTGCCTAGAAGACAGTATTATTAGCCCGTTTTCGGGATCCGGTAGGGAAGTCGATCAGCTTACGGAACGACGGCGCTTCTGTCTGTGGGAAGATGACGACGGGAAGCCATGCAGCAACCTGGAAGAAATTAATCAATATTGGATCAAATATGGGTGGGAATTTACTAACTGCATATTGGAATCCGTTCATGCTGCTTACAACTAGAGCGCGTTCTTCATTGTCGTCGGCACATACTTCGTTGGCCCATGTGTAGCTATCCATACTATTAGTCTTGACAAGGGTTCGGAGGCTTGTGTGAGAAAAGCTCTCACTCACAAGATCGCAGTCATCAGCTGGACTCCATCCGTCAGGAAGGCAAACTCCTTCAACTTAATGCTAGCAGGCCATGCGGCTAAGATGCCGTTTGGAATTAAACCGTATGTCTAGTGGCCGATTAGAGAGTGAAAGCTTCTAACTGAAGGATTGTAAAATCTCACCAATGGCAAAATCACCAACGCGAATCTGTTGCCAGTGAAATCGGCCAGGAATCCCCACTAAATCGAAGGCACTGTTAACATCCGCAGAATGTCGCAAAAGCCCAGAGGAAAGGGCCTACCAGAACAACACAGAATGCAGAAATCAAGTTGGTCCCCGTAGGAATGATATTTCGCTCTGAAACAGAGAAATTCTCGGACTTGAGCCAGATGGCGAAGTAGCTGCTTGCTGCGCAGGACGAGCCGTACAGCACATACCCCAATGTGAAGGCGTACCATCCTAGGGTCATCAGCTCAGCTCGGAAGGTGGAGTAGTTAGGATTAGAAAACATACGCCATTTCATCGCAACGCGCTTGAAGGTGGCCCACGATAACTTGGCTGGGGGCGCTTTTCCGGATCGCTGGACGCGGTCCAGGCACATTTGAACTTCCTCGCTAGTGAGGTACCAGGCTTTGGTGTTGTGAGGAATGTCTGGGAAACAGAATAGTGCGATTGCGCCGACGGGAATGGTCATGCACTGAGATAGCCGTTAGAAGAGGTATATATCGCTGGTGGGAAGGGAACGCACTCCGCAGACAATGTAAAGCCATCGCCATCCTTCGAGTCCATGGTTGCCGTTAAGGTTTTTATATACAGCTGCTTGCTATAAAGTCCCGTCCTTTTAGTAAGAGGTTCGAATGAAAATGTCAAGCGAGCCTTACCAGGTATCCACTAAACGCAGATCCCAAGGGCGCAGTCATGTGGAGGATAGCGATGCGTTTTGCTAGACCCTGTCAGCTCTGCAACTAGAACACCAAATTTCTCTGATTATATGATTCTGTACCCAGTTCAGTTTTAGTATACCTATGTCTAGTTAGCCATGTCTTCCCTCTCCGAACTCGAACAACAAGCAGACTCACCAAGACCCCAGCACAAAAAGCATGCAAGGAAAGAACGAACTCTCGAACAACCCGACAAGAAATCGAAACGCATATAGCTCCCCTACGTTATGCATACCAGCCTGGGCTATCGTGAAGACACCCCATCCGATTTCCATCGCAGCGAGCCAGTATCGGGGCCGCACTCTTTGGATAATCAACGTCGAAGGGATCTGCATGATGGCGTAGGCGACCGTGTAGCATGTTTGCTGTTTCATGATTAGCCTGGACCAAGCGCATAGCACAGGATAGTAAGAACCTACCGCGTAGGTGTATTCATTTCCGTACATAGAGAGATCCTCTTGCATGCCACTGAGAATAAAGTCAGCTTCCATCTTGTACTTGAGCAACGGGTGGCAATTACCTGACGTATGCATTTGACAGATTTGTTTGGTCGAGATATTTCAACTGCAAATAGTAAGGAACATCAGCTTTCGGTCGATTTTCCTGGTCGCATAACTAGAGTTGCTTACGAAAAACCCTAAACAACCTGTCGTGAGAAGCGCGATATCTAGCTTTCGCAACAGCCATCGCTCTTCGGGCGATTTCAAATGAGAATCCGTATCCCAGATAAAGGATCGGAACTGCGCGACCGGTTAGCATCGTCTTCTAGTGTGATATGAGTCGCAGATATCGCAGACCGATTGCCACGGATTCTTTCCCATTCTGAACCAACACCACAAGTATGAATGAAAGCACCAAGAAGCAATTCAAAAAGAAAAGGGCAAGCAAGGCGGACGATAAAGAAAGATATAAGCATATCTCCAAATGCCAGACATCCTCCCGCATCCCCAAAAGCAATATACTCAACCCCAATTATCTGTCGCATCACGCGGAAATGGTGTCATATCACGAAACGCAAGCACCTTCAACCCAACCCCACATCAAGCAGCGCCCATTTATATTTGCCGACAGCCCTGCTTAGCTCGATACAGTTTTATCTCCGGTACCTAAATGAGCCCAGCCAATAGGCGTTGTCAGCGCTGCATGGCCAGCCGGAATTTTGTCGCGCTAGAGGCGTCTGGGCGATGCTTCATGCGGGAAAGCTCTACAGCCTGGAATGTCATCAGGTCAGGGCCAAGACTAATTTCTGCACGACAACTGTCTTATCTGCGAGCTAGGGGATCACGTCAACCCCGCTATTTTGTGCCTGGTACCTCCGATTCTTCGAGGTTTGTTGATATCGTTGAACCGGGTTATCAGCCATTTGCGAATGAATGGGCCTGCACCCTGACATTTATTATTTCCATTTTGCATTGGGACGAAGTGGAAGTGCTTTGGCGCCACGATTGAGCACCCCGGACCTATGCAAGTCTATGTGTATCGCCCCTGGATAGTCAGCTATACTATGCCTGGACCACGTTCGTTTGCTGTGACCCGTTATCCATCCACATCGGCAATGGCTTCCTCGTCGGTTCCTCTGATCACTTCCACGCCTAGCGTTCTCGCTGCTCAGACTGCTAATGTTTCTTGCCAGGTTTAGTCGTTTATTTAACGCGGGCTATTATATCTACGAATGTCTATTGACTAGACTTCTGACTATCTATTTTTCAATGCCAACTATTGCCACTCGTTTATCAAATACGCTTTACATATTCTGGCCTGATATTCTCGCTATCCTTTCATGTTTCTCTAATCTTCGAGACAGCAACAGCCCAGTCTAAAACAGTAAACAAGGCATCAAGCACTGTAACCCGATCGAACCCTCTCCCCATAACCCACCGGCCCGACTTCCGCGAAGTAGTGAAGTTCAAGAACGCCTGAGAGAAGTTCGCCATGCCGAGAACAAGCAAAGCCATGATGTCGACCTTTATATCGCCTTTCTTTGTGCCAGTTGATAAGAAACGCGGTGACTTCCAGATAGCCCAGAGTCGCAGGAATGCAAGTAAAGCTGGCGCGGTGTTCATGCCACCCAGATACGCCATGATATCATGGTGCCTAAAGGACTGTTAACGCGTCATTTCATTATACGATGACCGGTGGCCTTGCCATTTATCTCCGTCACGCAGCATGCGAATCGCCGCGTCAGACGAGGTCCGCCTCTTTGATAACATGCGCATCGTCAATCTCTGTCGGAAGCCGAAGTAGACCACGGCACTGTTTTCAGATTATTTAGCCTTTAGGTGATTGTTGTTCGATTGTACAGTGACTATACGTACCTTGTGAACCATAGCTAGCCAAGTGTCTTGTTAACACTACATCCCGGCATCGGGTGACCGGTACCTACCCCATTTCCGGCATACAGGGCAGCAAGAGCCTCGTCACTGAGGGCGATAGATGACATTTTTGATGCTTGATCGAATGTATTTGACTTTTCGGAGGCTCGATAATACTCCGTAATGGCTGATGATGTGTTTTAAGGACCTTCAGCTCAGCTTTTACCGAGGTTGCATTGTGCAGCATGTAAGCGCTAGGCTTCGCTTTGCCTCGGCGAGATCTCAATGCACCATTGTAATGTCCGCGTAGGCCTGTCTGGCAAATCCATGGAATCAAAATTGAAATTAAAATGTTAGGTTTTGGTTACTTTATTCGGAAACACTGCCGAGTACTGAGAATAAATTTAAGCATGGATAAGGCCACTTGGTAGGTTTTCGGGTCTAGAAAATTTGATTGGTGAACAACGACAGTCAGGAAATGTCAGCGGCTTGCCGTCTTCCAGCTTTGTAGTTCCAGATTGAGTACTTATCACCTATATTAATGGTTATGTTTATAGGGCCTGTAGACAGGACCTGCTTATTCTGTGTCTGGCGGGTTAATTCTCGTTATGTTTCTAACAATTCAGAAAAATTACAATTTTCAGATTGATTTCAAATACAGGCAAATCCCAGATAGCTATTACGGGTATGTACATATACAAACATAGTGTAAGAAGACCTATAAAAAGCAGGCCGTGCCTGGTGATGCTATAAATCCACCTCTGCCAGAGTTTTAGCGGTGCCACATGCTATAATTCGCCCATATAGCGCTTGCCGACCGAATCAAATTACCTATCCCCTGCCTTATCCAACTATGGCTGGCTCAAGAGCGGGTTCTCATTCCAACACTCCTGTTGGAATTGCTGGAGCAGGTCGTCCCACTGCTCCCAGTTCATGGGGCTGACGTCCAGCGTCGGCACTCCGCCTATGGCCGCAAAGTCCAGCTCTTCTGCGCCGGTGCCGACCCCAATTCCAGTCACAGGGCCTTGCTGCTGGAATGCCGTGATGGAAGATTGCAGCGGTGGACTTGTGCCATTGGTGTTCCCCGCGAGAGAGCTTTCGCCGTCGAGGGGCTGTTGTGTGTTCTCTGCATGATATAAAACCCTGCTGCTTGGGGCTTCTTGCTGATGCAACGGCACAGACAGTGGCGGAGGAGCAGCTGCGACTGTCTGTGGCTCCCCCACGCCCAGCTGCAGCCATGGCGCGACTAGCTCAGGACACGGCTGCGAGGGGATCCCCCTCTGCTGACACGTAACGACGTGGCCTTTCCAGGCCTTGATGATGAGGCTGCGGATGGCAACGTGCAGAGTGCTGCGACGCGCGCGCGGGCCCATCTGGCGGTAGTGTCGGCCGCAGATGCTGTTAATCAGGGCCCAGGCACGCGCGACCTCGGCTCCTTCGACGCGACGCCCGCGCAGCTCGGATAGCATGTAGATCAGGGCGTCCCACTGGATGTTGTAGTCAACGTGCCAGAGGTATTTCTTGGTGGCGTGGTTGGTCTGCACGGCGTCGCAGTTCTCGGCGACTTGCACGCAGATGGTGAAGATGCGGTCTCGCTCCGCCTCGGATAGCTGGAGGGTGTGTTGTGCCGGTTTGCTGTCACCGACCCCGGCCATGCTGGTGCCGGTGTATTGTCGCGGGTGGTGCGCGGCGAGGCGAATCATGCATACAACCGACCGCGCCATCATCACGGTGATGAAGTGCAGTGGAATGGAGACATCACAGTGTCTTAGGTACTTGGTCTCGAACTTTTGCTCCAGCTCGTCGATGGCCGCATCTTTTTCCGATAACGGCACGGACGAAGAGCGAAGGAACCCCCAATGTCCTCCATCAAACCCAGAGCTCATCCCAGCGCGGTTGCGTAGCCATTCGCCAAACTCGTGCCGGACGAGGCAGAAAACCATCTCCGTCGGTCCGGTATATTCGCGTGGCGGATCCGTCATGTTCGGGTCCAGGTTGCTGTCGTTGATGTTGAGAGGGGGCAGTGTGGTTTGGGGTGTAGGAGGGATGAAGGAGGCAGAGCCGCATCCTGAGAAATAACCAGCAGTGGCGTCGAAGATAACGAGTTGGAGACAGAGGCGTCGCCGCATTTCTGTCTCGTAGACGGACAGCCCGAGATGAGAGCCGTCCTTGTGAAGGCCGATGCGCTGGGCGATGCGCATAGCTATGCCACATAAGGACCACAGTGTGTGCGGATCGGACAGCAGACGAAGAGAAAACTGCCGTTTTGTTAGTGGACGTGTATTCTCCCGGGGAGTTATATTACCAGATATAGCAAGAGGGCCTGCAGCATCATCATATTCGATGTCTTGAGCATCCCAGCGTTGCGAAGGGCCGTTTCAGCACTGCGCTTGTACCTTGAGATCAGGGTGGCGCGCGACTCGCCATAGGAACGCTTTACCTCGTCCTCGCTCAAGGAAATCACCGAAATGCAGTAAATGGAGAACATCAGCGCCTCCATCTCTTTGCTGACTGTGGGTAAGTCTCCCGCGGCCTCCAAGAGTTGCTGCTGCACGACAGGTGCATGGAGAATTTTGATGAGTGGATTGACGTTCTCGAGAAACGTCTGCCAGAGCTTGAATATATGCACCGGGTTGGGATGGATGGCGCTGAGCGTGGTGCGTCCCGGCGAACTGAAAATCCATCCTGATTCATCCCCAACGGCCGGGGAATTATCGTTTTGGCCGGACTGGTCAGATTCGGCAGAAGACGACTCCTGTATGGCATCTTGCGCTTCCTGTAACTATCTCTTTGTCAGCATCATTTACAGTGATGGCTCGCGGTGGGGAAATCACACCTCGTCGCTCACACTCGTCCATAGATTGCTTGCAGGTTCCACCATCAGCGTTGGTCCAATATTTGCATCGCAGGAAATCGAAAAAAAGAAGAAAATTTCAACACATACCTATCAAGATATACCGAGCTTCCTTTGTTGGAAACCAACCTCCGCGACCCAGCATGACTCGGATTGCTCGTGCCAACAGCCGACAGAGGCCCCCTTGGATTAGCGAGCTCGGCGACAGAAGCCACCGGTGTTGAAACCACCTCCCCACGGCCCGGCGAGGGCACTGCACGCGTGGGCGAGCAAGCCTCTGGATCGACGCTGTTCCCATACCTGTCTAGACGCGCCGCCAGACTCGCGTCAGGAATGTTCCTCTTCCGTCGCCGAGGCGGTTGGTGAGGGCGGTAGACACACTGCACCCCATTCTTGGTGCATGCAGCACACGGTTCTTGCCTGCTGCACTTCACTTTTCTCCGCTGACAGGTCACGCACGACTGCGACTTGGGTGGTTTCGGGTCCTGCGCTGACGGCGTTGTTATTGTGGAGCCCGGGCCCACTGACTGGCTGTCCGCCATGGCGGGCGGGAATCCGTGTGCAGAGTCGACTGAGTGACCGGCGACCTACCTAACTAGTCCGTAGGTAGTTCATTATCACAGCAGATCAAACCCTCCGAGGATGGTTGATAGGTGATCAGCATACCTGAATTCGGTTGGATGCGCCACATTTACTGGTCCCGTGATCAGACAATTCGGATTAGTCACCATGGCTGATCACCTGACATCCATCGTCTGTTGGCACGCAGATCATGACAAGAATGACTGAAGATATTGAATATTTTGATCTTAGAAGATTTATTTCTAATTCCTAAAGTGTTAGAGCAAAGAAAAAAATAGTTCGAAATCTTTTTGTCGGGTACTCGACGTCTCCACAGGAGTCCAGTACCCAACCCGTTATATATAGTGCCATACAAACTTGGATACAACTCACCCGTCCGACTCCTGAATTTCCTCGCAGGCAAGCCAGTGACAGGTTTCGACAGGTATCCTAGAGGTCCTGAAATATAGCAGGTCTTCTGGCAATCAGGGCGAAGTTATTCTTTAATACTAGGAAGATAATTACTAAAATAAACATCAAGAAGTTTAGTTCTATGGGGCAAAAGATGAACAAAAAAAACGATGTAGAAGTATATTTTAAAGTTTATCTAACAAAAAAAAAAAAAAGCACACAAAAGAATGTAATTATTAATTATTACTTTAAAACCAGATAAGGGGGCAAGATAGGGTTGATTCTTCCGCATGAACGTTTCCAACATGGTCTGTTTCTCTCATGCCAGAGCCTGGCCGATGAACTCCGCCAACTTCGCCCCGTGTTCTCCTCTCTGCAACGGTCCTGGTTAGTGACAAGGTCCTGACAGGTGAGGAGATGTTTACTTACCATCATCTCGAAATGATTCGTCCCGTCCGTTCGATCCAAGTTGATCGTGCCACCGGGAAACAACGCCTCCCATCCGTTGGCACCAAAGTCGGTGCGGGCCTCCGTCAAGAACTTCATGCCTTCGGTGTCGTCCGGATGCGGAGGCATCTTGGGGATTTTCTTACCGTCCATGACACTCTCGGACGCCCAGATGATCGATGTGCGCGGCGTCTTACCCTCCGGAAGCGGCGTGGCGAAGTACTCGTGCAGCGTGTCGATCGTGGCGTTGAAATGGGGCACCAGCCATGCCGGAGGTTTGGCGGCGGCGCCTCCAGACCCTGGCGTGGTCGGCTGACCAAACAGCTGCAGCTTGTTGCAGTAGTCGTAGAAATGCTGCGGAAGCCGGTCAAGCCCCTTGGGCACGGGGGAGTCGATCAGCAGGAGACTTTGCACCGTTTCTCCGGCGTTGATGAGCTTCTGCGCGGCGCGATACGCGAGGATGCCACCCGCGGACCAGCCACCGAGGTGGTACGGCCCGGTGGGTTGGCGGCGGCGGACCTCGTTGATGTAGCTGTCGATAAGGCCGTCCAAGGTGCACTTGAAGAGCTCTGGGATCTTGTAGTACGGAGAGTTCAGGCCGATCACCGCCACCTTCGACCCCAGCCGGGGGATTCCAGAGTATGACGTGGCCGAACCAGCGCCGTCGGGGAAAAGAAACAGGACCTTTTCGGCGAACTTGGGGATTCCCTGCAACAGCACGGAGGTGGCTGCCGGCACAGGAGCGTGCTCCTTCTTCAGGGGAGCGGCATCTGGCTCGGAGTCCGAGTCCTGAGAGGTTGCCGACGAGGGAGTTCCAGAGTTCTCTGGATCCGAACGATCAAGTTGGACGGATGGAGTGGGGCATGTGGATTCAGATTCAGATTCAGACCCAGAGCGTCCCGACTTGAACAATGCCTTCAAATCTTTGACCGTCGGATACTCGGTATGAATGGAGTCCATTTCCATATCGAGCTCCAGCTCCTCACGGAAGCGGCTGACGATGACAAGGGACAAAAGCGAGTCAATGCCAATGTCGGCAAATACGCAGTCATCCGTCAAGTCCGAGAGGGCCAAACCGCTTTCTTCAGAGATGATACCGAGGGCGGCATCAAAGGCTGCGCTGTCGTACAGGCTGGTGGCGACGTTCTCCGTGGCGGAAAGCGCAGGTGCTTGCTGAGGGATCTCGGGCATCGCATCCCTGACGGCACGAGGCTCCTCAAATAGGCTGTCTGAAGGGGCTGGATCTTCCGACCCGCCGTATTGTCCGAGGAAGCCCTTCAGTTCCTTCACGCACGTGTACCTGGTAAAGATATCATCAAACTCGAGGTCCAGGTTGAGCTCCTCACGGAACCGGCTATTGATGACCAAGGCGAGAAGGGAATCGATCCCAATGTCAGCGAAGACGGCGTCGTCTGTTAGATCACTCATGGAGACACCGCTTTCTTCGGAGATGATCTTCATAGCCGGTTCAGCAAGCGAAGGTTTTGACTTGGTGGCAGGGGCCGGGACATTGACTGCTGTAGTCTTGGGGCTGACAGCAGGGGCCGAGGGCATGGAAGGCTTGGATGCTGGTGCTGCGTTTGCCTTCGGTTGCGGCTGACCCCGAGGTGGTTTGACCCCGTCGACGGTCAAGAAGAAGCGGAGGACCCTTCGTGGAACGCCTTGGAACTATGTGGATATTAACATGGAACCTTCGGCATTTTCGAGGATGTTGATGGAAGATAGGACTTACCACAATGCCGTTGTAGCTGGCGACAACCTTTCCGCTTTCATCGAATACTGTCACATCCCCTTGATACTTTCTTGAATCCCTCTCGGACATTTGACAGAAGGTCCAATAAGTCTGTTCCTTACTGAGCGGCTCATAGACCTGCAAGGACTCCCATCCATGATTGACGAAGACCTCCGCATCGAGATCATTCTTGTCGTTGCAGTTCATGACAAAACCGCCAGCTTGGGTGAGACCGTCCAGGAACGCTGGGTGGGTGTGGAACGTGCCCTGGGCTTCAACACCCTTGAAGGTCACCCGACTGGTGACCTCGTAAGTGTCGCTATCCATGATAACCTCATCAAGAGGCCGATAGTCGCTGTGGAACTGAGCGAGTGGGCTGATCATCTTGTACACCATGGCTCGGTTGAACCGCTGTGTCGGGCCGTTCTCCAGCTCCTTGCGCATACTCACCATCCGTGCCTGTTTCTCGGGAGCCGTTTGTTCGAGCTGCTCCTGTCGAGCTCTATCGGTGAAGTGGATCTCGCAGTTGGAATGCTCCACAGTGGGCTGGCCCTTTTTCTGCATGAGCTGTTAGAATGAGGTCCCTCCTTGACTCGGGCATTGGATGATCTTACGTCATAAGAGCAGAACCGCGCCTTTGCTTTCTTAGCTGCCCAGTCCACCGTCACAAATGTGCGCAGTAGTTGGGGGCCCTGCGGCTTTGCAATGAGGGCCTTCATGACGGTCATGTTCGAGACATCAACCAGGCGGTCTGCCATCTCAGGATGGTAGCGGTCGAGCACATATTTGCCAACGGTAAGCGCGATATCGGCGTAGACAGACTGCGATCAGTTAGATTTATAATGACAGTTGCAGGAAAGCAACTCGAAGGAGCTTGAACAAATAGCCTACCGGTGTACACAGCGGAACCCCATCTACCTCGTGGCCTTGCACCAGAGGATTGAAATCAGCCCGTGCCATGTCGGACTCCACGGTGATAGCATCCTTGCTCTCCTCCACCACCTTGTGGATTGTCGTAGATTCGAGGGGTGCAACCGATAGGGCGACGAGAGGCGTGTCACCCTTGCGCAAGGACCAGTCGTTGCTGTATTGAATCCAGTAATCCTTGAGGTTCCATTTGTAGGCGGGCAGCTCCAAGACTTTGTGAGCCGCCGCAAAGTCGCGGTGATATTCGTGCCAGCGAAGATCAATGCCAGCACAATACAGAGACGAGAGCATATCGGTCAACGTTTTCCACTCATCTCTGTTGCGCTGGAGTGTTGCCACGGCGGTCACCGCAGGCCCGAGGGTCCCTTTCACCATTCCGGTGACCACCGAATGTGGTCCGATCTCGAGCACGAAGGACCCGTCCTTGATTGATCCATTTTCCTTTGCGGATCGAAGAGCATCCGCAAAATTGACCGTTTGACGACAGTGGCGTCTCAGGTAATCGGGTCCAATGATGCCAACATCCTCAATCACCTTGCTCAGGAGTGGGGATATAACTGGGATCGTGGGTTTGTGGAACGTTACTCCGCCTGCGACGGCTTCCAAATCGGACAGGATTGGGTCAACTTGAGAAGAGTGATAGGCGAACGGCACGCAAATGGTCTTTGATCTGAAACCCTTGCTGTTCAATGTCTGTTGCAGCTCTTCGACCTGCGCGTTTGGTCCTGCAAGAACGGTCTCCTCCGGAGAATTGACGCATGCAATCTCATGGTGTGCGCCAGCAAGAGCAGTTTGAATCTCCGACCGGCCGGCCTTGACAACCAGCATGCTGTGTGTGCCAACGGTGCATCGCTCTTCCAGTAGCTGCGCGCGCCTACCCACCAGGAAAATCGTGTCTGCGTCGGAGAGAACCCCGGCAACGTTGAGGGCGGCGTACTCCCCAAGGCTCTGGCCGACAACCATGTCCGGCATGACATTCCACGATATCAACAGCCTGGACAATGCCATCTGGATGCAGACGGTGGCCAATTGCACCGCTACTGGGGAGAACTCCGGGATGTCCCTGCCCGAATCATCCACGATGATGTCCTTGAAGCTTGAAAAGCCCAAGGCTTTACTCAGCTCGTCAAAGCGGGTGATATCATCCTGGAACTGGCGGAAGCTTCGGTAGAGCGTTCGGGCCATCCCAACATATTGCGCTCCCTGGCCTGTAAAGGCAAAGGTCAGTTTCGGTGGCGCCTTGGGTCTCGTCGCGCCATCGCCGCGGGAGATTGCTGCTTCCAGATGACGCTTGATTTCCTCGGTGGTTGACCCGGCAAGCATCACTCGATGGAGATGGTGCATGCGCCTAGCGGTCGTGGTGTACGACAGCTGGGGCAGGAATAGTGGCTTATCATGATCACGCTGCCCTTGAATATACGCCATCAGCGACTTCAGGTTCGCCGCCATGGAAGCTGCAGACCTGGCGGAAACGGCAACCAGATGGGTTGTCCGGGGATCGGTGCCCTCGATTTCGACTTCGTCAGGCTTGTCTTCAAGCAGCACGGCCGAGTTGCCTCCCGCGGCGCTGAAGTTGTTCACGAATGCCCTGCGCGGCTCGTTACCCGCGCGTCTCCACGGAATCGGCTCCTTTGCAATGTGCACGTTTCTCGACTCCAGGTCTGGCGGGAACCGGGAATTGATCTTCGTTTTGATGCCGCAGTGCGGAGGGAGGGTGTTGTTCCGCATCATGAGCAGAACCTTGGTGAGGGCGCTCACGCCAGAGGCCGCCTCGCCATGCCCGATGTTGGCTTTCACGGAGCCGATATGAAGGGCCTGGGTGGGTTGCCGTTGGTGTCGAGTATTCGTGGGAGCGAAGGTATCCAGGACAGACGACATCTCTCTCGCATCGCCCGCCTGGGTACCGGTCCCATGCATCTCCACATAGCTGACGCTGTTCCGGTCAACGCCGCAGCTGCTCAAGATCTTTTGGAAGATGTCTCGCTGAGCTCCGACATGGGGACGCGTGATGGATTCTGCCTCCGCTGAATGGTTCGTGTACGTTCCGAGAATAACGCCATGGATTGGGTCCTTATCAACCACTGCATCCTCGAGGCGCTTCAGGATGACGGTGCCAACTCCTTCGCCGCGACAGTATCCGTCGGCGCCATCATCGAAGGTCTTGCAGTTGCCCGTCCGGGACAGAAAGTGTCCTCGATCCAGACCGGCCGTGAAATCCGGGTTTGTCAACACGTTGGTTCCACCGGTGATTGCGGTATCAATATCGCCTCGCCACAAGGAGTTGCAGGCCACATGGAGAGACGCTAAGCTCGACGAACAGGCCGTGTCCACACTGTAACTGGGACCGCTGAACTTGAAGAAGTAGTTGAGACGGCCGGGGATGAATGCACGATTGCCGCCCGGGATGAAGTAGGTGTCGATGTTCTGCGAGCTATTGGTCTCCATCCAATCGTTACTGGTCACGCCGTAGAAGACACCCACGCGATCCTTGCGAGTCGATGACGTGGCGTCGGCGACAATGCCAGCTTGCTCGAGGGCTTCATAAGCCGTCATCAAGGCGATCCTTTGCGCCGGGTCCACCTGTGGTGCTTCGCGGGGAGACATGTTGAAGAACTGGGCATCGAACGCGGCAGGGGTTTCCAGCCAGCAGCCGTACGGCGTCGCACTTGTGTTCTTCTTCTTGCCCGTTGGATCCACGTGTGTCTTTGCGCTCCAGTGAAGGTCGGGGACGACTTTATGCACGTCCAGTCCTCGGAAGATCAGATCCCAGAATTCTTCGTTGTTGTCGGCGCTGGGGTAGCGGCCCGACATGCCAACAATGGCGATCTTGGAGCGTCCCGTCGAACCGGCGGGCTTACTGGTATCACTCTCGACGTCAGTCGTCTGAGGAACCCTCTCCGGGACGATCCCATTGGACAATCCCGCCGTGGAGTTGAGGGCAGCTCCGAGGGCAGCGTCAGCATTCGTGCCAACTGGGCTGGTCGTGAACTGGGATGCACCACTCGAAGAGACGACGGAGGCTACCCCCTGCGTGAGCTGGTTCCATTGGACAGGCTCCAGGAGGATCTGAACCAGCGCCGCCTCCAAGCGACGTCGAAGGTTATCCCCTTCGACAAGTTTGCCGGTGGTGCTCGACACGACTGGTAGAGCCGCACCATAACGGCCCCAGACACCTTCAGGCGTCGTCGACAAGATACCCTCAATATCCACTTTCGTGAACAAATGCGGGGCATGGTATGGCGCAAAAACGGAAATTTGGCGTGGATGAACCTTCGCAAAGTTCTCCGAGTGACGGAGAAGACCGAGCACGCGCGGCGGTCCGCTGATTGTCACCCAATTCTCGGCGTAGGCGCTGACATAGGGCTGGGAAGTGATGGGAAGGCGCTTTTCTAAGCGTTAGCGAGGCCCACTTATCCGTAAATACGACCTGTGCAACTTACGTGCGAGTTGGAAAATTCCTGCAGCCGGTCTGAGACCTCCTGTTGCGAAAGGCCAGTCAGAACTGTCGACCAATTTCCCTCGGACTGGTCGACAGCATTGGCGGCGTTCAACGCGCACTGTCCAGTGCGAAGTGCGACGATAACAGTCTGCACGGCAACTGGAATAAGCTCCGAAACGGTCTTGCAGCAACTGACTGCAGCTGCAGCCAGGGCACCGGTGCATAGACCGGACATGCATGTCTCCGTTGGGGAGGGATAGGTCCGTCCGAACCCGTCATGCTCACTAGCGATGATCAGACAATGAATTGGATACTGTAGAGAGCGATTTGGGACGCAACAAACCTGATGAACTGGGCCAATTGGTAGATACAGGTCAAGATCGTCTCGATGGGCTGGTGGAGCTTCTCCTGTCGATTCCTCCACGATAGAAGCTCTGCGATGCTCGAGAAGCGAGGGTAGGTATCTCTCTCTCGAGCGGGCAGCTGAGTAATTTCAGATCGAAGCCCCTGGTACGCCTGCTCGAAGAACGCCTCCAGTAGTGGCGAGGACTTAGAATGAAGGAGTGGCGGAAGTTTAGTAGAGACCTCAAACGTCTGGTCTCCGAAGAGATAGACGTGAAGCTGCTGCGCCATGTTGAATCCTATTCTCTGCCCACAGACCAGATGTCGAAATCGATGAGATATAAGCTTTACGGATTAAGAGAACAAAGACTTCTAATACTGCAATCTCTTCTTCATGGTCATTCTCCCAGTGCAACCTCGGTGACCCTGGTTCACTCGCAGCCACTGCGACGCCATCACAAACCCTGTCTCAGCAACTCTCAGCCCTGATCCATGTTCGGAACCCCGAAAATGAACTAATAGGAGTAAACCCGAGAATCAACCAGTATGGGAGCCTCAGGACATACTCCAGTGCAACCTTGGCCGATGTACTCACAGCCAGTGCGACGCCATCACCAAAACCCTGTGTCAGCAACTCTCAGCGCTGCTACGTACTCGGAACTCCGATAGTGAGCTGATAAGAGTTAACCCGAGAACGAACAACTACCCAGGAGTCGGGTCACATCATCCCGAGTCCCAATGGGTTACATTGCGAGCGAGATTCCCGACCCCCGAGAACCCTTGACAGGCGGGCGGCCTGATTTGTCACGTCTCGGGGCCGAATGCGTTCAGAGTCCGAACATCAACTTCCTTTTTTCTGATCGCGTCGACTAGAGAATTCAGAGACGCGTATGCAACATCAGTGAATCTACAAATCCGAGCGCATAATACCATAGCTCCATGATTGCGCGCCGAGTAGAGGAGGCCAGCTTTTCACTAAAGGTAAGCCCCTTTCCCGCGAGCATTCTCAACAACAAAAGAAGGGGCTTGTTCGTGAATATTTACACCACGTCTTTCTTGTTAGACAGTTTTCCAATAGTCTCCGGCCTTGCGATCTTTGAGAATGTCCGAGGAGAAAGGCCCGTCTGTTGCCGTTCTAGGCTTAGGTACGCGATGCTTTGATTGATCCCATGAGAACTTTGTATCTCGCCATGTTGTGATTCCAATTTGAACGATGAGGCTGACTTTCAAATGACGCAGGGGCCCTTGGCCTGGTGGCCATGAAGAACATGCGTGAGGAGGGATTCAATGTCACCGGCTTTGACAGAAACCCATACGTTGGCGGCCTCTGGCACTACAGCGAGGGCTCTAACATCTCAGTGCTCCAAAGTCAGTCATATACCAACGACGTTAGATGCAAGCTAACACCCGACCCTACTAGGCACGGTCTCCAATGGATCAAAGCATAGGGTAGGTTCCATTGAGCTCTTCTCCGAATGGCATTAACTTACGTTAATCGATTACAGGGCTGCTTTACGGACTTTCCATTTCCAGACGGTATGGCATAAAGACTCCAAGCCCTGCTTCACACCCCAGGCGACAGAAGGAACTGATTAGTAGTTCGTCTCAGAAACTCCTGATTTCCCTCGCGCAGCAGACATGGCCAAATACCTGGTGTCATACGCCGAGCATTTTGGTCTCATGCCCCACGCACAGCTCAGCACCAATATCCACCGTGCAGAGTACATCGAGAAGACGAACAACTGGGAGGTGGAAACCTCGCCAGTCGCTGGCGGACCCCGCGTGGTCGCAAGGTTTGATAAAGTGATCTATGCCATGGGACCTGACCAGATTCCCAATATCCCCCAGGTGCCAGGGATCGAGAAATTCAAAGGGGATACTACCCACTCGATTGGGTTCAAAGAGTACGGTTTGTCCTGGCCTTCTCCGCAAGTTCCGAAGCTAACGGCGTTCTTCGCCCAATCGTACAGACCACAGGGTTGGACCGGAAAACGAGTCTTAGTGGTTGGATTCGGTAACACAGCAGCGGACATTGCGGGAGACCTGGTGGGCGTTGCCAAGCACGTCTACCTGTCGCACCGCGGCGGTGCCATCGTGGTACGTCTTGAAGACTGATCTGAATGAAACGAAGTAGCTCCGGGAACTAACACCTTACAGCTCCCTCGATGGGTGGATGGGAAGCCAGTTGACCATGTCCGGACGCACCGAAAAGCAGTTCTGCTAGGCATGCTCTCACGGTATGCCCCGGGCCTGTGGAAAAAGACCATGGACAAAGTCATCCTAGGGCTACGCAACCGGGTCTACGACTTGAAGCCGGAATGGCGACTAGACCCGGCGCCGTCCTTCAATCAGCAGAGGCCCATCGTCAGCGACAGCCTGGTGAGAAATTTTTCGAAAGGACACATTACGTCCGCATGTCCGATCAAGGAAGTCCTGGACGACAAGACGATTCAATTGAGTGACGACACCAAGGTGGAAGTCGATGCCATCATCTGGTGCACTGGATACACCGTCGATTACTCCTTGCTTGGGAAAAGCAACCCCACCCTCTACCATGAATCGGAGGGAATCCCAGTTGCCAATGGTCGCAAGATGCCCCGCCTCTACCAGAATGTCATTTCACTAGAGCATCCCGAGTCCCTTGCCTTCATGGGTAACCTGTCTTTCATGAACCCGGCCTTCCTTATGTTCGACATTGCCAGCATGGCCCTCGCCCAGATTTGGAAAGGAAGGTCGCGCCTACCCTCGAAGGAGGAAATGAGGCAGTCGGTGGACGACCAGCACAAATGGATCGCAAGCCTCTGCAACAGTGGCCCGGTGACCCCTGGCCTGGTCAAAGGGGTGGACTGGATGGAGTGGGTCGACCAGGCGGCTGGTTTGGGGCTGCAAGAAAACCTTGGATACGGCATGCAGGGGTGGTATTTCTGGCTCACCGATCATGAGCTCTGCAACATGGTTATGGATGGCCTACTGCTACCGTTCCATTATCGACTGTTCGATGCGGGCAAACGGAAGCCTTGGAAGGAGGCTCGCGAATCGATTATCAAGGTCAATCAGGAATTAAGGGCGAAAAATTGGTACCCGTAGGCTGGTTGACATGGGGCGGTTCTAGTCGGAGTTTATTTTTTTTGCTTTATTCTGTAGCTATAGCGCGAAGAGATCCTTAATCTATTTTGTCCACTTAACACACTACTGAGATTTGTACGCCCAGACTCGTAGTAGCTCGTTGTGGTGCCTACGCCTTGTATTAGTGTTTACATTCCCCGAGAAATAGTCGGCTGCTCAGAATCAGTCTGGAATGGAACCAAAGTCAGAGTTGGCATTGTGGACCACAAAACCCACATACCGAACCCTCTGTGGGTCGGATTCAGTCTCTCGAGGGGAAATCTGCAACGGTTGCGGATATTAATGGTTGGATCCGCAAACATCCACAGGGTCCATGTCTGCAGATCTGCCATTTCCACGGGTGTGGACTCAAGATTTTGAGCCCGAAACCCGCCCTGAGATGGACTTCCTTTCCACCGCCCGAATTCCCCGATGCCAACTCTCTCTAAATGCTGTTCGGTCCCGAAATGAAGCATCGGGCCCGAGGATGCATCGTGTCCGAAGGCCCGAAGATGGCCCCACTCTAGTATATTATTCTCATTCCATTCATACCTTCAAACCTCCTTCTCTTCACACGATCATCTTTGTTGCTCTGTCTCATCAGTATTCCTTTCCACAGCCAAGATGACCGCGAGCACCGACACACCACGAGTTGCGGAAGCAAATCCGCCCACGAAGGCCTCCGATGGCGAGAAGTCGCAGGAGACCTCTGTCGAGAAATCCCAGGAGGAGACGTCTGTCGAGAAGTCCCAAGAGGCTTCTGGTGACAATGCCACCCCGGATCCGAACGCCCATCACACTTCAGGATCTCGTCTGGCGTTGATCATGACGGCGATTCTGTTGTCCATGTTCCTTGTCGCCCTGGTTCGTCGCGCCAATCCATTGCCATAGCGCTCTTCCTATAGCCTGGAACGATCATTGCTAACACACCTTTACCTAGGACCGTACAATTATCGCAACCGCTGTTCCGCGCATCGCAAATCAGTTCCGCGCCTTGAACGACATTGGCTGGTACGCGGGCGCCTACCTGATCACCAGCGCTGCCACTCAACTGCTGTGGGGGCGCATCTATACTTTCTACAACACCAAGCTCGTTTTCATCATCGCAGTCGTGATCTTCGAGGTTGGCTCTGCGCTCTGCGGCGGAGCTCCCAATTCCGACGCGTTCATTGTCGGCCGCGCAATCGCAGGCAGTGGATCGGCGGGCATTTTCTCCGGTGCGACTGTCATCATCACCCAGATCATTCCTCTGGCGAAACGACCCATGTATATCGGCTTTATGGGCTCGACCTTTGGCGTTGCCTCGATCGCCGGGCCCCTCGTGGGAGGTGCATTCACCGATCGAGTGACCTGGAGATGGTGTTTCTACATCAAGTATGCATTTCTAGTCCCCAGCACCTCTTGTCCATTACGAACATCCCATAGCTAACCTTCTCTCTAGTCTTCCCATCGGCGGGTTTACCCTGGCGATTATCCTGCTCTTCCTCCGTGTCCCCCCAGTCACGAACACCGAGCCGTTGTCTCGCCAGTTGATCCGTCTCGACCCGCTGGGAACCCTTATGTTCTTGCCGGGAATCATCTGTTTCCTGCTCGCTCTCCAGTGGGGCGGCAACGACTACTCCTGGCAAAACGCCCGGATCATCGCGCTGTTCGTGCTGGCCGGCGTGCTCATCATCGCGTTCGCCATCATCCAGCTCTGGCGGCAGGAAGACGCGACTATTCCCCCGCGCCTCATCCGCCAACGCAGCGTCTCCTGCGGCGCCATCTTCGCCCTCTGCATCGGAGGCGGCATGATTTCCATGCTCTACAACCTGGCACTGTGGTTCCAAGCCACGAAGGGCACCAGCGCCGTCCAGGCCGGTATTGACACCATCCCCGTCGTGCTGTCCCTTGTGGTCGGCTCCATCTTGTCCGGCATCCTGATCTCCCGCACGGGATACTACGTCCCCTTCATGTACCTCTCGACCATCCTGACGTCTGTGGGCTCGGGCCTGATCACCTCCTTTACCCCATCCACCGGCCACCCCAAGTGGATCGGGTACCAGGTGCTGTACGGCCTGGGCCTCGGTGTCGGCATGCAACAGCCCAGCATGGCCGCGCAGACGGTCCTGCAGTGGAAAGACGTCTCGACCGGCGTGTCCATCATGTTCTTCATGCAGTCGCTGGGTGGCTCGATCTTCAACTGCATCAGCCAGTCGCTATTTACGAACTACATTCGCGCGCACGTCGCCGGCATCCCGGGTCTGGATGCCGAGAAAGTCCTGGCCACGGGTGCGGCCGAGTTGTCCAAGAATGTCCCTGCAGACAAGTTGCCGCAGGTGGTGGATATTTATAACGAGGGCCTACGGAGAGCGTTCATCGTCACGCTTGCCGTGTCCTGTCTGACTGTTTTGCCGGCCCTGGGTATGGAGTGGCGGTCGGTTAAGGCGAAGCAAAAGCCGGAACCGGCGAAGGAAGAGCCCCAACCAGATACTAAAGGTGATGAGGCCTGATTTGGCTGTCAGTCTCGAATGACGACATTGGTTACTAAAGAATGAGCGGGGGGACTAATGGTTGTTTAAAAGTTTCAAGGGCGGCGATTTATTTCTTTATACGATTCTGGGACGATTTGCGGGCGAGAGAAGGGAGGAAAAGAAATACCCCGTTTGGATCATAAAATGAAGCAAGGGATGGGCCGGATGAATACCAGCATCGTCGCATGTTTTTCATGACTGCATTTGGTTTCTAATACTGTATTCTTGTCCATAGCTAGTTATAATGTAATGAACGATTTTAATTTATGTCCGTCAATACAAATACGACCTGTATACCTACAGCCCTTAGGCTCCAGGTGCCTGAATAGCATCTTTCCGCGTTAAGGAGAGTCCCGGCTGTGGGAACGGGGGCTGAGGAATTCAAATAATCTACTGGAACTATTGAATTGGCTTGGATAGCTTCATGAATCGATGAATCAATGATTATCTAGGAGAAAGAAAGGATCCAGGGGGTCAAGGGGTGTAAAACTCTGTCCCTGGCCGCTCAACGCGCCAGGGGTTTGTACGACCTCACCCCGAGGACCGCGATCAAAGCGCTCACACTGGCGGCCTGTGTTGCACCAGATTTTGTCTAGGGATGTGTCTTTTTCTTGGCCCTGTCGGTTCTCCACCAAAGTTCCCGAAACAAGACATGATCATCTCGGGGAAATCTCAATAGTCTGTCATGGACTTCGTAAAAGAGGCTGCATAAGTGGCGAGAGCTTCGGGGCCGACCCTTCGGGAGCCATCAGTAGTTTCGGGCCCGAGAGGACATTCAGGTACGTCACAGCCCCACCCAGAATAACAAAGAGTACATATTGCTTTCGAAAACAGCATGGGAGCAAAGCACCATATTTATGCGATCGGTGCCTTTCCTGTCAGTTGCTAGGGATGCTTGCACCACGTATAATCCACGTCTCTCGCATTACCACCACTCGCCGGTTGGTGACAGCCCTCCCCAGATCCCCAAGTCCGCTCGACCTACAACTACGCCCCCTTCGCCGCCAGCTCTCCATGTCGAGCCCCTTACAAACACAGTCCGGGCAAGGACAGCAACTATGGGCGAACGCCCCGTTCACTCTCATCACAGACACCGGCATCGACGCTCGCCCAGAGGTCCCTCGAGACCACTATGCCTACGAGCTGGCTCGCAACATGGCACACATCCACAATCTACTCCTCCGCGCCCTCAACGCCTCCTATAACCAGTGTCTGTCAGTGCGCCCAGACACCCCCGAGACGCGAGACTTCCTCGTCTTCAACCAGTGCCTTCACGCCATGCTGAAAAGCCACCACGACCAGGAAGAAGAGTCCCTGTTTCCGGCGTTCGGCAAAATCACCGGCGACCCCGACGTGATGGAAATCAACGTGCAGGAGCACAAGCGGTTCGAGACCGAACTGCAGAATTTCCGCGCCTATGTTTACGACACCGACCCGAAAGCCTACAATGGCCCGCAGCTGAAATCCCTCCTCGAGAAGCTCGGCCCGCTGGTCCAGGAACACCTGCACAATGAGATCGCGACGCTGCTGGACCTCCACACGGTGGACAGCGAGGCGCTCAAGGGGGTTTTCGGCATGGCCGAGAAGGGCTCATCGGGCGGACCCCATGACTTTTTCAAGTATGTAACAGAGCGGTTCGATGGTCGGAAAGTTTTGTTCATCATGACTGATTGCCTTTTGTCCAGGGATATCCCCTTCACGCTTACATGTGAAGACACGACGTTACAGATCGACGGCAAAGTGACGCCTCCTTTTATCGGAAATCTGCCCCGGCAGTTGATCAAATGGGCTGTCGGTTGGCGATACCCTGGTGTGTGGCGATTTGCCCCAAGCGATTTCTTGGGGAATCCGCGTCCTCTGTTATTTCCGAATCCGTCGGATCCGTGATACATTGAGTGGAGCTTGGGTTGTGTTCAGCGTCTAGGTCCGTTGCTAACCTCGTTGTGGGTCCTCTAAAACCCCGAGGCATGTTCTACTCTTTTGCAGAGGACTAGACGGGACGCACTGAAGCGGAATAGAATAATACATTTAGAATAGCATCTTATCTCGCAAGAAATCAGGAGTGTAATAACAGGGGATAATCAACTAGTTTCGGTTAACGAACAACTTAATTAAAAACTAAAAGATCACTACTGGTAGGATGTTCCTAGGATATATATATATAGACATACCTAACATTAGACTAAGACTTTAAGGCTGCTATCGCCATCTACCGAGCCTACTAGACCAGCTAGACCACCTGAGCCATTCAGCCCAGATAACACAGATAGGACCAGAACGACCCGAGGGATAACCCAGCACGGTTTTCCCATGCAATAACAAGATATCCCAGCGGATTAGAAATGCTATTGTTGTGAAAAGAAGATAACGAGGCTGAGATTATGACACAATAAGAGACGTTGAATTCAAAAATAGAAATAAAATAAAATAAAATCTCTCCATTGGCTTGTTGCCTCGTCTTCATTATACCGTTCTCATTCGACTATGTCCATAGTTGGTCTAGGACTTATCCTAAATGATGGAGTCCGCAAATCAATAGGCGCTGGGATGATTACCCAAATATCCGCCGTCAGCCAACATCACAGAGCCGTTGCAGTACGCCCCCGCTTTCGAGGCCAGGTAGAGGATCGTTCCTCCAATCTCCTGCATGTCACCAAATCGCTCCTCCGGTGCCATGGAAGCAGGCAGCTTTCCCCCCGTGGTCTTGTGGAAGCTATCCGTCATCTCGGTATGGAAGTCTGCATGGTCGAGTTAGCCTGCCACTCATGACCCTGAAAAATAAAATGAAAAAGGAGAAGTGCTCACATCCAGGCGCAATGACATTCGCTCTGATCTTCCACGGAAACAGATACGTCGAGAGGTTCTTGGTCATCTGCGTCGTCCCGGCCTTGCTGGCTCCGTAGATAAACGCCGAATTGTCTCGTCCGAACCCACCGACACTGCTCAGCATCACGATCTGGCTGCGCACGTAGTCCTTCCGCCCTTTTGCCTTCGCCTGATCCGCGCGCACCTTATTCCCCTGGTCCAGAAGCTCCAGGAACGCAAACGACACCTGCAGAGGGGCGATCGTATTCGCCTCCATGACCTTGGCGTAGTCCGCAAATGACCTGTCAAACCAGTATTTCCGCACCGCGGAGACGTCCCACTTCGCATTGGGGCGTGTGTGGTGCGGTCCGAGATTAGGCGTCGCGATCCCTGCGTTGTTCACGAGGAGGGTCACGTAGCCTTCCTCGTTGGCGATGTGATCGACTGCCTTCTGGAGGTCGTCCTTGGAGGTGATGTTGCATTGCACGGGGGAGATGTTGCCGAATGTCTGGATGGCATCTGTGAGAGGGTGAATCGAATGTAGACAGTTAGAGAAGAGGACTCACTGATTGCTTCGCTGCCTCTTGCAGGACCTCCAGCCGTCGTCCGAGAATGAAGACTTTCGCTCCGTTGGCTTCCAGCGCTTTCGCCATCATCAACCCCATTCCCGTTCCACCTCCGGTGACGACCGCGACACAGTCGCTGACGTCGAACACCTCAGTGTTCTGAAGGGGAGCATATAGGCCGTCGAATGTCATCTTTTCCCGCGGTGCAATCGATGCAATGGTATGGCGTGGACAATACTGGTGGATGAGAACCGTCGCAATGATTCACGGGGATATCGCACAATGCTCAGTGACCAGCGAAAGTGAGATCGCCTCGATAGAGAGTATATGCATTGGCGAGGCACATGTCCGCTTTCCGCTGCTATAGACGAAACCGTCTTACAGGCCTGAAACCGTCCTACCGGGTTGAACTTCCCTTCCCCCTGTCCTCAGAGCTGAAGTCGGTCCGACTGCTCGGGGCACCACCAGGGGAATAATTGTTAGACCCGCTCAGCTGCGACCCCACGATGTACCTGGTTCCGTTCCTGATTCCGTTCCTGATTCCGTTCGCGGTCTACTGATCACGAAGCCCCTGTGCTCGGGGTGTCACCTCGGACCCCGAGACCCGAAACCCGACACCCGACCGAACGCATGCGGTCTCGGGAATTGTACTGCTTCAATGGAACCCGCTGAATTAGGGCTGGACGAGTTCACCCCTGCATCCGGTCGCCTGCCCAACATCGAGGCGCCCGTCAGAGTTCTCCACGTCCGCGCTGCTGCCCATTTTTCAGTCCTTTCTTGGCGGGAACTAGAATCGTAATGATCGGGGATTTTTCTACGATATGTACATACTGCTTGGATAGCCTGGATAATAGAGACAGATTGCGCATTCCGCAGTTCACCCACGCCACTACGTCTCAGCGCCGTCCATGAACTCCTCGAGTCGTCTCACCAGCTCTCCCACCTTTACGTCTGAATCACTCGTTACCCAATGCACCAGCGAACCAAACCAAGACTGCTGTTGTCCCTCCGTATCATCTCGCGGCGACCGTGGTGGCAGTAGAACCGTATCGAGCTTGTGAACCACGCCATCCATGACGACGAGGTCCGACTGCGTGATTCTGACTTCGTTGTTGATCAGCGGGGACGGACGGGCGGAATCGCCCGCGTCGATAGAGATGCTGAGATTGTATCCCGGCACCAGCGTCGGGAGATCCAACTGCACGGTTCAAACCTGTTAGCGAATCCCGGGGTGGGGCGGCGGACAACGCCTGTGGCACTCACGGTAGATCCCTTCTGGAGCGGAATCTCTCCCCGTCCACTCTCTTGGAAATAGATGTCCGTAAACATCGTGCGGTTGGCCACGACGTGGTACTCGAGCAGCGCTTTCAGATATTGCCGGCCACCGGGACTGAACAAGAACTTCTTGGTCTTGGCCCCCAGCTTGTCGAAAGCTGCGTTGGACGGAGCAAACAGCGTCTGGCCCACGTGGGTGGAGGTGTCGTTGATAGTGACTGCGACGTCGGTCAGGGTGAGGCCTTCACGCAGCGTGGAAAAGTCGCGGTCGTCGCGCAGGAGGTCGGAGGTCGATTCAGGAAGCATGAGCACGCGGTCGACAAGGTGGACGTGGCCGTTCACTCCGGCCAGCGAGTAGTCCGCGGTCGCATAGTGTGCCCGATAGTTAAATGAGAGGCGGTTCGACAGTCCGTGAAGACTGATGCGCTGGCGATATTTCTGGTAGATGTCCGCGAAGACGAACGATGGCGCCGTGTTCATGCGGGACAGCATCTCCCGGGTGAAGGCGCCTGGTCCCATGTGGTAGCCGACCAGGTACATCCAGTAGAAGATGGGGAGATCCTCAGCAAACTTCTCCTGCTCAAATGCTTCGTTCGTGGGGACGTAGACGGTAAATTGAGCCTTGGGCGCATTCAACCCCCCCGCGATACCGGTGAACTGCCCCAGGATGTTCGCAAAGGTCGAGGTGCGGTTGTCGTTCCGGATCAACTCCCAGACTGTCATCGGACTGTTGTCGATGGCAGTGGTTTCTGGCACACGCACTGGGTGAATTGTGCCTTGAAGGAGATTCCTGGCGAAGAACTGGATGCCCAACGCGACGGTGGCCACGATCACTGTCGCCCTCGTCACCCGGCGAGCGAGTCGGCTGCATCGTTTCCAATTCACACTCATGCTGACGGCGATGCGGCAGACGAATTCCAGCGATGACAGGAGACCAAGAGAAAAATCGACGACCCTTCGGACTTATGCACAGATCCTGACCGACGCTCTCGGCGGAGAATGTCGAGGTAACCCTTGCTTACCCGATCCGGGAGACGCCCCCAGCCCCGCCAGCGTCGGGGAATGAAATCATGCTGCATTTCCAAGAATCAAGCTGTCTAATAGTCGCCAGGGGAAACATGTCCCCTGAAGAACCGCCATCCCGAATCCAACTCGCATGGCTCAATCACGCACCATGAACCTCTCAGTCTTGCTTCTTGCCCTGGCAGGGTTCGTCTCGGCCAAGGTGGTGAAGGAGGAGTTGACTCTGACATGGGAGCAGGGAGCGCCCAACGGACAGGCGAGGGAGATGATCCTGATGAATGGGCAGTTCCCGGGACCGACATTTACGTGGGATGAGGATGATGACGTCGAGGTGCTCGTACACAATCAAATGCCGTTCAACACCACAATCCACTGGCACGGGCTTATGTATGCAACCGCGAGATCCCCCAGAGACTTGACCTAACTATTCGCAGGATGCAGGATACGCCGTGGTCCGACGGTGTACCGGGCCTGACGCAAAAACCCATCGAAGTGAATCAGTCGTTTATTTATCGCTTCAAAGCGTCGCCGCCGGGGACTCATTGGTGAGCAGTAGTCTTCGCCCTGCCGTTCGAGCATATCTTGGCTAAGTAGCTTCGCTGACCCTGCTTAGGTGGCACTCCCACTCTCGCACTACATTGCTAGACGGGCTATATGGCGCGTTGTACATCAGGTGGGCACATTCCAATCTTCATGGAGACATCCCGCTGATAGCCGAATAGACCCAAACCGACCAACCCAGCGCCCTGGGCGCTCATCAGTGACAATCCCCGGGATATCGAAGCGATGCAGAAGGCCGTCGCTAATCCTCACGTCATCGTGGTCTCCGACTGGACGCAGTTTAAGTCCTGGGAATATATGGACGCCCAGGAAGCATCGGGATACGCCGTCTTGTAAGCCGCATGCATGACCTGCTCCCGAGCGGACTCGTTCAACTAACCATTTCCGCCCAGCTGCGTCGACAGTCTCCTGATCAACGGAAAGGGAAGCGTTTACTGCCCCGGTGAGGATTTCCTGGTCAGCCATACGAGTACCTATATGAAGTGGGCTATCTACCCCGGCCACGTCAACGACAAAGGGTGAGCTCCACGTTTCGCCCTGTTCCCTGCAGGAGATCATTCTCACAACCTGATAGATGTCTGCCGTTCGTGAAATCGACCGAAAACAAATACCTCGCCAATGGCCGACCGGAGGCGATCCCGCTGCACCTTCAACGGGGCTGCGTTCCGGCAACGGGCGACCAAGAGGTCATCGAGGTGGATCCGGCCGCGGAATGGGTGAGCCTGAACTTCGTGGACGCGGCGACGTTCAAGACTCCGGTCTTCTCCATCGACGAGCACCAGATGTGGGTGTACGAGGCGGACGGTCACTTCATCGAGCCTCAGCGCGTGGACACCGTCGAGTTCTACGCTGGCGAACGCTACTCCGTGATGGTTAAGTTGGACAAGAAACCGCAGGACTACACGATCCGGGTGACGGACACCGGGTTGACTCAGATCATCGCCTCATACGCTACCCTAAGATACAAGGGTGGTCGCGAAGGTGCAGAGACTACGGGCGTCATTAACTATGGGGGATTGAACACCACGGCGGTGGTGACACTCGACCGGGACCATCTCCCGCCATATCCCCCCAACGCGCCGGCCGCACACTCCGACGCGCAGCACGTGTTAAACACGCACCGATGGCACAACGCATGGCAATACACCATGACCGGCGGGGGGATGTACGGGGAAGACCGAAGCGCCTACGCTCCGCTGCTATACCATCCGAACTCGGCCGACGCGATGAACGAGAGCCTAGTCATCCGAACCAAGAACGGCACCTGGGTGGACCTGGTAATCCAGGTCGGATCGCTGCCCGAACAGCCGCAGGAGTTCCCGCACATCATGCACAAACACACCGGCCGGACGTGGCAGATCGGGGCCGGCGAGGGCATCTGGAATTACACGTCCGTGGACGAGGCGATCCAGGCCGAACCCAGCAAGTTCAATCTCAAGAACCCGAATTTCAGGGACACCTTCATCACCTCTTTTGATGGACCGTCTTGGATCGTGCTGCGATACCAAGTGACCAATCCCGGCCCGTGGCTCATGCACTGCCATTTCGAAATTCATCTCGGCGGTGGCATGGCCGTTGCCATCTTGGATGGGGTGGATGCGTGGCCCGAGGTCCCGCCGGAATACGCGCCGGATCAGAAGGGTTTCTACCTGGATGCGGACAAAGATGCCCCGGGAGATAGAGAACTATAATTACTTTAAGAACTAGGGAGTTTTCATACCGTGGTATAATAAATATAGAGAGCTCTATAGCACACGTGCTGGGAGATCAGAACATAAAATATATTTTAGAATAGATACTATATAATCCAAAACCTTCGCTTGGCTCGCAAATTATAGCTTCCTATTACGCAGACAGAGGATCACATCGGACCTAATATAGATAAATATTATTAGACTATGGGCATACTGCTCCTAGAACATCTATGTCGGGCCCTTTCCCAACACAGCCCGTCAGAAGCGCTCTGTATGTACAACTGGAAGCGGAGTAGGCCATTCACCAAAGTTGCACGCATCGTATACAGAAATCATGGCATGCTATATGGGTACATTGATAGCCCTACCAAGTGTTTAACCGGACCTACTTCCCGATAACTTTGGAAGAGTAATAATGCTACTATAGGATACTTGACACCGGAGCGCTGTCCGCTTCTACCCTGTCACCGTGAAGACCGATATCGAAATCCCACGGCTCCCTTGCCATAGGTAGCGAGTCCTTGTCGCTTCTCCTGGAGATTACGGACTCACTCTGTACAAGAGGCCTTCTCTGACTGTGACATCGGGGATTATCTCGGGAATTTGGCTTACGCCAATGGCGGATCTCGGGAGTTGGCTCGGGGGTCGGGAGTATCATCGGGGGTTATCACCCGAGCATGCCCCGAGCCCCGAGCCCCGTCGGGCCTCTGAACACTCGGGATAAGATCGGCGGTTTAGAGGCTGGAGGACAGTGTCCGCTTGAGGTGTTCCGTTTTCAGATGCAGCCACAGTCACAGCTGAAGCAGATGACTTGAAGCGTATGATATCTAGTAACGAATTATCGGGTCCAGCAGGGGTCATTCCCCTGTTGAACGGAGACGGTGTGCCTGGAGCCCACGTTGTGTCCAGAACCCCACGGTAGTATAAAGCATTCGAAGCTATTGAAGAATTAATCTTCTACGGAAGATTTCCCGAAAAGTGAATTCCGACGCATAATTTTTGGACTGTCGAACTCTTGTATTCTGTATACAAAATGGCCGCAACAACCGTGGCTGCTGAGCCCGCACCTGCACCCCACGCCGGCTTCCAGGAAGGGCTGCCCGGCCCATCTAACCTGACAACTTCGGAGTCCTTGCTGGAGGATCTTTCTATCAAAATCCAGGAGAATGCGTGTCGCATAAGTTCGTTCCTGCGTGGCAATGGCCACTCGTTACCGTCGTTCAACGTGGACGCCCCTACCACCACCTTGCCAGCCTCGGCTCCAACTGAGATCCACGCCGCACGACAGGCGCTGATGGAGGCTGCTTTGGAGACGTTTCAGCTGGCGGCGGGCCCCAGCGAGTATCTGCCACACCTGGCGGTCGGTGTACGTATATTGCTTTCCCTTGCGGGATGATCGTCGTTGTTGAACATGCTACTCACCCACCTCAGTATCAATACATCACCTGTTTGCGATGGTTAACCCATTTTGGAATATTCGCGCGGGTTCCTCTCACTGGTAGCGTCTCGTACAGCGAGGTCGCGGCGTCCGCGAATGTCTCTGAACAGCAATTGAAGACAGTGGCCCGGATGGCCATGACGAACCACGTCTTCTGCGAGCCGGAGCCGAACACCATCGCGCACACAGCGACCTCTGCCCTCCTGGTGACCAACCCGATGTTCCACGACTGGGCTACGTTCATGTGCGAGGCATCGGTCCCGACGGCGTCGAAGCTGGTCGAAGCCTCTGAGAGGTGGCCGGGCAGTGTGGAGAGGAACCAGACGGCATACAATGTGGCTTTTGAGACGGATCTCCCTTTCTTCGACCACCTCGCCACGATGCCGGAACGAACGAAGCAATTCGCCAGCTATATGAAGAACGTCCAGAATAGCCAGGGCACGGCCATTCATCATCTTTTGCAGGGCTACGATTGGGCCGCCTTGGGTAAAGCAACCGTTGTTGATGTCAGTATCTCCATTTCTGTTCATACTCCCTTTCCTATGGCAAGGTGACGGCAGTGGTACCTTGCTTGCCCCTTTCTTGCTGGCTCTTACGTTATGTCATCCGTGAGAGGAGGAAACTAAATATCTTCAAAGGTCGGAGGCTCCACCTGCGCCGCCAGCATCGCACTCGCGCGTGAATATCCAGACCTCAATTTCGTCGTGCAAGACCTGCCCGACAACGTAGTCAGCGGGCACGCCGCGCTCGCAGAGCAGCCATCGAACATCTCATCGCGGATCACCTTCCAAGCGCACGACTTCTTCGAAGAGCAGCCCTGCCAAAACGCCGACGTGTATCTCCTGCGGATGATCCTGCACGACTGGCCCATGCGCGAAGCCACGGCCATTCTTAAGCGCCTCCTCCCCGCACTGAAGAAGTCCTCGCGCATCATCATCATGGACACGGTGCTCCCGCGACCGGGCTCGATCCCGTCGGCAGAGGAGCGTCTGCTGCGTGCCAGGGACATGACGATGCTGCAGGCTTTTAACAGTCTGGAGAGGGATCTTACGGATTGGGAGGACTTGCTGAAGGGTGTCGATGAGAGGCTCTCTCTTGTGAACGTGATGCAGCCGGCTGGGAGCGTGATGTCGGCTATGGAAGTTGCTTTCGAGGCGTGATTTTGAATTATGGATCGGTGATTGATGTTTCCATGCCGATTGAACTATGTCTGCGGGGGGTCCGAGGCCTGGGTCGAATACTGAAACAGGTAGTAACTACTAACGAGTAAGCTGAATAATAGTCAATATCTATAAAAAAATCCTAAATTGTTCCAATGTTACATAGTGGTTTAGAAAAGTAAAATATCCGTAAAACTATTAGCAATAAAAGATTTATCTAGATTAAATCTAAATCTTGATATTAGCTATAGTCTCTTCAGGCGAATATTTCGGTATAATAAAAATTACAAAGATAAAAAATAGTTCCATGAAGAGATTTATAATTCTAGAATCCCAATTATTGCGGATTTTATCTCCAGGGACTGAATCCGGCCAAGAATGTCGTACGGAACGCATGCGGGTTTTGCCGCCGTGAATGCCAACTCGACGTCCGTTTCTAGCTCTTCACCCGGCCCGCCCGGCTGAGGCTTATCCTGGCTTGCCTTCTTGCTACTGGCCCCAAGGGCTACATTCCGGTACGATTGGCGTCCTTGGGGGCCATGCGCCTGGTCATCCATCCTATGGTGAAGTAATTCGCTGGTGATCGGACCTTCCGTGTTTTGCGCCACCCCGGAAGTCGGTTTCCAGGGGGGTTAGTAGTCAGGCAAGGGGAGGGTAGTATGTTCCTTTGGACTCTCGCCTCGGGTGCATTCATCCATGGAACTGCATGGAGCTGGCAATGCTGGAGAAACGTCAAGCGCTCATTACACGTCAGAGAAAGCGCGCTCAGACGAGAGTGGGGGTGGTGAATGGAGCTTGCATCATCAGGTTCAGCCCCAGCTGGCCAAGTTGACTTGAGTAGGGATCGCCGCTGCGGATGTAACCCTTGTCTTGTTTGCTGCTCATTGCCCCACGGGAGCTGAAGCTCGTAAATCCGCGCATTGTATTCGTTCCATCTGCTGCGTGGGCGATTCAGATCCTGATTATCCCTGCAAGGGATCCTGCGAAGGACTACTTACTACCCCTGGCCTGCACATTCCGAATTTCCCGAATGGCAGTGTGGGCAAGCCATTTCTAATATATTCTGCAGTCGACTATGATTTGTTGTTTATACTGTACTGAATCGCATATTTCTATGGAAGCCAGAATTATCCCATAGGGTTGGTAATTTAAATACGGACTCCCAGTCTTTCGATTATGGCGAATGGCTTCGTGGTAAGCAGGCCAGACGTGGTAGACTTCAATAGACCCACCAAACATTCCAGACTCAAGGAACTAGTCCAGCCATGGCTGGCCTCTGTCAGAGACACTCTGTGTCCGGGCAGGTTGGGCGAAGGTGGGAAGTTATCCTGGCGTCGACCGGCCCGACCCCCGGAATGGATGCTAGTTAGAGTTTAGGATTCACGATATACATGAACAGGTCTACAGTACCTCGAACAAATGTCTCCGTAGATCGACGGCCAGAATCTGTCTGACGCCATCGGGCGGGCAAGGATGTGCTTGGTTTAGATAGCTGCGCTGCATGATCAGCCACGCGACAAGGGCCCTCTGCTGAACTGGATGATTGGGTGTCCCTCCATTGCCCCCTCTCCTGGTGGGATCTGAGACCATGGGACTTAATGCATGCAAGGATGACAGGATACGAGATAAGGGGCGGGGTGGTGGCGGACCAGTGATATCCCTAGAGTAGCTCGTGTGCGAGGAGATCTGTCTAGGAACATCTTATCTCTTCGCACTAGTCGAGTCGCCCTCCGTCTAGTGGTGTAGTGGGTGTCGAGTCTATTTGTTCAGACGCAAGCAACCTGGGTAAGGATGGGGACAGGCGTCGGGGCGTCGCCGTCATTCGACCAACTGCATTCGAGCAGCGCTCCTGTTGGTGCTATGCCGGTTGCGGATCTTGCAGGTCGCTCACTCAGCTTGGCTGCGTTGACCTCGGTTGGTCTGGGCGAGCATGACAAGAGTGACATGCTTCTCCCGTCTGCAATCGATATCCACATATAAGCACGGGTTTCCAGCCCACGTCGATCAACGAACCTCAAACCCTCGCGCTCAGCACCATGAACGTTCCGTCTGCTGGGAGGAATGCTCTCCCCGCTTCTCCGCAGTCTCTTCCCTCGAAGCGACTCGAGATCATCCGAGCCAGCTGTGATAATTGCGCCAAGTCCAAGGTTCGCTGCAGCAAGGAGCAGCCGCGGTGCCAGCGCTGCGTCTATCAAGGCGTCAACTGCATCTACAGCCCGTCGCAGCGCGCGCGGAAGCGGCCGCTGGACGCATTCCACGCGCGGTCACGGCGGTGTGACACCTCAAATGGCCCCAGGAATGCTGTTGCGACGGGAGACACGGCGTTCGACGCGGATCCAATCGAGCACATCACCGTCTTTAAAGACGGCAAAGCATCGACAGACCCCGATCCCTATGTCTTTCCCAACTCGAACATGTTTCACACGGATGTCGATAGTTTGTTGAACTGGGACGATTCGGTCGCGACGCTGGACGAGCAGCCGCCCTCCCACGAAGACGCCTCGGGCATGCTGGAGTCTCTGGAAATGCCCTCGATGCCACGACCACCCGACCTGCATCGCACCTTGGACGATCCGGATTCCCAATTCTCCTGGTTATTCCGCAACGAGAAGGACACGCCGCCGCTGTCGCAGGGCCTGATGGCCGGGGCCGCCAGTTACAGTCCCAGAGCTCATCACCACTGCACTGAACTGGCCATTTCCACCATCCAGAAACTCGACGTGCCCATGGCCTCCCCGTGTCCCTCGTTGAGTAGCCCCGGCACTCCCACCCCAGTCTCCATGGCGAGCTGTGGGTCCGAATCGCTGAGTTTCGACACTATTCTCCAAGATAACCACGCGGCACTAGACAATCTCCTCACCATCCTCCACTGCTCGTGCGCTGGCAAGTACGACCTCGTGTTCCTGATCACGATGGTGTGTTCACAGATCTTGTGCTGGTACCAAGCGAGCTTGGACCGCAGCGCCAGCAACAACTGTAGTACTGGCAGCAGCAGCAGCATCAGCGGCAGTAAAGGCAGCTCGACCCACTCGCGTGGACCCTCAGCTGGAACCACCTCCCTGCGCGATACGTCCCCGTCCCCCTTCGAGAGAGTGTCTATCCCCTCGATCCGGATCGGCACGTATACGCTCGACCACGAACATTCGGACCGCATGGTAGCGCAGTTGATTCTGACCGAGCTGCTGAGGATGAAAGAGGTCGTGGAAGTGTTTAGTCGCACTTTCTGTTACCGCGGGGACTACACGAAAAAGTACACGGCGCAGGGCGCAGTCGGTGAGGATAGTAGAAGCCATCTGCACCAGGCTCTGGAGGCATTCCTGCGCAGTCGACTAAAGACGGCGGTTCGGACCGCCTATGAAAGATTAAATCAGCGATGACCATCAGTTCATTTCTTCGTTGCCTACTGGTTCTATCGTGTACATAGATAGATAGATCCTTCTTGGAACCACTCGCAAGCGAGACTTATGTTTTAGCCGATTAGGCTGAGACTGTCCGGAGGTAACGACGGACCCTATTTATATATATTCATGTAATTGGTTAGCGAGCGGTGGCCACCCCGTCTCTATTTATGAAGCAATTCAGCTCTCAAGGGGACACTGTTCAGTCGCTCCGGCCAAATGACGTGATGAGAACATTCCACAAACCTCCGATAAATTAAACGGAACCATGCGCTTCCATCACAGTCCATCTACAGCCCCCCTGGCTGTGTGACGGTCTGACAAGTCAACGGAATTGGTACTCTCTTAACGAGAATTTCATACGTGGCTTACAACCGTTTTAGCAATCATCATGACCGCCTGCGGAGTTTTATCACTTCCTTTACTGATAACCATTTTCAATTTAACAAAGTTATTTACGTAGGGTACTAAGTTTCCGCTTAATCCGTGCTAAAGTATTGAACAAGGACCTGGACTAAGAATTGCACCTCGACCGTAATATGGTGTCGACATACACCTGATCTCCATACATACACTGCAGCCTTCTGCTCTGTTCTCCGTAACTAGCCCCCTCTTCCTTCTCCCTGGAGGTAGTAAGACGCTACGATCCAGTTTCTAGCTCACTTTTCTAGATCGTATGTATCCGTCCGAGCACATTTCTGCAGGTTCAGCCCGATGTGATATTTTAAAGTACCATCAAGACTTCTGTTGCTGATGCGAGGCTCTATGGGCCGCCTCTCTCCCCTGCTGTCGTCAGAGATGACGGCTGTCCCAGTCCCTCGTAACCCATCTTCCTCTTTGGTGCCGGTAATCCCCTTAAACTCCTGGGTTTCGATTTCAAACTCATTCCAGCACGTCACTGGCTCATGTCCACCGGTCGAGGTATTGTATTGAACACACTTGTCTTCGTAGTAAAAGAGAGTCTCAGCTCTTTTCGTAGGCTTCACCGTTCATACTGAAACTGAATGATTCTCCAGTGATTCCGATGGACACTCCGAACTTGGCGCCATCTTGTTTACAATATAGAGATGTCAGTGTGGCCGAGTGGTTAAGGCGATAGACTAGAATGGATCCTCATCTATCTCATCTATTGGGTTCGCCCGCACAGGTTCGAGTCCTGTCGCTGACGGCATTTCTTTCTTTCGTTTTTTTTTTTCCCCCTTTTTGTTTCAGTTCTTTTTCTCTCATACTGAGTTATATGTTTTTGTGTAATTATTTTTCTCCCTCCCCCCCCCCCCCCCCCCCCCCTTTTTTTTCGCATATAATTTCTTCCCCGTACAGTAGTCGTGTCCGGACTGTGACAGTCGTTGGCCGCTCGTCGATCGTGTCTCCCTCAAGATTGTCGTACTTCCAGATTTGCTTCCAGTGACTACCTAGGTAATAGAAATTCCCGTATGCCTTCCCGTAACCACCGTCGTACATCAGCTCCTGTCGCCAGTAGGGATCTCCTTCAACAATGAAGGATAGGTATTTGTGGTCGTCGGGGACCGCCATGGTAGATGGCCAGGTAGAATTAAGAGTGGTTCAATCATAAAGATGAAGTAAGAAAAGAGTACGTTAGTGGACGCTGTGTGAGGGAGAAAAGTCGCTGAGATTCAACAGCATATTTATGCATTTTCCTCCTGGAGTATGCCATCTCATCGATCCAGTGAAACGGTTATTCCTACAAGCCAGCCAGCTGACTGCATCCACGTCAAGGTCGAACAACCGCATCCATCAGGCCCATTGCCATCGGCCCGAACAGTCAATCTTCTCCGCTTTGATCACAATACGCCCGGCCAGCCACGGCTGAATCATAGGCTAAATGCTGACGCTCGAGATTGCTCTTGCAGATGGGCAGCAGATAGGGTTTGCTTCCCACATGAAACAAGCTCAATAGAAAGGCTTTCCGTCGATCTTGCCTCGATGGTGTGCATAATCTTATGGTTACATTGCATGAACCCTGCATATACAGCTAGCCACGTTTTGGGAGCTGAGATATTGGAATATATTAATGACGTCATGGCTGAACCGTCACCACAAATTTCCATTTGCCAGTTATGGTGACACCATCTAATACCATCTATCTACTATTGACTCCAGCGAGAACAATTTCCATTATAAATGAGGCCTGGAAATGCGTTCGCTACCAGCCCCCGATGTTTCCCCGCCCCCAGTCATCAAGAGTGGTTTCCATCAATCGATATGGATTAGGTTACATCGACCGACATGCTCCGTCCAATGAGCAGCTGTGGATAGGATCAGCCCCGTCCATAAGACAAGGATATTTGGAAACCGAAATCTACAACTGGAACCTGACTGTGGTGGCGAGTCAATGCAGGTCATATGCACTGACACGATTGAGTTTCATATTACTGGTCAATCAAGATCGAATGCTCAATTCCTCTTGAGGTGATAGTCAGCTACAGCGATCTAGACCACAGCTGACTATGGGTCCTGCAAAGTACTAAGCTGCACGTAGATTAAGGTATTGCGCCCAGAAGACCGCAAAGACAGCGGATTAGCGAATACAACCTTGACATTTGCCGCAGATGCCAGATTCCTGGGGTCAACGTGCTCTTTCGTACTGCGTTTCAGCTCTTTCCTCGGCGGGGCATGGGCCCTCGCTATACACACAGCAAGGCGAAGATTACCCCTTTGGAAAGTAGTGATTCCTAGTGAAGCATGGTAGATATGATTTAGGCCTTTTATCGTTTCCTTATTTGGTCACATCACTGTAGGATGATGGAAGGAGCGAGTACTCAGGGCACCGTACGGATCTATCTCTGGAAGGTTACTCAAAGAACTATAATCGGTTGTTTGGGTAGAGTTTAAGAGAACGGTTTGGTTTGGAATTTCCTAAGATCTTCATTGATGCCAAGCCATGTATGACGATTTAAGAATCCCCACTAGGGCTGCCTTAGTCTTTTTCATAGCGCCAGTAATGCATAGGAACTGTTGAAGCCCAATCTCCTCTCTAGGCAGTTGGATGATAATCGATGCGGGTGTCCTCAGCGGATTCCTTTAGCGCCGGGGTGCTTTCTTGACTGTCTAGTTGGCATGGGACCCAAAGACCTCCTACTGCTTCCACATGAGCGCCAAGGTGGATTAAACTAGGTCGAGAGTGTAGAAGAGATAACAAATAGCTCCAAAACAATTCAACGCTCCATTCGTCTGTCCACCACACTCCGGCGTCTCATATTCCACCATTGGATCAACGCGTTAACTCGAGAACTAGTTGCACCAATCACCACGATAAATCCCAAGACATAAGCCGATATCTCTGCTGTACACTGTAACCGATTTACGCCTTCGAATTTAGCCCTGCTGCATGTATTGGTGATTCGGGACATTGCCTGCCGACCGCAGATAATTTGGTAGAGAAAAAGCCGGATCGCAAGTGCATAGTTATTGGTGACAAGATGGTACAACAATGCAAAAATGGCAGTTGCGCACAAGAGTAACGTTGTTGTTGTTGTTATCATTGAGTCTGTGGAGAGTCAGTCGCGCTTTTAATCCAAACGGGAAAGACTTATTGTATACCATGGGTTATTGCTGGTTGAGTGTCAGGATAACAAGTTGACTGGAAAACATGATGTATGGGGTTGAATGTAGCGAAGGTGCCGAAAACTTTTTATCTCAACTGACCCGCACCGCAAATATAGCCGAAATGCCTCAACTCGGGGCATGATATTCCTAGAGATGCAACTTTCCCAACCAATATTAATTGAACTTTCGTACAACATAGCAATTATGTGTATAACAAAAGCTGTGTCCTTTTGTCGCACGTAGGTTCCGTCGAGTCCTGTGGTCCTCTTGCGCGGTCGTCGGATGAAAGTCCCGAAATACTTCAAGTATCTCGGGATGTCTCCGAAAGGGCGTGCATATGAGTGTCGCCGGGGATGAGTCCAACAATGCACCACCTTGATCATGTGAAAAGTGTCCATGCTGAAGCCTGCTTTTTAAGCTCTAGGAATAACCTGAAATGCCGTTCGTGGTTGAATTATACGTGAGAGTCTAAGGTCCCGGTACAGTGAATGTAGATCGATAGGCTGGCAACCGTTGTTCTTTATAATTGCTCGTTTAACTTCGTTGAAGCTACTGTGACTTGCTTTCTAGTACATAGAAGATTGATTAACCAAGCAATGATCTTGTCATCTCAACCCTGATGATAGAAAATGGTTAGCAGATAATACAGCAACACGAATTTGAGAAACTCGGCCGTGAAAGGGAAAGAAGGGGACAAAAAGAAAGTGCAAACACCTACGTCGCGAAAGTACCAGCAGAAACTGGCATTGCTCTTAACAGGGCCGGGCCCAGACCATTAAACAGCCCCCTCAAACCACCCGTCAACCACGTCTGGTGAAAAGCGTGGCTCATGGAGCGATATGCCTGACGGTCCCCGAACCCATCGCTCTGCATCTTACTCTTGATCACATCCAGCGGATGACTGAGCAACCAAAGCATCTCTCCCGCCAGCCCACCACAGACGGCAATCTGCCAGTTTGGCAGCTCTTCTCTGCGCTTCTGCTGTCGCTCTGTCACAATCCCCAGCAGTCCCTCGTATGCCGCGAACCAAACTCCGTATCCGTGGAACTCTCGGAAAAGTGTGACGACTTGGCCCCTGTAAAGCCCAGCAATGCCCGCCTGTCTGATAATCTTCCGTGCGCAGTCCCAGGGACCAGTGTAGTATCGTGCGGACCCATGTGGTTGAGTTTGTAGTCGGATACGGATGTGTTCTACCGGGCCTGAGACGACGCTGTTGACGATACCGGCTGAGCCGCCTGCAAGGTAGAACTGGGCCAGGGAGAGACCGGGACCGTTTTTGGGGTTTTGGCGTGCATTATGTGCTTCGAGAAGCTGACGGAAACTGTGAAAGGCGCCGAATTGAATGCTCACCTGCGCAAAATCATATGAGCATTTACCGAGAGAACACTATCCAGTGATTTTCGATTGTCATTGGTACTAGAGGGTTACTCACACATGCTCCGACACCCACGAGGGGTACTAATGTTCCCTTGTAGAACGCTAGGGGTCCCTCCTTACGCCAAATCTGACTCACAAGCGAGATGGCGCTGCTTCCTGTCTGTGTCTGGAGACGGACCTTGGCCAAGTCTATCTCTAAGTTAACGAACCTCCATAATTGCGACCGTTACAGCACTCTGTTCAGCATGCTGGATTCACGTACCGAATGGTTGCCCTGTTCGAATTGTCAGCGAGCAGAACACACCACAACGTCGATCTGAACCAGTATCCACCGACCAATTAACACCTGAGCGACTCCTCCGGCGGCGCCTGCGACCAGATCTTTGGCTGTCTCCTGTCCACTGACCGCTGGGGGTAGTGGCACGTTGTCGGACTCTGCGAGATTGGACATTATGGTAATGAGTGTGGTTTCAGCAATGGGCTTTGCAACAATCAGCTGCGCGTTTTCCTGAGTGGTCAGACGATAAGTGGTAACCCAAGGTATAGGATCTGGGGATATAAGCCATGTCGGAGCGTGGGATTATTTATCGCATTAAGAACCAACAATAATGTTCACTATCTCGGAGGATGTCTCCGAGACCCAACACGGCGCGTCGGCTTTTTATCCGAGGAAGAACAACTCAGTCGAAGGGTGGATACGCCCATGAGAAGGAAGTGGAGAACAGATGGACAATGAATAATCACATGAAATGGTGTTAGGAAGCTATGTACATTCTAGGACCGAAAATACATCATGAAGCGGCGTTTGGCCTCGGTCTTCAAAGCCACATACTCAGCCGTGGTTCTACTAACAGCATCCCGATTCTCAACTGCCCGACGCAAAAGATACGAAAGACAATCGCCCAGAGTGCCCCAGCTCAAGCATTTGTAGACCTCAGGAGCCACCAGACTTTCATCGCCGTTCCCTTCTTCCTTGATCTGCAGCATGCGACAGCTGACCTCATCTGCCATTCCCAGCAGCTGTCCATACTGCACTTTAACAGTCGGCTCACCCGATTGGATACGGGCCTGATAAAGGCCATGCGCCTTCAGCACGCTCTCCTTGTTATGCGTCGCGAGGAACAGTTCCACCGACGGAAAAGGACCCGCGCCGTATTCCCGCTTCAACAGATCGGCTGCAATGGAATCATACTGTGTGTCAGTGTTGGCTTTGGTATCGTTGATCAAATGGCGAGGCTCCGAGTTGATATAAGCGCCACGGACCAACTTCACTCCCAGCGTGAAATTCTCCTTGCGCGCACAGTCCATGTGCGCGTGCAGGGTGGTGGGCGTGGACTTCAGATAGGCTTGATAGGTGTTGTAAACCGTGGCTCGGCCGTCGCGATTGAACAGACGCATCAGGTCGAGTGCCACCTGGTCAATGCCATCCTGTACACTTTGCTGCTCGGCGTCGATGAAGATGCGGGCCTTCCTCTCCACCGCGCGGTTGCAGATTGCCTTGAGAGCGTTCATCATTTGGCTGGGAAGAGGCCCTCCTGTCTGGAGGGCATCTGCGGCGGCGGCACCTGCACCTGTGAATCTGTATTACATCGCATGTTAGCTGATAACTGTCACGAAGGGAGTAGATTTCCCTACTTCAAAGCCAGAAAGTCATGCTCCCCAATCATCTCCACAGTTTCCATCACTCCGACACACCAAGCCTCGATCTGGGGGTCTTGGGACGAGCTGGGTTTGTCCAATGCAGTGCCTTTCTCCCTTTGCTCGGATGTTCCTTCAGGCGTAGATATGGATGAGTTGTCGGACCCGATTTCTCGAGCATACGTCAGAATCACGCCCTTCATGCCCATATTCTTAATGCGACCAATAGTCGCAGACACCTCGGCGTTATTCTCGCCCGCGCAGAAGTGGTTGTAAAAGGATGTCTTTAAAAAGGCCCTGAGAATCGGATTCTTCTCGACGCTCAGTAGTCCGATGCGCGGGTGCGCGATCATCGAGAGAACCTTCAAGGCAGGAGTCAGAAGCGCTCGATGAGACGAGATCGTCGCCACCAAGAGCGACCGCAGCAGCATCTTTGTCGGGAGAAGTGAATGCGGTGGTAGTACGGCTTTCTGCGGACCTGTTGAGGTCGAGCCTCCCTTGCTGGCCACCGTCGACTGGCTTCTGGAGTAAACGCGCCATTGCGGTTGCAGAGGCTGTGGCAACACGCCAATCCGCCGTAGTGTTTGCCGTTGAGCCTTCATTGTGGTGAACAGGGTGAGAAGGCTCGATGGAAAGCAAGAAAGGTCCCCCGCGACGTATAAATTCGCGACCACATTATCAGCGCATGCACTATGGATCGTCGGTGGGCGCCGATCAGTCAAGCTGATTGGAGCTCTCGGTTCATATCCGAATCCCCACACTTCGTATTCGTTTATCTTCGGATGTGTCGCCGAAAAGGCGTGGATGTGGGGATTCAGCTTCTAATCGAAATTAGTCCGTATGATGAGACTTTGATCAACAGCACAGCGGATACAATGATTGGCTTGATGATTGGAGCTTTGTCCTTTTGAATAGGGGCCCTTAATGTGGTTCTCTATCTCTCATATGGAACCTGATCCATAACTATATATTCTAGTGCTACCCGGATAGATATGCTGGGTTACGACAGGCAGTATGAAATTGGATACGGGAAATTGTGATGACCAAGCAGGAAGTAACGGCTTGAATAGCTCTTCCCCAAGAATGCGCAAAAAGAAAGGACTCGAAACCCCAATGAAAATATCAGCCTCGTTGAGCCTTGTGGAAGGCATGACACATTCATAATTGATGAAGCATTGAACGTACAATCACGGCAGTAAATCCATTGCACGTCTTATCAAATAAAGCTCCATGAGAGAATAGAGACACCAGTATACCTGCATTGCGATGCGTCAGATCTTTCCTGGGTCGACCTGAGGGGAATGTTCATTCATAATTCTTAATAGTTTATCTGGTGATAATTTATCGACAGCATCAATATTTCTTCTGAACCCATCCAATATTACCTAAGATCAGACGCTAATCACCACCAGCGCTCTTAAGTCTCAGGTCGCAGCCACAGGCTTGTTCAACCAAGAACGCATTTCGTTATTTGTCAAGATACCCAATCCAAACGCCGGGATAATACGACACATTCGAGTGATCGTGGCGGAAGCCAAGTCCCTGCGTAGCAAGGCTAGCGTGCTTGCAGGGCTCGTGTTGCCCTGCCTATTGTAGATCTCAAGCCCAATTAGGTGGATAGGTGTATTCAAGATCTGACCTATTGCTGGCACCACCATCTGTGAGGCAATTGACGCTGCGTGCTGATAGCTCGCAGGTACGTCAGGCATCGCGGCAGCGACAGTGTGCGGAAGGCTAAAAGACGTATAGATCGTGACACCATCGCGCAGGAGAAACGAAGCGTAAGTTAGCCACGGGGTCCGCGGGATTGCCGAGAGCACCGAGGATCCACCGCGAGCTACCACCGCACAGCCGAATAGTTTGGAAAAGACGGTATCCTTGTATATCCCCAGTGGCACATTAACCGACAGTGTGCTTAGAACCGTCGTGCCCTGGGCAATGGCTGGGTCGACGTCCGGGGACCGTGCCTCGAGTAGTGTTTGAGACGCATTGGCGACCCCGAATGTTCCCATATACAAGGCAAACACGAGAAGACATGGCCTAGAGGTTGCGAAACGGCGTGGGCTTCGGATAGCAGAGATAAAATGCTTCCTCAGTCCGGTTTTCAGAGCTACTGGCGCACAGGAGTTCTCTACCACGATTCTTCTCTAAGTTAATATCACATTCGTAGGTAGGTTTGACGAGACATGCCTATCCATTATACTGACGGCTGGCGTGACGAGCCCTGCGGCGATTGCCGCAGACGTCGCGTCAATAACTAAGCGTCGAATCTGTCGAGTTGCTTCATTCTTGGGCTCTGAAGGCATCATTTGCCTAGTGGTACCAAATATCACGTTCGGACATGATAGGAATTTGTATTCTACATTTATTGTAGACCTCTCATGAACGGAAATCGGCTGGCATCACCGCTAGTGCCCCTTAGCCCCATGTGCTCTATTCTCTCGGTTTCGGCATGAGAAGCCGACTACTGAGGATACCACACCCGAGTACGCGTTCACGATGCATATGCACAAAAGGACTGGAATTGCTGGCATTGCGTGGATTCCAAGAATCAATAAATGGAGTGTCATAAACAAACCAATGGGCTGCCAATGAGTAGGTTTGATACACAAGGCTCTTTCTTTTGTTACACCCCCGGTAGCCCGGCGCTTCAAGACGGCAAGCTATACTCCACCTCCTTCGAATCCGCTGCCCCGGATAACGCATCATGGGGTGGAAATGGAACGGGGGAGAGGAGGAATGAAACCCCAAGGAATGGAGACCGATCCTCCTTGCCACTCTGGAGAAGTGGACTCGGGACAGCACCGAAGACTCGGCTTTCGATCCCGACGGGCTCACCGCAGTCCAACTTATAAAGCCGTTCGAAGAGACGGGATAAAACAGTCAAATTTTGATTCAGTGACCCATTTTTATTTCGAACTCGTTCCGAATCTGACATCATGGTTCGGCCCATCACACTTCGTGGCCTCCCACGGCTGGCCTCCGTCAACAGCGTACCCCGGAGGAATCTAGGGGGTTTGGCTAATTTTCGAGTTCCTCCTATCCGCAACGAACCAAACGTATGCATGATTCGACGTGACCTCCATGATGATCTCAATTGCTTTGGCTAACATGAGAAAATAGCCCTCGTACGGCAAGGGTTCGATCGAACGCCAAAAGCTTGAAGATGCCTTGAAGAGGCTGCAGAGCCAGACTCCGGTGTCTGTGCCCCTTTCTGTTGGATCTGAGCGGGTGAGCACACATTTCAATCCAATGCGTCTTTTGCAAACCTAATACTGACTCTCGATCGTGATAGGTCTCTTCCAACGCCGCTCAAACTCAAGGAAACCCTTCATCACACGCCAGCCCCATTGCCACGTACAGCGAGGCCTCTGCATCACAGGTAGAGGATGCAATCGAGAAGGCATTGCAGGCCAAACCGGCATGGGAGAACATGTCATTCACCAATCGAGCAGCTATCTTCCTACGGGCAGCCGACCTGGTTTCGACCAAGTATCGGTACGACATTATGGCCGCCACGATGCTCGGCCAGGGCAAGAACATCTGGCAGGCCGAGATTGACGCTGCTGCTGAGACCTGTGACTTTTACCGATTCAACGTGCATTATGCCTCCGAGCTGTACAAGCAGCAGAACACCATGAATGACGCCGGCATGTGGAAGTAAGTGTTTTCCCTTCACACGACATCCCAAGCTAGTTATCGTATCTAACCCATCTTCGAATCCAGCCGCCTCGAATACCGCCCCTTGGAAGGATTCGTCTACGCCATCAGCCCCTTCAACTTCACAGCCATCGGCGCAAACCTCATCGCCGCCCCAGCCATCATGGGCAACGTCGTGATCTGGAAACCCTCCGACTACGCCATCTACTCTGGATACCTGCAAAAGAAGATCCTCGAGGAGGCCGGCCTCCCACCCAACGTGATCCAATTCCTCCCTGGAAACCCCAAGACCGTCACCGATGCTGTGCTTCAGCACCCACAGTTCGCGGCCCTACACTACACCGGCTCCACTGAGGTCTTCCGCGACCTGTACGGCCAGATTTCAGACCGCGTGCGCGAAGGCCACTATACCAGCTACCCGCGCATTGTCGGCGAAACCGGCGGCAAGAACTTCGGCGTTGTCCACGCCAGCGCGGACATTCGTAACGCGGTCGTGAATACCGTCCGCGGTGCGTTCGAGTATCAGGGCCAGAAGTGCTCTGCGACTTCGAGGCTGTATGTGGCGGAGTCGGCGTGGCCTGAGTTTAAGAAGCAGCTGGTCCAGGAGACCGAGAAGTTGAAGATGGGCGAGCCCGAGAAATTCGACCATTTCATCGGGCCGGTTATCCATGAGAGATCCTGGAACAAGCTAGACAAGGTGATTCAGGGCGCGAAGAAAGATTCCCAGGTGACTCTGCTCGCTGGTGGCGAGACGAGCCGCGAGGCAGGGTGGTTTGTGCGCCCGACGGTGTTCCAGGTCGATGATCCTTCGCATGCGCTGATGAAGGACGAGTTCTTTGGTCCTATCCTCTCCGTGTATGTGTACCCGGACAGCAAGTTCGAGGAGACTTTGTCGCTGGTGGATTCGACGACTAAGTTCGGGTTGACTGGCGCGGTGTTTGCTAAGGATCGCGAGGCCATTGATACTGCGGAGCGAGCCCTCCGTCATTCGGCTGGTAACTTCTATATTAACTGCAAGTCGAGTGGCGCGGTTGTTGGGCATCAGCCGTTCGGTGGCTCTCGTGCTAGTGGAACAAACGACAAGGCGACCAGTACCAATCTCGTGTCTCGCTTTACCAGTATCCGCAGCATCAAGGAGGACTTCCAGCTGGCTGATGAGGTGACCTATCCCTCGAATGAGGTTTAAGGGGCTTGTATGAATGAATTTAGCGGAGCCGCTGAAGAAATGAGACTGTAAATTCGAGCATGTTCTACTATCAATCCGGTTGTGTGCATTGGCGGTGTATGAATTTCCATCAGTAAAGCTTTTACGTAGAACTTTCCGCGAGGAATTGCATGAACAATGCATAGTATTCTATGCACCTAATTTACACAGCGTCTACACTATTCAACAGCTTCTGTATCTCCAGCCAATCACTATAATCGACACCCGTCAACGGTAACGTATCATTCTGAAAACTGGCATGGATCCCCTCCGCTTCACCCGACAGATCCAAGCTCCAGTCCTCTTCCATATCGAACACGGCATCCATGCTCTCGGAATGAGCCCACGGTTCCAGCATATTCATCTCCATCTGGCTGGGACACGATAGATTGGATCCATCGGGAGGATAGTGCGGCTGACGAACCGAACTCGGGCCGTGAGCCGGCTCAGGACCCGGAGGAGGTGTACGTGTTTGGTCTCTCGTGCCAGGCGCAGTGCCGGGCGGGGATTCTTCTTGATCCAGAGAGTCAGGGTCGAATGTGTAATTGGGCCAAACCTGAGAGCAGGTGTGTTGAATATCCCGGGAGCGTCGCTCGGCGGCTGAATTCCCGGCTCGGTATAGGAACCGGAGGACCCTGAACGCCCGGAGTAATGATGGTGGAGGGCTGGTCTGAGTTCGGTCGAGGAAGCCAACCATTGCTAGGACGAAGGCAGCTGAGAAGGTTGCGTCGAGGTCGAAAAAGCCATACCGGGCTTATTGGAATACAGTCAGCTGCATGGTATTGTGGATATACAGGTGGGGGATCGATATAATAGACAGATTCAAGGGGCCTTACGAATTATTGACTGACGGCGAAGGCAGTCCAGAATAGCCAGACTTCGGATAGCTGCCTCAGCACATGTGTTGCACAGTCGTACTAGGATCGTGGGTGTCGAATCCGGTGACTGTCCTGCTTGTTGTTGTTCGGTTTGCAAGCGAACTCTTTGCAGTAGTATTGGTCGAGTACACAAGATAATTGCCTTGCCAACGAGTGTCAATTGTGGTAAGAGTAATTCTATAGAAATGGGGGAAATACTGACCTGAAAAAGCATGAGGTAAAGAGATGAGCCTGTCCGTGAGACATGCTGGAGAGGCCTATGGAAGTCAAAAACAAGAGCTGGGGGAAACGATCGGCCAATGTCATGCAATTCATGTAGAATTTGCTGAATCTTTTGGACCAACTCTAGCTGGGTTAGAGCGAGCTTCCCATAAAGCGCTATGAAGAAAACGTCAACCCATGAGTAAATTCTGACGCAGAATGGCAAACCTTACAAGACATTATGTCGTCTGTAGCACGGGCTATCCGAATGTTTATGATGAGAGCAACCGGTGACTGGAAGCCAACACTATGTCGCGGCAAGTCTGCGCGCAGCTGTCGTTCGTCGGCCCCGGCTGGAAGTCCTAGACCGGAGGATAACCGCCTGTTATCATCAGCAAAGTTCATGTGTGATCTTGTGTCCGCCTGCCTCACCGATCTAGCATGTAAACCGTCCACCATAACCTGACTTTGTGTGCGCTCTGAGAAGGAAGACAAGTTGGTTCCGAGCTATGTACGTTGCATCCCAGTGCAATCGCTAGCCGTATGGCCAGTCCTATCTAGATTGTGTCAGTACTTAGGGTAAATATACGGGACACCGAGCATACATGAAGATAGGCCGCGTGTTTCCGATCACACCACTGCATATATGTAGCGATCAAAGTCAGGATCTCGACAGCAATCACTCCATGGTCACCGAGCTCATGTAGCGGTGGCAACAGTCGGAGAGCCTCGTTGAAGAAATCGACTCCAGGAATATGTGACGTGGGTTGATCGACGTATATGAGTTTAGCCATGGCCATGACCAGGAGATATTCGATATACCACATGGTCCGCTTCTGTTGCTCTCGCATTTCCGGGCTCTGGTACAGCAGCATAAGGGAGTCTAGAAACCGCCGTGAGTCGAAGAAGTGCTGACTGATGCCTAGGTAGAAGAGAAATTGGTCTAGTAATTGCTGCGACTCTTCCATTGATGGAATGCATATCTCTGTCGCATGATCTTGAAAGGCCCGCTCGGAGAACTGCTCGCCGCCAGCACCCCGTGCCCTGTCAAATGTATGTCGAGAGTAGTCATCATGCGTGCGATTCAACAGGGATCTAACTTGAGATTCAAATGCAGGTCCCGAGGTGAGGTCGGTTGCTATTCCGAGCGTTAATATATTGTCTTAAGCCATCACCTCAAAAGCAGCTTGAGCGCTGACTACAGGTGCTCACCTGGACTTATTCCCGCTAGGTCATCAGAACACTGAAGAGGGTCATGAGATTCGTCATAAGGCTCAAGATTCTCCAGGGAAGATGTGACTCCGAGTTGAGGTAGCCCGGTTGAGGCCTGTTCCGCGGCCAAGGGGGAGGGTTGTGGTGCTGGGATACATTAGCGTCGATACATTGCCATAAATATCATGACCCAAATCATACCTGTTGACCGAGAGCTTAGCTGTTCCTCATATGAACGAATCTTGTCCAGCAAATGCTTCACCTGACTGGATTTGGGGAATCAGCTCCTATCATGTTCACATGCGAGGATTGTAGAGTGTGGGGAGGCCAACATACGCTTCGGAATAACGGCGACGGCCTACATAGCCGTAATTACATTCCCAGTTATGCTTTACGCAAGAGACACACGGCTTGTCTCCAGAACATTTGACCTTCCGCCGACGACAGGTCTCGCATCTGCGCAAGCGGTCAATAATACCGAGACTGTGAATACATCCTGTCGGTTGCTCCACATGAGGGGTACTCACGCATTACTCGCTCTAGCACTGGGGACCATTCTGGGCCATTCGCATATAATGCAGAGTGGTGGGAGTAGCGAATATAATTTTCGGAGGGCCACGGGAGTTTCGCCCGTTGCCACGCGGGATCTCGGGCCGTTTCTCCGAAACGTTGGTGGAACTCTATTCCATATAAAGTTTTTCTACCTCAAGACCAACAATGGGAGACTACATCAAAATGGACATTTCTTTCCACCTAGTTGGGCTTACTATAGTAATATATATTTACATATCGGTGTAGTACTGAATCTGAAGGACACTAGGAAAGTTACTACGAAGATATGAGGATCATGAAGGTACCACTGTTTGCAATTCAGAAGGCTGCAACCCATATATGCTACAATGTAAAATGCATTCTTGCCTGTTTAGCCTCAGATTGACAGTGTGGCCATTCTCGAAATCAAGTAATCTCATTCAATTCCTGGGTAAAATATATAGTACTCTCTTAATCAGATAATCGGGCGCACTGTCATTTTCTAGGTTCCTTTTGCTCTTACCAGTTGTTATCTCACGAACCCAGAGACTTCATTCTTTATTCCGTCCTAGATTATTTGTGCGCTCACATTTCGTGGGGCCACCATCCATCGCGCAGTCCCTCCCGGCCAAAAACAGAAGTACGACCTCGGCCGCGGCCCTGGAGTCATCTTCGGGACTTCGTTCGATCTCCTCAATGCATGACGCAAGGACTTCAGGGGACCAGTGATGACGACGGCCGAATTCCTGGCATAGGGCTATAGTAGCGAAGGCATCGAATTCGAAATGACCCTGCAGTGTGAGGACTTGACCGGGCTTGTAGAGACCTTGGATCTGGCACGCGGCACTGCTTCCTATGTTGATCCATGGCTCAGGCAGGCAGACCCTCGTCGGTGGCCGCTCTGCAGCTCTTCCTTGTGTTGGAAAGACGGCATCTCCGTGAATTAGCTGGATTCGGAAGGGTCTTTCCCACGAGAAGGGATCGAGAGGCGAAAAACGGGACTGGAAGTCTGGGTGGAGAGAAATCGTGTGAACGCCCATTTCATACCCCTCCGAACGCTCTACTGAGACCGCCTTGCGCTCACAGATTGAACCTGTTTCGTCTCCCAGCAATGCCTGGGCAATTAACTGGTGGCCGAAGCATGAACCGAATATCTTGACCAGAGGATACTCGGTATACACTTTCTGGATGTATGTCCGTAACGCGTGGATCCAAGGAACATCATTGTATGCGGCGGCAGCTGCGCCAGTCACTAGTATGGCGTCTATGGGGCCTGGGGTCGGTCGATGGTGGACTTGCTCTGTTGAGAAGCTAGAGTCAGTCCGCAGGCATTCAAAAGGCGGGAATGAGCCCCCAACTACATCGAATGCCGTGACTTGAACGTCGATTGATTGTTGTCCTGTCGGCGAAAATCTTTCTTGCAGACGCTCTGCGGCCGCACGCAAAAGAACGCGAAATTGCGAGCTATATAGGCCCCGTTGAGCATAGACTGGAGGGCAAGGTACGTCCGTGTCGAGGGCGGCGATGTAGAGCGGACGGGGTGTCATCGCGTAGGAATCACAGTCAAATAAGGGGGAAATAAAGTGTGGAGTGAATTACACCCGGACAGTGATTGACGCATGAAAATAAAAGGCAACCCATCAGGCAAATTCACGTAGCAAGAATGTGTACGAAGTAAGGGGTTCGCTAATAAGATACCTGAATTGGGTGCGTACTCCACCATCTTCGCTGGCCTTTTTCATCGGATGTCAGCCGACGCTCGGAGCTCAACCGAGGATTTGATATTCCCTCTTTTCCAGGCGATCCCTAGTCGGGTCATGATTCCCGTGGTGTTGCAATCTGTCATCTATCTAAAGGAATCGATCACTCCCGTAAAGCTGCACAAAGCTACTAAATACCGTGGAAACAGTATCTCAACCTTCCAATGATCTTCCAAAGACAAAAGCATCTACAAGTTCTTCCTGATCTTTCACACGTGCAGCCTGGGGTATACGACCAATTATCTCGAATCCTAGCTTCTTCAGTGCCGCTATAAACTCAGTATCTGTCGCAAAGACAAGATTGAACATGGCATACGCGTAGCCCTGGATGAGAATATAGATACGTTAGCGATTTCTAGGATGGCGGGTGACAGTCTCCGGGGTCGTGTACGCACGAGCTCAGCTGCATATTCCAAGTAGGCTCGACCGAGTCCCTCGAGGGCACTTCGACGGGCAATTGTAGGGGCAGTGACAAAATCAGCATGGCAGATGTGCGAGGAACGGGCTTCGTTAATGTCAGCAATTAAACCTTGCGAATGAACCTCGGTCGACGGACCCGGATAGTTGGACATGATCCTCAAAGCCCCCACGTATCCCCCTTTCCAGTCAGAGGAATCCAAGAGAGATCCATCGTGGCCTTCTGTGGCCAAGGTCGCCACATCTGCCCATTCATTGAACCAGTAATTGGCAAAGTCTTCCCTCTTGAGTGGGCTGTCCTGAGCACGTGTATCACCGCGGAGAATCTCGGCGTTATACTGCTCATGAAGGAATTCAATGAGATTGGGCGGCACTGTTTCCGGTGTCTCTCTGACCACAAGGAGTGAAAGGGGTGGGGATTGAGACCCCGGAAGCGAGAATGTCAACGACTTGGGCGAAGGCCGGCTGGCTGGCTGTCGTTGTGGACTTCCTCCATCAAGAGGCCTTGTGGCCATGGTACAGGCCTCTGTCATTAACGGACTTTTTAACATTTCTTCCGGACTTTCCTCTATGTTTGATTGTTTTTGTTCAGGCTCGGCAATATGCATGCACAAGGGTTAATCTTAGCCTCTCGGCTAATAGACCGTCGTCGGACGTAAGCCGACGTAAGCATATCATGCTAAACTAGCTCCGTCTCTCTGGCACAGGGTAATGAACAGGGTTCTGTGACAGTTGCCTGGGGTTAGTTGAGATGAGGTGAATTCGAGTTGTTAGTTTAGATGAGATGTTTGATAACACCAAATTGGAATAGAAAGGCATGGGACAGGCGAGCCATTCGTGAATATAACCCACTGTTATTCCGAATGTAGCACATTACTGTTTACGGACAAATTATAACTTTCCCACCCATCCCTTGGTCTTATCAATGTAACAGTATTTACCGAAGCTACTCTGCTATTTGCTGGGATAGATCCGAATTCATTCGGCAGAACAACCGAGCAACCGCCCCATAAAGAAGCGAGTTGTATTCCGATATGCCCGGTTCACCTTGCCTATCAGTGGACACGGTCGAGGCCATGGAGATCCCCCATGGTGGTGGTATTCTTCTCCACAGATCCCGCATGACGCAAGATTTATACCGCTTCTATCTTCGGTAAATCGTTCCATCGTTATCACGGACAATTGTCGAAGACAGAAGATAAGGGATTTCGTAAGTGGTGGGATGTTTCTGGTATACACTTCTCATGATAGCAATCGTTACCGCAGTGTGGGCTAGATATATCCTCGCAGAACGAACCACAGACTGCAGGGGGTGAGATAAATAGTCTGCCCGGCATCAAATGCTCTTATATACACAATTCTAATAGATTAGACGAGTCAAATTTCAATGACGGGATTCCAAGAAAGCCTCAACGAGAGAATTCTCTTCCCATTCGGGTTGCAAGTACTGTGATACTACAGGCAACCTTATGCACTCAGAAGGATATACGACTGTAACAATCTCCTTTCTTATTGGTATTGTATCAGGCAATGCCCATTGCTCGGACGCTCAGTTTATCAGGAGGCTTCTTAGAAAGATGTTACTTTATTAATCAGCACTATCAAGAGGTCGGACCTCGTGCCGATTGATTCCTGGCGTGAACTATCAAACACCGAAGGAATTTCTGCCTAAACCCTGGAGTAAATGCGGGGAAGGGTGATCTCACCAGTTTCCATTATCTCTAGAATGGCGCTACACCCCGTATCCCTTCATATGGCTTTTTTCAACTTCCAGTTTATATTCTTTCCATGTACACTTCATGAACCTTTCCATATCCTCCTCTCACAGCCTACATTGTATGGTCAAAATTCTTCCTCCAATCAATACAGATTCTTCAGCTCGACATTCTATTATCGAGACAATGAGTGTTCCGCTGAATGACCCAGAGGCAGGCTACCCTGTGCCCACGGGAGACAAAACCGAAGACAAAGATCAAAAGAAAGGCCATGATGATGAGGTGCCTATGGATGATCCCTTTGGGAATGAGGAGATGGCCGAGATCAGATATCGAACGATGAGCTGGTGGTACGCTTTCTGGCCCCTGAAACTTTCACCTTTTCAAACTGACCACGGACGACTATCCAACAGGAAGTGTGGAATGCGTAAGGCCGTGCTCGATAATACCGTCTGATAGACACATTCTGACTACTTGACTGACAGTCATGGTCGCCGAGAATATATCCTTGGGAATTCTATCTCTTCCATCGGCTGTTGCAACACTAGGAATGGTGCCGTGAGTTTATGGGTCCCGTATAAGAGGAAGCGGGCTAATTGAACTGTGTGGCTAGGGCCGCAGTCCTGATCGTATTCCTGGCTGGCCTATCATGGTACACAGGATATGTCATTGGGCAGTTCAAACTACGCTATCCGCATGTCCATAACATGGGTGATGCTGGGGAGATTCTATTCGGGCAGATTGGACGAGAGGTCTTTGGTATTGGGCAGCTACTGCTACTTATATTCTTGATGGCTAGTCATATTCTGACTTTTTCAATCTTGATGAACACCCTCACCGAGCATGGGACTTGCACTATTACCTTTTCGGTGATTGGACTGATCATTTGCTTTATCGGAGCCCTTCCACAGACCATGGAAAAGGTCTATTGGATGTCAATTGTCTGTCCGTGCTCCCCGAATTGAAAGATGAAAGTCAAGTTACCACGGCTAACCCACTAACACGCAACCAGCCTTTCTAAGTATCCTGAGTGCAACCATAGCTGCGATGGTTGCCATTGGTGTTGAATCTAACGCCTCCGTCCCTGTGAATGTGGTGACCAAAACGAGCTTCGAAAGTGGCTTTTTGGCCGTCACCAATATTATCTTTGCGTACAGTAGGTGATCACAGTTGCCAGAGTACAAGGGATGCGGGGGTCTAACATGTTTATAGCGGCTCATGTTGCATTCTTCGGCTTTATCTCGGAAATGGAAGAGCCGAAGACATTCCCGAGATCTATTGCGATGCTGCAGATAGTCGACACGATCATGTATCTTGTGGCTGCGCTCGTTATCTATCGACTTGCTGGCCCGGATGTAAAGTCTCCCGCTTTATCATCGGCAGGTCGGGTCATGAAAAAGGTCTGCTATGGCCTGGCTATTCCGACGGTAACTCATGCACGAAATTTATGGTTTCTCTGTGTACGTCAAGTAACTGTTCTCATAGGTCATCATTGCTGGGGTTATATTCGGACACGTCGCAGCAAAGTACATATTTGTCCGGCTTTTCCGGGGCTCAGAACATATGCATAGTCGAACTTTCATTGGCGTTGGGTCATGGCTAGGCATTGGAGTTGGTGTCTGGATAATCGCCTGGGTCGTGGCTGAATCCATCCCGGTCTTCAACGATATGCTCAGTTTGATTGTATGTTGAATCCCCCTGTTCATATTTTCCGGTTCGCTGTTTATTTGAGATACTAACAGTAGCCCCAGAGTTCTTTATTCGGAAGCTTCTTTAGTTGTGAGTATCTAACATGCCCTCCTCCTTGCATGGGTTTCTTGGAGTGGATATGAATGTTGACATGGGCCCACATAGATGGTATTCCTGCGGCGCTGTGGCTTTACATGAACAAAGGCCAATACGGGGAATCGTTGCGCAAGTGTCTTCTTACAGCTTGCAATTTGGTTATCCTCGCGATTGCGTGTGGCATGGTAAGTCTAATCCTCTGTGGTCGGGTTGGGTGCTAACAGAACAGTGTGGAATGGGACTTTACGTCTCAGGGAGATCCATAAGCCAGAATTCCAGCTCCGCATCCTGGTCCTGCGCCGACAATTCTTCTTAAGAATATGTCGGGTTTCTTAGGTGGTTCGGGGTCGAGATATCAATGTGACAACAAGACGGAACCTTGGCATATCTTTTGGCAGAATTAAGTTATGTATGACACAGAGCTTTTATGCACTGAAGCCAGTCAAAGTATTCTAGAGGTATTCATGAATGGGATAGAGTGAACACTACACACCCATTTTGGTCAGTACGATAGATATAGATAAAGCCAACCAGGGTGTGGATATATAGGGCGAGCTCAAGACCCTACATAAAACATTTAACCCCACGACCAGGTTTTCTAGCCTGTGGTCACTAATGGTAAAGTCAGACCTTGGCAGCCATATTTAATACGCCCTTTCGGAGACATTCCGAGCCTTAGTTGGTGATACGCCCAGGCGTGGGTTCATCTCGGTATTTTGGCCCGACAGACTAACACTCCATGGTGCCATGTCCGAAATACATCCCACCATTGCCCAGTCTATAAGTCAGCCTTCATATATCAGAAAAGAAAGGCTAATCTTCCATCATAGCCGCAGTAGAAACTATCATCCTCAGTTATACGGTCGCTAAAACAGTCTATCATGGATCCACACGACGTCATTCTCTCCCTCGATGCAGAGGAGCACATCTACCGGCCACGCAACACCCTCAAACCCGAGGACAACTCCCAGGCCACTCCAAGCACTCCGCAAAACAAATCCAAACGCAAGAAGGCACCCGGCGCAGCGACGATCGGTATCGATGCCGCCAAGAAAACAAACTTCTCGAGCTGGTACCAGCAGGTTCTGCTCAGGGGTGAGATGATCGACTACTATGACGTTTCCGGCTGCTATGTCCTCCGGCCTGGATCTTGGGAAATCTGGGAGATTCTGCAGGAGTGGTTCAACGCTGAGATTAAGAAACGCGGCGTACGGAACTGCAGCTTTCCCATGTTTGTGACGGAGGATGCCCTGAACAAGGAGCAGGATCACATCGATGGGTTCTCGGCTGAGGTCGCCTGGGTCACACAATCGTGAGTTTGCTGCATCTGACAATAATGAATTTCTGATCATCAACTGACAAGCTGTCTGAACCACAGTGGCAGTACCAAACTCGAGAAGAAAGTCGCTGTCCGACCGACCTCGGAGACAATCATGTACCCAGCGCTTTCGAACTGGATTCGCAGCTACCGAGACCTCCCCTTGCGACTGAATCAGTGGAACTCCGTCGTTCGCTGGGAGTTCAAAAGCCCCCAACCCTTTCTACGATCTCGGGAGTTCAACTGGCAAGAGGGCCATACGGCACATCTCACCAAAGCCGACGCCGACACGGAGGTCAGAGACATCTTGGGCCTATACACTCAGATCTACCGGGATTTCCTAGCTCTTCCCGTGGTTCCTGGTCAGAAGACTGAGAGGGAGAAGTTCGCAGGTGGCCTGTACACGACGACCGTGGAGGCGTATATCCCGACCACCGGGCGTGCCATCCAGGGTGCAACCTCTCATTGCCTCGGTCAGAACTTCAGCAGAATGTTCGATATTTCTTTCGAAGATCCGAGCGCCCTCGCGGAGGACGGTACGGCGAGAAGAGCCTATGTCTGGCAGAACTCTTGGGCGTACTCGTCACGGGTCCTTGGTGTTATGGTCATGGTTCACGGCGATAATCAAGGGCTGGTGCTGCCACCGAAGGTGGCGCCCACGCAGGTGATCATTGTTCCGGTCGGAATATCGGCTCAGACGTCAGTCGAAGCCCGCGAGAGAATTCTAGATGCTACCGCCTCCGTTGAGAACGCTTTAGAGCAAGCTGGCATCCGCGCCCAATCCGACACCCGAGACGAACATTCTCCTGGTTGGAAGTTCAACCACTGGGAGGTTAAGGGAGTTCCACTACGGTTGGAAATTGGATCGAGGGAGTTGGACAAGGACGTCGTATCTACTAGTCGCCGAGATGACTCAAGTAAGGGGCAACTCTCCCTGTCTAAGATCTCAACCGAGGTCCCTACTCTCCTAGACACCATACAGTCAGACATGTACAACCGTGCCTTGGACACATTCCGTCGGAAGTTGAAGATCGTTACCTCGTGGAACGAGTTCACCCCGGCCTTGAATGATCTCAATGTATGCTTGATTCCATTCTGTCTGGATGAGGGGTGTGAGGATTCGATCAAGGCAATGAGTGAGCGGGCGGCCAATGTCGGTGGACAGGAACAGGATGCCACTGCCCCGAGCATGGGCGCGAAGAGCCTGTGTATCCCCTTTGCACAACCATCGGAGCTGGAGAATACGGACACAATTTGCTTGAGGGAGGAATGCACACGCAAGGCCCAGAAATGGTGCTTGTTTGGAAGATCATACTAGGAATGCATGTAGGAATGTGGCCAACAGAGATAAAGCAAAACACAATGCCGGCCTCCCAGTTTCTTCAAGCTCATTCTTCATGCTAGCATATGCTGTGTGACATTCATATTGTCCTATCTCATTAGTGTAACGTTCATGGCGCATCTAACTGGCTCCAGAGAGTAGGTAGTACGAAGGTCAAACAGCCATCCTCCCAAGAGGAGAGGACTCGTATAAAAGAGTTTTGCATACATTTTTCACCTTGTGAATAGGGTTCCGATGTGGTTAATTATAGTTCAGGTGATGAATCTAATTGGAATCAGTCCTCCTGACAATTAATACATCATTTTTTCATTTACTTTATCCAAGCTATATCTTATTACATTCCACCCACTATATGCTGAATCTTAATCTTTTGTATAATATATATAATCCAATTGTCGTGGTCTAGAAATCTTCTTTGAGAGCTATTAGTCTATATACAATTTTGAAATAGGTAGCAACTACTAATATTTCCAGGCTATGATATGTTTGTACTGCTCATATTCTTTTATATCTCGGTTTTTTAACTGTCTAGTAGACATGGAGATGATAATACTCCAAAACCAATCAATTTAACCTCCGATGTGTTGTTCGACGAAGAGATCATGAACCTCGAGACCTGGCTTGGTGTTCTGTCCGGGACTCCTTGGGATTACCCCATATTTTAGTTTTGCTTGTTCTTCTAGATCCCAAAGGAATCTCATTTTATTTTATTCGTGATGTCGGCCTGTCTTAATTATTCAACAGGCCTTGACCTCGGGCCCCCGGAGATAAGTTGGAGAAACATACACATGCTTTTCCATCTTGCATCAAGCCCTAAAAACATACGTTACGCAGCACAAACTACCACAATATTCATATCTTCCATTTGGGGGAAAAAAGAGGGAGGCTTATACAGGCAGTCCTGTGGTGGAACCTCCCCCTTCCGCAACACACTCCTCCCGCCTTGCCTAGGATAGTGCTACGTGGCCAAGCCCAGACCAGTATGCGTTGTCATGCTTGGCACCTGTTGTGAAGGGCCTTGGAATGCTCCGTATGGGCTCACCATGGACGGAGGTATCTGTCAAAGCTGTTCCGAAATGGCTCCGGCCCAGTAAAGTGTGCTTATTCTCCTTTCTCCTACAGTTGTCACTTTTACGTGGCCTAACGCTGGTTGACGCCTGTGTGTCTGCTGCCTGCGTTTGTTCAGTGCCTCGATTTTCTATTCGCTGCGCTCTATCTGTGCTAGTACCTCGACAGAAAGCCAGTCACTGCGACATCCATGCGTGCCTTAGAGACCGTGAAGAATATCCATAGCATTGTGAGGGGGCTTGACTATCTTCTGAAATCGGTAGAGGAATCTAATGCTCAGCCACCAACCGGCGAAACACCAGCCAGTAAGACTCAAATTAGTGATGCCCAAATATACCTTAGAACAGTTTATGCGCCTCACTTGAGGAAATGAAAGGGGACGACTCATATCTCGTGTGAATGACTGGCTATGACATAATTTCTGCCCTTACTACGGTTAATTAAACGTTGTCTGCGTCGCGCTTTGCCTTTTCTTTTCTTTTTGTCTTTATTATTCTTTTTTGTCTTGGGTTTGGTTTTTTAAAAAACAAAAAGCGGGTCTCTGTCAAATGAAATCGTCCGCTATCGTTGAAGCTCGTGGGTTGTCGGGTTTTAGAAGATTCGGTAAATGCCTATTGTCACTAGTAGAGCAGTGCAGAAGCCCCCCCCCCCCCCCCCCCCCCCCCCCGGGCCAGACTACATGGTTCGTCGCCTACCCCAATCACATAAGAATCAACGAGGCAATCCACGTAGCAAGTCCAAGCTGCCGATGGCACACCACTCAGCGATCCAAGACAGCAACGATGACGCTCTGCGGTCTTTTCAGTAAAGGACGAATAATACCGTTCACTTGATGGCCCGCGAAATCCCGTGGTTTGAATACAGGGGCTGGGTCGTGAAAAGATGCTGCACCGCCGTCTAGTGGGCCTCGAGGAAGGATATGGCCATCCGCTCGAGTTGACAAGCAATGGTCGACTGCCTGCCTTTTCTTTGCCGCACACGAGGGGAGCACGTCCATCCAATCTCAACCCTAAAACCCTACCTTTGCCTCGATACTTCACTCTTCTCGATCCTTCCCACTCGTCTCCTGAGCAGTTCGACTCCTCTGGAAGGCTACATACCAACCTGCCCCTCCCCCACCCACATTGATGATTAGCACCTTCACGATATATAACCAAGTGGAAGATAGTAGGTTTTTTAGGAATTAGACTTGTGACAGGAAATGGTGTCTGATGCCCATCCAGAAGGTTCGCGCAATGTAGCTCGTGTGGGCGGTAGACGCCGTTGGGGTCGCGTCCGATCTATCTTCCGCACCGGACGCCTGGCAGTAACTGGGATTTTCTCTCGCCATCCGCAAAAGCCCTTAGTTGCAAGACGCGAAAATGGGGCACTCTCATCAGTCAATGAAAAGAGCGTCGCGGAAAACGGACAGCGCATCACTCGACCGACTGTTTCCGACAGTCAACCCGTTCCTTCAACCACCCCGAGCCCTACATGTCCTTCGAGACAACAACCCCGACCTGGATCCACGAGCTATCCGAATAGTCAGAGAAAGGATTATGATGACCGTCAAAATGATGGCACGGCGGTCACGATACCTATGCCTGCTTCCATGCCATGTCCACCTCCCACGATAGCTCGACCGGCCATCCGCCCTGCGCAAACGAACCCCTTCACCCATCGTGGCTTTCTTGTCTCATCAGACTCTACCGAAAGCGACGACCACCCAGTCGAAGCCAGGATTGCGCTAGATACGCAAGCTCAAGTGAATGTCATGCGTGTCGGCATATTTCAGCAGTTACGGCGACTCGGGTATCAGCTGGAGTCGGAGGCGCAAACGACGCCGTTGCGACCGTTCGGGGCGACCGGGAACAACGGAGTTGTCCCTCTTGGAATTGTGCGCAATGTCAACTGGTATTATCGCGTGAGCGCTCGGACATTTACCGCGGACTTCCATGTGGTGACCGTCGGGCATCCCGATGTCTTGATCGGCGGGCCATCGATCGCAAGGTACAACTTGCTGGAACGCAGTCCGGAGATTCCGAGGATAATTGAGCGGGATTTGTCGCGGCCGCGACCTGGGATTGTTAGCAACAATGAATGAGCTCGACAAAGTGGAGGTCGGATCATGGGAATGGAGCGATATTCCATGTCCCGCTGTCGGACAAAGCGTCTCATATTCCTGCCTGCGGCTGCCGCTCTATCCAAGCTGCATGCGTTAGTGATATACAGCTGGGTAATTCTCTCTCTTTCCGCCTTGCCTGAGCCATGTGTGTCATGATGGCGTGGACGTTTGCTGCTTGTTCCACACAGCTGTCATGTGGGTGTCGATTCCGGAACATCCGAGCGCGGTGCCACAGACCAAATATTATATTCTCTCGCGAGATTAATTGTCAATCTAATGTGTTTCCAGCTTTGTCTCTCTACGAATTGCAGTCGTTTGTGTCGCATCAGTGTGGACGTTCGGTTGAGACCCGACCGAAGACATGCATTCCTGCCACATCCGAGCGATGTGACGCATGACAACAACCTGTCCCTGACTCGCATTCCTCGAATGGGAGGTTAGTCCAATGCGAATCTCGCGAGGATGGCCTTAATATCTTTCTTTCGCTTGCGTGCGATGTGCATCGGACGGCGTCCTTCTTGTTTGTGTGTCTCTGGGTGATAGGGCAATTCATTCAGTAGCCTCATGGATCCCCTCCATCGCCCTGACAGTGACGTTACTACCATGCGGCTCTTCTAGATGCGAGATTGGGAACTACGAGGTCGTCCGGCCTGGGAATTTTAAATTCAGGCCCACCCAGGGTAGAACAAGGACGAGAACATCAACGGTTGACTTGACGAGGGACATTCCTGGCAACATGGTAAGTCCCAGCCAGAAGTCTAAATCCTGCCGTCCCATGTCGCTCCTATCCCTGGTAAGCGCCCGCTCACCTATCGATCAAATCCAGACGAGCGTCGTTCATATCATGTGCGGCGGGCCCGATGATACTGAATATCGTCTGAACGCGGTCGTCATACCAAATTTACCCTGCGACATCCTCACCCCCCTCGGCCGACAGGAACTACCGTTTCCCGCCATTCAGCGGGGTCAGGCTCCACGGGTGGTCGAGCATGCGCAAGGGTCCTTTGTCGTGCGCGACTCAGTTCGCCTGCATATCTGGCTCGACGGCACGGGCACTAGTGATACGCGGGATTTCTATATCCCGATCCATGAGGCCGGAGTGATACCTGCCCTCCCTCAACAGCAGCAGGACTGTCCGATCCATATGATTATCGGTCGTGATTGCGTTCTTGACTGGGATGCATATGACGGCCAGAACGCGCCGATTCTTTCCATTGGCCTGGCGCGGAAAACTCCCGGTATGATTGATGGATTGAAGTCCCCGTCACCAGATTTGTGTTTCGTCGCTGACGATATCTTGTATTCATTTTCAGCTGAGAAGTAAGATCAGCGAAGGCAGGTGCAAGAGAACGATAGAATAGCGGCGGAAGAGGAAGCGCATAGATTGGCGAAGGAGAGGGAGGAACGACGGAAACGCGCTGCTGCCCAGGGCAATCCACAACGGCCGTCGTAGAGTGTTTCTTACTACGTTTTCTATGGTCTCTCTTACCAGTATTTGGTGAATGATCTATCTGTCTTTTCTATAGCCAATCCGGGATACAACCTCCGTCCTATGTAATTACATGTTACAGCTAAATTCAATTTTATAATGCGTACATTACTGTAGAGCAAAGGAAATGATGACTTGATGATTATCATTTACTACCAATAAAATCATGATGCTTAATTGAACACTGTTCCTCATTCCAGTGGGCAAACCAATTAAAGAGTACTATTCAAGGCGTTATTCTTGGAAATCAAAGTGAAACAAGAGATGCTCATCAGCAAGTTCAAGGAGTACGTGGCTGACGTGCCAGCTGGCACGGCAGATCGCAAAACTATAAACCCTGTTTCCCAAGACACAAGGCCTTAACCTTCATTGTTGTTTTTCTTTATTACGATAGACTTGAATGCGTCGGCACAGTGTCTAGACCGCGGACGAGCAGCTGACTGCATCAATGCAGGCATCAGCGGCAGGCTAGCTTACGTGGCAGACAGCACCGCAATTTAAGAGGCAAGAATGATTTGCTCTCGGAAGCGTTGGGCACGAAGCTGAATGCTAGGCGTGTTGGGCACGTATGCACGTCCACGTGTTAGCCGCTGCGACAGTTGTTGCCAATGACCTGAAACCTCAAATCCAACTTGGCCTGGAATGCAGGGATTTACGATGCCGCCCGGAGAAGCCTACGTTGCCGTGCAACCGCGGGATTTCATTGAAGGCTGATTAGCGCTGTTCACGTCGTAAGTCGATGCTCATATACTATATTCCTGTAGACTCACCGTATGACAGTCATTGTGGGACGGTGTGACTTAGATCGTCTTAGACAGCAGAGGACATCTATAAAGTCTCCTATCCCAATGGTGTGATGTCTCTACGTTGCCCTTGTGGGCACTTGGTATTGCAACAACTGATTGGGATAAAAGTCCATCTCAGATAATTTTCACCGTCAAGACCATTGACGTCTTAGATCAACTTCCGCCTCATGCGCTGGAGGAAATTTTGTTAGTTACTCCTATGCTTCACCCATGAATCTAGCACAGGAAGGAGCATATCTAACGGTTTGCAAGCAACGAGCCAAAAGGAATGCTGGACATTGACTGGCACATACAATGGAGGCGAAGAGAAGCGACGCCAGGAGCGTACAAATTCCGTAAAGTCGACTCGCGACCTTATCGATCGCCCGGGGAGCTAACGTTGGCATATCGTGAAGACGCCATGTCCGACGAACAAGCCTTCGCAGCGAGCCTTCATCGAGCCGATCACCAAAGCAAGCACGTGGTCCCCATTCACAAGCCTCTGTGGTGTTAGATGCAGACGGAAATCTCGTATAGATACTAGGAGTCATTCTGTCCATGGCTGGGAGAATGAGAAAGATACCTTACCCACATCGTACGCAGAGCCGCCTGCTAGATATCCGCATCTAGGGGCAAATATATGGCGCGGGTCACAGGGAGATGTCCCTCGAAGAAAGTCAGTATTGATACCAAGGGACGACGCGCCGCCCACCGCAGCCAATGCGTGTGAGGCACAGGCACAAACGGATCCCTCCTACGCACTGGCGCACTATGACTACATCTACGATGTGATTGTGGATAACCCGGACCAGAAAACCAGGCTTCGACGCCGGATGCTTCTCAGCTTCAACACCGAAGCCAATCTCATGTCGGAAGAGATCCAACAGCGACTCCGGGCCCCAGTTCAACCTGTCGAACACCCCGCTATCTCAGGTCCTGATCAAAAGAACTATGCATCCTTAGGCATTGCTAAGATCAAATGGACATTTATCGGGAAGCCTCAAGTCTTTGAGGCTGCGTTCCATGTCGTGCGTGATCTAGACGCAGATCTTTTGCTTGGAAGGCCATCAATACAGACGTTGTCACTGGACCAAATAGACCCTGAGATCGCACAGCGCTTGCATGTGTAGGAGCTTTATTGGAAAGTTCTTTCTGTTTTTCGTGTGACTCTCGGTAAATTTTGCTTCCCACTTGTTGTTGAGTACAGTTATTGTCAGTCCATTTTTTATTTCCCCCTTGGAGCCTGAGAATGTGAACGTCTAAATACTAATGCAGAGGCTTCATCAAACTAAAGCGATGATATGGGTACCCGTAGAAGCATGGCTTAGAACGGCGGAGTTTAAATATATAGAGCCTTGTGCTTCTAACACGGCAGGAACCCCTAAAGCCACGTATCTTCAAAATGCCATATACATTAACTGCAACCTATAATTCCAAAGTTCCAGAAAGCCTGTTTCTCCGTGTCCTGTAATTGTTCTTGCCGCCTCGCCTGTGCTGACCTGGGTGTATATTCGGCTTGGTTACCTGCGTCCTCTGGACAGGAAAGTCATGTATGCGCGTCCTCACTAACGAGCATAATGCATCTATGTCCTGGCTGCGGCATTGAGGACAGTTTGTTGGTCTGCGTTGGGGTTAAGAATAAGCTGGCATTTGCCGTGAAACAGCCCCAATAGTCGTGTTCAAATTACAAGTTTGGTGACGTAGCGTGTCAGCCGCAGGTGTGATAGTAAAGTATTACAGTCCGCTGTGATCTGCAGCTCTTTCCTACCGAGAGCTTTCGCCCACGTGCCTCTCCTCTCGGTGATGGCAGCGGTGATGTTATTGTATACATGTCTTTGGTTTGTTGTTGAAGGCTCGGATCGCTCAACTGCGAATTATTTGTTGACTCGCGCATCGTGAAATTTGTTCATGCGCGGTCCAGCCGCAAATTGGGGATCTATGTTATCAGCATTGGCTTTCAGTTTTGATTGCAAGGCTATAGAGAGATCTCTCTTTCCCCTGTCCTTTTGCTAAACTAGCACTGCTGTCCTTTCGCATGATGCAAATAGAGCACTGCGCGAGGGGAAATCTCAGCCTCATCATGGCCTCATTAGAGGTTTATGTACGCATCTACTGGTGGATTACCCCGCCACTTTACACTGCCGGAGTTACAGCCTGATGATCATTTTCCTGGCGGCTAATCTACAAACCAATAATAATAAAACCCACCTCCTGACCTGATTGCTGCTATATTATCCGGGGTTCTTTCACTCCCTTACTTCACCTGTTCTTCGGATTTATCACAGATCCCCTCCTGCAATCAATAGAACAAAGAGCCGATCATGCAACAACCCCCTTGCCCGCAATGTCCACGAGGCTACGACACGCTTGCGCATCTAATGGCGCTGGATCCAGGGCTCTCATTCTTCCGGCGCTTCACGGTTCTGAACACAAAGAATTTGCTCTACCTACAGGCCGAACTAAGCCTTGCCGAAGCATCCCTGAAGGATATCGTTCACGAAGACCAAGAATCGGGGTCTCAAACGAAAAAGGCCTACCCGTACTCCGTGGAGGCGCTTCTTGAGTCATACAACGTGGAGGGAGACAGCGCCAATGCGGCCCAATGGTCGAAGGTACTCGAGGTACGGAAAATGCTGAAGGAGCATAGTGAGTTTTTTATACATTTATTCCCTCCGTATTCTTCTCGTCTGTGGTTTACTGCGACGGTGGAAACTAAATAAAAGCAAACTCGTATAGATGAAGCACTCCTTCAACACACCCAATTGCTTCGACTCAGCAGCCCTGAGCGCAGCGATCTAGCTATGTTTCAAGAATGGCTCGATGCGCAAGAAGCGCGCGAGGGGACGTTTCTTCGACCGCGGCACCAATGGCGCGACGATGGTAATACCAATGATCTCGTGGCGCTGCGCAGTCGGTTTGAAGGCACGGATCTGCTTACGCGATGGATGTTCACTAAGCTTGTTCCATGGTATCATCAGCGATTTGGGGTCCGAAACTCGGTGAGTCTCTATCACTCGCTCCCTCCGTCAAGTATCGTGAGTAACTGATGTGTTCGCATATTGATAGACTCTGAGCAACCATGCTGTCCATGCCTGGATCTACGATGATCGAACCGTCAGACGGACCAGCTATTTCATCAGTCTAGTAACAGCTGGGGTGCTCCCTGCCTCATCGATTATTGTCTTGCTGTATTTGAAGAAGACCACAATCCGAATGGTGTTTGTTATAGTCTATAACCTAGCTTTTGTTCTGATTATGGGCTGGATGGTGAAAGCACGAAGAGCCGATCTTCTGGCAGTGTCGACAGCGTAAGTTGTTGTCTTATTTACGGTGGCCTCCTTATTTGTGCTATCTGAAAATCATAAACTGGAGCTGACGATCTCGAATAGTTTCGCGGCTGTTCAAGTGGCCATGATCGCGACCAATGATTCCGGGTAGTTCCAGAGAGGCTGTCTTGTATAAATATTGATTATATACATATAACTCTGGCAGAATTCCATTTTGTTTGATGCCGGTTTCCTGGTGATTAGACTTGTTGAGCAAATGCAGAGTGAAACCGATAGATGAAGAAGAAAAGGAAAAAGAAGAATAAAAAGAAGAAGAAGAAGGGAATATTGATATCGAGCTGGTGATTCACCCTGGCTTTCTCGAGCCGCAGTCAATGTCTCAAGCCCGACAAACCAGCTACCCTATCGGGGAGATATTGTAAGAGGGTCCTGTGGATAACATGGGAACTATCATCTTCATCCTTGACGGCATAATTGCCTTCTGTCTGACTGCGCGTGGTTGTCCTCCCATCGTCTTCCTTCTCCGGTTTGAGGACCCTCATAATCTTGGCGATACTCCAGCCATATTTAATATCAGATTGAACAAGGCTTTCTACTGTGTTTAACGCATTGACGATCACCATTCCAAGAATAGCTGTACTATTTGGGGCTCCACTCATACTGAGAATACTGACCGCAAGCCCTATTCCACCGGTAGGAGGAAGACGGTGGCGTAGGTGCCTGGCTAAGGGTCTTTTAGTTGTTCCCCAAAGCCATGAGAAAGTCGATGAGGCAGCAAGAAGTCCACCTCGTGGTCATATTTAGCCAATTCATCAGTTTACTTTTAGAGGAGCTTGCGATAATTCTGCTCGTCACTGCGTGTCTCCTCATCTCCGTGCTCTAGGGGGTCTTTCTATTGGTTTTTGAAGGAGTTTAACTACATGGTTACATAATAAAATATTTTTATAATATAGTCTATTAATCTTGCTATATTCCACCTCTATCTATATAGCTCCTTTTCAGGTGGACATGAGTACATACGACCACAGGGTGAGGAGAACAGGGCTTCCCGTCCGCTCAGCCGTACTTAAGCCTCACGCCGGCCGGTTAGTAGTTGGGTGGGTGACCACCAGCGAATCCCGGCTGTTGTATGTTTTTCTTTTTTGTATTTTTTTCTTTTTTACACAAATTCTTTTTAATTAATCATTTTCCACTTGGTTGGCACCGAGGGGTATTGTTGGAGGTGAATGGCAAGCATGTTCACGTATATTTCTAGCTTTCTGGAACATACACCGACATTACCACCAAGATAAAACATCTAGTATAACTCTTCGCTGCTCCAATCATTCGGCCTAGTCATGCAGAGGCTGGAGCTTCCAGTCCGTGAGTCTAAGGAGCTTGATCCGGGAGCAAATATACCTACTCAACATTTGTCTGCCACCTGAGAGAAATGCCCTTCTTACCTTGTCATTCAGAAGCTTTCGGCATTGAAGATTGACAAGCAGTACTAAGCGTCAAAATAAAACCACTAGAGCCCAAGTCTGCCGGAAGTCGAACGTGCGCCGTTCTAAAGTCTATATATATTCTTTTTTAATGGATCATGTACATGTGAACATATTATGTACACCGACACTCCCTAATCGAGGCCCACTCGACATTGCCTCATCCTCTCACCGTACTTGTAAAATGCCACAGCAGGAAGGCTGAAGAGAATAGACAAGAAGGCTAGTAGCGTGTTTCCCCATCCCAGACCTATTCGCTCATAAAGCCCCAGCCCTCCTAATGGAACCAGACCACCGGCAATGCTCCGGATTAAACCGTTCGCTGCGAGCGCGCTGGCTGCGAAAACAGTGAATTCATCAACTAGATATGCCTGGATAGATGCCTATAGCGCACCAGTAGTCAGCCAACAGCGCTACAAAGCGAATATTTGACTCAAGGGAGAGGATAAATTCGACTTACCAAACAGCCCATCACACTTAACCCCGAGAAGCCCGTGCCAATGATAGGTAGGATCCAATGCAATTTATACTGTGCGGTCCATCCATATATTATCAGACCGACAGGCATGGAAACGGCACTTGGTATTAGTGGTGGTAGTCGGAATCTAATACAGATTCATGAGTATGTACTGAACAAAAGGTTGAGGTGGAGGTTCTTACTCTGGCTTCGCCTGTTGGTGTTTTGAAGTAAGACGGCTGTAAATGCGATCACTGTAGCGTCCGAAGAGGAACATGCCAAGGGCGCTTCCGACGCCAATTCCAAGATACGCCAGGCCTGCAATACCCTCCTTGAATCCATAGTTCCTCTGGAATACCACAGAAAACGTAGTAAAGAGGAGGTAGATAATACCATACATCACGGCCATGTACACAGAGGTGCCAATGATGATAGGATTCACCAGCATTCGTGTAGGTCGAGTCACGGCGCCCAGAAGAAGATGGCTCAGCTTTTTGTCTGATTTGCCCTTCGCATAGTAGCGCGAATCTCCAGTTTTCTCGCGGAGTTGACGAGCGATCTTTTCTAACAACACCGGAGCGAAGGTCTCACGGAGGAAAATGAAACCGACAATTGTAGTTAAACCGCTCTGTTCTAGTTAGGCACCAACTCATGGCATTGCACCAAGGGTAGATAACATACTAATACAGTCAACACCCAGAAGATCCATCGCCATCCTACCTCGGCAAGGAACCCTCCTATAACAGGTCCTAGGACCGGGCCCATAAGCATACTCGCAGAGAAGATGCTCATGATACTACAAATTAGCGACCGCTTGCCATGGGATAGTGAATCAAACTTACAGTCCACGCTTTTCAGCTGGAACCAAGTCGGCAATCGTCCCTCCTCCATTAGTTAATGGTGCACCGCCAAAGAACCCGGCCATCAGGCGAAAGGCCAACAAGGCACCGATATTAGGAGACAGACCACAACAGACTGTAAACACCGTGAACATGATGTTTCCAACATGGTAGATTACATTGCGGCCGTATACCTCCGACAGTGGCGCGAGGAGTAGAGGGCCCAGCCCGAACCCGATAATCTAGATAAGTTAGTGCCAAATCGCAGATCGGAGAGACAAAGCTCACATATATAGAAACACTAAAACTGAGGAGCGTTTCTGAAGCATCTGGAAAATCCTTGCCAATCACCAGCAAGGCGGGAGACATCATAGACGAGGCGAGCGGGCTATTAATCAGGACAACGTTAGTTGATGTTCCCGACTCGGGGAATTTTTAAAGCCGGAATGGCACCGTACGTAGTGAATCGCATCGCGCAAACAGCAATAATTATGCCTTGTTTCCGCGATTTGGGCCAGTTCATTGGCTTGTTTGGATCGTCGGGTCCCTTCCAGTCGACTTCATAGTTCACAACTTCCGGTCCCTTATCAGATTCCGTATCTGGAAGCTTTTGAAAACTGTCCATTTCTACTTTCACAGGATTCGAGTTCCTATGAACCAGTGACATGGTTGCCTTGGCTGGCTGAGTTTGCTGCGTGCAGATGGCGAAAGGGCTTCTTGTTAACGAATAATGCCGTCAAGCTGAGACGGCGTCCACGAATTGAGAAAAAATGACAACAAGCAAACTCTGCCAAGAAAACCGCTACAACAAACAAAGACAAGGGGTGAACATCACACGATGGAGTCACAGATTTTCATGTGGACCTTCTTCGGCTGCCTTTGGAAGGGTGGCGTGCTATTGAATGCAGCGCAGATCTGGGAATGTGAGACAGAAGATCATCTACTCGCGCGGGCATTGTCCGAACTATCCCACTGGACAACATCCCAAACACAGCTATGATACAGCAACTGTGGCGCACAACATCAGAATCAGTGCAATGCCTGTCTCATATTACGTGGCCAGCATAATTGATCCAAGAGAAAGTGACCTCGCGAATCATGGCGTTCGTGGGCGTTCCTGAGTCAGATGATCGACAATGCTGGGGAGCATTAAGCCGAAGATCTTCGATCGATAGCTACCTTTTCGTATCAGAAACTCGGAAGAGCCTTTCCTCCGGACTCCTGGATCCACAGAAACGGCAAAAGTAAAGTTGATCGACACGATCCGCCCGTCGATCGTTTAAATAGCTGCCGCTTGGCGACACATCAAGGCTTTACGTAGTGGATTGGGTCATCGGGTCGAATTCTGGAGACAGTGTCCTGATCGAATACAAACAAATTCGAGCATTTCTCCTGTCGTTGTCAGTTGGTCTTTCAACCATTGTTGAGCTTCATCTACCTTGGTTGACAAATTCATACTCCCTACTCGAGAGGGTCAGACCAAACATCGAAATCACTGTATACACTAGCGTCTATACAAAATGCCTCACGCCACAGAGGGCTCGTTCCCAAATGATGACATCTTTTCAAGGCTGATTGAGCTTGCTAAAGAGAGACATGGAATCATTGTGGATGATCCGACGATTGGCGTGCAAGCTACGTATCCCCAGCTTCTTACGGATGTTGAGCATATGCGTTTGAAACTGGTGGAAGGTCTAGGAGAAGAAAATGAGTCAGTGAATTCGATCATCAGTCAGAACTACCGCGTTGGTTATGTTGGACATTCGAGTTATGAGTATGCCGTTGCTGCGTTCGCCATCTTGGCTCTTGGGGGTGTAGTTGTTCCTCTCCGTGAGTTTACTTCCAGCATCAAATGAGGCAGAGAATACTGACAACAAGGCAGCGTTGACAATCGAGGAACAGAACTATGGAAAGGTCATGGAGAAATGCGACCTAAAATGTATCTTAGCAGCTCGCAACTTTGAGCACCAAGCTGCTACTTTTCAGAGATGCGTCGAGTCGAGTCCGATTGACGTGCTTCCGATCGTGTTTAACACGTCGCAAAGCTCCCCAGTCTCTTCATACGGAATTGATGAATTATTGGAAATCCCCTCCAGCCAGCCCGGCTGGGTCAACTGGACATCTGGTTCGACAGGCGTGCCCAAGGGAGCAATTCATGACCGCCGTCTCTTCACCAACTCACCGAAGCAGTTCGACGAAGCGACCATTTCCCATCGTCCAGCCTTTTACATTGCCGGGACATGGGCCATGATTCTATCTCTTTTTATCGGGCGACATGTCTCCGTTGCTCCAATGAATGCCGGCCCCGACATCCTCTGGGAGCGAATTCGTCAGGGGGGCGTGACAACTGTCACAGCAACAGTTGCCTTCTATGATGCTCTTGCTAGGCATTTCCGCAGTCATCTATATAGCTCACCAGCGAGGGACGAGTACCTTCAAGGTGCCCGCGGTATCAAGTCAGCTGCCATTGGTGGCTCCATGCCGGTGCCTTCTTTGTTGAAGTACTGGAGAGATGTACTCGGGTGTCCTCTGAGTGTCGCATGGGGGAGTACAGAAACTGGAGGCGTTATAACTCTAGCGGACCCTGAAACATCTATCAATGTCGAGGTAAGTAATTCTATCTGCTGAGAATGGTTAGATCTATCCTCTAACCGTAACCTCTTTGATCAACAGAGATGTATCGGCAAGCTTGTAAACCCATCACATACCATGAAGCTTTCCGAGGGCGACCACGGAGCCGTCTTGCTCAAAGGCCCGTCAACCTTCAAGGGGTATGTCAAAACCTCATCAATGGGTCTTTTATCCCCGGCTACTGACTGACTTCAACGAACCTAGTTACTTCGGCAATGAGCCTCCATATGAAGAAATTGTCAACAAAGATGGGTTCCACATGACAGGTGACTCTGCCCATCGAGTCGGCTACCACTATGTTTTTGACGGCCGAGCAAAGAGTGACTGTAAGTATTTATGTTCATCTTTACTCTACCATAGCCGTGCTAACAATCACCCTTCATGTAGTCATCAAAGCTGTGGGTGGCCCTGTTCCGGTCGTGTACATGGAGAACGCCATTTCAAAGCTCCCATACATAGAGGAGGTTTACGTGCTACCGGTAGCCGACAAAGCCGTAGGAAGCAGAGTAGGCGTTCTTGCTCGATGCTCAGGATCCGAACTCACTCTGAAACGCCTCCGTGAGGACCTCGTGGAAATTGTTCCCGCGTTTATGCTTCCTACGGCACTTCGTGTCATGAGGGCTGGAGAAGACATTGAGCGAGGTCACTCCGAGAAACTTGCGCGGTTACCTACCGTGGAAAAGTTCTTTGGTTTGAATTCAACTGCAGAGCTATGGGATTTAGGGTTTTAATATGAGCGATAGGATCAAGCCGGTTTTGTAGTTGCTTAAAATTAAGCGGGTGTGTATAGTATTGATGAAATATTGCAGCTTGCAGTCGAGGAATCGAAACCTCGACTATCGTGGTCTGTTCAATCATTTCGCATCAACATCTGAAAAGCAGCCAGTAAGTCAGTTTGGCATAGGAGGCAGTCACGTGCTCTATACTAATGGCTATCCTGTCGAGCTCTATCACAGATTAGAATGGCAATCCAAATAGTCATTTCCATTTCATTTATAATTGTCTCAGCGTGGAGCTTGGACTTATTGGAGTCTACCGTGAACCTGGTTAATGAGCAAACGGATTCTCGGAGTGAACTGTTCAGGAAACAATCCTTTGGTTACTTCCACCTTCGATCACGTTTGCCACTCACTGTGTGGTCTGGCGTTCTGCTGGAATCCTCCGCGATGTAGTGAAAGATTCCGATCATACAGTCGATCGTTTTGGGTTAGCGCCATATCACGTTGTGCATAAAAGAATCGATCGTGGCTAGCAGTAGATGAGGAGATCCAACCACCTTCATCCATTCTCCTCAGTTTGATTTCAATAATAGTTTCGATACGTTCTCATCATCACTATCCTCATTATTACACACAGCACCCTTCCTCTCACAACACCATGCCGCGTCACACTTATCCACCCACTTACCCTGTCATTAAGAGCAATGACCCTCAGACTCCAACTTCATCTCCACCTATTGGACAGAGTACCAATTCTGCGAGTAAACTCCCAATTGTCAAGCGATCTCCTTCACCCATCTACCCTGTCATCAAGAGCAATGACCCTCAGACTTCGAGGCCATCTTCCCCTATTGCACAGGGTAACAACGCTTCAGAAAGTGCCCCAACTGTCAAGCGATCTCCAGCTATTGGACAGAGCTACAATACTGCGAGTAAAGTCCCAATTGCCAAACGACCTCTTCCGTCTAATGAAAAGAAAGAACTCAAGGTAACCACTACAAGGAAAAACCTGGTTCAGTGGCACGACTTCATGAGAAACCATCAGAAGAAAGTCCCTGGCAAAGTCCATGCAATCGACGTTCTCATCGGCGATGCTGTCATTCCGCATGAAATCTGGTCGAAGCCTCAGTCGGAACGGCCCTTCCACTTTCGATACAGGGGGCAGTCCATGCTTTTGCAAGATGTATGGAGGGTTCGAGACGATGAGGTGGCTTCGAAGGATGCGCCTGTTCCAGCCGGTACATCGCACCTTCCCGAGGGCGACTATCCCCACATGCCTGATCGGATTCGAATCAATGGGGACTCCCTCCAGAAGCTGCTCGAAAAGCTTCTAAACATTGAAATCCACCAGAAAGGCTCCCCGATTGTCTTGCTTAAACCGTTCAAACTCCTCGTGCAGCATGAAAAGGCAATCCGCGATCTCCACACCCAATTGCGAAAGAAGTTCGGTCCGATCGCGATCACAGAGCAGTTCCCGAACTGTCCTTCCAACCAGACTCCGGATGATCCGCAGCCATCATCTCAGAGTGGGTATTTTTCCATCGAAGAAAAAGAAAAGTTGTTGAACGAATATGGCACGGAGCAAGCGTACAGAGAGCTGTCTTGCTTGGTCGACTTCATGGACAACGAGCTCAAGCCTATCAAGGCACTCGAAAGCGGCTTAGTTGAGAAGACCTACTACTCGGTGCAAGCCTTCAAAGAACTGCCCTGCTTGGAAGACTTCATTGACGACGAGCCCAAGCCCATCAAGGCACCCGAAAGCACCTCTGTTGAGAAGGTCTACTACTCTGATCTTTGGCATCTTTTCAAGACTGGTCAAGTGGTAATCACTCGAGAGCCCCTTCAAGCCTACCGTGTGCTCTGTGCAACGGGCGGTCGTTCATACCTGTTTCCACCCAAGAGCGATGATGACGACCTTGATGATCTCAGTAAGAGGTACATTGTTCCAGCCAAAGGGAGTGACTTCCTCGTGCTCTGCTATCAGATTCAGTACGACGGGCATAGGTTTGGTCCGGTTACACGCACCTTCACTATTCAACCGTTTTCTGGTGCACGAAGTATCGAGGATCTTCCCATCTACCCTCTTCAATTCGCTCAAGATTCGAAGGTCAAAAAGACGCTTCAGTGCAATGGTGAGAAGTTCTTACATGTTTCTAGAGGCGGCCATTTTCAATACAACGGACCGAATCTGCATGACGGGGGTGAAATCGATAGCCAGGTGATTGTTGATTTTGAGACAGCCCTCTGGGATGATCGCGATAAAGACCCGAGTTGGAACTACATGGTACAATTTGGCATCAGTCCACCAATGGGTGCAAACGAAGCAGAAGTTGTCATGGTGTCTCCGGGAGGCTGTCGAGAGAAAGACTGCTGTGAAAATGACCGCGTCTTCAACGACTTTGGCATTGACCGTCAGAACATGGAGGACTTCATGGCTAAGCATTCATTGTTGAATACAGATGCTTGCAACTTCGACGGCAACTCGGGCAATGCTTCAGAGGAGGACCTCATTATCTTCCCTTGCAGTGTATTCGCGTTTGTGCTGAAGACTCGACAATGGGGTAAGTTTACCAGATATGTTCATGTCTTTTCGACTGAGCTAACTCAATACAGCTGTGGTCGACCTCAATCATGTTGTTTTGGATATCGCGGATGATATAAAAGAACGTGGATGGAACTCGTTGGCTTTGCCAGCTGGTCACAAGAGAATCGTCTATTCTCTTGTTCGGGGGCATATCCGCCACAGTGGCGAGGAACCGAACGGGAACTCACAATCAGACTTGATCGGAGGAAGAGGTAACATCCAGTCCTTTGTGAACTTTTTCTTATTTTGGGGCTGACTTTTTCATACATAGAAAAAGGACTTACCATTCGCCTATATGGTGCAACGGGAGTGGGAAAGACGTCGACTGCTGGTAAGTTCAAACCGGATCCCCAGCGATAAAATAAAGTCATGAAACTAACCCAGTGGTTTCGTATAGAATATGTAGCAGAGGTTTGTGACCTACCACTGTACTCTGTCGCTTGTGGCGACCTCGATACTACAGCAATCGACTTGGAGCCTCTCTTGGAGTCTATCTTCGCTCAGGCTCAGAAATGGAAATGCGTTCTGCTTCTAGATGAGGTCAGTCTTCTCCCTGTCAATGTATCTGTGAGCTCAAACTAATGCCAGACGCAGGCCGATATCTTACTCACGCAGCGAGATGATAACGCGAAAGACAACAGCCCCGCGTCAGGTAAGCCTTCGCACCACCCCCTCATGCCAACATCGCTAACCCAGCCCCAAATAGTTCTCTTTCGCGTCCTCGAGAACTACAAAGGAATCCTCTTCCTCACCACCAATCAACTCGGCAAGATCGACAAGGCCCTCCAGTCTCGTATCCTCGTCAACCTCTTCTACCCGCCCCTTAACAAGAGGGCCACGCACAAGCTCTTCCGCAAGAACTTAAGGCTTGCCAAGACGAACGGGATCGAAGCCGACTTTTGGGAAATCCGCGTTTTTGCCATAGAGCATTACAAAAACACCGCACCGGAACGGCGATGGAATGGCCGCCAGATCCGACGCGCCTTTCAAATTGCGATTGCGATTGCCGAGCAACGCGCGGCGGAGAAGAATAAAAAGGCCGTCAAGAAGGGCAGACGCCAGGGTCATAAACCGTGCATGAAATGGTGCGATTTCGAACTAATCGAACAGTCCCTGTCGCGGTTCGATGATTTTGCTCAGAAAGTTCGTGATGTGGTTCAACCGGATCTCGCGACGCAGAACGATGATCGAGACGATGATCCGGGGCTGAATCAAGATAGGGGGTATGAGTCATCAATATACTCGTATTCAGTAACTGATGACGAGGTCTGGGAGACTTGCAAGGAGTACTGAACTGAGTAAGGGGTCGTGGAGTCCTCCCAGTAGGCTTCATCGCTAAAGGCGCGAGGACTCCCGGATCTGAAGAAGGGTTTGGGTAGAAAGTCGTCGTTAGTGGTGGCTTAGCCACAACATTGGTAGTTTATGCTACAGACTATGAAATTGTGTCAGTTAAACAAGAATGAAATTTCCAGCGATGGACTTTGTCCTCGTTATGTGGATTGATGTTTTCCGCTCTCAATCTGGCGGACCAACTTAGTTGGCCTAAGCACCGTAGGGAGCAATATTCGACTAGGAACTAGAGTTAGACTATACTGAGAATAGCGAGCCATGTTGAATGGTTGGACAGCAATCAAAAAGATGACATATTTCAGCCATGTTAGATGGCGTCAACAGTAAACCAGTAGAACAGAATCAGAACGAAATGAAAGACAACTTAGGTGTCCAGCTGACATTCAGTAGTCATTTCCCCGACTGATAACTTCCTTGCGCGTTTCCCCGAGGAAGATAGTCTGGAAAGCATTAGTTCCGAAATACCCCATAAAGAGCGAGGACAGCTTACATGTTCAAACTGTGCCGAGTACGACCCCGGAGTATCAATCAAGGGCTCATACATTTCCACCACTCCCTTGTTAACAAGGTCGTTCATCTAATTTCCATAAGCTTCTGTTTGATTGAAGGGTAGAGAGATACTTACGCCGGCTAGATAGCGCTGAACGCCAAGTCGCTCAAGGTAACGACGGCAAAAGACAATGGTGCCGAAGTTATCATTGATGGTCTTGTAAAGGGACCTGGCCGAAGCAAGAGACGATGATATCTTGCTGGGCGCGGAGTAGGACTTTCCGTAGCCATAGACGCCGGGCTAGAAGTGTGTGAGCATCTTTTGGGAGTCCACGTAGATAGGGAAAACATACACCATCATGTACCATGCCTCGACCCGTTGACCCAAAGGTTTCGATGGCAAAAACCTCCCCTTCTTCCATCTTGGTCTGATCCTTCGTCTTGATAAAAGGGACGGACTTCCCAGCGTGGATCTGATATGCCTTGATGTTGTGGCCGGTGATGTTTCGCACCGCCTTCACAGGGAACGTTTTACCACCGATGTCCACCTCGTAGCTTTCCATCGCTTCCTGGATGGCTGCACTGACATCGCTGATACGGATATCCACACCGGCATTCTAGATGATGTTAGCATGCTATTGAATACGGCGCGAATTAATCATGCTCCCACCTTTATACCCGTGTTGGTAGCGTCCTTCACTGCAGCGAGCAGGTTGTCGTAGGTGGGATCAAAAGACATTGTGAACGCACTATCCACAATCCAGCCATTGATGTGGACACCAAAATCAACCTTCATGACGTCGCTCCTGTCCAGGATGACCTCCTTCTGGCCAGGATTCGGTGTCCAGTGCGCCACACAATTGTTTAGCGAGAGTCCGGTCGGAAATCCTAATCCCGACTTGAGAGCACTTCCCGGCTCAAGGCCAGCATTGTCGAGCAGCGCTCGGACGCCATCGTCAATCCCCACGGCAATGTCCGTGAGACTCGATCCCGGACGCGCAGTTTCCTGGGTCCAGTGTCGAACCTGACGATGTATCTCGGCTCCTTTCCGATAATTGTTGAAGAAAGTCTCATCATAGAGATCCTGACGTGACAGATACCGGTTTTCCTCGTCAGTCGTGCGAGCGGTGTTCTCGACCACGGGGTAGTTCTGGAACTCGCCGGTCGGATACTGGCCGTTCGGGAACAAGTCGCTCAGCGGAATCCGCGGTGGCGAGGACTGTTTCAATGCCGAAGACTTCTTCTTGGACTTCTTGCGTTTCTTTTTCTTGGAGGCGCCCTCCGAGGTGAGTTGCGCCGTTGCTTTGTCGGTACCATCGCACACGTGGTTCTCTACACCGGCGGTGGCGGCACCCTCGTCGTCGTCGTCATCTCCATCTTCATCCCCCAGACTGCAATCTCCATCGCGGGACAAATGGGCGCCGCGGGGTTCGCCGCCCGCGTTGTTGCCCTTGGTCGAGCAGGACTGGGCATCTAGTAGGTGTAAGCAGGGTTCAAATATCTAAGTCATGACCGAGGTAAGCGCATACCGTGGCCACGGTGGCCGTCTTGTTCAGGTGATTTCGAGCCCATGGCGACATCAAGATAGAGATATATGAAGCGGTTGTGATGAATACAAGAATCAAGAAAGAAGAAAAATCGGATGTCTTTATTTGCTGTCGATTTGGGGGCGGAATCTCAGACCGCGTTATGCCTATTCGGGACGTCACGCGGGGCAGTTGCCTGACGGTGGGGGCCTAAGGACCTGCCTGTTTGGGATGCATCGCAAACATTCGGCACAACACAATACTTGATCAACGCTATCTTTACTTACGTGGCAGCTCTGCAGTTAAATACTACTTGTTTAGGACAATAATCAGGAGCTTAAAATCCTTTCCCATTTCACTTCCTGACGTCTTCGTCTTGGCGCTGTAAAAATATATTCTGGAGACATCTGTCAATGTCAAACGTACTAACCAGAAGTCCCTGATGTTGGCATTGACAGGGACATGTTCGTAAAACCCAGCCCCCAAAGCTTCCAAGGGCTAAGTCAGATTGTTTCTCTATATCTTGTTCAAAGTGTCCGAGCTTGTCACTTAGATATTAACTTAGGACAAGGGCAAGTACTAATATAAAACGCCCGCAATTTTCTCACGGAGCTGTTGAGATATGATCGCCGCGACAACATCAACCGCGGCGTACACATTTTATACCGGTGGATGAGACCACCGGGTCGAATATCATAGTTGACTTGCTGTGGACCACTGGGGCTTATGTCAGAATTTCAGTAATGTTCTAAATTCCATGGAGTACTGCGATCTTTCTGAGGGGGAGAGGCTAATGTTGCGCATTTAACTGGGATTGGAGATCACGAGGATGAGGTTATAAAGGCTCAAAAGGCTTTTTAAGCTGCAGGAAGACGGAAGATAATCCGGGGGAGTATACGCTTCCATGAAAAGGAGATAAAGCAAGCTAGGTTTGTTGAACGAGAACGACCCAGGCAACTGCCAAGGAAGAACGATGTCTTTCATGAGGTTGTATGACCCTGATTCATTTATACTACCCTCTCAGACATGCATGACATCCCTCAGCAATTATTGGTGGGTTTTGAAACGACCGTCAAGCAATGCGGAGTAAACGCCGTGTCTAAGCCATTAGCTTGTTTATAGTTGATTAACTCGGGTAGATCACTGAAGAATCGGTTAAATGAGCAACGCCTATGGAGTATTTAAGTGACGCGAGAATGCGCGACCCTGACGATCTGTCATGCGCCGTTAGTTTTCTTCAAGCCCAAGTCTACACTTGGATCCTCGCGCCGCCACAATGATCCCTCTCGCACTCCTCAGCCTGGCGCTACACATCCCAGGACTCGCAGCGCAAGTCGAAGGCTCCTCGCCCATCTCCTTCACCTCCAACGGTAACCCCATCTGGTCCAACAGCTCCTGGTATTCGGCCGACCCGGCTCCCCTCGTCGTCAACGACACCCTCTACATCATCACGGGCCGTGACACCGCACCCCCCAACCAGAACGCCTTCGACATCAACCAATGGGGCATGTTCGAGTCCTCGTCGCCAGACCCCAAGGGCAGTGACTGGACTCTTCACCCGAACATCGGAGTCCCGGAATCCATCTTCTCCTGGGCCAAGCCGGGAAGCGCATACGCCGCACAAGTCGTGCAGGGCGCCGACGGTAGATTCTACCTCTACGCGCCGGTCACCGAGGCCGATTCATCCAACGAAGATCCCTTCGCCATCGGTGTCGCTGTCGCCGACACTCCCACGGGTCCGTATAAAGACGCGCATCCGGACGGGCCGATTATCTCGCAGTCTGTGCCGTCGCCCGGGAACTCGATCCAGAACATTGACCCGACGGTGTTCGTCGACGACGATGGCCAGGTTTACATCTACTTCGGCACCTTCGGGGCTCTGCTCGGTTATAAACTCGACAAGGACATGATCACCATCAAGGGCGACGTGACCCGCGTCACCAGTCTGACGGGGTACTTCGAAGCGCCGTGGCTGATGAAGCGCAAGGATACCTACTACATGCTCTTCGCGGCGAACAACGCCGGCGAGGATTCTCCCTGCACCCCGACATCCTATCATGCTTGTCTGGCGTACGGCACGGCCTCGTCCCCGCTAGGTCCATGGACGTTCCAAGACGTGATCCTCCCCATTGTGTCGTCGACGACGTCGCACCCTGGCGCGGTCGAGCTGAACGGCGAGTGGTATCTTGTGTACCATACCGCGGACGCGGAAGGAGGCGGCCACTTCCGACGCAGCGTAGCGTTCGACAAGTTGACTTGGGACGACAGTGCGAGTCCCGCGAAGATCAACACCGTCGTGCAGACTTTCGGACCGAAGGAGGGCCCGTCGGCGACGTATAACGCGGCTCTCAAGGCAGTTGCGAGCTCCAAGAACGGAACCCCGATTCAGTACTGGGTCAAGGCATTGAATGACGGGATTGTGCGCGAGACTCCCCTGCCGCCGGATTATTGGTGTTCATATGATGGTACGGACTCGCCGGGTACCAGCACATTGGTGTATACCTGGAACGAAACGGTCACGTTGAATGGGACATCGATGGTGTTTTTCGCGGATCAGCCGGCGGGCGCGGATGAGGGGGTTGCGCCGCCGAAGGCGTGGCATGTTGAGTATAAGAATGGGGAAGGCGAGTGGGTGAAGGCCACCACTAAATCAGAGTATCCGTTGAAGGTGACGGATAGTCCCGACGTTGTGGGGTTCGAAGAGTTCGAGACCAAGTCGATTCGTGCAATCTTGACGGCTTCGGGCTCGGAGGGACAGTATGCTGGAGTGGGTGTAAAGGAGTGGGAGGCGTTGTCGACTACTCTGCAAGACTCTTGATCCAAGATCCCAACATAGGACAGGTGTACATAGTTTGAAATTCTTTACACAGTGTCATTATTGCAACTCAAAGTAAATGTTGAAAGCAGTTTATACATGCAGGCATCCCAGGGCTAATCTATCCATCTAATCTAATCTAATCTATAAGCCTCAGGCAAACCCAGGCAGGCTCATCTTATGCACATACTCCTCCATCAGCTTCTCCTCCTGGTTAATAAACGGCTCGACAACCGCCAAACCGCGGTCAATCTCCTCCTTGAGTCTCTCCCACTCTCCATCCTTCGCCTCAGCACCCTTGCGCTGAGTAATGTCGCCGTCAGCGACACCATTCTCAGCCCCGGTCGCGTGCCCATTACCATTAGCGGCCACAACGTCCAACAAAGGGGTATATCCAGCGGCCTGGAACGCATCCTTCGGCGGCACCGTATACCGTCCCTTCTTCAACACATAGCGACTGATCGAGACCGCGTACAGCTTCTTCTTCAACGCCTCGGCGTCCAGCACGCGACCCTTCTTGCCGGGCTTCAGGAAATACGTCACGATGTAGATCCACTTGTTATCGTAGCTGGCGACATGCGACTTGACCTCGTATTTCATGTAGGCGGGGATTTCACGCTTGAAGCTGGTGTAGACGCTGCCGAGGATGAAGCCGAGAGGGCCGCGCTTGCCGTTGGCCGCGAGTTGCTTTTCGAGGAGCGCGGCGCCCTTGACCACGATGTTGGACATCAGCGCCGTTCGCGAAACGTCCAGGTCCGAGAAGTACGTCGAGTTCGACTTGTGCATGTTGAAGTCGAGTTCCATGATGGGTGCGCGCGAGTAGATGCTGACGGGGTCGAGAAGCTCGGTGCTGGGTCGCGCGGGCTGCTCGACGGCGGGGGTGATCAGGTAGCCATGTTTGAAGAAGTAGCGGTATACGCGGATCTACATGGTCAAAACAAGAAATTAGCATTTTTTTGAGTTCAGTCGGGGAATGGCGACGGGGAGAACGCACATGCCACACCATGGGGAACGTCTTCAGGTTGAGCAGGGCAAAGAAGATGGCTGCGGCTTTCCAGAAGCCGAGCGAGCCCCAGGCAGAGGAGACGAGCGAGGAGAGGGACTCCATCAGGGAAAAATTATATGTGCACTTAAACAATGTAACACAAAGAACATACAAAGGAAAAGGAAAGTAAAAGAGGCCGTCTATATGATAAGAACAGGGAGCGGCTAAGGATTCCAGAACGTCCCAGAGAAAAAATGTTGAGACCCACAACCACCTCGACCTCGGCTTTTTGGCCGTGCGCAGCCAATGGCATTGCGCCTGTGCACACCTTTTTTTGTTTTCTCATCAGCGATCGACTAATCGGCTTTTGCGGGCCACCCGCTGCGACCCGTCATCTTGGATTCAGCCACATTTGTCCTGCTCTCTCCATGTCCCTGGTCATTCACTATCCATCTGTGTTATACGAAATTGCTGAGGTCGGTCAATCAAAGTTAAACAAATGAGAAAGGTGGTCGATCTTGGAGCTGGCATCATTCCCAAGTTCATTCACCCTTGATCCATGCGCCCATCTACTATAGTCAATCTGTTGCCACGAAAAGACTCCACTGGGGAAGGGCTCCCCCACCGAGTAGAGCAAATCATAGGAGATAATAAACTGTTCGGGCTGGCCCTTTGCGTACTACAATGTCAACTAATCAATTCTTTGGGTAAATATTGCTGTTTCCTTTATTGAATTAGGCAGGGAATCGCGCCTTCCTTCACTGCTATCATTGCAAGAAACCCAAAATACTTCACCGTAAATATTGGACGCTTCAGCATCCTATTCCCTTGTCCATTCACTGCTGCACCTGTGGTTCTCGCTATCTTCCTGACTGTAAATCCTGAGACCCTCGAGACTGATAATACTACGATCTACCTACCCCTGCAAATTCTCTATCCAGCAAAGCCTTCCTTCAGTCGATGCTACCAACACTTCAAGCAGGACTTAGAGTGCAACTGAATATCTTCGTTGTTTCCAACTGCAAACTCATCGCTCATTTCTTTCATCTTTTCATAATGACCACCCAACGTTACTTTCGGGGTCTGCCGACGAATGAAGAGGAATGGCAGAACGCAGCAAGAGCTTCCAATGTCACGGATAAAAGCTTACACAGCTGCGTGGAGCTAAGATCAGGCTCTAGAGTAACCCAGGAGCAGTTTCTGTTGTTCCGGACAATTTGTCCAAAGTTCCAAGAGCCATACATGTTCAACAGTGCTACTTTGAACCTTACTGCCAGACTCCTGAGAGCCGGTACTATCCTCGCAGGATCGATCGAGTTTCAGGACTACGTGTCTGTACTCCGAGCCAATCAGTGGAGTAACCCCAACAAATTCGAGCGAGTCCTTGAACAACAATGGGAGGTGTTGCGTTGCTACGACAGTAAGAACGAACTTATCGAACATGATGAGCATGTCGTGAATTCCAGTTTCATTCTTTTGCTACAGACGATGCTTAGTTTAGCTCCTGCACCTACACGAGAATGGCGAGTGTCCAAAAGATACCTGAGTGCGGACTTCAGAACTGTTAGGCAACTCAGACGCGATACAAATTCAGCTAAACATCGATTCATAGCGATCACAGGCGGCCAATTACGGCATATTGCGGCGGGCCAAATCGAAGCCATTGTTGAATGCAAGGTTCGAAAAGCAATTATGCCACAGCCGCAAGTTGATATGCAAGAGGTTTCACAGATTGTTGCGTGGATCAAGCAATATCCTCCTTCTATGGGAGATAAACACCAGTAAGTACAAGACATACCAAGATCCTAGAATGTACTGCGTTCTAGTCGTTTGGCCCTGGTTGAAATGTCATCCCATAGCTCTATTTTTCCTTCCTTCCTTCCTTCCTTCCTTCCTTCCTTCCTTCCTTCCTTCATCGTCGTCGTCTTTCCTCTACTTCGTTTTCCCCAAGCTAACACATTTAGGCGTGTGGCCGTATCCCAAGACGGCAAAGAATTGTACATAAGTTTCCACAACTATTATGACAACTGGTTAGGCCACCTCGGTAATCATGGCCCGACGAGCCGCACCACTTTCATGAAGAAAAAGAGGATTGGCCATTTTCTTGGATCCTGAAAACAGGTCATCATGAACACAAGCATCCACGCGCCTGAGCAGGCTCAGGCAGAGGGCGAACGAGGGGACGACGAGGCGGCAAGGTATGCTTTATCGCCCCTGATGATGTTCATTGTGTGACTAAATTTGGTTGTAGAGACGCAACAGGGACAAGTGCGGGTTCTGCTTCAAGTTAGGGCACCATACAAACCAATGCGAGCTCTAATGGGGTACGCGGGCGGCGGTATGTGTTATCCTAACAGGCCATATCATAGAAAGCTTAGTTGTTAACAATTCCTCAGGGCCGCCGCATGATGGAAGTTGGAAACCCCAATGATTAAGCCATCACGCTTGGATAACCATATAAAGCAGCAACAGCAGAACAATTCGCATCGGGGTCGTGGTGGCTAGCTGAGGGTAATGATGAAACCCTACTTGATCCTATGATTGAGCATTCTTCTGGTTTACAAAGGCTGGGAAACGCCAGGAGTAGTAGCAAGCCTATCAGGTACTTCAACAGTACCAGAGCCTGCTGAAAACGGCGAAGAATCGAGATGAGGTTCTCAAAGAGACGCTGGAAAGAGAATCTTTACTTGAAACAATGCACGTTGTCTTGGGACTTTCAAAACGCTCTATCGGTTCAGCAGCGAAATGAAGCGAAGTCAACAGCGATTCTTATGGGCTTACGAGACGGCGCCCTGAGGGGGCCTCGAGGGAGAGTTCGAGAGATTCGACCAGTGAGTCGACATGAGGAAACGGTACAGTACTGCATGTCGAACCCTTCAGCGTCTCAGGCGTGGATGAGAGTAGTGACTCAGAATGTCCCAATAAACTATTTATCGGTGGACGACCGTCTTCAAGAGTGCACTTGAAAGGAGCGTTAAACGGAATGAAAGTTGAGTTTTCCTTCGCTCAGCTTTGCGATACTGCCGGCAGAATTCCAGGCACATACCCTGACTCATGTTATTCTGTTCATGTATGTAGGGCTTCTAACTACTTGGGAACCTCAAAATCTCAAGATGCTCATTGAAACCAAGGCTTAATCACTCCTTGAACTGGTTGTCCGTCTCCTGAGGAGCCTTCTTGTTTAACCTATTTTTGTCGACGGAAAGGTGGATCGGAGACCATTGGAAGCTTGTCGAGTTCTTCGGTAACACCAGTCGAATGTATTCTATTATCACTGGGATTTCTCAAGGACATTGTTCCCATTGTATCTAACTCATCCTTCAGTGGAGACTTCTGATTTAGTTGAAACCAAGGTTACACTAAAATCCAAGGAAGTGACTCATCTTATTCTGAATGATATCATTTCTCCCTACCAAAAGTCTGACAATCCCGAGAACGCTAACAGTCAAGCTTATTATTCTGACGCATCAATCAGTATGCTTAGCATGATGGCCCTGACAGGGAAGGGAAACAGTATCCACAGCTAGGTGAATCATGGTACTGATTCAACGCGCCACAACCGTGGATCCCCTATGAATCTCTTACCCGAATTGGACAGCCGGTATTTGTTTTGGTATGCTTTCAGAGCCCGACGGGGTCTATTTAAAGGCCGACAAAATGGACTGTGATTTCGAATCCTCATCACACAGAACCCCAGCTATGTCTCAAGTCCGAAAGTTTTGTTTGCAAGTAGCGCACGTCATAGACTCCCTGGAGCATCGGAGGTTGCCAAGATGTGGGATTCTTTTGATGGTAAATGTGTCTTGATCACCGGGGGGTCTGGCTTCCTAGGAACGGCCGTTGTCTATCGGCTTGTGACTCGAACGTCGGTGTCTCTTATTTACATACTATGCAGAGGAGGACGAAAGTAAGCTCCCATTCCTTCTTTCGATCTTTTCCAGGACAGAAAGCTAACAGTTACTCGCCACAGAGCCCTCTATACGAGATGGAAGAAATCACTGCCAGATCAATTCGCGGACAAGCTCTGCAGATCAAATCGCCTTCTTGTCCTGGACGGCAATATCATCAAACCAAACATGGGATTGTCCGACTCCCAAGTCGATATTGTTCGAGAGGATGTGGAGATCGTCATTCATGCCGCGTCTTCGATCAATCTTACGTCGAATTTATCGAGTCTAGCACCGACGGTCATCAAGGCTACGGAGATAGTTGCGCAGTTTGCTCTCGCCTGTTCCTTTCTCACTCGCTTCGTGTACGTTTCGAGTGCCTATGCAAACGCACACCTAGACCCACGCAGCGAGTCAATCGACGTCGCCGTTCAGGAAAAGATCTACCCTCCTTCACAGCAGGACACTGCCCTGACTGAATGGGAGGAAGTACAAAAGACCGGTACCAGCTCGGTATACGACACAGAGGACTATCCGTGGTCATATGCCTACGCGAAACATCTCACTGAGAGATTACTGTTTCGAATGTTTAACGATCACGACGTAACAGAATGTCTGCTGATCGTACGTCCGTCCATTATCGGCCCGGCGCAAAAGTGCCCATATCCAGGGTATTGCGTTCCATGCTCAACGCCGACAACTTCGGCTGCGGTATCATTCCTCTTGAGCGCAGATTCAGAAATAAGAACTACTACCCGATGTCCGGATCCTGATGCTGAAGTCCACATTGACGAAGTGCCGGTCGATGTTGTTGCAGATCGTCTCCTTAGCCATCTAGCCGTGGGGACAACCGGCTGCGTCCACGCCGTCAGCGGGAAACGAGCACGTACGAATTATCTAGAATGGTGGCAGCCCATAATGCAACTCCGTCGGATCCCGTGGGAGTTGAAAAGAGTCTGGATTTATGAGAACTGGAAAACGCCCAATCAACATCCGATTTCTCGACTTTGGGTGGCACTTGGAAGTTCTTTCTGCTTTTCCGAAGATCGGACCATTGCAATTAGTGAGGAATTGGCTGAACACGGGGACTGCTCGGACCTGCAGCTTTTTACGACGGCTCATATGGGGAGACAGCTGCTAGAACGGACTCAGCAGCTTCGGTCTGTCATGGATCAGATCGCAGCGCACAGTCCTAGGGATGCTGAAATCATTCAGGCTTATTACCAGGATTTCGGCAGGGAAGGTGTTGAAAGGTTGAATGCTCGTCTGTAGCGCATTGTAATGAGCAATCCAAGAAAATATATGCCTGCACTGCGCAGGTCCCACCAATGTGAGATTAAGGACTTCGAAAGATTATGGGATTGTCAGTAAATCAGGCACTGCATTTCTCGTTATGTGGTGGCCACCACCTGCGGTACGAATTATGATCCAAAAGTTCATTTCAAGACAAATCATAAGCCATTAGAAATGAAGAAATTCTGCCACATACCGACCGCTATTATCGTTAAATCATTATGCCTCCGTGAGGCGGGATCTTTTCCAACATGGGCATATCATCCGTGGCAGGGGGAAGATTTTCAAGGGCATCCCAAAAACTACCATCAGAGCTACAGCCACTGTTTGGCTCTTTGTACAATTCATCCATGTCAGAATTGACACGCAGGGGAAGACAAGGAACACAAACAGATTCCATAATTCTTTCTGAACTTTCTCCGAGAGAAGGCATCTGGTTGATAATGCTCAACAAATCGTCAAATGCGACCGCAAGATCCTCTGTCAAATCAGGTCGTTGACGTAAACGATTACCAAGATACCCTAGTGTATACTGCTTATCGTACTTCATCCGGAAATGGTCCGTCGCAGCTAGGATACGAATAGTTTCAAGATCTGCATAAAGCGCGGCGATCTGGAGCAGATGTGGTCCTTTCAGACGCGGACACACAGAGTACTCGTGCCATCGATCTAGCATCATTCTCAGCACATTGTGGCTATTGTAGGTAATTGCTGTGGTCAGTGGACTGGACCCGTCAGCGGATATGGCGTTGATATTCGCGCCGTATTCCAGGAGCAACATGGCGAAACTGGCGTTGTCAGTCCGTGCTGCGTGAATGAGTGAAGTCTTCCCATCTGTTCCGCTTGAGTCAACATCCGCGCCGAAATCGAGAAGACTTTTCAGAAGTAAAACATCCGTGGCATTGCGTGCCGCACAATTGAGAGGACTGCCTTTCTTTTCACTGCCGGGTTTCCGGAAGTCGGTAAGTGCGCCAGCTTCGAGCAACAGGCGAACGGCAACGGTATGGCCCTGCGAGGCCGCGTTTTACAGGGGACCAGATAATTGAACATCCATGATGTTCGGGTCTGCACCGTGGCTTAGCAAGGTCACGATTGCACGAGTGTCCCCACGGGCGGCTGCCCAGGCTAACGGTGTGCGACCCATTCCATCTGGTGTATTAATGTCGCCTGGGTTCTGAGCGATTTCGTTCTCCAGACTGAGCAGTAGCAAGCCTATCACGATCTTATGAGTCTTGGTATATCCTGCGTCATCTATGAAATCCTCATAGTATCCGCCCTTGGTAATAGTATGGAGCGCGTCGGAGGCCGTGTCCGAAAGTCCACCTTCAAGAAGAAAATGACAGGCCTTATTCCTTGGGCTATTGTCACTCGCAGCAATTGGGCGATAATCAGCATCCGCACCGGCATGTATCAGAAACTTGCAGGTTTCATTGTTTTCCGTAAAGTGCCCATCGAAGGACGGAATATCCTCGAGTGGTGCTAACATCGCGAGGAGACGCCAACCCCTTTTCGAAAAGGTATTTAAGGCCGTCGATATCTCCATGTAGGGCAAAACTAACGCACTGTGCCGTATCTGGAACCCGTCTCAGAGTATCCAATTTCAACAACGTTCCAATATTGGGCTGGTAACCGACCTGAATACGCACGATCGCAGATGACAGAAAGCCTAACGGAAACCAATATTCCAGGTTCACTTGGCTAGCACGCGACTTCCTGCATGTACCGACGCTGCATTTCGGACTGAAAAGGGGCAGCCCGGCATAGCCAACGAAGAGTCGTCCGAGGACTCGATTCAACAATGCCGGGCTGCTTGACTTCTTCTGCAAGTGGCAAACGCACGGGCACCCCGACCGGCACGTTACAACAAACGGTGTGACACGAACTCCCATCCCTTCCGATTGAGTTGGCGTAGTGTAAGTCTCCTTTGTATATGGCGGAGGTCGTTCCTTTCTTGTTGTAGACATGTCGTATGTCGAGCCCACTTATTTAAGCTAACTAGCTTGGACCTGATTTGACTATGCTTGAAGCATCTCTTCGACCCGGGTGATGCGCTCGTCAACCGCGGCAAGGCCTTTGAGAAAATTGTCTTGCAGGGCAACTTGCTGATGCGACGATTGTATTGCGACTGTGGAAATGGCCTCTATGTCCAGTCGGATCTTCATCATGTCTTGTCTGGTGCCAGTCAGCAAATACCGGCTGCCATGAGCTTCTGGGCATCACATCGCGTGACATACGAGTTAGAGGCACCGAGGATTATGTTTAGATTCGCTTTGACAGTCCTGATATCTTCCTGAAGTGCCTGCAGCCGGCCCTGCTCCCTGCGCCACGCGTGCGCCCGGAAGATCGAGATTCACGACACGCGACATACTTCGTTTAGCTGATTCACGATGTCCTTGATCTCAACCAACTTGTGATCCGCCTGCTTCAAAAGATGCGGGATCGCGGATAGTTTGCTCTCTGGCAGACAAGCTCGATCATTCACGAGCAGCGAGATCTGAAAAAGGACGTAATTCAAGTCGGCCACCTCATTGTTTACTGCGTGAAGCCGACCGGGTAAGTTTTGGCAAAGCGACCGCAGATCCGAAAAGGCAGAGCATGTTTGAGCAGCAAGAGTTGCGATCGCGAAAACACTTGTGCTGATCGAGAGTGGATCCATGGTGCTTTGAACTTGCGACCGGTCTGGAGTTGGACGGGGTCAAGGGGGCTGTGGGGACGCCTGCACCTTTAACGCTCTTCTGATGCGGCTAGAGGCGTGCATCGTGTCCTCTCATTGGCTGGTGCGAAAGGCTCGGAGACGGCCCGGCGCTTCCGGCTGCGCTTCCGTGGAAATAAAATAAAAGGCACTGGTTTTGACGGCCTGAGGTGCTTGTGTACCTGGTGTTACCAGTAGATGCCACATGATCCAGGCTATGCTGTGGATAAAGTACCTCCGGAGTAGGTCATTGGTCCCTGCCCTGGGGGATATATATTTTTGTTCACGTAGCATTGTCTGAGTTGACAGCATTCCACTATCTCGATGCTCAAATTAGATTGTCAACAGTATGCAGTGTCATTTCGTCACTTTCCGTTTATATTTTTGGTTAACCGATCGCTGTTGTCAAGTTATCTTTGTAACTAGTTACGAAAAGCTTGCAGAGTTGATATGCCTCGGCTTGCTCAACCTTGCTCAATGGATCGCTGGATAGAATCACAAGTCAATTACCTAAATTAGGCGCTGCCAAGAGGGCACCCCACACATACACGGCTGCTGAGTGGTTCGAACACTATACACTCCCTGAATAAGGCCATATATCCCCCCAGCATGTGCCCCTAGTGGCCACCTGGAGCTGTATTAGGAATCCGAGGATCAACGTTATTGCGGCTGACACGCGGAGCTATCCTGAGATTAGACCCACAACATTCAACTTCCCCTCCCCTTTATTATACCGCACATGTCCCTTGTGTGATTACAAGAAAAGTGGTGATCATTGCACATTGATACTCCCGTGATTCAGAGTTCTTTTGGTCTCATCTTATGATTCAATATGCGGTTTGGTCACGATTTTCATCGGCACCAGGTTCCAGAATGGGCCGATGCGTACGTGCCATATTCTTTGCTGAAAAAACTGCATAACAAGGCCATAAAGAGGACAGATGTTGGTCAGCCAGACTTCAATGGTATGTAATTCCACATATTCTTTTCATCCGGATATTTCTCATGTTGAAGCAGAATTGTACACCGCGTTGGAGCACAGCATATATTCAATCGCGGACTTTTACAAGGAACACCATGCGATGCTGCGTGTGAATGAAGCAGAACTCATCCAAAGGTCAAACCTCTTACTTACTGTGAATGCTTGGGATGTTGAATGTCTCAGTCAAAATTTTCATGATCTCCGAGAAGATTTCAACAAGCTGCAGTGGTTCTTCAGGGTCAATTATGAAGCGCTCGAGCGGATGTCTACAAAAATTGAAAGATCGCCGATTTCTGATGACCAGCATCATCAGAGCTGCAAATCTAAGTTGGCCAAGCTCACTGAAGACCATGAAGGCTTGGTTTCATCATTTATTGAGAGTCTGGACTCCTTCATGAAAGCTGTTTTCCATACTTGTCATGATGCAAAGACGTCTGAGACCTCAAAGCGTTCATATTTGAAAGCTTTCATTGATCGGTTCAGCTCCTCGCCCTCGTCTTCAGAGCTCTCCGACAACTTCGCTTCGTGTCTCTTGGAAGATCGAGAAGAGAATCTGGGTGAATTACTAGAGAAGGTTTCTAACGAGAGCAGCTTGCCGGATGGCCTTTCTTTTAGCAATTTCCTAAAGCATCTGACATATCTTTCGCTTGTATGCACCGCCAGACAATGCTCTCATTTCCTGTTGTTGGTGGCAATGCCTAAGCATGATGTTAAGCCAACCCACCTTCTTTTGAATCATATGATCGTCGCTTCAGGCAAACGTCGACATTTGGCAGATCTCGACGACTTGAACCATGGTACTGTCTGTGAATCCGATGATCATTACGATCTTTCCGGGTCTAACCTGTTCCACACAGTGGTGCAGTCACTTGGCGATTCGAAATCAGCGGTTCTGTCAACAAAGGATACACTGGGCCGCATACCTCTACACTACGCGGCGTTGAATGGCCTACCAACTATCTGTCGCATGATTCTGTCCTCTTTCCCGAATTCTAAGGAGGATAATATCCCAAGTCCGATTTTAGCACGGGACTTCCAGCAGTATACGCCTCTGCATTATGCGGTGATTAAAAACCACCCGGTTGTTGTCAAGAGACTCTTGAACAATCTTTACTCGGACAGTCAAACCAGCGGAGTCCCCGTGGATGAGAAGTTATTATTTGACCTTCTTTCTACAGCCATCCGTTATGAGTTCGATGACATAGTCGAGCTATTGGCACAACGTCAGATTGACACGCATCTGAGGTCCAGCGACGGAGAAACTGCGCTTTATCTTGCAGCACGAAGAGGTCGCGAAAGTTATGTTAAGACTCTACTTGAGAACGGCGGGGCGGCTGATGTTAGCACTCCGGAGCCTGTGCATGGATGGACTCCGCTATTCATCGCCTGCGTGAATGGCCATGGAGCCGTTGCTAGAGCTCTGTTGCAAGCAGGAGCAAGACAAGATATCCAGGACCACAATGGCTGGGCTCCCAAAGAGCACGCGGCTTTGCGGGGTCATCTGGAATTAGCTGGAATGCTAGATTCACTGGAAAACTTGAGTATGTCCGGTGGCCCAGCTGGGATGCCAATGAAGCCGGTTTCAAAGCCTGGACAAGCCATTGACTATGAGAAATCCCATGTCATCGTCAACCTTGGGGTTTTACAAAACGGCAAAAACGTCAATGCTGTGGATTTGAATTACCCGAATGAACACGCCGTCAACACGAAAGGCGGGCTATCGATCGAAATCTCGATCTCGGAGAAAGAAAGTGAAACTTATGTTTCCGAGTTGCCTTTCTTGACAGACACAGTAAATGACCCATTTACGTTCACGGTTTCTAAACCAAGTGTGGCCTCGATGTCTTTCAAGCTCTCACAGCAGGTACCTGGTTATCCTGCCTCACGCACGCTCATTGGTAGTGCTACGACTTTGCTGCAAACTCCGAGCGAGCCTTTTGGGGAGAACCGTGAGAGTCTTGTCAGGGAACGAACTATACCGATTGTTGAAAAGGAAACACTGGATGTCATAGGCACAATAACGTTTACATTCCTAATCGTTAAGCCGATGGCCACCCCTGTTTCGTCTACCATATCCGGGTCTTCCACCAAAGCTCAGGGCGTACAACTTGTTGGACATAGAGGTAATCATCCGAGTCAGAGCTCGCCATAACAGTGCTCTAACCATACATGTCTAGGATTGGGCCAGAACACAGCCAGCCGAAGTTACCTTCAGCTCGGAGAAAACACAGTCGAGGTACAGAAAGGAAAATTCCATTTCGACACTATTACTAACTTGACCACAGTCCTTCCTTACAGCTGCAAAGCATGGTGCTACACATGTTGAGGTAAGAAATCATTCTTCTCTGTAAAACACTACTAACCCTTTCTTTAGTTCGGTAAGGAGTCTTGACACATTACACATGGACACGGACTAAACTAGAGAAGATGCACAGTTAACAAGAGATCTCGCTGCCATAGTCTTTCACGACTTTTCACTCAGCGAATCGGGCACAGACATCCCTATCCATGACTTGACTTTGGATCAGGTAAGTGCACCGAACTCTATGTCCCGTTGATAACTGACGTATATCAGTTCATGCACGCAAGCAATATCCAATCACCCCGAGGAGATCCTGCATCCATTCTTGGTAAGCCTTACGATGAGACGGCTCAAACCAAACCTCGATCTAGATCATTATCGCGGGATCACGAACGCGGAACCCAATCCATCCGCGACAGAATGAAGTATACCGTCGACTTCATGAACAAAGGTTTCAAACCCAATACCCGCGGTGACTTTATCCAAGACTCTTTCACGACGCTGGATGAGCTGCTCGAGAAACTCCCCGAGTCGATCGGCTTCAACGTCGAGGTGAAGTATCCCCGACTCCACGAGGCCGCCGAGGCAGGCGTTGCCCCGGTCGCGATTGAGATCAACACATTTGTGGACAAGATACTGGAACGAGTCTTCCGCTCTGAGAGTAATACAAACCGCGATATTATCTTGTCGTCCTTCACGCCTGAAGTCTGCATTCTTCTCGCCCTTAAGCAGCGAAAGTACCCGGTGATGTTCATTACCAATGCAGGCAAGCCACCGATGACCGATTTGGAGACGAGAGCGAGCAGTTTACAAGCCGCTGTCCGGTTCGCGAAACGGTGGAATCTTGCTGGGATTGTCTTTGCGTCGGAGACACTTCTAATGTGCCCGAGACTGATTGCCTATGTGAAGAGATCCGGGCTGACATGTGGGTCTTATGGGCTTTTGAACAATATCCCAGAGAACGCGAAGGTGAGTTTGAATCAACTTCACTGCTCATGAATTTCTGGGAAGTGACTAATCTCTTGCAGAAACAAGCAGCAGCGGGGATTGACATTATTATGGCGGATAGAGTTGGACTTGTCGCTAAGGCCTTGAAGGATGTTGATTGAGTATTTGGTGTAGTGAATGAACCACATCATCATCTACTATTTCATGCAATTCACATTTATCTACAAGCACGAAATAAAGCCCTAGTTATATCCACATTGGCAAGAAAGAGATAGCAAATAAATGTAAAAGGAGATGGTGAATGAATGAACTTGATTGACCATGGCCGATCGATCGATCTACTACTACCTACCAACCGGCCACCGAGCAAGGTGGAAAAAAGAAAAACAAAAAGAGAAGCCCAACGCGGGGCTCGAACCCGCAGCCTTGTGATTAAGAGTCACACGCTCTACCGATTGAGCTAGCCAGGCTGGCTTGTTTTACTGGTTCAGAGTTTGGTTATAAGAGCGGAAAGCGGAGCGGAGTGGGGCGGACCTCCACCGGCAATTCTTCCAGCGACGCCAAGCCCATCCGGTCGGACCAGAGCCGACGCCACCAACAATATCAACTCTCTCCCTCATGGATGAACGGTATTCAGCACACCTGCGCACAGTATGCTGGGGAATGATTATTCTAAAATACAGTTTCAATTGAAATCCGCTTCCTGCCCTCCCACAGTGGGAACTGTCAGTCGTCTCTACTTTTTGTTCAGTCTTCCACTTGATCTGGTACTAGTATATATATCGTAAGGTTAAACTTTTAGCATTCACTGTATGACATCTACGGGGAAACTACAGTGTGATTCTAGATTTTTTGTAATGGTTAAGGGAAGTAACATCATTAATATTTCCTAATCAGGATTCTTCGCGGGGCAGTTCTTCTCCTTTTTTTTTCTTATCTTCAGACAATCCGATTTCGATCGAGCCAAGAGAACATGGCAACCGGGAAACAAGCCGAGAGAGAAAGGGAAAATAGTTCATCGAGTGAACAAGATTCATAACGGAGACCGGAAATCATGTCGGCCAACCATATTATCTGCGGCCATATGTAGTCCGAAAGCCGGCGCTGTAGCTAATTCGATACGTATTGTGGCTGCCTCTTCCGAGACCAAGCCATTCGTCCACGAACCAAAAAAAGCCGTTATTAGAGCCATTATTGTTGCCACCATCGTTGCCTCTTCCCTGGCTGTTAGTCGAACCGTTAGTCGAGCCGTTAGTCGAACCGTTAGTCGAACCGTTAGTAGGACCGTTAGCGTGGCCGTCAGCACGGCCGGCGGTATAGCCGGCGGCGTAGCCATCGGAGTATCCATCGGAGTAGCTATTATGTCCTTGTCCGCGGCGCTGGCGTTCTGCATCATTGTCGGCAGCATACCGCAGTGTATCTTGAATGTCGGACCGGATTGCTTGGGTGATCTCGTTATCCATCATGACAAATGGATCAAGGTTTGCTCCCCAGTAAACTCCACTGGAACGAAATCTGGGACTTGGGGAGAATCTTGACACTCTTGACTGTCCTCTGTCAATGGCTCTCAGCATCTCCAAGAGAGTTACTGACTCGCTGCGACCGCCCGGCTGGACGGGCATCCACAGATACCGAGGCAGAAAATGGAGATCGTCCATTGGAACAAAAGCGTTGTAGACTTCGCCTCTACCTGAGTCTTCGTTTCCACTTCCGCCACTACGACAAACTGCGGACGTTGAGTGATCCATTATGAGAATTTGTTGTTCAGAAACGATCTCCAGGTAGAAATGACGTTGCTGATGTAGCTTCACGATGGAGGGCTATGAGAGATTTTGACTTGAGGGTTGTTCGCACAATGTGATGGCATGGAAAGTGATGAGGGGTGAGAAACAAAGATGTCATGCCTGCCTGGTGGCTGAATTTATATAAAGACTGGCTGGACATGGCGCCACTGCTATCACGCTCGTTTCCATGTTCTGGGGCCTTTTTAATGGAGAAGGCCGATAATCAAGTGACAATTCCCATTCCAGTATACAATCCAAAGGAAGGTTCCGGATAAGAAGGACAAAAAAGCTGCACATTCATTCAAAACTCCGGAATGCTCCATGGATATGATTAAAGTACGGTTATTTGGCTGGCCTCAAGAATGAATACAATCGAGAGGTCAATCGTATGCCAAGTCAAGTACTATCCGGCTCTATGAAAAGACTCAAAACCAGATTATCAGCTGGATATCTATATATCTACTTTTCTAATACGAATACGAGCAATTCAATTGGGAGTAGTAGCACCCTTTGGTTCTTACATATTAGGGAAACATATCATACAAGAAGAATTATAGAACTTACAAAGTATGACAGTTAAATGAGACATCGAAGTATCTTATAGATGGGATGTAATAGTCCCACATGAAGTACATGTCATATTATTTGGGATCCATTTGACATATGGGCTTGATTGGATAGCATATCCGTCGCTGTATTCAAATTTCACGTGAGGTAGACAGGGGTGGGCTTCCAGACCTTTACTAGGCGATGTATGAAATTATCTCCCTTCTGACTACGTATGTGGCTTGATTTAATTATCATAGCCATAGAGACATGAGAAAGTCGATCAATGTGCTTTTTTTGTGTTTTCAGTGGTTCGGGTTAGTGTTTTGTTCATTTCGACTTGAGAATTTAAAACTCGAGCACGAGCATGGAGCTGGAAGAAAGTAATAATTTCTCTACTCTACTATTAGTGATATAGCAGATCAGGAAATAGACAGGATGGTACGCCAGCAGCATTACAGGAAGGCAGGGCACATAATCTCAAAACTGGGTCCGGGGAAGAGACAAAACAGGCTCCCGCGCAACTCAATCGTGAATTTAGTCGCAACAGCAAACACCTGTACTCTAATGCATCCAGACGAAGTTTTCTCAACCAGGGTTTTCTTTTCACCTCCTGTTTATCTTCAAAGGCCTTGGATATTTTCCATCCCATTACTACATTATTCTGTCACTCGATACACCGGGAATTGCTCCTGAGGTCGCATGATTCCTTTGATTATTTTGGTCATAAATATGGCAGACTTTGCGTTGAATCTTCGAACCATAAGCTTTACTCAACCCTCGTTTGGACTCGAGTTACTTGCCCTCAAACTATTAAAATCATACTTCTCAACTAGCTCGCAATGATCTACTTCGAACCCTACCCACTCACGGAGCTCGACCACCTATTGATGCCAGTATATCTTCATTTGTTCCTTACTTTTAAGACCTCCAGAATACAAGAGAGCGTTGAAGATCTAGAGACTGGAGTTTCCTGCCTCATTCAAGAATGGCCCTTTCTGGCGGGCTCCATAGCCAAGCCCGGTCCCGACCAAAAGGCGTATCAAGTTCAACCGCCTTCCGAATTCGAGCTTCAGGCCAATCCAATGCTTCGGGTAAAGACTCATGGGGTACCTGTCTCGGTTCTACAGCTGGCCGAGGAGACACCGGAGGAACTTATCTCGGTCAAGCCACATTGGCCGACCCTGTACCCAGCCCCGGCACTACGTTTCCAGGCCAATATCATGGCTAACGGTATCATATTGTCGCTTTCCTGGCATCATCGGTTGATGGATGCGTTTGGGTGCCAAGGTGTTCTTGATGGTCTAGCACAATTCTGTCGATTGAAGGGAAGTACTGGTGACACGTTAAAGACGTCTCCTCAACTGCAGGAGGGCGCTCGTCAGCGAATCAGAAACTTCAGTGGATCAACCAAAGATCATGCTGCTTTCTCCGATACATATGGTTACTCGGACAATCAGTATCAGGATAACCAAGCCATTCGCGGCTACATGCTCTGCCCTCGAAAAGTTGAAACGCTCAGGAGGATTTGTGATGAGCAAATCACAGAATCCGGGAACGCATCGAATATCAGACTGACCTGCGATGACATTGTCACGGCAATCATTTGGCTTTCTGCGTCTCAAGCACGCAACCGAGCCTTGTCGGCACCTCACTCATCGCTCATTCGATATGTCAATGTACGGAAGCTGTTGGAGCCCCCTATTCCAACAGACCTCTTTGGGAATGCAATAGCCATGTCCAAATCTCACTGCAATTTGCAGGACCTGCGATCCGAGCCCAAGGACCAGGATAGTTCAGAACATGTCGTTCCAGGCTTAACCCGTCAAGCAGTGAACCATCTATCGCATTTCTCTAAGCTCACCCGATCAGAAGATACAGGGAAAAGCGTAGATGCGAGCCATGTGGGAGACCTTCTTTCAACACTTCGAGCCTCGTCTGACTGGGACTCACTCACCCTAACCCCCGTTGATGTGTCTGTGTCTAGTATGCGAAGAATTAAACTCTACAACATGGATTTTGGAGAGTCATTCGGCCTTGTGAAAGACGTTGATACGCTGGAATCAAACCTACAAGGGCAATATTTGATTCGGCCCGCCAGAAATTGCAGCTCAGACGCACCGTGGGAAATCAAGATGGCGCTTCCAAAGAAGGTTGTGCCGTTTTTAGATGCAGATCCGGTATTAACATGGGCTAGTGTGAATGAAAGACCAAGACTTTGAATTGTGGGTTGAGAACCAGTCTATGGAACTGTTACATAGACTAAATCTGGGGAAATAGGGAAACGAGATCTATTACGGATTCCGAGTCATGAACGTTACGTCCATCTCCTGGTCGGCTCGTTCGAGCAGTCTTAGGTTGATCATTCATCCTAGTTATACCAGCACCAATTCAATACCGAGTGCAAATCATTCAGAATAGGCAACTTAGTTATATGTAGTCGCCGCTGTGTTAGGTGTATCAAACGCCCAGTCATATCTATCTCATAGACCCAAGAATGCCCCAACATTACACATGATCATAAATCTGCTAAAAAGCAACCTCTCACCCTAAAAAGCTCTCGAAAGTTCAATCTCAACCAACCACGCCGGCTGAACTCTCCCATCTCTCCCTTCAACCGCAGCATTGACAAACAGCGTCTGTCTCCCCCATTCCAGCGGATACGGATCCCCCGTACAGTGACTCGTCCAGAAAAACTTTTCATACTCGCCATATCCCTCAGTGTCTAACGTCGCCAACCTCTCAATAATAACTGACTTCTCATGATCCACATCTCCCAGATAGCACGGCTCTAGCGCCCGGCTTCCTTTCCGCCAACTCACCAGCTTCGCGCCCCATTGCTCACGAACATGTCCGAAACAGTGCATCCGCGGCCTCGCGCGTGCCACCGCGGCAAATAAGTCAGCACAACCTGCTCGCTCTTTCGATAGGGTGTAGTCCATGACTCCCTTGGGCGGGCCATGCGTCATCACTATATCCACCCTCGGTATGTCGAAGATATGCCCCTCTCTCCGTGGATACTGGAATCCACCGGTCCCCGGGGGTAGGCACGGGGTATACGGGCTCGCGTAAACGGTCAACGACGCGCCGTTGCCTAGCACAAAATGATGCGTGCTCTGATCGAGAAGCATGATGCCGTTGTCTGTCGCGTTTTCAAATAGGCTCCTCGCGTCGCCGAGGTCCCCGTATACCTGCGCCATGAAATCGGGGTCGACTGGCTCCGGCGTATTCTCGAGGTCCTGTAAGGCTCCGTCGTAGGTTGGGGTGTCTAGTGTAAAGTCGTGGTCACCGGCGATGACAAGCTTTAGGGGTGCGTTTATCTGGGACAGGAGGTCGATGGAGGATTTGAATTCTTCGAGCATCGAGTTCGTCGTAAGATTGCCACAGTGGATGGCTACGTCTACGGGCTCGGTGCTCAGGTGTTCGAGGAAGGGTGTGCACGCGTGGGTGTCGGAGATGATGAGGAACTTGGTGCGAACTGCAGGTGTCGAGTGCATCTTGGGGTTCATTTTGGTGGTTTTTGTTTGTCTGTTATAGGCGTGTAGTGATGTGGTGATGGAGGAGACGTTCGCAGGAGGATAGCAGGAGAAGTAGGACTGTGAGTCAGATAGGGCTGATTGTCGTCATGATGAGCCCTGCCATGGCTCTGTGTCTTTTTCGGATGAACATCTTGAGAAAGCCTAGTCCCGCGCTCGTAGCCTAGGAGCATCATTAGCCAAGTGAAATTCATGTTAGAGACTATGTGGAGATGATCATTATGCCTAGCTTTAAACAAACCATCTATACTAAGCTTTCTTTTGAACACCGGCAGCCATCCTTAAGAGGATACCCCGAAGAATCTTTCATTACGAAAACAATTAGTTACTAGCCATAATAGATAGTTCAAATATTGATTCCATCGGCTGAATAAAGCAAGAGCAATAGTGACGTATTGGGTAGATCTTCCGGGGTGGACGGCAGCTTTCCGAAATGCACCCCGGGAAGTCATGACTTGTGGCACAGATAATTAGGAAGGAATACTCTAATTGAGTCTAACAAATCCAATAAATAATCCTTGAATTTGACTAGCATTCTGCATAAATCATGCTAATCGGGGATGGAACAACAAAGGTCCGACTATACACAAACATGCCAAGACCCGCTCCAAACGCGTCGCGATGCCTCAGGACTGACTCTATCCAGAAAGAGACTGACATCTGAGATGCTTCTGAAACAAACTTACTCTCCTCGGAGATTTGGACTGCAGCCTCGCAGGACATCCGGTTTTCCAATCTGCGGCATTTGTCCGACTGTCGCCAGATCCTGCAGGTCTGCCAAAGACGCAATCATGGGTCCGATGTCGTGATCGGCCGAACATCCAACCCAACGAACTTGCCTCTTGCGATATCCAACCTCGACCATACAGCGGTCAATATTCAAGCATTGTCGCCGAGATGCCTGTCGACTAAGCAGCGGGCCAAGCTTGCCAATGCGTCGTGCCAAATTGGATGTGCGAGAATTCTGGCTTGGAAATCAACCGTCTCCATCATGTCCACCATTCGCCGTACGAATGATGCGGCCATAATCGTCGCTGTGGGGTCGCAGCTTGCTTTGTGTCGTCGTGCTCCACGCGGGATATACTGACTCGTGGGGCTAGGGTTGTCTCTCTGCGTATAAAAAGCTAGGGTCTTCCCCTGACAGGATGTGGGATCGTCGTTGAGTTTTGATTCAGTGGTGTTCTGCTTTGGGAAATTTCAAATGGCTCTGTCGCAGAAAGAAGCTGAGGCGACTACTTCCTCGCCGCCATTGTCGTCGACGGCCTCGTCGGATCGTGACGAGAACTATGAATTTTATAAACAGCACCAGGGGCTGGAATATACCCCGGAAGAGGCGAAAAAGGTGCTTCGGAAGATCGATTTTCGGTTGATCCCGTTGATGTTTGTGATTTATATGCTGCAGGTATGCAATTATACCTTGTTATGACACTGTTGAGAGTGATGCTCACGGAAGAAGTATCTGGACAAAAACAGCATCAACTTCGCATCCGTTTATGGTCTCAAAGAAGGGACACATATCACCGGGTCACAATATTCTTGGCTTGGTATGTTTGATTCTCCGCTGACTACTTTTCCTCGCTAACACGATGAAGGCTCGATATTCTATTTCGGATACCTCATCGCGCAGTGGCCAGCTGGACTCGCTCTGCAGAAACTTCCCCTTGGAAAGGTACTCAGCATAACCACCCTCGGTATGTCACTGCAGCCCAGGAATATTGGTTGGATCGCACTAACAGGGATAGTTTGGGGTGCACTCCTAATGACAACCCCAGCATGTCACAACTTCGCCGGAATCGCAACCAATCGATTCTTGCTCGGTTTTGTCGAAGCCATAGTCAACCCTGGCTTCGTCTTGATGATGAGCATGTGGTACACATCAATTGAGCAGCCGCTACGACTGGAGGCTTACTACTGCACTAATGGTATTGCCACGATGTTTGGAGGGTGAGTTCACAGCCCGCCTCTTAAAATGAAGAAGCCAACTAATGAGAATAGTCTTATCGGGTACGCCGTCGGACACATCACGACTGGTCTGCCGCGGTGGATGTATGTGTTCCTCATTTTCGGCGCGTTTTCCGTCGCGACTGGTGTCATCGCCTTGCTTCTATTCCCGGATCTCCCCTCGACCGCAAAATTCTTGAACGAGCGCGAAAAAGCCATTGCGGTTGAGCGAGTCGCCATCAACCGACAAGGCGTGAAGAACAACAAATTCAAATGGTATCAGGTGTGGCAGGCCGCGCGGGATCCTAAGACCTGGTTGCTATTCATTATGGCTGTTGGCGCTCAGGTTCCGAACTCAGCTCTCACCAGCGTAAGTCTCATTCTCAATCGAAAGCCAGAGGTTGAAAAGCTCACGTGTGACAGTTTACCTCAATTATCGTCAAATCTTTCGGCTTCGACACTCTGGGTACCCAATACCTACAGATCCCTGGTGGTGCGGTGCAATTCCTGGCTCTCCTGATCGGCGGCATCGTCGCCACCAAATATGGCGACAAATTCCACTCTCGAAGCGCTTGCATGATTGTCGCTAACACGATTTGCATCCTGGGATCCGGCCTTCTAGTTGGATTGCCAGACTCGAATAAGTGGGGCCGCTTGGTCGCTCTCTGGCTCTGTTATTTTCAGGGGTTGGGTTTCAGTATGAGCTTGACGTTCGTTAGTTCTAATATTGCCGGTTATACAAAGAAGCAAGTCACCGGTGCCTTGTTGTTCACCGGTTACTGCGTCGGAAACATCATCGGTCCACAGACGTTCGGTGATAACGAGGCACCGGGCTATCATAGTGCTTATATTGCGTAAGTACTTTCTTTGGAACAACCTATCATGGCTGGAAACTATGCTAACAGATACCCCGTAGGATGTTGGTGGGATACTCCGTCAAGCTGGTCTCCATCACCGCGCTCTACCTGTACATGTATTTCGAGAACAAGCGCAGAGACCAAGCTGCACTGGACGAGAATAGCGAAGAAGCAGAGGGCATTGAGAATGGAATGCTGGTAAGTGTCCTACCCTACGTCGTGTTTCGAGTTTGAGAGTCTGCCTGCTAATGGACTTCGGTGACTTAGGACCAAACAGAGATTGATAACAAGGCATTCCGCTATGTTCTGTAGAGCTTGGCCAAGCTTTAGGAACCTAATTGTATATAATGATCCCTGGATTGTGAGCGAGTTAGGTGTGATTGACCTTGGAATAGTAATTATGCCTAGCATCAAATTGGCCAGTGTCTTGTGGAACACGCTAGCGAATACTCATCGTTATGAAGGCCGCCAAAGAACAAACTCCCACATTTCTGAAACAAACGGATTCGAAAGAAAGAACATTAACCCATATGGCCCGACCACTCTCACAAAAGGTCACTTATAGAAGGTGGTTACGCAAAGTGACTACGCAACTGCAACATAAAACTGCTGGTGTCGACGGTCATTGTTTGGCCAGGTGATAAACTTATCCCCATTAGTGGTACCTTCACTGGCCACCTCGAGAAGTTCGTCAGGATAGGCGACGCTGTAAATACTGGAAGGGATATTAGAGCTTATCAATGTGAAGTCTTGTTCGGACCGGTCAACCCACTTAAATGCTCCGCTGCCATCATTTAATGGGACTAGTTTCCATCTAATACGTTTGTTTTCGGTCGCCAGGGTGTTTGCAGTAACATCGCCTCTGCTCGAAGCTATGGCTTTATTTAGTTCCAAAGTCATAAAAGTCACGATCTGAGGACTGTTTCAAGTACCTGAGGCAGTTACATAAGTTCCGGTTCGCTGGTTCCGAAGGAGATATTCCTCATTCCCAACGTGATAGATGAAATATCGCTGATTTAGCGTAGGAGATTTTTCCCTGCAATAATAGGTCAGCTTAGCTGATGTCCGACGTACTATTTAGACTCCTTCTGCTCACCAAAGCTGAATCTTTGTTCCGTCAGCGGTTTGCCCATCTTTCAAGTCGACAAATTTGTTGCAATGTCGAGCCATGATAGTGTATAAGTTCGGTTTAATCTTTCCCTCGGCATTTTTAGCGCATTCTGTCTTCAGTGCTTCTCTGGATGCTTCGCATGTCGTAACACGTGCGGCATCGTCCTTGGACTTCTTCTCCCATGTCGCCTTCTGCGATTCACATGCTGTTAGCTGGGCAGAGTTGGTCTCGGCCCTTGCATTAAGCGCACTATTCTGCGTCTGGCACGACGTGAGCTGGGCAGAATTGGCTGCCAGTCTCTTTTCCAGCATGCCATTTTGTTCACCACACGAGGTAAGCTGGGTTGTTGTGGCCTGAGACCTTTTCTCCAGAATGTCTTTTTGCGCATTGCAGGCTGCAATACTCGCTGCATTGGCTTCCGATTGCTTATCGCATACATCCTTCTGTGTTTCGCAGGCCGTAAGTCGAGCTTTGTTTACCTCACTGTTCCTGTCCGCGATTTCTTTTTGAGCCTCGCATGCAATTAAGCTAGCTGAGAAGGCCTCTGCCTGTTTGTCGGATACATCTTTCTGCTCTTTGCATGCTTGGACCTCGGCTTGAGTGATTGCTGACTGCTTCTCGCAGATGTCTTTCTGTTGCGTACATGCAGCCACAGCTGAATCGCACATGGGCTCCTTTGGTTGCTGTTCAGGCGTACCTTCCACGTGCTTCAGGTACAGAAGTCCTTGGTATGGAATAAGACGATTACTTTGGTCTTCCGAGGTCCAACATGTTTGCTGTGCGGCACTCCAGATGGCTCCACGACAGCCTGACTTTCTCTGGCATATTTGTGCACATGAATCGGGATCTTGAACCTGAAAGGTTCCTTGTGCGTCATAGGTGGTCGGATATGCGTCGCAGTGGTATAAGATTCGGTAATCCCCATCCAGAGCTTTCACAGTATTGTCCTGAGAAGGGCAGATTTTGTCATAATTCTGGGGTGCAGAAGATTCTGCACAAATAGCAAATCTACCGTATATCAGGATACAGAGGAGATTGAAGAATGTGATATGCATTTTCAATCCTTTCAAAATGATGGGGAATGACTCAGAGAGATACTAAACAGGCTGCAAATGGTGAATTGGAAGAACACGAAAAGGTCTTTCGGGAGGATGAAATGGTAAGCTTTGGCCCTACCAAGGGTTTGGATTCATTCTATCGGAAACAAATATTGGTCGAGTGTTTTTCATTTTTCTTATTTTATCATACGGTACATGTCCATGGAGACCACATTCAACCAATATACCCAGCGGGATTTGAAAATAGCCGGGGAACCAGGCTGACTGAATTACAGACTTTTGTCTGTGTTGTGTGGGACAAAAGCAACTCTGACAGTTGTTCGATGGCTAATGGCCCAAAAGATATTTTCATAAAAGCTTACTTGAGTGTATCAAATGATTTCGTAGAAGAGTACCGATTTCGTATTATTCTAAGTGGCTGATAAAATAGACCTTAACAGTCTAAATGACACAATCCAGGTTGGTTCCAGACTGTTGGTGATAATTGAAGCTTGGATTTAACATAAAGCTAGATGTGGAGCCTGTCACTTGCAGAAGCTAACTCCTTCGTTTTGTCCTTCTATTACGTGGCCCAGTAAGATCGATTCTGGTCGGAAAGTTGATAGTCAAACCGGTAATAACTAGATTTTCTCCGGTCCACTTTGGAATATTGTATATCCATCAACGGCATACCCTGCTCCTTGTGCGTTGGTTCTGATGGGGAACTTTGAATCTCAACTATTTTCAAGCAGTTCAGATTGAAACTGTACCGCTTGACTGTCGGGTAATATGACATGGCTTTCGACTATTTGGCACACGGATGATATCCTCGCAAGGTGCATGCTATCACAAAATGTCGTCGGGAGAGTTCTAGCTGCCGATGGACGTATCGCTATACAAATTGAAATGCTATACATGGGGGCAAACTCGGACCAGGGCTCTCTCGGCGAAAGCTCAATCCGACGTAGGACAAACATGGGATCCAGTAACAAAATCACGCATAATCCTTGAGAGCTTCGCAGCGAAAAAAAGAAATCTTTCATGTGATTGTCGAATACTCTGACCGTATATTTTGTGCACAGCTGCAGGGCCACAGTGTCCGCCTGGAAATATTGAACTTACCATTACAGAGCTTCAAGATCACCCTTTAGACGACATTTCCACCGCATGGTTTTCTTTTTCTTTCATTTTGATGTCAAGGGTAAAAGGGCCTAAGTTGGCTTGTATGGGGCCTGAGAGAACATGCTAGAGAAAGTCTGTTTGAAATCTATTTGATTAAATAGCTCAGCTACCGAGAGATTGTGCAACAGTAGAAGCTTTAGGATATAGTCCGACGTTCGCGGAGCATATCGAGTTTGAAATAGAAACTCTGCATCAGGTCAGGATACGAGACTGATTAAACATTCTGTCTTGCTTTTGCAGCGGTCTTTCGAAGAAGGGATTGTCACACAATATCTATACTGCTAGCAAGAACGATGCGTCGGAGTCCGGTATTTGGTTATTAATATGCGTGGTATAAGTATGCAGCCGGACAGGAGCACTTTCCATCATCTGGCATCTCATTCCTTCCAAACACCATCAGTTATATGTCGTTGATGATCTACCATGCCAGGAGACTTCGTGGCTTTTATACATTTCTTGTTGGTGGCCTGCGCCATAGCAGTTGACAACAGCGTCAATTCATCGCCAATCGCTGATCAAGCTTCCTTTGAAAACCCACAATCAGTTCTGGGAAAGGGAGATCAGGGCGGACAACTACCACAACGTTACAAGGGGATTACTATCGACGATCTCTATATTGCACGAGATGCGGGAGGCAATCAGAAGTGCTGCCCTCTTGGGACCATCTTAAATGGACAGACCTGCATTTTTCCCGAGTCCCCTATCTGTCCGTCTGGGCTGATCCTTGTGGACAACATCTGCGTGACTGCTGATCCTCCCTCTTGCCCGCCTGGCCTTGTGTTCAGCGGAAATGGATGCATCTCTGTAGAACCCCCATCATGCCCGCCTGGTACAGTATTTCATGGGGGTTCCTGCGTTTCAACACATATTCCATCCTGCCCGGCGGGTCTCTCATACAACGGGATCAACTGTGCATCCTTGACTAAGCCTGTCTGCCCACCAGGGCTGGCAGTCCAGGGGCAGTTATGTGTCCTGAAGCAGTCACCAACATGTCCCCACGACTTGACCTTTGATGGCAAAAGATGTGTGGGCTCAAAGCCCCCAGCCTGCCCACCGGGAACCACTCTAGTCGGCGAGCTGTGCACTTCGACTGCTCCTCCATCGTGTCCTTCCGGCTTTGTGTTCCAAAACAAAATTTGCACACACACGGCAAGGCCTGCTTGTCCATCGGGGTCAATTTTCGATGGCAAAGTGTGTTTGTCAGAGCAGGCTCCCACCTGTGCGTCGGGTACTTTCGATGGAAAGGTCTGTCGTTCGACGGAGCCTCCATGGTGCCCCGTCGATTCAAAGTTTGATGGGAATGCCTGCGCTACATCCGAGCCTCCCTCATGCCCTCCTGGACATATCCTGTCCAGATCTGCCAACGGAGAGGCAAGATGCTGTCTACAGGGCCTCATTTGGGATGGCACATACTGTATCCTCGTCCCTAAGGATCCAGGCTCGTGTCCCCCTGGAAGTCACTATGATGGCACCAAGTGCGTGTACACTCCTACACAAGAACCAAGCTGTCCGCCGGGCACAATGTTGAAAGATACATCATGCGTCTCGTCAAAACAACCATCCTGCCCCCCAGGGACGACATTCAGTGGAAGGTCCTGCGTGAGCTCCGACTCGCCCACATGTCCTCCAGGAACAACATTCGACGGAGCAAACTGCGTGCATCATGAGCGTCCTGCCTGCCCCCCTGAGTCAACCTTAAGTGGGAATACATGCGTCTCTCATAACGAACCTTCCTGTCCACCAGGAACCACCTTTAATGGCCAAGTTTGTCTCTCCAGTGAACGGCCAACCTGTCCTCCTGGATCAACCCCTAGCAATGGAGTATGCGTCTTTCCACACAATCCACTTTGCCCTCCAGACATGAGCATGAAGGGCGAAAACTGCGTGTCCTCTCACCCACCAAGCTGCCCAGCCGGAACCACGTTCGACGGCACATCCTGCATTTCAAAGGATCGTCCCACATGTCCACCTTCCTTTACTTTCGACGGCACCAGCTGCGTCTCCGATAAACACCCATCCTGCCCGCCAGGCATGACATTTGACGGCCTTTCCTGTGTCTCCAAAGCCAGACCAACATGCCCTCCCGGGACATCCTTCGACGGAGAGCACTGTACATCAGCAAGCAGTCCCTCCTGTCCCCCAGGGTTAACATTCGACGGACAGACCTGTGTCTCGAATTCCCGGCCCGCATGCGCTCCAGGCACGGTGTTTGATGGCGAGACCTGTGTGTCCGATGCACGACCCTCCTGTCCACCAGGAACTACATTTGATGGCACAACCTGTGTTGCCGAGGAGCGACCCAGCTGCCCACCTGGAACGGTCTTCAGTGGTGATATCTGCGCCTCTGTCACTCCGCCGACGTGTCCCCCAGGCACTCAATTCGACGGCACAAAATGCGTGGCCACGTCTTTACCGGCTTGCCCACCGGGTCTTGCGCTAGTTGGAAACACCTGCCAGTCCACGGTTCAGCCTGTCTGCCCGCCGGGCACAACGTTCGATGGTAAGCGGTGCTCGACTGGTGTAGGGTCAGAATGCTTCGAGATGCAAGTGTGTCCTTCAAGTAGTCGGGGAAGTCCTCTTACAGTTTGATATTCTGTTTAAACGGCCAAGTTGGGATCGATTTGTTGTTTAATGTCATTATCTTCGGGCAAGGCAAGTGCACTTCTACTCTAAAAAATGCTCATGAGTTATGATGTTTTCCCCAGTCGGTTATGTTTGATAATTTGAATAAAAACATCACTTTACTTTGCTAGTTTCAAAGTGGATATCTCTATCCTTAAAAGAAGGTCAATAAGCAGGGCCTACCTCGTCACCGTACCTTTACTTTTCTAAAATTAACAACTTATTAGTCATTTCAAGGCTGAACCTTACATGTAATCCTGGGGTTGCGGTCATAAAACCCAATCAAATATTAAACTATCTCCATTCATCAAACTTCTAGTGAACTTCTCTGTCAGTCTGGTATCTTTATTGTGCGTTGTCATGCACCTTATTCTGAACCTCCAAAGAGTCGAAGCCGATCATCTCTCGCCCGTATTGACATTGAATTAGCGAGCATTTCTGCAGTGAAATAATCATCAGGATGTGGAAGACGATGGCAATCGCTCTAGTTCTCCATGATATGAACACCACGAGGAATTGGATTCCCGGGCCTTTTCAGACCTCTTCTTCTTTGTTGCAACTTCAGGGCTCAATTCCGAAAGGTTGAAGTCGATAATCATAACTTCTCTCAGTTCTTTATTCCACAGAATATTGGCGGAGTGGAGGTCCCTGTGCCTAACCCCCAGGGAAGAGATACTCGCCACCGCCTCTTCTACTTTTTCATCCCTGACCCAAGGGTCTATGTCGGCCGCCATGATCGTGTCGCCTCCGTAGCTCATCAGTAGCATGTGGCGGACGTCTCCTACTTCAAGTAAAAAATAGCTCTTTTCCAAGTCAATCTTACCCAAGAATACAGGCACCACTGATCCCTGAAGAGATGCAAGGACCCGGTACACGTCTTCTTCAGCCGACACTTGCGGCCATACGTAACAAGTGGTTCCTTTTCCTACCACGGTGTATCCGAATCGCTCGCAGGTGATCTTGAATGGCGCTCCAGCTGATCCACAGCCTGCCATTGGCTTGATGCAGTTAACGTCCCTATCGAGCTGGTCTTTAAGAAGTCGAATCAAACCTGTGGTATTGGTCAGGTGGAATTTGCTATTGTCCTCTCCTCGGTGCAATGCCACATTCGGACAGTTGTCATCCAGTGTGCTGCGTCTTCTTAGACCCAGGAGACATTTCTGGGTGCAAAATCGTCTTTTCTTTTCTTTGGGTTTGATCTGCGAGCGTCCCTGCTCGGGTACGGAGGACTGAGGGGGATTTGTTTGGCTCAGGCTGCCTTTCTGTTCTTGCGCTCTCATCTCCTCAACAAGCGCACGTAGCCTTTTGTTGTCGTTGGCCAGCTGTCTCTTCTCCTGGATGAGCTGCCTGTTCTCGTCTACTAGGCTTCTTTGACAGTCTTTCAGCTGATCCAACTGATTTTTTAGCACCTTTTTTGTGCTCGCCAGGTGCCTTTGCTCCTCTGTCAGCTGCTTGTTCTCCTCCGCCATTAGCCTCATTTCATCACTCATCTTGCTGTATGGCAGTGCGATAGAGGTTCTAGTGTCTTGGTAAACTTACCGAATCGCGCAAGGCGTTGAGGATTGAGATATCTTGACAGAGTGCTGCCAGCGGCAAGTAAGTATGTCGAAAGGCACAGAGGCTGTTGGGCCTTGTGAATGAAGTACTGGTAACCAACAGACTAGGTTTTCTTCTGATATCTGGGAAGATTCCAAAGAACAGATCTCAAAGCCAGTCGAAGTAGAGGAAACAAAGGCGGTTGAGGGAGATAACAGGAAAAGGGGGCGTTAGACCCAATATTTATAAAGTTGAAGTCGTTGTTGAGAGCGGAAGGTCCCATCCGACCAAGTGCATAAAGGCTGTTTTTCACGGTATCTACATATAACCTAAATTGATCGCGTTGAAATGTATGACCACACATGAGCCTACGACAGACATTCGAAACTCACAAAGGACATTTAACCTGTGATGACTGCTAGTAGATCGTCGTTTGAGATGACCAAGAATTGTCCATTGATAGTAATGTGCGTATGTCACCACATCTGTAATTTTCATTTTAGTTCCCCTAATCCTTAGCGGATCAATCCGGAAAAGCAATAAGTACGAAAAGGCAATTTTAGCGGAATGATACATTATAATGTACAAGCCCATCTATTCGATATCAGAGGTCATTTGAACAGCGATTGAAACAAAAATTCAACAAAACAACATCTTGTGGTAGACTTCAATGAGAGAAGACTAATTGGTCTTGCACAATGGACCATAAACCGTTCCACCAGTCGACTCCTCCCATCTATCACTACCAACACAGTGATGACACCAGAACACATCCTCTGGGTCGTACTTCGTCTTGACAGAAGAAAGCCATTCATACATATCACCATACCAGTCGTGCTTGTAATCAGGGTCATTCCGATCAGCTTCATTAAGATAAGTGCCCATGCCCGGTGTGATATCCTTCATCGCCTTCAATTTTTGGTTCGTCGCCTTTTCAAGTACCGATTGCCTTGAGAAATTATTCTCATACCAGGTTTCAACAAGTTCCATTAGCAGGTACGTCTTGCGCCATGCTGGATTCACAGATGTGAGCGGTGTCGGCTCGAGCACTTTGCCGCCACCAACAAGACAGAGCTCCAAGGCTGCGGCTTTAGGCTTTGCTTCCGACCTTGGAGTGGTGAAAATAGTGCGAATCAGGTTCTTCAGATTTTCTTGCTTGGAAACTAACGATTTCTTGTCAAAGAACCGAGATGGAAGAACTGTGCTGGTTCCCGTTGGATTCAAATGAGTCCCACTGCCGAGGAAGAACTCTTGCCAGTTGGAAAACTGGGTAAAGGTCGATAGTACGTTCACCTGTGTTCCGTTCATGGGGCTCAGGTGATCAATGATGTGCTGCTTTATAGTTTGTTTGCCGGATTCGACGTCTTCTTCGGTGGCGTTGCTGCTCAGCAATTTTGCGAAGGTATGCTGGTAGGCGGTCGCTTCCATTAGTGCGTCGCCAGAGAACCCTCCGTCGGAAAGGTTAGGGTAACTAGATAGTAGGTCTGCAATGGCGCTCTGGAAGCTGGACACGTTCTTCCCCACGGCCGACACGCTCAAAGTGTGCATGAGAACCGGGCGTGTTGGGTGTACTTTGATAGTTGCGGATACAACAACGCCGTAGGTACCGCCACCACCTCCTCGGAGAGCCATGAAAAGATCCGTATACTGACATTCGTTGGCTGTGACGATTTCGCCGGATGCGAGGACGACCTTATACTCGAGGACTTGGTCGGTGCCGAGGCCAAAGTCGTGGCTCACAGCACCATGGCCGCCCCCTTGCAGGTAACCGCCAATCACTCCGACGGACTGGATTATCGTCAATACCTGATCTTATTTTACGCAGGATGGACATACCCTATCACTGCCGCCAACAGCAATAACATCATGCTTGGCTGCCTCGGTGTAAACATCGTCCCAGACATATCCACCGCCAACGGTCAGAGTAGTTCCAGTCCAACTAGAGCTACACTTGGTAGATGAACTGTATTGCTTTTGAAAGTGGATCCCGTCTTTAAGATGCTTGATCCAGATAGATAAACTGCCGTAACCTTGGGATCTAATCGTTGTCGTCAGCAGCCGTAATCTTTCTGGGGAAGCCCGCCTAGATCACCTACCTTCCCACAACATCATGACCCGTATTTTTAATCACCAGTCGCACGTTGTTGTCTTTGGCAAACTTGATCCCAGCCGCGATGTCGTTCTCATTCGTCGCATTGATGGAATAAGCCGGTGAAGTACCTAAGTCACACACCGGATTGAAAGAAGAGTTCCCCGGAGTACAGGTCTGTAGGACTGGATAGCTATACCCGATCGGGGATTCCTCCAAGAACCAGGAGCTAGACCAGTTTGCGGTGACTGTCTCGCAGAGTTGAGCATCGTAGTCCGCGCCTTTGTAGCATGGCAGGGCGAGGGGTTTGTTGGCAATGAGCTTTCCCTTGACAGTTTTATTCAGGGAGCTCCATTCTGATTGTGTAGGCCAGCAGTCATCGGATGGAGTCTGTTAGGTTTGATCCGTTAGTTGGGGGAGCAAATAAAACATGATGAGAAGGATCAGCGTACGCATTTACACTCGGCATACGCATACCGCGCTGCAGTAAGAAGGAAAAGGGTTCTGAAAAGCATGTTGCTTGAAGATCCCTGGGCTTGCGATGATGGCTAAGGGTAGTAGGTCGGATACAGGGGTTTAAATATTTCATTTTTGCACGTTGACATCGATGTCTCTAACATGTGGCATTGAGTAGGTTCATCATCCACGTTACCGATTTAGGAAGTTCTGGCGCCAAGACCGACGATCATAGCCTTCTAGACGGACTATGGCTCATCTTCAATCTGTGGTTCAAAGGAGGGCTAAGCAATGGTCTAATAAGAGATGAGGCTGTGGAATTTTAATTGTGCTTAGTTAATTAAAATCCCACAAGGCTGCAACCTTTGTTTGCGGGGGCTGAATCCCAAGATACAGAGGACGGCGCAATGATCGATGCCAAGGCTTTGCAGGACGTCACCTTGGAAAAGAAGCCCTACAGAAACTTCCATTAATCCATGTTATACCAAACGCTCCGCTCATAAATCATACAATCCTTTTGCTGCGAGACTGAAAATGCGCGCGAAGGCGTTGAGTTGCATCATAGCGAAATCGGAGGTTGGGGCCCGAATGAATTGAAATCTTCCTCGTGCTAAATGGCTCATTGGAGGGCATGTGGAGAGGCATATGGCGAACCCAACGACATAACTAAATCCGACTTGATACCTAATGTTCACGTTCAATCCACCTCAGCCTCGCGTCCCTCATCGAATGCGAGTAGACACGCGCTAGCCCCAGAATGGAATATAAACCTGCCAAGGAAGAATCTGCATCTTTGGGCCAATCAATGTTCTCTGTGGAAAAGCCACTGTTGATCTTGAGCGGGAGCTTCCATTCCTTTGGTTCGGTATTTTTAGGATTATTTTTGGTGATGCAATAGGGACATCCGTTGGATATTTGCCCCTACCTTAGATGGAATGTCAGTAGAGAGGCTTGATGCTACTGCAGCATGCTAATGTGTATCGGTATGATCATGCTTATGTAACCTAAAGACAGGCTTTGCACAAATTATGCATAACGTATTCCACAAGCGAGTCGGCACCACAAGCGAGCCGGCACCCCAACGCGTTTTGACCGCGATCAAAAACCTTACTTAATTCAACTACTAACCATGCCTCCAAAAGCGCGTCAAAAGTCAGGAAATTCAGCCGAGCAGGAGGGGAGGATTCTATTAGCAATCTCTGCTATAGAAAATAAATAAATTACCCAAATTGCTAAAGCTGCGCGTTATTATAATGTGCCTCGTTCTACTCTACAAGATCGGCTACGCGGAAAAATAAATCGCTCAGAAACACGTGCTAATGGTCATAAAATGACTCAAAATAAAGAGGAATCGCTTGTACAATGGATTCTATCGCTAGATTGACGTGGAGCGCCTCCTCGACCGTCCTATATACGAGAAATGGCCAATATTCTTCTTGCTGCGCGCGATACTACCCCAGTTTAATCAGTCGGAGTGAACTGGGTCTCCAACTTTATTAAACGACAAGATCGCTTGAAAACTCGCTATACTCGACACTATGATTATTGGCGCGCTAAATGCAAAGACCCCAAGATTATCAGAGAGTGGTTTGATCGCGTACAAATTATTATAATGTAATATGGAATTGTATAAGAAGATATCTATAATTTTGATGAGACTGGCTTCGCTATGGGCTTAGTAGCTACTGCTCAAGTAGTTACTAGAGCTAATTACTACGGAAAGGCCTCTCTTATACAGCCTGGCAATCGAGAATGGGTTACTTTAATCAAGTGTATTAACTCAACCGGTTGGGCACTTCCTCCATGTGTGATCTTTAAAGGAAAGATCCATATAAAGGGTTAGTATCAAGATATCAAACTCCCACGCGATAGCAGGATTAAAGTTAGTCCTAATGGATAGACTACTGATAAGATAAGCCTTCGCTAGCTTAAAAACCTCTTTATTCCGACTACTACTAGTCGTATAACTGGAAGATATTGTCTTCTAGTTCTTGACAGTCATAGCAGCCATCTTACACCTTAATTCGACCAGATATGCAGTAAGAATAATATTATTCCTATCTGCATGCCTGCACATTTATCGCATCTACTACAGCCTCTAGATGTTGGCTGCTTCTCGCCTCTAAAGCGGGCGTACGGCAGCTTAGTTGAGAAACAGGCACGCTTGGGAATCAATCATATCGATAAGTTTGATTTCTTAGAGGCCTTTCCACAAGCTCGTGAAAGCGCTTTTCAAGCAGATACTATTCGGAATAGCTTCGCAGGTGCTGGTCTAGTTCCACTTAATCCAGATAGGGTACTCAGTAAGCTGAATATTCAGCTAAAGACCCCTACACCACCAGGCAGTCGATCTACCAATACAGCGCTAAAAACGCCTTATACAACTAGGCAGCTTGAAAAGCAGGCATCTACAGCAAAGAAGCTGCTTAAAGCGCGTACGCAGGGCCCTTCATCTTCGCTAGAGATGCGATTTAATAAGCTTATTAAAGGTCATGAATTACACCTTAATGAGCTTATTCTTGCACGCGAAGAAATCCGTGAATTACGCGCTTCTCATGAAAAGAAGCTTCAAAAAAAGAAACGCTCTACTAGGCAGCTAGCTATTACAGAGGGATCAGCTATTCAAGAAGGCCTAGAGCGATTTCAGCGCGAGAATGAGGTTGATGAAGCTCAAAATACGCTTCCTCTAGACCCTGCACTTTCTGCAGTTGAGCCACGCGTACGAGCGCCACCACGCTGCAGTAATTGTCATATTCTAGGACATAGACGGTTACAATGTCCCAATCGAGTTCCTAATTAGTTTTTATATAGAAATGCAATTATTTCGTTGATAAAGCCTCTAGTATTTGGTCCGCGGGCAGAAATTGGAGCGGGGGTGCCGGCTCGCTTGTGGTGCCGACTCGCTTGTGGAATACGTTAACTTGAAAGCCTTGATAAAAATTGTAGAGTTTGAGAAATTTCTGCAATGCCCAATAGCTTTTGCGATTAAATGAATTCTCCTCTGTTGTTTTTGTCCATATATCCCTCTGCTATATCTTCTTCAAGATAACAGCGCCCGTTGAATTTCAAATTTGAACTGATTTGCGCCATTATATGTCTTTCCCTCGAGACGGTTGCTATTCCTAAAATAACACCTCAATTCTCCACCGTAGCCAAACGGCTGTTCAGTTTGAACATTCCATGAGGGTTACCCGATTCGCTGGGATCAAGGAAATTAAGCTTCACACGATGTTCAAATACCAAGCAATACGCCGAACCACCCAGATGAAACATTCCAAGCTGCTGTCCCTTCTGCACATGCTGATCCTTGTAGACTGTGATCTCACAACTGGAAATCTCATTCATCCCGATGGCGATAAAGCACACGAGCCCAATAGCCGGATTGTCGGCCTCGATGAAAATCAGCGCTCGCGTAGCAACGGAGGCGAGATAGAACTGAGAGAGATTCGGGCCAGACGGATCTGGATCTGGGAAAAGATGCGATCGGACATTAGAGTAGTATGTACCTGGGATCTGGACGATTTTTGCCACGGTTCCTGAGATCGGGGCATGCCAGCGGTGATAGCACGCGGAGCTCAGCCAGCCTTGATAAACGGTGCCGTTGAAGAAACGGGAACTGTAGGAGTCGGAATCCATCATGTCGATGATAGAGTACGGTTGGGATTTCAGCCAGAATGTGTCGCGGTCTTTGACCTTCTGCACTACGCCTTGCTTTCCAGATTCGCAGGCATTCACAATCACACTGTCGCTTTGGTCGTATTTGTTCACATCGCGGACACCCGGACAGAATTGGCGCGTGAAGAACTGGTCCCAGCTAGAAAAGCCCCAAGTAGGAGATTGTGGATCACATTTGTAGAGCTTCTCAATGGGAGAATCCTGAGGCCACTGGGCGTAGTCCTTCATTATCTTCTGATAACTCTTGCTGAACCAGTTCTTTGGGCAGTCATCATTATGATTTATGTATTTCGCAGAGCTGAGGTCGTATTTGAGAAAGTCGCCCCATCGGTTAATAATCGCCTTCAAACTTTCATTGACATTCTTGTTGAGGAAGAAAACGTAGCCGCTGGTTGTATTCGCTGGCCAGTTGAGAACGGCATTGAATGGAACTGTAATGGCACTCAGTCCAGCCCCGGTTGAGCGCACGTATGGTGCAGAACTGAGGATCTCGTTGAAGGCTTGGAGGGTCTCGTCAAAGTCTTTCACGTTATATGAGGCATCCCCCTCGACGCGAGGGATTTCCTCGAACATCTTCTTTGCCAGAACCCTGAGCGCAGGGTCATCTTGAACGAGGTTTTGGAAGTTCTTGATAACAGGGTCCAGCGGTTTGGGATCGTCTGCGGCCTGTTCTATCAACTCGTCTAGCCACCTGCACACTTCTTGTGGTGAAGGCAGCCAGTCCCCGAATCGGGAATCCTTTTTTCGGGGTTGAGTTAATGAATCAGACATTATGTCCACAGTCGGTAGCCTCGAAAATGTGAAACCGTGTCGATGAAAGAAGTGTCGTATGTAGGCTCTGCAGGTTTATGGGGTGAAGATAAAAAAAGGACAGTCTTCAGTCGAACGTTTAACAAATCTTTCTTTATAGCAAACGCTTTGTCTTGTTACGTATTCTCAAGCTGAAACTATATTTTCCTTCTGTATTGGACTCCTATAGCACTGCAAACGTACAGCTCATCGTCCATTTTATTACTCTATGACGCCTTCATTTTTCCTGTTGGATGTGAAGTCCTACTAGATGTATACGGACACCATGAAACTGCAACTGTAACGTATCATTGAAGAAGAAAGTGCCTGCGACAGTGTCGCATTAGGAAATCAATTACAGCAGCTCGACGATAAATCTTCTAGTATGTTTGGTTCAAGCCATCCGCCGATATGTAGTATTAGGGTTGGACTCGTCACCTGGTCAGGTTGTATTACGTCAACCACATCATGTAGTAAGTAGGAACCTTTTCTGTGGAGCCGTTCCAATGCAACATCGAATATCGCAAGTACAACATTTGGGGGCTTTGAGACCTATCTACACCATACATAATAGAGAATAAAGTATCATTGGATCACAGGCGAATATATAAGTTTGCTCGATTTCTGGACCGGGCCTCAATCTGTATATTAATCGATTCCCTTGTGAACTTCCTCACCATAAAGCCTGAATTTCAAGGGCATCATATTGCGAAATATTGTTGTTGTTAAGATGCAATCCCTATATTTGCCTTATTTAATTTTTGTGGCTACATTCAGGGGAGTTGTCGAAGCCAAAACAGTAAGTCTTCCTTAGCATATCCATTTTATCCGTTTGAAGATTGATCAGAATTGTCGGCTAAACTATCTCCTAGGCCACCTTTAACTCCGAGCTCAGCTGCCAGGGCGCTTCTACCTTCGTCCCGTGGTCCAATTGTGTTCCTAAGTAAGCTTGTATCCCCTGGCTTACTAGCCGCATACTCCGCTTACGCTGATGTACACAATAGTCAAGGAGTGCAAGCAATCACCGTACCAGAAGCAGACGCCTACGTTCAATTCTTCTGTTATGAATACAGGTCAGTCCAAATGTTTGGAAGGCAATACCAACAAGCTAACAAGCCCTAGGGATGATGATCCAGCTTGCGAAGAAACACAAATCACGGTGCAGTCAGGTTGTACAGATCTGACTTACGAACGGACGAAATGCACTTATTGGCCCAGAAAGGTTAATGTTAGTTGGATATATGATTGTAATATTCCTTTGCGCAAGCACAGCTAACTTTTAACAATAACACAGGCGACTATTTATTCCCAAGCCAATTTTGATGGCTCCCCTTCTGTACTTCCGAATATCGGTACACCCGAATGCAATGTTCTTTCGGCGACTAAGTACGTTGAACGAAAGACCCTTTCGATCCAAATAAAGTAGGCTAATTGTATATCTAGTATCAACTCTGTTGGGTCCATTGTTGTGCCCCCCAGCTACAATTGCACGCTATTCACGTGAGTCATTGCCACTTTACCAAGCAGGAGATTCCAACCGTGAAAGATCGCTTCTAACAACATTCTAGGAATGAATACTGTAATAGCACAGATCACAAAGATATTCCATCTCCTGGATGGCATGATCTTTTCACAGCTCCTTATATTGGCAATCGGACTAAGAGTATTAGTTGTACGCAATGAATCTAGTCGATGTTGGAGTTTTGTCCGTAAACAGTTAGTTGTCTTCAGTTTAGGATTAGCATAGTCTTTGTGGAAGATAATGATAATATCTTTGGATAGTTTCCCTTCAGATATATTTTATGTCTTGGGTAGCATTGGAATTATCCAATGCAATACTAGCGATTGCCCCTAGAAGATGGTTTTGACCGACCACCCAGCACATATCCCTCTCGAAATCAGAAAAGCCACACCAGACGCGACATAAAGCATTCCCGCATAAATGATAAGCCCAGTATACTCCCCATTATATGATTCAATGATCGCCCCGGCAATTGGAAGACCGATAAGACTCCCAATACTAACAATCGCCCAGGTCGTTCCAGTCCGCTTCCCGTAGTCCTGGATCTCACAAATCTGTGAAACACACACCGGCGGGATACTGATAGCAGCACCGCTCCAGAACCCAAATAAGACCGCATAGCTAATGATCATCGCGAGGCCATTAGCGCAAAGCCACAGAGTTAGTGTGAACACCGCACACATCACACAGGTAACGACCATCACGTTGAATCGGCCCCACTTATCGGCGATGAAGCCGGGTAGGAACCGGCCGAAGATGGCGCCCGCGTTTAGAAAGACGACCATCGCGTAGGAGAGCTTCTCGTCGATGCCGGCGTGCAAAGCGTAGGAGGCGATGTACGTGCTAGGTACGGCGGCGGCCAGTTCGACCAGGAAAATGGCGGCCGAGGTCGAGGAATATTTGATGTCGCGGAGGGCCTTGAGATCAAAGAAGGAGTCTGTCTTTTTGGGAGGCAGTCGGGTTTTGATGGTTAGACATGACACAGCACACAGAATCGCTGTGATTAATGCGATGACCCGAATGGACCAGGCGAACCCGATTTGAGGAGCAACGAAGAGGACGATCAGGGGAAATGACACGCCTCCAAGGCCTCCGCCTGTAAACACGATCCCTGTAGCAAAGCCCCGGCGCTCGTTGAACCAATGGCCGACGGCTGCGACGGGGGGAACTAGAAGCGTACTGAAAGAGAGCCCGCCCAGGACGGAGAAGGCCAGGAAGATTTGATAGTATTCTGTAAGACTCTTAGAAATATGCAGGCGTATTCAAAGCAGCATGCACAATGACCCACCCTGGCTGAGACTAAGAAAGATCAATGAAGCCACTGCCCCGATTGTGCCCGGAAGCAGAATCAAGAGCGGCCCGTGAGAGTCAAGAATCGTCCCTACATGCAGTTAGGACCTAGGACGCTCTGCACATTGGGCTCTGGATACACTACCAAAATACATCCCCCCCGAGAACAGAAAGAAGCTAAAGGCCCCGTAGATCCAACCAATGCTGGAGGCCGAGTAATCGCTCAACTGATGGGTACTTGTCCATGCCTGCAAGACTCCCAGACTGTTTAATATCCCTGCCGATGGGATAATCGCGCACCAAGCCCCAAATACAACAGACCATGACTGTAGCCCGCCTTCGGGGTACCTATCTTCATCTGCGTCGTGGGCAGTCGCTGACGTCATGTCGTACTGGGAAGTGCGGTAGTTTGGCTGCGGAGGGATAGTAGCTGATATATAAAAAGAAAAGATCTATTAGTAATTGAGATAGGCGAGAGGGAGTCGAGGCACGTCGGTGCTCTTCATCTCCATTACAGCCTTTTCTATGATGGCAGTGTCTATGATTCTTTCTAAATTTCTAATAACATCTCATAATTTTATTACAGATTCGGAGTTGCCCGTGCCGCCCGAAACTAAGAGATTGTTGTCACGCGCTAACCGTCTCTGTGACCAAGGGGAAAATAGTTCATGGCGTGCTTGGGCTGGAAGCATGAGTTGTGCTGAGCTGCAAGGGGTGTGGTGTGGATGCTACAGCCTATTGATCGTGGTTGATCTTCATCACTCGGAGCCTTCCGCCTTTCTACCCGCCTCCTTCGGTGGAACCCCACGGGTATACGGTGTATTTACTGAGATGTACCCTTGCAATGTAAGCCCTGCCGCAAGGGGGGAAATGATGTGGCCCATTGACATGAACTGATCTCGGGATTATACAATGTTGTCCTGCTTTGATCTACGTGACACGCGGAATACCAATCCGGCGGTGAAGGAAATGCAAAATATGTATAGGCTATTCCTAACGTGTGTCAATTTCACATTATTCGACTGCCTGGAATTTATCCCTGGAACGCGAAATTGATCGCAAGGGGCATGTTGACTAGCAAAGGGGAGCATTCCCCCCACCCACAGACGGGAGGCTGACGGGAGGCTGACAGAAGCCTGTGAGTTGACGCGTCAAGTCTCAGATGCGGCGTATATCTGGCAATATGAACGAAAGGAAGATCGAATGGAGTCGAATGGGTATGATTAGCACCGTTATGGTGAGTGTTGTATCCCCAAATATAAAGAGAGTATTTGAGCATTGTCTTTCATCATGAGCCGAAAGAAGAGGATGGAGGTTCGAAGACAAATAATTCTCACGTACGCAGCTGTAAGGGTCATGGGCAACTACCAGCTGAACCACGACATGAAAAGGTTTGTCGTATAGCCTGTGAGCTTGGTTGCAAGCTTGATGTACAGCACAACAAACTGCAAGGGGCCGATGCGTCACCACTAACCTACGTCTCACACGTGTAGAAATATTAGAGTGCCCTTCCCCAGGATTTATATCTGGATTATGTTTCCAGGTCTGTCAATTGTAGGGCAGAATAAAAACCGAAATATTGCTTTCAATTTGTGTAACAGCCTCCTCGAGACCCTCGCGAACCCATTCTGAAATCAATGACGATAGGCTCGAAATAGAAATATCTTTAGCCATCAATGGAACAGCCTCTCACTAGCCAAAGTACCTGTGCCCAGGTCGTGGAAAAATCAGTCGAACATCCTCTTGCAGCTGAAGATTTCTGGAAGGAATACCTGAAAGGAGTCGATGCGCCGCACTTTCCCCAATGTCCGGACTCGAGTCAAACAGTCTCATCGAGTGAGACTCTAAAAAGGCCTTGTCATATCACAAATCAACTCAACACCCGCGAAGCCTTTCATTCAGCAATTCTGTTGGCATGGGCCCTCACCCTCTCGCAGTACACCGACTCCGAGGAAGTTGTCTTCGGCCTGGTTGCCTCGGGCCAGGATGTTCTCGCTCGCGATATCGAGAACAAGAAGCTCCCTATAACACCATTTCGAACCCACAGTCGGCCGCATGAGCTCGCGCAGGATGCCCTGTCTCGGATTCGATTACAACAGGCGCAGATTCTTCCATATCAGGAGGCAGGTTTGGAGACAATTCGCGGTCTCAGCACGGATACCGCGAAAGCGTGTCAGTTCCAAAACGTATTATCCATCGTGTCTCAACAGGGTCCGGACGCAGGCGGTGGATGTGACTCTTGCCTGAGACCAGTCGGGAACTACCCGTTGACGGTACTTTGCGAGATGGACGGCCCATGTTGCTTGGTGATGGTTAAGGCATTGTTTGACCCGCAAATCATCATGACGGCTCATACGCGCTGGGTACTCGAGCAATTTACTCATAACCTGCGCGGGATCTTGTTGCACCAAGAGAAAACATTAGGGGCTGTCAGCGAAGCCTGTCCTGAGCACCTGGGAATTCTCAGTTCTTGGAATTCGCAAGTTCCTGACAGAATAGAGCAGGGTGTGCACGAACTAATCTTGCAGAATTGCGCCGCACGTCCAAACGCCACAGCGGTCTCTGCATGGGACGGTGAACTTACTTACAAAGAGCTTGACGACTTGTCCTCCTCCCTAGCAACTCGCCTGCAGCAGCTCTCTGTTGGCCCTTCTTCCTACGTTCCAGTATACTCGGAAAGATCGAGGTATGTTCTGGTTGCCATACTGGCAATCATGAGAGCGGGAGGCGCTTTTCTCCTCCTTCCAGATTCCCAACCACTCAGTCGAGTGAAAGAGCTATGCAGAAGAGTCCAAGCCCAGGTTGTACTGGCCTCTTATAGCTGTGAACAACGGCTATCACAATCGGGGTTGCCAGTGATCACCCTAGACGGAGACATTGGACAGGGCTTTGAAAATGGGAGCCCTGTGTCCGTGTCAGTAAGCCCCGACGATCCGGTGTATATTGTGTTTACATCAGGGAGTACTGGTACCCCGAAAGGCGTGGTGATGGGGCATTCTGCGCTGGCCACAAACGCCGTCCGTTTAGCAAAAGAGTTGGGCTGCAACTTCAAGTCGCGCTGGCTGGCCTGCGCCTCCTTCGCCTTTGATGTGAGCGTCATGGAATTGATGTTTCCATTGGTTCAGGGCGCCTGTGCCTGTGTGCCAGGAGAATCCCAACTGTCCAACGACCTCGAACAGGCCATCCAAGACTTTCAAACAGATATCATATCCTCGACCCCATTGCGAATGCGAAGCGTCAGCCCTGAGAAAGTTCCAATGATCCGGACGCTGATGGTAGGAGGAGAGGGTCTGCTCCAGGACGACATCAAGCAGTGGGCTCCTCACCTAAACTTTGTGCAAGCCTATGGTCCAGCGGAGTGTTGCGTGGTGAGCAGTAAAACCACGGTGAAGTATAACTCAGAACCGAGCAACCTGGGGAGTGGGATAAACTGCAATCTGTGGGTCATCGACCATCAAGATCCCGGGAAACGGGTGCCGATTGGGTGTCCGGGCGAGCTGCTCATAGAAGGTCCCCTGGTTGGTCAGGGCTACCTGAATGACCTGGAGAAAAGCGCTGCAAGCTTTGTGCAGCCGCCGGCCTGGCTGCAACAGATGCGTGGTGAAAAGGCCAAATGCTGCTACAGAACTGGAGATATAGTGGCATATAGTCCCATAGGAGATGGATCGGTCAAGTTTATTGGTCGGAAGGATAACCAAGTCAGAGTTCCTCTTACTTCAGCGAGCATGCAACTCCTTTGCTGACACGAAAGCAGATAAAACTTAGAGGGCAGCGCATGGAGCTGGGCGAGGTCGAGGCTCATTTGCGCACCGCACTGCCGGACGCTTCATCGGTCGTCGTCGATATCATTAACCCGGAAAATGCCGATGACCAAAAGGCTCTCACAGCATTTATTCTGCAGAAGGCCGTCGTGACTGACTCCGACAATGATCTTTTCGCTCCTGTAGGGGACCCCAACTTTGCATCGACAGCCAACATTGCAAGCCAATATCTTCAGGCCCGCCTCCCTGCGTACATGGTTCCTACTGTGTTTTTGCCTGTTAGACGAATGCCTAGCACCACATCCGATAAATTAGACCGACGTCTTCTCAGGCAGAGAGCGTCAAATCTTCCGAGACGAACTCTTCAGGAATACCGCACGCAAGCCAGCTCAATCCAAAGACCCACAAATAAGTCAGAGGAAATCGTGCAGGAAATGGTTGCGACAGTGCTGAAGCTAGAAGCAGCCAACATCAGCATGGATGATGACTTTTTCTACCTTGGAGCGGATTCGATGCATGTCATGCGTTTAGTCAAATCGGCTCGAGAGAGAGACATAACCCTCATGTCTGCCGACGTGTTCCACTTCCCCCGATTGAAAGATATCGCAGAGAGAATGCAATCTCGACTGGAGGGCCCAGATAAGATCGAAGATGTGGCCCCATTTTCTCTCATATCCAGTGCAACCCGGGAAGAAATTGTCCAGACATCCATCGGCGCGAATGACGGGGGAACTTCCGAGATCGAGGACATCTACCCCTGCACACCTTTCCAGGAGTCCCTTCTGGCGCTGTCCGCGACGAGAAAAGGCGCTGTCGCTGAACGGTTCTCTGTTGGACTACTATCAGATGTTTCGCTACCTCGGTTCCGCCAGGCCTGGGACTCGGTGGTTCAGGCGAATCCGATTCTGCGCACGACTTTCGCCACTGATAGCGAAAACAAGACCTTCCAGCTGGTTCACTCCAAAGGACCGAGGTGGACAGAAGATGGATATGTCAAACTCCCGGAAATGGGACCAGGACAGTCAATGATAGCCTTTGGCTTGGAAACTGACCCAGATAGCTCGACATCTGGAAGCGTTCGCTTTGTGCTCGCCATGCACCACGCTCTTTATGATGGGTGGTCCTATTCTTCCCTTCTCGATCAGATTGAAGACGCCTATTGCGGTCATTCAACCCGAACTGCTCCGTTCAACCGGTTTGTTCAGCACGTAACATCACTCGATCCCGATGTTGCCAACGGCTACTGGAAAAGCCAAATGGCAGGCTATGATTCAATGCCCTATCCACCTCGCTCATCAACGACATCTGGTCAATGTCCAAGCTCATATGTAGAGGATCGCATCGCTATCCGCTCCATCCAAGGAATAACAAAGGCATCTTTCATCAATGTAGGGTGGGCTATGGTTCTGTCTCAGCTCACCGATTGCGACGACATCGTATTTGGGTGCACGGCAACAGGGAGGGATGTCCCGGTCGAGGACATCGAAGTGCTCAATGGACCAGTTGTGGCGGTTGTTCCTCTGCGCATTCAACTTCGCCAGGACGATATCGCGATAGACGCGTTGAAGCGGGCCCAACTACAGACAGCTGACATGGCACAATTTCAGCACTGGGGGACTCAGAACATTCGAAAAGTCAGCCGCGAAACCGACGCAGCTTGTCAATTCCAAAACCTTGTCGTCACCCACACTCCGGCCGATGATCGTGCGCAGTCTCAAGTTTTCACAACGGTTGGTGATACAGACAAGGATAACGCCGAGTTCTACACCCAGCCCCTTGTGCTTGTATGCTTCCAATTCTCCGATCATATCGATGCCCGCCTCCGATTCGATCCTGGAACTATAACCCCAGGACAGGCCGAGGCCATTCTGAACCAGTTCACACATGTTCTTTTATCCTTGCAGGCCAACCCCCACAAACGCCTAGCGGACCTTCCGTCAATCACCCAACGCGACATGGAGAAGCTCAGTGCCTGGAGCTCCCCGGGTCCGATTCAAACAAAGCAGTGTGTTCATCACCTCATCGAGGAGATATCGCAGAAAAGTCCGGAACGTCCAGCAGTTTGCTCCTGGGACGGTTCGTTCACGTATCGCGATCTTGATGAGCAGGCTTCACGGCTCGCCCGACATCTGGCTGAGCAAAATGTTGGCCCTGAAACCTTTGTCCCCATTTGCCTGGAACGGTCTCGTTGGGTGGCAGTGGCTGTTCTTGGAGTTATGAAAGCCGGGGGAGCGTTTGTTCTCCTGGAGCCTTCTCAGCCCATGCAGCGGCTTCATAGTATATGCACGCAACTTGATGCCAAGGTCGCTATATCATCGCGCCAAGGGGTCCCCAGTTGTTCAGCCTTACCAGCCTCGATTGTCAGTATTAGCAACGACGAGACTGAATGGCAGTGCCAAACTGCCGTGGAAAAGAAGCCTGTGGTTCAAGCAGTGCCGAGTAACGCTTTATATGCCGTGTTCACCTCCGGATCGACCGGGAAGCCAAAGGGGGTGGTGGTCCAGCATTCAGCTTACAGCTCCTTGTTACAGCCCCTGCTATCCCAGACGGGGATTTCGAAAGAAACCCGGTATCTTCACTTCTCGTCGTTTGCATTTGATGCTGCCATAACAGATCTACTGTCTCCCTTGGCCGCCGGGGGCTGTCTATGCCTTCCTTCGACCAACGAACGGAGCAACGATCTAGCTGGAGCAGCAAGGCGAATGGGAACTTGCACGGTGGCCTTGACTCCATCCATTCTTCGAGAACTCGATCCCGACGACTATCCCACCCTTAAACTAGTCTTCATTGGAGGGGAAGCCGCCTCGGCTTCGGATATAGCCAAATGGAGTCAAAAGAAGCGTATTGTCAATGTCTATGGCCCGGCTGAATGCTCTGATATTTCCACGCTTCAGCCAGACATGACGCCCCAGACTGGGGGTAATGACATTGGTCATCCATTGGCGAGTGATTGCTGGGTTGTTCGACCATCAAAACCCAACCAACTCATGCCAATCGGATTCGTGGGCGAGCTGCTCATCGGTGGACCAAAGCTCAGCCGGGGCTACTTGAATAACCCCGAAGAGACTGCCCGGGCATTCATCAACGACCCTCCTTCATGGCTACATTCCTTCCGGGACCCAGCCACTTCGCCCATGAGACTTTACAAAACCGGGGACCTGGTTTGGTATCATACCGATGGCTCTCTCCGCTTTGTCGGCCGGAAGGACACTCAGATTAAGCTCCGCGGACAGCGTATTGAGCCTGGTGAGATTGAAGCTGCTATCCACAGATTGCTGCCAGTTGGGTCTCACGTTGCCGTGGATGTGATCACAAGGGGACAGGGCCGATCTACTGCAGCACTTGCGGCTTTCATTGCAATACCACCTGCTGTCGATGAAGAAGCCTTAGAACCGTCGTCAGCGGAGGAAAATCTGTTCGTCATGCCTAATCCCTTGCTTCAAGGCACCCTGGCTCGGATAAACCAGACATTAGCCCGGGAATTACCCAAGTTCATGGTCCCAGCAAGATACTTTCTGTTGGACCAAATGCCCCTGACGGTCTCGGAGAAGCTGGATCGTCGTTTGCTGAAACAGCGGGCACAGGCTCTTTCCGAGGAAGAGCTGCGCAGGTTGACCACCAACACCCCATCCACTACGAGACGACTTCCTGCCAATATATCAGAGGAACTGCTCTTCCGGGCATGTGCCAAAGTACTCGGTCGGAGTGCCGATTCCATTGGACTCGACGATTCATTCTTCGATCTTGGGGGTGACTCTATCCTTGCCATCAGCTTCACACAAGAAGCCCGGAAGCACGGCCTTAGGTTCAAGGTGTTTGATATCTTCAGGCTGCCCAAGCTGTCCGACCTTGCGTCCAACGCGACCCTCTATCATAATGTTAAGATGTCGATCGGCAGCTCATCATACTTTGGGTTCTCAAATGAACAGGACCTGCGCCACGCGGTTTCTGGACCTCAGGTTCCCCTCGATAAAATCTCCAAGCTCCTTGCTGCTACAGAAGCCCAGGTCGCAGGGCTTCATGATCCGCTTCATCATCTGAACTTCCACATCACTGGTCCGCTAGACTCAAGCCGATTAGAGACGGCTTGCCAAAAGCTGGTTGACCGGCACGAAATCCTACGGGTGGTATTCCAGCGAGTTCACGACCAAGTGTCCCAGGTGATACTGAGAAGCATCGATGCGCCCGTTCGTCGGCTAGACTGTCGAACAGGTTCATTGGCAGAGTGCGTGTCCAGTGTCTGTAGCGAAGACGATCTCCCGCTGCCTGCATTCGGTGCTCCGATCACCAAGTTCACGCTCGTCCATGGGCCCTCCGATGAACAAGTCCTCATCATCCGGCTCTCTCCTGCCCAATACGCTGGAAATTCATTCCCCCTTCTGACAAAGGAGTTGAAGACATTCTATGAAAACGACGAACTCCCGGCACCCGTCCCGTTCTCCGGCCTCGTTGATCACTGGTTCCGGCAGAGGAGCAACCCAGACGCTCTTCGATTTTGGAAAACCCGTCTTCAGGGTGCCAAGATGACCTTGCTCCCCGAGCAGACCTCGCAGATCGATGGTCATGGACGGGAGAGCGAAAAGTTTGTTACATCCGAGGAGTATGCGCGAGCTCTTCCCATTGAGGATGTTACTCTGGCCACAATCGTCAAGGCTGCCTGGATCATTGTCCTGGGTTCTCGGACCCGGGAAACAGACCTCACTTTTGGAGTGGTCTGTAGCGGTCGCGATGGAAAACACTCCGACGTCCTCGGCTGCTGCAGGAATCTGCTTCCGCACCGGACCATCGTCGATCGGGACTGGACAGTCCGAGAGCTTCTCTCAATCGTACAGAAATGGGCCGTAGAATCCATACCCTTCGACTACTTGCAAATGGCGGATATTGCTGAGGGTCAAGAACAGTTTGGTAGCGTCCTGTATGTCCAGGATACTAAGCCCAACCATGAAATTGATATCGATGGCATGGTCTGTAGAGCTGAGCAGCTGGCTCCACCGCCAACGAGACCTTATCTGACTGTGGAAGTCATACCGCACGAGTCTCACCTGTTGTCTCTCAGACTAACGGCGCCAGAGAATGTTTTGACAAAACAGAGGAGCCAGGCGATGATCGGGGAGCTTGCAAAAACACTCAAGGCGTTGAGATCTTCGCTAGGCCAACGACTCAGTGAGTTTGATTTATCGGTCAGCGAACACTAGCCTTGGTAAATCGATCGAGGCGTTGGTATTTGGCACTCTTCATCATTATATCGTCTTCTATATTATGATTCAGAGAAAATCTATGTTCTTCAATTCCCAGCTTAGAATTAGAGGGTGTTGTGGCAGCTCAAAGTCTGTATAGGAAAATAACGCCAAATGATGAAACATGAGAAATGATGAAGCTGTTGTGGGTCACATGCAGAGCTAACTACATTAGGCAGGTGCGGGCAGAGGAAATCCGAGACCAAACTGAATTCCAATCGATCGGAGTATCTAAAGATTATATTCATTCGACATTGGGGTGTGTTTCAAATGAGAGTACTATTAGAACACCATATCATTCCTTTTTACTGGCCCCGTGGCCTTCAACTTACTGCCTATACCATTGAAACCTGTCACCGAGATATATATATGGAGCTACCAAAACCCAATCGAACTGACTTGAGTAGTGCATGGGAGATCGTGAGCCTACAAAGGATTATTTTGAAGGATTCATTATACACTCAAGCTGTTAATTGTGCATAGGGTTTTTTTGTCTTTTCTTTTCTTTTTCTGTCTTCTTCTTCTTCTTCCTTTTTTTTTTTTTTTTTTTTTTTTTTTTTTTTGATAATGGCTTGCCATCGGCACTCCTGCTGATACTCAGTCTTTCTGCCACAAGCAGAGAATTAATCCGAACAGGCGGCCGCTGGATTTCTCGACCAAAACAAGTGCTTTTGTAATCTTAAGCTGCCTGTTATTTTCTAACTATGAGGCAATTTTTGAAATTCGACTATCCCTCTTAAAGTCTTAGCGCGCTAGGATGGCATTTTAATCAAAATAGCCGCCATTTGTATCGCAGCAAATATCTTTGCCAGTTCTAAAATCCCAACGACTTTGGGGGGCTTTACTTTAGGGCTTATTACTCCGCCCCTCGCATGAACTCCAGGCAGTGCCATTTGTTTTTCGATCGGACTTACACTTTAAAAGAGGGGCGGTGGAGTAAGATGCGTCTTTGCCGAGACCTGAAGATCTCATTTGTTGGGTGGTGGACGATTCTCGCTCTAAGTTCCCACTTGACCGAAACCAAACAACTGGCGTTCGACGGAGGATAGGAAGGGTGCTTTAGTGCTTACGGCGGCGTTAGCTAGGACAGGGACATACATATTGGCCAGTATACCGTCCGGAGAAAATCTCTGTTCAATTATTGAGCCAAAGAATCCCTAGTCCATACAACAAACACCCGTCGTGGCCCTGGTTTGTATAGAGTTGTAGAGTGGAAACTTGGCCATGGGGCTAAAAGACTCAAAATATACACGTTTGAACGTGTCTGCATGGCGTCGCATTAATCGGTGGGGGAATCTGACTGAGATTTGTCGCTACATTATAATCCTTGTAGGAATTGGCATCCATAACTCTTTAGGATACCCGAGGCAAGATAAATGCCTCGCCCTAGCTGCCCCCAACCGTGAGCGGGATTTCTCCCCTTTGGTCCGCTTCTGTTTCTTCTTTTCTCTTCTCGAACAACGGATCTTGCTGTATTTGCATTCATATCCCCTGCAACGAAACGGATCAAGCGAGGTTTCCTGGTATTTGAGTTCCAACCAGGCAGTGGCAATGGAGCAGAATTTCCAAGCCGCTGTTGAGACAGGAGAGATTCCCGGTGTAGTATTACTTGCAACTGATGCCAGTGGTATGCTGAATTTAAAAACAAAGAAAGAAACAAATATAAGAAAAATAGAGAAGAACATCGACCCCTGATAACTTCTGTGCAGAAAGGTTCCACTACGGAAATGCCATTGGCAATTCGTCCTTGAAGCCCGGCTCGGAGAGGCTATTCAAATTAGACGCAACCTTGAGTATTGCATCGTGCAGCAAGATTATCACCACAATCGCGGCGCTACAGTGCATTGAACGAGGCCAGTTTGGGCTGGACGATGACGTCTCAACAATTCTCGTTGAACTTCAGGACCTCAAGATAATCACGGGTTTCGACGAGAGCACGGGTAATGCTACTTTTGTCCCGGCTGAAAATAAAATTACACTCAGGTTGGTTCTGCCGTCTATTTTATGTTTTTACTCAAACAATCGCATATGCATTCAGGCTGGGCTTACGTGCCTTCGATATAGGCACCTCTTGACACACACCTCCGGCATTGCCTACGACTTTATCAATCCCGTTATCAACCGCTGGCGGACGTCGGTGGGTCGAACCCCAGACATCACTAGCACAGAGCCGATCCTGAAGCGGATTGCTCTGCCGCTCGTTTTTGAGCCCGGCGAGGGCTTCGAATACGGCTACTCCATGGACTGGGCCGGCACGCTTGTTTCTCGCCTTAATAATATCTCCCTCGATGAATACGTGCAGAAGTACATCGCCCAGCCCCTCGGGATCGATGACATGACCTTCCACCTAGAGAACAACGACCAGGTGCGCTCGAAACTGGCCGATTTCAATCTCCGCGACGGGGGTATGAACGAATACGGCACCACCGCCAACCCCAACGGTGCCATTTCGTGGATGCCCGGCCACCTATGGGTTGACCCTGTCGTCGATGAGTACGGCGGATGGGGCATCTACACCAGTGGTCCTTCGTTTCTCAAGGTACTGGCCTCGATACTCCGGGACGACGGCAAGTTGCTGCGCAGCGAGACAATCGACCACATGTTCCAGAACCAATTGTCGAGCGCATCCAAGGACATGCTCAAGAGAACATTGTCCGTGCCGGAGATCAACAATTATCTCGGTGGGTCGCCGCTTGGGCTAGAGAAGGGATGGGGCTTGGGTGGGCTGCTGATGCTGGAGGACTCGGCCTCGACGGGCCAAAATGCAGGCACTATGCAATGGGCAGGTCTTCCAAATCTCTTCTGGTGGATTGATCGCAAGGCCGCTTTATGTGGTCTCTACGCTAGTCAGTTGGTGCCGACTGGCGATCCGCGCAGTGTGGAGTGGTCGACCACCTTCATGAAGGAGATGTATATTCGGCTAGAGGAATCTCGCTCAAGAGCATAGAATATTCCAGTCTTTCTTGAACCCAATATGTTGCTTGCATTTCTCGTTGATAATATTAAGGCATGGACCACCGCCCCCGGTAGACACACTTACATCAAGACGGAAGACTTTCTGTTCTATTCTTCTTCTTTTCCTTTTGGGACGAGAAACCTGATGTATAACTAGAGATACTCCGCATTTTGAATTATAAACCCCAAGATAAGTTATAACACAAGAGACACATCCCTTACTCCTTCGACAACGGCACAGACTCCATCTCCCGCACTCCAATATATGGTCTCGGATAGAACGACTTCGGATCCACCCCTCGCTTCAGTTCCGCGATGATATGTTCCGGATCATAGTCCACCCCCCAAGGATTTTCTTTAAATTCCTTCGACGACATAAATGCCACCGACTCTTCCGTCGAGTTGAGCACTTCCACCTGTGTTTCTAGCTGGTTGCCTTCCGGATCTCGATAGTACATGCTGATCGAGGGGCCGTGGTGTACGCACCATACCGGTTCGATGCCGAGTGATTTGCGCTGTCGATAGGCGAGCATAAGATCATCGAGAGTGTTGAAAGTGAATGCGAAATGCTATAGTCTAATTAGCTCATAGACAGAAATAATCGTGATGGTATCACATAGTGAGAGGGGTGACAGACATGAAGCCCGCATGTTCGTGGATCTTTGGGCGCTAGACCCGGGATTTTCACAATGGCCACGCGGTGATCCTCGTCATCGTATGCGACTAGTGTTAGACTTTCGCTCTCGAAAGAGGTGCGTCCGCCGAGAAATGTCTTGTAGAACTCGATGAGGCGATCATAACTCTCTGGTCGGGTGCGGAGAACGACGTGCGCTAGTTTCGCTGGCGGAATAACCTGCACGGGTGTGTTCAATTGAACCATTGTGAGCTTGGTCGATTATTCGAGGGACTGATCAGGACACTCTGGTTGACGTTAAAACGCAGATAAGAAAAGAGGTCTGGAATATTGTATGATTATTGCAAGAGTACGTTGAGAGAACAAGCGACTGTATATGAAGATGAATTTGAGAAAGTAACCGATAGATAAGATTGAGTGGATCTCCGTGGTCTTCCATCTTAATCGGTGATCTCATGTCACTTTGACGCGTTGGACTAATTGCCGCATGCGGCTAACTGGCCAGACCCATGAAGGCCTCGGGATGTAACCTAGGATACTCTGCCACCAATAATCCTAATTGAGGGAACAAAGGTAATATCAGCAAAGAATGAACACTGTGATTGCTTTTTAGGTCTCCTGACAACCCGGTTGATTACACTCCAGCGAGATAAATAGCTTCATAGACGAAACTGCTCTTTTGTTAACCAATGACTTGACGGTTCTTGCAACTGTAATGTCGGCTATTTCCCCAAGATGGGGATCCAAACCCTACTTCTTATCGAATGTAAAAGATGAGAACTACGATGACAGCTCCGTTGCCACAATTAGCGGCCTCCAGACCTCGAGACCCATAATTCCCCGAATTGTCGTTTGACCTTGGCGCACGAGTATCGCTACCAGACGAGCCCAGGGCCCCCACAGGACTTGGCTCTGGATGCCGTCACAGAGCTCTACAATCTCCTGATCAATCCCCTACATGCAATGATGTTAGGGTATGCCGATTCTTACTCCCTGATCCCTTGCTGCTCTAGTTGCATTCCCCATCACGCCCATTCTGCCCCTTCGCTCCTCGCAGAATGATCCCACAATAACCCACTCGCACTAGCTCGCAAACTAAATGAGCCTCGGTGTGATCCGGCGATTCGATGTCGCCAACATGCTTTCGCCTGATCAGGCGTTAAGCCTCGCGGAAATCGCTGCCCGTATGGGACTTCGTGAGGGCAGGATAAATCACGTGCTTCGGTATGCGCGTCTTTCGCGAGCTCAGCAAGGGGTTTGTGGCTCACACTACGCGCTTGATCTCGTTGCGATCGTCCGCTGGGGCAGATTTTCTAGGAGCCTGCAAGGAGATCTCGTTGTGTTCAAGGTAGGTTTTTAGCAACCTGCATATCAACCATAGTACAGGCAGCGGAAGCATCCCAGAAATGCCTCTGCACCAACGAGACAAACAGACAGCATATCACCTCCCGCTTCCATGGACCTTGGTAAATAGCCTTGATATAAAGCTGACGTGAAGACGGAAAATAGGGTTTTGCATTAGCCGACAACGTTGACCGCACCCTCTATGACGTCCTCCATGACACTATCTGCGCCAATCGATCCGCTAATAAAACGGCTACATTCGATCGCGGGCCTAGGTTTAGCGCTCCTCAGATAGTAAATGGTTATGATTGGGCCGCGCTCGGTAACCTAGCCGGAGAGTGGTGGATATCGGTGGATTCGACGGGCTAGATTGCCGTGGACCTAGCTTCTCGATATGTAGAGCTTCGGGTGATTGTGCAAGATCAAGTGGGTACTGTAGCCAATGCGAAGAAATTCATTCCCCCTCGTGGATAGGTGGCCGTGTGAATTTCATGGCGCATGACTTCTTCCAGCCGCGGCCGGTCTAGGCGGATGTTTGCATCCTGTAGTGCGCCTTGCACAACTTGGCGGACAACTACTCTCTAAAGGCTCGGAGGCCGTCGGTTCCAGCCTTGAGAAAGGGGCCCCAAGTTCTTGTTAATGAGATTTGCTGGCTGGGACTGCGAGACGTGCCGTCGTGGAAGGAAAGAGAGAGAGGTAACGGCACACGGTGCTTCTTTTCCCAAGGCCATTTCCGATACCAATTACTATTAATTATATTATAATACGATTATGCTAGTTCAGCGTTGTCTCATTCCGAAAAGGTAGCCCACTCTCCATTCTCACAGCCCCATAGATCCCCGTCACGTCCGCTGCCGGACCCTCCGTTGCTTCCACCGTTTCCAGATGCTTATACGCAACATCGTAGAGCTTCAGGGATGCTCCAGACTCCTTGGCCAACGATCGAACATGGTTGGCCAACTCGATGGCAGCAGAAACTTTCACCATAGGCTGCGAAATATCAGCATTTCGATTCTTTCCGTGTCTACAAATTACTGCAAAAAGAACAATGAGAAAAAGGGACTCTTACAATTTCAGTGTGGTAGGCTCCTGTTAACATGCGGCGATTGTACACTGCATGTGGTGGGTTGGGGAAAATGGCACCCATGAGCTGGTTCATTCTATCTGTGCCTAGACCACATTTATCGGCCAGCACATTCACCTCTGCCACGGTTTCCATCGTGGCCAGGATCAGGAAGTTGCCCATCAGCTTCATTTTCATGGCTGTGCCGGCGGTTTCGCCGCTCAGATCCACGACATTATTGCACACACTGGACATTAAGATATTGGTGTTAGTAAAACGAGGTAGAGATATGGTCTTGGCCCACTTACACGTTCTCTAGATACGGCTTGATCCGGTCGACAGCCTCAGCAGGACCGCCAACAATACAAGTCAAAGTACGATTGGCTGCTTGGTTATGGCCACCCATTACTGAATGTTGTTAGTTTGAAAGTACGCCCGCAAGAAATACAGGTTATCGGAGAGGAGCCATGTACCTGGGATGGCCACAAACGCGGCGCCTGCATCCGCCACTCGCGCAGCGATAGAGTCGGCCTTCTCGCCAGTCACAGTTGAGCTATCAACAAAAAGCTTTCCTTGAATGGTGATGGTGAATATCTGCTGAAAGATGCTCTCGACGGCCTCCTCATCTTGAACGCACAGCCATATGATATCCGCACCGGCAACAGCATCGGTGACGGACCCGCTGACTCGGCAGTCTCCAAGACGGGCGGCGTGTGCTTCTGCAGTGCTTTTGGTGCGGTTATAGAGAGTCAATGGCCTTGCAATATTTCCATGTCGCAGCAGGTTCTGGGACATAGCCTGGACAAGCCATGTTAGCAACATACGCCACATGATGCGAAATAAGCCATAAAGCAAATGATCACTTACCTGGCCTATCTGGCCGAGTCCGAGGAACGCGAACCGAGAAGCCATAGCGGGATGTGATTGCTGTTTGACTCGGGGGTCTTTGAAGGTTTGCTTTAGTATAGATAGCCTGGGTATGAAACTTTAACTGAAAAGCAACACAAAGTGTAATTCGGCGTGATGTGATACATTCCAAGAGAGCAGCTCGGATGACCGCGTTATTTGATGAAAGTCGTCAAGCTTTGGGTCGGATTTCAGTCAAAATAGCTTTAATTCGCCCCATCTCCATACCCTATCCGCTTCCGGCGATCTCAGATGGTGGCGACAGATGTCAATAAATGCCGAATGTAACGTCGAATTGTGGAGGTGGGTCCCGTTGTGAATTGGATTATCGAGACCTCTTGTTTTGCAAATTGTACATAGACAATCAATAGTTCTCTAATCGTCATCGACATGGAATCGACAAAGAAAGCCGATTTATGAGGTAAACGTGATGAGGGACAATGACGTTTGTTGCGTTCCATGCGAGTCCAGCCAACGCTTAGGGCTGGAGAACGGACATACCTTTCCGCGAGAAGGCGATTAGCAAGCAATAAATGGTCTGGAATGTTGAAGAGAAAAGGCTGACCTTTTCATTTTCACTATGCTGGTCTAAAAGGCCTTCTTCGGTCTTCCCGATTGCGTATTGAAAGCTGCGTCGTCATATTCGTCTCATTTATAGATCTCGGAATCACGGCAGTGGATGTAGCAGTTCCTGAGATGCGTGAAACATGGCGCCGAGTGCGTTGTAACATCACGTGACTACCTGGGCCCTGAAATGATCTCACGATTATTTTCCTCGTTCGCGCTCTTTGTTTGATGTAACATGCGATTTGTGTATTTAGGCAGGCATTGCTGCATCCAGAGGGAGCTGTGCTTGGGCATAGCTCATATCAGGCGTTTTGGTTCAATGAATCCGGCCGGATTCGGGTTTGCAAACAGCGCCATTGACGCCATATAATGTTGACATGTCTCAGCCACCACGGTGGGCTATCTTCAAACTCTAACATTGTTTGGACCTTCGATTTCGGCTTCCATTGCAGAGCACATTCGAGAAAAAGCTTGGTACTCTGAGCGTTGGACTACCAGAACTCAATTGCTTCGATCCAGGACAGCTGGCTTATTCAGTTAATTCTTTGATCGCCCATAATGCGGTTGTTTATGCTGGCCGCATGGCTTTTAATGTCGTGGTCAGATCATGTCCAAGGTAAGATGAACTATAGCTTCTCGGGCTATGAGCTTGAGCATGGGGTCGCGTTGCGAGAGCTTGCGTCCACGGCGTTCAACAATCTAAGGACCAAGGTACATCATGCGCACCATTGTGAAAAGGGGAAGGTTCAGACCCGTCGAGAATGGTAAGGATTCTACTGAAAGGCCTGGTGTGAATCAGTCAGGAATCGAAGCCAAAGGCTAATGCGTTCTCTCTTGCTACTTTCGGGCCATAAGGCGACACTTGCCTCTTCACGAGAGAATCGAGTTCACAGACGCCGTCGAATGTCTCCAGGCTCTCCCAACCGAGCTTTCTCCCAAGATGCAGAAAGCCTACCCGGCCGTGAAAAGTCGCTATGATGAATTTGTGGCAGTGCATATCGAGTTGTCGAACAATATACATATGAGTGTAGGCTTCCCCTGAACTTCCACACATTCCACTCCCGCTGACAATGTGTGCTTTGGCACAACAGGCCGAATTCTTCGCTTGGCACAGATACTTCATCCACCTTTTCGAGCAAGACCTCCGAGATAAATGCAATTATCCCGGTCGCCTCCCATATTGGGAATGGGGATACGACGCCTTCGCACCCCAGAACTCGTCCCTCTTCAACGGCCAACCCGGCAGCATGGGCTCGAACGGCGAGTGGATCCCGAACCGCGGCTCTCAGTACTGGGTGTCAAACCACGTCGACATTCCGACTGGCACAGGCGGCGGCTGCGTCTTCGCGGGTCCTTTCGTCAACTACACCGTCAAGATGGGCCCCATCGACGCGCCGGGTGTCGAGCCCGTCGCGGATAAGTTCGCGTATAACCCGCGCTGTCTGTCGCGCGACCTCAACCCCACCGTCATGAGCACCTCGGTCACGTTCCGCAACACGACTGAGCACATCCTCGAATATGACGATGTCGCTTGGTTTCAGGGCGTTATGCAGCATGATCCGCGGTATCCGGCGGAGGGTCTGACCTATTCCTTGCACGGGGGTGGTCATATTGGGGTTGGGCTCATCCTGGGCGATGTCGAGGCTAGCCCCAGTGATCCTATGTTCTGGCTTCATCATGCGCAGATCGATCGTGTCTGGGCGATCTGGCAGGGTCTGAGTCCTCATAAGAGAGTTTATCAGATATCTGGGACGCATACGCATACCAACGAGCCTCCTACGGCGAATATGACGTTGGATGAAATGCTGGATTTCGGGTTTATTGCGGAGCCGGTTAAGTTTGCGGATTTGATGCACATAAGGTCTGGGCCGTTCTGTTATGAGTATGCTTGATAGAGTGGTACTTCCATTTTCTATCTTCTTCGCGTACATCTTGGCTTAGCTTATAGATCTGCGTTCTGTCCTTCGCCTTTTCCTCGCTTGCAGAACTCTTTCAGAACATTTCCTGTCATAATAGCCACATTGTTATTAAAGTTGTTCCATGCCAGACTGCTATACCAATTGATGCTCCCAACGGAAAACACCGCACCACCGCCTGCAGTCTCGTAGTATACGATGTCGCTTCTGACACGGTCGCATACCGACCCGAGAGTATTTACCATCGGGAACATTTGGTCTTCGTTGAACAGCCCAAAGCTATCGTCGTGGCGTTGGCTGGTGGCTAGAACAACCGCATCAGTAGGTGATCCGAGTTCATAATCCAGTCGATCAATCTCATCGCCGCTGGCACCGCCACCAAATCCATTTGCCCCAATCAGCTCATGAGGCTTTATGCCATCAAACACCCAGGAGAATCTAGGGTCGGTGGCATGTTGTGAGTCTGGGATATACGGCACCCCTTTCCCGGTCCCAAACGCGCATGCTCCGATACCAAAGAGGTAGTTGGGAGCACGGCCACGGCTGCGCCAGAGTCCGCCGTGGGCTCCGGTCAGACTATGCGTTCGTTCGCCAGCGGGGAACGTCACAGAGCGACAGCCCTGATCGCCTTTACGAACCTCAAGGCGATGGGGGCGTGCAGGATCGACATCGGCGACCCAATAGAACCCGTTGCCGCCCAGGTACATCAAATTGCCTCCCGACTTTGCGAAGTCACTGAAAGCGTCAAGTGTTTGCAGCGAGTGGTATTCAGGGTGACACCCAGTAATCAGCGTTTCATACTCGGCGGTCGCTATGTGTCCTTTGGTGTGTAGGCAGTGATCTGTGATAACATCGTATGTTATCCCGGTCTGCTCCAGGAAACCGATCATGAGTAGATCAGCGCTAAATTCGCGAGGCCGTTCCAGGGCCCAGTGAACATATCCCGGTCGAGTATTGAGGATCGGTCGGCGAGCGCTCGAAAATGCACAAGGAGAGCCATCTCGATGGACATCGTAGGCTGAGAGTCCTAGGTCTGGTCGTTTAACAAGGTTTTTGTAGTACTCGTTGTGACCCCCAATACTAACGCCATCCGGGGTTACCATCGCCGAGGATCTAGATTGATCAAACATCCGTTCATTGGCATAGGCGAGGTAGGTAAACGTAGTCAATATTAGCGCCACGCGTACCCTGGATTTCACGTTGGGACGCACAAAAAAAGTGATCATGTCGCAGGCTCCGCTGGAAGATTTTACCTCAGCGGCATACGCACCCGATCGGGCTGTGGAGGGAATGGTGAGGGTGAAACTGGTCGACCATTTCGCATCGTCAAGGTCATCTTCGTGGAAGTGAATCGCCCCGTAGCCGTAACTTGCTTTCGTCCAGTCTGGCTCGGAACCATCCCAATTGTAGCCCTTTACCGCTCGTGTAGGCGCATTGATGAGAACACCATGCCGACCATGTCCAGAAATATCAACGATGCGGTCGCTGGATATCTCGCGGGAAAAGTCATACTCCGCGGCAATCTGTGCATTTGGACCAGTGATTCTGAAGGAAGGAGAGTCCAGACGACCGTTGAAAAAGGACGACGGCTTTGAGCCCGCTCGGCCAATGTCCTCGAACATCCCTGCACCAAATATAAGAGCCTTGGATCCCAGGACCATCGGGGCCGACATTCGATGTGCCGCTGTTTCCGTGCCTGGTGATTGCTCTGCCAGACGGTTCAACTGTTTGATGCTCCAGGTGAAGTTCGAGTTGACAAAACTCATTCGAACCCTCAGCCACCTCCAACGATTCACGGGATACTGGCTCTGAAACACCTCGATCTGACCTCCCGTCCCGATGACGAAGTTGAACTTTGAGTCTCGGATCATCACTGCAAATCCTGTCCGAGAATCTTGATCGAGGCAGGATATGATGGATTGGCAGTGATCCGTCTCAAGCAAATAGGGTTGTACATAGAACTGGACATCCATGCCATCTTTCTCCGAGTACGGCACGGTCGCCCATGAAGATACACGGGCGTAAGATCCTGGGCAAGCGTCCTGGTAGTATCCATCTTCACGAGATCCCTTCGGAACTTCGGCGATCTCCTCTGCGGCGAACGGCGGGTCATGAGGCCCTCGACGGCCCTGGATGAGTCGCACTAAACGGTGACTGTAGTTCTTCTCGGTTGACGAAACCTACGCGAAACAGTTAGATATACAGGATGAGGATATTCGCTAAAGAAGGACTGTACCTTGATATCTACTGACTCCCCAGGGTCCACGATCCAGGGTTCGGCGTAACCGATCAACTCGGGGTCTTTGTTGCTGTGAGCCATGATTGCGGGTGTCGTCTATAGGAAGTTCGGTTTCTTAGTATAACATCTTATACCCCCTGATTTGTTGCTCAATATTTTTACCTCAAAGTGAAGCAATCCACAATGAAGGCTCCACTTAATACCCGCGAAGCGAAAATAGAACGATTTCGCGTCCCTACCGACGTGATTGGATACAAGCTTGGGAAGATGCGAACATTTATGACTGCAACACCCCCTCAAAGTCCTGCGGGGTGACGTATTTTATATCGATTAGGATTGCTCTTTTAGGAAGGGAAGATTGTAGGTGCAAGATAGGGATGCCTGAGGTTTCCAAGGTTCCGGCACAAACCACCTTCCTGATAGGGCAAACATTTCGTGGCGGAAAAGGCGGAGTAACCCTATTATAATAAAAGGCATAACATCTCTTAACAATACATTTGACTTATGATGCCTGCAAAGATTTATCAAGGAAAAATTGATAAACGTGATAAAATGCCAGGCATGAATGGTGCAGTCATTCCGACCGTGGCAATTGGCACCCCGAGTGCGTGCCCTTTCCCCGGACGGTTACCACGTCAGCATTTGAACATCACTTAGCACTGAACACGATTTTAAATCGTCATAAGAGCAGATATTAATGTCATATTCAACCTGACAATATTAATCCCGCTTTGTGGCCATGTCTCAACAGCGACAATAGGTTCTGACGTAACTAGTTCATAGTTGTTCGGAATATATATTGACATCCCCGGGCATGCCCGCAATGATCGCAGCAAGATCTATAGTAATATTACGGATGCATATGCTTTCAAAATGTCTGTATTCAGCATCGTAATATGTAGCCTAGTTCTAGAAAGCCGCTAGAAGCGATATTGCACGTAAAAGATGTCGCTAAAGGCAAGTTGAATACCATTATCGCGTAAACACAAATGAGAAAGGACTTTTTATTTCCAGTCTTAGATAGAAAAGGAGGAATTCTGTTTTAAGAGCGATCTGTCTCCAGCTATACATTATCTCCTCAGCAAAGAGCAGCTGGACAAAGAACCTCAAATCTCTAGAGAGCATCTCTGACAGTACCTGCACATGATCCTACTCTGAATAGCGAGGGAAGTGCTCTGAATTGACCTGGTCGGAATGTGAGTTCGAATTGGAATTCGAAATGGCTCGAAAAAAAGTAGTCTTCCCTGAAGCATTGGGACAAAGACACACAGCTCACCTCCATAGTAGAGGAAAGCACCATAGAGTCCCTGTTTCTGTACTGTACATCTGTGCTGAATAATCAGACACTCTTATCAGAGTCGAACCACCCACCGGTCATCCTTGCCAGAACTCTTGATGATGGGCCCATGCCTCGTGGCGGATGTGTGAAACCGCATTAGCGACCGTTTGGACCGGGGTGGCATGAGCTTTGCGTTAGTGGGACAAAGTAGCCGGGGTAGAGCTCCTCACCGTTGACGCCGGGGCCAAAATGTATGGATTCTTGATGGCAAGATACTTGTCAATATGGGGCCGAAATGTCTCCTGGTCGTGGCGCATAGATCTTAAAGTGCTGGGATCCCCACGCCCTTACTCGTTTGCCATCTGCAGCCCCCTGCTGATGCAAAATGGCTACTGCAACAACCTTGACAGCCCTTACAAGTCCTCTTTCTTCGCAAATCTCCCCGACGTTCTTTTTTTTGGGAGTTGCATTCCACCAGTGCATCCGTACAACTGAGATTGACAATCAGGTTTGGTCGCTTGCTGGTTTGTATCTCGGAAGTTGGCTCACCCTTTGTGTCGTCTATTCTCATGGCTTCGCACTATCTTGGGTCACTGCGGCCGGATGGGCCACTTTTGCTGCATGTGTCTTTAATGCCGGGTTGACGACGAGCATCATCATCTATCGGGCTTTCTTTCACCGATTGCGACATTTTCCTGGACCATGGACTCTGCGGCTGAGTCGACTGTTTATTGTGCAGCGAGTTTTAAAGCGGACTCAGTTCCACTTAAATCTTGAAACAATGCACCACAAATATGGCGATTTTGTGAGGACAGGCCCTCGTGAGATATCGATCAACCGGCCATCAGCTGTATATGCGGTCAATGGACCCCATTCTCCTTGCACCAGGGGAACCTGGTACAGTCATGTGTCCGCCGACAACACCAAAGTTTCGCTGAACTCAACGCGGAACCCCGATGATCATCGCCTTAGACGGAGGGCCTGGGATCGTGGGTTCAGTGTGAAAGGCAAGTAAGGACTTTATTCTGTTGATGGTTGTGATGCTGACTCTTGCAGCATTGGCTACATATGAGCTCAGCGTGTATCGTAAGGTGAACGTCCTCATTTCTCAACTTCGCTCGCGTCTGAATCAACCTGTCGATGCCACGCAATGGACAATGTACTATGCATTTGACACCATGGGTCTGATTGGTTTTTCAAAAGACTTTAGTCAGCTAGAAGACGGCACCGAGCATGCTGCAATTAAGGATCTCCACGATCAAATGTTGGTCCTGGGGTTCTTGAAACCTGTTCCATGGATATTTACCATTCTCGGCACAATCCAGGGTTTGGTAGGACATTATGGCCAATTCATGACATACAGCCAATCCCAGATGGCGGAAAAGAAATCGGTAAGAATTGCCGCATTGGAATTACGAGTCTGTTGTCTGGTATACGCTGACATTCGGACTGTAGAAATGGATTGCAGATGAAGAGAAATCCCCGAAGGATGTTATCTCCTGGCTTCTCAAGGCCAGCGATGAGAATGATCAGTCTGCTCCACCAGGGGACCAGGCCCTCAATGAAGATGGCCGGTTGATGCTCATTGCTGGAAGGTGAGGGGAAAACATTATCGAGAGGAATTTGCAGTTCTGACTCATTTCAGCGATACCACTGCTGCGACTCTAGCCCATGCGTTGTATTACCTTGTCAAAAACCAGGCGGTATTGAAGAGACTCCAGTTGGAACTTGATAATGCGTTCTCAGACCACTCAGGGGCTGATCTAAGTACCGAAACACTGCGAACCCTGCCATACCTGGAGGCCATTATTAACGAGACACTTCGTCTCAAGCCCCCGGTTCCCAGCGGTCAACCAAGAATGACACCCCCAGAAGGTCTTCAGATCGACGAAGTGTGGATACCTGGGGAGACGATCGTCATCGTGTCGCAGCATGTTATGCACCGAGATGATCGCTACTTTCCATCTGCAGATGAGTTCATACCCGAGCGGTGGCTGGATAGGAAAGAGAAGTTGATCACGGACGAGGAGGCCTTCTTTCCGTTCCAGTTAGGTAAATACTTTCCCCAGACGTGCTGATTTTCGACGCCATCAACACCAGCTGACCCTTTTAATCTGTATCAGGCCGATATGGATGCGTCGGGAAGCAGTTTGCCCTGATGCAACTCCGCAGCGTCATTGCCCGAATTGCCATTGAATTCAATCTTTCATTTGCAGACGGTGAGGATGGAGTCTCATTCGATCGAGATTCCAAAGATACCTTCACCATGACGGTGGGGCCATTAAATCTCGTATTCAGCGATCGGGAACGTTGCAGGTCGGGTGAGGGTGTTTTTTTGGTCCGGTGAGATGAAACGGCTTCCTAAAAAGACCCACGAGGTGTATTTTTCTTTTCAACTCATGGGATGTCGTTCACTGTTATACCATGTTTAGTACCTGCTTTGTAGCAACTTTATACTTGCTCTATGTTAAGTACGCTATTATTAAGGCACTCTAAGGACCACTATCCAGATCCTTTAGGGGTTAGGGTCCTTTTCTGAATACTTTGTCTAATGTTTCATATGGGGAGAAGTACGGAGATTGGAGAGGAATACGGTAGAATACAGGGTTATGTATGGCTCGCGTGAGTTGAAAGAGGTGACTAAAGCTCTTGGCTGTGGGTCATCTTGCCGGACCTTAAAAAACACCCTGGCGTGAGCCGTACAGCTCGCTGTAGAGAAATGTATTATTGAAAACCCTCGCGCGAGTTGTAATTAAAAAAGTTGGCGTGGGGGTCAGGTGACTTACTAGCGCGATTTTCAACTCGACGGAGGTAAAAAAACACCCCGACCGACCTGTAACTGTAACCACTCGTGAACTTGCCTGAAAAGCAAGTCATACGATGAAAGCAAAGCTCGACATAAGTACTTGGATGATATTCCACACTCTCATTACTTTTCGGATGTTTAAGTCTGCGTGCAGCCGTAAAATGGGGAGTTGTGATTTACTTGCAATCGAGGCAAAGGAGACATTGCAAACATTGCAAACCCGACCTGACCTTGGATACGTCACGGGTTTTGCCGCGGTCCGCTCCCGTTGGCTCGTCCGCCCGTGTGGATCAGCAACGATAGGATCAGCCCCGTACCAAATGCTACTGCTTGATGTCGATGATTCTTGCCCATACAAGCAGATCCATCGCAGAACTGATGCATGGAGTGTTCTAAGAAGCCACCTCAGAAACTGAAAAGCTGCTGTAACTAATCTCTAATGGACTAATCAACCTAGAGAACGTCTAAGGTCTGCCGTGATTGTCAATTCCCCCCCTCCTACAGGAAGCTATGCCCTTTAGGTTCTGAGGTAGGAGAAATTGGTCTTTAGTTATGTCTTGATCTCTTGCTTTACAGTATCTCGTTCTTACTTTGAAGGTGGTACGTGATGTCAGGATCGCAACGCGATGAAGTGAGAATGGATGCTTGAATTCCTAAAGATGCAGCGGCGCTGCAGGGGAGCTATCTACAGCGATTATAGTATGGGTCAGCTCACAGGTTAAACTGAATTAGGCAACTAAAATGGTCCAACACATGATTTCATGACTTCTCAAGACATGACCTCTCCAGTCCAGGAATATCTGCATTGCAACGAGATTCTCTACCAAGTAAGCACAATACTACACAATTCACCGAGAAAAAGCTAGAACTGGCCTTGGACACATGTCAGGGTATGACATTCACACACACACGCAAACGGAAAGTGGATGATTCCACTCCAAATATGAAGGCTGCAAGCGTCGCTGCCCACTTATACAGACTTTGGATGGCGTACTAATGTCGTCAATGAAAAAGCGCGACTGTCGTATCTATATATACAGTATTTAAGTGACCTCTAACCCCCCTGGGGCATTCGAATCCTCTGTCAGCACCCCAGAATCTGATATATCTGTGTTCGACAACACACGTATCCATTTGCATCAAACACACCGTAATCCAGTTTCTGAAAATGTTTGATAAACCACCTGACAGCCTTCTTCCCACTTCCCGGCATGCAGCCGTCGCCGGATGGTTTTTCGGGCCGAAAGCGGAGAACTTTGACTATTTGCAAGAGAGAATCAGCAAGCTTATGGAGGAGCAGCATGAGTACCGGTCTGATCTGTACGAAGATGACCCACCTTTCATCACGGACGGCATGAAAAGAACCGAACTGTACCGTCGGCAACTCGAAAAGCTGAACCACGAGCTAGATACTATTGGTAAATGGCTTCGGGATCATTCTGTGCCTTTCTTCAGTCCACGGTACAATGCTCATATGAGCATGGAGACTTCCATGCCGTCACTGATTGGCTGTATGTTCTTTTCATGAGCCATTATTCATACTCCAGGATAGTCTACAGACTGACAAATTGTCGTATTAGTTATAACTGGGTTGTTTGAGAATCAAAACAACGTCGCTCTTGAAGCTAGCCCGGTGACATCAATCATTGAAGGCGACGTGGGTAAACAGCTTTGCTGTATGCTCGGATATCGCACACCTCCTGATACCCACGCACATGTCCCTCCCCCATGTGAATCAGAAAGCGACGCTCCTGTTGGGTGGGGACACATTACTTGTGTAATACTGTTCCATCTCTCAAGTGCTTGCTTCTTCCAGAGACTAACTTGACCCAACAGGATGGTTCTGTTGCGAACCTCGAAGCCATTTGGGCGCGTATGTACTTAGCCTTCTCTCTCCGCTCCACAGTGCACAACAAACTGATCCAGTCCAGTGCGGAACCTCAAGTTCTATCCACTCTCTTTGAACCTGGCAATTACCGAGGGCGACCTTGGCTTCTTGAAGGATGTGTGAAAAAGATATCGAACGTAAACTCGAGAAGGCTCGAGCCGATAAAAGGGCCGTATACGGCGTCGTCGCGATCATCGGGTCTACGGAACATGGAGCAATAGATCCCCTGCACCATATTCTTAATTTGCGTGAAAAGTTCGAAAAACAGGGAATGTCCTTCGGGGTACATTGCGACGCGGCCTGGGGTGGCTATTTTGCCTCAATCCTACGGACACGACAAGTCTACAGCACATACACTGGAAACCCGGCATACGTACCGAGAATGTGCATGTCGGATTATACTGTTTGCCAGCTTGATAAACTTCAACAGGCAGACAGCATCACGGTTGACCCTCATAAGTTCGCTAGCCCTTACAAGTGTACAAATGTCCACGGATGAGACTGACATCGAGCAGATCAGGCTATTGCCCCTACCCAGCCGGAGGTCTCTGTTACAGAGACGGGAAAATGCGCTATCTTGTGACATGGACTAGCCCGGTCGTTTATCGATCTATTGATCAAGAGGACAGCATTGGTGTCTACGGAGTAGAAGGCAGTAAGCCAGGTGCAGCGGCCGGTAAGTCAAAGCCCAGCATCTTGCATCCATCCAGGAACAATAAAAGAGGGGATTGGCGTCTTACAGAAACTAACTCATACAAGTCGGAGTATATATCTCTCACAACGTCCTGGGCCTTGACAAAGAAGGCTATGGACAGTTATTGTCAGAAGCAATATTCACGTCGAAGAGGGTAAGAGAAGGGCTTCTACCTATTTAAACTACTCTTTTCTAACGTTCTCAAGTTTTACTGTCAATGGGCAGCAATGAAAACCAGACAAATCCCCATTGAATTCAAGAACGGTGACGAGGTTTTTAAGACTGTGAAAGCGAAGCTCCGCGTCAGGCCCTTTAATATGCTTCCAACGGAGAAAGACGGATCCTGCAGCGAAGATATCGAGGAGCAGAAAAGGTTTATCCGCAAACACATACTGAAACGCAGCAATCAACAGGTTATGAAGAACCCACGTGCTCGGGAGCTTCTTCAGAAGCTGGGGGCAGACGTCACAATCCATACATTTGCATGCAATTTCGAAGTGGATGGAAAGGTCAACGAGGATATTGTAAGTCATGCTCCTGTACGCCATCTATCACACAACACTGACTTTGAGAAACCTAGAACGAAGCGAATTATCTCAATAGTCGGATCTACCAAAAATTGTCCCTGTCGTCAATTCCTGATAACCAAGACACCTCGAAGATCCCTTTATTCCTCACTTCCACTCAGATGAGTCAGGCTTCCTACGGGCGCAGCCTGGATCAGTTTAAGCGGAGACTGGGACTAAAGGGGTCGGGAGACTTATACGTCCTTATTAACGTCACAATGAGTCCATGGCCGTCGGCTTATAACTTCGTCGAGCATCTGGCCGAGAAGTTCAGAGACCAGGCAGAAAAAGACATGGAAGCTGCTGTACGCCGTAACGTGGCGTTTCCTGATCTTCATGGATTTATCATCCAAGGGTACCGGGGAGACCGCATCTGCGGTGTTCATCTGCCGATGTTCAACATGCAGAATCACAGGAAGCAACTTGTTGTCTCCTGTAAATTGCCGCGGGAGGTGCATGATAAGCTTATCGGGTACAAGGAAAGCGATCCGAATATGTACTTCACCTTTGGTAACCAGGATCCAGAAATCCTGTCCGATTTCATATCAAGAGGGTCATTTAAAGGGGTGGTTCAGCGGGGTATCCCGGGTATGCCTGGATACGACCAAATTGCAACGGACGTACAGATCAGCGATGTTACGGTTCATCTGGACCGATCTCTCGAGGCTAAACGCCAAAGCCCGAAATACCCGGCGAAAATGCCTTTTTTCATATACTCCGCACAGGATCGGAGTGGAGACGCCGCAATTTATAACATGGATCATATTTTGACCCGGGGCCCTAATACGCAGCTTACCTCCGAAATGGTGGAGATCACGGGAGAACTCGAGGACGTCAAATCATTTATCAGAAACGGCTGTTGGATCGTTCTTCCGAATGTCGACGAGCGGACAATGCAACCGCTGTTACCCAAAGATGACACGGTAAAGACATCCTTCAAATACACCAAGAACTTTCCGTTTGCCCCCGGTCAGACTTTCGAGTTTCTGGCATTTGAAACCGAGGGAGATGCTCTCAACTATGATCCGACAACACAAGATACACCCGATCCAATCTTCCGTGGCGAGGTGAAATTGGGTCCCTGTTTCGCCAACTATGATATGCTTAACGCCGATGGAGGCTCTGATGCGGCCACAGAAGACCCATCGGAATTGGCTCATCCCGCTGGGAATGTCTCAAGTCTTATGGCAGATCATCCTGTTCCGTCATCTATGGTTGAATTAAAGGACAGACACCAGTGTCAAAAGATCGATACACTCAAACAACGCCTTAACAAAACCAGAAGACAGCAGGCGAGGGCGATTATTCCTCAGTGGGTGTCCAATCTAACTGATCTGGGTGCCGAGGAGTAGAGGACTTTTGCTTTCAATAGCTCGCTTTTTGTATTTCAGAGGGAGATTGATTATTCTTATGCTCATGGAAAGTGTACAACAAGGGGAAAGGTTGGACCACCTGCATTACCTGTTGCGGTGTAGCATCCGCCGTGAATATTGCCGCAGTTGAGCGCGAGGATTCAAGCATGAAGAGGAACACTGCAGTTGAATTAAATTACAGGCAGCTGCAGGCAAAAAGGAATCGAATATAAAACACAATGAAACAATGATTGAATTGAATATTCAAAGAAATAAATAAAAATAAAAAAAAAACCTACAAGGGCTAAAGAGATACACCGAGTAGATATGACGTCATTCTCATGGGTCATCAAACCCCCGCGTCAAATCGCCGAAGCCCTTCGTTCGCTGCCTCCAAATAACATCGTGAACCAAGCATACGCAATATGATCAAAGCACCGGCAGTCAAGCTGTTCTATGCCCCAGGGTCTTGTTCCTTAGCTCCGCACATCCTCCTCCACGAGACCGGGATAGCTTTTGAAGGCGTTCGCATGCGACCCGGAGAAGCGCGCGACGCGTATCCAGAGTCCTTCCGACAAATCAACCCTAAAATGCGAGTCCCTGCCATATCTCTCGACGGGGAAGTTGTCACCGAGCTACCAGCCGTTATGACCGTTATATCGAACCTGGCTCCCGAGAAACACTTCATGGGAAGGTCTCCACTCGAAACGGCGAGGGTATACGAGTGGATGAATTGGTTGTCGGGGACGCTGCACTCTCGAGGCTTTGGACATTATCATCGTCCGGACCGGTTTACGGATGATACCAATGGATTGGAGGGCGTTCGGAGCTCGGCTAAAAGGACGATCTTGGAGTGTTTTGATGACATTGAGGGGAGACTGCATGGGTTATATGCTGTGGGTGATCACCTCACTGCTGTCGATCCTTTTTTGTTTGTGTTCTATCGATGGGGAGTGAAGCAGGGGATTCAGGACATGAAGATGTATTCGCAGTACTCGAAACTGGTGTCGAATTTGGTCAGACGTGAGGCTGTCGCGGCTACCTTGGAAGCGGAGGATATCAGTTCATATATAGAGGGCAGCTAAGAACAGTGTTTAGATCAACAGGGAGGAGCGAGCATTTCATCTAGAAGAAGGACGAGATCCCTTTTCCAAAGGGTGCAGTCTGCCTTTTGTGTTATCCACCATTTCATTTTCAATGTGATTGTGACTCTTCGAAATTCTGTTGTGACAGTACTACGACGAAATCCAAAACAATCGGATTATTTAGCGTTTCCACCTTGTATACCTAGCCTACGGAGTGGAACAATGTTATTTTTAGAGTGTATTTTGATTAATTCTTTTTCTTTTTCTTTTTCTCCCCACCCCCTTTTTTCTCTTTTCTTTGTTTATCGCTTTCTTTTCTTTGTCTTTTTCTTTTTCTTTCTTTCCGCTCTCATATCACTACCTCATATCTCATGATACGTAGTCTCAGTGATCAAGATAATGTGATAACTCAAGGATACAACCATTCAATAACGCATATAGCCCCCACCGCCGGAACGATGATAGCCATGGTCTCGATAGTGACCATCTCCAAGGCCATGATTTCCATCATAGCCCGGGCTGGCCCCATTGCCGCCGGTGCTATTACCACCGCCATTTCCATTTCTTGGACCGCCTTGGCCATTTGTCGCCTGCTGCTGGGACCGACGCGGCTCAGCATTTCGCTGCGCTCTGTAAGTATCGTAAATCTCATCACGGAACCTGGAATAAATCTCGTTGATATTGTCATCACCAACCTCGTGGGTATAGAAGGAATGGACCCAGTAAACTCCACCAGTCCACGGTCTGTTCGGATCATCTGTTATCCTGGCCCTTCTGCTCTCCACAGAATTCAGCATCTCGCCAAGGAGCTGCACTTGGGTGTACTGACCCGGTTGAATCGGCATGAAGAGATATCGATGCACAATGTTTGGTTCATTGCCGATGGCCCTGCCGGTGATGTACGTTCTCTCGTTCCAGATGAATCGAGTGTTGGCGTCAATCCCTTGATGCCCAGGACGAGCTGCAAAGGTGTTGTACATACTGGCTGATGGCTTTGGTTCCATGTGGGAGTTGTTCAATTTGGTGGTGTTGGAGGTAATCTTCTCGACAAGCTTGGTTTGGCAGTCTTGAAGGTCGGGGTTGAAAATAGAAAGGTAAAAGATCGGGACGTTTCTTGAATGGGCTTTTATACCAGAGCATTCCTTATAAAGAATAGCCTGATACAGGTGAGTATCTGCCTCATTGAGATGAAAAGAATGGCAACCTCCTGGAACAAAGGCTGACAAAATGGAACATACCTCGATGACCTGGAAAGATCCATGGGATCTTAGGCCTTGGAGTTTATTCAGATCCCGGTGGATTTTCAGCGCTTTCTTTGGCCTTGAAACATGAGGACTACTGCATCACCATGTAACGATATCATGGTTCAAGCCGCTAGCCATCATGATAATGGACGGATTGAGGCAGTGTATGAAGCGTCCAACAGGTGCTATCGGTGGATGGTCGTTGTTTCGTACTCGATAAATGTGCTCTTGCAGATTGTCTGTAGTCATAGCTGAAAGTTGCTTCACCAAAAGAACCTAAGTGAGTCATCAACAGTCCACACAACGACCTATTTACTTGTTCGGATGCATTACTAGCGAAGGAGGTTCAATATTATCAATAGAAACCAGATCCACTTCCATTGGGAATTAAAAAGCATTTCTGATACCCACTTAGGACATGTCTACCAGTACATTTGCAGGTGTCCAAGTTTTCCACTGATGATAGGACTCGGCATTCTCATCGCCACAGGCCAGCACAGCAGGCTGAACAACAAGAAGCACTTTGCTGCCATCCAGTCGCTGATCGTCCTCGTCGAGCTGGTGCAAACGATGTGCACTCATAACCGAGCTACTGACCGTGAAAACGGGGAGATCCCGCTGTGACCTGACTGCCATGAAGGCCCTGTGAGTCCACAAAGACAAAGAAAGCTCGGTTGCATCATTAAATAACACTTGGAGCTCATGCAGGCACTTGGTCTCATTTTCTGCCTTCCCGAGCTCTCTTAAAAACTGGCTTCCCGGGGTGGCCAGAAATACCAACGCTCTCTCCCTGGCAAACTCCCCAAGCTTCTGCTGCAAGGCATGCTTAGAATCAGGATCGAGTGCATTCCAAAGAAGTCGTAGTGTCTGGGAGCGCCAAGTATGGGCTTCTGCCTCATCAACTACTCCGATGATCTGGTTAGTATTTTTCTATCGTGGGGGCTCTCGATCACATACTTTGTAGCATAGTGTAGTAGAGATTTCTCATTCCCGATGGCTTCGGCAGAACTCCATCATCACCGAAAATAGGGAAAGCAAAGAACGGGTCCGCAAATATTTTTTCGAACACATCTTTCGCTAGCAAGGCTTGGATAATGATTGCCGGGATCTTCTCCGAAGAGATTGGCATCTTTTGCATCAGAGAACCCCAATCCGTTTCAGCAGAGCAGTGTCCGATTTGACTCATGATATTACTTCTTTCGCTATCCGAAATATCCGCCAGATCGGATATAGATTGCACGCTATAGCTCCTTGCCCAGGCTCGTATCTTCATCTCCAATTTGTATAGCTCATCCCGCACAAGTCGGTCTTCTTTTGGGACCCATTCGTTGTTCGACACCATGGAGTTCAGAGCCTTTTCCTGCAGTGTAGCAAGGACCGCTTCTAATTGTTCTTTCTCAGCAGTCACGTTTCGTAGGCTTTGACAGCAATTCTTGACTTGCGCGTCACGCTTTGCCTTGTATTCCTTGTATCCAAGCACCATTCGGTCGTATTTTGTCTTGTATTGGCGCAATTCGTCTCTCAAGGAAACAATAAAAGCGTTTTGTTCCTGACACAAGGTAGTCAACCTTTCGATTTGAAACTCTTGTGCGCTTCTTGCTGATATTTATCAGCCTCTGTTTGATGAGCCCTATCATTCTCGTCGCTGTGATTAGGAAATTCCCTGGTCTGTGATCCCGAGACCTGCTCGTCGTAAAGAAGCCGCCGATTTTCCCCGTCGCTTCGCTGTTGCGACGAAGCTGAGGATAAGGATGGCTTTTCATTTCCTCTACTAGCCAAAGACTGCTGCCATTAGTGCTTGATACATAAGCCAGGTTTTGGTAAGGCCGGGGAGTGAAATAACATACCTGTACGAAATTGTCGAAAAAGCGCGTAATCCTGGTTTGAGGTGATATCTCTGGATTGCCTTTGCTCTCAATCATTTCTCCTCTGTTGTTGTGGGGGCTTTGATCTCTTTGGAGCTCAGTCTAGTGGAAAATTCATATTATGAGTAATTGGTGAGTCGATGAGGCTTGCAGAAGGACTTACAGCATGTTGAGCTTGTTCAAGGTCTCCTCGATTGCTTGCCATGACTATGACATATGATATTTGCTATGAAGCCAAAGAAAAGATGTTTGTGAAGTCAGTTGGAGAGGTTTGCCTCAGGTTACAAAGAGCGAGAGATGTGAATATCGGGGGTTTTTTGAAGGGAGGAAAAAGAAGGTGCTGAGAGTGAATGCGTTAAGATCAACCTCCCCTGGAGTCAGGTGCTCGCACTAGGTACTGCTCTTTCCCTTCCACCTTACATCTCCCCTCTCATATCTCACACATTTCACCTCTTTCACCTTTACACCTTGCTGCCCAGTTGCCTGTCATTCACCCCTTCAGCATTAGGCAGCCACCACCGTTTGTATTCATCAAAAAGAATTGAATTACAATTCAATCTTTTTCCTTTTTCTCTCTAACACCCCGGACAACGCTCCCTCATGAGATACTTCTTTTCACCTCGGTTCTACCAACGTCCAAATGCCCAAAAAGAGAGCGTTTGGTGACCTTACAGGTCCTTCTACTCTTGAATCCAACAAGATTATTGTGGGTGTTGACTATGGGACCACCTTCACAGGTAACATATTATTCCCAGTCATTCCATCGTCATAGAACCAGGCAGCTGATGGTTATTTCATCTAGGCGTCAGCTATGTCAGCTCCAAAGGAGGCGGCCTGAGTGACATCAAACTCATCACTACCTGGCCCGGTCCATCTAGGAATACCGATACTGTGATCAAAACCCCGTCCCGAATTGCATACCCTGTCGAGAATCCAGGCCTTTCCCATGAAATGTGGGGATACCAGGTTCAACCCGGAATGGCAGCATGCTCATGGACAAAGCTTCTTCTTGATCAAGGAAGACCGTTTACTAAGTACGACGATGTTACTCTTGAAACCGCCTCTCAGACTGGCATTTTAAGACTACCTGATGGGAAGTTGGCCATTGAAGTCATCGCTGACTATTTATCTCATATACGCGAGCACATCTTCACGACGATTGCCAAGCATATCACCGAGGATGAGCTACGTATCACACCACTGGAGTTCTGGTTTACAGTCCCCGCAATCTGGTCTGACAAAGCGCGATCTGACACAAGGCTGGTGGCCCAGAAGGCAGGCTTTGGTGCTTCTGTGACACGGCCAAATGACCGAATCTTTCTGATCAACGAACCTGAGGCGGCGGCAGTTACGGCGCTGCAGAAATATACGATCAATCCCTTGGGAGCATCAATAAAGGCAAGTCACATATCTACTACTGGCCTCTTGACTAACGAGGCTTTTAGGTTGGAGATGGTGTGCTTATCTGTGACTGTGGTGGCGGCACTGTGGTACGTCTCCAAATCGGTCCTTGCATCGTGCATGTGCTCATGTTCCAGGATATTACAACTTATTTAGTCGATGAAACATCGCCAGCATTGAAATTCAAGGAGATTTGCACGGGAACAGGTATGTTTGCTCAATTCATAATCCCGCATTTTCTTCATGTATTTGGCCTTAAAAATCAAATTTAGGGGGCAAATGCGGATCGACCGCAGTGGATCGCAACTTCTACAATCTAATGTTGGAGCGATTCGGCCGTGACTTCGAGACACTGCCTATGAAAAGAAAAGGCCCCGGCAGCGAGTTCATGAACAAATTCGACATTATCAAAAGAGACTTTACGGATCCTGAAGATGCGGAAATTCTTGAACTCCCTCTGAACATGACAATGTCTAAACTCAAACTCGACCCTGAATACTTTGATGGAGATGAACGACAGGTACTTGTGACAAGGTAGATACGACCATTGCAAATGAATATTTGGTTTGGGCCAACAATTTGCTTTTTAGTGGTGACCTACGCAGGATCTTCACTCCTGTCGTCGACAAAATTATGCGCCTCGTTGAACAGCAGATTACCGATGCCAGTCGGGAGACTAATAAAGATATTATCAATGTAAAATTCACCCAACACTATGCATCCAGCCACTTCTTTCTGCTATGAGTCGATGTCTGTGTTTTTAATTGCAGCTGTCCTACTTCTTCTCTAACAATTTGCCAGAGAATTATCTTGGTCGGTGGATTCGGCGACTCTCATTATCTTCGCAAGGCCTTCCGATCACGATTTGAGCCCAGGCACATTACTGTCACCATTCCTGACAATCCGTGAGTACTGCACAATCTATTCACACCCTTATTGGTATCTAAACTCAGAACATTTCTGTCAGACAAGCCGCAATTGTACAAGGCGCCGCCTTACGCGGCCTGGATGGTATTCAACCCACATCCAAACGCTGCCGTCGCCACTACGGATTTTCATGTTCAATTCGATTCCGGGATGGAATAGACAACGAAGCTCATGCATTCATTGACATATACGATGGTGTAAAACGCACTGGAGGGATTATTAGCTGGGTAATGGCAAAGGTATGTATCTTCAATTATTATTTTCTCCGGAATTCCTCTTATACATGGACAATATAGGGCGATCAGTACTCCGAAGGGCATACTATTCGCAAGCCGCTCAAATGGTCCCATTCTGTGTTTGAAAGTCTGGTGAGGCCTGTAAAGCTTTATGCTTGTGATCAGGCAATTGCTCCGGAGCGGGTCGATCATAATGGTTCGTTTGATAAAGGTCCAGGTTCCAAATTACGATTCAGTCTAACGTGTAAATAGATGTCTACGAAGTTGGCACCATTTCTCTAGACTTTTCCGACATGGACCTGAATTTATTCAAGCCAAAGCTTCGAGAGGGTAGGCGTGTTTTTAAGCTAAAATACAGCCTTAAAGTCATCTTCGGAGCGCTGGAGGGCGTCTTGAAGTTTGAATCTGTTAGTCAGGGAAAGGTGATTGGACGCACGAGCATCGACTTTGACACCGTCAGGTATTATTGACCGGTTGAGGGCTCCGGAGGGGATTGGTTTAGGTTGATCGCATTGATCCCTGAAGGCGTTCATTGCCAGGGCGTTACTTGTCTTCGGGGAACAAATGGGTCCATGCTCCATATGCTTTCTAAATCAGGTCGTTGGTTTTTAGGTTATTGATTGCGAGGCTGCTTTATTTTGTAGCTTGCCCAAGTTGCAATCATGCTAGTTGTTACCGTGTTTTTCACTCGTGGACATAGGAAGCTTGGAGGCTTAAATGATGCAATCTATCTCAATTTGTCTTGTTGAACCAAACGTAGGAGAAGCAGTGCCTGATAATCCCCGAGGACCAGAGAGAATTACATACAAAGGTCCAGCAAATGCCGTACCGGCGTCTATGACTCATAACAACTTATGCTTCAGCCTTGGACGTCCGAAGAGGGACAGTCTCGGGGGCGATCGGTTGGGCCAAATACGCCTCGTGTCGCAGATTCAGGGGCCAACCCAAATCAATCCGGACTCTTTTGTGTACAATTGGCCCTAACACGGCAAGGTTAACCCACAATTCCAAGCCAAGCAACCAGCTTATTTTGTCTAACCAGCGCCTTTAGAGGTTTTTCTCTTGGTACCCGACCCAATCAGCATGGAATAATCGCTATGCGGATGTTGCACCCGGGCGCAACCTTGCACTCATTCCCCCGTAGATGACTTATAGGTTGCATGTTTCGCCCATCCACTGTGTATTACCGATCCATTCATGGGGTCTCTAATTCTAGTGCCTAAAATGGCTCTTGGATTTCGAGGTTTGGCAGTTACAACACTATGCATCGCTCTTGTCACGGTTTTCTGTGTATGCCCCTTATATTTCATGGGGGATCCTTATCCACTGGTCAAGGAAACTCAGAAAATTCAGAAAGCCGCTTTTACAACACCGCTCACGGCAAGTCTCTTGGGTTCTGGAAAAAATGGTAATACTCGATCTAACAAGAACAGATTCAAAATAATTACTTTATCGTCGACTTTACACTGGGAAGCCCTCCTCAGCCGTTTCGCGGGGTTCCTGCGATTTCCTGGCGCCCGGTTGTGCTAGCACCCGCCAGTTACGAGCTTGAAGAGGATGTGCAATATATCGAAGAGCATGGGAAAGAGTACCCACACAAATACAACTCGAGCCTTTCGTCTACGGCTGTTGTGTCCGATACGCTCGTCGCGACCGGTGATCGCATGCTGCTCAGCGGTGTTGGGAATATGTCTTACGAAACCCTCAACGTTGCCGGGATACAAGCAGCAAATCAGTCATTTGTGGCTTTGTCAGGCATAGGACAGGAAATTCCCAGCTTGTTACATATTATGTACGGTGGTTACGGTCTATTCGATGGTGCTATTGGTCTTTCACCCTCCAACCGCCCCAGCAAATCGGGACTTGAAAGCCTGTGGATGAATATCGCCAGGCAGGACATCCTTGACGCCCACATCCTGTCTCTCAAGCCGCCTCGGCCCGGATCCAGTGAGCTTGGCGAGATGGCTTTCGGTATCACGGAAGACTACCAACGCCTAGCCGACCGCTTGGTGCGCATGAAGGTCGAGATGAATTCAGTTTCACGTGAATTTATTGAGCCGTGGCAAGTTGAGGGACGGGCGATTTACAGCGGTAGTAACCAGATGCAACTCCAGCCCGGCAATCATACGGTCAGGTTCAGTACGGAAACTCCACTTCTCTTACTGCCTAAAGAGAGCATTCGGGACGTACTGAACGCGACCCGCACTATTGTAACCGACAATAAGGGCTGGAGTGTGCCCCGTCTCCCCTGTGAGGCGCGAGCCGATATTCCGGACGTCACCATCGATATAGGTGGGCATAATTTCACCATCACGCCGTATGACTTCCTCTCCGAGGTTCGCTATAGTGATGGTAGCGTGGAGTGTGCCCCGCAAATCGGTACATCGGACGGGAACTTTCTATTACTCGGGGGGCCATTCTTGAAGAAATTTTATAGCGTTTGGGATCGAGATAATATGGAGATTGGATGTAAGTGTTGGTCCTCCACTGATTGTTGAACCCCGAGTGTTGACTTTGGCTTCTAGTGGCCCCGTTGAGCGAGCTGGAGCGTTGAGAATCTTTTTGAGAGATAAGAGATTTGTGGTCTGAGTTGAATAGCTGGAGGACTAGGCGTTAACATATTAAAACCTAGAATCCAAGACAGACATTGCCCTCCAGTATTCCCTAGGTGATATAAATCCACTCCCTCCGGATTGTAGCCACGGAATGCCCGAAGCGGTAATCCGAGAGTCGCCACGGCGGGGTGGCGCTCAGCCACACCTTATGATCTGACTCAGCAGGCGCTAGGCCCAATGAGGAGCTCTTGTTTTGGCGGTGAGCGAAGGCGTTATCTCGCACCTCCTGTCAACAAACCATCCCCTCCCCCCTTCCTCTTCGACAATCCAAGTCATGTCGTTCTTTCGCAAATTTGTCCTCTCCCGGAGGACTCTTAAGCCCTATGTCGCCGAGTTCCTGGGCACAGCTCTCCTGATCGTGATCGGCGACGGCGTGGTCGCGCAGTGTCTCCTGTCCGACTATCAGTACGGCACCTGGCTATCGATCAACATTGCCTGGGCCGCAGCCGTCTGCATCTCCGGTTACCTGTCCGATCCCAGTCCCACCATCAACCCCGCCGTCACCATCTGTCTAGCACTGGTCCGTCCCACGCCTGGTCAATGGAAGAAGCTTCCCGGTAAAATCTGCGCCCAGGTCCTCGGTGGCTTTGTCGGTGCCGCTCTGGTCTACATCAACTACCGTTCGGCCATTGAGGCTTGGGATCCCGAGTATACCATCCCCGGAGGATCGATCTTGAGTCCCAAGGGTCATCATTCGGCCGGTATCTTCTCGACCTACCCCGCGGCCCATTTCTCGTCGAACTGGGAGGCCGCGTTCTCCGAGTGGATCGGTGCTGCGGTTCTCATGTTCGGGTCCTTGAGTATCTCCGATCCCCACAATGGCGTTCGCTTCCAGTCGCAGCAGGTTTCTGTGTTCTTGCTTATGACTGCGATTGGAGCTGCGCTGGGCTGGCAGACCGGCTACGTATGTTATCTGTTTTCTAGATTTGATGGATGTCCCGCTGATTCGTCTCTAGGCTATTAACCCTGCCAGAGATCTGGGCCCCAGACTTTTCTCGGCCATCGTGTATGGAAGAGAGGTCTTTAGCTCGGCCAATTACTACTTTGTCGTGCCTATTTTCGCCCCGATCTTGGGTTGCATCGTCGGAGCCACTGTTTACGACTCCTTGCTCTACGAGGGCGATGGTTCTCGCGTCACGGATGCGCTTGACAAGGCTGAGAACCGCGACGGAACTCTCCGTCTGGACTAGACAAGTCTGTTATGCAATTATGACTGACACGTGCGAACCCAGCCGCATTGGGATGGTTATCCCCGAATACGTTCATCGATAGGGAATGCTCTTTTGCGAAGGGATGATTATATATACACAGACGGAAGCACTCGTATTTTCAGACGATTACATTTGATTGGCATGTTTTGTTAGATATCTTCGGGTGGCAAGCGAGAATGATTTGAGAGATTGAATTGTGGACTAGCGATGTTGTTTTGTGTCTTTTGTTTGAGACAATTTACATCAGTGATAGATTGTTCTAATTACCAACATGTTTCTAGAGGTTATGAGCTTTGATTTGAACGCTTCCTTTTCTTCCAACAATAACAAGAAGTAAACGCAAATGCTTGGCCATGTGACCCAGCAATGCCATCGCTTGACAAGCGCATACCTAGGTACCCACCATGTGACAGGCATCTCCGACCTGTCTACTCCCTGGGAACTATGTTCTTTTATCACACCACTGGATTGTTGACGAAATCTATCGCGAAGTATCGTAGTCGGCTAGAGACAATCCATTGGCATCCGTCACCCTCTCCACTAATTACAGTTACTCTCACTAAATCTAATTGACCGAACCAGATGCTAGCAATAGAATAAACAGCGCGAAATGCCAAGCGAGCTAAGGTTCCGAGATGGATAAAGTGGTTACAAAATAACTGACTTCGTGCCCAGTACTCAATCTCGCGATCTGATCGAACCAACCACAGTTCACCTTAAACGCCAAATCGAAAGACCCAGCACTTCATCATTCCATCCCGTGAAACCTTTCTGCGTTGCGCTTATTTTAAACGCCTGCCATCGGGCCGTGGATCCCGTGCCCCACTCGCCGAGTTACCGGCCGCTTTTGACGGCCGTCGAGCCGAGAAGCTCCGCTCGGCACCTTCTGTCGATCACGGACATGCCGTCTGCCGACCGAACCGCGGGTATGGTCCTGTCGTGAGTTTGGGACCTGTGGAGGTGTGAGCATAAAGGGAAGTTATATGAGGCTCTAGACTGTTGGGTAGGAAACGTGGTGGGAATGGGATTTGCTTCGTCTACGTGTTTATGTTAGTCCGGAGGGAGGGTTTGGGCGGATGAAACGGAAGCTGTGGGATGGAAAAATGGAATTTTGTTGTGGGGAGTGTTTGGTTGGTGGAATGATCATTGTTTGATGGGAGCGGGATCACCCCTGACGTACCCTGACAACGGGGGTGTATACCTTGCTGGCCAGAAACTATAATGGGGGAGCGGGGAGCGTGGGTTCGACGTGCACCTGGTCCTACGGGGGAACCCTTCTTTCTAAGCGCTTACAAGATAGGAAGAAAATGAGCTAATGCCGTGTTACTTTGTCCGAAGTCCATTTTTGGTAGCAATTGTTGGCAGACAATTGTCGGTGGTAAATCTCCGTGGTTGGAAATATCCGAGGTAGGAAATTGCCCGCGGTAGTAAATTGACAGAAGTAGGAAATTGCCGGTAGTACTTTGTTGGTAGTAAATTGTCTGTCGTAGGAAAACGTCCGTAGTAGTAAAATACCCGTGGTAGTAAACTGACAGTAGTAGTAGATAATTATCTGCAGCGGTAATTGACCGTGGTCGGACAATGACCGAAGGAGGACATTGACCGTGGTAGTAAATTGTCAGTAGTGGTAGTGTTTTAGCAGTAGTAGTATGTACGGGACAGCGGCCACAGGAGCCAAAAAAGGCAAACATGGAGTCCTCTAGAGATTCCACCACCCAACCCGCCACATACAGTGCCATACAAACTTGGGAAGAAGCTATCCGCCCGACCGCCAGCGCGGTCGCTAGGAGACCCGCGGACGTAGTAAATTGACCGAGGTAGTGATTTGTCCTTGGCAGTAATTGTCCGTGGCAGTAATTGTCCGTGGCAGTAATTGTCCGTGGCGGTAATTGTCCGAATCGGTAATTGTCAGAATCAGTAATTGTCCGAATCAGTAATTGTCTGAAGCAGTAATTATCTGAAGCAGTAATTGTTTGAAGCAGTCATTGTTTGAAGCAGTCATTGTTCGTGGTAGTAATTGTCCGAAGTAGTGATTGTCTGAAGTAACACTTGTCTGAAGCAGTAATTATCTGAAGCAGTCATTGTCCGTGGTAGTAATTGTCTGAAGTAGTAGTTCTCTGAAGCAGTAAATTGTGGGTAGTAAATTTTCAGTCATAAGCTTCTGGCAGTACATTAATATTCGACTCTATTTTAATGAACACATTCTGTTCATCGTGTCTTCTCTCCCGTTCTGGTATCTTCCTGGAAAAATGACATATTCCGGTTGAAGGACTTATACCCAAAAACGCTGTTCCAAAAGCTCATCCTATCCCACTAATGCTCAAAATCCTCAAATCATCTTGGCATACAACGAGCCAAACGACGTAAAGGTAGGAATCTGTGCAGCCCATTCGTCCGGATCAAGCCCGGTAACAACCAGGGACTGGAGTCCATATAGCCAAAGGCCGAGAGCAAGCAAGAGAACCAGCGCAGCAACAAGCATGAGAAAGGCATAATCTCTTCCTTTGGGCTTCGTGGGGAACTATCCATGGAGTTAGCAATTCGGTCTTCTCTGGTATGTAGTGTCACACGAGGCCAATGCAGATGAACTAACCTCATAATACCAATCTCCTAGTCCGGCCATTTGAGTGGTCCACAACATGTAGAATGAGCTCCATGGATATACAACCCAGTTGCGACCGGTTTTGCTGTCGATGTACCACTATTTGTTCATTAGTATTGTTTGTCGGGAAGAATGAACAAGAATGAGATAGACTCACGCTATTGCAAGAATCGGTAAACACTGTTTTCGACAAGGCATTCTGCACTTTCTCGTTGTAGACTTTCTCGCTTTGAAGCTTGGGCTCTACACACAGCGCCGAGCCGGTGATTATGGGCTTGATTACCCGTGTGATGAGACCCGCATAGCTATACCACATTAGCTTGATTCGAAATCTATGTCTTAACCCCAATAATGTGACTTACTTCTCGATAGAGTGAACAACAGAAGTATGTCCACGTCCGGAGTTCGGGCCCAGAATGTAGAAGAAATTCGGAAATCCAGACATGCCGATGGTGTTGAATGCTTCAATGTAGCCCATGTCCTTCCAATGCTCGGTTCGGGTGCGTCCGTGGCGACCTCGTAGGTCGGCGTCGAATTGTGTCAATGAGAAGCCGTTGGCTAGGACCTGGTGATTTGAATTCAGTTTTGTTTGACTAGGCGTATAGAGAGATCTCATACTATGACGTCGGCCGGATATTCAGTTCCGGACTTTGTTGATACAGAGCGCTCATGGAGGCTCTCCACTGGATCATTGGTGAGGTGGACGTTGTCTCTCTGCAAACTTGGCACGTAGCCAGAGTGGTCGAAAACTCTCCGCTGAATATATCTGATCAGTATCAACAGTTTTCAGAGATCATTGCAGGTAGCTTACCTTGCATCCGACCTCAGATTTAGGCATCAGCAACGGCCAGTATTTTTCTGTCATTAAAATCAATCTCTATTATATTTAACAACTGATCAAAGGATCATACCTGGTGCGCTTTCTTTGATATACGATGTACTTATATCGGATGTCTGTTTTCTCATCTTTGCACCAGTATCTGTGAGATTGAATTGCGGGGTTGAGGTTTCCAGGTATAGGAAGGTCAATAGCCTCAGTAAAAACAGAACACCGGGAATATATCGAAAAGCCATCTGCCAGAGCGGAGTAATATCGGTATTACCACCACCTGGTAGGAAATATTGCGGTGACTGTCGACAACGCGTTAGTCCAAGCAGGAAAACCTGTAGCGTAGGAGACCCTACCCGTATGAATTGGGTGATCGAGCGAGCCTCTTCTGCTATAGTAGGCACTACTTGCGTGGCCGAGGCTGGAGGGATTGTTAGTTGGCGACTTCTCCTGAAAGGAAAGAAAAAGCCTCAAAACTGGAACATACCTCCATTCCCAATGACCACGATATTTTTATCGCGGAGAGAAACGCTGTGGTCCCATCTCGCAGTGTGAATGATTTCTCCAGTGAACCTATCCTTGCCCGCTGCGTTGAAAGGCATAGGATCCGTCAAAGCGCCAACGGCCGAGATCAGTACGCTACAGGTCTGGAAATACTCCTGACCTGTTTTCAAATCTCGGAGTTTGACCGACCAGGTCTTGGTATTCTCATTCCAATACCCGCCAATCCAGTTGGTATTCCCTACCAAGTGTCGAGATAGGTTTAACTGCGAGACCACGCCGTCGATATAGTTCAAAACTTCGCTCTGTTTGGGGAAAAGATTGGTGAAATCAGGATTCGGAGCAAAAGAAAGACTGTAGAGCACAGCTGGAATATCAACTCCACACCCCGGGTCTTTGCGTTTGTTCGTCAGCCCTGATTCCGTTCATATTCCATAAGGGCTAAGTCATACAAGTGTTGGCTCGCCAGGTCCCACCATACCCTGACCCTCGATCGTACACTACAAAGTCATCACATCGGAGATTCTGCTTTAGCTGGCATGCCATTGCCAGGCCCGAAAAGCCACCGCCCACGACGATGACTTTCTTGGGGGGAAGGGTCTTCGAATCAGTCATGGTCGATGATTGCCTGTGTCTCAAGGGTCATAACAATGAAGTCAAAGTAAACCGTCTGATGATCCGACCAGGCTTCCCTGCGTCTGGATGGAGTTTATATGTCCGAACCTGCTTAGGGAGATGTAGGCACATGCGTACACCAGTTCCCACGGCCTCTGCACCTCGGCATTTGCTCTTGCGTAAGAACGCCACTATTCATATGCGTCTTGATCTAGAAGGCTAAGATGTGGCAATATGGAAGTCCTCTCTTCTGCGAGGGATTGTCTGGAGTTTAGAGCCGTTCAATTCACGGTATAGCCAGGTTCCCGAGATTGCGTGCGAGGTCGGACAACCTTCTCAATCCCATCTTTGACGTGTAGACTGTTTCCTGATTAGGTCATTTGAGTATAACGGGTGTCTCCACCATCGGAATGTCAGACGTCGGCATGCTGAGTTTACTTCCCCGATTGGGTGCGGGCATGAAGATCACGGTGGACATGGTTCCGACATGAAGTCAGGGCGACGGAGAGTTCGTTCTCGCAAACGTCCTATCTGGAGATAAGAAAATTCGTCGAGCCGGAGAAAGTGAGACAGCTATTTGTTCCAAGGGTCAAATCGTCAATTCATCGCCTCGCCGAATCGGAGCCTTGTTCATCATTTCATGCGCAATGGCCGTTTCCTAATGGGTTTGTGCACGAGTGTACAAATCGAGAAATATGCGGCTATTTGGTCAAGCTAGGATGTGAGAACATATCTATATCAGACCGGGTGCATTTTCAGCTGCAAGGGGTCGATCTCCGTCCAACCCGGTCTGATTGGAGACTGTCAGGAAGCATGCATAATATTGGAAGCGGTAATGACTGACTCGCGAACGGCCGATTGATGTAAGGGCGTGGCCACCACTGCTCTAGCAAACAACATTCAGGCTGTGAACGTATTGCTCTGCTTTCCATGGAAGACAATGGGGCCTGGTCTATCAAGATTCAGGGCTGCTAGCATTTCTCTACTGGATCCATTTGCCCATCCGCAAATAAACTATGAACTTTCGTACCCGCCTAACCCATTCTTTCGTCTCCAATCAGCTGTGAATAACCCTGTTCTCCACTGACAATATACTCAAACCTTCCTAAAAGACTCTTCCACTTCTCATCTGACATGAATGACACCTGTCAAGGGAATCCACGTCAGTTCACGCTCATCCTCCCAGACATCACCCGTCAATCCGATTTTGACTGGAATGCAAAGCACCCACTTCGACTTTCTGCACTGGGGACTCCCACCATGAGACCCACTCGCTGTGGCGGGGATGTCGACATTTCGGAAGAGAAAGATAGGCAGATGTGTCCATAATATCGCCCTTGCTGGGTCAGGGATTTGGATGAGGTCTGGACAAAGGATGATCATCAGGATGATCCTCAGGATCACCAGACGAATGGAAATTGAACCGAGCAAGAGCATATGATCACAATTATTCAGACAGTGATAAATGAGACGCTCTGAGCTGTCCCCGGTCCTAAGATATTAGTACGTGTCATCTTTGCCGTTCAAAATCCTCATCTCCATAGAGAAATTTCCCACGATGTCTTGGAAGATCATCTCCTATTGTCTGTTCGTCTCGGCCGGCTTGCTATTAACAAACCTCTGTCCAGACTGGAAACAACTTCTCATGTTGTCAGGATTGGTCGTGTCCATTGTAATGGGGTGCCTCCTCTTGAAGCTCCTTGTGTCTGCGTACTTATGGCGACGTTTGATCGTGCTTGACCCTAATGCGCAGAAAGAATTCCTAGGGCGGCCACTCCTCTTCCCTGCCCGGCTTTCGCACGCTCGCAGGTTTCCTGTAACCGAGCGGTACAACTATTGGTACGATTACTTCACGGTTGGAATTCCTGTCGGTCTTCGTGGCCGCATCGGGAATCTCCTTTCTATTGACAATCGGCCAGCCTACGAAAGTCAACGGGAAAAGTGTTGGTTCACCATTGATCCTACTTATTATCTGGATCCGGGGAGTGGAGATCGCTGTTTGGAAGAGAAGCTGCACTTATTCTTGGAAAGACAAGTGAGTACGAGGTTTAATTATATATAGATGCCGTGAAACTAACCATTTAATTCCTTCAGGGCGAAGACCCGCAAGAATTCCCTTACGCATACCTCATCAGCGTCCCTCGGTTCCTGTGCTTCCAGAAAAGCGCCATCAGCTATTGGTATCTCTACAACTCGGACCGTAACCTGACCGCAGTCATCATGGAGATCAACAACTCTTTCTTCGAGAAACGCAACTTCTTCTTCCGCGTCACAGGCGATGACATGGCCATCGATGACCCGGAAAGCCCGCCTACTGAAACAACAGCTCTGACCAAAACCAAGGGAACGTCATTGTCTCTGCGATTCCTGTCTCCTGCGCCCAGGAGCAAGCACTACAAGGGATCCTGGGAGAAGATGATCTTCGGTTCACCGTTCGAGAAGATTGGAGGAGCTATGACGGCCAAGTTTGTAGATCCTCTTGCAGGTCCTGCGCTGCAGTCTAATATGAGCTCGAATACCCCCGAGGGTCAGGTAAAGGTTACCAGTCGACTGGCTTCTTGGGGCACACCGGTTGATCCGCTGTCTGCTACGGGGCTTGCAATCGCCACTTTCATTTCTCGATGGACGCATGTCGGAGTGCTCTCTGCTCCTCGCATTGTCAAAGAGGCGCTGAGGATTCGCTTTCGCGGAAAGTTGAGATACCTTCAGAGACCGGAAGTCCGAGTTGGGAGTAATCCGCGTAATGCAACCAAGGTCGAACGGTTAGTGATTCCCTTTGTCTCCTTGTGTGGGCTGTGAATAACAGTTGTGCTTCGTGACAGTTCTTTGGAGCCTCTTTTCCGAGAGTATCTGTCTCAGCTTGCTACTAACTGTATATTCCCCCTGTCAATCAAATATATTCCTCCCCCCAGTCTTCACTACGATCCGATCTTTTTCCACGCATCGACATCTCCAACATCTAATCCTCCACCGACCCTGACCATCCAGCCTCTATCTTTCCGATTCTACACCTCGTTCTTCGAACAACCAGACCCCAAGACTGCCTTTGACGTAGAGTCCTCTCCATCGCCGACAAACTCAGATCGAGAATCCCGCCGCCTATCTATCTCGGACAACGCCCTCTTAGACAAACTCCTCGCTACCGCGGGACAGACCATAAACGCAGAGTTAACCAAGACCGAGCCGCTCCAACCGTCCCAGGGTTTAGAGAGGGCCGTTCTGCAAAGCACAATCTCCTTCTTGCGTGCCTCCTCGCCTCACACAGTCATGGACCGCTTCGTGGAGCACAACTTCCCGGCCACCAAGCAGCGCGAATACAGAGCTAGCATGTTGCATTATCTCCTGGCTCGTCGCCTGCCAGTCGAGTCTCAGGCCATCGTTGCGTTGGCATTCATTACGGCGCGCGCAACTCTCGTGGATGTACTTATGCATGTGGCGTACCATCTGTGGGCCAGGGAGCCCGCTATCCAGTATCTGCAGAATCTCTCGATTACGCCTGCTACGGGGACGTTTGTCTACGCGGGTGGGGATATGGTGCATAACTACGTTGGTGAATATTACTTGAATCCGTTCGCCTGGGGAGAAGGTTTGTGATCGGCGCTGTGGATTATTAGAGTTGGGGTTGCAACAGGGTTTATGGAAGGTTATCGGGGGGAGAAACTTGATTCATTAAAGGCGTGGTTTATGTGCCTTTAATTAACTTATTTATAGCGCCAAAAGTTTGTTTTAAGCTTTTCAGAAGCTGCCAACCGTCAATGAAACATGGAAGAGTCGCAGTTATGATGAGGTCACCTTATACTTAGTGATAAATTGGGCGAATTGCGTAATAGGGTGGATATGCTAAATTCAGTTAATACGTGGCCTTCGTGCAGAACCACATAGATCAGTCCATCCTTAGATTCGACATGCGACGACCAAATATTCTCATTTGCAGGGGTAGTTCACAAAATGATAATGTACAACATGCTCTCTTTAATGAGACACGACAACCTCATTGTTCTCGCCCATCCGGACACCAAGAGCAGTATACTCGTCCAGATCCTCAACCGGCAGTCCAAGCAATCCATTATGCAGCCCCCTCTTAGACTCAAAATCACCATCACCATTAGGGAAAAACATCCGGCTATACAGCTGCTTTGCAAACCCTCCAAGGAAGTCACCCTGCTTTACGACAGCCTGTCCCTCCTTCCACCGCTCCTCGGACGACTCATGCGTGATAGTCCAGTCGGCATCCGTAGTCCCTGTCACACGCTTGACGCTCTCGAACATATCGCGCTGACTGACTCGGAAACTCGACACGTAGACAGGGCCGTTCCGGAACCGCGACAGTGTAGGCGACTTATCTGCCTCATCGTCCGGGAGCTCCTTCAGACTCAGCAAGCTAGCCAGCGCCCGACCGCACTGCGGCCAAGTACTCGTGTTAATCACAGTATTTCCATCATCGAACAGAATCAGCGATCGTTTGTGGAAATCGAATCCGTATCGATCCGGCCCGCCTCCAAGGCTGAACTCGTACCAGAAGTTGCAGTTCAGGAGCAGGTAGGAGCTCACGCCCAGCCTCTCGATCTCTGCGCATGCGCTCCGATGGCTAAGCATGCTCTCGTCCAGGAGCTTTGGGTTCTGCGAGTCGTGGCCGAACCAGTTAGGTTGGACATAGGGTACTTTGGCCTTCGCGGCCGCGCGGATAAGTTTGACGGTCGTGTCTCTGGGTGCCATCACGGCCATCGTGATTATCAGGACTTGCTGGCCTCGTAGGGCATCTACTAGGGCCGAATCATCGTCGCCGCTGTAGTCGACGCGCGCGACTTGAACGCCCTCGGGGAGCTGGCTGGTGCTGTTTGGTCGCGTTATGGCAGTGACGGTGTGCTTTCCGGTCTTGAGAAGGTGCTCTGTGATATGCTTTCCGACTTGGCCGCCCGCCTGTTGCAGTGTTAGAAAGCGAGCTCATATTTCCCACTGGGGAGTGACGCTTACTCCGACGATAGCCACTTTCTCGATGCGGTTTGAGAAGCCTTCGGGCTTGTCTTTGCCGTATTCCTGTGCCATATTTGCGGTGGTTGGCGATCGGAGTGAATTCTGATTCTCGTGATAATAGTGTATCGAGATCCAAAGTCCTGGTCAGCAGGTTTTTATATCTTGAAGGGTTCATCCGGTTTGACGCTGCAGTTGTTGGCGTTCTTATACTCTCTGAAATGGACATATCGGCCCGTCGGAGTTACCGGTCTTAAGGGTTGGTCCGTCGAGGGCGCCGGATTTCGAGTCCAGATGGACCGAAAGACCTCATATGTCCGAACGGTGATCGACTAGACGGAGATAGGCCTTTGAGGAGTGAGTTCATGCTCGCTCATACACTCGCGTATGTCCGTGCCTGTTCACTAATCATTGTTTGTCAGGAAAGTCCTGATATAGTCGGACTGCCCCTGTTGGCTACGTACAACGATCTCAGGCTCTTCTTCTGTCCTCTCTGAATATCTTTGGGTCCATGTTTTCAAAATGATCATTTCGGTGTTTGTCTCCGTCATTGAATGCGGGAATCCGCCACTTGTCTAAGGGTTTTTCTTCCGCCCAAGTACCACCAGGGCGTGGGTTCGAGCTTTTGACATTGCTTTTACCGACCGAAACTTTTCTTCCTTTGAACGCCTCCCAGTCCAGGGGAGTGAGAGCATTCTGCGACGCGTCTCCATCCCCATGAATTCTGGTCGACAATACCCTGAAGCAACGATGGTGACAACGCCAGACGCAAGCACGATCTCGATAACTGCATATAGGTTAGAATTCTATAACAAAGACCTCACAAGCGTGGGAAATCCTTTACCAGGTAAAGACCAACCGAATTTTCGAACTAGCCGTGATGCTGATAGGCATGTGTGGTCAGGGTAGAAGGGAGATAGAAGTCCCGCAAAAAGCCTAAAGATAGACAGAAAGAAAAAAAGAGAGCAAAATATTCTGTCAGAGAACCAAAAAGCGGAAATCATTCGGCTTTTCGCAAACCAGGCCATGGCATCTCGGTCTCTGCGGATAACCTCGTTCCGATCTGACCCCTGCAAAGGTGAGACACGAATGCGGGCAATTTACAAGGACGACGTACTAGTCCAGACATTCCAGCGGACAAATTCCATGCCAAGGAGAATTCTAGGTGGAAAGGACGCCGATCATCACCCACTTCTGTCGCCCGCTGCGTTTCACCGCGTCGCTCAAAACGTTCCCCCGCCGGAAGCCTGCGGGATCCAAGATGGAGCCCATTTGATAGGTTTCTATATCGTCGGGTAGAGCAGAGTCGATATGTCAACACTGACATAGCAATATGGGCGGTCTTTTTATGGCTGGAACTTTGAAAGTGGGGAATAGCAGAGACTTCAAGTCATGATCTTGGCATCATGGGCAAGGGTTTTGCATGTTCTGATTGATCTGGACTGCAATATATAAGGGATCTCAAAATCCCCTACTAAGGGCAATTCCGAAGTATCTATTAGCAACTGTCTCTTTTCCTGTGTCCAAGCCTTCGTCCTTCTTCTTTTGAAAAAGATTCCCTCAGCATGTCTCCCACTGTGCCCGGCATCGCCTTCGTGACCGGCGCCAATGGAATCAGCGGACTAGCCATCGTCGAGCATCTGATTCGACAGCCAAGCTCAGAATGGTGACTACAATCAAACAGCAAAACCATTCATCAACTGACCTGTCACAGGTCCAAGATCGTCATCACGTCACGCAGTCCGCTGAAGAACTACTACGTCGATCCTCGAGTGCGGTTCATCGCGCTCGACTTCATGCAGCCTGCAGAGACAATCCAAGACCAAATCAAGGATGTCTGCAAGGATGTAACACATGCGTTCTTCACTTCGTACATCCACGACAATGACTTTGACAAGCTGCCGGAGAAGAACGGGCCGCTGTTCCGCAACTTTCTGGAATCTGTCGATGTCGCGTGTCCGGAATTAGAGCGCGTCGTTCTGCAGACTGGTGGAAAGGTAAGAAGTTACAGAGAGAGCTTTGGTTCTTGTTATTTCTCCCCCTCTGTCTAGCTGTTCAAATGTAGAAACAGAGGATAGAAGAAATAGGTTATCAACTAACACATCTCCAGCACTACGGATTCCAATTCCGCGAGATCCACTCGCCCACAGTAGAAAACCTCCCTCGATACGAAGGCCCGGAACCCATCTTCTACTACGAGCAGGAAGACGATCTGTTCGCTATCCAGAACCGCCGAAATGCCTGGCAATACAATATCATTCGACCAGTGGGCATCCTCGGATTCACTCCGCAATGTACGAGGACCTCCTCCCCCATCATCCACCGAAATCTAACACAACCACACAGTCGGCGGCATCAACGAAGCCATCCCCATCGCCCAGTACTTTCTCGTCTGTCGCGAACTCGGCACCACTCCTCGCTGGCCCGGAACTCTCGAGAGCTATAACCGAGTAGAAGACATGTCGTACGCGCCTTCCATCGCCAGCTTGACTGTCTGGGCCGCGACACAGGACCACTGCGGTAACGAAGCTTTCAACCACATCAACGGCTCCGTCATCGTCTGGCGGTTCCTGTGGAATATGTTCAGTCAGTACTTTGGTGTGGCGCTGGATTCGCAGGAAACTCCGACGGAGGAGACTGCTCCCATGGACATGGCGGAGTGGGCTAGCGATAAGGGGCCTGTGTGGGAGCACATTGTGGCTAAGTATGGAGGCAAAGTCGAGAGTTTCCGGCTGGACTCGTTCGCGCTGATGAATTGGTATATTACGCCGTCGCAGCAGAAGATGCCATTCATGAGTACAGTGTCAAAGGCAAGGAAGATGGGCTGGTCGCGCGTTGATAATACCTACGAGTCGTGGATTGCTACTTTTCGATCGTACGAGAATGCGGGTGTTTTGCCGGTTCAGAGGGATTTCACGGTTGAGTGGTAAGAACGAATCAGGAATCGATATAGTCACCGTGGCGTTCATTCTATCTCAATTGTGGAAGACGTGCAAGCGCTTTCAAAACTTGAGCCATAGATAATGAGACGAATAGAACCAGGAATATGGGAGATAGTACTGCAACTATAAATGTGCTGCACCAGTATCAATTCAGTCATCTGACTCCCTGTAGCCCTATATCGCAGACTGCCTGCCACAGTCCAGGGAAGATACAGCGACTTCATGCTCGAACAATGTCTGCTCCATTACCGTGAAATCCCGACCCCTATATATAAGAAAATCCAAGTTATCACAATCTCCGAGCCACAAAAGCCATCTGCTCATCTTGCCCTCCACCATCCCCCTGCACATCCTTCTCCCAACCCCTGAGTTCACACGCATACAACTGCACCTGAACATCCCACTCCCCATCCCCGCCTACCTCAAACAACTCCCTAATCGTCTCAGGACTATGATAATACAAGTCCCACCCAAAGGCCTCATTCCGCAGCACCCCTCCCTCACTCCCTCCAACATGCCGACCATACACCAACGACCCCTTGCGCTTCCGCAGGAGCTTCATCACCTGCGCCATGATCACCTTCTGCCGATCAAACGAGAACAAGTGAAGGAATAGCCCCAGGTAGATAATATCAACCTGGCCACGGAGATGGGAGAGGAAGTTCTCGTCAAAGACATCTTGGACATAGAATTCCGTGCGCAGAGACCCTCGGTCGTTGAATAGTTCATACCCGAGGTCCACGAATCGCCCTTCGCAGTCGACTCCGATTAGGTTCTCCGCTGGCGCGCCGTCGTATACGAGTTTGCGGATGCCTTGCCCGACGCAACAGCCTAGGTCGAGGAATCGGTGGCCCGTGCGAATCCGGGCCAGCGCTTCGGGGTATACGGGGGAGAGGGGGTTGGGGAAGGAGAGGAATTTGAAGTTGCCGATGCAGGGGTACGGTAGTCTAGATCTTGCTGTTAGTGTATATTATGTGCTTTGATTTTCGTGGGCTTGAACGCCACGAGATAGGGGAGGGTGAGTACATGTTCCATGCTTTCTCTCTCACTCGATATATATGGTCCAGGACTTCGGGCTCCGGTATCCCAGCGTAGTTTACTAAGATTTGTTGGGCGATATCGGGTACTTTCTCCAAGGCATCCTGGTACCAAATAACGTCTTTTGAGCCTTGGGTAGTGCTGTTGGTGAAATCATCTGGTTCCGGCTTGCTTGGTGGAGATAGCATCATGGACATAGGGGCTTGTTCTAGTCCAATGTCATGCAACAGCCTTAGTGCAACTTGAGCCCCATACGTTCGTCTCGTCGATGGAACCCCTCATTTGTAAACAGCCGATGATGGATGTGTAACGCCACGATGACTGCATCTGTCACCTCACTGAACCGGGTATGAGATCCGCTGGAATTCGGTTCCATTGTTTTCCATGTTTATTGCACGTTTTATTGCAGTTCTCTATCGTCCTCTAGTTTGGTGTTACCGCCTAGAGCAGTTACGAACAGCTTTCTATGTAACAGGGCAAGCATCCAAATTCCTTCCTGGCCATAATTCGAGCAGCGAATCAATAATTAACAGTTCATTGTTATACACATAGTCAAACACATCCGAGTAATACTCTAAACCAGTGCAATCAAGGCATCTCTCCGGTAAAATTCATCGTATCAAAAAGATCCATGACGTCGATCCCGAGCAGTTGAAATTCCTCCGAGGCAATCGCTCCAGAGATAGTCTCCATTGCCAACGCCGAAGCCTCATACTGAGAGCTCATCGATCCAGTGTTTCCGACTCTCGTCTTCTCAGATTCGAGCTGTTTGGATGCATCGCTTGTTTGCCGTTCATTTGGTTCTTGGTGGGTATACTGTTGCATTACAAGACCGGATGTCTGGTTAATAGGTGGGTTTGGCGTAGCAAGGGGCTGAGAGCCTAGAAATCCACCGCTAATAGGATTCTCTAGTGCAGCGATCTGTGGCTGTATGGTTGAGCCGGCTATGTTAGGAACCCCACCGTCCTTCGTCTGGTCGTATCCTGATGCATCGTGGCTCTCGCGTCGTTGCGCTGTTTGAATAACTTGATACCGGTCGCGGCCGAACTCTTTCATTTGCAGATCGCGAATATATTGCCGCGCAATGTGCGCGAACTCAGCCAGAAGAGAGCTCGGAACTGTTCCTTGACTTGCGTAATCAAGCCGGCTGAAGTGCCCGGTAGCAATATCCAACAGAGCTAGATAGGTGTTGGTCTGCGGGAGCAATGGGTTGTGTACTGCTTGATCGAAAAGAATAAATAGAGCTGAAAGAGGCATGATGGCAAGTACCCTGCACGTTTAGTCTCAGAAAGCATGTTCGGAATGAGACCAACTCACCACAGTGATGTATAAGATGCAACCTCGATGTATTTTGTCAGCTCCAAGATCGAGCAAGCTGTATCTATCAAAAGCCGTTTCATGCGTAGTTGCAATCCCATCTCTTTCGGACCGTCGCCAAGGTAGAGAGCAGTCCGTGATAGTGTCATTAAAGCATTGTAATAGTAGTATTGCGTATGCAAAGCAACAGAAACCGCGACCGGGCCGGGCATCAGCCTCGCTTGAAGAGGCTCACCAGGGCGATAACTCTCAGGAATTGATGTTTTCCATGACTCAAGCTCTTCCAGTAGATGTTGTATGCGATCTAGGTAGTAACTTGATGAGTTGCCAGCCGCGCTGAGTGAAAATATAGTGCTATAAATTCGGGAGACAAGTCGAGCATAGCGCGCATGTGTGAGAAACCAGTCATAGTCGCCAAATATGGACTCGGGAACATAAGGAATCGGACAACCAATATCAGCGTCCATGATGTTCTATAACTGATTAGTATTTCCCCATGGATGTGTGAGCTGACTCACGGATGTCCGTCCCGTAACAAAACAAGATGTCTTGTCGAGGCAATAGAGGACCCAAAACACGCGATGAGAAAGGTTGTCTTTTGATCCCCTGTTCCGATTGTATCCCATGTTCTGAGCCATCCTAGCGGCCTCCGAGATCAGCAGTGCCTCGAACTGCCACGCCGATAATTTAGTCGAAAAGATGGCCTTTCCGATTGTTAGCTTTAATATATTTCACATATCTCTCATCTCGTACCATCGCCGTAAGTGCCTTGTAAAGGAATTAGCTCATTATCAACCATGCGATATGGAATGAACAAACCTGAATCGCCATCAAAGACCCCTTGGTGAAGATGATATCTGAGAAGCAGGACATAGCTCTCTCAAAGAAACACCAAGCCTGTCCTTTCCCAGGGTCAAAACTGCCACCATCATTATATTGACAGCCAAGCGCCAAAACAGCATAGTATAATCCCGACCAAACCCTGTCGGCTTCGAGCGATGGGTACAGTAGGTGTCCATATAGTCGTTGCTCAAAAGCCTTTTGATCGAGGAATGGGTATACTGGATGGACATGGGTAAAGAATGCTGTCGACTACAGTCAATCATTTATCCTTGATCCTCTAGTAGGCATTTTACCTTGTATACACGCTGTAGAGACATCTTCCGATAGTTCCAACGGTGGCAAGTTCTGTTGTCGCAGGAATGGCAAATTAGCAGCCTTATTGGCTCCTTTCGTTCTCGAGTTGGCAACAGTTCCGATAGTTTCAAGAAGTTGACTCAGCCGCGTATGTCCCAGCCGGGCGCTCAGTGCGTCAACTCTAGCTTTGGAAAAGAAGGATATATTCGAGCTTGGGCCTGGACAGAAGGTTAAAAATGAAAGTTTGCGACACGGAATATCACCGACCGAAAATCTCTGCTAACTGCGTGACCATTATGCTTTAATACGATTAATTATAACACACACAAGAATATAACCTACTTTATTAACAACCTCTTCATCCCGACCACGAGCAGGCGTCTGCCGACTTGCTAGGAGGTGATCAACATATAAACTCGACGGTGTGATGCCCGATGGCGGTGGCAGCTGCCTGGTTGAATTCTGGGTTAAAGTTAAGCGCGAAGTTCAAATAGCTGGACGAAAGAGCAAACCTTATTGGCGACGGTCTCATCTGGAATAGACGGACATATGGCAGCCGGTTCGGGGGAGGTTAAAGCTGGCCGTTTAACTAACGAGTGGGTTTCCGAGCCCCCCGACGGACTTTCGACATCCTCCGTCCGTTGTTTGCGCTTTCGGGGCGGCTTCATATAGCTGTAGTGGCATCGGGCCTTGCGAGTCTGCGCCTTGTCAGTAATTGGCAAAGGGATATGGGCGCTGTCCGCATTCTCCAAAACATATACCTACAATACAATAATCGCACGCGGCGTGTTCGTCATCCCCGGACCCTGTACATGCCATTGTCGCAGTTAGAACCACCTCTTAAAGTCATAATTACCAAAATGAAATGAAACTTCTTACTAGTGCAGCGGACCTTTCGTGCTTTGCACAGATCGCAAGTTTTCGACACCTTACTCGTCGGCGTGTCGGCCATAACGTAATGGTCCACGGCGCTCATCGAAAACAGGAAATAACCATAACCCTTCGGCGCCGATCGGTCGGTAAGACGGGAAATACCAGCGGAATAAAACGAGAGATTGGCGAAGACGAGCAGAAGAGCAGAGGCGGCGGAGGTCTCGCTGTTATTTGAACGTGAAGAGCGGATCCTCCGCGACGGAACCGAAGCGTTCGGAGCCGAAGGCGCTCATGTCGGCAGGTGATTGGACGATCATCCTGATCTATCGAGATTCGCATTCCAGTCGTTGCGAAACTTGTCTCATGAGTAAATTAGGAAATCAGCTATGCCTCTACGTCAGCATGTCAGGATTTCAGGAACGGACAGAATAAAAGGGGCGCATCGCATAACGCAAGCCTACATATTCTCCGATCAGTAGCATAACGTTAGGTCCGCTGTCAGCGTTCGTCTTTCCGATCGCGTGGTTAATATAAATCAAATCACCTTTCTATTTTTCCTGTTTTTCTTTTCTTCATTTTATCTCCCAAGGTGCTATTGTACAATACTCGGCAAGATGGACGAAAAGATTCAACCCGAAAGTGCCAGCGACGACACGATCGACGAAAGCGAGACCGAAACAGCCCAGCTGGAACAGTCACTTCAAGAGCATCCGGAAGAGCTGGATAAAGTGATGAAAACCTTATCGAAGCGTACCTCGCGACCCGATAGCCACAAAAATCCGTTTGACCCCTCTGAGCCCGGATGGAAACTCGAACGAGCTCTGAAAGCAGCAGTCGCGCGGTCCAACGCCGAGGGATCCCATCCGAATCTATTAAAATCATCTGTACGCTGGCGCAATGTCAACGTTTACGGAGAGGGTGCCACTGCCAGAGCTCAGCCTACCGTTTCTTCTTTTCTCACGGACTGCTTCCGGAATGTCCGTGGCATCTTTGGTCGAAGTTCCGAGAGACAGATCCTGTATGATTTCGACGGATTACTGAATGAAGGCGAAATGCTGCTAGTTCTCGGCCTCCCTGGAAGTGGATGCTCGACGCTGTTGAGAACTCTTTCTGGTCATGATGAGGGCTTTTCCAAATGGTCCGGCGATATCACATACAGTGGTGTCCCGGTGGAGGTCATGAAGAAGGACTTTCGAGGAAAGGTGGTGTTCAACGAGGAAAATGAAAGCCATTTTCCTCATCTCACAGTTGGTCAAACATTGGAGTTTGCCATTAAGACTAAGACACCTCGGAATCGAATTGGTGGTGTCTCTCGCCAGAAGTATATCGAAACGATGAGGAACATTCTTGGAGCGACCTTTGGCCTGACGCATACTTTCCAAACCCGTGTGGGAAACGACTATATCCGGGGTGTTTCTGGGGGAGAAAGGAGAAGGGTCTCTCTTGCAGAGATGGTGAGTTAGTTCATTTGCCTTTTCCGCACCCTTGTGACAAGTTAAAGTGAGGGCGTCCAACGGACTAACGACGAGTACAGCTTGCAACCTGTCCTTCAGTGACTTACTGGGATAATCCCACCCGAGGGTTAGACTCATCAACGTCGTTGGAGTTTGCAGGTGCTCTTCGTGCTGCTACGAATCTCACCAACACTGTCGCCGTCTCAGCCCTATATCAACCCGGAGATTCATTGGTCGATGTTTTTGACAAGGTGACCATCCTGCACGACGGTCATCAGATCTTCTTTGGGGAGCTGTCTGCTGCCAAAGAGCACTTCCAGGAGCTGGGTTTTGTCTTTCATCCACGCCAAACAACGGCTGAGTTTCTCCTCTCCGTCACCGATCCGGGTTCTAGGAAGGTCCGTGAAGGATTTGAACACACTGTTCCGCGCACCGTCGGGGACCTTGTTTCATCCTGGAAAGCTAGCAAGCATTATAAGCAGCTTATGTCCGAGACGGCTCACCATGGGGATATGTATCCACGTGGGTACTCCGAGAGCATTGGATCGTTCAAGAAAATCCAAAATGCGGAGAAGGCACCTTTCAATCGAAGCAAGTCACCGTACACAATCAACTGGGGCATGCAGTTTCTCTCCACATACCTCCGATCGTGCCAAAGAATTATATCTGACAAAGCTTACACACTTGCCGTCGTTGTGACTATGGGAGTTGTGGCACTCTTGATTGGGTCAATGTTCTATGATATCCCTGACGACACGAGCGGATATTTCTCCAAAGGCGGTTGCGTCTTCTTTTCGGTTCTGTTCAACATTCTGGTCAGCTTTGTTGAAATCAGCGCTCAGTTTTCTCAGCGACAGGTTGTGGCGAAACACAAGTCCTATGCCATGTACCACCCATCGATCGACGCCCTGGCTTCCATGGTAGCTCAGTATCCCATCAAATTTATGAATTCGGCCGTCTTCAGCGTTGTGGTCTATTTCATGGTGGGCTTCAAGCAAGAGGCAGGAGCTTTCTTCGTCTTCTTGCTGTTCATCTTCTTGACTTCTGTGACCCTGAGTGCCTTTTTCCGGACCATCGCTGCTCTAGTCAACCGAGTCGAGATTGCGCTGGCAGTTGCTGGGATCATTCTGCTGGTTCTGAGTATATACGCAGGTTACGTCATTCCACGACCGTCAATGCACCCCTGGTTCAAATGGCTCAGTTATATTAACCCTATCTATTATGCGGTGGAGTCGCTCATGGTCATGGAGTTTCACGGTCGCAAATCAGTCTGTGGAACCCTTGTACCATCAGGTCCTGGGTATGAAAATGCCAGCATTCTGAACCAGGTCTGTGCTTCCGTGGGTTCCGTTGCGGGGGAGATGTATGTTTCAGGCGATACCTATGTGGAAGCATCGTTTTCCTACTCATATTCCCATCTGTGGAGAAACCTTGGTATTAGCATCGCATTCTTTGTTTTCTTCGTCTTCACTTACGCCGCCGCCACCGAGCTTAAGAGCCCCCCTGCACTGAAAGGGGGTCAACTCCTTTTCCAGGATAAGCGAGATGTATCTACACAGTCTGGGCTGGGCGACACAGAAAAGCAGGCTCAGCACCAATGCCGAGAAGATAGCCATGCCCCTCTTGAGGAAAATACGTTGATGCAGAACCTCACCCGCAGCGAGAATGTCTTTACCTGGCAAGGGGTAACGTACGACATTGAGGTTAAAGGCGAGAATCGTCGCCTCCTTTCTGACGTGCAGGGGTATGTGAAGCCTGGAGAAATGACCGCGCTCATGGGAGAGTCAGGGGCTGGCAAAACAACCCTTCTCAATATTCTGGCGCAGAGAGTCTCCACGGGTGTCATATCGGGTGACATGTTGGTCAATGGTCGTCGCCTCGGACATGCCTTCCAACGAGGAACCGGTTACGTTCAACAGCAAGACGTTCACTTCGAAGAAGCTACCGTGAGGGAAGCATTCCGATTCTCGGCGCTTCTCCGCCAGCCCCGGGATGTTCCCCTGGAAGAAAAATATGCATACGTCGAGAAGGTGATCGATGCCTTGGGGATGCACGAATATGCCGGTGCTGTTATCGGTACTCCTGGACGGGGTCTGAGTGTCGAACAGCGCAAAAGAACCACTATTGGATTGGAGCTGGTCGCGAAGCCGAGCATTTTGCTTTTCCTTGATGAGCCGACGTCCGGATTGGATTCTCGATCTGCCATGTCAATTGTCAAACTTCTTCGCAGCTTGGCTAATGCCGGTCAGGCGATCTTGTGCACTATACACCAGCCATCCTCGCTGCTGTTTGAAGAGTTCGACCGGCTTCTCTTGCTTGTGAAAGGGGGGAAGACAGCTTACTTCGGTGATGTTGGCGAGAATTCAAGTACGGTGCTCAGCTATTTTGAGCGAAACGGTGGATACGCATGTCCTGGAAATGCGAATCCCGCTGAGTATATCCTGGACGTAGTTGGCGCGGGCGCAACCGCGCAGTCCTCGCAAAACTGGGCCGCGACATGGAAAAACAGTCCTGAAGCACTGCGGAACACAAACGAAATCCAGTCTCTTGTTAAGATGAAGCGCGGGAACACCACCGAGTCTAATGATGATGAATCTGATACATCTCAGGCCATCTATGCCTTGCCGTGGATTCACCAGTATATCGCCGTGCAACAACGTCTGTTTGTGCAATACTGGAGAAGCCCGGTCTACGTTGTCAGCAAGATAGCCATCAACACCGTCGGGGGTCTGTTCTTGGGGTTCACATTCTTCAAACAAGACAGCTCTGTTGCCGGCCTGCAAAATTCCATCTTCTCCGTTTTCATGCTTCTCCTTCTATCGCTGGTGATTCTCGTTCAGCTCCAACCCCGTCTTATCGAATATCGGAACCTCTATGAGGTCCGAGAGAAGCATTCCAAAATGTACAGCTGGACCGTCTTCATCACCGCGAGCATCGTGACTGAAATTCCGTACAATATCGTCATTGCGTCGGTGTGCTTCATCTGTTGGTATTTCCCCGTCGGCTGGTGGCGGACCATCTCAGCAGGTAGAGGTGCCTTTATGTGGTTGATCTTCATGGTCTACCAATTGTACCATACGAGCTTCTCACAGGCGGTGGCGATCGCCGCCCCGGATGCCGAAACAGCGTCGATGGTCACCATCTTGTTCTATACGTTCATCTTCGCTTTCACGGGTGTGGTGCAGCCCTTGCCTCAGCTCGTCGGGTTCTGGCATTTTGCATATTACGTCTCTCCGTTCACATATACGGTAGCATCGATGATGAGTAGCATGACCCACGAAATACTCGTCAAGTGTGCCGAGGGGGAACTCAACTTCTTCAATCCGCCCAGCGGTATGACTTGTGGGGAGTATGCGGGGGCTTTTGTGAACGCCTCCATGGCGACGTTGTCCAATCCCAGCGCGACCGAAAATTGTGAATTCTGTCAATATTCCGTTTCCGACGTGTTTCTTGAAGGGTTCAACATTCGCTATTCGGAGCGATGGCATCATTTTGGGTACTTGTGGGCGTTCATTGCGTTCAACGTTTGTTTATTCTTTGGGATTTATTATCTCGTGTTTCAGGGTGGAGCGGCGAAGATTGGCCGGATGTTTTCCGGCATCGTTTCAAAGAGAGAGAAAGCAAAGTCTGCAGATAAACACCGGGGGTGATTATTTTTGGGATGTATTGTGGATTTGATACATTTGATTGTTGATATTGAGATGGGTAGAGTGTTTTGAATAGGCAGTTGGGGGGCTTCATTATGCCAGTTAGTTAGATAGATGTAGGCTGTGCCGAGAGATTCTTGGAATATGATCAATCCCATCAGTCTGTTCGATGGAAATGCATAAATAAAGCTATCTTCAATTAGATCTAGAAGATAATTGTACGATGAAAATCATTTCGTTCGGTGGTTGTGGATGAAAGGAAGGTTACGCAGCCAAGAGCATCGGGTGCGCGACCACATCACCTGACTGTCAGCAGACACTCCATTCTCACTGTAGACTAATGGATTCTGATTATTTTATACCATGGTTCAGCACAACTTTCCCTCCATGTTAGACCCTCAGCATCAGATTCTCTAGCTACATCGCCTTCACTCCCCCGGATTCGCCAACATCTCATGTTCCAGACTCGCCAGCACAAATGCTGCAGAACCATGCACGCTATTATACAACAAGGGCTGGTTGACATAATACTAGATCCCCGGAATTAGCGTCTCCTCATCCATCAGAAACTGAAGGAAGACCTTACCTCATAAGTGGCAGACGAGTTCAAACTGCACACAGAAACAGTACCATTATATCCAAGTGTCCCATCGCCCTCCTCTGCCACAAATTCGGTCACCAGATGCCTATAGCACTTGCTCGCCGACTCGACTATCTCCGACGCGGCAGGATCCTCCAAATCAAGAAACCCAAGCCTTGCCCCTTTGAGCAGCGCATACGTGAACATAGCCGATCCACTCGATTCGATATAATTCCCCTCCTCGCGAGGCGCCGTCATGACCTGCCACCAGCAACCCGAGTCGGCATCAGCGACAGCAAGCACTGCCTTGGCTAGGGCGGCGAATCTGCCTTGAAGATACCCCGCGTATCGCTCCTCTGCGGCTCCTGGGCTTTGCAAGCTCAGCAGCTCCAGCATATCCACCAGGGTCATGAAGTACCACGCCAAGGAGCGGTCCCAGGCGATGGGGCTCGCACCGGTGAACGAACTAGCCCATACAGCCGTCTGAGAGCCGTCGTATCCGTGGACTAGAAGCCCGGTGCTGTTCTGGTGGCAATGCTGCCAGAGGAGGTCCAGCTGGTGGATGCTTTCGTCGATGACGGCGCTAGTGCTGGTCGGGTTGAAGCGTGTGGCGTATAGCCAGGAGAACGGGATAAGAGAGTACATTCCGTCGAGGTAGCTCCAGTTGGGGTAGGTGAAGTACCACAGGCCGCCTAGGGGTGTTGGCAGGTGATTATACGGTTTGGTCAGTTGGTATGGTGCTTACCGAATTTATTGGTCGGTTGGAGATCGATTGACCGTCTGAGAGCATCGAGAGCCTTCTTGTCGACTGTGTTGTTGGTTTTTTCATAGCTGGGTTCGTAAGCTTTGGACGTGCGCAAGTGACGGCGTATCTCACCTATGCAAAAGACCGCGAAACGTCGACAGTCGATCAAGCGGAAAATGCGTATCTTGAGTCGCATTCCCAAGACGCGAGGCAATGCTTGCCGTGCTGTTCGTCAGATACTGCTCCCAGCGATCGATTTGGCACGAAGGGGCAGCAGTGCCAGGGTGATCAAGCAGTCGCAGGATCGCAGTCTGAAAGAACCCAATCTGCAGGAAGATCGACGATTCGGTTTCGCCCGGAGGCGCGATGGCCTGTCCGCGCGCGATGACACTATCGGCCATCCATGCCGAGTACGGACGATCGCGTGCGCTGCAGGGAGATATGGCTGCCGAGGAGCAGCCTTGGATGAGGAGGCTTGTTAGCAACCATGATATGACGGTCGAGGACACCATGGTGAGGATTGAGCAGAAAGGTGAGATTGCATTCCGGAGTTTGGCTGACGTTCGAAGTCAGGGATGTCGACGCGGATCGTTTCCCTTCTGGATTTATTCTCCGATGGTTCAGTTTAGCCGAGGAATTGGACTGGTCAGATCTGGAGAATTGGTCCATGTTGAGATCGAATTCGATCTGATGTCTGCAGAATGCTCGGGATAAGATCCGACAAGATTCCGTGGTTCGAAGGAGATTTGTTGGTCATGCAAAATAAGGTCAAATTTCAAACCGGAAAATACAAAAACGTCAAATTGACACAAAAGTAGCTCCTGGCTCTTAGAATCCAAGAAAAAATAATCACACAAGAAGAAGAAAAAGTAGAAAGAAATTCAAAACATCTCGTACCAACTCGACGCAAATCACACGCTTCAAAACCACATACACACACGATATACTCATCCCATCTTCCAATCCTCAATCCCCACCACATCCTGGAAATATCCAATTACTCCTTCTTTTCTCCCTCCTTCTCGTCCTCGCTCTTCTCATCACCCTCAGACTGGATCTTCGACAGCCAGAACCGCGAAATAATCCCACCCAGATAAGTCTGATCAATCCATCGAATCAAGCCATAGAACAACCATCCCCATCCCCACAGCGAGCAACCCATGAAGCTCGCGACCAGCAAGACCGGTCCCAGAATTAAAAGCGACAGCACCGCCCACAGCAGAATCGCCACAGCCGCGAAGATAAAGACCCCCGCAAAGAAGATCAGCAGCGGCACGCCGCAGCAGATCAGCTGGCACACGATGAAGGTCGAACTGGCCGGTCGCTCGGCCGCGGCCTCGTACAGTTTCGCCTGGCGCGGCGCCGGCAGGATCCACGAGAGTAGCCAGGTCAGCGTCGACTCCATGCGATCGAGCATCGGCGGGATCGACTGGTTGATCCATTGCCGGATGGGCCCCAGGATCGGCCCATTGTTCTTGTTCTCCGTCTTCGCCTGCTGGATGTCGTTCTCGTCGCCGGGAAACCCGCCCGGCAGGACGCTGTCGGTGACGCCTTGCGTGGTCTTGGTAGTGGCGTCGGTGCCTTGCTTGACGGTGTTTTTGACGTCGCCGGTGGCGGAGGCCAGTTTGGGGGGGCGGTTGGGGAGGTTGTTGGTGGGGAGGCTGCCGGTGGCCATGTTGAGGGACATTATCGGAGTTGAGGTAGAATAAAGTGACGGGAGAAAAGAGGATGAGGGAGAAGGGGATTGAGAAAGACAGCGAGAAGGGCAGGATTCAACAATAAAAGAAGTATAAACAAATGATGTCAAACCGGTTGGCAGTTAATTTATGCGGGGGGGAAATGACGTAGCGGGCGCTTACGACGATCGCATCGGCCCATTTGGCAGGTTTTGCTTATGACGGAGTGAGATTGTCTGAAATATGGTCTATTTATTCTGTCTGTGTTCCTTGAAGATCAACGGTCGATGTCAATTTCTCAGCTCTGGACTGATCCATGGTACTGACAGAATCAACCATGGTGGTGGATCTATACTACCACTGTATAGACTTCGGAGCGAGGAATGGCCATCGCCCACCAATCAGTTGACTATTAGTCCAGAAATAAGTATGTCTCATGATCAACAGCAGTATTTTCTGAACAAGATACATCTCGAGATTTCAGATCAAGTCCGACAAATTGGGCTCCACCTCCTGGCCGAACGCAATGACGAATATTCACTGCGTCATGTCTAGTCCTTCAGAGACATTGCATGATATAGATCCATCAATTCTTAAGATACTCAACCTTTAGAATGAGATGTTCGACTTGACCGCACTAACCATCTGGGAGAATGTCTCATTGAAAGACTTGTACCATTTCTTCTGTTACACATGACGTCATACCTATACAAGACATCTCGAATATCCTCATTTCTGACCAACCGGTCAACATCTCTATACATATTCCACCTACTGCGTACATGAACACTTTGCTCTTGGCAGATTGAGCCGTCAGGAATCGCAATTCCATCACAGGCGAAACCTCGGGGATTTGCAGCCCAAAGCAGCAACGATGGGAGCTGTGGGTCAATCAATAGACTTTGCATTAGTGCCGTTTCTGACATTTTGACGACGAGAAACATATTAAGCTCGCCGTCCCCAGACCTTCAGACAAAAAAAGAACAAAACAAAATAAAATCTCCAAACTCCGCCATCATGACCTCCGTCGCAGGCAACGTCTCGCAGCACCTCCCGGCAGCATTCGAAGTCCACGACCCCGGATTCCTCAACATCACCGGCCAGTCCCCCACACTTGACGTGCTGCTGCACAACGATGCCTTCCCGTTCGCCCACGAAGCCAGCGTCTACATCCCGTCCACCGACGAGCTCTTCCTAACCAGCAACATCTACACCGACCCGGCCACCCACCACTCCACCATCTCCATCTCCAAGGTCGCCCTCTCCTCCCACCCCGTTTCCTCGCAGATCATCAACTCCTCCATCCCGCTCCCCAACGGCGCCGTCAACCACAATGACGGCATCCTGTTCTGCGCCCAGGGCACCCTGAACCAATCCGGCGGTCTGTTCCAGATGTCGCTGGATCCGCCGTACCGCGCGACCCGGCTAGTCGGCGACTTCTACGGCCGCGAATTCAACTCCCTCAATGATGTCGTTGTCGCTGACGACGGCGCCTTCTGGTTCACCGACCCCTCCTACGGCTTCGTCCAGGGCATCAGGCCCGCTCCCCAGCTGCCCGGGCAGGTGTATCGGTTTGACCCGGCCACGCGCGGCCTGCGTGTCGTGGCCGACGGCTTCGAGAAACCGAATGGGATCGCGTTCTCGCCGGATCAGAAAACTATCTATATCACCGACACCGGGTCTACGATTGGCGACGGATCGACGGACCCGACTAAGCCGTCGACTATGTATGTTTCTCCGCTATGTTTCTCCCTGAGTTGGGAAGAGAAGAATCGAAGGAGCTGACTGATTGAATAGTTATGCCTACGACGTCGCCACTCTCCACGGTGAGCCCGCCCTTGTCAACCGTCGCGTCTTCGCGATGGCTGATACCGGCGTTCCGGATGGCATTAAGACCGATACGGCGGGTAATGTCTATGCTGGCTGCGGCGACGGCATTAACGTCTGGTCGGCTGGTGGTGTGTTGCTGGGGAAGATCCGGGTTAAGGATGGCGCGGCCAATTTCTCGTTCGGGCGCGACGGACGGCTGTTTATTTTGAATGAGAATACGCTCTGGGCGGCGCAGTTGGGGAAGGGCGTGAAGGGGGCGCTGTTGGGGGTTTAATTAATATGTAATGTGTAATTCGTTCGGGGGTATTGTATATTAGGATGTAGTAGAATATACCTAGACTTAGAATAAGATTTGACGGACAACGCATGGTTAGTTCTACAGATGTGAAGGAACGGGAATGAGTAAAGACAGCAATTTTTTATATCCTACATCAACTCAAACAGATCAAGCAGCCGCTATTTACAAGATTATCCCGACAATCCTCTATTTGATCCACCCCTTCGGTCCAGCCCAGGTGCCCTTCACCATGTGGTTCATGTACACCCACGGGAAGAAGTCCTTCTTCAGGTAGTAGAACGACCGACGGGGCACCGACTGGTCCAGACCGAACTTGCCGAACGTTTCCTTGGGCTGCCCGCCGTACTTGAACTCGGCCAGCAGCACCTTGCCGTACTCTGTGGTCAGCGGGCACGACGCGTAGCCGTCGTACTCCGCATCCAGCTCCTTGCCCTCGATCGACTGCAGCAGGTTGCGCACGAGCACCGGCGCCTCCGACGTGATGGCCGCGGCCGTCTTGGAGGTGGGCAGGCTGGACGCGTCACCGGCCGACCAGACGTTGGCGTACTTGGTGTGGCGGGTCGTGCCGGCGTCGACGTCGACGTAGCCGGCCTCGTTGGCGATGGCGCTGTTCTTGACGAACGCGTGGGGGCCCATCTTGGGCACCACGTGCAGCAGGTCGAACGGCTTCTTGACGGATTCCTGGCCGTCGGGGCGGGCAAAGGTGGCGGTGTTGCCGTCGATGGAGACCAGGTCGTGCTGGAACAGACCCTCAACTCCGCGCTCCTGGCGCAGACCCTCGAGCGCGGCGCTGTACTTGGGCACCGCGAACATGGAGGGGAGACCGGTGGCGAAGCTGATCTGAATGGGCGAGTTCGAGACGTCGCCGGGGTTGTAGAGACCGGCGCGCTTCCAGTGGTCCAGCGCCAGCCAGAGGATCTTCTGCGGGGCACCGGCGCACTTGATCACGCCAGCCGGCTGGGTGAAGATGGCGGCGCCCTTGCGGAGCTTCTCAATGGACGGGAACACCTTGTCGACGGTGTCGTAGCCATAGATGGACGAGACAAGAGAGTCGGGGTTGGCGAGAGCCTCGGGCAGGCCCTTAACGCTGTCGTAGTTGATGTTGATGCCGGGGGCAACGACCAGCTGCTCATAGTTGACCTGGTCGCCGTTGGCGAGAGTGACTTGGTTGTTCTCCGGCGCGAACGAACCGACACCATCGTTATAGAACTTCAGCTTGGGGTCGATCAGGCCGTGCATGGGGCTGCGCAGGTCCTCCTTATTCTTGATACCACCGCCGACGAGCGTCCAGCCGGGCTGGTAGTGGTGCCATTGCGCCGGGTCAACAACGGCAATGTCGTCCTGGGCGAACTTGCCAGAGTGCAGCAGTTGGTGACTGATTGACAGACCGGCGCTGCCACCGCCGACCACGACGACTCGGTGGTTGCGGGCCGCGCTGACGGGCGAGGCAGTGGCGAAGCCTCTGCGAGCAGTGCAAGCTGCCGACGTTACACGACTGCGAAACATATTTTCGGCGCAGACAATTCCAATGGCTCTGGTCAGCTCGAACAAAGAATGGCGAGGGGAAGAGAAGAAGAACGACGGTCGCTTTGGCGATGATTAAATTCTTACTCATCGGGCATTAGTCATCGCCGATCCCGGCGTTCTGAGGTCGCCGATTGGCCAATCAGAGGCAGTAAAAATGACATCATCGCGGACTCCCGCACGGTATGGGCCCATCGCTCTTCCAACAACAACAACATAACAGGGAGGCTCTCGCACGAGAAATGGTCAATCGGCGATCTGACAAATGTCCTGGTCATTTTCATTTGGATCACCGGTCAGCTAATCTTCGGCCTCTACTATCATCGACTACTATTCCCCGACCGCCGACTCACTAAGACAATGAATTAACCAGTACAAAACAATCGATCGAGTTCAATGGCCCTGGATATAGATGCTGTCAGAACCTCAGATTGATTGGTTTTGGATGCTCCACAAAAATCACCAGATTCTAGTTCTGTATGGTTCCATCTTTATGCTGCGTATGGCGCCTACATGGCAGCAACATATAACAGACCTCCGCCCACTCTACTATCCAACAAACTAACCAGGCACGGCATTTCAAGCTGCACCAAATTCGAAACTAAATTCCATATTTAGATTAAAGTTATTGTCCAGATGACTCTATCATACACTTTGTGGGGCACCTATTCTCGGTCCGTCAAATGGCCATCAGTGTTCCTAGTATAGCTTCTCATCCAATCAACCCGTCAATGCCATGAAAAATGTATCCAATAAAAATCGATCGCACCTCATTCTTAGCGCTCACCCATTCATCACTTATGCAGTCCCTTGCAGAATACAGATGCCAATTGCAAGGCGGTTAGAAGAAGCAGGCACAGCCTCGCGCGAGGCTGTGCACTTGTCGGGTCGGGGTTCTTTAAATCCCCCGAATTATCCATCCTTCTTCAGAGCAGCTTCATAATTCAATTCCTTACCGCATGGTTAACTGGTTTCAAGAATGGCAGCGGGCCTCGACGCCATAGGCGTAGCCGCCAGCATCATCCAGCTTGCCGACTTTGGCGCCCAGCTGTCCATGAAACTCTACACTTTCTACCACCAAGTCAAGAACGCCGACGAGCGGTTGAAGAGTCTATCCAGCAATGTGTCTCTGACGTGCACGGTTTTGAAGCAGCTAGCGTCTAATCTAGAGCAGGACGAACAGGCCCAGCTCTACTCCCATGAGGCTTTCGATACAGCCAGGCAGGTCTCGGCGGACTGCGACGCTATTTTCAAGAAGATCGACAGCGCGCTGGATCGCTTTAAGGATGGGTTAGCGAGGAGCTCGTTGCAGAGGGCAGCTGCGAAGGTTGGGTTCGTGTTCATGGAGAATGACATCAACATCCTCCGGAGTGATCTGGAGCGATTGAAGACGACGATGCTGTTGTTGCTGAATGTTATTATGTATGCGGGTCAGATAAGAAGGTTAGCATCCCCCTCCTATTCCATGATGCAACCTTGGTACTAAGGTCAAGACAGTCGAGCGGAGTCGAAGACTCTTAAAGAGCAATCGGATTTTATCCAAGCCCTGGTTGCGGAAAAGGCAGCATCTGAAATCCAGTTTTTGACCCTGAATAGGGTGGTTGAGAATCCGACAAACAAGCTCTTTGATGATACAGATTTCCGGGCTGGCTCGGTCTCCGACGAGCTGAAATCCTACTGTTCACTTGTTGAGCGCATTCTTTGCGAGATCGGCGTTATCCAATCTAACCTGGAGCCTGACCAATACGGTAGAGTGCGGGATGGGATCCTGAGGCTTCATTCTGAAGAGATTGTTCACTGCGAGCAAGCGCATGGATGGGATGTTGGCCAGCTTCTCAGAGAAGGATTCGCCAAGTTCTGCCATAGGTATGCATGGGTTCCCTCTTACCTCGTCTCGTGGTCAAGTACGTTCTTTTCTAATTTCAGCAGCTCCGGCGATGTGAACGTTTTCACACCGCGCGTCATTTACAACAATGGTGCACCCTCCCCAATGGCCAAGGCGGCTGGGTATACGTTGAAGTGTTCGACCCGGCCTACCAGCCCTTTCCCCGCACAAAAGCCCAGAGACAAGTTGCTTGGTCGATATTCGGACAATACTTTGGCGGGCTCGGGCTGTGCTTTGTCTTCAGCATCGGCTTCATCAGAAGTTCCGCCAGAACTTATTCCTCCGTTTCTTCCACCATTGCAAGGGGATGAAGAGGAATCATCTACCCCTCTTCCCTCTCTGAAAAAAGCACTAGAATCCACCATACCCCAAGCCAGGCATGATGAACTCCCTTCGGATGGAAATGGACTAGCTGAGGGGAACTCGGTGCTACTAAGGCACTTAGAACCCAATCGACCCGATATAGCCGATTTCGAAAGAGACCATCCACTTGTTGAACATTCAAGGTTTTCACGCAAGATGAACATACTTCGCAGATTTGATCAGCGACACCCGGGAGGGAATAGAGAAATATCTCCACGCCTCGAGAAAGCTAAATCAGCATTGTCACTACTCCTAGAAGTCGAACCACGGAATGAAGAAAATAAACCCGCTTTGCCCTTCAAGGAGTAAGTCAGCCAGAGTTCCAATCTCCGTCCCTAATAGAGGAAGGGTTAGTAAAAGCTGATTGAATATAGGAACTGCATGTATCCTGATCGCGATGAGTTCTCGACTAGCCCTGGACAAAAGCGGGCTCTATCTACAGCTGAAGAGGGTGGTCGGCCAGTGGCCAAACGACGCCGATATTCAGTGGGGATTGATGCTCCTGTGGAATCTCAGAAGGATTCCTCCTGTTTGGAGTCCGTTATTCTGGCGTGGACGACTCTGGAGAAACACGAACTATATCATGACCCGGGGGGGTTGGAGACCTCTTAAAAATGATACGAGTTATCTGGTTTGATTTCCACGGGAAAAGAAGGGAAAATAGTCTCAATCTAGCCAACCAATTCGAAAAGGCACATGCCAAGCAGCGGTGGCGCGCCAAGTGGGTCGGCCAAACTGCGAGTCCGACGATCCGAAACCACACAGATTTTTCACCAGAACAAGAGGCAAAAGAAAATAGGATCAAGACATCAACCAAAAAACGAAAAAGAAAGGAAGTCAGCCCAACGCGGGGCTCGAACCCGCAGCCTTGTGATTAAGAGTCACACGCTCTACCGATTGAGCTAGCCAGGCTTCCTTGTTGAAAATCCTATAGAAAGTATGCTTTATCAAGGAAGAGCACTACAAACGTCGTAGTTGGGTATGTTCTGGGCTCATATGCGCACTAGGAATTCATGCCATTTTGAATAGTCTGATCTCTGAGGGGATGATGGCTGAAAGGGGTTTCGAGATACACTTATCATGATATATGATTCAATTGAAGAAGGATAGAAGCTTACGACTTGATATTGACCTCCCAGATTGGTTCCAGAATAATATATATAGCCTCTCATGGGGACACAATCGCTTGATATTCAATAAATATATACATGTTCTTCTCTCACCATCCCAGAGCTTTATACTCTGGGCATTGACGGTCTGGTACATATAAATGCCCTGCATGCTAATTACTGGTTATACACACCGGCGCCAAAGCCTATCGTGTCTTCTCAGCTAGCTCTCCATAGACCCTCACTTTCTCCGCTATACTTCCCTCCACAAGCTTCTGAAACAGCGTTTCGGGTACAAAGTCAAGTAGACCGGAAAGACCATGCAGGAAAAACGGGTTCAGCTCGTTTCGACCCTGACGAACAGCAGTTACAACGCGGTCGAGCGTGACTTTCGCATAGTGACTCGCAGTTGGAGAAAGAGGCGCAAGACCGTGTGTGTTCGCCTGGCTTTGCACGTCCCCCGGGTACACCACAATACTGTCAATAGCCATACCTAGAGCCTTCGCCTCTCTTGAGATAGCTCGACTGATGGAGGCATTAAACCCTTTGACGGCGCTATACATGCAAAGCCAAGGCATTCCCATGTGCGAACCTGAACTCATGTTCAAAACGAGGGAGGGGCCGTTGCGCTTCAGCGATGGAAGGAGAATATGGGTGACATGGGCCATGAATCGGGCGTTCAGGTTGATTATGGCTTCGATCTCGGTGGCAGAATATTCTACAAATGATTTGAAGCTGGGCTGGGCGGTCACGCCGCCAACGTTGTTGATGAGAATGCTGAGATGCATTTCCTTGACCGGATCCAAAGCAGAGTCAATTTCGGCAGGTGTGGCTGTGATAGCATCCAGTGTGATGAGCTTGATTTTGGGTTGCCCTGGCATGGACTTTAATTTGGACTCGGCTTGTTGGAGCTCATCCGGTTTGTGGCCCAGGAGAATGACACCAAATCCACGAGAAACCAGTTCCTCGGCATAGGCATAACCAATACCAGCACTGGCACCTGTGACGAGTGCCCATGATTCCTGGGTCTTCGATTTGTATCGGTCCAGATTTCGATCGCCGTAAAGGACCAGGTGAAGAGAGATGAATCTCCAGGTCTTGTAAAGTGCAAGCGCAAGGACGGTTTTCCCCGTAATACTCGCAATTTTGTTGAAAAAGGACATATTCATACGCTGGGTCCAAATGTTGACCATTCAGTGGCTGGATCGCAGCAATGGACTTTTTCTCATATTGTTTACGAATGTAGGGAGGTTTTTAAAGGTTACAACTCGGATGAGACGGGATCGGCTCGGACATGAAATCTGCGAACGGGAGACTAATAAATTACCATCGGATACTCGCCGCTCCGTTGGTTCTGTATTGTAATGTGGTACTACTTACAGCTGTCAATAAATTCCCAACTAATATAGCTCTCCTCAAAGCGCTTTTAAAGGACATACCTACCAGTACCATAACTGGAAACTGGAAAGGGAGGTATAAAGACGCAAGCTGATGCATAAGTCCCTTATTTACAACAGTGGCGCAAAAGACACACCCTTGACGTTAAATATCGCAACCCATGCTATTTCTAACTACACAACTTACAAAAGTAACAGCTTCCTTTAAATAAAATACATTCTTTGACATTCTGATCCGAGATATTGAAACTAAACCGTGAGAAAACGAAAAGAGAGAAAACGAGAAAAAAAAAAAAAGAAAGAAAAGGAATCAACAAAAATGCACGCTGACCCGTCCTCTAATCAGAGTCAGAAACCGGACAATCAACCAACCTCTTAGTCCATCTTGCGATTCTACCGCTAAGATCAGGGGAAGGATACCAGTTCGACGAGTCGGTCTCGGAGTCGAAGCTCTGGAAATCCGAAAAATACTCCGTTTCCATATCTCTCAGAATGGCTCGGGCCTCCTCTGTGTACAGCTCCGCGCAGTTGTCAGAGACAGAACAGGCTTCCTCTAGAAGGGCAAAAGGTCGACCCCAAGGGTATCTAGCCAGGTCCTGAGGACATCGCAGATGCTGTTGAAACAAGCCGTTGTTGCCAGCGGTGCGCGTGGGATCGCTGCTGGTGAGCTTCTTGATATGGAAGAATCGGTACACGTCGTCTTCTGTCTTGAATTTGTATTTTCGCCTGCTCTCGGCATCTCGGGGCATCCAGTGGAGATGGCGCTCGTAGGTCCAGACGGTTAAAGCGGCGAGGAACTCTTCATCTTCCGGATTGTCCTCGCTGGAGCTGCAATCTGGTAGCGAGATCATGGGCTTGGGGGTTGATTGTGGACCGCAGGATGGACGGGCCACGGGCTTGCGCTCGAGATCTTTTATCAGTTCTCCAAGCGCGTCAACCGCTGTGCGAAGACTTTCCGTGCGTGACTCAATATTGTCTCTAATTAGAGACGAGCGCATCAGGTGGGCCGGGGGGAAGACATTGCTGTGACCTGGGCGCAGGACGCCACAGTACCAAGCGTCATATTGGCCATCCGACTCCCTTTGATCTTCGAGACGAAGCCACTCTTCAAGCCCTTCGAGGTCTCTGACGATGATTCTGTTGCGGAAGATCACCGTGTTCCCAGCTTCGATCTCATCGCGAATTGTCTGCACCTCCCAGCGGCGAACTTCAGAGCGCCATCTACTCATCGCGGCGGTGTACTCTGCAAATTCCGACTCGACGTCGTCCAGATTGCGGCGGAGAAGCGACCTACTTTCTTCCAAACGGGCTTTTTCTCCCCGGAACGGCCGATCGACAAGCACCTGCGACAGCTGCGTGTTTCGCCCTGCGCTGGTCTGGAACCGGTAGTACGGTCGCGAGGTCTGAGCCACTAGGAAGACCGGCAGATATGCAGTTCTCATGTTGCAAGTCTTCTGCTCAGAAAAAGGATCGTTTGTGAGGATTGACATACCGCATCGAGTTCGGTCTGGCAACGGCATGCGCCAGGTGGGCATTTCCGGAGGGGAGCTGGACACCTTTAACAGCTTATCCGGCGCCTCTAGATCAATCCAGTAGACTTTAGAAACGAAAAGGAAGGGGCTGATCGGCTCAGACGAGCTGGTTTTGTGGTCAGGGGCGTCTGACATTGTCTGGTCTTCTGCCATGCCTTGACACATTGCTTTGGCTCGGTTGTACTTTAAGGTCACGATTTTGGTCAAGGGGGCAGGAGTAGAGGTCGATGCTCTGGAGCTTTCAGATTTGACCTTTTTTGGGGGCTCGTGAGGCGGAGGCGACCGCCCAAGCCGTTTGTTGGACCTTTTCAGCTCGTCGCCTGTTTGCGATTTTCGGACCTGTTTGTTTCTATGGGCGAGGGGGGTGGTTTCAATGCTTTTATTTGACCCATGCTGTCTTGTCTGCACTTCTCTTTTCTGTTGGATGGGTACCTGACGCCGAGAGAGCTGGTGGTGGCAGCGAGTCTGGAGTCACTGACTCAATTCACTTAAGCAGGCAATTTGTATAAGAGAGCAATATAAGAAAGCAGTTGAAAAGTGAAGGTATGTGGGATATATGAGATAAGTGGAACAAAGTATAAGCAAATAACAAACAAGGATATTCACTGGATGAAGAAGTAGTGCACTGAAACAACGAGTGGAAAGGTCCGATCAAGGAGGTCCTTTTAAGCCTTGCGAAAGCAGAAAGATGACGATTCGAGCGAGCAGGGATGGTAAAGCTGCTACCGGAGACCTCCACTTCAACAACGACGACTTCCTAAAGTAAACATGCAGACATACCGTCTTCAACTGCTGAATTATGTGCTTTTGGAGAGGAAATCTCCTTAATCATTTCTTAACATAGACACTCAACATATCCGTTCCCCTTGACTGCTCATATGACCGCCCAGGCTTCACATACAGCGTCCTCGTGAACTTTCCTCCCTCATTACTCTGCTCCACCTCCTCACCATCAACCACTCCATCGCCACCCTGCGCCAGAAGGTTCCAGTGCACACCCTTCAACCCCCACGGCGGACCAGGAAGCTTTGGGTCCTTCCAGAGCGGAAATTCCAGGCAAACAAGTTGGCCCGTTGGGGCTAGCAGATCGGCCATTCGAGATGCCCATGCAAGGCGCATGGTCGGGTGGAGGGCGCATAGAAACTGTCCAAGTAAGCAAAGCCCACAACCACAATGTAATTGAAAACTTACAGTATAGTCATATATAAGATCAAACCTCATCCCGCGGTCCCAGTCGGACTTGAAAAAGTCCCCTTGGAGAATGGTTACCTCGCCTTTCTTGGTCTTGGCCTCCGTCGCAGAAGACTCAGACCCAAAGTTGTAGCTCTGTGGATTCGCCAGCTCTCCCCTGGCATAATCCTGGGCAGTGGAAACACCCGTCGCGGAGACGTCGAGCCCATATACGTCGAAGCCGTGCAGCGCTAGCATCACAACGTCATAGCCTTTGCCACATCCCTGGAGAAGACATTAGCATCCACCATTCACCAAAATCGATAAAATAAACCTGACATACTGGAACTAAAGCCCTCTTTCTCCGCCCGTCCCCCGTAACGGGGTGGAACAGGTCTCGCCGCTCCTCGACAAGATCGATCAATGCCGGCGAGGGCTTCGATCGATCCCACAAATCGCTGTCATCCGAGTCCCAGAGCTGGGACCATCCATCTGTGTAGTCTTTGATATCCCTAGATATGGTAGGTTAATTACACTGCATCCAGAGGCAAGAAATGAGAATAAGATGCATACTGCACGTCGAAATGCCGAATAAGCCGGGTCTGGCCTTCTGGGGTCTGTGTCGCTTCTGCCATGGCTTTTCTCTGGTTCTATCGCTGTGGTATGCTTTAACTTCACCCCTGCAATACAGAAGATGGTTGCGTGGGCCAAGCCAGGGATCTCGACCTTTATAGGAGAGGAAATCCACCCGCTGAGGTCTGGACGCCGACGGATGAATCAGTTGCAGTAGTGAGTGGAGTGTTCGGCGACTGAATCTCCCCGCGGATTGGCTGCGGTCGTCAGGGGCACGCCTTTTCCATTGCCGATTCGGGGAAGATGTGGGGCTCTTGGATTCTGGATCAATACAACAACCCGGAGAACCCCCTTGCTCACGAACAGGGGACGGCGCAGGAGATATGGCACCAGACACAAGGCCAGGTGCACGTTGTCATGGCGGGAGCAGGAACGGGATGCACCGCTACCGGCTAGCCAGAGGCCTGAAGCAGAAGAACCCCGATGTGCATGTCGTTGGTGTGGACCCTCCATCGATCAAGCGGACTCACGGCAGGAGGTTGTTCATGGGTAATATCCCGATGTTCAGCAAGGCTGTTATGACAGCTGGAGGTTAGAGGTCCATCTCCGACCGGGTTCGGTTTACGGCGTCGAGCGTTTGGGAACCAAGTCGAAACCTGGTGGACTTTCAGGCCGGTTTGTTCAGACAGGGAATCTTTTTTCTTGCTTATTCGGATACGGATAGTCGGTATGTGTTTCAAAACATAGTCTGAGAATGCCTGTTGCATTTTCTGGCAGCTTCGACTTGCTCACGGGCTCAATTCCAACTCTGATACTGATTCAGCGCCATGTCGGAAGCGACGCCAGGTTGAAACGGTCAGTGTAGAAAGCGCCCGGGGACCTTTGAGGATCAATTTTGTATAGTTTATCATCAGAGGTGATTTGATAGATTGCCTCGCATACTCGCATGAAGTCCAAGGAGAGAGAGTTTGTTCATGAAGACTTCCATGGATTCGAATGGCGCGCTTCTGGCTGCTACTTTGGGAATAGCGTTGATCTCGGTCGTCTTGAGCAACTCCTGATTGGTCAAAGTCCCGCTTTTCTGGGTCTCGGCAGACCTGACCAATCAGGAGTGTCGATCTCTTCTATCTTAAACTGCATCTATAAAGATCCATGGATCCATGGATCCATGGATGGAGGGCTTTCAAGTATACCTACGGAGTACATCTCTCCAGAGTATAGGAGTGAAATTGAGATCATTGTGATACCGGCAAGCTATCTTAATATGGCCAAGTGCAGGGTTGTAGGCGGGCAAGACAGCCTAATCCATACTCCGTAAGGTCACGGTTGCCTTAGCGCCTGGCTGGGGCCATTTCATCCCACGATCTTGCAACCTAGTCAGATCACAAACCCAACCTCATCATCCCCGCAGACATGGCAGATATCTCAGAGAACACGCCACTGTTGCGCGACTCGTCGGACTCTGGAGCCGCCGAACATGAGCGTCACGACATACCGACGCAGAACCCGGCGGACAACTCCCTGCGGTTCGTGACTGCGTTGACCTGGTCATCCCTCGTTCTGGCCGTGTTAGTTGTCGCGTTTGATCTCACCGTGAATATCCTGGAGGAGACAAATTACGGCAGTGGTTACTACATGCCTTGGGTTATGCGCATAGCTATCACCGCCATGTGTGTGGTGGTATGTGTTGTGGTCGCAGTGTCACTTTAGGAGATACATGGCTGCTGACTTGACATAGGGCTTGGCCACCGTCTTGATCTCGTTCCTGAACCTGGTTCGTCTGTATCATAGCCAGCGCGCCCTCTGGCTCTGGTTGAATCTCATTTTCGACTTCATCATTGCCTTGTACTCAATCGTATACTGCGGTCAGGGGATTGTCCTGAACTGGGCAGAGACATGCGATCCTTCCAGCGAGAACTGTCGCTTCACTCGGCGCATCGAGGCCTTTGCGTATATCACTCTGGGTTTTGGGCTGGCTTTGGGGTGAGTGTGGACCTGGACTCTCGTGATTTCACATACTGATGGCTGGATTAGCATCACTCACTTGGTTTTATTCTTCCTGCGCTGTGCCCTGGCATTTCGCATGAGATTCTGGCGAGGATTTCAACACTGGAGGCTTCCGGCTGGGCAGCTGACGGTTGAATTCACCATTAAGTTTCTGCGACAAGAACCTCAGAGTGGTGAGGCCCAGAATCAGTAGCTGCTCTTGAATGGCAGCGGAGTTCTTGTGTGGATGCTCCATTCGGATTCGTTGGGGCTGGATCGTGGAGTGCATAGAGGTGGTATATGTTTATTTCCATAGATTTTCCGCTCTGGCGCACTGACAAATGTAGATCGAGGCTAAAGGGTATGGGGTTGAAAGGGTTCAACCCATATGGGTTTTTTGCGGTTCTGCACGGGTCGGGTTGAACCCGGTTCATGGCTCAGCGTGGGTAGGATTTTTTCCAGAGTTGTTTTCTACCCACGATGAGCTTTCATAATTAAGTCCCGAAATACTCTATTATATAGTTGGTACATATACAAGTAAATACTGTCTAAAAAAGTATTTCACAAGTACTCGCAGTTATGTAAACCTCAGCGTGGGTAGAGCAATAATACCAAGAATTCTCTACCCACGCTGAACCGGCTGAACCCGTTGAACCCCCAGAATTGGATCGGGTTGAACTGCGCCGAGTTGAACCCCGGTTTGTCGGTCGGACATCCCGAACTCTTCGAATATTTCTTAAGGTTCTAGCAATAGTTAATTAATTGTCTTATTATATTTTTCAAATCACTTCTATGGAGATATTCTTTGCCATCACAGTTGTTCACCGTCTAAACTGGGACCGCAAATATATATCGTACGAAACACCAGAATATAACTTATGACAGCGTTCTACTACTACAATAGCTGCATACTATAGAAATTCAAAACCCAAAGCAGACTATTGGGATCATGTCACCTGAGCTGCAAACCCTAATCATCTCAGTTCCTCGTGTCCGGCAGCGAGTCAACAATGACAGTCAATACATCATCAAGAATGTGATACCTCCGACAGACGCAAGAGGCGACGCAAGGAGCAATGCACCGCTATGTCATCAATCACCTCCCCATCGGAGATGCCATGACGTGGCCTGCAGATAGACAACTGTACACCAGAATGTCTGATCTCGTAGAATACTTCGTTCCGATGATACTTAAACTATCACGATAGGGGTGTCATTCACGGACTATTCCCAGGCCCCAGATTCAAACCAAGACTGATCTGACACAATGACAACTACTCCCTTGCGAGTTCGCCAAGAGCCAGTTCTGCTACGACTCTTCGAGTGGTGGCAGAGGTCTCCCCAGTCCGTCGCGATCAGTGACCCTCGCCGAGAGGAAGAGGACTTCACGATCGCGAATCTACTGTATGATGTCTTGAGCGTCAAACAAGATCTCTACGAGGCCCTGAGCGAGGATGCGAGAGCCCAACTCCAAGATCCTAAGACCGACGTGTGCATCGCTCTCATCGCCCATCCCGGATACCGGTACTGTGTGCTTTTGCTGGCGATATACGCTCTCGGAGGAGTCGCTGTCCCGCTATGTAAGTGAACCAGTCCATCACATTCCATCGCGAAAGTCTTGACTGAGAGACGGTCGAAAATAGCACCGACCATCCATCCGGAGGAATTCACCTATTTCCGCGATGTCACCAATGCAGTGCTCCTGACCGCAATGCCCGAGGCCACCCAGCGCGTCAATGACATCTCGGCCCTGACGGGTGTGAATTCATTCATCTTCGACAAAACCGCGCCGTTTACTGGCCCCGGACCCGAGTTCGTCCTCGACGCCGACACCCCTCCCATCAGCCCCGACAAAGGACTCTTGGTCATCTTCACTTCTGGCACCACAGGTCAACCCAAGGGCATCCTGCATACCCGGGAACGCGTCACGATAGGCATCCAAGCCTGGGCTGAGACACTGGGGCCCTCGTCGAGCGATACGTGGCTGCATACCTCGCCCGTGAACTGGATGGCCGGGTGCATCCGCGTCTTCATCTGCACGGCGTCTGGCACGAGGATCCAGTTCGGCGACGGTTCCGACACGGTGGAAATGGCCCTTCGGTATTTGCAGCGCGGCCATTTAACAGGCTTGTTTCTCGCGCCGGGCCCCTTGGCTACATTGGCGGATAGGCTGGAGGCGATAAGGCATTCCGGAGACCTGGAGACGTATGGGGCCCTTGTGTCGCACTTGCGTGCCTTGCGTGTGTTGGTCACGGGGTCGATGACGGTCAGCACGCCGCTAAAGAAGACCTGGAGGGATATAAGAGGTGGGAAGCACCTGACGGTGCTCTATGGTATGACGGAATCGATGGTCCTAGTGTCAGCGACGGATTGGACTGAATGCGTAGATTCTCCAATCGTAGGTGCTTCTCTGACGAGGAGCCTAGACGCAAATACTGACTATTGCAGGGCTCCTCTGGGCTGCGACTTCCCCAGGTATCTATTAAGATTGCCAACACGGGCGAGATATGTGTCAAGACACCGGGGCTGGTTAAGAGGTTAGCAGGATAATTGCCTTGAGAGGACCAGAAGATAACGCTCGGCGACCAGATACCTCTCCGCAAACCCCAGCGATATGAGCGAAAAGTTCGACTCGGAAGGATTCTTCAAAACGGGCGACATCGGTCGACTGGAGAACGATGCGTTATTCGTTCTAGGTCGCGCATCCGAAGACGGTCAGTCGGATCTATCAGCTCCATACAAATGGACAGGCTAACAATGCTTGAATAGTGATTCACCACCGAGCGTGGAGAGTGTACGCCCCAGAGGTAGAAGGCGAACTCGCCGAGCATCCGCAAATCCAGCAAGCCATTGTGCAAAGTGTCCCGGATGCCCTGCTCGGAGATCATGTTGCTGCTCTTGTAGTGATGTCTGATCGCCGTTCTCGATGTCAGGATGCACACACCGACGAAACCGATAAGTTGGATCTCCGTACGCTGCGAGAATGGCTGGCCCTGGAACGGGGGATGAGTGCGTCGAAGCTGCCTACCATGCTCCGGATTATTCAGTCTGTCGATGAGGTCCCAACGACGGCATCGATGAAGCCGATCAAGAGGAAGATCCGTGAGAAATTCTTCGGCAAAGATGAGCTGGCGAGTGGCAGGGTCGAAGCGTGGGATCAGTCTTGGGTTGAGCCGTGGCTTGGACATCGCCCGTTTGATTGGCAAGGAAAGTTCTGAATGAATTCCGTGAGCGTGAATAACTTGGAAAGACTGGTTTATTTTCAAATAGGAGATTAACACGAGATACCAAATTGTCTACTCGAAGCTTTGTAATCGGAACTGTGTTGCAAGTTCAACGTGCCAGTGATGATACTTATCCACTAAAATATATGAGCGAAATAGTAAAATACTTAAATCAATTCCAGAGCGAAGATTTCATGACAGATCTCCAATGACCCAACCCGATGACATCACTTTCTCTCAAGCACAAGCACCGCAGAATGGGACGAAAGATCGTGAACATGTATATACACCACCCGGAGTCCGGCACTATCCGCAAGAGCTCTCCACTGCTTCTCCGAGCGCTCCTTTCCAGCCATCATGAACATCATGTACAGATCGGCCATGACCGCTTGCCAAGAGACGTTGGTGTCTGGCAGCACAGTCTCATCGATCAGGATCCGGGAGTCGCTCGCCATTACGGGGATAATGTTCTGCAGGATCTTGACGCATTGGTCGTCGGGGTAATCGTGCAGGATTCGACGAAAGTAGTAAAACGGAGCGCCTAAATTAGTTACGGTGTCAGCTTACCAAGCGCGACAAAACGAGCCGAAGGAGAAACTACCTTGAACCGCTTGGGGGGTGAAGAAGTCTTGAGCCATGACTTTGACCCCCTCGAGTCCTGAAACCTGCGCAACGACCTGAGGCATATCCTGAAGGACAAGATGGCCGCTCAAACAGGGGTGTTTGTCCTTCAGATGTCCAGTCTGATGGCCGTAGCCGCCTCCAACATCCACGAGGAACGGCCTGTCCGACGAGGGCTGTGAGCACTCCATAAATTCGTGAACTGCATCGTCTAGGAGCTTGAAGTTCCGAGCCCAGTTGCTCGCTTGATTTGATACCATCGCTAGCTGCGCATTCTGCATATGTTCCGGGTTTTGGGCCAGCCATTCAAAAGCCGACAGCTCGGTATTGAAGGCCTTCTGCAGCGGGGTTTTGGTTTTGACGGAAATGCTTTGATAGTTTGTTTCGGCCAGGAAGGGAGGGACCACTTGGAGGACGGGGCCTACGACGTTGAACCTGGACAGGATGAGCATGACAGCGTATATCGGGCGATATGTGGGATGAAGGCAGGAAACTAAAACATACGCTTGGCTAGTGACCGCCTCAGCTCCTTTTCCTGTAAAGATCTGGGTTACTTGATTGGCTGCGAACTCCTCAACTCCGGTCTGTTTGATCAGGTTGTTGGAGGCGAGGTAGCGAAGGATACGGCCTGGGGTTATATGTTCGTCAGCAATCCGCAGACACCCAGGCTAGCCTCCGAGCCCTACCAAGTAGGTCCTCATCCACCTTGAGCTGTTCTGCAAGGCTGCTGACGGTGCGAGGAGATTCGCTGTTGGCGAGTGTTTTGAAGAGGTTTATATCGATGCTCACGCGGACAACGGTCAGCTTGACGGGCTGAGGGTTTCAAGTCAGTACATCTGCATTCTTAAGTATAGGAAGCCGCTTCACACCGAGTTAAGTAGCTGATAAACGATATACTTCGGATCTTGGATCTCAAACAGAAGGTCTTCCAGGGCTGTCTGGATCGACCTGCGCGCTGCCTCGTCGGCGTTCTTGGCCAGGGAGTGAACCTGAGCGACGATTGAGTCCATGGTGAAAGAAATATCGGCGGAGAATAGGAAGACTTTAGAATATTGAATAACTGTAGTGTATGAATCTGAAGGGTTGTACCAGCGCTGGGATATCTTTATAGAAGAGCCAGTCTGACGACGCCGCGGAACATCCGCGGAGAGGCCGACCGCTGATTGGCGCCGCTCCTTCCGACCCCAACTTTCTCCTCCTCCACGGACATTCATTCATTTACAAGTCCACGGAGTCCACGGAGCCTTGTCCCTGCCATCGCCACTGTCGCACTGCATCCTGTGCAAAGCAAACAATGCGACGGAAGGTTCAGAACGCTGCTTCGCGACAGCGACCGGTATCCTGCCAGTTCTGCCGCGCCAGAAAGCTGAAATGTAATCGCCAACTACCCTGTGGGAATTGCATCAGCCGTGGAATCGCGTGTCAGCTGTATTCGCAGCCGTCGACTGGCGAGTCGGTGACGGATCCGCATATCCTCGAGCGCCTGCGAAGGCTGGAGGATATCGTGATGCGCAGCCAAAGCCAGAGACAAACATCCCTGGTTGCAGATGTGGTTACTCAGACGCCATATTCGGATCCTCGGTATCACCAGGCGACTACGGAGGTGAAACGTCTCGAGCAGGAGTGTATGCGCCAGGACCTTTCGGTACGCTTGGTTGCAGTGACGGGAAGAGATGAAACATTAACATGAGCCTAGGAAACGATCCACCCAGGTGGTGTCACCTTCAAGATATGTCCCATTCAGCCAGGAGTGAGCGCTACAGTCGCTATCAGTAACAGCGGTTCCTGTCTCGGTGAAGCTGAGAGCGTCAGACGCCCGTTTTGCCTGCCACACATCGACGAGGCAAGACGACTGCTCGACAAGTACATCCGCGACATTACCTATCTCCACCATGTGGTTCACATCCCTACGCTGCGTGCCGTAGTGGACGGCATCTATGAAGACATCGGCAGCCTCAAACAGCCAACACCAAGCCATGTGGTGCTCCTGTACAGCATCGTAGCTAGCGCGATTTACTCGTGGACCGAGCAGGACGTAGACCTACCATTCTGTCGCAATGGCGAAGACGCGACCAAGATGTCTGCATTATGGGTCAAGTCGACCCTGGACTTGCTGGACTACCTGCGTCGTGCATCCTCGAAGTCCCTAGAAGAGATCCAGGCCATCATCATCGCCTCTTTCGTTGTCTGTCACCTCGAAGGCCCGTCACCTCGATACCGAGATCTGATAACATCAGCTATCGCGACAGCACGAGAATTGGGCCTTCACAAAATCGATCTTCCCCACGACCCTGACGCCACCAGCAAGAGCCCCAGAGACCCAGTAGCGACTGAAGTCGCCCGACGGGTGTGGTGGTATCTTGTGTCGACAGACTGGTATGTTCTGTTCATCTCTCAATCCATGTGAAAATGCTGATTCCTCAGGATGTTCTCGCAATACACCGGCCCCTTAAAAGGAACCTACAGCATCAGCCCGCGACACATGGCAGTCAACAAGCCCCTCAACATCGACGACGAGGATCTCCATCCCAGCATGCCCACCACAGCGGCGCCACTGAACCATCCCACGAACATCTCCTACAACCTCCAACGCATCCACCTCGCCGAGATCTGCAGAGAACTGACCGACAGCACACCCCTCACCTCAGGCGCTGTCGAATACGCCCAGGTCTTGAAATTCGACCGCAGCATCATCGGCTTCACCGCTCAGTGGCCGTCCTTCTTCCGCCTCGACGAACACACACTCAACAAGCCAGCCTACAACGCCCCAGCCACCGCTACCCAGCGATACATCCTCAACTCCATCGTCCCCTCCCAGCGCTGCCGTCTCCATCTCCCATACCTCGCTCGCGCAGCGACAGACCCCACCTACGCCTACTCCCGAGACGCGTGTCTCGAAGCCGCCAGACACGTTCTTCGCACGGAGCGACTTCTCGCGAGGGAGGAGACCTTGCCGTTCGTGAGGATGCGACAGCGCCACGCCGGTACTCTGCTGTGTCTCTGCATCGCCATCATCGCGCTGTTGGCGGATAACTGCTTCTGTCGGGGCCGGGGGACGGAGAGCGATGCAGACCGCAGGGCTGAGCTGGCTGATGCGTGTGCGATTCTGGACCGCGCGAAGAAGGAATCGCCGATTGCTGGGCGCTTGCTGGGGTATTTCATGCGGGTCATGCGTGAGCATAATGTGCGACTGCCGGTGAGGATGGAGGATGAGCTACCTGCAGGAAGGGAGAGGACGGAGAGTGTGGCGATGGGTTCGACCGTGGAGGAAGTGCCGGGTGCACCGGATGTGTCGGATCAGCTGGCTCAATGGGAGGAGATCTGGCCATGGGATGGATTGGATACGGAGTTGGATTGGGATGCGATTATTTCGGGGCTGGGGCCGTTGATCTGACCACCCTAGTCTATACAACACACAGAGAGAGAGACAGATCGGTATATCTAGCATAACACATGACTCTATGATTAAATTACTTTTACAATCCTCTATAAGACAGACAGGCCAAATTACCTCCCCCGTCATCGATGATACCCCCCATCCTCCTCCCCCCTCGGCTCCGTCTGCACCGTATACTCAACATCCTTTTTAATAATCATCTTCGTACTCCCTTCACTCCCTAGACTGCCTCTCTCATCGCGATCCTCCTGCGACGGCGCCCCAGACCCCGGAAACGACGTCACCAGCGTCTCAGCGCCCTCGCTGCCCGGCGCCCCCCGCGGCACAAACGCCCCCTGCTGTGTATGCGTATACCCATGCCTTGCGCCCGAGCAGCTCGCCGCGCCGAAACTCTGCAGTGCAAAGTCCCCCCCGCCGCCTTGGCTCTGGGAGTGTCCGATCGTGCCGCGGTGTCGGCCGGAGCCGTACATCGTCGAGGAGCCGTAGGGTGTGCTGCGTGAGCGTGAGCTCGCTTCGAGGTTCTCGTCGCCTGCCGTGCCGTAGGCCGTTGTTACGGCGTTCATGAATGGGCGCAGGCAGAACACGGTGCAGGCGACCAGGGCGTAGTTCATTTCGACTTGTGTCCAGACGTAGTGGGCGATCGAGTCGAAGGTGGGGTTGTGGGAGTTGATGAATTTGTGGAAGGAGGCGAGGCGCAGGGATTCGAGGGGGATGAGACTATCGTGGAGTGGGTTAGAGATTGGATCTTTGGATGGCTGGGGATAAAGGGGGATATTGAGGGTAGGCTTACGGTAGTCTCGCGGCAAAGGATATCATGATCACGACCTTATGCCGGACGGGCATTTGAAGACCGTAGACGAGGCCGACGGAGAAGAGGAAGAGAAAGATTTCGGTGATGATGTCGATGGCCGTGATGAATTGCCATCGGGGGAACTGTTTCTATGAGTATCTGTCTCGACTAAATCTTGTGTAGGAGACATACCAGATTAACGCAGTGCTCGCCCGGCGTCACCCACGGCTTGTTCACGGAGCAGTCGACCGTGACAATCACAATGGAGATGATGATACTGGCCGTGCTGATGGCGAACGTCGCCCAGAGAATATTCTTGTGGCTACGACGCGGCGTCAGACGCGAGTAGATGGCGACAATGCAACATCGTGACAGGAAGAGCGTGACGAGGTAGAGGACGTCGGTGGTGGCGATGTGCTGATGATCAATTAACCCTGAATCGGTAGGAATATGTTAGAAGAAATAGAGGTAGACATACATTTTGAATCCTCGACACCGTCCGATCATCCAGCAAAGTGATCGCCGTTCCGAATCCAATCGACGCGGAATAAAACACCACGATCGACTCCACTATCGCGGTGACCTGCAAAGTGGACTGTCAGCAATGCACAGACAATGCATATCAAGTCTCAGGATATCCAAAAAACGAGAAAATTAGCAGAAAGAGGGCAACTCACCGTCCCACCCAGCAGAATGATATCGTCAAACGCCAACGGCGGACTCAACAGCAACCGCACATACATGCGGATCAACAGACACACCAAAGTGATCACCATGCAGATGGCCGTCGTGATAATGATAATGCCCGCATGATGCTTACTGTCGATGGTCTCGAACGGCGCGGATTGTCCCTCCGGCACGGTGATGGCCATTGCTGGCGGATGATGCTGTTATGCTTCACTATTGCTCGGTTTTCACATAGAGCGCGATGTGTATGATGGATGCAACGCATTCAGGCAGGAAACAGGAAAAAGAAACGAACGACAGGGATAGAATATAATATAGTCTAGTATTAAGTTGGGATTGAAATAAATCAATCGACGGAATGACCACGCAAGGAACACGGCGAGAACAGTCAACGAAACGAAAGGACAGCACGATTTAGCGCCTGTGGCGAGTGCGACGAGATATCGATGGATCCTTCCACCATGTGTTTTTGATTAGCGGTTTTGGGAGGGCCCTGAGATCGAGATCATGCTCCGTGGGCAGCATACGCAGGAATATCCAGACCACGAGTGGGAGCTGGACTGCGTTCCAACATCCACGACCCTAGCAGCTGGAACTAGACGGTTGGGGCTGAAACTGGATAATAAGGTTGGCTCCAGAGCTGAGCTGATGCAACCAGAGACTGATTGAATCATTCAACGATGCTGTGGGTGGTATGCGTTGCTAATAGCCTCCGCGGGCGACGGGGGTTACGGAGAATGCTGGGATGGATCGTGGACGACGGCGTGAATCTGCCTATTCAATTAATTAATCAATAATCAATATCCCGTCTGTTCTCCGTAGTCCCTGGCGAATGGATCTCGCTTTCGCATCGGGGAGGACAGCCCGAGCATTACGGAGTAGATTATTGCTACCGAGACCCGAGTAGCCATTAGCAGGGCATCTCCGTGGACTTGTGCTACTCCGTGCCCGTGGACGACCAAGCAGGCGATTTGAGATACAGACTGGGGCCGAAAAAAACCCCTGCCCAATGTGCAGCATCCAGTCACATCCAGTCATCGAGACTCCTGAGAGCGAGGACCAGGACGGTGGACCCTGGATGTCCCACGCCATGCGCAGATGTGGCTGCACAACGGCGAGCACTTGAGCAGGATTAATATAAAGTTTAGAGAACGGTCCCAGCCAGTCCACAGTTAATACCAAATTAATCTACATCGGCGCCTGGACGGCAGGACTAACTCGAGGGAGAATTGCAGACGAGCGCCGCTCCACTTGGGCCCCGACCCTAGGGTTGCACTAACGGACGAGGGCCGCCCTTTTCGCTCGTCCTCGCGGCGGCGATATTAAATCTGGCCGGCGAGGGATGCAGGGATTTCCCTAAGGATTTTCGAGAATGTCTCGAGCCCCTGTCCGGGCTGCACTTGATCCTGCAGGAGCCGAACAACATGGCAATTGGGCTCGGTAGTACGTATCAGCCATCTACGCCGGCAGACGCAGGTTGATCCTAGGGCGAAGGCGAGAATCACAGAGAAGAAGATCCACCGCACGCACCACCTTCATCATGCTGACATCTTCCCAAACACCTTATTTCTGCCACCCATTGGTTAAACTCCGGATGTGCCGCGCGTTCCGTCCCATCGTGCCAGGCCCAACCCTAGCTGGCGCCTGTAACTGGGAGGACCCCTAGGAGTCCTACGACTGGCCACTCAAAACCTGCCCCTCGCCGATCTGGCCGCCATCGCCATCGTCCAGGAAAACTCAATACGATCGGAGACCCACCGTGTCCTCTGGAGCCCCACTGGCGAGGGAGAGGCGCTGCTGGCTGCGCGCTAGGACGATACTCGGGCTGTCGTGTCGGACCTCGGCCGGGACTCCTGGACCTGTTCGTCGGCGATGGAGTCAGGAGGTACGGAGTTGTCCGAGATGGGCCTGAGTTAGTCCGGTGTAGTACGGCTGCAGACACGGAGTTGAGGTTGTAGTCCAGAGCGTGTGGATTCTGGATAGTATCTGACCATGTGATATTCTTGACTCCATTCCAGATACGTTTCAATCTCTCGGGTCGCCGGGATAAACTTTGGTGAATTCCATGGTTCATGCGCCTGGCGTGCGCCAGGATTCGGAGGATTTTGTTTTCTTTTTCTTTTCTCAGCTTTAGCGCCCCTTTGAACGGTTTAGTGATTTTAGTCTGTCGGGGATGGCGGTAGGGCGAAGCCTAGAATTGCCTACCACGGTTTCGCGCGGTTCAGAGGTGGACTTGTCAGGGGCTTTGTTTGACTTTACTACTTTTTTACGTACAGAGTAGTATTCCTCCAGCCTTGTCCCTCTTGTCACAGGCTCAGAGCTGTGGTTCTCGCGCCCCGAGAATCCCGCTCCGTTTTACTTTTCCGTGGTCGATGCTGAGGGAATACGACGCTACGAGATAGTCCAGGTTTAGAGGAGTTTGACATTAACTATTACTAAAACTATTGAATGGATTCCATGCAAACGGAATTGCCAGGAACCGGATCAAATTAACTAGCTGCCTACTGGATCGAGCTACACGTCACGCTTGACCAGCGCCACCGGGGGAATGTAGTGGTGTCGGCCGCGGAAGAGGTAGTACACGACGGCGATGATGATGACACCGCAGTACATGACGACGCACCAGTTCATGGTCTCCTTGTCGACGGTGGCGGTCAGGGGGAAGAAGGCGAAGACGAAGACCGGCAGCAGGAAGGCCAGCGCGCCGATGTTAACGGCCATGCCGAACCGGCCGAGGGTCCAGCGATGGGGAGGCAAGGGGTGGCCCCGCAAACGCTTCAGCAGGAGGCAGCCGATGGTGATCACGTACGACGACATCAGCGAACTGATGGTCAGGGTGACGATGGCCTGGAGCGCCACGGTGGAGCCGATGTTGATCAGCGACAGCAGCGCCGTCACCACGAAGGACACCATCACGGCGTTGAACGGGATGTTCCAGCCCGGAGTGACCTGCGACCTCGGTTAGCGAGGCTGTACGTAATAGGGTGGGATCGTGGAACCTTGAGGATTATGGCTCGATAGGGGGTCCAGGAACTTACGTAGGAGAAGAACCCTGAAAAGGGGAGGCCCCGGTCTCGAGCGAAGGACCACAGCTGACGAGACGCCGTGGCCACCTCGGTGATGGACGAGGCCGTCAGGGTGAGAACGAGGATGGCGGTCATGGTGTTGGTGCCGGGCAGACTCTCGGTGGCGTTGTAGAACACCTGGATGAAGGGAAAGCCGGTCGGCGAGGCCAGGATCTCGTCGATGTCACCCAGCGTGAAGCAGACGGTCACCAGCATCAGGAAGCCCGACGCGGCGTTGATCAGGACGGAGGTGATCATAGCTTTGGGCAGGGTCTCGGAAGCGTCCTTGATCTCTTCGGCTGGGAAACGTAAGTATATACGTAGTCAGGTCGAGGTGTAATAGACCTACACATGTGCACGGCGCAGTCATATCCGATCAGCGAAGTAATCGTCGTCGAGAATCCGACCAGGGTAGCCACGCCGTTGCTGCCCCATTCACCACCGTCGTTGAACTCGGTAAACACCTGCTTCGCGCTGCGACGGGGTCCCAGAACCCAGAGGGGAATCATAATGGCGAACAGTCCGCAGACGTGCAGAATGAGAATGATGACCTCGACGAAGGGGAGCTTCTTCGCCAGGAAGGTGTTGAACAGGATGGAGAACAGGGTGATCGCAATCACCAGCATGGTTCCGTGCCAGCGCTGGAAGTCGTAGTTCTCGTTGTTCAACACGATCAGGCCCTGAATGATGGTTCCGGCCAGGAAGGTGATGGAGACGATGGCGCATTGCCATCCCATGGCACAGAGCCAGCCTACAGTCTAGTTAGCGAGGTGCTAGGACAGTGAGTTGAACCATCACGTACCAGTAATGTAGCTCAGGAATTTCTGGCAGCTGGCCGGCGCAAATTCCGAAACCCAGTGGTATTGACCACCAGAGGTCGGAGCCCTGAAGCAATCATCAGCACGATATACCATTCCAGTCCCATTAAGAAACAACTTACATGGAGGCCATCTCGGCCAGACTCAAGAACACCAGCAGGAAGCCACAGGCGACGATGAGGAAGCCCCAGATCAAACCGGCCGTACCGCCATCCGTCAAGCCCTGCTCCAGCAAGCTATACAACTCTGCATTAGCGACGGCGTCATGCGACCGAAACAGGTTAACCAGGCACGTACGTCAGAACCACCTCCCACGTGGCAATCAACGTGCATCCAAAGCCGACGATAGAGATATACCGGAAGTTTCGCTGGATGGAGTCAGCGGGGCGATCCAGGAACGCAAAGCTACATTGGGACAGTCGGGTTCATACACGCAGGACCTGTTCTCGACCCAGCGCACTCATGTCGGCCTGATCGGCCGCGGTGCCTCTGTATTTGGTGGGCACATGGCTCTTGGGCACAGGCTCGTCGCCGTAGGTGGACACTTGCGTGCCACCTTTCGTGGTGGTGTCGAAGTTGAACATGGCGACTCGTTCAACCCGAGATGTCGATCAGAAGAGACGAGGGACGATGGAATCAAATCGATGCAAGGGATTCCAGGAAGACACCGAGGATGGCGGATCTTAAATTGAGATTGCAGATTAATAAAAGCAGGTTTATGCCGTAAAAAAAAGAAAATTAAAACCCAAATGTTACAGAAATGAAATGAAAGCAGTAATGCGGACTAACGCCACAGCCTAGTCGTTGGAGACTGGAGGCATAAGCGAGTCGAGAGTCAGTGGAGGTCAGTCTAGAATTGCAGAGGACTGGAGATAGGGGTTCAGCTGGACTCTTGAAGAGAGAATCCGGAGTTTGAGCGAGTCTAATGCAGGGCCGACCGTTAAGAATCGTGGCGATTAAGAGGATGCTCCTACATGATTCCATGTATGTCGAGCCCTAAGAATGCCGGCAGGTGGCAATCCAGACATGCAGTCTTTACGGAGTACAATTTACAGACCCCTGTCGCAGGATTCCTAGTGAGCCCAGCGATGATCAATAAAATAATATAATCCGAGGACTGAATGAGTGACTAACAGGCTTCAGCATCTCCACGCCGCTATGAATTGAGCCCACTTGGACGCGCTGAAACCTCTTGGCGGCCTCAGCGACGGTGGGTCTGTCGGTCAGGCAATCCTTGCTCTGCTGCTGCACCGAATGATCGGGCTCCAATTCTTACACAAGTCGTCGCTGTCTGCATCCCAATGTAGGCAGTCGCTTGAGAATGCGTCTGGTTCGTCGAGCAGTGCCGTGATGTTCCGCGGATCCAACTTGCATACCTCGACGCCACTACTCCGGAGTCCTACTCTCGCTGCACCTTCAGCCATGGCAACCCCTCGGCCAGTGACACAGAAATGATAGATAATCGATCCATCCGAATGGACCGATCCCTCCAAATCCATAAATTCCTCTCGTCATGGCTTCTCCGACCGTCCTTGCGGCGGGCCTTTTGCTGGCCCTGCTTCTCTATCACTACGTAATCCAGCCTTACTGCCTCTCGCCATTAGCGAAGATCCCCAACGCGCATTTCACCGTCCCTTTATCCTCTGCATGGATTGAACGCCGACGCGCTGCCGGAAAAGAGGTGCACACGATCTACGACGCCCATCGCAAGCATGGCTCCGTGGTGCGACTCGGTCCCCGCGAGCTGAGCGTCAACTCCCTGAGCGGCCTGCGAACGATCTACACGGGCGCATTCGAGAAGCATCAATGGTACAACGATCTGTTCGTCAATTTCCACACCGAGAATATGGTGGGAATGGTGCACAATCAGCCGCACGCCCGCCAGAAACGCATGCTCAGCAAGATCTTCTCCAAGTCGTTCCTCCAGGACTCCCCCGACCTCCGTGACCTCTCGCGCATCGTGCTCTCGCAGCGCCTCCTGCCCATCCTGCACCGTGCGGCCAGCGCCGGCGACGTCCTCAATGTCCTGCCGCTGTTCCAGGCCGTCGGCATGGACTTCACGTCCGGGTTCTTGTTCGGCTCTCGCAACGCCACCACGTGTCTGTTCGACCTGCCGGAATGGAAGCGCTGGCTGGACGAGTACGAGCAGTTTAAGGAGATGAGCCGCGACGACCGCCGAGACGGATTCATCGAGTCGTGGTGCCTGTCGCTGTGTCGGCGGATGGAGCACAACGACCATCCGAACGACGTCCCCATCGCCACGAGCCCCGTCGTATACGATCAGCTGCGCGACAGCCTCGAGAAAGACCCCGACAGTCGACCGCGCGAACTGGCCATCGCCTCCGAGCTCCTCGACCACCTCGTGGCCGGCCACGAAACCACCGGCATCTCCTTCACCTACATGATGTGGGAGCTGTCGCAGCGTCCGGATCTCCAGGATGAGTTGCGCCGCGAGCTGCGCACGCTGAGTCCGCAGCTGAAGTTTCCTGCCTCGGACGGGAAGATGGACGCACTATTGGACATCCCCAATGCGTCGGACATCGACGCCCTCCCACTTCTGGACGCCATTCTTCGCGAGACCCTGCGTGTGCATTCTCCGGCCCCGGCCCCCTTGCCGCGCGCGACGCCCTACACGAAAGACGGTGTGTCCTTGGATGGATACGATCACATCCCCGGCGGTATCCGCATCAGTTCCTCCTCGTACAGCCTGCACCGGATTGAAGAGGTGTATCCGGACTCGGAGCAATGGCAGCCTCGACGGTGGCTGGAGCCGGAGGGGAAGATCCACGACATGAGACGATTGTTCTGGCCGTTTGGCAGCGGAGGGCGCATGTGTCTGGGGAGTAACTTTGCTCTGCAGGGTATGTATCTCCGTTTTGACCGGAGGGTGAAACTGAGTGCTAATGGAAACAATAGAGATCAAACTGGTGATGGCCGCGGTGTATACGAACTACAAGACCGAGATCATCGACGACGAGAACATCGAGCAGGACTTCGCTTTTATTTCTCTGCCGGTCGGACGCAAATTAATGTTGAAGTTCACGCCGGTGGGATGAATTACGACGTCACGATGCGACGTGGTGGAGTTTTCAAATTGGTGAGCTGTCAGATTGCAGATGAAAGCATGTTTTGTTGCATATTGCGCAATGTTTGGGATTCTGTCCTACGCAAATTAGGCAAGCGAGTCAACGTAACATTTTTCTGGCTCCTGTGCGACATCAAACGCTGAATGTTCATTTCTATGGCTCTCCAACTCCACTCGGTTTCAATCTAATAAGATCGCCTTACATAGACCGGGTGGTCCAGGCTTGGTAGCGGATGGTGACATTAAGCTCAGGACTAAATTAACATCCTTGAGACAGTTCCATTAGGTGGACACGTCGGAGACTGAAACACCAAGCCTGAGCTGTGTGACGCGTTGAATCCTTCATCAGATGGCTTATGCATTTTATGAAGTACTTTTCAATTTTATCCCAGTCCTCGTGTATCTCATTTCTTCTTCACTGCTTAGAATCATTCCCAATCCCGATAGATGTCCCATTATGACCTCTCCCAGTCGATTCCCGGCGCCACTCAAACCCCGAATCATGACAATTGGTACGACGTGCCTCAAGCCGTAAGCCTACGCCACGGTGGGCGTCGTGAAAGTGATGCAGACTTCGTATGGCAACCGGGCCAGCAGTCGCCATCCGGCCATGAGAGTTACACAACCACGTATAACACGTGAAACGTTGGATAGCAGAGGATCCAGCAGCGGAGAAGACTTTGTGATTGGCATCAAACATGACCGATAATCGGAGTTAATCTCAACGGTATGATGTAAAGAGGGGAGCGAATACTGAGTAGTTCAAGTCGGCGTTGAGTGTATTCTGAGAGCTAAGGGCGGTAGACAACACCCTTATTTTACATATTGATAAGAGATGAATGATAGCCCTGAGGACGCAAACCCGGAGTGATTCCTGCTGAAGGTATCCCTTGCTTACCAGCGTGAGTCATTGTTGTCCAAGGCTGTGATAAAGAAACACATGGATTTCAGCGCTTGAGAGCCCTATCTTGATGATAGTTTCATAGCTTAAAGCAGCCTACCCCTCCATCTTGTTTTCTTTCTTTCTTTCTTCTTATTTTTTATTTTTTTTTTTTTTTATTTTTTTATTTTTTTATTTTTAACGCAAGGCTATTCTAATCTCTGTTGGAGGTTCTGATGAATTCATCCCTTGGCTATATTGCACGATTCGCTCCTTATCTGACCACCTCATTTAAACAAGTCGCAACTCTAAACACCATGATCACAGTACTCTACAGAGCACCACGCTGCTTACGAACATTCATATCCCTGGTCTGACATGCAGAAAACGCCCATACGATTCCAATCCTACGCGAACCCTTTTTCTTCCCACTTACCCCTATCATCGCTTTGAAATCACCCTCCTTGATACCATTGCCATGCTCATTCACTCTACACTCGCCTTATGGATCCCATTCTTCGCGACTTCGCTCGCAGAAACCTGCTACTGGCCCAACGGCGACCCCGCGCCCTCCAACTACGTGCGTTGCCCGGACCAAAAGCTCTGCTGCGCGACCGGCGAGGCCTGTCTCAGCAATAGGCTCTGCTACGGCGCGAAATACAACATCGCGTATCGTGGTGCCTGCGTCGACAAATCCTGGCCGGAAGCTTATTGTCCGCGCGCTTGCTATGACGGTATGTACACATATGTATAATTTCGAACTTGGACATTTCAGGGAAAGAGGGTGCGGGTGCTGACGGTCTGGTCGATTATATAGAGATCCCCGACGGATGGGCCAATCTTTACGCTTGCCCGAATAACACGAACCAGGTCTTTACGTGTGGGAGACCGGGATGGGCGGCGGACGTCTGCAAGGTGAATCTGGGCAAGTATGTTTGGGTAGAGGCGCAGGTGTCCGTTGCTAGAGTGTCGCAGCCAATATCGACATCGACGTCGACGTCGACATCAATGTTGGTATCGTCGACAATGTCCAGAGCCGAATCGACTAGTACTGGCGATCCTCGAAGTACACCCACGGCTGCCGCATCTGATGGATCGATCGTTGGGGCTTGGGGTGCCGTTGCTGCTTGTTTGCGCGGGGATCGTGGTCTTTTGTGTGGGTATGAGAAGGCGTTCTTCAGGTGGTCTGGTGTATACCGGGGATGTCGCACCTGACTACTATGCCGGAGCAGCGTTGGACGTGCATACCAGAGGGAAGTTTGACGGTAGGGTCAGGGAGCTGGACTCGGGTCTGGAGAGGAGGGAACTGGAGGGTTAAAATGGCCTGGTTGGGATGTGTATGGTAGAAGTGTTATATAGAGAAATAAGGTTCATTTGTCTATATATTCGTGTGGCTGATAGCCTGCCGAATTAGTAGAACACATATATAGAGAATCGGCGTAGAGTAGTCAGATGAGTCTCATACAGAAGTGACTTAGACCAGTCCAGTGGGATCAAAGGATGTCCATGCATAAGGGAATCTTAATGTTATCTCGATCTATAAATAAATCAGAGAAAGTTGGACAATGACAGGACAATACCAAAGTTACGGCCGAATGCCTGTCGGTGGTACCGCGGCGTGACATCCATACGACACGTGCTATACTGAATAAAGAACCTCGAGAGAATATCGTTGGATATACTCGATAGAAACCAGAAAGACAGAATACGAGTTTGTCTGATTCCTCTGGACACTGGCTATTCCTGACATCCCCACTAAGGCTGAATGAGTGTTTCAGACGCTGCCCCCTGATTGGCTGCCTGAGGCCCGCCCCCAAGACTCCGGCGGGCATCTTCATTTTCCCCTGCGACCCTCGACTCTCCTTCATTCCTCTTCAGATTCCATTCTTCCATCCTCCTGCCAGATCCTGATCACCATGCCGTCCCTCACCAAATACCTCCTGCTCCCCCTCCTCTGCGTCTCCCCCATCCTCGCCGCCTACCAGCCCGACTACAACGCCATCTTCGGCGAGAAATGCGCCCGCCCCGTCCAGGCCACCCAGGAAATCATCGCCCCCATCGCCAGCGACCTCGTCCAGAAGGTCTGCAACCAGTGCGACCATGACAAGATCACCTACGAGATGCTGCAGCGCTCCGAGTCCAACAACTTCAACTGGGCCATCCTGCACCTGAAGGGCGTCGGCTTCGAGCTGCGCGAGTCCTACGTCCCCGAGAAGCTGTTCAACCTCGTCTGGGACTTCTGCATCAAGAAGAAGTGGCCCACCCAGTCCCTCTGCGAGGACGACTTCACCGAGTTCCGCGACTGCGTCCTGCACACCGGCATGAACGAGATGGTCGGCCCCTTCGCCGCCTACAACCAGCTGGTCCAGGACCGGTGTCTGCGCATGCCCGCCGCCGCCGCGCGCATGGTGCCGCTGGTCAAGGAGGAGGTGGATAAGTTTGTCGGTCGGGTTTGTCCGAATGGGCCTCAGGGGAGGGATCAGGGGTGAGTTTTCCGTTTTTCGCCACTTTCTGGGCAGGTGCTGACGAATTTAGTGTCTTGGCTGCTTGAGCGATCGCGTTTGGGATTAATTGGATAATGGTTCACGCTTGGGTTTACTCGTTTGTACAGTATAAGGGTAGACTTAGAATTGGATATATTGGATATCATTTGGATGATTTGTTCGAACCTTGGTTATGCGGATGCCGACCGTTGGAACCGCTGCCACAGACTAATGCGACCGGGCCTCGGATATGACAGGAAACGGACATACGCTCCACGACCGAGATCTCCTATTCACGATGTACCGTTTTCAAATATTTGTCGACCGTCCGGAATACCTGACCGTTCACAAATCTCGCCTTCAAGTCGATGCAGCTCGACCCAGTGTTTCCAATCGAGAATTGCGAGTCAACGAGCCTGCCTACAACGAACAACCCGACTTCTGGCCGGCGACATCGTTCGACTCTCCGTTATCGACGTATCTTACATGCTTGTCCTCGATATCCAATTGAGAAACCAGATATCTCCGCATCACAATTTAGACCGAAGACCCTAATAGGAGAGCTGCCAGTGCTCAGATAAACACAGGAAACGCTGAACTCAACATCCATATGCTTATCGCCAGGCCAACATGTCGAGTACTCGAGGAATCGCAAACAGAGAATTTGAAATACTGCACGAATGAGAAGCCTGACTAGTCATACCAAAATCAAATCTATTTCATAAGTAAAGGTATCATAATACAAGCATCCCAAGCCATCCGTCGCTAAACCTGCTCAGACCCCATCAACAAGTCCACCTCACCAATTATGCAATCCATCCAATCAATGATCAAACATAACTCGACTTGCCGAACCCTCTGCCCCGAGACAAGAAAATCGAGCACCCGATCACCGCCGCACAAACCACAAAGTCAATCAGCATGAACGCCGTGTTCGCCTTGGCCGACGTGCACCGGCTCTTCAGCTTGTCCTCGCCGCCAAACGAACACGTCTTGTCGCCGTCGACCTTGACGCAGCCCCCGCTGAGGATCTGGTTGTCCCACGTGGTCGAGACGTCCGAGCAGTCGGCGTCTTTGAGGATGACGGCGTAGGCCTGTTTTCGTGTTAGCTTCTGCCAACGGGTCGAGATGAACACGACGAGAAGGGAAGGAGACGTACGATTCCACCCGCGAGAAAGACAAGACTTGCTAGCCCGTCCACTGCCCATGAGATGAGCCCGTCGAGAGACGATATGAAGAATGCGGCGACCCCGACCAGCGAGGCCACGATTCCCAAACCCCCTGTGAACGCGGCGTATCCGGTGATGGCGGGCGCGGACCCGACGGATTGGCCTTTGGCGAGGGCCACGGAGAGACCGAGGACGATGATGGCGAAGAGGAGCTGTGGTGATTGAAGTTAGTTCAGCGACTGGGATGCGTGGGTTGAATGCGATGGTCGTACCTGGAATGCCCGCACGACTGCCGTGATGATTTGCATGTTGATTGAATATATGTCCTCTATTCACATATAATGTAGAGGCAGATAGATGGCAGTTGAGTTGGTTGCAGGTCCGATTGAAGTGGAAAAATCCAACAGAACCAGACAAGATGCTTAGAACCTCGTGGGTTTTATGAGACCCCGACGAGGCTGATCCGCATAGACCGACTCATTCGATTTCCCCTGGACTGCCAGGACAAGCCCTGCCCAGCCAATAAAGGCTGATCGTCGTCGTTGGAGCCCTGCGTATCCCGTATCCCTGGCGTTTCATGTCGCTTCCGGCCCCAGGGATTCTCGTTACAGCCTCGACACTGCCGTGTTGATTGTGATTGACGTTATACATTTTCGAGGAAATTCGATGGATTGCGGTCTTTGATTGAAATGCTTTTCGAAATCCTGACGCTGGACTCTTGTATCATAGCGATGTTGGCTCCAGACATTGAGTTTTCGTCGTGTTAGACTAGGAGTTGGGATAGATGAACACGGCCCCCACGCTCACAAGGCTGAATTTAAACGTTAGGCTTCTTTTCAGGGTCCGTGTTTGAGATTCCCTGCGATCCAGGGTCGGGGAATTATGCTTGTTTCAGATTGAAGGTAGTTGCCACCGTTGAGCAGGGTTCTTACTGCTTAGTGCTGCCGGAATAATAGACGACCGGTGGGCTCATGGAGTCATATCAGGCTGACCTGACGGCCCTCAAATCAAGTGTTCTTGGCTCCGTGCTTCTTCAGCTTAGATATTTTTAGACTGGGATCAAGGCCCCAGTATGAGAATTTGCTGCTAGTATGTACAAAGCAGCTGTAAGCTACGCCGGCAGAGCGCTATATCCTCTCGCTCGCACCCACACGTCCACCACCTTGGACCCTTCTTCCAGATCAGAGTCCACCACGAGATACCATCCGTGCATGGCGCCTGTCACGCACGAATGGTTGGGATACACGCGAACCGCCTGTCCCACCTCCAGCGGGATATCGGGCACCTCGTCCCCGTCCCTCCCCTTCTCCCACGTCACGATCGAGTGCTCTTGACTGATGCGCGCCAGAATCAGACGACGCGACGCCGCCTCGCGCCGCCACTGCCCGATCACCCCCCAGCCGGGATAGCTGTGGCAGGGCTCTCGGCCTAGAGCCAGCGTGCCCGCCGCCAGAAGCGCCTCGGGCTGCGCTCGCTCGCCGCCGTTATACAAGCTGCAGACCTCCGCGACCACCGAAATCGCCACCTCATCGTCGGGCCGGCCTCTGCTTTCCGCCTGCGTCTCCAGCTGCTGCATGTCCAGCACCGCGTAGTTGCCCGCATGGAGTTCGACCTTCACCCGCGCGCCGGGGAGCGGATCGCGCAGCAATTCACGCAGCCCCCGAGCCTCCGCAGACGCCGCCGCCGACGTCTGGCCCTGCAGGAGATTCTGCACCGACGCAGCCTGCGGCGTCGCGCCCACGCTGATCACCAGCTCCCGGTCCGGTAACAGGTCCACATGATGCCGCACCGCGTCGCGACACCCCGTGATCTCCGCCGTGAGATGGCCCATCGCTTCTTCGGGCGTGCTGCCCGCGTAGCTGAGACTGCTGTGCGAATACACCCCCAGCAGGCGCGCGTGGCCGTCGCGCTCCGCCTGCGCCAGCCGCTTCAGCAGATCGGCCTTGTTGAGTCCCGTCGGCGGCAGTCCTGCGCGATGGTACCCCGTGTCGACCTTGATGAAGACGCTGGCGGGGAGCCCCGCCAGGCGATGGAACTCGGATAGGAAGTCGATCTGGGCCGGGTGGTCGATCATCACGGCGATGGTGTCTTCGCCGAGGGTGCGGGCCAGCGAGGCGAGTCGTGGCACCTGCGACGGGACCAGCGGGATGCCGTACAGCACGTTGACGCGACGGTGCTGCGCTTGGAATTCCTGCAGCAGGGGCACCAGATGGTGGATTTCGTTGACGGTCGACGCGACCAGGTTGACGTCGAAGGTCTCGGAAGAGCCCATCTGCATTCTGGTGATTTCTGTGGTCTGCGTAGATGGTCAGCGTTTGGTATGAGATTGAGAGGGATAGAGAGAAGCTTCCTACTTTATGCGTCTTGACGTGCGCGCGGAATCCGACGTCCAGGGCCTTCACGGCGCGGATCATCTTGTCGCAGTTGCGCCGGATGATGGCGGCGTCGAGAACGGCGCATGGCTTGGATACGTCGGCGATGTCTTGGCCGACGTAGATCTGGCGGAGGTCTTCTGGGGAGGTTGACATGTTGAGGAGATGGCAGTGAGTCAATTAAGAGTGGAAATGGAAGCGAAGTAGAAGGAGAAATAGTGGGGGATGTTGATGGTTTCCCGCCGGAGTGGAGAGCCAGCGTCAATGACCGTTGTCCGCCGGAATTCGATCTTCAATCTTCTTTGGAGGCATTCTTGGTTCTTTATTCCACTATATAAGCTTCTGGATCGATTTCGTTTGACTCATATTCCTGAGTGCTACTGGATATCGACGCCGGTGAAGATCCTGCCTCGTTGTCGGGAGAACCATCCGGCTGATCGTTCAACCGCGTCTTTTCTTGCTTCTTTCTGTCGATATCCCACTGGAACCAGGTTCATTATATAGAATATATAGAAGATAGAAGAGATAGAACGTATATAGTATATTGAAGAATGTCTGGATGGCTTCTGTCACCAAGATTGTTGGTTCTGCATACCTTACTGGGACCTTTTCTTCCAGGCCGGATCAAGCCCTAACTCTTTCTATAGATGCAATCATTCCAACCAACTATACCATCCAGTCCAATCCAAAGTCATCTCTACTCCCTTCTGATCTCACCTCATCTTCCCACTCTGTCACATCCTGACCAAACCCCGAGATCAAACGACCTATCCAGCCATTGCAGCAGCCATATCCCTAACTAATCATCACGCAGCACATCCACCACAAGATGAATACGAACGCCCTACACCTGTACCGCAATATTTCCCCAATTGAGATGCGCCGTCAGCTCACGAATGCCGCAAACAAACTCGTCGGCATAAATTGCCGTCTTTCCTCCCCTGCAGCACCATTAACCTATTTCATCCTGCGGCTCACCCGGGGCTTATATCCCGCTAATACCTGGCCACTAAATATCCGGGATTATATTAAACCCCGTCTGCCCTGCAGGCCTTACTGTTTATGTGGAGTAAGCTACGCAGAAGCATATCCCTTGTGAGCTGGGGAATCTGGAGCGGCAGGACGGACTTCGCCGATGTCAGTCCGTGTTTGCTTGGCCTTAGGCTGGCCATGGATGGACTTACTTACTGTATTGACTTGGGTGAATAAGGGATTTGTCAACATGCAATGTCATGCAGGTATACAGAGTCTGGATTCTGAGGAGGGCGCCTGATGTAGGTATTGGTGGGCTGTGGCGGAGTGAGTGTGCTGGCTTCGTGTTCATCTATTGTGCTGATTGCCCAAGAGATGGCACGAGTGTGGCTTCATTTGTAGGAAGGAATAATGAGGTCCAGACTGGGATGTGAAGGAAGATGAAGCCATCGCGAAATCTACATAAGACGGACAATCCCCCGATATCAACCCACCCTCCAACCAACACAACACAAAACAAATCCTCCATCCAACTATCTCTCCATTACAACTGTTTACCTCTATACCAAACCACTAAACAACCAAAATGAAACTCCCCTCCCTCCTCACTCTGGCCCTCGCCAGCACCACCACCACCCTGGCCAACCCCGTCCCCAACCCCGACGCCAACACCAACACCAACACTCTCTCCAAACGCGGCGTCGAAACCGTCTACCTGTCCAACTGCATCACCTCCGGTTCCGTCTACAACCGCAGCGGCATGTTCTACTACCCGGACGGCGACCAGTCGCAGAACGGCGAGCGCCCGGCCAGCGGCAACTACGCGTCCGTCAACGGCGGCAGTCTCGTCTTCTGGGAGGGCAAGTCGGTCTTTGGCACCTTTGGCACTGGAGTGACTTTTACCTCGAGCATCAATGCTGGCTCTCATTCTGCCTTTAGTTACTCGGGCAGTGGCACGAACGGGTATCGGACGTTTAGTTGCTATCGGGACAATGAGCGGTTTTTGTTCAATTCGGCGAGTTGGGGGAATTGCTACTCCATTTATTATTGTATCTAGGCTAAGGTTTTGGGTGGTTGCAAATGCAGGTTGAGAGGAAGGAGGTTATATGAGAGTCAAGTACTGGTGGAATGACAGTGGTCGTGATTCGTGAATACACATATTGCTATATACAGAGTATTTTATGCTGACATCAAGACAATCAATCAAATCAAGCCCACGCATCCCAGCTTAACCCATCCCGATACTCCAGTCCCACCTGAGCTCCCTCATTCCCAACCAGATATCCGTCCAGACACGCCTCGTACGACACCTTCGGCTGCTGGCGGTAGAACGCATCGTATCGGCTGTCCAGCGCCTGGCGTAGACTCTGCACTGATCCGTCCGGGTGCAGAACCTCCCACGGCTTGATGCAGGTGGCGCCCTGGCAGGACTTGAGCACCAGGAGGAGAGCGTCGAGTCGGTTGACAACTGCTGGAAGGGGCCGCGAGAGAAGGCTCGTGCTGTTGCTGGTTGTGTAGAGGTTGTGGATTTGGTAGGGGTCCGTCTGATCTGATTAGCATGCTGTAGTGGACTATAGGGCTCGAGATGGGAGAAGACAAACCGATAGATCGTAGAGCTCGTGCTCGTTGGTGCACCAGACCGAGTAGTATATGTTGTAGTCCTCGCCGATGATGCGTGCCGACTTGTACGTGTTGTTGGGCGTGTTGGTTGCGCCGTTGGGTCCTGTTCATCTCGTTAACATCAACCAGCTCAGCAACAAAATAGAGTAGACATACCGATTCTCGCGAAATCCCCCTCGATGACTCCTCGTCCCCAATACTCCACCGTGACATGCTCGTGCGCCACCGACTTCGACCCGTTCTTCTTCAGCGGCATCGGCGTGCCGTCAAAGTCCTTGCGCAGCGGAATGCCCGCCAGCTCGAAGAAGGTCGGCACCAGATCGATGTGCGTCGACACGCGCTCCTCCGTCTGGCCCTCGGGGATGCCTGGCCCGCGGATATAAAACGGCACGCGGATGTCCTCTTCGAACCCCGTCGTCTTGCCCGGGGGCATGCGGTGCTGCCCGATGTGGAACCCGTTGTCCGACGAGTAGATGATGTACGTGTTGTCGATCTCGTCGCTCGCTTCCAGTCGGTCCAGCAGCTTGTCGACCAGCTCGTTCACCCCCTGCAGCGAGCGCAGTCGCTGGCGGTAGTAGTGGTCCTCGTAGTCGATCACGGTTTGGTTTTTGAGAGGCAGGTTCCGCAGCCAGCTGGGGCCGGTGTGCTGCATTCTGTTAGTCTTGCCTATATTTCCCCACGATCAGAGGCGGGGGGAACATACGTTGATAGGATTGAAGCTGGGCGTCCGCGGCACCTTCGCGTCTGCAAATAAATGCGCATGCCGCGGCAAAGGCACCGGCTCTCCCATGATTGTCGGCTTCTCCGCTCCCAACTTATCGATATTCGAGTGCGGCGCAATCGGCGACACGGTCAGGAAGAACGGGCGATCGCCCTGCAGCGCGTCGTCCAGGAAGCCCAGCGCCTTGTCGGTGATCACGTCCGTGGTGTGCTGGCCCTCGTAACTGCGCGGCGCCTCGTGGTTCCGCTGGTAGGTCGAGTTGTAGTAGGAGTAGGTGAACGGGTCGAGCAGGAATTCGGAGCCGTTGAATCCCTTGACGAAGGGGTCATTGTAGGTCGAGACGCTGTGCGCGTTGAACAGCTTGCCCGTGTAGAAGGTGTTGTAGCCGGACTGTTGCAGCCAGACGGGGAACCAGTCGTCGTTGAACCCTTGCGAGACGAATTTGGGGTATCCTCCTGCTGCGAATTAGCTCTCTCCTTTAAACACAGAGGAATTGGCTAGATACATACCCCATGGCGGTTTCACGTCCGTGACGTTCGTGTTATGCGCCTGTCGCCCCGTCCAGAGACTCACGCGCGACGGGCAGCACAGCGCCGTCGTCACGAAATGGTTCGTAAAGTCGATGCCCTTTTCCTTGATGCGATTGAGGATACTGGGCGTGTATGCCGGCGAATTGAGCTGCAGATCCTGGTCGTCGGTCAAGACGAAGAGGAAGTTAGGCTGTTTGGCCTTCCCTAGGGTTTGCTGGGAGGTGGCCTGCGAGACAGCCAGCCCGGAGAGGGCGGCCAATGCGGTCAACTTCATGATGCGAGGAGAGGAATTGGCATGGATGAGTTGGAATTACTCCGGAATGAACGAGGTCTCTATATATGTCCTGGGATGGGCCCAGAAGGTATAGAAAAGCACGGTATAGATTAACTGACAGATGGCGCGTGAAGTCAACGGGATGATGCCATCGCAGCTGTTCCTGAGCTGGTTAGAAAAGCAGCTCCCAGCGAGGGCCAGGGCGTCTTCTGGAATGCAAGACCACGCAAGGGATGGCTCGGCTAGAGGAGATCCACCGGATGATGCTATTGCCGACGATCCTGCGATAATGAGTGGGGAGCGTCTGAGCTTCTCTTTTTTGGGGCAGATTGCATCACGATCGTCCAATAAACGGGATGTCTGGAGGGATCAGCGAGGGTTAGTGGAGTTCATCCATCTTCATGGCGCTGGCGCTGGGTCGATGGGCCGCTTAGGGTTACGATGTCCGGATGAGGTCGTGCTGTTCTTGCCCAACTGACCGGTGGAATTGTCGCAGAAAAAAATAGAATAGAATAAAATAAATATGAGCGTCAGACACAGCATGCCTTCAACCAAGAGAATATTCCTCTGCAACAAACTGAATGGCAGTCCGTAGATTCAACCGACGAGGCTCCACCCGGCCCGATTACGTGCTCGACACGAAGATGAGCTCATCTGCTAAAGAATAACCGAGCGAATATCTTCAGGCTAAGAAGTCCAGCAGTCCAGTCACTGCAGGAGATAAAATCACCGCCAGGAATCCTTCTGCACCTTCCCACTCACCCCGCAGCCGCCCTCTACGCGAAGGCTGCGATTCGGATCGCTTTCCCACGTCACCGCGCCATTCTGCACGCGAATATACTTGTACTCGATCGTCTTGCCCACCGGCACGTTGACCGTGCCAAACCACAGCGGGTTGCTGCTCGTGTACCGGTCTGCGCTCAGTGCGATCGCAGCTGACGGACTCCACGATCCCAGCTCTGCAGTCGACCCGACCACCTTGACATCCTGCCCCCAGGTCGTCGTCGCTGTCACCTCGAACGTCACGGCCACCGCTGTGGGCGATACGCAGGGGATCGACGTGCCCGGCGTGTCTCCGATGGGCGGCCAGCTAGTGACCGCGACGCTCGAGTATGTGCCCGTCGCGGACGTCGCGCTACACTTGGTTGGCAGCGAGGTCGCCGCGGGCTCACCCCAGGACGGCGGCATCACAGCGTTGCGACGGTTGTTGGCCGTCAGTAGAGCGGCGTATGACCAGGTGAGATCGCGTGCCGAGGTCTGTTTGCCGTCTGATCGGGTGATCTGTTCGGCCATGGACCCGTTGGAGGCTGCGTAGGTTTGCTGGAGGGTTGTTAGACTGGATTCTAGTAGGATATTCCAAGGGGAGCTCGTAACGGGGAGGAACAGGTAAAAGCACGTACAACGACTCCCACATAGCCATCTGCATAAGCCTTGACGGCGTTCACCAAGCTCGTATACTTCGCACTCGACGCCGCATAACTGCCCACGCTGGCGGAGCTATCCAGTGCCTGAAAGAACGGCAACGACACGTCCGTGATGCGCAGCTCCCCCAGCTTCTCCCACTGATACAGCGCGTCGTACAGCTGCTCCGCCGCCGCCAGCGTCGTCAGGAACCACGGATTCCCGCCGTAGTAGACGTCCTCGGCGTAGCGACCCACGGCGACGGCCTCGTTGGCCTTGCGCTCCGAATTGATGGCATAGATGGACCGGAACGAGTCCGTCACGGCCTTGTGGTTTGCCAGCGCCCGCGGCGAGCACGGCTGGAAGGTGACGTCGTCGCATCCCGCGGCCGGATCGAAGGTGTGGATGCTGCCCAGCAGCGTGTTGGCGTCTTTGCCGGTGCGTCCGCCGCCGAAGTTCGCCAGGATGTACTTCCCAGTCCCGGACCAGAAGGACTGCAGGTAGCATCGAATCTGGGGCGCTTGCGAGTCGCAGTACGGGCATGACGCGCCGACACTCTGGGCAAAGGTACTGCCTTCGACAAGGGCGCGGTGCGAGACGGCGATGGTGAAGAAGGAGGAGCCTTGTACTTCTTCCCAGAGGTCTAGTATCATTTAGCTCAGGATTCTATCTCCGATCGCATGGCAGGAGCTCACCGAAGCCTGTCTGGTTCCAGTACTGCGCGACGTACGACAGATCATTCCGCGCGATCGGCCAGACAATCTCTTTTGCTACGGTCGTATATCCGTTCTCCTGTAAAGCCAGTCAGCCTTATCACTATTCATCGCTCCCTTGCATACAGCACGAAAAGAGTAGCAGGAAAAGAAGGGGCGGAAAGAACATACAACCAACCACTGCCCCAACCCGACCAGCGCAGTTGCTCGCAGCGCCGGCCCGTCTCGCTGCGGCCGACCCCAACCGCCGGTGAACGCGCTCTCGTCGGCATTGAACTTCGCCTCGCCGAGACCTGCGCCGCTGGCGAGGTCGCCGGACGGGTTCGACACGCCCTGGATGCGCGCCTGCGAGGTGACGAACTGCTCGATGGTGGGAAGCAGGGTCGTGTCGCCGGTGCGGAACAGGTCAATCAGCGTTTTGAGCACCAGTCCGGAGTCGCGGGTCCAGGTGTAGAAGTCTGTACGCTTTATTAGTCGGGGATGGATCAACGGGGGCTGAGAGAGAAGTAGAGTCAAGAAAGAGCATACAGTCAGGATCATTCCGACTCGGACTCGCAATCACGACACCAGCGCGCGCCCCCGGCACCCAGGCACCGTCAGCCCCGATATTATTCAGGATGGCAGTGCGAGAGATCTCTGCCTCCTGTGTGAGCCATGTGTCGAGACTCGACTGGCGAGGAGAGAGGGATGGGATGGCGAGGGAGGGAGAGACGAGAGCTAGTAACAAGTTGAGAGCTTTCATAATGAAGAAAAGCAAGAAGAAATTGAAAGGAAGATGCTGTAGAGCGTGAATATCGAGAGAACCCCGAGGAACACGGTCACTTTATAGGCGACATCGAATCAGGCCACTGTCCATGTCGCCTGAAGACACCGTTTGTATATAGAAGGATATAGACTCGACTAGACTAAGGTATGTACAGGTCCGCCGCCAATCATCGCCCCTGCCTGCCGCCACCAATTTATTATATCCCCGGGGAATGGCCGTCCCCTGTCAATCCCTCCGTCTTACCTGCATGGCCTTGCTTGCATGGTCTCCCTAAGCGAGCGCACTAGATGTGGAATGAATCCACATTCTGCAGGATAAACTCGTACGAGTCCGAGCGGAAATCATCCTTCAGCAGCTGCCCCGAGTTCGCCTTGAAGTTCATCAGCTGCTGGTCGTCCTTCCACTGCGGCCACTCCATGAAGGAGCCTCGTCGCGAGTTGGGATCCAGGTCGTAGACGAAGCTGAAGTAGTACGTGTGGATGGAGCGCGACGCGTAGTTGGGCAGGATGCCGTAGAAGACCTGTAGGATGTCGCTGCCGTGGAACGTGCCCATGACGGGCGTGCCGAAGTTGTAGGACGCCAGGTAGGACCAGCTGGGCACGTCCGGGTGCGCGTCGTGCGCGTACTTGAGCAGCGCGCGGCGGGTCAGAGTGAAGGTCAGATCGCCCAGGATGGCCGCCAGACGCTTGAACTGCGGATACCAGTTGTTGAAGATGCCCGTGCGGAAGGGCGAGCCGTCCTCGCTGATGCTGGAGTAGGTGCCGATGAGCTCCTTGAGCTGCGCCCGTGACGCGCCGTGGAAGAAGTACTGCTCGAAGTAGTTGGCCAGGTCGTCAGTGGTCGTGATGTTCGACTGGAACAGCGCGAAGAGCGTGCCCTCGTCCTCCTGGTCGCCGATGATGAACGGCACCTTCGCATACTTGCCCTGCTTGCTCAGCACGTCCGGGCTGTCGGTCAGCACCTTGCCGTCCGGTCGCGGCAGATATGACAGCGCCACCGAGTGATAGCTTAGCAGCCCGGGAACCGAGTTGGCCGCGTTGAGGAAGTCCGTGTAGTCCAGCTGGCGCAAGCACTCCAGTGTGTCGTCTGCCCCGTCACACCCGGCGTAGTCCACCACCTTGTCGTAAACCGCTTGTCCCTTGGCGCTGTCTATAGGGTCTGCCGGCACGGCGCCGTCCGAGTTCATGATGGCGCCGCGGAACAGGGGCTTGCCCTTGTAGTCGATGTCTCCGCCATACAGCAGCATCTGGTCGAACACGGAGATGGCGCCGGCCGACTCGCCCCAGATGGTCACCTTCTCGGGATCGCCGCCAAACTCGCCGATATTATCGGCGACCCATTCCAGGGCGGCGCGCTGGTCCAGCAGACCCAGGTTGGACGCGCCGTCGGCCAGAATCTCCTTGCCGGGCATGAAGCCAAAGCCGCCCACGCGGTAGCTGATGGCCACGAACACGATCGGCATGTCCTTGTCCACAGAGCTCTGCACCAGCGGTGCACCGTCATACATGAACGATGAACCCAGCTCGAACCCGCCGCCGTAGATCCACACCAACACAGGCAGCTTGCTGTCCGCCTTCGTGCCGACCGGCCGCCGAATGTTCACGGACAGGCAGTCCTCGCCGGCGTTGGTGACCTTCTGGAAGATGGGGATGTTGGCCAGCATTCCCACGACCGACCCGGGGAATTCGGAGTTGTCGGTTGAGAAGAAGAATTGCGGACAGGACTTGGCGATGCCCGTCGCCTCGACGGTGCCCAGCGAGGACTCGATCGGCTTGGGCGGTTTCAACCGCAGCGACCCGGTCGGCGGCTGCGCGAACGGCACGCCGTTGAAGCTCTCGACCCGCGACCCGGCGCTGCCCACGATGGTGGCCTCGGGGTGCGCGATGGTCACGGTGGGAGCGGCGCGCTTGGCAGGCGCTGCCAGGGCCGGGGAGATGGCTAGCAAAGACAGGAGCAGGGAAGGAATGAGCATCATGGTGCCGTGCGAAGACCTGGACGAGATGGTGAGAGAAGAAATACCCTCGTTCAACGGGGGGATCGGCTGGATCTACATCTACATCGCAGGCTGACTGGACTATTGACTGGTGCGTTCCTGCTCACGTTCATCCTTTCTTGGCCTCTGCAGTCCATTCTCGTTCGCATTCTTCAGGATCATCCATGTGGCTCCTCGGCTGGGAACCCTTCGTAATCGTATCGTACCTGTGTCGTTGTCCAGAACAGACGAGGGTCTCCTCGCTTTAGGCAGCCGGATGCATCCTGGTCACGGAACCCTCGTGGCCAAGAATCGAAGGGTCAGCCGATTGCACGACAGGGGTTCCCGGAGAATGCAAGAATTGCAGAAACATGGAAACTGGCATCCGCAACACGTGAAGAACCGAGGCTAGGATGCGTGCACGTCGGTGAATTTGCAATTCTCGAGATTTAGGGCATGACCGCCCTTTCCGAGTCGCCCGGCAGGCGCAGTGAATGGCGCGCATTGGCGACTCTGCAGGAGGGGAACTGCTCGAATCCTTCGCGCCGTCAGCGTCGCTAAGCCAGGATGATCAATCAGCTTCTCCATTTGTCTCCATCTTTCACTCTCCACCGGTCAATTCTGCGGGGTCAAACGCGGGGAAATTCCTCAGGCGTCGGATGGGATCGGCCGTTGACCAACTCAATTGCCTCAATCCATAGGCTGCGCTCGTCTGCCCAGCCAAATAGCGCCCATTTGCGCTGGGTCTGTTCGCTGCTGATGGTCGCTGGTGCCTGACATGCGTTCTTTCCCCTCTCCTTCTCCTGGCGACATGCAGTCCAAAAAAAAAAAAAAAAAAAAAAAAGAAAGCCGATCGTGATATTATGTCTATTATACAGAAAGTCAATTCTAGGGTATAAGCCAAAAACCAAAAAAGGAAGATGAAAACAAGAGGAGATTCATCCTCGGTTGTTGTTCACTTCTCCCAGCCGTTCCATCGCTCGAAATCCCCCGTGTCCAAATCAAACAGATCCAGCATGCGTCCGACGCTTTGATCGACCAGTTCTTCCAGCCCCCCGGCCTTGATGTAGAAGGCCGGCACAGGTGGAAAAATTATGGCGCCGGCCCGAGTCACTTCCAACATGTTCCGGAGGTGAATCTCGCTCAGCGGTGTCTCGCGCGTCACCAATACCAAGCGTCGGCGTTCTTTCAGCATGACGTCGGCCGTGCGGGAGATCAAGTCGTCGCAGAATCCCGTGTGAATGGCTGCTAAGGACTTCATGCTGCAGGGGACCACAATCATCCCGTCGGTGCGATAGGAGCCGCTGGCAATCGGGGCCGCCATGTCGTTGATGTTGTGGACGTGGTCGGCCAGCGCCTTCACGTTCGACGGATGGTAATCCGTCTCGTATTTGATCGTTGCCTCGGCCCATTTACTCAGAACCAGGTGGGTTTCCACGTTCAGACGGCGTAGCGCAATGAGGACCTTGATGCCGAGAATTGCCCCTGTCGCTCCGGTCATGGCGACCACGATGCGACGGCGCCGAGCGGGCGGGGGATTGGCCAGACGAGACTGGTGTGCATCCATGTCGGTCGGGCTGGGAGGGGTTCGAGTGGAGGAGGGCGTAGAAGAGCCCGAAAAGATTGAGTCAAGCATGTGTTCGAGTTGTTGGGTAGTATGAGGGTGGGCCGGTGGTGATTTTTCAGTGGCAACGTAAGTAGTACTGGCGACGAGATGGTAGTGATGATGATGATGCTGACAATGATCTGATCAGTTTCGGTCAGTTCCAGAAAAGAGACATATTTATAAAGCCCGGTGGCGCAGGTGTCGCCGACTGTCTGTTCAATTTCTGCGATGTTTCACACTCTCAAGGCCCCGAGACTCCGAGCCCCCGATGCCTCCGAACAACGGCTCCAACGGCTGTGGATCCCGCGACGTCTCCATCACAGAAACCCGTTTTCCTGCGAGAAATCGAAAAGGGGCACTGCAGCATTTTATTAATCAGATGCTGTGTGCACACCGCGGTGTGGCGCACTTACCGTTCATGATCGAGTCCAGGTATGAGATCGGCGAGACTCCTGTCTGGTCCAACGATCCATAACCCTCCGGAAACACAGGGAAAAGCCTACAATTGATCTTGTCAGCTTCGGAGCGCCCCACATCATGGTGGAGACTGACTGGTTTTCTGGAAACAAGGCTTCCAAGTGATTTTCACCGGGATTGCCGTGTTCCCGGGCCTGGTCCAAGGCGTTGCCCACCGCATTGCGCAGCGTAATCAAGGCCCGGATGTGCCGTTCCGACAGCCACTGGCCATTCTGCGAGGCAGCGTTGCCCACGCTTCCCACCGACCCGGCGGCAGAGAACACCTCGATCACTCGTTGCTGCAGGTCGCGGCATTCTGCATCGTTCCGGGTTTCTTCCCAGATGCACAGCAGCAAGGTCGAGCTGAGCACTGTGTGCACCATCGACCAGCTGCGCAGCGGCACGATGCTCAGGGCCTGAAACTCCAAGAATGCTTTGGATGCGTCGACCAAGCTAATCTTGGCTCGCTCCCGGAGAATCTCATACAATGGCTCCCGCACATGAGAGCGTTTGAGTGCCGGTCGACTTAACACCGAGCTCGCTAGCGACAGGTGCATTTTCAGGGCCAGATGCTCTAGATTTTGATGCAGCGTTCGGCAGTCCTCGCGACGGCGTAGATGCGGTTGGGCACGCTGGAAGACCTCATCCAAGGAGTTTAGCATATCCAGTGCGCGAGTGACCTCCTGCACGTCCCGGTCTTCGCTAGTGGTGAGCTCCAGGGCTATCCGACACATGTAGTGCATGATTTCAGTAAAGGACAGGTCTAGTCGATTGAAAATTGTGTTATCCGGCGTCCACCCGGTAATAGAAACGACGGGAGGTCGATCGTAGCACAAGCAAAGCAGGCTATCTTGCCAAACAACCGTGAACCTACGGCAGTCAGCACCTGATGCAGATGATAAAGTCGACCACTAAATCATCGCTTACCATAATTTCCGTGCTTTCAATTGGATATATCCAGGCAGCCGCGCGGTACTTTTCTCCGTGTGCAGACCCAGCGTCTGAGCCAATCGAACGGTCGTCCCAAGCAGAGCCCATGCCGCTTCCGACTGGCCATTATTCTGCAGAGTGTTTCCCACGATCAACATGGTCTGGATGACGTCCATCGTCGGTCGGAAGAGAAAGTTGGCCAGGCGCAGAGCCTGGAACGACCGACGGGCTGATCTATTAGCACTACAGACAACTTTGATCGGACCAGGAAAGGAAAACACGAACCAAAGTCGTGGCAGATCTCTGTCCGCTGCGCATGCTCCAAATCAGAATAATGAGCACCCGCAGCCAACGTGGCAAGCAATAAGCTAATATGCCCGATCGATCGATCCGTGGCCCATTTGTCGGATATCTGGGAACCTTCTCGGAACTCCCCAGACGCGTATGCATTGAGGTATGTACACAAATCGACCTCGAACCGTTCAATATCAACCAAGATCGGGTTGAACGGGTAGGCTGAAAGACGGTAGAAATGAAAGAACCTAGCCAATGTTAGCGGGGGACCCGACCGCGCACACCCGTCACTCACTTCAGCACCTCTGTCCGCTGAGGGATAATCCGCAGCAGCTCCTTCCACCGTTCCTCTGGCGTCTTGGGGTCCATAAAAGGATAGCTACTGTAGGTATTCTGCAGGCCAAGGACGGAGCCAACCTCGTGGGCGATCGACCCGCTGGCGTCATGCGTTCGATTGCGCACAATCGAAACGACCGAGTTATCGCCCGAATAGATATACTCGTTCTCCGGTCCATCTGACGACTGGTTTCCCTGCAAAGCACTCGCAGTCTGATCCGGAGGACGCAGTTGCGAGCTCGGCGGCTGAGGTGTTGCAAAAGATCCTTCCATTTGCGATCCCGACGGCACCGCCGACTGCTGTGTCACATCCGGCCCAGACGCCCAGGTGGTCATTCCGGACGGAGGATTGAAGCTCTCCTCCCCTGCCAGACTCCGGGAGGTGGATTCTTCTACATCGTACGCGCAGATCTCCGGATGTTCGCGCCGCCGGCAGGTCTTGCACGGCTGGGTGCTGTCGCATTTCACCTTGCGTTGGCGACAGGGGTAGCAGGCTCTTTGCTCACGTTGCTTCTTGCGTTTAAGCCCCAGCACCCGGTCGATCTCCTGGCGGTTTAGATGATTGGATTGATTGGCGGCCATGGCCGATGGTTGGTCTTGGACAAATGCTTAGCAGCAGCCGATCTGCTCGGCCCTTCGGAGAGTCGCTGAGTCAGGACTGAGTCATGCGTTCGCCTGCCTGAATGCTAAGGAATCCTTCCATTGCTTGGTATGCCGATCGAACTCTTAGTATGAATCCTGACCAGAACTACGGAGTACGAGGAGTTTGAAGTGTTCGTCCGTGGTTGGTTTGTCAATTTACTCTCTGATGATGGATTGTTTCAAGCTATCTAACTCAATTCTAAATACTAATATACATTCTCAATCTAAGGAACCAAAGAAACCACATCTACTGCAGCTTGCTAAATCCCATCTTCTCCCAGTTGCTCTGCACCTTTTGCTTGAGCTCCTCTGGGTACGAAGTTTTAAAGTCGGCCGCCTCCCAGTCTCGGCCGGTGGTATACTCGGTCGGCATCAGAGCGTCCGAAACCACCTTGCCTCCCTGCGTCTTGGGGCCGTTTCCATGCCCCATATACGGCACGAGAGGGAATCCGCGGACATCCTCGTACAGAGTCTCGTCCATTCCCGGGCGACAACGCGTAGAGAACGCCCACATCACGTCCTTGCCGTCATACACGTCGATGTCGTCGCCCACCAGCACCAGACGGTGGATCGTGTATCCGGCCTTGTGGTTGAAAACGAGGTCCCCGACCTTCTTGCGGAACTCGGCCGATGTGTATTTCTGGCTGCGCAACTTGGCTGTATCGACTCGCAGAGCAACCCAGGTCACCTGGGATTCGAATGGAGCGAAGGAATCTGTGATGGGGAGGTCGTTCTGCTGACAGAGCTTTCGGATCTCAGCTGCAGCAAGGGATCCGATCATCGTGTGCTTGTTCACGTTAGTTATTTCCCCAAACATAGAGCGTAGTGCAGCAACATACCGTCTCATCGGTCAATCGTCCGCACGACGACATGGGAAGGATGGGGTTATTCCGATAGGTGATGCGGTTGACCTTGTATTTGGGACAGACATGCGCATCACCAGGGAACACATAGCCGTGCATTTCACCGAATGGGCCCTCGGGTACGCTTTCGGTGATAGACAGAGTACCCTCGAGGACGATCTCCGACGTGGCAGGAACGTACAGATCGTTCGTGTCACACTTGACCAGTTCCAAGGACGATCCGGTCATGGCGCCCACGTAGCCTGCCTCGGTCACGCCATCGGGGATTGGCATGCTGGAGGCCATGATGGCCGCGGGCGGCACACCAAAAGCCAGAGCCCACGGGACATCTCGGCCTTCCTTCTTCCACATCTCGTAGATCTGCCAGATATGCTGAGGCGGGATAACCAGGCCGGTCAGGTGCTTCTCGTCGTACACCATGGCGCGGGCGATGGACCAGTTGGTCCATGTTCCATCCGGCGACTGCACGACATGCATGCCGTAAGTCTGGATATACTTGCCGCCGTCCGACTGGTGAATGAGCGGGGCAGGCAGCTTGGTCAGGTCAATCTGACTCTCTTCAAGGACATTCTCCTTGCACGGTCCGGAGGGAAGGATTGTAGGCTGGATAGGAGGCATGCTGCTGGCAGACAGCATCTTGTCGAGAATTTCGCGCATAGAGGCGGTCGGGGGCAGAGCCAGATGGCGAGCAAGGCGGCCCCAGCGATCGGCGGAGGACTTTCTCAGGGATCCTGGGGCTCCCAGGATGCGGAAGAGGCCGTTCTGCGTGCCGATGACATTGTTGAATAGGGGGGCCTTGTCGTTGGTCTCGCAGACGAGTCGGGTGATGGCCGCCGCCTCGAGATTCGGATCGACTGGCGTATCGATCTCGACCAGGTCATCGTCCGCCTTGAGGGCGTCGACGAACGAGCGAAAGCAGAGATGAGGTTGCTGCTGCTGTTGTTCTGACATGCTTGCGAGTTGATGTTCGTTATAGAGGTGAGCTGGAGTTGAATATCGGAATCAGAGACATGCCAAAGGACGATTTATATAATTGAGACATCGTTGCAGGTCGGATCAGTCGGAACCAGAAATGGGAAATGCGAAGGATGTGTGATTCTGGAACGGACTATACAAAGTTGTGGGAATCGGGGGCTCGGGTCGGGGGCTCGGGTCGGGGGCTCGGGTCGGGGGCTCGGAGCATGAAGAACCCACCGGCCGTTTCTTCCAGTTGAGTTATTTGGACGCATCAACCGGCATCTCGGGCCAGCCAGACTTCTTGCTTCAGTACTTGTGTGTTTCTTTCTGGTACATTTTCTTGAGTCATTTCCGGTCTTTATCAGCCAATGTTCAAGACTCGCCGAGTGAAGAATTTTTTTTTTTTATATATATATATATATATATATATAAACCAAACCCCCAATTATCAATTGCTAACTATTAACTACTAGCTATTAAGCAAAGCCTATAACCCTATCTTACTAGACAGTCAGAGTGTTCTTGTCATGTTATTTAATTGACTAATGGTGTTATCTTGCATCATCTCGAGCGGGAAAAGGAGAGAAGGAACTATATATCTTGAATACTACGAGCACTCCAATAAATAGGGAATTCTACCATAAGATGGCATTGCTCGTTAAGACAACTACACCTGTTGAACCTTTCTCGCTCATAAAACTGCCCTAGGAGACATAATAAGCACTACACGTGCCCCTGTTCTAATTTCGCATCGAACAAATGATTCTTGTTTGTCGGATCACCATCCGATGAAGCAAACAGCTTGTTCTTCTGGAGTAGAGAAACCCCCAAATCAGAAGTTAACATTGAGATGTTCTTCCTTTGTCACAATATTGGTGATTCTGCACAGTCTATGGATATTTGCTAGGAACTGTCTAGAGTATTTATGCGCTGAAGACCGCCTACCTACTTCCCCTAGTTTCCAGTAGTTTTCACTCCCAATGATTCTGTTTGGGTGAGGGTGTTCAAACAGCCAGCAATCTGTTAGCAGTTGTCACGCCACTTTGGTCATTCGCTCACTCCAAAACACCGAATATTCACCGTACAGTAGCTACGTCACCGTCACCGTCACCGTGAAGGATTACCTTTATAGAATCCTTAAAGCCGCCCTTGTAGCTTCGTAACACTTTCTTTCATAACCCTTTCTGCCCTCTCTTCAGCATCACAACCCAGTGATATCCACCAAGAACGGGCGGAAGAGAGTGCCCTACCAAGAATATCAATCTTCCTTGTACTAAACCTCATTTGAGAGCCTCCTTATTGAAAATTGCGATCGGCATCCATCAGAAAAATCACAAAAAGCCAGAACCGACTGTCCACATATACCTTTGAACACGACAAGCACGGGATATTGCCTGACCTGTTCACCGGGATTCAAGATAGATTGGACGTGCTAGCAGCCATGGACGTGAACCAGATGGCACATGGCATATCCGACGTGGAAGTTTCCACCGCTACCGAGCCATCCCTGGAGGAGCTTCTCGAGAGAGCAGTTCACTCTCGACCATCGGGCTGCGGGGTGACCAACAGCAACAGTCCTCGATTCTCCACACCCGAGGAGCTGGAATACATGCAGGCGGTCGTCAAAGAGTCCCGGGAGATGGCCGCCCTCCGTGAATTTATAGTCCGGCTTTGCCCATTGTATGCCGTGCAACTCGTGGAAATCGAGTTTGGATTGGAGGTGAATCGGCACACGGGCTACTGTCCCACTGTATGCATGACGACGCGCGAGGACGTCTCTGCTTGGGTTCGAAAGGACGTCAAGGAATTGGTTCTGCGGATGCTACACCTGATGGATCTCGACGCCTGCGGATATCAGGCTCTTGTCATTTCCGAGACGGAGGAGCGAAAGAGGGTAGCAGCTTTTCTTGTCTGAGTGGCAGTTTTGTTTTGCCGGGTTTGCATGGCCTGCTCGTCTTGGTGGCGATTCAACGGCGGCGTTATTATGGGATGTGCTAGGTGCCGGACTTGTCAATTGGGTCGGATTTTCTTTATGAGGGTGGTTTGATGTATTATGATAATGGGATGGATAACTTATGACAAATGACCTGGAACCGAGAGAGTGGTATAGTTTGTGGCTCGGGCGCTCGGTCTCCACGAGTGGGACTGGTGGGACTCGGAACGTTTTGTCGGGAGTTGGAGAGGGGGCGACTTGGATGCACCATGGTCTTTGTACAACAATCGAGTCTTGATTTAATCCCCGAATCCCCCAGGAATAATAAAGTCAAAGGTGGCACACAAGTGATCATTCCGTGTAACACGCAGAGAGTATCCAACGCTACCCTACCACAATCAGCTGTCAGTATGTATTACGAGCCCGGCATAACCGAACACAATCTCCCGCGGGACCCTTTCAAGGTGAGCAACGAGCCATGGCAGAACAACAAGACGGGCAAGATGATCGAGAGCTAAACAGAGTCAAAGGCATGTGTCATCCCGCGACCCATCGGGTGGATCTCGACGCAGAGCAAGGACGGCCAAGCCAACCTGGCGCCGTACTCGCAATTCAACAACCTCACGTTTGACCCGCCATACGTGATGTTCTCGTCCAACCAGACGGTCGATGGCAGCCGCAAGGACACGGTGGTCAACGCCGAGGCGACGGGCGAGTTCGTCTGGAACCTGGCCACCTGGGATCTTCGCGAGGCGGTCAACGTGTCGGCGCAGCAGTTCCCCTACGGAGTCGACGAGTTCGAACGGGCGGGGGTGCACAAGGAGCGCGCCCGACTGGTCGACGTGCCCATGGTGCAAGAATCCCCCGTGAAGTTCGAGTGTCGCTACCACTCCACCGTGCGGCTACCCGGAAACCCGCCCATGGGCACGGTGGACGTGGTCATCGCGCGGGTGGTGGCCGTCCATATCAAGGACGAAGTGCTGACGGACGGCATCCTGGACGTGCGTAAGACGCAGCCGATCGCGCGGTGCGGGTACTACCAGTACGCGGTGGTGCGCGACACGTTCGACATGCAGATTCCGGGCATGGGAGAGGTGATGTTCGGGCTGGAAGGCAATGCACGGAAGAATCGAACGTTCGGAGATAAAGTCGAATGAGCTGCAGGGTCTTGGATCGGGAACGACCACCATTGGATGATAGATCGATAGACAGATAGCGCGTTATCACCCTCGTGATCGAGGAGGACGGAGGGGGCGAGAATAAAGCGAATTCTGCGTTCCGGTTGGTCGCGCTTCACGAGTGCTCGATTCTCGAATATCTCCGACCGAGCCCTTTTGCGGCCTAGGCTGCCCCCCTTGGCGTTAGGCTTGACTCGGTGGCCAATATTTAATTTGCGTCTCGATCCTGAACCCTGCGAGGAGCTATCAGAGCAGTTTCTGTTAATAATAGCGCGTTACTAATGCACGGTCATCTACGGGGTAACCTGGACAGCTCCCTGTCCTCCCCCCTTTCCCCAGGAACCCTATGGGAACGACTCGACTCGAGTGTCGCGGTGGCAATTGGCAACTGGGAGCTGGCAACTGGGATAGGCCCCGGAGTCGGGCATCGTTGCACCTGGCGCATGCGACCCGGGACTGGGATCATATCGGATCATGAGGTGAACGGGACAGAAGGGCCCGATAGAGCGATATCAAGGGTCCGATTGATGATTGATATGGGCGGGTGGAGTCGGATATTTGCTGGTGCAGCTAGCAGCGATAGTGATATGGCGGCGAGATGGCGCGATGGAGGCCCGGCGGGCGTCCAGCTCTGGGCCCGGTTGGCAGAGGGCAAGACCGACGGTCGGATCGCCTTTTCCTCCAACGTCGCATTTTCCGCCAGACCACCGACCGGCCAAACCGAATCCGGGGGAGGGACTCAACCACATGGCCTCAGGCAAAGCTGGGTGTCTCGCCCGGTCCGCCGCCGCTGATTGGCTCCCCTCCTATCAGCCAAGCTCTAGGGTTGCACTCGAGTCGACCAGCCAAGGGCCGTGCCAAGCCCCGTGCTTATTTCCGCCACTGCGCGGCCAGCCAATGCGCGCCCGGCCCCGACGCCCCCCAAGCCCCCGCCAAGCCGCGCTAAACCGCGTTGGCCGCCTCCGCTTATCAGGGCAGCCGAGGGATGCTGCGAATGGCTGCCAGACTCTTCTGAAGGTAGGCGACTGATAAGTCGGTTGGGCCCGAAGCCTAGCAGGATCTAGCGGATCTAGCACGCTTCTGGCCGTCCCCCAATAGAACTACCTATAGGAAAATATTCAATCAGAATTTGAATCGCAGTCCCTGCGGCTACGACCGGCCATACCTTCTGCGTCGGCCCTAGAGTCGATATGGAAGGTTCACTGCGTCCCCCGGTCGGTGGCCACGGTGGTGCAATCCGGCGCGACGCTAGCCTGGCTCCATGCCAGATAGCAGGGACTGTTGATAATTTCCATTTTTTATATTAATTCCGCCGTCGGCTGGGCCTCCCCATTGGGTATGTGTTGTGGCACGCGATAACCAGCCCGAATTGCTAGCTGCGGCCGCCGTTCTTGGATGCTCGTTCGTCTCTCTCTCTTGTCCCACCCCCCGACTCCCTCGACCTCGACGGGCTATTAAAGCCGCCTCTCGTCCGCCGCCTCTGTCGCCTCTTCCTCCCCTTCTCTTCTCTTCCCTTCCTTCACTCCAGACGACTCCACACCTCCCCTCCTCCTGCTTGTAGATCCGGTCGTTGCTACCCGAGGATCTCTCGTCGGTCTGTCGCTGCTGCGCCATGAATTCCTCCGACCCCGCCGATGTCATGGAGGTCGCCAAATCCCAGGTGGCCGCCCACGACGCGCATCTGAATGAGAAGAAGTCGTTGGACAAGGAGCTGGCCATCTCGCCCAGCATTCAAGAAATCCCCGGTTCCAAGGAGGTGGGCGGCTCGTCGACCGGAGGTGAAGATGCTCATCTAAACCTCGAGCTTCCCACCGATGCGGAACTGAACGAGCTGCGTCGCGTGGCGGGTCCCATTCCCTGGACTGCCTATACCGTGGCTTTCGTCGAACTCTGCGAGCGTTTCTCCTACTACGGAACCACCGCGGTTTGTATGTCATTCCAAAGTCCCTTCCCCTCGCTCGTCGAGAAGAGATGCGCTAACCATGGGATTGCCGTCCAGTCGTCAACTTTATTCAGCGCCCCCTGCCTGAAGGTTCCACCACCGGTGCCGGTTACGATCACAGCGTGCCCGGAGCTCTGGGGATGGGTCAGCAGGCCTCGACCGGTCTGACTCTGTGTGAGTACCACGACTTTCTGGGACAACGGAGAATCGTCGTTTTTCTAACAAATGAATGCGCACAGTCAACTCCTTCTGGTCGTATGTCATGCCGCTTGTCGGTGCCTACGTGGCCGATCAACACCTGGGACGTTTCAACACCATCATGTGGTCGATCGCGGCCGCCCTGCTCGGTCACACTATTCTTATCATCTCGTCCATCCCTCAAGTCATCTCCAACCCTAACGGTGCCATTGGATGCTTCGCCGTCGGTCTCATTATCATGGGTGTGGGTACGGGTGGTTTCAAGTAAGTGCCGGTGCGCAGTGGAGTCGATGGGACGGCAACACTAACTCCGGAGAATAGGTCCAACATCTCCACCTTGATCGCGGAACAATATCGCCAGGACCACGCCTACATCAAGACGCTGAAGTCGGGCGAGCGTGTCATCGTGGACCCCGCCGCCACTGTGTCGCGTATCTACCTGTACTTCTACATGATGATCAACATCGGCTCCATCCTGGGTCAGGTCAGCATGGTGTACGCGGAGAAATACGTCGGATTCTGGCTGTCGTTCTTCCTGCCCACCTGCCTGTTCATGTGCTGCCCCACGGTGCTGTTCCTCTGCCGCAACAACTACAACCACGTCAAGCCGACCGGTTCCGTGTACCTGCAGGCCTTCCGCACCTGGAAGATGGCCATGCACGGACGCTGGTCGCTGAACCCTGCCCGCATGTGAGTTGCTTTCCTACTTTCAAGCGGATAGGGAATGGATCACTAATCTAATCGACACAGGTTTATCAAGAACCCTACTCCTTTCTGGGAGCCCGTCAAGCCCTCCGCTTTGGGTGCCAACAAGCCCGCATGGATGGTCTTTGACGACGAGTGGGTCGACGAGGTGGCTCGTGGTCTCAAGGCCTGCACGGTGTTCCTGTGGTACCCGCTTTACTGTAAGTTCCCCCACATTTACCGCATGAATTTTCCAACGGGAAAGCTGATTGGCAATAACCAGGGCTGGCATACAACCAGATGTTGAACAACTTGACCTCGCAAGCCGCCACCATGAGACTGGGCGGCGTCCCCAACGACATCATCAACAACCTTAACCCCCTGTCGCTGATCATCGCCATCCCCATCATGGACCAGGTCATCTACCCGGGACTGCGCCGCATGGGCATCAAGTTCACCCCGCTGAAGCGTATCACGGCCGGTTTCATGATGGCCGCGCTGTCCATGGTGGCCGCCGCCGTGACGCAGCACTACATCTACGAGCTGGGCGACTGCGGCAAGGAAGCCAACTACTGCCTGGACGAGGAGGGCAAGCACTCGCCCATCTCCGTCTGGGTTCAGGCCCTGACGTACGTGCTGGGCGGTATCTCTGAGATCTTCGCCTCCGTCACCTCGCTGGAGTACGCGTTCACCAAGGCACCCCGCAACATGCGTTCGCTGGTGCAGGCTGTCGCACTGTTCATGAACGCCATCTCCTCGGCCATCGGACAGGCGTTCGTCAGTCTGTCGGTCGACCCTCTGCTCGTGTGGAACTACACCGTCGTGGCCATCCTGGCGTTCGTCGGTGGTGTCGGCTTCTGGATTACCAACTACAAGCTGGACCGCGAGGAAGATCGCCTGAACAACCTGAAGCAGAGTCGCTACCAGGGATCGGGGCTGAAGGCGGACGAGGAGTCGGCGCGGTAGTTTCTTTTCTTTTCCTTTTCCCTCCCCTCTTTTGTTCTAATTGTCATGTGACGAAGAATCCGATGTGAAGAATCGAGACGGATTACGCCGGTATGCTGGATAATATGTAATAAAATGGATAATTCCCCATGGACATACGAGTCTACATCTCTCTTCTGGGTACAACCTTCAAACTGCGTATGCGTAGTAGCCACCAATGATCTCCATCCTATCAGAACGAGAGGAATAGAAATAGCCATGAATATCCGATCTCCCAACATTTAGTGACCAACATTTTGTTCCCGTTCCTTGGGCCAAAGTCTAACCCCGCACGGCGCCAGGATTTCCCCGGAAAAGAAAAAAAGGGGGGAGATTAGAGTTCCGCCACCCTCGGGTCGTCGCAGAGTGGAAGCATTCGATGTGTCAAGGAAACCGTCATTCTTAGCGCATCTTTAAATAAACACGGAGGCGGAGTCTGGAGCGAGCCGGCGGAAGGTTACATTCACTAGGGATAAGCATGGTCGTATATTGTAATCATATTGTATCATATACCATAACGGATCATCCGAACAAAGCATTATCAGGGGGAAATAAAGTACAATGAAAAGCAACGCCAAATCAGATAATATCAGTCTCGGTGCAACCCATATCATCAGGCCAGCTTCTTCGTCTCCCCTGTGAACTCCATCCCCTCGTCAATCCGCCCCTTCTGCGCAAAGCTGATGTCGTCGAGGTAGTTGTCCCGCGGGACCCAGGGGCCGCGATCCGCCGTCTTGGGCAGGCTCTCCTCTGCGGTGGTCACGTACGTTGACTTAAGATTGAGCAGTCGGCGTGGCTGCATGGACGCTCGCTGCGCGGCGTCGAGGCGCGGCACGGCGGCCTTCGCGCCGCGCTCGTCCAGCTCGCGCAACAGTCGCGTTACGAAGTGGGCGGTTGCGTCGGCGCCTAGCGTCCACGAGGCGTTGGTGTAGCCGATGATGCACACCGTGTTGGGCACGTCTTGCAGCATCATCCCGCGCCAAAGGTACTTCTCGGGGATGTGCTGCGGCACGCCGTCGACCGTCAGCGACGCCCCGCCAGCGATCTGCAGCCGCAGACCCGTCGCCGTGACGATGATGTCGGCGTCCAGCGTCTCGCCCGAGTTCAGCTCGATGCCCGTCGGCGTAACCTGCCGGATGGTGTCCGTCTTGACGTCGGCGCGGCCGGTGTGCAGGCTTTGGAAGAAGTCGCCGTCGGGCGACACGCAGAGCCGCTGGTCCCAGGGGTTGTAGCGCGGACGGAAATGCGGGTCGAAGGGGACGTGGGCGGGCAGTTGGCGGGTAACGTTGCGGCGGAGGATCCAGCGGGCCACGGAGGGCAGAGCTTGGCAGAAGAGGAAGAACAAGCGCGAGGTGATCATCCAGTTGATGCGCTGCAGACGACGGAAGAAATTTGTGGGGAGGAAGTAGCTGAGCAAGGGGTGCTTCCTGTTCGGCAACGACAGGATATAGGTCGGACTGCGCTGCAGCATCGTGACGTGCGCCGCCTTCTTGGCCATGTTCGGCAGCAGGGTGATGGCGGTGGCGCCGCTGCCGATGATGACCACCTTCTTGTCGGTGTAGTCGAGGTCCTCGGGCCAGAATTGAGGGTGAATGGTCTGCCCCTGGAAGGAGTCGAGGTTGGGGATGTCGGCCTCCAGCGGCCGGTGGTAGTCGTAGTAGCCGGTGCCGAGCACCAGGAAGCGCGTCGTCAGGGACTGCGTGTGCCCGTCGTGGTCGACACTCAGCGACCAGTTTTGGTCGGCGGACGACCAGTCGGCACCCAGCAGCTGGTGCTGGAAGCGGATCTTCTTGTCGATGCCATGTTTCTCGGCGGCGTTGTGCAGGTACTGCTTGAGCAGCCGGCCGTCCGCGATGGGACACCCTTGGTCCCAGGGGTGCCACTCGAACCCGAAGGTGAACAGGTCCGAGTCGGATCGGATGCCTGGGTAGCGGAAGAGATCCCAGGTGCCACCTAAGTTGTTGCGAGCTTCAAGGATGGCATATCGCAAATTGGGGTGTTGAGACTGGAGTCGGTAGGCGGCGTTGATGCCAGAGATGCCCGCACCGACGATGATCACGTCGAAGTCTTCCATGATTGGTTTGCAGATGGATCAATTGTGAGGAGACAAGTGCAGGGGGATGACGAACAGGAAGGGGGGGAGCAGAGGAGGGCATTTTTATACAGGGATGGAGCGAGAGACGAAGCATCCCAAGATTCGAGAAGAAAGCAGGACACATGCCTCGGCTGCCCGAAACGGAAAGGGTCGCGAGGGGAGTCCGGGGCAGACCGAGGGAAAAGGGGGATTATTATACCGAAGATTGGGAACCCGACAGGGCCCAAGAATGCGAGGCGAAGATCCCACGAGATGAAGCGAGCGGATCGACGCGCTCAAGAAGCAGCCAAAGGATCCACCGGGCCATCCCTGCCCGATGCGGCAACCCTTGCGAACTCACATGTTCGCGCCAAACCCTACCTTGCGATGCTTCATCTTGCGCCTTATATACCCTCTGCCTGTGCGATGTGTGATGTGTACCCCCGCCCATCACACATGTCCCACCCTCCTTCCATCCTGCCCACCATGCTGTCCCTTGCCGAAAAGCTAGATTTCGTGCCCGCCCTGCTCTCCGTCATCCTGACCGTTGCCTGGGCCATTGTCTCCGGCCTCTGGCGCTCGTCCGCCCATCCTCCCACTTTCCTCCTCCATGTAGGTTACGCTGCATTTCGCAAGGCGACTGCCCGCTTGTCGGTGGCACAGATGCAAGCGGTGCTGCCGCCCTCCAACCGCATCTACGAGCGCTACGTGCGCCGCTCGCGCATCGCCCCGGACACTGTGACCCTGCCGCACGGCGCTCTGGGCCATTGGATCGGGTCGCGCAAGGCTTCCTCTGCCTCCTCCACCGATGTCAAAGTCTTGGTGTGGTTCCACGGCGGCGGGTTCGCCCTGCCCGCCAATATCGGCTACTTCCACTTCTTTGAGCGCCTGATCGCCGACGCCCAGCGCACCGGGAAGTCCCTGGCCGTCTTCAGCCTCACCTACACGCTGGCGCCCCAGGCCACATATCCCACGCAGCTGCGCCAGGCCGTCGAGGCCGTGCGCTACGTGCTGGACCAAGACTACGCACCCGCGCAGATCCTCCTGGGCGGCGACTCCGCCGGCGGAAACCTCGTCGGCGGCGTGCTGTCTCATCTGGCGCATACGCATCCCGCGATCGCCCCCGTGTTGCTGCCTAACGACGCCCCTCTAGCCGGGGCCGTCATGATTGCCCCCTGGGTCAGCATGAATACCGACTATACGGGCGAGGAGATCGACTCGCGCGGCGATCTCATTACCCCCGCGGTGGCGGGTCCCTGGGCCAGTGCGTATCTGGGCACCGCGACGCGGGACTTCTATACCGATCTGTCGACGGCGCCGACAGAGTGGTATGCCAAGTTCCCCGTGGAAAAGGTGCTGGTGTGTGCCGGCGGCAGTGAGATCCTGTTGCCGATTATCAAGGAGTTCGTGGAGAAGTTCAGCCAGGGGTTCGAGCGGGTGGAGTTCTGCATCGGCGAGAGGGAGGGTCATGTGGCGCCGATTTATAATCTGCATCTGGGGGATCAGACGGAGACGGCGCAGGGGAAGAGAGTGAAGAGTTGGTTGAGGGAGGTATTATAATGGGTGTAGTATGTATGTATATCTGTGCATTTCGAAAGTATATATTTTGCAGTATTTTGTCAATACTACTACTAAACTTGATCTTTTATGCTTCATTGGCCTGGGTGAAGATATTTAATAGTAAATTGATACAATAAGGGCATACTATGTGGCCCGAACAGTTACAAACATAATGCAGAGAACTGATAGTCCGCCGACACGGGATCTATACCGTCAATGATATAATCAAATCCGTAATTAGGAGTATCACATGGAATGACAAAACACAAGATATTATAATCAATACAACTCATTAAACTCATGAATCCTATATACATAATTCGAATGATTACAATGCCTGCGCCGCCTGCCACTCGCGCAATCGCTTCAGATTCTTCGACCCGGTATTCCGCGCGGCGTCCTGCAGCCACGACGGGAAAGCGCGCACCAGCGAAATGGGCGTGAGATGGTTGGGCAGGATGACCTGGCCGCTGCTCTGCGTCAGGATCTGCTTGACCACGGCGGCTGACACCATCTCGGGGGTCAAGACGGGCTGGCGGAATTGCTTTCCGGCATCGGTCAACTGCTTGATCATAGGAGTGCGCACCCAGAGGGGATGGATCACGCTGCACCATTTGTCAGTTTATCTCTCTCTCTCTCTCTCTCTCTCGGTCTGGTTCGACAGGCTATGGGGAGAAACTCACCTAGTGCGCACCTTTGGCGCGTTATACCAGAACCGCAGCTCCTGGCCCAATCCCTCGTGGAAGGCGAGCGCACTGGCCTTGGAGCAGCAGTAATCAACCATCTCGCCCTGTGCGACGAAGCTGGCCATACTTGCAATGGTGATGACGTGGCCGTGGTTCTGCTTCACCATGCTGGGCAGGAACTCGCGCACCATGAGGAAGTGCGAGATGGTGTTGACCTCGAAGGTCTGGCGGATCTTGGCCTCGGTCTCCTCAAGGATGGTGCCGTCGTTGCCCACGCCCGCGTTGTTCACCAGCACCGTGGGATCGCCGTGCGCCGAGCGGATCTTGTCGGCGACGGCAGCGATGCTGGCCGAGGAGGTGATGTCGGCCTTGTAGAAGGTGGCATTGGTGGCTGGATGGGCCTGTTAGCTAGGGGGTTTTTCTCTGAACCAGCAAAGACAGCGACTCACGGAGTTTACTAGAGGGTTCCTGGATGTCCAGAATAACGATGCGCACGCCCGTCGGCGCCAGATCATCCACGATCTGCTTGCCGATACCGCTGCACCCGCCGGTGATGAGCACCAGCTCGCGCGCAGGCTGCCAGGGTCCGGCACCCTGCCAGTTATTGGCCGTCCATCGCGTCAGAGCGCGATTGGCGTGGCGCGCGACGCCCAGTCCGACCAACACGGCCAGCGCCTTGGGCACGACGGGGTGCAAAACAACACTTTGCGCCTCGGGGGGCAGATGCGACAGAGCCGTCTGACCCCACTGGCGGAGAAACTGAAGAGATTGATCGAGAGACATGGTGAATAATGCGTTTGGTTTGCCAGGCCAGAGAGAAGCATGGGCGGGTTTAGCCGGATAGATATACGAAGGTTAAGCGGAGTTCATGGCCGAGGTTCTCACATGGTGGAACTGCACGTATCCGAGCTTGAGGAACTGAAGTCTGAAGAAGTTGATGATTGACATGGTGGAACTCCTGACCTTCCGGCTGTTCGACTCTTCCTCGCACTGACGGAGTAAAGTAGTGGCATCGCACTTTACCCGAGCGGGAAAGGGTTGCGAGGGTCGATCGGCATTTTGGAGCGAAGGAACCGTTGGATCGTCTGCAATTTTTGGAGCTTCTGTGGCCTCGGTGGAGCCGGTGGGGGGTCGACTGAAATAATGAACTTCATGAAGATTGAAGCCATTTCAGGGCCATCTGGGGCTTGCGAGGTCACATGCCTCGCACTCGTTGCCGTTCTCGACTTGAACCCCCTTTCTTGCCTTCTCTCTCGCATCCGTCCAAGATCCATCCATCATCCATCCATCATTCATCCACACGCCCCCTCGATCCCTGCGTCATGCCATCCAGACACATGGTCTCGAATCCGTCCTCGCGGCTTGTCGGCGAATATTCCACTCTGCCTCCTCATCCCCAGCCGAGGTCAGCGCCGTCGATCCGTGGGGCCCCAGGCTGCCGCTAATCTAATGAGAATGTCAGAATAATATGACCCATTTATGAGACGGGGAATATTAGAATTGGTTCTCTCCCCCTCCCCCTTTACCCCGGATTCTCATTCCCTCGGTTTATCTCGTCCGCGATTTGTCTATCATGGACCAGTTGCTGCTACTCGTGGCCTTCTCTCTGCTCGAAGGGTACCTCCTGCAACGATCGATCTTTCTCGATGTTGCATTTCGCACCCTCTGTCTGGCATCCTTCGGCCTGAACCTGGTCCTCCTGGGGATCTGGAATGTCCTCATCTACCCCATTTTCGTGACGCCTTTGCGCCATCTGCCGACGCTCGGCGTAAGTCCTGTTCTCTTCTTCGAGTTTCAACCGTCAACATCCATTAATACAAAACTAGGGCAACCTCAATCACTTCCGCATTCTCCTCGACGAGCCACGCGGTCGCCTACCGCTGGAATGGATGAAAACCATCCCCAATGAGGGCCTCATTCATTTCCGCGACTTTCTGAACCGCAGCCACCTGCTGGTCACTAACCATCAGGCCCTGCTGGACATCATGAGCACGCACACCTACGACTTCGAGAAGCCTTGGCGCGCCCGCGACTTCCTAGCTCGCATCATTGGCTTTGGCCTGATCCTGTCTGAAGGTGGTACCCATAAGAAGCAACGCAAGGCGCTGACCCCCTCGTTCCATGTCAAGAATATTCGCGCCCTGTATTCGCTGATGTGGGAGAAGACGGGCTTGCTGATGGACGAGCTGGAGAAAGAAATGCGACTGAGCCCGATGGAGGGGGCTATGTCCGACCGTGAGGGGAAGATTGAGATGAGCGTGTGGGCCAGGTATGTACATGTCTTTGAGCTGGCTGACACGCCTTGCGTCCAAATGACGAGATCCGGGACTTATGCTGATCTGAGACAGTCGTCTCACTCTCGACATCATTGGCCCCGCCGCCATGGGTCGCGATTTCCGCTCCCTGCAGAACCCTGAGAATAAGGTCGCCGACAGCTTCTTGGCCATCCTGGAACCCACTACGGAGAAGATGGTCTTCCTGGCCGTCAACTTCGTGCTGCCGCAGTGGTTCGCCCGCCATATTCCTTGGCACCCGAATCGCGTCGTCGATCATGAAGTTGGGTTCTTGCGCAATCTCTGCAAGGATATCGTGCATGAGAAGCGCGCCGCTATGACAGCCAGCAGCACCACAGCCAAGGAGCTCGAAGCTGATATCCTGGGCTCAATGATGCTGGGTGGCGATTTTACGGACGAAGAGCTGGTCGATCAGATGCTGACATTTTTGGCAGCGGGGGTACGTCCAATTCCGTCATCATTTGTGGGAAGTTCGATTGGCTGACTTGATATACAGCACGAAACCACTGCCAGTGCCTTCACCTGGGCCTGCTATCTGCTCACCCTGCACCCGGAAATTCAAGACCGCCTTCGCGAGGAGATCCGCCAAAGGATTCGCTCGGGATCCCACCCCATCACCTGGTCGGATTTGGAGTCTATGCCCCTGCTCAACGGCGTCTGCCAGGAAGTTCTGCGCCTGTACCCGACGGTCCCGGTGACGCTGCGCGAATCAATCCGCGACAGCACTCTGGCGGGAAAACACGTTCCGAAGGGTACGCGTATCATCCTCTGCCCCTACGCCATCAACCGGTCGCCGGAGTTCTGGGGCGACGACGGCGAGACTTTTCGGCCCGAGCGCTGGATCGATACGGACAAGAATGGACAGGCCATCGTCAATCATACGGGCGGCGCCTCAACCAACTTCGCCCAAATCACCTTCTTGCATGGCCAGCGCGCGTGTATTGGAAAGGACTTTGCGCGCGCGGAGCTGCGCTGCGCGGTGGCCGGCGTTGTTGGCCGGTTTCAGTTTGAGATGCAGGATCCCAAGCAAAAGATTCATATTGCCGGTGCCGTGACTACGAAGCCCGTCGAGGGGATGCATTTGAGAATGAGAAGAGTGGATGGTTGGTGAGGTTTGTCTTTTCGATTCTACTTGATGGCATGTTATGATGGATTTGTATAATGACTATATGACTTTTTCGGCTGGGTAATGTAATAGTTCAATTTGATCCATTCTGACATGATACGATAGAATATGTGTTCTTACTACGCTTTGATCATCTTGGGATGCGAGGGTCCGTGGTGATTGTGGTTATGGCCGTGGTGTGCATGGCCCAAATGCTCGCTGATGCGATGCTTCCCTCGCTGCCCTGCTTCCTTCTCGGACTTCTTGTTTTGCCCTGCCTCCGTTTCTTCCTCATCCTCTTCCTCTTCGAAGGCGGGCCATCCCTCCCATCCGTCCTCCCACGTCTTCATCATTTTCTCTTGTCGCTCACCATGCGACAGATTTTTGTTCGACATGATCTTCTCCCACTTCTTCATGTCTGCGTCGTCCAATAAGCAATCGTTCAACAATTCCGTGATCGCCTCCGTGTCGATCCCTTCTCCGATGAACACAATCTCCTGTCGCCGGTCTCCCCATCGACCCTGGAAGTCGGCCTCGATGGACTTCCGCACGTCCTCGTCCTCCGGCCACGCCTCGTCCGCCACCTCGGCGAACCAAGGCCCGCCGCAGCCTACGGTCAACATGCCGCCTGCTTGGCTCCATTCGCCGAACTGGTCCGGGCGCGTGGCCAGCCAGTAGAAGCCTTTGGAGCGTAGTATAGGCCCGATAACGGGGTGCGCACGTTTATTGGAGAGGATCAGTTGGGGGTCTTGCTGGTTGAAGTCCTCCATTTCCTCGTCCGAGGCTTCTGATGAGGCGTCACTATCCTCTTCATTCTCGTCCTCGGTTTCATCTTCGTCTTCTTCATCCTCTTCTTCCCCAGAACTCTGCAGGAGAATGAATTTGTCATGCAGAAGGGAGAAGAGCCGACGTGGATGGAACGGCCGTCGAGCCGTGTAAACGAAATTGTTGATCCCGTACCTGATACAGGTTAGCCCACACCTTCTACAGTGAGAAAGGATAAAAGACATACTCGACCGTCTCCGGCACCGGTGCCATCCTCTCCCCATTGGCCGTCTCCCTCCTCGTCATCTCATGCAGACTGCGCAACCAGCCCGCTCCCGACGCTGCCTTCAGGAAATTAAACCGCCCCGTGTCCAGGATCTCATTAACGTCGACACGCGAGTAGTTCGTCTCTAGCACCTTCGCGGCTGGGTTCAGGACCCTCAGCAAGGACCGGATACTCTCGCGCGTCTTCTCATTCACCGTCTCGATCTTGTTCATGATAATCACGTCGGCGAACTCGATCTGGTCGACCATCAGGTCGGAGATCGTACGCTCGTCCTCCGGGATGATCTCTTCGCCGTATCTGTCTGAGAGGAACTCTGCCGTGTCGAAGTTCGTGAGGAGATTAAATGCGTCGATTACCGTCACCGTGGTGTCGAGTTTGGCGAGCGTGTGCAGACCGCCGAGTTCGACTCTGTTTCAGAACTTCAGTGTTAGCAGCTCCCTTTGAAGACCCTTGAAGCCCTTGAATGTGGGATGAGATGGGATGCACAAAGGGCTCAGGCAAGGAAGAGTACATTTGATTCAAGACCTTCCGACCCTCTTCATCCGCCACGTCGGCCTCCAGCATCGCCGAACTGAACTCCGCCGTAAATGTCTCGGCCACTTGCATCGGCTCGCTGATGCCCGTGCTCTCGATCACCACGTACTGCACGTCGTCCTGACGCGTCAGCTGCGCCAGCTCTGACAAGAGATCTCCACGCAGCGTGCAGCAGATACATCCGTTCTGCAGCTGGATGAGGTTCTCTTTTGTTTGGGAAACGTGGTGGTTCTTGATGAGAGTGGCATCGATGTTGAGACTGGCGCATAGTCGGTCAGTTATGAGGCCAAGTAAACATGAAGGGGAGGGAGAGAGAGAGAGAGAGAGAGAGAGGACGATGACCACATACCTACTCATATCATTCACAATCACCGCAATCTTGAACCCATGATCAGATTGCAGAATATGCTCCAGCAGCGTGGTTTTCCCACTCCCCTATTGAACATCAATCCCAATCCACACCCAACCCAACAAGATGGAAGACACGAGAAGGTCCAAAAAGAGAACTTACCAAAAACCCCGACAGCAGTGTCACAGGCAACTGCCTCGTCTCCTTCCCAGCAGTCATCCCACTGGTGACTGGAAAATCGATCGTCTCAGGACCCGAATTGATAGTCATCTTGCGGCAGGTCGGATCTAATTCAGAGAGAATGAAGACAGAAGAGATTGAAGAAACTGAACTGGAAACCTTGCGAGCAAGCCACCCATGCTCGATCTTATATACATCTATACAAGGGCTCGTCCGCAAGGTTGCGCATCGTGTCGACTATTGATAATCGCGGCCGTGATTGGTGCAGGCCCCGGCTTCCCCAAGGTCCTTGCGATGGCTGCGCGCAGATGAGCGCCCAAGGTACGCGCCCCGGGGTCCTCAGTATGCACGGATTCGGAGAGGAATGGTGTAATCGGGTATTTGAAAGGGGTTGATTGGTTGATTGGGGTTGCGCTGGGTACTAATAGCTGAGGGTTGATTGGGTTGGTCTGGATGGCTAGACGTTCTTTCGTGACGTTGTGTTTGCTACGGATTAAGCTGCGAGGTCAACCTGCGAGACGACGGACGGAGTGACGGGGAATTTCTTCCCTGGTGTGCATTCCTGATTCGATCAAGTCTATCTAAGAGCTGCTTTCCTGGCACTCCACTCCAATGTCACCCTGAATGCCGTCGCAAATAATCACGGACGGGCTGCCTGCCGGGCTGGTGATGTTGATGTCATTCAGCCGGATGTTCGAGCAGACTGAGTTCGGCGAGCAGGTGAGATCCGCCACCACCTTGCCCTTCTTGCCGGTCGATGTACCGTAGACGTTGTCGAAGACAATGTTGGTCACGTTGACCCGAGACGGATGCGCCGCGCACTCCTCCGCCTCAATGTTGAAGTAGCATTGGTCAAGCACGACTGGGCTATCGGTGTTCTCGATCCGGATGTTCTTGTAGGTGATGTTGTTGATGCGACCGTATCCGACGCCTTCACCGGCCCAGGCCTTGAGACGGGCGCCGTTCTGGTATCGTCAGTATGGGTTCGCTAGAGGAGGCGCGTGTGATGAGAAGGACTAACCTGTCCATTCAGCAAGGTCACGTTCTCAATGTACGCATGCTCGATGATATCCATCACTCCTGGGTACTGTCCGATACTGCCCATACTAACTCCATGGGTGCCGTTGCACCACAGATTTTGCACGAAGACGTTGGTGGTGTTAGGCTTGGGCGAGAAGCAGTCATCACCCACGTTCACCCGGGTGTTCGTGACGCTGAGGCCGTCCACGTTGAAGGAGTCAAAGCCGTCGCTGTTCTTAGGCAACGCCTGATTGTACACAGTCAGGACACAGAGCCTGAGAGAAAATGGGGATACAGATGGTCATACCGAAGCATTGGTCGAGAACGCGTTGATATACACATTATCAAACGAGACATCTTTGCTCTGTACGAAGAAGTTGGTCCAGCACGGCGAGTTGAGCTGCGTGATGCCTTCGACGGATACCCGAGTCGCGTTTTCGGTAACGAACAGGATAGGCCGGTAGTACTCGTTGTCGGGGTCCTGAATGCATCAGAATCATCGGCCACTGTCAACGTGCCTGCAAGGACTTACCAGAATCTCTTGCCCGGCAAATTCATTGTACCATCGCTGTCCATTGCCATTCAACACTCCCTTGCCAAAAATCTTGATATCCTGACCTCCCCAGCGCCAGAAGGTGATGGATTTCTGGAAGTCGTAATAGAAGTTGTTCGCTTGCCAGTAGGGCACGTCGTCGGTGAACTAAATATTCATCAGGTATGAGGCAATTATACAGCCACGGAATACCTTCAACACGCATACCTTCAGTTCTCCATCCAATTGCACTTCAATATTGTCCAAGAAGTTCAAGTCAAGCCTCTTGCCAATCACGTACTTCTCTCCTTTCTTCAGGAGCAGCCGTCCACCACGATTGGCCCGCTTGATGCCCCACAGGAAGTCTGACGAGATATCATCCGTATCGTTGCGCGACGACCGAATGGTCACAGTACGACGGTCGCGATGTTTGTGGTGGTGCGCCCCGACGCGTTTCAACTCGGCCTGGTCGCCGACAGGGATGATTCGGGCGCCGGGGATAAGGCCGTTGACCGCGACGCTGCTAACGGCGCTGGCAAACAGCGCAGCAAGAAAGAATTTCATGGTGCAGTCGTTCCTTCGCTCAATGCGCAGGTGCCCTCTCAATTGCTGCTGTTAGGGAAACTGGATTGAATCCCTCAATTGAGAGTCGGCAGACGCTTTTTTATAATGTGCTGCTCCGGCGGGCATCGTGCAATATGCCCTGGCGGCATTTCTTTCATGTAGTTATCGAACGACGCGGTCTGCGAAATCTACTTCAGACAAGTTTCTCCGCCTGTAGGATCCCAGAATGCCGCCGTCAAGGGCGCGGCAGTCGTGGCAGGGCTCCACTTGGGCTTGAATCGCACCATCCTTGATATCTCCACAATGCGGAGATGGCGAAGACCTGGGGTAGCTGATCAAGCTCTCTGGAGGAAATTTCGCCGTGGTTGCAGGTTGCAAATACTTCCACCAATCATGGATGTGTGGGGATGGATCGGTTTGGAGAAGAGCATTGGGAGGCTAGATGGGTAATAGTTCTTCCTCCGTCGAATGTGCGGGGAGTATAAAGCGCCTAAGGTCCCATATAATTCAGTTTATTGTTGGCGATGGACGCAAACGATGAAGTAGACAATGAAGCGGAAATGAAGCAGAAGGGAAGAAAGAGAAGCCAATGGAAGACAAGGCCTCAGGCAGCCTCGGCATTTCCCCGCAACGATCGACGTCCCCAAATTCCATCCGTCTGAAAAACCAAACAATCTCACTTCGCTACTGACTTCGCTGCTAAATTGCTACCAGAATTCTACCTCGGTCGTTTCATTTCAATCCAGCCCCACCGCTCAAAGGTGCTTCCCGGCTAGCACCAACGCCGTGATGCAGCTGATATTCCCCGACCACCAAGCCACCGATCGCAGGAAACTCAACGTCTCCGACTCGATCCACACATAACTGATAGCATAGACCACGCGCGAGAGGGTGTACCACGCGCCGATCCCGTTGATGGCTTCGGCGGGAAGGTTAGCGTGAACGGCGAGGAGGACTACTCATGGCACACCCGTTAGCATTACGCCAGAAACACAATGGGGTATATGGGATGGGAAAGGAATCAGACGTACTGCCCGCAACGAGCAACGGGAACCCCTCTACAGAATTGGCATGCGCCGCTTCCTGGCGCTTGAGTCGATTCAGCGTCGAGCGACTGATCTTGCCCGATTGCACTGCCGCCTCGCCGTACTTCGTCAGATCCTCGCGCGGCGCCGTGTTGTGGTCGATTCGATGAATGCGCTTGGCCGGGCGAGTGCTGAGCACGCCGTACGCGAACAGGAAATTCGCGATCAGATAGGCGGCGGCGTGGTTGGGCGGTTGCTGATGGCCCGGGGCGGCACGCAGACCCAGCGTGCTAAGTACCGAGGTTAACCTGGCCTGCGGTTAGTCGAAGTGGATTCGGGATTGCTAGGAGTAACGTACGACATGGTGAGTATCGTGAGCTGCTGTCTAGTATAAGACGCAAGAGTAAGGGGTAGAGAGAAGGGTAGGAAGTGGATGGCTTTTAAATTGGGTTCAAGGGATCGACATGCCGTGATATCATCGTCCACCACCTTGCTGACATGTGCCTAATCGCTAGAGCCCCTGTGAAACCACATGAAGATGAACCCTATTCACATTTCGCCCTTCTATCCCACGAGTATAGTACAAAAAGAACAAGCAGAGATGGTATCTAGATCAACGCTTCAATGCTCCCGACATGAACCAAACGCCAAGCCGTTCAGACACTTTTATCCAAAAAAGGAGGTGAGGAAATTGTTGTCCCAGAGGTCTGGCAACCCATAATCAATCCCATCAAACATGGTCGCAAAATCATAAGGCTAAACGTCGGTTAGCAATGCAGTAAATTTCACGGCCCGATTCTCTCTTACCGAAAGGTCTGTCAGACCAGCAGGATCGATCGAGGATGAATCGAACGGAATCTCGGACGAGGTGGAATCCAGTCCGGGAGTCAGCGTAGGCACCTAGAGTGACATTAGTAGGCATAACAAACCACCACCCCCAAAGGACGATAATCACTTACTCCGGCGGAACCTTCTTGACGGGCCCGAACATCGGCCCAGGATGCTCCCCGAATGAGTTGCTCGCAGTCCCGGATGGCCCGCATGGCTACCTGCTCGGCTTTCAACTGAGGATCCTCCCCGTTCATTCTCGCTTTGACAGAGCCAAGTACCATGCTCAAGAAGAAGAAAGCTTTGCATCCTTTCCCTCGCGTATTAATCCGGTTGCCAAAGTGGTCGAGGGTACTCTCGACTGCTCTCAATAGAACTCCTTGCTGCGACCGCACCAGCTCGTTCAGCGAGCTTAATGAGCTGGACTGGCCGGACGGCGCATGAGCGGGCGAGAGCTCCTCCATCTGCCAACAAAGTTCCACGCTGACACTGAGAGCGGCGTGAAAGAACTCGTCGCGAAACATCCCTCCCCCAAGTTGCCCCGTATGAGGACAGACCTGTGCTTCCGGGAGACTGACCGGCGGCGGATCAAGTTGTGAAAGCATCTCCAGGGATGACTCGAGGCAGATCTTGCGCGAGAAAGAGAACTTGGGCGAGAGCGAAATGCTGAGAGCAAAAGGCCGATGGAGAACAAGCAGGAATCGGCGCATGAGAAAAATCAATAATGATCGAGCAAATGGCCGGGTGCCCGAGGGGCTGAGCACCGTCGATCCGCCGTCCGGATATAACGTCAGCGCTTCGTTCATATGCATCATCAGTTGGTCGCCCAGGCGCAGCGCCTCATCATACGACATCTCGAATTTCAAACTGTTGACGAGCTTCGCTATCCGCATGCGGAGCCCCAGCGATCGAGATAGCAGGACCTGAAAACTGCTGCGCGTGACGACCCCAAGATCTTTGGGGACCGCGTCCTCGGTCATCTCTTCCGTCATGTCGGTGTCGTCGTAATTCGACGGCGGCTCGCAGTCGTACTCGTCCAGGTCGATTGATGGGGGCATTCCCCCGTCCAAGGACGACTGCAGGTCAAATTCCAGGATCGTGGTCCACAACCGGCGGCGCATTTCCGCCCAGAATGGGGTCATTCTCCCGAAATGGGACGGGCTTCGATGCAAGCCCATGGCCATCGCCGACCGCAGAACCGAACCGGACGAGATCCACACGAGATCGCCGTCGGTCGCATCGGCTTGACGCGCGATCATCAAAAGACACTGGATCTGCAGCATGTCGAGATTGATGGTCGAGCTGACGAAGGAGGACGCAATCCACGACTGCACGGAGATTATCCATGCCGAGGCCGAGCTTTGCAGCGTGTCGTTCTCGTTCAATCTCGTCGTCGGCCCGAAGAAACAGCTACTAGCAGCCATCAACGCCAGCAGCTTGGCCAGGAAAACCTGGTCCACCCTCTCCGTGCCGGCCCAGTAAGCCTCGTACTGTTTGAGGAAGGTCGGAACGTGCAGGATGCGACACGTGGTCTCGTAGGTTGACAGATACAAGCTGAGCAGCTCATCCGCCACTCTTCGGTGGGGAATCATATCTTCCATCGAGAAGGCCTTCTCGCGATAAGCACGCTGATGGTCCTGCTGTTCGCGAGAACACACCTCCCCCCTCAGTTTCTTCAACCGCATGTAATCCGAATCCTTCGATTTGAACTTGTCGCGCCGACCCTTTAACACGGCCCCGACATCCTTAAACTGCAGTTCCAGATTAATCGCCCATGTCCGTGAATGCATACCCACACCTTGTCACTTACATATGAGAGAGTCACGCCCCAATGGCAGCGACCGCAGAATCTCGATTTACCATTCTTGCCGCGGAAGGAGGCGTGCGAGGGCAGATGCTTAACATTCTCGCTGATGTACTGCGTGTCAAATGACGCCCGCAGCGGCGATTCCCCCAGGCCGTCCAGACCCGAGTTATCCGGCGTGGGAACCGAGCCCGTTCTCGATAAAGCATGTTCCAGCATTTGCACGCGATGGCGTAGTTCGTATAGCTCGTCGGGTCGCCCCCTGGGCTTGGTGACTCGGTTCGCCGAGGATTGGTGTTTCGAGTCGAACACGTAGAGTCCGCCGTGCACCGAACTGGCACGACTCGCCGGCATCTGCACGCGATCCGGGGTGTTTCCCAGGGGGCGTGATTCCGAGTGTGCGGGCACCTGGGGGCCGGAATACACGCACCGATCCGGAGTCTTGGATTTGACGCACTGCCCGCATGGCAAAGACCGGTCGCATTTCAACTTGCGGCGTCGACATATGGTGCAGGACAGGGCTGGTCGGCGTCGTCTCGGAGGGGATTTCGGCGACGTCGTACCCCGTGCATGGGGATGGAATTCGTGTTCGTCGTCCATAGATAGCCGATCGTTGGCAGGTGTCGGCCGCGCATTGGCGAAGATCGCGTCAGACCGAGGATGCCTTGGCAAAGATACAGGGGATCGGAGTGCTGCAATGGCCAAGAAAGTAGGAGAGATGGACACGCATCAGGGGCCCGCCATGTCGGGAGTGGGGGAATGATGATTGCCTGGAAGGAGCGAGGTGGTCCGTCTGAGTGTTTACGCCGGAGAACGTGCGGCTCCGATGCGACGTCGATGACGTCATCCGGGCCGGACTTGCACCCGTTCGGGCTAAGCGTCTCGGGATCCCTCGGAGATACCCGATCGGGCAGTCCAGATCCGAGCCATATCCTTTCTATTGGATGTTCTGCGTATGCAACCTCTTCTCTCTTCGATCAGACGCAGGTTCAAAACACTCCCGGCAGGATGCGCCATCGCACCTGGCTGCAGTATCTCTCCCAGGAGCTTCCGTACTTCGCCAAACATCGCTTCTCATCGCGGAGACACCGGTGTGCCAGAATGATGGTCATGAAGATGGCATACGTCCATGGAAGGAGGTGAGTCGTTCCGCAGGGCGCACACATTGCGTACGATAAAATAAGATCTCCCAGATAATTGGCATGTCGCACGTATCCCCACCACCCTAGGTCGGGGATGTTAGATCAATCTCTCCTGGTGGATCAGGGCATGCCTACCGGAGCAGAGAAGAAGAGATTCGTGCTTCACCCCGTTGGCAGTCTGGTAGGAGCACCTCATCACCTTTGGCTTCCCCCCGGCAATGATGCAGTTGCCTCGGGTCTTGCGGGCTATATGTTTCTGCTCGTTTGCAGAGCAGTAGATCAAATACCCGCCAACCCCCGTGGCAAGGATCGCGGCAGCTGCGGTGGGGTGTAGATGCACGGGCTTGCGCGCCAGGAATTGGGCCTGCAAGGTATATATGGCCGGCAGGAATGCCGACGAGCCCCAGGCAAAGTAGAAGCCGAAATGATCATGTTGGATGTCGAGGGTCCGCAGATACCTGTCCTCGCGAAAGAAAAAGTCCGCCACATAGAGCAGATGAAGGATGTCAACCACCATAATCGAAGACGTGATATATCCGTGGAGTCGATACTGATATACCGTGAAGGAAAGATCACTGCCACGCTTTAGTGCTCTCATTCCATCTACCCTCTCGCGGATGGCACTTACATCATAACCCATGAAATCATTCCAGTGCGTCCGATATGGAAGAGCTTCATATCCCAGAATTTCCCAAACCGAGGGTTCAGCTCAACCCCCATGTACAGGTCGTAGAACAGCGAGCCTACTCACGTCAGCCATGACCAAGACTGCATGATGCAAGTCCAATACCTGTAAACTTTCGGTCCTTTGGATGAGACGGGAATAGGCTGGCTTTAATGTAGAACAGAATACATAGTAGGAAGCCATATATATTGCCAACCAGGAGAAGGGACCCCCAATTCGCAGCAATGATCGCCGGGTCCACGACGTTTCCGACGGACAAACCGACAGCCACAAGAACTGAAATGCCGAACGCCAACAGTCCATTGGCTCGGTAGCTCAAGAGGTATCCCGCCGGGGTTGTATGCCCCTTGCATATACGTCCCGGGAGGCCAGTGTAGAGCAGACACTGGAAAGCTACCCAACCCATGTAACCAACCAAAGCCACGCCATCGAATGCCTGGCAAAGTATGACTGTGAACACGGATGGCCCCTCTGCCAGGAAATATTTCAGCATCTGTACGGGAGATGCATCGGAGAGTTCCATGGATGCCCAGGGGAGGAGTGATAGCATGGGACACAAGAGACCCATGAACCCTGCTGCCAGCACGCCGACCTTCCAGGATGCTTTACAGCGACGACCCCAGACCAACAATCTCGACGGTTTTGCATCGGACTTGGATAAAATGCTCATCGACGAACTCCTTATGCTTTCCGTCAGGTGGAGGGCGTCCATGTCGATGTCTGGGCCAAGAACAGTCGGGGAGCAAGCCGGGTGACGAGGAAGAAACAAGAGAGCCCGACACCATGGCCACACGCCTGTTTTAAATGTCCTCCCAGGCTATGGCGAGAGGCCGGATGCATCCCGGGCCAGGCCAAAGGTTCGGGACGCTCATTGAATGATCGGTCGGCGATGCATGTCAGCTGCATGAGATGCGGATCGATGCATCTTACTCCGAACATGAGGTCGAGGGGAGATGACAGGCAGACGTGGCCGACGCAAGGAGTGGAAGAGGAGCAAGTTGACTTGACTTGTACGGGAGAAGCACACATCACATGAAGTGGATCGGGTCTCGGCGCTCTCATTCTTCCCCCCGTTTGCTCCCTTTCTTTCCCCCTTCCATTCTTCGCGATCCTCCTCAACGATGCCCCCGATCTAGACCCCGGATCATGTTGACCGTGTTGCTGCTGGCCGTCGCGTTGTTTTTCGGCGACAAAACCCTGGCTGCTCCTTATGTCAGATGCATCCTGGCCCTTGCCATTCTATGCAGTGCAACCCACGCCGTCATCTCCCCGCCTCCCTCTTTTTCCGCCTTTTTCAAGTACTCCAATGCCTTCCTCTCGGGGGCCTTTGTTATTCGCGCTGTCGAGCTGCTGCTGGTCTATGACCTGCCTCGCCTGAAGCGCCTTGGCAGCGTCGCCGCTTCGGCCTCGCCACCCAAGTATGTCTGGAAACCTCTTCCGACCGCGTTGGGCGCGACTCGCTTTCTGTGGATCTGCGATCTCCTCGTCAATCCGCGAGCCATCGGTTGGAACTACGGACCCGTCCGATATCTGCCGCCCCTTCGCGATCACCGCCAGAGCAAGAAGGCCTTTGATGACGTCAACTCCATAGACCAGGGCGCCGAGGTATCCCCGGCCACCTTCTCCAAAAGGCAGCTTCGACGCATTGTTTTCGGTTATCTCATTCTGGATGCTTACCAGTCGACGTTTGGGAGGAATTATCTTGCGCTTTGTGAGACCCTCGCGTCGGCAGCAACGGCCGGCTGGGGGTCTCAGATCTCCACGGAGGCCAGCGAAATTCTAGTCCGAAAGTACCTCTTCGGTCCAGTCTGCTGGCTCACCTCCTACGCCTTTGTTGACGGGGTCCATGCATTGTTTGGTCTGGTCGGCGTCGGCGCCCTCGGGAGCATCGCTCCCAAGCTTTCCGCGGAACCATGGATGTATCCGCCATTGTTTGGTCCGGTGCAATCCCTCCTCACCTTCCGCCTACGAGGTACCGTACATCCAGGGCCAGAGGTTTAATGCCTGGGTCTTGCCGCCAGCCCTATGAATTACCCACCGGCTAACTCTCTGGCGATCAGATATCTGGGGCAAGTTCTGGCATGACCTCTGCCGCCGCCCCTTCCTCGCCCTGTCTATCTCGCTCATCCCCAAATCGTCGCCCCCGTACTTGAAACAGCTCATTGTCCTGTACACTTCGTTCACTCTCTCCGGGGTGATCCACGCGCTTGGCTCCTATGCCGTCTCCCGCAACCTGCAGGCCGCGGGCATGATGATGTTCTTCTTCTTCGTCCTGCCCACCTGCATCGCCTTGCAGCAGATCATCTCAAGCGAGTTGTTACCTCGCTTGATTCCTCGAAACCGGGCCTCTCGGGCCATGATCTTGGTCCTAAACGCGGCGTTCGTCTGGGCGTGGGCGAATCTGACCTGTCCCTGGTTCATTGAATATAGCATGTTGCCGCAGTCGATGGCATCGATTCCGGTGCCGTTCAGTTTCTGGGGGTGGGTTTGTCGCAGTCACACCCCAGACTTTGCTTTGGCAGGGTTGCGGTAAGAACCCGACTCTACAGAGTGATCATTGATCATTTTTGTTTCTTGAATAGAAGCGCTGCCATTCTAAAACTAGATCGCTGAGCATCGTTGCATCACGGCATACGTGAGCGTTCTTTTCCTGTCTTGCGACAAGAAATCATATAGAGAAGCGCCTTGGTTTGGTCAAAAGTCAGTTGGATAACATATGTGATTATCAAACCCCTAAACCTTCCGCTGGCATATCGATAGACATTTGAATACAGCACAACAATTTAATGGGAAAGTCTAATGCGAATCTCGAAATATGTACCATGCAATGGCTATATACAGATCAATGCTAACCCTATGCATCCTCTATCCCCGGCGCCAGAAAGGCTTCATCACCGACTTGACGTAAACAAGCAAATACACCATGAGATAATTGGAAATGACAAATGCCGTGAAGATGCCGAAAAATGGCCAAATCTTGGACGAATCTAACCCGATTCCAGAAAGATACTATCGAGTCTGTCAGTGACACCTTGTTTAATTTCACACGTGCGAACACTTACGTCGTCTCCATAGCTATATTCACAATAGCCACACTTCCCAGAATCGTCGGGGTTGTATAGATAGCCCACACCTTTCTCCTCGAGCCATGCCCCGGCATATTCGCCGCAGGTCAGATTAGGCGGACTCTCGAAGATAGTGAGTTCGCTCTCGTTACAGACGACAGGCATTCCACGAAGAACAGATGTCAGGACGCCACCGATCCAGTATGTGAACGGCGTTGCATAGTACATCGTGTACCCCCAGAATGCGGGCATGTTCTTATGCGGCTGCAAAATGCCGTTGAATAACTCGCACATGATGATGAAGAATGGCATCAACGTGGCTGCCACCAATGAATCGGCGCTAGAGTCGTCGTCAGTCGGGCCTGATCCAGCATTTGTGGGGGGGGGGGGGGGGGGGGCGCAAAACATACCTCATCGCTGCAATCCACTGGCCCCAGGACGTGGCAAACAGGAAGAACAGGAAGAACATCAAGAAGGTATATCCTGCTGCGAACCCAAGAGGGAGCCCCACAATAAAGTAATAGAGAACATAGAAGATCACGGCACTGATCACGGCGTAAGGGATTTCACAAACAATTTGAGCGGTGCAGAACGCAACCCAGCCATAGATGCCGCTGGGGCCCTCGCGCGCTTTCCAAATATCACGATTCATGATGAACCGCATTGAAATGGCGTTGATGAACTCGGGTACAAGCATCAAGACGAGAAAGCACGAGAAAGCCTTGGACTGCAAATCAGTGGAGCTGTTGCCAATCTGCAAATATGTGAGGCCGTTGATCAAGGCATGGAGGAACGAGGCGTATAGACGAGAGTACGGATACTCTGGACTTCGCCAATACTGCCGCAGTGTCCGTTTGGTCAGAAGGGACGTCTGCCGGAAGATCGACGGAGTAGACATCTTGCACTGTGAGACTTGTGGCGCGTCCGATGACTTCTCGCTCTTATTGCGGATTGCGTGTATCTCATTCTGGACATCCTCTGCTTCGGCAGATCGCTTCCATACTTCGGGCCAATCGACGCTATGTGCAGCGTCTTTCATGCCACCAACGACAACTTCGATAAGGAAATCCGCCGCGTTAGTAACATTCTCTGGTTGATGACCATGCTCAGAGAAGTATTTAAAGATGGAGCGCCCGGATTCTCCGACCTCTCCAAAATAGTAAGTATTTCCACCAGGACTGAGTGCCAAAACTCGATCGAACTGCTCATAGTTAGCCCTTGCGCATAGACATTTCATGAATAGAAGAACCGACCTGCTCAAACTGCTCCTGATTTGCCTGGTGAATAGTGCAAAGAATGGCCAATCCCTGGTCAGCTAAGCGCCGCAGTAATGCTACAATACTCGAAGCGCCCTGGCTATCGAGACCACTAGTTGGTTCGTCCAAAAAGAGCAGAAGCTCAGGTTTAGCGCATAACTCCACGCCAATGGTAACTCGTTTTTTCTTCTCAATGTCCAGGGAACCTATTATGGCGTCCTGCAGATCGACAAGATCAAGCGTTTCGATGACCGTGTTCACGTATGACAGCTTTTCCTGCTCAGATACAGCAGTGCTCTGGCGGAGAAGTGCAGAGAACTCGAATGCTTCTCGGACCGTGCTAGTCTCATCATGGATATCCATCTGCTGACAATATCCAATGCGACGATTGAACGTTTGGTCTATAGGCTGTCCATCGACATACATCGTGCCAGTGAGTTCCCCCGAACTGGGCCTCTGGGTGAGAGCAGTCAACACTATGAAAGGAGAGGATATTGTTAGCTTCTCGCACAGAATGGTGAGGCAATTCAGGCCATACATGTAGACTTTCCCGCTCCGGAAGCTCCTACGAGGGCAGTCAATGACCCTGGTTTGCAGTAGCCTCGAACACCATTCAAAAGCTTCCTCGATTCCTTTCCGATTTTGACATTCAATTCCAGGCTATCCCAAGTAAATGTTGACTGGGTTCCTGCGAGGGCTTGGCCCGGCTTCTCAATCGTGGCACGAGGTGCAGCGGCCTGGGGACCTGTCGGGACGGCGTTGCTTTCCTCGTCTCCGGCGCGCTTCCTGTTTGACTTAGACTGTCCCCAAGATTTCTTGTGTTGAATAGGTCCAGCACTATCCGGCTCCCACTCCATGACCTCGCTCAGCCAGCAAGTCCCGGCAATGTAAACAACTGTGAAGAGGCACAGTATTCCAAAGTTGCGCCAAACGTTGCTGAAGTAGAACCCATACTTAACCGCAAGGTAATCATCGCCGTTCACCACGGTAGTCCCAACTTGACTTCCTGCATAGCCGCAGGTTTGGTAGACGACATCCGTGTAATTCGGACCAGATGGCACGACCGATCCTGGTGCACAGCTGAACTCGGTATTGTGAAACTCTGCAGCCATCATGGCCTCATAGGTATAAAGTGCTGGAGTTGTATACTGATAGATAACGTTAGTGTTTCCTTTTTGCTAGAAGACTTGTATGAAACTCACAGCTATCCATCCGACCCAGGGGACATCTTGCATCAACTTGTCCACTGAGAGAACGTATCCACCAAAAACAATGCAGAACAGAACAGAAACACCGCAGTAGCGCAGCGCAACCTCGAAGTTCGACGAGGCGGCAGCGAACAATCGGAACTGGGCAGTCAGGCAGATGGTGCAGAGATAAATGAAGAGAAAGTCGATCCAGAAGGATCCAGCCTAGCGATCAAACCGTTAACCATCAAGGATAATATGCTGCGACGGATCGAGATCGCAACTTACATTTGTCTTGAGACCTGACAGGAAATATACCACGATCAGAAATAGGAATGTGATAGCGGCCCCTACCATGAAATCGGCGATAACCCTGGCCAAACATACCGCACTGGGTCTGACGAAGGCAAATTTCTTTTGGCGGCTGAGAATATCTCGCCCTTGCATTGCATCTTCCAACTCGGACATTTGGAGCCAGGCCAAAAGGATTGCCGAGTAGAAGATGACACCGCCGCGAGAGTACATTCCATCGGTGGTTTGAGGTTGGTTATAGAACATGGACCCAACCAGCAGACCGTAAACGACCGCCGAGATCAGCTTGATGTACAAAGGCGACATGTGGCCCCTAATCTGCCAAATCTGACGTTTTGCGCACAGCACCACTTGTCGGAACAACGAAATGGTGTACGGGGACTTGGGAGACACGAAGCGAGATTTATCGGTCTGCACGGCTTTCTTAAACTCCTCCACACTTCCGCAGTCCGACGCGGTCTGGGACGCTCCTGTGCTCTTGCCGCCGAATCGCTGGTCCTCGTAGTTTTGGACGTCATATTCGATCTTCTTGTACGCCGAGCTTTTCCTAAACGCCTCTTCCAGTTCGACGGGTCCTTTGGGGGTGCGCTGTTCCCACCCCGGTTTGAATCGCCGCCTCTCGGGGACCGTGATGCTGGTCAGGAAGTCCGAGACGGTCTGCATGTCGGCGCATTCATATCCCAATCCTTCAAAGTATCTCTTCGCCTCGCGAGCGGGGCCTTGGTAAATCATCCGACCTTCGTCCAGCAATAACACCTTATCAACCAGCTCATAGATGGCATCCGACGCCTGATAGAGCGTCATAAGCGTTGCCTTGCCGCACGTGTCAGTCATGATTCGAAGACTGCGCGCGTAGTCCAGAGCCGACGAAGCATCCAACCCCCGAGTGGAATTATCCCAACACATCACAGACGAATCGGTAGCAAGAGACTCGATGATGGAGATCCGTTTACGCTCACCACCCGACACGCCGCGGATGTATTCGTTCCCAACCAGCGTGTTCATCGTATGGGACATGCCAAAAACTCGCCCATAGATTTCGAGATATCTCGGGATTCGTTCTTGGTACCTTTTGGGCGACTTGCTCTGAAGCGCAAACTCCAAGGTCTGTCGCACGCTGAGAGTGGGGAAATGCACGTCATCCTCGGGCACGTAGGCCACTTGGCCACGATAATGCTTCTTGACCTCCTCGAGACTTAGGCCTGAATAATCGATGGAGCCCGTCACGCCGAGAAAAGACGAATGATGGCCAGCGATAGTGCGCAGGAACGTTGAGCAACCGGCGCCCGGCCTCCCCAAAACACTACGGAACACATGAATCAACGGCTTCGGGCATGTTTTCTGTTTACTTCGAGAACTTACAGCATAATCTCGCCACTTCTCACCACGCCGGAGAAATCGCGAATTAACTCCCGCCCGTCGTGGGGCTTTTTGCCGGAAAGCCAGGGTTTGACGGTCCATTCGTACACGTCCTGGAAGGTCAACGTGCGCCAGAGGGCCGTCCCTAGGGTCTTGACATTGGCATGGTCGCCTCCGTCCCCCCACGTGGAGATGGACTGGAAGCACACGCCAAGGTTGGACTTCTTGCGACCCGCCTGGAGTTCGGCTTCGAGGAATTTGTCGAACGAGGAGTGTGGCTCGGGATATTCTTGGACCGGGACATGGTTGCTTGGATCGGTCAGGGTCCGATGAATGTCCGCGATGGCGTCCCCGTCCTCATGCGACAGATGCACTCGAGGCGAGGAGATAATATCGGCCTGGCCCTCCCCCTCCGCGTTGGAGGTGGGCGAGGGAGCACCGTGCAGGTAGGCATGAAGATGGGCCGGCATTTCACACGACCTTTTTCAAGGACCCTTGATCGGGCGGGGGGAAGAAAAATATGATCAGATAGCGAGCTGCCGGGGTTGGTGGCAATCCATGTACAGTAACACCTTGGGGGGCAAGGCGATGCCACGGGCTTTATATACTTGGATGAGTGCCTGGAGCCGATCCAGGCGGATCCACCGATCTCCAATCCATGCTTGATCAAAAGGGAAGCCAAGCTTCATGTGGTGAGCTAATACTTGGTCAGAAAGGCATAGAAAGCCGACCCTGGCCATGACTGGAGGTGGAGCAGGAAAGTGGGAGGAGAAGGACCCGCCGGGCGATATAACTTCCGAGTCTGGCAGCTCGCCTGAGAAGGCCTCCTCCGAGCGCTAGTCCTCATTGGGCAGCCAAGGCGGATCGGCTCCACTTGGATCCGTACTCCGGAGTAGTCTAGACGCAGCAAGATAGATATGTGCCTTCATCTTCTTTTTCCTCTAATAGACAGTTGAGTATAGACCCCATTGAATGGAAAATATGCTCGGCATGATTTTGGCCCCCCTTCCTTGAGGTCATTGGACCGCTCGTTAGAGTTACCCCTTAGGCATGAAACCAAAACTACTTCACTCGAGCAGAAACCCCTTCTCTCCCTGCCCTTTTGCTGACCAAATCCATAATTCACCATTCACTCCATTTCAGATCTCGCACAGATCCATATTTCCACCAACTCCCTTGACTTTTACACTGTTGCTACAGTCTCGACGTGATTCTACCATGCCTCAACCACCAAGAGTCCCCCGCAATCCGCTCCCTGGGGACGTCCTCGCTCAGAGCAGCCTATTTCTGATCGAGTGCTTCGAAGTGAGTCTCATAGGATCATTTCAGCGAATGGACCTAGATACATCGAATTAGAAGACATTCCTGCAGAGTCAGGGTACGAAGTGGCACGGAGCTTAGGTGAAGACCCCGACATTGAACGCTGGTGCCCTCCAACAGGGTACAACCCAGTGGTCCGGCAATTCCACATTGTGATGCCTTCCTCTACTCATGAAGCCCTCGCCGCATGGATCAGGATCGAATTCGACGACGCACGAGTTGATACTTCACCCGAGCCGAATCGATGAGCATCAAGCTCGTGGGCAACCTCGGCAGTTCCGTCGGAAATCCCGACAGCTTGTATCAAATGTATTTTCAACGAGTCGAGGGGCTCTTCACTTCCTGTTGCAGCGAAAGCATTCCGGAGTAAATCTGCACGAACCCAACAGTGGATCATCCCGATTTTTTTTTCCCGGACTAACGCCGCAGGCGCCACCGAATGATTGGGAGCTAAACCCAATAGGGAAAGGGTATCGCCGGGGCCCGCCCGGCCTGAGGCCAACGCGGTTTCCGCGGTTTATTTGAGCTTTGTCTTCCATCGTCCGGAACCTCCCCTTCACCTCCCAGCCTCGGTTTCAGCTCGCTCTCTTACGTCCTCGTGACACCTCGCCAATCCAATCGCTGTTGTCATCGAGGGTGACTGCATCTATCCACTCACCTAGTCACTTAGGTAGCTTCATGCAATGTTCCGGCTGATGTTGAATCTCATGTTGAATCTCCCTATCATTCCGATTGTATGTACCTTGCTGTACAACTCGGTCGCCCGCAGGCTCGTCCCCCCATGCTTAAGATGCCTGGCGAGCAAAGCACGGGATAATGAATCCGGTTCAACGGCGCATTGGAGGGGTTATGAGTGGCTTGCTGGCGATTAGTTAAAAGCGACCATAGGAATGATTTATCTAATCATGGGTGCTCTCTATCCTCGACTATTTTCGACCCCATTAATCGTAATGACTCTGCTGCCTTTTCACAATGTTCCCCGTGCGTGGGACGAATTGAAAATTTGGAGGTTGAAGGAGCGAGTAACGTGACATCTGCGACAACTCAGCGGATATCTCTAACACCAGCTACTCGCAATTAAATTTTTTTGATTCAGCTGGAAAGTCCTTGCTTCGTATTTAACGAACGAACCGACCTTCGGCCAGTCCTCCAGGCCACGATGTCCGGACCAGGTATTTGAATTGAACGTCCCTTTTATTGAGAGTGTTTTTGTCAGGTACAAGAAGAACAGGACCGCTAAGAATTATTTCGGGGTCCACTTCAGTAGATGCGACATGATTCAACGAGGTAGACTGGCCAAGGGGGGGGGGAAGGTTTACGCAACCCGTGATCCGTGCTTACTGTCGATTTTCAATAATATCCCTCGCATTTGTGCGAGGGATATTATGATCATAAAAGAAAGGGATAACCCTTCCGTCGACTCACCATATCGACCATCTGTCATCCGGGGTTTGCGATGGATTGCTGCGAATGGTTGAACGTATGCATTCACTCGCAGATGCTCATCCTTGTCTCGTATTCGCAGAAGAAGGGCAGGAACCACAGATCTTTTGCTCTACGAAAATTCGGGATGACTGTCCCCGGTGCTCCCCATCTCACCTTGTTTTGACCGAGTGAAGGCTCAGTCCTGGAGAAGTACCGTGCATACATGCGTGAAGAATCCAGAAGGCTAACGAGCAAAACGGTTGCAAGGGTCAAGCCACGGGTCTTGGGCTATTTGACGTATCCGAAACATTACTAATGACCGTTATGTGTCTGGCGAAAGGGCCCTCTCCTAGACAGCGAGGTGTCGAAGCAAGGGATGCGGGCCCGCAAGGGATGCATTTATTGGCAAACGAACGCTGGATAGAGGACGGCCACATCCAAACTAGTTGCACACGGCAGACAACTATTGTGCTTCATGGCGCATCTCCTGCTAGATGTGTAGAGGACCCGTGGGTTTATTTATCTCGGCGAACCACTAATGGATGGCACCTCGTAACCCCGGCCGCATACCTTGGGGTGGCGGAAAGCATATTGCTGGTCGTGTCTCTGTCTTGTCTGTCAGGACCGCGTGAAATATATACGTAAGCTTGTCGGTCAGCCAGATCGACCACTTCATGGACGCGCCATGTATTGACATGATAAGGTGGCTTGGCGAGAATGAATATAAGGACAAAGGGCTCCCCTCGCTGCTGACGCTGGGCTCAAGGACTATTCGCATCCCCACACAGAAGTGACACTGCATCCCGGCTTTCACGTTCGACATGGGGTTCAAAAGCATCGTGGCAAGGGCCGTGACTCTAGGGCTCGGTATGTGTTCTGGCCTCGTTCGACTTGGACGGAGAGCCCCACCGTTCTCTGCCCTACAATCGACCACATGTCGGATATTCATTCATTAACCCGAATCTAACAGTTCCGCTGGCCCTGGCCGATATTTCCACATTCTCCCCTGGCGGTCAAAATGACACCTACTTCAGTATCACGGCCGCCTCTGGTTCGGGTCCCATTTTCTTCCAGATACAAGCACCCGACACCCTCCAATGGGTTGGCCTCGGTCAGGGCACCCGGATGGCCGGCGCGAATATGTTCGTTCTCTATTCATCATCGGAAAGAAATGTCACCCTCTCGCCCCGGGCGGGAAAAGGCCATTCGATGCCAGAATCCGACCCAGAGGCTCAGGTCACGCTGCTGGAAGGGACCGGCATCGAAAACGGCACCATGACGGCCAACGTACGGTGCGACACCTGCATGCGCTTCGAGGATGATATGAGTGCGAGCCATTGGATCTGGGCCTACAAAGAGGGAGATCCCATAAACTCGCCGAATGTCTCCGAGAGAATACGGATCCATGATAACTATGGCCGGACGGAGATTAACCTGGCCGATGCCGTATCCAAATCCGAAAATCCGTTTTTGAGATATGACCCGTCCATTAACGCCAAGGGCTTGCGAGGGTCAGGTGGGAGCAGCGCCATGTTGATCGCACATGGCTTCCTCATGGCATTTGCCTTCGTTCTACTCTTTCCTTCCTTCGCCATCCTCGTTCCCCTCCCCATCCCCATATCCGTTGCGAAGGTCCACGCGCCCCTCCAGGCATTCACGCTGGCCGTCGCCATCGCCGGCATGGGACTCGGCATTCGGCTCTGGGTGCTCGGGGGCGTGTCCGATCCGGACGTGCACCACATTCTCGGCCTCATCGTCATGGCCTTTCTCATCCTCTTTCAGCCGGCCATGGGCTGGCTTCAGCACCTGCACTTTCGCAAAACGGGTGCCAAAAGTAGCTTTGCGTACGCACACCGATGGCTGGGCCGCATATTGATCATTCTTGGGATCATCAATGGCGGTCTGGGCTTCCGCTTGGCAGGCATCGGTAGCCCCGGCACTCCGCAGAGCGCCATGATTGCATATTCGGTCATCGCAGGGGTTGTGGGATTGGCGTACATTTCAATGCATCTGGTGATGGCTTTGCAAGGGGGAAAGCAAAGCCCTGCTGTACAACAAGAAAAGACACAAGCTGGCGGTGAGAATGCGGAGATAGGTCCAAAGGTATGATTGGGCGAGCGAATCTGGGGAGGCTTGGATCTTTGATTCGACCTAATCAGCATTACTGGCCGATCCAATCTACAGGTAACATTTAATTTCGGGCGCTGGCTTGGACATGGCTTTTGGTTTCTATTTTTATTCTCCAGCCACTGCTTTTTTTTTTTCTGGTTCGGTTGTGACATGTATTTCCCTTCCATGGATGTGACAGGATTAGACGATCATAGAAAAAAGAAAGGTTCTCTCATGATTGACTTGACCAGTAGATCCTGGGCCATGAGCAGAGAGAAGACATGTACTCCGAAGCCATGACGACAAATGCAAACAAAGCAAACATCCCGTATACCCCAGTGACCGCCTACAACTTCCTCCCGCCGCGCGCGATTGTTTCTGCTTCACTGCAGGTCGGTCTCCGGGAAATAATAGGAGCCATGCTGCACAACGCCCTCATACGCACCCACCACATCACGTCTCGCAAGAAGGTCTCGGCCTTGAAACGAGCCGCAGACACCTACAACTGCTTTGTGCTCCTGCGGTCCGGCGGCTGCCCTGGCATCATGTACGTTGAGGCCAGGGAGAAAGATGCTGTGGAATCGTGGGTTAATACGGTGCGGAGTCTGCGGTATAAAGACTTCCAGCTAGCCATGCGACCGGGTGTCATCCAAGCTGAGACCTGCAGCGAAGAGAACAACTCTAAGCAGACCCCACGTCGCGATTACGATTCCCAGGAGGGAAAGAGAGCATCTGGCATCGGCTTGTCAGAGGTCGAAACCGTCAAGGAATTCGGCGGTGCCATGCAGCAACGCGGCGTTTGGCATTGGTGGAGGAAAGGTATGGGGTACTCATGAGCTGATCCGAGTATTGACTCATCAATCTGCTCTTGTCATGCCATGCCGAAAACTCGGCTCACAAGTCATCATCCACCCTCCATGGGCACGGGGCCATTACAATATATTCACTATTGCAAAAATTATATACAAGAACATATCCGGAATATCGGCTCGATCAGATCCATCCGTTTTCGGGATCCCCAGTCACGGGATTGTCGCCGGGCAATTTAGCCAGAGGACCATGTTGCCCCAACTCGTCCCCAGCCTCAGGTACCTCCAAAATCTGCTCGAGCGGCGTCAATGGCCTTTTTTGTGTCGCTGTGATCGAGCAGTTTGGATCATTGAGACCTTGCACGCTCGTACATGTTGCTACAGCTTTCTGTAGGGCATCTTGGGAAGTCCAGCCGTTGATGAAATCCCCATGAAGCCCGTATCCCGTCGGGTCGCCCATTGCGTATACCCAATTCTCAAAATCGGGGAACGGCTGCGTGTTGAAGAAAAATTCCAAGAAGATTGAATATATCGCCACCGGGTGAGATCTTGGACATACGCCCTTGTTATACTCTCCAACTGCAGGGTACGCCATCTGAGTGCACTGTTGTCAGTCCCAAGCATTCAACCCATAGTGTCATGCTCAACTTACATGGCTCCTGTGGTCAGGGCTGTCCAAATTTTTCCCATCCCAGCAAGACGGCAGGAAGACCTGAGATCTTAACTTGTCGCAGGGTTGACGTGGAAGATGTTTGGTTTCGTTGGAACCACCATCTCCAGTCATACACATGTGCGAAACTGCGCGCTGCGCAAAGTCCGAAGAATTATATGTCCTGTAGTGCTTGTTAGCGCGCTCGTCCCCAGATGAGCCCACTCCTCTTCGACTAACCGAAGAAACGGGTTGCCAGCAGTCATGCGGAGCCCAGCAGGCGGTGCTGATGAAGAGTTCTGACCATCGCACGACGTTGCTCCCGCAGAATAACTGCACACTCGGTCGAAATAATAGATGGTCTGAATAATTGTGAGCGCCTCTTGAAGGAGTGTGAACGGCCACAACGAGGGCAAGCCGGTTTAAAGGAGAGGGGGGGGGGGGGGGGGGTGGCATACGTTTCCCCCGAATTCAATCAACTCAAACGATCCGTTCCTCATGCGATGGTAAAGTTGGGGGATCCAGTAATTGCTCTTGTCGATCTCCACTCCGCAGGTGGTTTCGTTGGCATTCTTTGCGGTGTCGATCGTCATGGTTCGCTGGAATGCCGTTCCCCCCGCGACGATGTGTGTATGCGCCGACCGCACCCCGGGCGATATTATCGGATCCGACAACTGCCTCGTCAAGGGAACGCAGCTGAACGTGAACTCGTCCGTCACCGAGCTGCCGCTGCCCACTGCTGACGCGCAGAACGAGAGGAGTACTGCGCTGATGAGGCCATATCCTCGGACCGGCCTCATGATTCCTGCTTGCAACAAAGGTCGGGGGAGGATCTGCCAGAGGATGATAAAAAAGACGTAGGAAAATACTTCCGCGTTGTTTTGTTCGACGAGCATACGCCCTTCTTATATCCCCCTCGGTTGCATGTTTACCTGTCGACCTGCATGCCCAAATTCCAAGTATGCTTTGTCCTACTACGCAACGGGGCAATATTTTTGTTTACTTCTCAGCTAAAGATCTCGGTGGCAAATCCAACCTTGTTTTGATCACACTTTTCAGACGCAGGTTTATTTTCCGCATCGAAACCCAGTATTATACTTGGTCTTAAACACTATCTGAAAATCTTCACGAGCTCATCATACAACATTTATCGGTTCCGCATCCTATAGTCCTAGGAACCCACCTTACCCTGACAAGATATTCCAGTGGAAGCCAATGCCCACCCTCGATCTCGTCCTTGAGACTTTCCAATGTCCTTTTCTCCGTGATGGGTTGACGATCTCGACGTCATACATTCCCCGACCTGGTAGAACTTGGGTCAGGGCACCGTCGCCTAAGATTAACCCGGCTTAGTCTGGGTTTCATAGCTTTTATCGGAGACCATCGTGTTGATCTGTATCTCGAAGACGACATTGCATGCTTTGGTGAAAGCAAATTCAGGTCATTGGTCGTCTGTCCTAGAAGTTGAATCACCAGCTGATGTCTTCATGCCTCTAATAGAATGGTTCCGAGACGTGAAGGACGAAGTCAAAACGAAAAGGTGGAACAGTAACCTTTAGAATATATATATGCTTGTCTTTATAGGCAAAGATATCTTATGATACAGAAATGCAGTCACTATAAACAGACTTCCCGAATATCCGGGTTCTAAACTCCACAAACACCACCCTTTGCGCCAAAAATTGAAAGAAATTTAGATTATTGCGGGACGGGTTCCGGCTCCGGGTTCGGATTGGAATCGGAGTCGGAATCGGTTCCTCCCACATCAGAAGCCGGATAGCTGAGAAGCCTGCAGATATCCTGGTAGACTGTTAGTGCAAAATACACGGGTGAAAGATCATATTCAGCCACATACCCTTCTTCTCCGACGGAAATCATCGTAGAACCTTCTCCACACTTCTCGGTTGCGGCATCCACTCTCCTTGGGCGTGCCGGGATTGTGCTGGCACTTCGGTAGCGTTTCCGCCAGCAATTTCTGCGGCCACATCACCCATGGCTTCGGCAGGGGCCAGTCGGAGAAGTGCACCAGTTTCGCCTCGGAGAGCACTCTATCCGGATCCCAGGTCTCGTAGTCATTGCCCAAGAAATGCTTGTGGTCCTGCGCGCGGAACTCGCCGGTGATCAATCCGTACTGCCGGTGAGGTAGTACCAGGGCCGAGTCACCATATCGGTCATTCAACAGCTCCATGTCATATCGGGTCGGCGAAGATAGGTTCGTCAACACCTGTCCATGGACGGCCGGCTGGGCTGCATCCATCAAGCCCGAGAATTCGCGGTAAGAAGGCTCGATCACGATCAATAGGGATGATAGCTGCTTTTCGTCCGGTAGTCTCCAATACGCACGCGGCATCGCAACTGTCGTCGAGGGGAGGAAGAACAACTCGTCCATTGACTGGAGTAGATTGACATCGGAGTCGAGGTGGATGACACGGTCATACTCCGTCTCTCCAAAGGCAAGCAGTTTGGATATGCTTTTATCCCATGACTCATCGGGCCCTGTTGTCAAATTGAAGACAAGAAGTCAGCCCAATTCACGCTACAGCAGAGACCTGCTCCCAGCTGGTCATCCACATACCTGCCCCGGCCTTGATCATTTGCACATCGATCGGAACCAATTGTACATTGTATGTGTCCCGCGCCATGTTCAGCAGTTGGCTGTCCCGATCCCGATCGCCGTCGACGAGCACGTCCCAGTCCTCGGGATAGAATAAGACCCTTTGAGCTCGACTGCCGAAGCGATCCAAGGCTTCGAAGACCATCAGGGCGTTGCAAAGATAGGCGCTAGAGGTCGCATACTGGCTGTAGGCGTAGCGGGTCCAATCCACCCGGTCGAAGTCAACATGCGGTAGCGGCGGAGGCGGCGGCCCTTCACTTCGAAGGTATAGGATTAAAATCAAGAATAGGGCAAAAAAGACCCAGGTTCGAAAGTGTCTCAATTGCCGCTTGACTATGGCCCAGCATGGTTCGTCGGGGATGTCGAAGAAATCATCCTCGGATTCGTTGGAGCCTCGGCGACGAGGAAAATTGGGAGGGTTTTTGATTCCCATCGTGAGCTTTCAGTTCAGACAGAAGTAGCATCCATTTCTGGATGGGAGATAGGTCGGTAGCCACATGTGAGAACGCGCGTTCGGGGGTTGTCGACAGCCTTGCGGGATCTCCTGCGGCGAGGCGGAATCCCGCCACGTGATCTGGGGGCTTGTTGGCCGGCGATGATTCTTCTTCTTCCCTTCAAAGAACCTCCAACTATTGATTCTGTGGTACGGTGTTTGATCGCCAATTCATTGATATGTACTGATTCCTATAATATAATATATATCTGCATTCGTCCATTACACCCCAATCCATCAGCGAACGCCATCAAGCCGCGCTTGTATCGTCTTCTCGTCGAAGCGTCCGCTTTCACCGACATAATTGCGCAGAGCTTCGGACGCCATGAGACGACGTGGTGCTTTGCGTCCGGTCAACAATTCAAACTGCGCAATCGCTTGTTCCGAGACGTTGTCAAGCCCGTCAACCAGAACCCACGGGCGACCGGTGTCACTCCGAATGCGGCGCATCTGGCGCAACAGTGGCGTGTCGAGAGGTTTGTATGCAAACTGTTGTTTAATGTCAGTCACCCCTATCTTCTTCCATCGTCCCGTCGTCCTTGGGGATCACTCACCTCCAATACTACACCTCCGGTCGGGCTTCCCAGCCACTGCATCGGCATTTCGAAGTCGGCCGGAGGCTCGTCCGTATCCGGGTCCGCAGGCACGCAGGAGGCAATTAAACATGGAGGACATTCCCCTGGCGGCCACTCCTCCTGTATGGACTTCAACACATGTACCACTTCCGTCGAGCCGACTTGTGACGCAGCCCACGAATTGAAGTGGCGCGCCACGTTTTCTGCACGCGACAAGGTTCGGTTGTAGATGAAGATCTTACGGCATCCGAGCCGGAGCATGGCATAGATGGCGGCGCGACCCATGCCACCCGCCCCTATTACCAAACCCGTCGTCTTGAGCGGGCTAATGGCATTGCGTGGGGACAGGTTCCGATTGATGCACGTCATGATGCCAACCCAATCCGTATTCTCTCCATACCACCCCAAGACGGGCCCAGCTTGGTTGCGACGGCTCGCTTGTTCCTGAAGCGGAAACATTGTTCCATCGGCTCGCGCCCGCAAAGGCATGATCGTGTTGATCGCCCCGATCGCCTCGGCATGCCGACTTTTCGCGGCGAGCTTTTGGGAAACCTGCACCCTCCAAGGCTGGACAACACTAGCTCCTCCAAAATGGGGATCTCGGCCCAGACGATCCAGAGCCGCAAGAGAGGCAGATTCGGGAATGCTGTAATTATGGGCCATACCACAGTGGCGGAAAGCCGCATTGTACATGACAGGGGACAGACTGTAGGATACGCTGGCCCCGAGGATATAAAAGTGGAGGGGGTCCAGCACGTAACTTTGGAACAGGGCCTGAACAGCATCTCGCGATGTGATCAGCGGGTCTGTCCCGTGGTCTATAGACCGCCTGATTGCCGGATGGGTGACTGAGGTGAGGGTGGAATTGAAGACCTGGGAAGTACGTCCCAGACTGCCTATATTATAGGCAATGATGGGAGGGTGGTCTCCGGCCAGTGACTGGATTTTATTAGTGAATTTCGCAACGGCTGCATTGTCTTCGCGCTCTGCAGCCACACGTAAAAAGCGTACAAGCTGACAACCTATTTTTTCGGCCTCAAGATAAAGAGCAAGGTTGTCCTCATGTTCCCACGTCACATGAGCGTACGGCTTGAAGATGAATTGACCTATTATTTTGGTCATTCCTCTGTTGCTGATTATCTCTGCCAGTGAAGCGCGGTCCGAATCCAAATCCACGACCAGATATTCCACGCCAAGTCGTAATCCGTGTTCGAGAACCTCAAAGTGCATACTGTGCCGTTGTGCTAACGACGAATCACTGGCACCGACACCCGATGAGGAAATGTCAACGGAGAAAATGATAGGGACTCGAGCACTTCTCCGGAGCAACGAAACTTGCTTGCTGACGGTGCTCGCCATGCCTGGGTTCCATCGATCAACGCAGAACTCAATTGCATCTCCTCCGGACTCAAGTCCACACAAATCAACCACACCATCTATGAGCTCAGATGATCGGACGAATATAGCATGAGTGAAAGAGCGATGCTCCGGGGGAGTCTCCAGGAGTACAAAAGGCGAATCATATCCAGTATGGCCGAGATCTGCCCCCGTAATACATCGGACAAACCGAGTGAAATCTTCTTTGGCCTCCTTGAGTTTGAAAGAATAGTCGACGGATCGACGGTCCGGCGTTCCTTCCTCGACCTGGGAAGACAGGCTAGACCGGTCTTCGATATTGTAGAATTCGAAGTTGGAGCAGGTTCGATGTAGAGGGTCTCCTTCACACAATAACTTAGCCGACTGATCCTCCAGGCCGAGCAAGCTTTGTATGCGGTCCATGTCGCGCACAAGGTAGACCACCGGGTTGGTAGCAGAAAATTGACGAAGATACTCCTGAACGGGCCGCGTGAGACTCGCCAGTCCGCATTCGATGACACAATGCGAGCGGTGGTTGTCCAGCATCCTCTTCAGCACTTCGATGTCACGATGTTGAAACTCCTGGCCGCCATACCGCTTGAGATATTCATGTCGCGTGAGTCCGGTGACCTGTTTGAAATAATGGTCTTCGGTGATGAAGCGTCTTTTCAGGGCCGTGGCAGCCACAAAGCCCATTGAGCGCTTGCCACAGCCTCGAATGCCAACCAAGACCAAAGATGCATCCGGGTCGATCTTTCGGCGGGGCGCGGGTTGTTGCATGGCGCAGGCGAAGCGATTCCAGGCGTTCTACGGCCCGGGATAAGAGGTAATAGGTACCGGCGGGATCGGTCTCTCTGATTGAGGTCAAGTTATGGGAAACGGACCATGATAACGAGGTCCATAGCTTAATTGAAAAATAGGGATCGAGCGAGGTCTTCTGTTGCAGTGAACCCGCTCTAGAGTGATGGATGGGGCACGGCGCACGGCTCACAGGGCGTGGGGACCAGATACCTCGCGGTTTACATGCTGCAATAGCAGGACGAGGACAGGAGAGCCAAAAGACACGGGGCAATCGACGCGGGGAAGAGGGTTTCCGCAGGTTCATCGTCGGCTGTCGCAGCGGGTTTGCTGCTCGATGCGCTTCTCCGGGTGCGCCACCGCCTTCCGCCCGGCAAAGACCTTAGCCGGGCAGCGTCTCGATCCACCGGGGACGCTGCTGGTTGTTAGACAGACGGGTCTACATGGTATATGGACTGTTCATCCATGAAATCAGAACGTTCAGCCCGTCGTCACGCTTGGGACGTGGATGTAGCGTTGGAAGCAGGCAGGCTGGTGCTCGAGTCGGGATGCCGGGATGCCGTCACGGGTCCCGTGACTTCCGGTCATCGGCGGTTTCCCGCAGCCTGAGGCCCGAATCGTGGGGTGTGGGGGCTACGGAGCACGCGGTGGGTGACTAATACCACGCACCTCCGCGCTCTCCATCCACTTCCCGACTTTCGCCCCGACGTCTTCCTTCGAAGCCGTCCGTCATTGCCTCGGAATGGGTCCGGCCACTTATATCCATTCCCCGTTGCCCAGTTGCAGCGTGCATTGTCGACTTGCAGCCGTTCACTTCTACTCTCCATATACCTGACATGCCATTTCCGTTATAATTGACCCTCCATGGACGAGGGTTCCGATCCGAAGGCCCCTCGACGTAAGAGGGTTTCCAGAGCTTGTGACAGATGTCGGAGCAAAAAGGTATCGTGGTTCATTTTCATTTTCATTTTCTTTTTCTTTTTCTCCCAATCTTCCCCGCGAAAAAAATAAAAAATAAAATACAAATAACATACAAAAAAAGGTCATCCACAAACACTCACAATGATTTCAGGACAAATGCGATGGTTTACGTCCTGCCTGCTCGGCTTGTCAGGCCTCGGGCCAGACTTGTTCCTACGACCCGCATGCGAAAAAACGTGGATTGCCGGAGGGATACGTCCGGGGACTAGAGAAACTCTGGGCGTTGTCGATCTGTAACATCGATGGGTTCGAAGACACCATGTTGGCCCTTTTGGGCTCTACGGCCGAATCGGCTGGTCGTCGAGATCATCTCATGAATCTCTGGTCCAAAGATGGAGCATCTGAAACGATGCACGAGTCCTGGAAAACCAGCCGGCTATATGGTGCCCTGGAAAATTTGTTGTCAAACTCCGATGCTTCGCCGTCGCGCGGTTCTGAAAAGCGCCCTCGCGAGGAAATCGACGATTTCTCCAACGGTGAGGGTACGGCATGGGGGTTTCGCCTAGAACGCAGCTCGGCCTCTTTTTCACCGAGTGCTCCGCGCGTGGTAGAACCCTCCAAAACGTCCCCTCGCGCTAAGAGAGCTCGCCTTTCTGTTTCATCAGATAGTCGGCCCATCTCGCTTGACCCAGGCTCTAAAGGTTCGCTTCAGTTGCCACCTCAGACCTCGCAGCTTTTAGATGATTACTTTGCCGTTACCCACTCGTGGTTCCCCATCCTCGCTAAGCATAACATTCTCCGGGCATCATACCTTTACGTTAACGGCCCCCTACCGCTTACCAATACCACCCCGGGATCCGGCAATCATGCCGCACTCTGGGCTATACTTAGCTATGCCATCTCTCAGTCTCAAACGGACACGCGGGATGGGTCGCTAGAGAAGCTCGACCGGACGAAGGAATATTATGCCACCTCTCGCTCCTTGATCCCATCCGAGACCGCCCAATATGAGATAGGCCACGTGCAAGCGCTGCTACTGTTGACCATGGTGAATATCGGTCTCGAGGACTGGACGGCCGCCTGGTTGCTGAGCGGCCAGGCAGCTCGGATGGCCATTTCAATGGGTCTGGGCGCATTGGCTGATGTCCGACGATCGGACGATCTGAGACAAGGAAAAGCAGTGTTTCTTGGATGCTTTGTCATCGATTCACTGCTGTCGTTTCGTATCTCTCGAAGGCCATGTATGCATACCCGAGATCTAGCTTCAGTGGGACTCCTGGAAGAGGACGGCTTGGAAGAATGGAATTCCTGGGCAGATGTCCTACCACCTACGTCTGGGAAGCAGGGAACAAACTCCCCCCGACGAGGTCCCCTGCTCGCCCTAAGTTGCTTTAATCGGCTGGTTGAGCTGGCTAGTGTTTTGAATAAGATTGCTCGTGATACTGCGACTGGAGCCAACGCACACATGTTTGCACAGCAGCTGGTTTTAGAACTCAAGGCATGGGATGATCGCCTACCGCTAGGTTGTCGACTGATTGGTCCGGAGAGCATCTACCCTGAGCGACACTCGGCATTGCTTCCACATCAAACATATCTAGGACTAACTTATGTCGCTACTTTACTTTGGCTCTATCTGCGCATCGCACCCCATGAGCTCGGGCTGCACCGCTCTCAACGTCCCGCCGTCGAGGGCGCAAAGAAAATCCTCTATAGAGCTCTGCCAATGTTGTCTCAACATATGGAAAACTTTCAAATGTGTGGTCTTCCGCCGGTGTTTGAGTTTGCCATTTGGACAATGGCAGAGCAGGCATTTACCTTGCGCGACAGAATCGAGTCTGACATATTCCCCTTCGGACGATGGGCCGAAGCCCTTCTTCAACGAACAAGGGAACTCAGCCCAGCGTGGCCCGTTTACCGCGCATTAACTACAACCATCGAATATTGGTATCACTCCAGAAGTCCACCGGAAACAGCGTCACCATCCTTCCACATTCCTAGCTCAGAAAGCCCGGCTTTAGGAGGTCGCAGTTTTTCCAGCCATAATACCTTCGCCGACTCCATATCCGCGGCTGCCGCACACCATCGAAACCCAACCGGGGAGGCGTCTATGAGTTCAAGGAATCTTCTTGCAACATCAGAGCCTGATTACACCTCATCCATACTGGGGATCCCCATCCCCGTGGATACACAATATATGACCCCGAAAGACACGGTTATGGATAACACAGATTTATCCATGTTAGATGTATCTTTCCAAGAACAACTCCAACAACAACCACCTCGTCCGGCTGATCGAACACCAACGCGCATGGAAAAGCCCGACGCAGCAAACGATTTAGACGCACTGTTGCCTCCTGTGCATCCCCATCCGCCCACTCCCGACTCATCCGTCTCAAACCTCAAAATGCCCGTGAATACCTCTAGCAACGACGCCCCTCGATCCTCCGGGAACAACCTCGAACTAGGCCCCGAAAGCTCAGACATGCAGGGACACTCCGTATCTAGCAGCGACATTGATTCCATCTTCAAAGATCTGGCGTATCTCGACACCACTGAGTGGGCAACCAGCCGCGAGGCAGGCTTGAAGGACTTCGGATTCATAGATGACAGCACTTTCCACGCTTTCTGCCATGACCCAGACCGACTCGCTGGGTCCGAGCCCTTGGTTCACCCCCCGTCAATCGCAGACATCTGGCCGCCGCCGGGCTTCTTTCCGGAAACCTTTCAGGATTCCTCGGAAGATACCATGGAAGGGTGACATAGGGACATGGCTCGATTCCTCCACCTCAGCGTTTTTACTAACATACATATCTCTTTCTTACCCGCATGCCTGGGTAGTAATCTAGCATGGCTGTAGCAGATTACTCACGTGAGATCATTACATCCCACTCATATTTATCATAATACCCCGGGGTTATTGGCATGCATACTAAGGCTGCATAGTAATGTCTTAAACGTCGACTTCCGACTCATGTACGCTTCTCTTCGTTGGATATATGCCATCTGTGTTGGTTTTTGGGTTTCTGTGTGGTGCTCTAGAGCTCGATAGAAAAATATACATCGAAGTTTCTATGAATTATCAGGGCTTCGATACACTGCAACCTCCAGAAACGTTCAACAACTCCAAAGTAGGGAAGCCTGGCGGGCTCAGTAAGTGAACAGTATTACGGGATGGAGCCGGATCGGCGACATCACTCGATAATATAGTTTGCTTCGGGACAGTCGAGGTGCTCCAAGGTGGCTTGGATGTGCGAATCCATCCATCCGGAACGGTAGCCCGGTCGTTCTGTGCCCCATATGACTGTGCTGGAGGTGAAACACGCAGCATCTCCAAACGAAAACTGTAGACACCCAGCGTTACGGGCACACTGCTGTGCACAATCTCCATACGTCGTAATTGCGTTGTTGTCGTTCGAGTCGTCAGCGTTGTCAGCTGAGAGATTGTCCCAATCTGTCTGTTCGGGCCATGCACGGTTTTATATCAAACTCATGAAAACGTCTTTGTGCAAGAGCGGCAACTTGCTATCTTGGTTCTATTTTTTTTCTTGTACAACTTTCCTCAGCGCGGTTAGAACCAGCTACCTACTATATACGTGCAAGTGGTGACACGGTAGCGGCTTTCGCGGAGCAACTGAACAACAGCAACACCACAACCTGGGAATGTCACGTACCGTAGCGAACCATTGTCTCTCAAAATCCCACATATTCTGGATGTCCTCCTGCGACATGTGGTGGTAAGAGACAGCGGGATAGCACCAAGGCTTTCGACCATATCGCTCGGTGAAAAGATCAGCTTCCCATACCCGAGCACCTTGGAGCATAGGCCATGACCAGATGAACGGGATGTGGACCGCTTGGATGACTTCTCCCAGTACGCAATCTCCAGCCCAATGACGGGCTGTAAGCTCCTCCAGCTCTACGGGGTTCTCAGCGCGGTATTTGGAGACTCGTCGGACGGCCGGGTTGGACAACACGATGCCCGAGCCCCCGTAGGCGAAAAAGACTTCGCCGCTCTGCATGGGCGCCCCAAGGTACTGCGGATGCGTGTGATTGAGTCCGGACAGCCACGCCATCAGGTTTGGCCAGATGATGTACGAATCGGCCTCGATGAATACATACCATCGAGCATCGGGTCGGATGCGCAGCGCTTCGTCCAACATGGGGACGAACTTCCATTTGTCGAGCTTCCAGCTGGGGTTCCCCGGTTTTCCAAATGGGCCGTTGTCGTCGTCGTTCCAGTCTTCCGCTAGAAGTCCCAGGCGTCCGAGGGCGTGCAGCCGGTTGTAGAGGCCAAAATCAGGACTGCGGCCTTTTGTATGGTTGCTCACGCTGCGTAGGACGTCGAGTGTGTGTACATCTTGAATATCTTCCTCGAAGTCCGAAAATACCGCATAGTGGGGGACGCATCGAAGGGTGGTTTGAACATGCATAGGGACCTTGTCCAGGGCCACGGTGGCTCCCGTCTTCAGGATTACAAGGACATCGTCCATCCCATACACAGGGTGGCATCCAGCCGCTGCTGTGTTCGGGGACCATAGGGCAGGTCCGGACGTTCTTCCGACCGTCTTGACAAACTGTGCATGGTAAGTAACGGGATCGTGAAGACAAACGAACATCAGGAGTAGTCCGGCGGCAAGATATATCACCACGGCCCAGCGTCGTCGTCGAACAGTACACATAGAGCAATTAGCCATGGCTCTGATATATCGCTGATGCTGGCCAAAAGCATCTAACCGGAAAATTGCAAAGCCCATGATGTTACATGGCCGGTCTACGATGGTAGAGGGATCGAAGCAACGGGAACAAAGTTCGAGTGCACCGGCGGAAGGGGCGACGCAAATGGGGTCGGATGGCCACGCAGCCGAGTCAAATCCAGAGGAGTTTCGACCCAAGCCACAAGCCCTCCTAGAGGAGTCGCCAAAGGGATTGAACAAGAAGATGGTGATAGACCAGACATAGTATTATTATCGCCACTTCCATGCTGCACGAGTCCTGTCGGCCTCCGTTCTGGTTGCTAGACATAACGCCAGAGAAAGCCGTTGTCCAAGGAATGTAAAACTCCGACCCTTTTAAAACAATAAAAAGAAAAGTCGTGTACTCGTGTATGCTGAAAAGGACACAAAAGCGCTGTACAGAAAGGGAAGGGCAAAGAACCTCCAAAGAAAAATCATGAAAAAGAAACAGGTATAGATTTACTCATCATTCAACATCCATGTGTATGCATTAGTCCCATTTCAGATAGAAAAGTAGTGGAATGGTAATCGGATCGAGCTCAGATCATCGGCGCCATCCGACATTCCATATGACATGGGCAATATCCCGGGCCGTGTTGACAGTATCGACGATCCTGTCGACAAGACCTATACCAGGCTGCTCATTCTCGTCAGCAGAAGGCAATGATGACCGGTCATGCCTGCTCAGCTCTTCTTCGTCTTCGGCATTCACAAACCAAGGACGACTATGATCGGCTGAATTAAACGAGCGCTGGCTCGACTCCCAGTGCGGATACAAGTCATTGTCGTTGTTACCAGAGTCCTCGTCATCCAAGAAAAAGTCGGCCGACGGATCCGAGAAGTGAAGGGCTCTAGAAGACGATGATGACGCTGAGAGATGGCCGGTCCACCGATCGAGTATCGAGCCCGTGGGGGGCTCGGGGGTATCGCCACGGTATTTCAACGTGGTGGAAGGAAGAGGGGCAATAGTCTTATTGTCCCCCGATGAACTCGTCCGAAGAGCATTCTTCTCGGCATCTGAGACTTGCGGGATTATTTGTTTCATCATAACCACCCCTTCTTCTGCAACCAATTCATCTCCAACCGGAGTTTGCCATTCACTTTCGTCCTCATCTCCTTTGGCCTCGACGGCGATGCATTGGACGACCTCGTCGTTAAAATGAATGTGGCGTCTCTCGCTGGGTGACCCAGTCCCCGACGAGGTGTTCGTCGGGGTGTCCGCAAGTGAGCCTACGGAGAATTCATCGGAGGCCTTGAAGCCGGGCCCAATCTTAGCGGCGTAATGGTGCACCGAGGGGCGATTCCGGCTAAGGGCCGCCTCCTGTGCCTTCAGGATCGCCCCGGCATGTTGTAAAAGAGTGTGTTGTGACAAAGAGCGCTGTAAGATGGTTTCAGAGGCAGTCCTCTTTTTCAATATGGGCTTCTTGTCCACGTAGAAAGTGGGCGTCTCAAAGCAGCTTGGAGGAGGCGACGTGGTTGGCTTTTTTCCGGCCGAGAATGTCTTCAACGGCCCGTACAGCCACGTCACATCACAGTCCTTCAGCCTGCAGCAACTCGTTAGAACGACAACTGGTCAAAGTTCGGGTGCAAAATTCGCTCCGAGCGTTCAAGGTAACGGGACTGACCAATTGAGGGCTTCGGGCGACACGGTCCCCAGTTCAAGTCTCATCTTGGCCCAAGTTCTCCAAGAAGCATTCTCCAACCTCACGCCGTTGTCATAGACTCTTCTGCGGCCGGTCACATAACGCCAAGAGGCCCAGATGTCCTCCTCCTTCCATTCATGGGAGAGGTAATCCACGTGCCTCGAAGGCTCTTCTTCGATTGAATGGTCATCTGCCGCCGGTGTCTGCAGTCTCCAACGTTGTATGTCCGCTAACGAGCGTGCTGAGCACTCCGAAGAGCAGTCACCTTTCTGGACACAATCGATTGTGCCATCCGAAAGAAGCACAGATTCCTCATCCTGTTCATCGTTGGCATTGAGGGATAGACTACTGAGCGTTGTGGGCGAAGGGGGGATATGATGGGCCGTTGATTGGGCGAGATCAGGCGAGGATGGGACAGACGACGGAGCCGAAGAAATAATGGGACTTGGACAGTCTCTTTGGGGGTATTCCGGGATGGGAGATTTGACGGAGGTGATATCGGGGCCATCTAAGAAGTATCTTTGGGCGATGGGACACCGCAGAGGATCCGGCGAAAAGCGCGCATGCTCCTCTCGCGAGGTGGAAAGCACGGCAGTCATTATAACACGGGCTTCAATCTCATTGGAATTGGATAGGCTTGGTTCGAGGGTATTTCTGCAGGCCCACGACGGGAGCGAGTTAGGAGAGAGCGGTGAATAATGAGGAGACTGAGGCGCAACGTTAAGCCAGAAGAGAATGGAGAAGACGAGGGCAAGGAATTATCATGACGGTGTTCTAAGATGGCCACAACGAGGATCGGCGGGGACGAAGGGGGCGGGGAAAGGTATATAAGAGATAAGATCCAGAGACACTAACGGGAAATTAATGTAGAGATAGAGTTCTCCAGGCAGGAAAATAGGTCCAGGTAAATTTGGATTTATTTTATTTTTTTTTCTGCCTTTTTCGGATGCAGGACTAGGATGGACAGGAGAAACGGCGGATGCGTCGCAATGATGGATCCGGGAGGCAGGGATGAGGCCAATCAAGGAAGACGGGAAGGCTCAATGCATCGCTTGTGCCTTCCAGAGCAGCGTGGGAAGATAACGATAGAGCCGGGCAAGGCGGGTCGGGGTCACCTTGGTGGCATTCCCCGTCTCGGTGTTGGCGAGTTGTGATAGGAAGAGCGAAGTGTCAAGGGAGAAAGGATGGACATCTGGACAATGGAAATTCCAGGAGGACGAACGAGCAGGGGTCGGAGAGGGAGAAGGAGGGGGAGGGGGTGGAAGATGAAGATAGGAAGGGAGTTGGTTAGTGAGCAGTAGGTTATGGAAGGGGAGGTCGAAAAGAAAGGCGGTCGTCGCCACCAGGGACGTGGGCGAGAACCGGTTGGAGGCGCACAGGCGGGCCGATGATTGGGTGGAGGTGGAGGGAGCCGGCCAGGCCAGTCTGCCCAGGTCGTACGGAGTACTAGTACGCAGTGGTAGGTAGTAGTAGTAGGTGGTGTGGTGGTGGTACGGAGGTCCTCCCCTCCCTGGACTCCTTCCCGGAACGGCGACAACGAGGTGGCGGCGTGCTCAAGCCCCCCGCGCCGCTCTAGAATCGCCAACTTCCGTTCCATGATCCTTAAGATCGTCATTGCCGTGACTAAATCTAGCCTCTTGGGTTTTTTTTTACTCCGGTCTCCCTTTTTTTTCCTTTTTTATTTTTTATATATCTTATATATTTTTATATCTTTGTATTTTTATATTTTTATATTTTTATATTTTGATATTTTGAATTATTGCTCAATTCCATCTCCCCCTCCTCTCTTTGTCATAAGGTTGAACTCTATGACTCCAGGGCTGCTGTCGAACGAGTCTGGTCGCTTCTTTGTCCTTGATTTTCTCCGCTGCGACGGAAGTCTAGATTCTCGGAGCTTCGGGAGGCCAATCATCGGCGACAAACGACCACCACGGGGGAACCTTAAAGACGGTCCGATTCCAGCGAACAATCATACTTCCTTAGTAACTCTCTCCACCTCCGTCTCTTATCTTCCTCCAGAAGAAAGAGACAGAGAAGAGAAATGAAAAAAAAAAAAAAAAAAAAAAAAGAGGGGTATCGCGCTTGTCCGCATGGGATTGGAAGGATAGACACTTCCTACGCACGTCGCACTACTGTACGTCCTACCCATGCACGGACGTTGCGGTGCATGGCAGGAATTAGCGCCGTCGCATTGCGCAACCTGCACTTGTTTGGGTTTTTCTTTTCTTTTCCCCTCCATCTATTCCTCTCGATTACCTTTCCCTCCCAAGGCACTGACTGACTTGACAGGCAGGCACGTTGTCTGCCAAAGAGGAGAAGGAGAGAGGGGAGAAAAAAGGTACGTAGGAGCTGGCTGTACCTGTATGAAGCCGAAGTCTTTGTCACGGAGTAAGACCTCCCCGTCCCGCCGCACGCAGAGAGGCCTAAGCGTCTAAAGGCCTAGGTACTCTGATACTTTCAAAAGGGCTAGAAGGCCGACAAGAAACCGTGTGCATTATCAACTAGATCCATAAATCGAAATCAGAAATAACAAACGACGGACGGTGGACCGGCTGCCGAATTGTCTCAGCCCGCGGCAACTCAACCCCTTGATAAAATCCCTATTGTCGACCAACGGCGAAAAGGATGTAGGTGGAAGAAGCGTGCATCCGAAGATTACGTCTCTAGATCGTAAGCAACTCAACCGGGGGCTTCGTTGACAGTTCATCAGGAAGACGCACAACCGGAACCGATCCCCCAAACTTTGCTGATTCGTTAGAAAGGCCCAGTCCCTATCGCCGAGATGACTTGCAGATCCCGTCAAGTTTCCGCACTTATCATTCACTTTCGGTGGCTTTGTTTCGGCCTCTTACCTGTCGTCCTAGCACCAGAGTAGAAAAGGCCCATTTTCAGGACTCCTAGCCTTCGCAGCAGAATGCTCCGTAATGCCATCGCGATCCCTGCTCACCTTTCCCGGAATGTTCCGGAGGGGAAAAGGTCCTTTTGACTTCGCCCCCAGAAAATCATATCACCGTTGTTAATGACGAGATTGACACTAGATCGGCTCAGTCGTCTCACCTTGTCGATCCGTCGCTACGGCATGGCATCGCTCGTTATCCACGTAACCGGCGTATGTCAGTGGGCATACCTACTGCGTACATACACATACATTGACAGGGTCCATGTGGGCGTCGTGGGCAGAGCCCGTGCTCGGGGCGACTATCGCCGCAGGAATGTGAAATGACTGGGGATGGAATACTGCGTACTGCGTACTTCCTGCCAGTCTCTTTTCCAATGGATTGTCGCCGACGTCCGTGCTCCTGCGCCGACCCGCAGCCACTGATATGGGCGTGGGCTCCTTTATTGGTTACCATCCACTGTCAACGGTACTACCCTATGATGGCGCGATTAGAATAGAACGAAAGGAATCAATGATCGGTAGCTCACCCCGTCAAATCCCGATTTGTTTGCTTATTTGCTTTCATGCTTCCATTGTCTTTCCCTTCCTTGGAGTTTTTTTGCGTGGCAAAACCAAGTATACAGTCTTGTGCAAAAAGCACAATTAGCGCATTACTATAAGACACGGCCAATGGGGAGGGTCTAGAACAAATTGGCAGCAACGTTCATAAATAGATCGTATTCAGTCAACAAGGCATTCGATGATCTCACAATATCAGAGCATAGACCAATAGCTTGTTGTTCACTTCCCCTTGTTTCATGCCCACGATAGACAGCCCCGATGTCATTGGCTATAAATCACCGGAGTACAACGTAGGGAAGCAGTCTGTACAATGTACATAGACACATGTGCATGTACTCCTACGTAGCGCAAGCTTGAGCCATGGAGGAGTCCCCTCTCTTGTGCCATCTGTAGACAGAATGATTCATTCGAGACAGACTCGAGCCTCACTCCCATGTGGCCCATCACGTGCAGCCCCCCCGGTTATCGCGCGTCGGCAATACTGCACTTCCGGCCCCGCAGCATATCGTTATCAGGTTACCTAACCTGCCTCTGTTGCGCACCAGAGCCTTTTCATCCATCATTTCGGGATTCCCTAAGAAGAACCTGCAAGCCAAAAAATAGTCCCTCATAATGGCAGAGATATTACAGCCAACCCCTGCGGAATTTCAGGCAAAGCACGTTGTTTACTGTGGTGGTGAGTCTCAACCAACATGACACGATCAACAATGCCCCTCATCTTAAACCTCGGAATCTGGGGTGGTCTTTTTTTTCTTGGGAAGGGGGTTAATAACAAAAGAATCTTACTGAACTATTCCCTGAACAGTTTGCACCTTACCTGCAGAGGTATGATTCCTCCATCGCGCGACCACCGCCTCTCATGGCTTTCTTCGGCGAAAAACGAAATCCACTCTCCGGAGCAGACGAAGGGGCGGGACATCGTCGGCTGACTTGCAAACCCTAGTACTGTGAATTTGGTGGGACAGCAAAAAAGTGTGAGGAATGGGTCAAAGATAATCACCCGGATGTCTACCAACAGCTATATTCCGAAGGTATATTACATCACTCCTATCGCCGGAGAGGTGATATGATTGAAAAGCTGATAGACGGAACTAACGAATATGTGCAGAGGCTCTTAGTTCCAACCTGTCCAATCTATCGGTATCGGTCCGGGAACGTGCAGCCAAAGACGCCGCAAAGAAGGAGGCAAAGGCTGCTTTGGCAGAGGCTCGGGACGCCGAGCGCAAAGCGGCCTCTAAAGTCCACATTAAACGAGTCGAGCGCAACAAACGCAAGCATGTCAGCGTGATCACCGGTCTAGAGGTATACGGTCTAGAGAACAAGAAGGTAGCCAAGGAGCTCGGCAAGAAGTTTGCGACCGGTTCTTCGGTGACTAAATCTGCTGCCGGCACCGAGGAGATCACGGTGCAGGGTGATGTGAGCGACGACGTCAAAGATTGGTTGTTGGAAGTGTACGGGAAGGAAATTCCAGAAGCGAATATTGAGATCATTGAGGACAAAAAGAAGAAGGGAGGAAGCTAATCGAATATAAACAATCTGGAATGGCTGTCAGTGCATAAGCAAGCTACAGTCTATAATGTTCCTTTCACGTGGGGTATCATGACGCTATATGTTACAGGTAAAATGATAGAAACTCGGGTATTTCCAACTTGATGCCGATGGATCCAAGGGGGTGTGCGAAGCAGTCGTGAACTGTGTCAATCAGAGTTCTTCCAGGGATTTCAGAGGATCTCGATCGGTCGGCTGCGCGCCCACATCTAAGATGGTGGACGCGGGTGTGCTGGCTGGCCTCGGAGACTGGCGATCTTGGATATTTGAATATCGATCACTCAGCCCGGATGGATACAAGGACCACGAGGGCCCTTCCTCTTGTCCCTGGAGTAGAGGGCGCGACGAGTTGAGGGCTGGTATCGCCGTCTGGTCTAGACTTCCAAGCCCCGATGACTCCATCCTCCAGCTTTGGGCAATCAAAGCCATGAAGACGGCGACGCAGCCGGTCGTCACAACGATCCAGAAAACTCGAAGACTTCGGTTGATTCTTCTTTGGCATTCCACCTCCCTCTTTTCCCAGCAATCAATCTTGGCTCGCATCACTTCAAGCCTTTCGTTCAGTGCGTCGGCCCTCGTTCTTCCCGCTTTCATACGTTGTTCCAGAGCCTCGATCTTTTGCACCTGAGGTCGGAACTCTTTAAACTCCAAGATCTGCTTCCGAATTTCCTGGCCCAGGCTCGTGGTCTCCTTTTCGAAGTCATCGAAGAGGGCTGAGGTGGATTCGAATAGTTCTTGAAACGAAGCAATCGTGGAGGTGAGAGCCGCGATTTTCTCGAGTAAATTGTAGTAGGTGTAGTCTAGGCGGCGAGTGATGTCTGTTGCGAGGGTCCCAATCAATGACAGGGCAGACCGTAGGAATCTATCGACAGGCGGATCAGAATGGCCCAGGTACAGTAGAAACTGGCGGGACTTACTTTTCCCCATGGGTCCTTCTCTCGTTTATCAGCTCTAAATCCTCCGGCGAACGAATCTCCCGCCCTCTCACCGGACCAAGCTTGCTATTCTGATCGATATCATCAAACAAGCTTCCTTTCCTGGCGCCCACGCCGAAGCCTGCCGGGTACTCTGGTCCCCAGCCCGACCGCGTCGATTCCCGCGTAATGGGCCGAAGCAAGCCGTCATCGACGTCGCTCTCTTTTTCCCTTCCGCCGGGCCATGCTGGCAGCAAGCCCTTAGCCGCAGACGAAGAGCTCATGGGGTTCATGATTCGAGGCAGACGGGCATCCCGCGATTTGCTGTGCTTGTGCTTGTGGCGTGGCCTCAGTCTGGAACGATCTAAGCTGCCGGGATCAAAGACCAAATGACGAAATGGGGACTTTTCCCCGGCCGCGTCATGGTGGTCGACACGAGCATGGCGCTCCTCCAGCCCTTCGCGGTCATGATTGGGGGGCAACGCAGGTTGTTCCAGGCTGTGGGCAGGATCACCCCCGCTATTTACTGCAAACGGCTCGCCGGCGACGGTGGGTTTCTGGCTCCCAGCGGCCGAACCGTGGCTGGGAGCAAAAGGGGCCGATGGTTGCTTGGCTGGGGAAAAGACCGCAGGCAAAGCCGACCGGACGGAGTGCTCCATTATCGGGTAGTAATCTGCATGAGAAACCGGGCGCGGGATTCTGGGGGGGGGGGGGGCTCCTCTACATGCCGAACTCTTCAGGGGAAAGAAGGAAAGGTGACTTCAATGCTGTCCTGGACGGGCCGCCGCCGGAGAGGTTGCGGAATGACGCCAAGGCGGGCCAAAGCAGCGGAGCTAACGGAGTCCGGTGGCCTTCATTTTCACCCTGATGGTCCTCCCTCATATCCAACCCCATCGCTTCGGTTGAACGTGAAGGATGGGTGGCTACAAAGCCATGGGACGGTGGACGCTGAAAGGGGGTATGTTATTCTCTCGTCAGAGTAGAGCTATCCGAACAATCATGACGACTATCTGTCTATTTTGGTTCCGAAAAAGAAAAGAAACGAAAAGAAAACCGCGGGAAAGCAAAGCGCAAAGGTCTAAGAATTGAGCAGCTTGTTGCGCTTTTCCCTCCTCTTCAGTCGCTCGACTCGCTTGTGGTGCATCTTCTGGGCCATCTTTTCGTAGCGCTCCTTCTCCTCCTTCGCAGCCCGGCGATCTCTGATGTGTTGAATGTGTGCCTACAGAGCAGAGTTAGCGAAACCAGGAGGACCAGATACTCGGCTGATCGGTACCTTTCTTTCGGCCTCTTTTTCTTCCCTCAGTTCCTTTTCATGTTCCTTGACAGCCTCTTGGTGTTTGCGTGCCTCCAGTCTCTTCGCGTACGAGGTCATGCCACTAGTAGGGCGGAACGGCTTTTTGTTGTCATGCCAGTTTTTCCCTGCGGGTCCGAAGCAAGTGAAAAATTAGCTAAAATGGGATAATCGTAATAATCAAGACAGCAGGGACGTTGTCAACTTAAGTGGGGGGGAAGGGAAAAATCTGATTCCTCACCATTTTTCCGCATGCCTTTGACGGGTTCGGAGGAGGACATGTCGGCGCACGAAACGAGGCTGAAGAGGGACGAAAGGGGTTGGGTGGGGAGTGAGGATGTTGAAGGTGATCTCTCTCTCTCCCTCTCTTTTTTTTCTTCTCAAGTCTCGCCCCCGTTCGCTCTTTTTCTCTCCGGAAAAAGTTATCTTAGACCGATCAGATAACCGGATCTCGGCAGAAGTGAGCCCCCGGGCGGGCATCCGCGCATGAGGGATTTGTCGCAAACCCACCCACTAACTAGGTCCTCCCCTTCTCCCGGTCCTCGACCATTGGGAACTTACTCCGTGCAAGCGATTGATTGTTCTTGTATTATTGAGTTCACCGCGCGTGGATACCTGACAAACCCCTTGTCAGCTCACCGCCCCTCCCCCCAAGGCATTCCCGCCTTAAAAAGACTTCCACCTCCTTCCCTCCGACAACGCACTGGATCGATACAATGCTCTACCGATAGACTCCAAATTCCTTTCTTTTATTCCCCCCCCCCTCTTTTCCCTTTTCCTTCTTCTTCTTCCTTTCGCTCTCCTCGTCTTTGTTTCTTGGTTTGTCTCTCTACCTTTTTCACGTCCTAGATCCACCCATCACCAGTTTGGATACTCTCGGCCTCGATGGCGACTACTGAACATGCGATAGCACTCAGTAATGACATGTCGATGGAGCTCCCAACACTTCCCCCTAATCAGGGGCTTGAGGCTCTGAAGGACGTGCTATTTGGCTCGGTAAGCTGACCCTTGCCGTCTGGAGCTTCTGGCGTTCACCGGTGGAGCTGAACTAACGGTCAATTTCCAGGCCGCCGGCATGGCGGGCAAGGTCATAGAGTACCCTTTCGACACGGTCAAAGTACGGCTTCAGTCACAACCGGATCATCTTCCCCTGCGATACAATGGCCCGCTGGATTGTTTCCGTCAATCTTTTCAAGCCGATGGGTTTCGGGGACTATATCGGGGTATAAGTGCCCCCATGGCGGGGGCGGCCATCGAAAACAGCTGTCTCTTTTGGAGCTACCGCATCATTCAAGACGTACTCAAGGCAACCTGTTACAGCTCGACGGACCCGCTGCCTTTCTCCGCCCTGTTACTCAGTGGAGCCGCGTCGGGCTCCATCACCTCGCTTGTGCTTACTCCGGTTGAACTCATCAAATGTAAGATGCAGGTTCCTGTGGAGAGCACTGGCGGCCCAGCCCCTAGGCCGCTCACCTTGATTGCGTCTATATTCCGTCAAGACGGCATCTTGGGGTTCTGGCGCGGGCAGATGGGGACCCTCATTCGCGAAACGGGCGGGGGCGCCGCCTGGTTTGGTGGCTACGAAGGAGTGTCTGCACTGTTCCGAGCATACGCGGTGCCACCCTCGAAAGGCGAATCGTCCGAACCGGATCAGGCGCGCCTTCCCCTATATCAGCAAATGATCGCAGGTGCAGCGGCGGGGATCAGCTATAACTTCTTGTTCTACCCGGCCGATACAATTAAGTCCCGCATGCAAACGGAGGACATCACCCATTCCACGGTCAATGGGAAGCGGCAAACCTTCTGGGGGGCTGCCAGGTCCCTTTGGAATCAGCAGGGGCTTCGAGCCCTGTATCGAGGCTGTGGGATAACTTGCGCGCGATCGGCACCAAGCTCGGCATTCATTTTCACGATTTACGAAGGCTTACGGAACTATTTCGGATGATTTTCTCTCTGCACGTATCTTTCTCTCCGGTTCCCATCGGCCTTTCTCCCGTCTCTCTTTCTCTTTGCTTCGTTTCGTTGGCTAGAAGATACCTATTGTTTTGCTTTCAATTATAGACGTTGCTTTTTTGTTTTCCTTGATTGATTGCCACACCATGTTTTCGGCATCGGTTGCGTAGAGGCCTGGTCTGTTGTTGTTGTCGTCGTTGCCGGAGGAGTCCGCCTTTGCGATGCGGGGGGGGGGAAGCATTGGGCGGGCGAATCATCCACTGTACTTCCCCCTCAATAGATAAGAAATCTTCCTTCCCCTCCTTCCTTTCCTTCCCGACCCTTTTTCACGTTATCACCCATCACCCTTCTCTCTCTTCTCTCTCTCTCTCTCTCTCTCTCTCTCTCTCTCTTTTCTCTTGTCTTTTTGAACCCCCGTAGTAAGGATGGCGTCTGGTGCCCCGGTTCTTTCGGCAGAAGAACTGCACACTCTATCGGCGAAAGCTATTGCGGCCAAAGCCACCGCGCATTGTAAGTTATCGCTCGATGTTTGCGTTTCCACAGACAGTCGCTAACCCCTTGACGGGTCCCTATTCTCAATTTCGCGTCGGGGCCTGCATCCTGACCCGGTCTGGCGAGTACATCCCGGGTGCTAATGTCGAGAACGCCGCATACCCCGTGGGCACATGTGCTGAACGAGTGGCCTTTGGAACTGCCGTTGTAAGCAGCAAGCCCGGTTTCGATTGCCTGCGCTTTCAGCCTCCTGACTGATTCTTCGGTAATAGGTTGCCGGCCATAAAGATTTTAAAGCCATTGCCGTCGCCACGGATATAAAGCCCGCTGCATCTCCGTGCGGTATGTGCAGACAATTGTAGGTTCTATCTTCGACTCTGTGTGCCTCCTTTCTTTGAGGAGGAGGAGCTTGAGCCCCTAACCTCCGCGTGACTGATCCGTTTGGGACCCTATGATTAGTATGAGCGAGTTCACTGGTCCTTCTTTCCCCATCTACATGTACGACGGAGAGGGTAATTACAGCCTCACGACAATGAACGAGGTATGGGGCCATTTTCTTCATTTTTTGAACTTCTGTCTTACAGGCGGGCCCTTTTGTGCTAACAAGAGTTGATGGTTACTTGCAGCTCCTCCCCAGATCCTTTGGACCTGGTGACTTTCCTGGTAAAGAGACGCAATAAACCGACTTCATTTTGTGATGAAGCACCTTTCTACAGAACCTACCGCCGGGATCCAATTCTGGACTTGCACGCTCTTCCCTGTCTCCCTCTCATCAGATGTTTAGAGAATCGCCGCCCTAAACCCTGCGTTAGTGAGATGGGCCAGGAGCTGTAAATGTTCGAGATTCACAGGACATGTGTATTTTGTACAGCAGCTGTGACAAATATTGGTATAAAAAAATGAACATTCGAATTAGCTGTCCCAAAACATCAACCCGCTGGTCAAACAACGGTCAAACACATGCACTCGTTTTGTTCCAATAACTGCCGGGGTTAAATGAATGATCTGAAGTGGATATACGCTAGCTATTCATCGTTATTACATTAAAACCGAACAAGATATAATCATCAAGTTATCATCTTCTACCTGTATACCAAATTGTGCTTCGTTGCGCCCAAAAATGGAAAAGAAAAAGGACGAAAGAAGAAGAGGGGGAAAGCCAAAGGTAGAGAAAAGAGGCAAGCTGATATCCTCGTAACAACCTCAACATCAAATCGTGGACACAATGGAAACACGAAAATACCGCGGTCAATGCACTGACTCGTCATCCTCGTCAGCGTCTACAACCCCGAGAAGCTCATCTTCGTCATCGACAACACTGGTGTAGTCGCCTCGGCGAGCTGCGAACGAACCACGGGATGCATATGGCCTGGAGTAGTCGCGGGCTCTTCCAAGTCCTACGCGTCCACTCACACTCCGCCACAGGCTCATGGCAAGGAGCGGAAGAGCTCTAGCGACAGCAACCAACCCCGCAATAACTGCGATTGGCACGCTGACGAGGAGCGAGTCTCGTGATAGCAGGCTCTGGGCAGTGCCAGCATTTTCCCCGAGGCGAATCTGGCCGAACTTGCCATCCCACCTGCTATATGCATAATATCCAACCGCACCTGCTACCCCAATGGGGGTAACTATGGCAAAGAATAAACCGACCCCGCTGATGCCATGCTTCTTCTCGTACTCTTCCTCCTTGCTGGGGCAGGGCTTCGAAACGACACGGTCTAGGTTTTGGCCACCCTCGCAGGTCGTCTGAGGGATACGCCGATACCCGGTAGGCTCCCAGTATTCAATCAGATCCGGGTCATTCTTGCAGACAGCCATCGCGTCCGGTTTGGGAAGTCCAGGAACAAGGGCACAGCTGCCGTCGGTCTGGGGTTCATAATTATAGTCACTGCACCCTGGTCAGCTATCATTTCAGAGGGAAGTCATCACAAGGAGCACTCACCACTCGTAATCAGATCTGGTGCACGTACAATTCGTGCCGATCCGGTGAATATGAGGCTCGCGCCAGTTGTTCCAACATTGGGCGGACAGGTTCTTGCGGTGGTATTGCTCGACATGGCCGAATAGGCAGTTTTTCTCCTGGAAAGGGTGCCTGGGTTCCCAGATGGAATAGTCTTCGCTCTCATCCTGATTCTCGTCCAATTTGCATGCTCTGGAGCGCAGGGCGCTGAAATCAATGTTGATCGTGAACAGTTTGCTATGAGACTTGTCTTGCAAGCCTCTGCCCCAGAGGAGGAAATTTTTGGATGTGTCCGAAGGCACAGTGGAAATATCGTCAATCTGCACGTCCACATCCGCAAATACGAATTCCTCCCAGTTTTCACCTTCGTCGACGCTGTAGAAAAGAGACTTGGTTGGTCTGGACTCGGGAACGATAACAATAACCGAGCCTGAGTCACCATACTCCCACATATACCTGCCTTTCTTCACGGACCTCCAGGTGATTCCCCCATCATTCGTCATGAAAGTATCGACTTCATCACCGCCGGCCAAACAATCACCAACATTACCTACCCCAATCATAAGACCTATTGCGGAGCCGGAAGAAAACGTGTCACGTTCATCCCTTCGCTCGGTATATCCATGGAGGTGGAGTGAGCAGACATCGGTCCCTTTCCCAGATGTAACAGCACAGCCAAACTTCTTACCGTCGGCGTCTTTGGGCGGAGGAGGAAGCAGCATCCACTGTGCTCCATCATTGTGAGTAATCATCGTCTTGAGCTTCTTCTTCTCGCCACCTTTGGATACCGCATCAACGTTGCCAACAACATTGACAACCGCCACACCTTCCAAGCCTTGCATCTTTTCGAAGTCCGCAAAACCTTTGTCGTTCCGATTCACGGCAGCTAAACTTAGTACATAGAAAGTGCCATTGCTATTGCTCTTGATAATTGGTCCGTACTCTGCGCCTTGCGCGCTGCTTGCCGTAACATGCAGGAATACGGCGTGAGTAGAGCTCTCAAGAACAGTATATGCAGTTTGGACGGGTACTTGGACGTTGGGGGGGAACTGTGCTTCAGCAAAAGTTCTCCCGTCGACACTAGCACTTGCCACTAGGGACTCTCGGTTCTCTGAGTTGCGCGATGCTACCACGATGAATTCGGACATCGTGGCGTAGTTGATGACATCCTCGATATGGACAATCTTCTCAGAAAAGTTGTTGGTGGTAGATAGGAGCTGGAGTCGGTTGCTCTTGTTCTCATTCTCGTACTGTTCGCAGAAAATGAGACTCTCACTCTCTGGGCGGCTTTCTCTGTATTCAAACTCGCATTTCTGAACATAACGGAGAATCAATTTCCATCCACCGCCCCGGTTGTCGCTATACCAAGCATCAGAATGGCAATCACCGCCAGACCCGCAATCCGCTGCGCCAGTCCAAATCAACCAATCTGGGTATCGAGGATGAAATGAAAGCGGTGAGATGTAGCGCTCTTGTGTCGGCGGAGTCTCCGTTTTGAAATGCTTGAAGGAGTGTCCGCGATCTACAGTCCAAAAACTGTCCGTACCCTCACCGAGAAAGAAGGCTGCATCGCTGTTGTAGGGATGAAGGATGACTCTGGTGATCTTCTCTCCCTTAAGAGCTCGCTCCCAGGTCTTGCCATGATCATGGGAGACGTGGAGTTCGTAGTCACTAGTAAGTACGAGGACAGTCTCGTCGTCTCCAGAGCTGCTTGACTGCCGTTCCATATAATAATAGGCAAACTGACCTGCGTCGAAATTGTTCTTGGTCACCAAGATGCCACCTGCCGGAGCGCTGTGGGTTTCGTTACAAGGTCGTTCGACATCCTTGTCCAAATTCTCGCCATCCTCTCGAACACAAGCATCTCCAGGGATAAGTCTCCAACCGGATGGCCCCATATAGGTATCGCTTGGTTCCTGGCATTTGCCTTCTGGGACTTTTGATGACTCAGGGAGGAAACAGCCCTGTCCACCCTTGCTGGGCTTGTGTTCACATTCGAAGTCACTCGCCGTGCACTTGCATGGTTTGAAGACAGGCTGGGGGTCCTTGAACTTCTCATCCACAAAGCAATCTGCATTGGCCTTCCGGCGCCTGAAAAACTGCTTGTGACCCATGAGACAATCAGGCTCCCCATTTTCATCCAATCTTGCCGCCCATTCTTCAAAATCATTATCTTCGCATTTCCTTTCGTGCAATCCGCTGAAATCGATCGAGTAGATGAAATGCTTCTTCTCTTTTGAGGTGCCAGCAAGAATGAATTTTAGGCTCGTCGAATCCGGGGTGGTCGTGACCATTTCAGGGTAGATTTCATGTTCAAGTTCAACCGACTCCCACTCTTTCCCATGATCGATGGAGAACTTAATTTCCTTGGTTGCCTTGTCGTCAGCAACTGCCATGACAACGGCACCCTGATCTCCGAATTCGTATTTGTGTGGGCCCTTAAGTGCAAGGCGCCAAGTCATACCAGCATCATCCGAAACGTAAAGGTCACCTTTAGCATATTCGCCGAGGTGAGAGCCAGTATTGCCGACGCCCATTACCAGACCAGGGGCTGGGCTTGAGTATACGCGGCCAATATTCGCAAAAGCGGTCACGGAATGAAGATGCAGATCTTTGTCTTCGACCTTGAGAGACTTAAATGTCCTCCCATCATCAAAACTAATTTTACTGGTAATTTCCTTGTCGGGAAGATATTGGACCTCTTCCGGGTTCCTCACAATGTTCACGAGCACGACACCCTGAATATTGGCAATTTTCTCGAAGTCAACCGTGCCCTCGGGGTCGCGATTTGTATGCTCAATGTTGCGCGTAAAGTAGGTACCTTTCGAGTTGGAGGTGAAAAGTACGCCCATGCCCTTCGCGGGATTGGTCAGAACATCCACCTGAAGGCTATAATTAGTACTTTCTAACATCGTGTAGGCATCTTCTTCTATGCGATGACCTTCAAACTCTGCTCGGTGCCAGATTTTACTATCGACGGTTGTGTACAAGGCGAGTTCCTCGGTTCCCTTGGATTTGACGGCTGCGACAATATATTTTTTAACTGCTGCGGTGCTGATGACGCCCGAGACGGGTCGGCCTTCCTGCAGCTTGACTTCCGTGCCTTCAATGTCGCTGCTGAAGTAGTCATCCGAGTATATAAGTCTATTGGCGTGTGAGAAGGGCACTTTCAACCCCGGCACGACACAAAGCGATCGGTCCTCAATCTCCTTTGCTATATCCAAGTTTTCGGCGAATTGGGGATGTCCAATGGCCCAGGCACACCCACCAATGCTTTCCCGAAGAAGCTTGACCGAAGTGAAGTCATCCGTGGTATAGTAGGACCTGACTATGCAATATCGTCCGGCGCACTCTTCAGTTTGGAAAATAATTTTTTTGGAATCTCGACCATGGAATACAAGCGAGGAATGGATAATGGCGGCGAGCCCTTCCACTTCGAACGAGGTCCAACTTCTAGCCTGATCCGTTGTGACCCAGTGGCGGTTACTGGCACTTATTGCGTAGGCCTTGTTCTTATCAAATGGGTGTTGTCGAATGAGAAAGGCATTATGTTCCATTCCACCATCATCGTCACCTTTGACAGTTTCCCATTTCTCGCCACCATCGATAGTCTGGAGCAAACTGCGCTCTTTCGTATTCAGTAGGACCGTTTCGGTGTCTTCGAAGTAGAATAAGGAAGCAGGCTGCTTGTCAAGCTTGGTCGCAGTGATCTTGGGCTTATTTGACTTTTTTGTCGCGGCAGGCTGCGTTAGGATTGCTAATCCAAGGCAGCTCAGCCAGAGCCATTGTAATATCATGGTCGCAAGCTATGCAACATTTGAAGCGATGGGCAGAAGAGAGAGCTCCGACGGTCGGCGAGGCGATTACGATCGGATCAGAGCGTAGAGCAGGATCCAGAGAGGAGTCAAGTTGTGGAGCGAACTTATCGATGGCATAGAAGATGGGCAAGAGGTGCGGTTAGAAGGTTTGCGCGTGGCCAGTTATGCAGAAGCCTACTTCCTTGGGTCAACAGCTGCGTGGCCTCATAACTCACGGTCACGTGTGACCATGGCTGCTTATCGAAACATGCAGGGCGGCAGTGTTTGACATGTTTCGTCCGGAGTCCCGGAATGACTACGTAATTACTGCCTACTTAGTACTAGTATGCTCGTACTAAGTAGGTAGGTACTACTAGGTCCCGGGGATCAGTCAATATGGCATATAAACTAGCTCTTAACTCATGGTAACACACATCCAATGGTATATAACCTCTGAAAATCCGAACTCCCCGTGATAAAAAACCCTTGGAAGCCCACAATCCGTCATCGTGGGTCACGAACCAGCAGATGAACAGCTACAACCTCAGATCCAATCGCGGGTCATGTTGGCCGACTGTCTATTTTCGCATGAATCCCATTCCTTCATCCTTGCAGATCAAACAACAGGTAGATTCTGGCACTAATTGAAGGGCTCGAATAATAAGTTGAACTGTCCGGGTGAAGCAGGTACGTGACCTAATGGATAAAGCGATTACTGCAATCATTAGTTGAGTATTTTAGATATATGGTCCGTCCGTAACTCACGTCGAAGAATGCCTGCGCGACAAGAAAAGGGTCAGGTATCGGCGCAAGCGTCGAGTGCTTTGGGGAAACTGGATTCAAGACACCGGGTCCTTTTTAAGTACAGAATGCCGATTCTACTGCATCGAAGGTAGTGTCGTAAACATCGGAGTACTAATCAGACCTCTGCAAGGGTGCTGGCTGGGTAATCTTTCTGCCACGTCCTCCCCCCCCCTCTTTTGACTATATGAGCTCCGCCTCTTTTACAGCGTGTTGAGCACGTTCTGCATGGCAGGCGTGTTGGAATCCTCCCGGCGCGAGACGTAGGCACGGACCTCGTGCACGCCGAGGCCCTCGGGGCTTTCGCTGGCGTTCCCGCTCGCAGCACCACCGCGGACTCGTTCGCGCAGGGCCTCGGATCCGACGACGAAAAGACTACCCACTTCCAGCAGAACATCCAGTGCTCCGCTAGGTGCCTTGAGCTGCTCGTCTATGTCCCATGACTTCAGTAGGTCATTGTACTGCGTCATATCCTTGGTGACCAGCAGACCTCCCGGCCCGTTGACGGAGAATCGTTTGAAATGCTCGAGGAGTAGACTGCGAACCCCGAGAGCGATCTCGTTAAGTAGTTGGCGAAGGTTGGTGCCGCTGGACGGGAGTGACTGCACGATGACACCATGCACACGAGCTAAGAAGCTGCAGATCGAAGCGCATGTCTGAATTGTTTCTGGTCAGGTCGACATGTCATCACATTATGGGAGTTGACTTACCGGAGTCTGCAGCTTTTCTAACCACGCAGCGTTATCTCCTTCCTTGGGCCGAAAATCGTTTTTCCTCTGGCCGGACAGAAGCTTGTTTACCCAGGTCAATGTTGCATCGATGGTCTTTTGCTCAATTGTATTGACCTTCTCCTCAATGCGCACCGTTATCAAGTTTGTCTTTTTCTCCATTTCTCTGCGCACGGTAATGCTTCCGGCCGCAAGGGGGATGAGCAATGTGTTTACACACATTATCATCAGGTTGGCAATTCCGATGGCGTTTCTAACCGCAGAAAGATAGACTAAATCGGGTTCTGCCTTCCCCGATTCTTGGGACGTTGCAGTTTCTGAAGCAGCGTCAAGGCAGACTTCGATGTATCCTTCTCCCATCATCGAAAGGAGGAGACTCAGCAGCGCAAGCATATCCTTGGGTGTTTCACTTGTAACACTTAACTCCAACCCTCGGCCGACTCCTTCAGCAAGCCATTTGAGCATGCGCTTGGCGTAGGCTAGGCTAGGAAGACCGTCATCCTCAACCAGTTTGACATCGGTGGGTTTCGTGACATCACTGGATTCTCTTAACCCTGCCACCTGAAGGAGCATCTTCCTGTGTGTAGGAGAGAATTCAGATGATTCAAGGCGGTTGATATATGTGTCCCGAGCGGAAGCCAGAAGTTCTGTGCCCGACTTAGAGAGAGAAGCCATGAATGTTGTCGCCGCCTTTTTCCTACGGGCGTGGAAGGTGGTAAACCTGAATAGTAGAGACGTATATAGCTCTTCCAAAGTCTTCTTCTCCCTTTCAATGTAGGAGGATCCAACAAAGTACGGCACGAACAAATCTTCTAGTTGTTGGTCAAGGACCAGTGCAGTCTGGGCGGACATAGGGTCTGGGTTTTCTGTTAAACCGTGGGATTTCAAGTCGTCGACAAGAGCACTGATATAGCTGCGAGAGCTTTGAAGGGACCTTAGGAAGGCAAGAGGCGAAATATCATTTGCCCGCTCCAAAACCATCTCGAGCCTTTGCTGGATAGATTGTTGAAAAACTCGCTGCAAGAACTTGCCGAGAACCTGCTCGTAGTAGGGGAAAGCGCGTTTGATAATGGCAGACTCTTCCTGTACTACGACTTTGACCTCATCCACTAATGACTGGAGACTGGGTTCCACTTTCAGAGGCTCAGCGTCAGGGTCTGCCAATTTCTCCCAGGATTCGGGATCACCTGCCACTTCTTCAGTAACAAGTTGGCTGCGGTCAATAAAAAACTGATGCTGGTTGACGAATAATGCGATGACGCTGGCACCACCACTGAAATCCTGGAGCACAGTCGCACAATCCCGCATGCCTTCGAAGTTTGCCTTGCGATAGAAATCATCGAACTGCTTCAGAAGGTCTTTCTCCAAGGTCTCGGAGAATTTTTCAATAACCTCCCTTGTGTTCCGTCTAGCGCTGTCAATTCCCTCGGTTGGGCTTCGCTCCCCGCTTCCATTTCCGAGGGGCTTGCTGTTTTTCCCCCCCGATTCATTCCAGCTGTGAGGATCAAGCCTTTGGCTTATCCTCAGCAATTGCCGTGCAATCTGTGCTGAGCGCACCTTGGCCTCGCCGGTCCCAGATCGCCTGAGGTTCTCCAGAAGTGTTATTTCTCCTCTATTACTGACGCCCTCCCAGCATTGGAGTAAGAAGTATGCATCCAGTGCTCGACGTCTTTGCCTATCAAGCTCCTCCAGCCGTCGTCCAGTTTCCACGGCCATATTTCCGGTAGCCCCAGCATGATCGGTTCCGGGAATCTGTATCCCTGCTCCGTTGAGCGATGTGTCCAACTGCTGAAAAGACCCGATCGTCTGTTTTAGCTTCCTACCCAGCGTGTTCAAATTTTGCGAGTGCTGCGCTTCTGCCCTGCGTACTGCAGCAGATAGCTCATTCTCCCTGATTTCGAGGTCGCCGGATAATTCACCTAGCCGTTGCTGGGCGTGCTCGAAGGTACGGATGAGTGGTTTGGGGTCAAATAGTTGATTTGCGCTGCTAGGTCCGATCGTGGATCGGCGGTTCGATGCCGTGGTGTCAGAAAGTGTCTCAATGAATTCCTTGACAATGAAGTCACGATTGGAGAAGTCCTCCAACGTGAAGCTGGGACCCTTTGGGAAGACGGATCGGGATGCGAGAGTCGCTTGAGAAGTCATGGATACTGTGTCTGGCATCCTTGCAATAGCTAGTGGCCGCCTCCCGCCTTCATTGAGATGAGAGAGAGATGGCGTGAATAGCGACTTCGCGATAGGGAGCTCATATGTGGTGCAGGTACAGACTAGTCGAGTGAGCGGCCGGTTACGCATACATAAGTGGGCCGGAATTTAACCTTAGGCAACCTAGGAAAGCCGCGTTCTACTCCGTAATCATCCCCAAGAACCTGATTACATGTCCGCCATGCATCACCTGCTACTTACACTGCACATTCCTTGAAGAACCATTACGGCGCATCACTAAGGAATCTTCTTCTTCGAGGACAGTCATCAGCGTCCATTAACAGATGGACGATGACGATGTTCCCGTTCTGGAAAAGGTGGCGCTGCCTTGGGGACCTTGTATCCAAGGACCGTTGTATGTAACATAACGTATTGTCATGTACTGTATGTAAAAGGTGGCAGATCATCCGTGGAGGTACAATTCGTAGAGGCACCTTAGGTACTTCGATCCTCAACCACCCATCCATCATCCCGTCTACGAACCGTTGTTTCCTCACAACACCATGATTTCACAACGAGATCGGAAACTCTTCCGAGATGATATCCGCGCTCGAGGGACAAAGCTCAGTGCTGCTGAGCGTGAGAACCTTCTTAAACCATACTTACCAGAACCGTCGGATCTACCACGTCGGCCTCCTCCACGGCGAAAGAAAGCGACAACCCGAAAAACCCCTATCCGCACATTCCTCAAATCTCAGCTGCACCATCTAATCTACTCTGTCATTCATATTATCTTTGGGATTGCTGTGCGTCTGATTCAGGTCTATCATGCGGTCTTGGATCGCATTCTTGCCGTGGTATATCACCACCATCGCACGCCTGAGTTGATCCGAAAAGACGTCAAAAACCTCGATCGCCTGCCAGAGCATCTAAGCGTGATATTATCGCTTCGGGCTGGGGATGATGCTCTTGCCATATTGATGGACGAAGTGGCAGAACTCGCTGCCTGGAGTGTAAGTGCCGGTATTCCCGTACTGAGTGTTTATGAGAAAAACGGTACGTCGAATCCAGGCCGATGGAACGAAGGCAACCTAGGCCGATCAATAATTAAAGCCCTTACGGTAGCAAAACATTTCTAACACCTCCATCTCCAGGCATTCTGAAATCATGCATACCCAGCTTGAACCAAGTCATTCTAGTCAAGCTATCCTCATACTACGGCTCACCTTCTCAACAACCAACATTGCGGCTCTTTGCTCCTCACCACCCCATCCATCAAGATAATTTTTCTACCCCCAGATATAATCCGGACACGCTCACAATACTTCTTCTTTCTGCTACCGACGGCCGGGAGACTTTTGTGGACCTCACTAAAACCTTGGCTGAAATGTCCCAGAATGGCAAGCTGTCGCCTGAGGACATCACTATAGAACTTGTCGACGCGGAGATCAGTGAGATTACTACACACCCTTCTCAGGTTACACCGTCAGATTTGGGCGGGAGCAAAATGACTCCCAGTTCAATTTCTATAAAGCCTGAGCCAGATCTTCTTTTAGTGTTCGGTCCTTTTTTGAAACTTGATGGCTATCCACCCTGGCATATTCGTCTCACAGAAATGCTCTGTACGGGGGATAATAGTAGCAGCATAACCGGCTCTGGCGAGGCTGTCGAGTATCAAAGTTTCTGTCGGGGTCTGTGGCATTATGCAGGAGCTCAAATGAGGTTTGGGCGATGAGAGTTTGCAATTTTCTGAGTATATTTTTTTTCCTTCTTTTCTAGGGAAAAAAAAAGGTGCATTCCTTCTGAAACTGGAACACTTATGTCAAATTGATGGGGATGTGACAGGTTACTTGTAGAAATAAGTATAGGGTAATAGGTATCCTTGCTTGTACTGTACTGAACTGATAAACATTTTTGATCGGCAATTATAGTTGCACATATTTTTTGGCCATCCTATGCTTGAACGGTGGAATGCACACCCACTCCTTTGATAGTAGTGACGGAAATCAGCATGGAAAAAATAACAAGCTTTGATCAAAAGTTGCCCAACACAGTGCGACGCAATTACGTCAACTTCCAACAATCTTGCTGTGTAAGGGAGGAAGTGAGGTAGCCAGCAAGGGAATAGAAAGCTTTGATAAATTAGCAGTGACTACATATATGTACATTTGGATGCTAAAGTCCCATGTTCCCATTCCTCATGTTTCACTATCGACAGTCATAATCATTCACCTACTGAATGAATGTATTGAGTCCAAATCAATGTCCACTGACAGAAACAAGTACATCTATGCAATACTCTTATACCCATGTCTCCGTTCTCTAGGAACAATCCGTCTAGTGGAATGGATAGCCTCGTACGCAATCCAGGCATCTCACCACCTCTCTTCCTGTTTCGGTCACATTCTCTACTGCACATCGGGAGCAGATCTTCCTAGGTTGGCTGGAGCGTGGTTTATTGCCATTGGTGTCCTCGTGCATCATGGCGGTGGAATCTCGCAGTACATGAGTCCCCCTGATTAAATGACTTGAGCCAGTGCAATCGAGCGCGTCACATTGGCGAAGACAAATGTAACAACTTCGCTGGCCACATATACTACAATCTGCATATGCCTCAATCAATTCCCGGGTTGTAGGTCTTCGATAACATATGTGACACGGACGTAAAAATGACGCGGGTGTGCGCAGGCTTTGCTGGCATGGGTTGGAACCTGCAAGAGTAGTTTTCAGGGAAATAGAAGGGGGGTTCGAGACTGCCGACAAACATATTTGGGGTGTCGAAGGGCCTGGTTGTGCCGCATGAGCTGGCAATGATTCATTCCATATTTCTGACAGCGGCTGTGTTGATTGAGAATAGCAGAAGAGCTGTTGAGGAAGTCGTCGTTTTCGTGGAAGACTCCACGGATGATAGGTTGAGAACCCCTTCAATGACTCCGAATGACTTTGGGGGGAAATGGGATCTAAGCTATGCACAGGCAGTTGGAATGGCTGATTGCTGTCGAGGATTTCAGGCGAGTTAGCAATTTGAATCATTATCTATGTCATTGAGTACCGCACTTCCAAACGCCAGGAAGGTAAACAGGCCAGAGGAAGTACTGGCGCAAAAAGAAAAATAAAAAGCCAACTGAGGCAAGCTTAGTTACTTACAGGGAAGGGCCCAGATTGATCATATCGGGCTGCACAGAATTCCTTTTCCGCTTCTTCCCTGAGCTGAGCTGGAGGTTAGAGGAGCCAGTGTTCTCTGACATCATCTTGAGCGTGGGATAGAATGGCCAGCATCATCGAATACGCGTGTTTATTTGTCGTGGACGGTAGGAAGGCGGTAGGTTTTTATCCAGTACCTGTAGATCCTTAGATAGGTCCGTACCTAGTAGGTAGGTAGGTACCGGACCTACCCGACCAGGTACCTACCTACCTTACATACCTTGGAACAGTACGGTATGTACGGGTATGTTTAATACGTACGTGGAACTCGTGCCAAAGTATTGTTACCTTAGATATCCGTGGACGGGCTAACAGCCTAGGTAACAATCGTGCTTAACCGCCTACGGAGTAGCTGGAGTTTAATTCCCCTGGTCCCGCTCAACTCTGAACTCCACATTCGGTCTTGGCAAGTGACCACAGACTTCGTATCGGGAGTTGGTAAAGCGCTGCATACCTGCTTCTCTATCTCCTGATATCCCCTGCCATGCATGCATGTGCCGGCCGTTTTGGAAAACTCCCCCCCACCCGCCGCCGCGGCATGCGCATACGACCTCTTATCGAATAACTCTTCGCCCATATCAATCATCGTCATCTTTTACTTAACCTTGCTCCTCCCGTGTCATCATAAAACCCATTTAGTTGTTGGCGCTGGCATAGCCGAGAGGCTCTGAGGAAGTCGTGGATGTCCATATAGCGAGTGCGAAACCTTGCAAAATGGACAACATTTCTGAAATTGTCGAAAGACTTGGTAGCGACGAAGATGCCGTCCGAAAAATGGCCGTCTTTAAACTGCAGAGCCTGATCGGGGATCCATCGTTCGCAGACGTCTTTATCATGGAGGGTGGACTGGCCAAATTACGATTCCTCACCCTACATACCAGCGGCAACACTCTGGCATATAGCTTAACCAGCTTGGCTAGACTGCTTGAGGTGGATAAAGGGTGGGATTTCATAGATCAGGAGGTGGTTGAGAGAGTAAGTATTCGTTGGTGAACATCAGTCGTTCGATGCGCCTAATACCGATATTTGGACTGACAAAACTCTCGCTCTCTTCTAGATTGTCGAGCTCATCGTAACTCATCCCCTCGTTAACATCCTGCGCGGCGCAATGTCTATACTGGTCTCGATTGTATCACACCCTCATACGGGAGGTCGCTTATCCCAAAGCGGCACTTTTGGCTTTCACGCTCTGAATCCCGCGATCGCCGCCTATCCACAGTTTTTAGAAATGCTTGTGACCCGGTTATCGTCGGCAGACCATGCCCTATGCGCCAATGCGCTTCAATTAATAAACTCGCTTATGCGCGACTCCATTACGAATGATTCGGAATTGCAGTGGCCAAAATTCATCCAGAAACTACAAGACCTGGGCGTGATTAAGGCTGTTTACGCGCTCATGCAAGGCACAACCTTGCAGGATCACGCCCACCCTCTAATCGAGTTCCAGTCGCTCACCAAAGTTCTTCTGAGAAAGTGGCGAGACATTCCTCTAGACACGGAAAACGCAGAACATAGGAGAGCGCTGAAAGGGATACATCTCGCTAGTCAACCTGAAAAGAATCTGGACAAAGGGGCCGATGATGTAAATGAGATGCGGCGGTCCAAGAAGCATCACTCGGACAAGTGGAGGCGACTTGGATTTGAGTCCGAAAGCCCGGCCGCCCAATTCGAAAAAACGGGGTTCTTGGGAATGATGGATCTCGCCGATTACGTTAGAAGCCATCAAGATGAGTTTCAGAAAATGCTCCTAGAGCAGTCGACAAAGCCAATTCAGGAACGGTGTCCGATTGCCCGAGCTTCATTGTCTGTCACGTCCGTTTTGTACGAGCATTTTGAAGTGGACAAATCGGAAATCGAAGATGCCAAGAGCTATTTGATCTTGGAGTCTCGCTCAAACCTTGACAAGTTGTTTAACCCTCTCCTGCTGCATTGGACTCGACTGCACGTTGCGGGTCTACACGCGTTCTTCCGTTTGTGGAAGGCAACCGGGGCGGAGGTCGAAGACTACGACAAGATTGTCGAGCTTGTTCGTATTCTTGTCGAATCTGCTGTCGGTGGGGCGTCTCGAACAAAAGACGTGCAAGATGTGGAAGAGGAACTCGCCGATTTCGAGTATAATCGTTTGCGTGAGTTGCAGATGGAATTACTGGAGCTTACCTATGAAGATGTTTGGGGTCAGCATCTACGCCAGGTGAGGGAGGAGTTGCATAATGAGGTTCTGCAATTTACCAAGGAACAAAGGATCCGGTGTCTTTTACAAGGCAGTTGGTTCCCGAACGAGGGAACTTCTAAGTCTGACATACGTATGCCGAAAGAGCTTTCATGGAAGTTTGTCCAGCTTTCACACAATCGGCGATTCTTACATTTTGGTGATTTCGACTCCAGAGGAAACAGCAATCCCGAGCTTGACACCTTGCCAGAGAAAAGTAAGGTACCCGAAACACACCTGCAGTCTGGTTTGTTTACTGATCAATTGTCTGCCATTGCCATCTAGTTGATCTGTCGATCGTATCCTCGGTGGTCTCCAACGTTTCGGCGTCGTCCAACAACTCGTCATCTTCAACCATAAAGAGCATGCTGCAGCATCCCTCTACGAAAATCAGCATTCACGGATATATGCAAGCCCACTCGACGACGGGCGAGCCTAGGAAGGCAAACGGCCACGATCGTTCCGTCAGCAGAACAACACAGAGCGAGACTGTGTTACTGAGCCTTCGTCCTCAGTCCCCTAGTATTGCGTCTGAGTGGCTCGACGGCTTGCTCATGCTTCTGAGTCAACAGCCTATCACGTCAGAAACTGGTAAATTGGTGAAATCAGTGAGTGATTACGGGTTGAAAATTCGTTTATTGAATATCAGGTTCGACGATGCCGTTTTCGCAGGCGAAGCTCCTAATGTTCCATCTCGGGAAGGTTTAGATGACGATTATTACTACGACCTTTTCGGGGGCAGCTAACCGCACCGCGCTTTTCCAAATCGCATGCACAGACATCTTCTTTTTATATGTAATATACAGCGTTTTATTACGTCAAATAGGGCGGTTAGGCGTATCCTGAATTCCTTAAATGCCTACCGTACCTTAAGGTACTACCTTGGTACCCTGTACCAACATGAAAAGATGGCCTTTACAATACTTACTCTGGAGTAGACAACAGGTACGGTATAACATATAGATACCTGCCCAGGTAGATGTACATATGTACCTACCTAGGTACCTAACTTAGGGTAGGTACCTACGAGTCTAGTGTAATTTATGTAATATGTATACACAGATACATGTGTATAGGTACACAATGGGAGGTACATACATACATACATTACCTATCTGCCAGGTATCGTATCTATCTAGTGCCGTATCTACTAAGGTACTGGTAGGTTACTTACCTGACGTACAGGGTACAGGATACCTTTAGTAGGTGAGGTATGTATATGGCCTACTATGTTACAGCCCTGCCTCTGATTCCACGGCCAACTTGCTAATTGTGTAAAGTATACCTAAAAAGTCAGGTATACACGGTATCTACCTACTCACAGATTATAATGAAGACTAACTTCGTATTCAGCAGGAGGTTTACTATCCAACTGACTATACATAAAACCATACTACTCTGTAAATTAGATATAACTTATCCGCTTGGCTACCTTCACAGTTCGCAGTTAACCGTAAAAATGTAAAACGAATATTACTATGCAGTTTGTATATTAAACAATTCTAGGCTACCCTAAAAATAAAGATAATGAAAACAGACCCCTAAGGACACTACACAAGTATCCCAGCTATTCCCTAAGAGATCCTAATACTTGTGGTTTTCCTTTTATTTACAAGATAGATTACGCTTGAGTAGGAAAGTGAGGTGGCTATAAATCCAGAGCCAGGCCTGTAGACGTATCTCGTACCGATACAGAGTACAGCTCAAGCCCATTACATACTGCGCAGAAACATCTGAGAATGAATGAAATGAATAGTGTTACTGCGTACTATGGTAATGGCTGGTGATATGGAAAAAGAAAACAATCGAATAGTCTGAAGGTCTCTCTGACCTCCTCCCATAATCGACCGTGGAAAGGTACGGGCCCGGGTTTCTCCGAATTCCGTACATACATATATACCTATTTTACATAAGTGGGTATGGTAGGTAGTCGATTACCTCCGACCGACCAACCGAAGGTACCTACCTACCTACCTACATACCACCGCCTTCCTACCACCGCAACTACTTGAATGCAAGACACGAGACACAGTCAGGTCATGCTACACTTGCTACTGTATTCAACAATGCGAGCAGATCTCCCGAGCTGTTTTTCTTACTGATCATGGCCGCCCGTCCGACAAAACGGCAGCGCACACTAACATGCTATTCTGCAGCTACCGATAACCCCCAAGCTCAATATGAGAAGACAAGCCTTCAGCAACAATTAGAGTCGAATGTGTCTTCGGTAAATAAGCAAAACCATGTGCCATGGCACTCGGATACATCCCCGGCCCTCCATATTGGCCCCCATCCAGCAGTTCCCAGCGAAGATTTCACTGCCTCTACCCATTCCCTAGTGGATAAAGAGGGGACGCAATCACTCTCTACGACTAATACATCTTCTCGCAGGCATAAAAATGTCCCGGTGGTGGCTGCCGATGCAGATCGATCTTCATTGGTGCATGAATCAACCTCCAATGATGTCGGCGTGAATGTTGACGAGGATATAATTGATGATTATGACTCCTGCGAAGAGTTATTCACTAAACATTTTTCTGGTGAACCTCTCGCAAACCAGAAGACCAAGCCAAAGCCTTCCCACCTGAATAAACCCTCGAATGCTATATCGCACAAAAATACCAGCTGTCTTGAGAAATGCACCAATCCCTCTAAACGCTTCATTCTACCATCCGGGCCTGATGACAAGGTTGATACTCCACTTTTTGATAACATCGGCAATGATAGTACACCTTGGGCGCAGCGATTTCAACCGCTTAATCTGGATGAACTGGCCGTTCATAAGAAAAAGGTGTCCGATGTGCGAGGTTGGCTAGAAGCATCTTTTATGGGGAGTGATAGAAGTGTATGTCTTTAAAACTGTTCTCCTTGCCTCTTTATTTGGTTTCTTCTCACAGTGTACCTACATTCAACTCTATGACCGTCACTGATGAAACCAGAGGCTCCTTGTTCTGAGAGGTCCTGCAGGCAGCGGTAAAACCACCACAGTATCACTACTATCAAGAGCCCTGAATTTTGACATCCTGGAATGGAAGAATCCCCTGGTCTCTCAATCGCCCTCAGGAAGGTCTGTATCGGTTTCTTCGCGATTCGATGAATTTCTTGGACGTTGCCATGATTTCACAGGTCTCGACCTGAGTGAAGACAGGGCCGCCTCTCAGGCTGGAACGGGCATTGATCCCCATCTCCGCCCACGACGCATTGTTCTCATAGAGGAATTCCCTACCCTTTCGAATACATGGTCTTCTTCTCTTGCTGCTTTCAGACTTGCACTGCACCGTTATCTTGCCATGGCAGCGTCAATGTCGAAATATCATAGCCGAGGACCAAACCATACCGGGGTTCCTCCAATTGTGGTAATTATATCAGAGGCACTTCTGAATTTCTCGTCGGAAACTCTCACGGTCAATCGTTTACTCGGACCCGAAGTTTGCAACCATCCCCGCACGACTATTATCGACTTCAACAGTATTGCGCCTACAATCATGCACAAGGCCCTTCAGGTCGTTTTGGAGAAACAGTCTCACCATTCCAGAAATTTCCGACTTCCAAGAGCTGCCATGCTGCACAGTATTTCCCAGATCGGGGATATTAGAAGTGCTATCACTTCCTTAGAATTTCTCTGCCGGAGGAGTGAGGGCATCGGTGAACTGATAAAAGGGGCCTCGAGAGCGTCAAAGAGACCTCGGGACTCTAGAGCACTGACGCCCATGGAGAAAGAAACTTTGAAGTTGGTTACGCATAGAGAAGCTAGCCTAGGGATATTTCATGCCGTTGGAAAGATTATATACAACAAACGCGAGGACAAGGACATTGCAGCAGACGTTGACAGCCTTGCTTCAGCTCCCCATTACTTCAGCCGCTATGATCGACTGAAAGTGCCTCAAGTCTCCGTCAATGAACTTGTCGATGCCACAGGAACTGATATCGAAACTTTCGTATGCGCCCTTCATGAGAATTATGTTCCGTCTTGTAACGGCCCTTCTTTTACAGAATGTCTGGATGGGTGCATAGAGGCCTTGTCCGATAGCGACGTCTTGAGTTATAACCGTGACTGGGCTCGTGGATCGTGGGCAGGTACCAGAAGTGGTGCCAATCGCGCCAACGCCGGCACTGATGTGATGCGACAGCAGGATATTAGTTACCAGGTCGCTACTCGGGGTCTTTTATTTTCTCTGCCTTACCCCGTGAAGCGACAGGTGAAATGTGACGGACGAGCGAATGAGGCGCACAAACTTTCGTTCCCAGCATCAGTGCGCCTGTCATACGGTAAAGAGGAAGTGGAAGGTCTCCTGGGCTTGTGGCTGAAAAACATGCTTCATCAATCCGCTCAAGCAACGTCAGGGCCCTTGGAGGGTCTGCATAAGACTGGGATTAGAAACACTGGGAATTGCAACAGTGCGCATCCGCCGACCATGAATATGATATCACGCAGCGATATGTTACTTTACCAGCTGCCATATATTGCCAGAATGCCTCAGAACAAGAAGCATCTGCCAGAGCTAAGAAAGCTTGTTGAACTTCATGGAATCATCCCAGAGAATGAGGCTCGGGATGATCAAGTTGAATTTCCCCATCACAGTCACCCCATAGCTGCTTCTCGTGCGTCAGGTGGGGTTTCATCGATTCTAACACTTCGAGATACCACTTCACACGAGGGGTATAACACACTACAGCCTCCGCTATCCTCTACCTACGAAATGGAAGAGGAGAGCCTTCTTTTAAGCGACGATGACATAGTTGATTATTGACATGCATCTTATGGTGTATACGGCATTGCTGCAGCGGGCACGATGCCCCGAATTCACTTATTTGATCCCAAACGAGATGATAGCTTGCAGTAGTACCGATCAGTGTAGCTACTGAATAGACTGGTTTTGATCAATGAAGGTATAGGTAACCTAAGTATGTAGTAGTATACCTAAAGTAGAAGTAATGTATGTACTGTACAGGCACAGGGCATAGGAGGTAGGTAGGTACCTAGGTACCTTACCTTCTGTTTAATCCACCGGGCAGGTACTGTAAGGATACCTATGTATGTATGTACTGTATGTACTGTATGTACAGTACGTACGCACCTAGCTAGGTGCGCTCCCGGGTATCAGGCGGCGTACTCCGGGATCCCATCTATCCTCTCCCGCACTCCAGTTCTATCCACACACCCGATCTCCTTTTTGCCCGCGTTCGTTTAACATTCAATCGATTTCTAGAAACGGAATTCCTCCCGACGCTGTCACCTACTTGATAACTCTTTGCATTTGTCCTTCGGCAACAACTCAGAAATCATGCTGGAGGGCGATCACATCACACGAAGACGAAGGGTCGATAATTCTAAAAGGAGGACAGACAATATAGACGCTTTCTCCGCCAAAGGCCTGGCAGCAGAAGAGTCTTTCAGCGACATAGAAGATTCGATAAATCAACATGAGGAGCGAAGAGAAATTGGGTCAAGCTTGGGTGGTATCATGAGTGCCGTAACACTCGTGAACTTCACCGACTGGACAAATATAGTTCTGATGGTTTCGTTGATATTTGGTGGCTGCTGTGCTAATGTAAGTTCCAAACTCTTGTACACAAAAGCGTGGTCAAATTTTATGATGCTAACTACTGACGCCAGGTATTTGCCCTAGAAGCCATTATCAAGTAAGTTGTGTCTGCAAAATCCATCCCTGACTCCAATTTACTGATTTGTTATTAGAGATCAACCTACGTCGGGTATATATACTCTCTAAACCCCCTCTGATTCGATTCTATTTTGACGGTTGACTTCTTTTGTCTGAAGGTTCTTTAATAACTTTTGCTCAGTTTATACTGACTGCACTGTTTACCTTGCCTAGTTTCATGTCGCTGTCTGCTGGGCCCCGGTCCTTATTCATTGGTCCAAGAGCTATCCCCTTGAGGTCGTGGCTCATATATACGGCCTTCTTCGTGACCGTGAACCTTCTCAACAACTGGGCCTTCGCTTACAAAATCTCCGTACCATTGCATATAATACTGAGATCTGGTGGGCCGGTTGCATCCATGATAGTTGGCTATCTCTTTAACTCCAAGAGATACTCACCAGGCCAAGTCTTGGCAGTGGTGATGCTTACTCTGGGTGTCGTCACTGCAGCGTTAGCAGATGCTCATGTTAAGGGTCAGCCTATTGATCTCGGAAGCGAAGGCACCGAAGTCAGATTTACTCAAACTTTGATCGGTTTTACTATACTCGCCCTTGCAATGGTTCTTTCCGCTTTTCAGGGGATTTATGCAGATCGCTTGTATGAAGCGTACGGCCGAAACCATTGGAAGGAGGCACTCTTCTATTCGCATACGCTGTCGTTACCACTCTTCATACCAACATATTCGCATCTCCTAACCCAGTGGCATGCTCTTTTCTTATCGCCGCCATTGCTTTCTAAAGTGGCCGCGTTCACGACAGAGGGTGGCCCTTCAAATACGACCTTTCCCAAGGTTGGAGGTCTTGCTGCCACAACAACATTCCCTTTCGGAACCAGCGCAGGCCCGCTTTGGGGGTCTTTCCGAGATTCTCACCTAGCTCCTTTCTTGGCCATGGTACCAATGCGGATGGTCTACCTTCTGATGAATGCATTGACGCAATATCTTTGTATTCGCGGGGTCCATTACCTCTCAGCAAAATCGTCTTCCTTGACTGTTACTATTGTACTGAACATCCGGAAATTGCTCTCGCTTGTCTTATCCATCTATTTGTTTGGCAATGACCTCGCACTAGGTGTGCTCGTTGGTGGGTTCCTGGTGTTCTCAGGCGGGGCATTGTATGGCTTTGAGGGTGCGCGGTTGAGGAGAAATATAAAGAAGGACTAGAGCAATGTTCATAAATTCGAATCTACAGCAATATTCTCTCCGCTTTCGGTCTTCAGCTTTCAGCTTTAAGAAAGTGCCAGCCCTCCTTGAGCCCGTCATATAAAGAGGCCCCGTTTCGGGTGTTGGTTGCTGTTTCTACTATGCCTGTACAGCAGAGTCGAGTCGTTTGGGAACCGTGCAATTGATGCTGTAAACAGATCTCTTATGGTTGACTAGCAACAGTCCTGGAGCCCGGCCTGACAGCTTAGATTGAGTACAAAAAGTAGTTACCGCGATGATACCCTTGGCAAATAGATGGTATTCTAGTATAGTTACAGAGGTCCTCTTGTCTCCATGATCAGGGTGATAGATACCCTTATTGGTGCTCTTCTGTCTAGCGGGACTTGCAGAATTACAAGACTTCGCCCACTATTTTGGCTGCCTCCTTGTAAGTGTCCAAAAGCTTCTCGCACTTCTCCCTCTCTGCTTTAATACCATCATCCTCGTAAAGCAGGTCTCCAAACAAATCTTCCTTGTAAAGTTCACTCACGAGCCTGTTTTGCACTACATCCTTGCTGTGATTCACCAGAAGATGCATAATGGCTTTGGGGACCTGGTCAGCGATTGTTTCTCTTACAATGTCGAAGTACGAAGATATGAGCCGGCGGATCAGCTCGGTCTCCAGGAGTTCGCGATCAGAAAGAGCCGGCTCCGAATTTTCCTTTTACGAGTAACAATGAATCAGCCATCATTACAAGCCATTTGGCAGAAGAGACTTACCAAGGACTGAGGTTCACCGCCATACTCTGGGAGAGGTGCAAAATCTTCCGGTGGCATAAGTGGGGAGCGTAGTTCGGTACGTCGAATACTTTGAACATGGTTGGAGTCGGTTGGATGGTTAAGCTGCTTGCTATGAAACGGAGGCTGAGAGATCGAGCTAGAACCCTGGGTGCCATCCTTGCCAAAGAAGTAATTGAGGAAGGAGTCACGAGTCGAATTGGCAGTCCCGAATACAGCGTGAGGGCTCGAGTGTACACCATTTAAGGTTGCAGCAATACCGCCTTCTTGTGGCTTATTAGGATGAGGAGACTGGCTTCTTGTCGCTCTTGAGGACTGGTTCTTCGCTGAAATACTTTGCGTTTTCAGTTCTGCCTGTTGTTGTTGCTCCTCATCTTCTGGTGATGTAGATGGGGGGCCATTGAGACCCCCTAATTCTTTCAATCGTCGTTTCTCCCGTTTCTTTTTATCCTCGGCCAACGCGGCTCTACGTTCCTCGTCCTGTTTATTCTGTATGATGGAAGACATTGCCGCTGCTGCTCCCAAGAAATTCGGATGGTTGGTGTTGATATAGGCCCTTTGGATGGATATCAGAGATTCCACGTATGCTGAGCAGGGTCCCAGGCGTTCTCGGAGAAGATCAGAAACAACCTCGATGAGTTTCGCTTGAAGACGAGGGAATCGTAGAAGCTCCTGAGAGCCACAAGTATGACAAATCTTGATAAGCTCTTCGTACACGAGCTCCACACACCGTTGACTAGGAGCTTCCAGCATCTTGATTTGGGGCTTCACAAGCAAATCAAAAGCAAGCTCCGGAACAAACAAGCTGGGTCGGGGTCCGGTTGAATTGCGAATCGCAGTCCTGATATCGGGAACAGATAGGTTGTGGATTGGGTCGATCGTTTCGAGTGAGTTTCCAAATACCGAATTAAAAATGTAGTATATTCTGGCACCTCCACAAAGCTCCTTTGTAGAAATCTCGGACGAGGTTCCGTCAATCGATGATATAAAAGAAGAGGCGAATCGAGTCATTAGCTGCAGTATCAGTGATCCACGATGTTCCTTTCCGCTGAATTGTTTGTTACCGTAGCTGGCGAGTTCCTGTTGCGTTTGGCCCATGAGTGTATTCAAACGAGCCTTAATGTCAGGCAGGCGATCTCGAATGTGAGCCATCAACGTAGTGTTCAGGGTTTTCGCGAGATACTGTGTCCCACATCGATTGGCCATATTCCGATACGCAGGATGGTGTCGAAAGAAATCCACTTCGGCTTGCAGCGCGTCCGATAGCGACTTCCCGGACTGTATATCTTGTTGGGACCGATTCACAACCCCGATGAAACCAAGTTTCAAAGGGTAGACACGGCCAGACAAAATATCCATGGCGTTGGTGCCATGGTCCATCAAATCCAACTTTGTCAAAACTCCGATGGTTCTCCGGCCCATGGGGTCTACCTGGCGAGCAAGTTTGAGCGCTTCTGAGTTCACGAGATCGACATTCGCCGGGGAGACCGCTAGAATGATACTATTTGGCTTGGCGATATATTCCAATATTAAAGCCCGGGTCTGCTTCTCGATATCTGACGGCTGGTCCCCAATAGGAACCTTGGTTAGCCCTGGAAGATCAACCATGGTGAGATTGAGCACATGAGGCGAGAAGATCTTCAGATTAATCGGTTGCCTATTGATGCCTTTGTTGCTCCCGGCTATCCGTGCAGTTTCGGCTTCGATTTCCTGCTTGACCAGAGCGAAGTCTTCAAATTTCCGACCGGGAATATGATGGAACTCTCCCCATTCGTGTTGTCCAGCGACACTGGCAGCTGTGTGAGGTACATGGATTTCGTCGCTGTCCGGTCTGTCATGCCGTTCGCTAGGGATATTTATGAGTTGCAGGATCAATGGCCGTCTAGTAACAATACCGCTCCCTCTGGGTAAGAAATCTCTTCCGACAATGTTCTCGAGCACAGATGATTTGCCAGATGATTGAGAGCCTACCACAACCTAACGTATGAGTTAGTACAAGCCGGCTGAATTCATCATAGGATCGCCGAAGAAGGGACTTGCAATTTGGGGTAAGTCAAGAGAATCATTGCCGATTGTGTTGAATACAAGATCTTGTAGCTTGTTGACAGTCACGAGCAGATCCTCGCTCAATGACGCCATGTTGACCGGTAGACAATGGGTTGGTCTAAAGCTCGCGAAGAAAATGAATCGAGTTTATAGCAATATATAGAGTTTTCTTTTTTCTTTTTTCTCCCAGCCGTATCCTCGGTCAACAAGAGGACAAAAGAGGAAAGAAGAAAGTAGAAGATAAGGGGAGTTGAATTCAGGTAGAGCAGTGCTGTGTGAACTCTGCATGTAACATTGAGAATGTTGGACATCCATGAAAGCTCGTCTTGTGTTCTTTTCAGCTTGGGGATAAAGTTGGGATCCCGGTCATCATGTGACACGGTGGGTCTATGCCGACAGCAAGAATAATGTGCTCCGGAGGCGCATGCTGTTTTTAATTGCTACAACACCCAAATGCTTACTTACTACCCCTTCATCTTTCCACAGGCTATCACGACTAATATGAGTTTTACTTTACCCTTTATTTTTGTAAGAACTTCAAACGAAAGTTTTGGAAACAAAATATGTATAATCAACAACATGGGGATTCTTTCCCATTCCCTTCTTCATATTTACCCCTTGACCTTCCCCCTCCCCTTTTCTTTTGGGCTCCCCATGTGAAGTATGCGAAATTGAAACAGGCACAGAAATCGCGGTTTGGCCGTAGCGGGTATGAGCTATTCGACAAACCCAGGTCAAATGTTTTGACCTCCATTTGAACTACGATTTGCGTTATAAAATAGCCATCATACAGCTAGCTTCACAGCCTCATTTCGCAATCTGAACATAATTGGCAGGGAATAGTCCTTTTTTGCCGTGGAACTCACCAAACCACCAATCGTCATCCGGAAATTCCTAGAGCCATGATTAATCACAATTGAGACAACAAGTACCAGGGAAAATTGCCTCGTATGAGCATGGGCTCCGGGATGTGAATGCGACACAGAGTGGAACTTACAATGTTCGTAATCTGAGCGCCTTCGGGGAAACTCAGTTCGTTGTCCTCTGCAGCCTCATAGTCATACAATGCTGTTGCGCTCGGCGCAGGAGTTGAGGAAGCGACAGGGGGAGTGGCTGTAGTCGGCTCAGTGGGAGGCACTGATTCGTCTGCGCCGTGTGTGTCTTGGAAATCCGACGGGCTGTGGTTCTGCTGGTCATGTTCGACAATTTCGACGTAATTGCTTGGGAAAAGGCCTCTTTCGCCGCGGACATTAGACCCTAGCCACCAGTCCTTGTCAACCATGTCGATATCAACCACATATTCTCCCTCCTGTAGTTGAATTTCATTATCCTCCGCCTTGTCATAATCGTACTGAGCAACGGCCTGAATGCCTCCTTTGCGATTGTGAGTATCGGGATCTGCTTGATTTGTATCCTGGGCGACACCTTGCACGTTATCCTCAGGGGCCTTATCATTCGAAATAGTATGCTGGACGTCATCTGACTGGCTAGCAGATCGGTCCACTCCGTGTTCGGCCGGGAGATCAGTCTCTCCTCTGCCAACTGGCATGGCAACGCGAATAGGCGAGCTTTCACGTGCCGGAGGAGATGGGTTGGGGGGCTTTGCTTGCTCAGGTGGACCGGAACTGAATTCATAATCCTGGTATGTATGTCCTCCTTGTTGAACAGGCTCTGGCACCGGTTCGGGCACAGGTATGGGCCGGTTGGCACCCGAGATTGAGTCGAGATCCTCTTCGACGGACGGCACTGGAATATGCCTATGGGAAGTAGTAGTATGGTGTTGTGGAAGATCTCGAGGTTCGGATTCAAATCTCTCGTCTCCGATCACCGCGGCCTCGTGAGAGGCATTGCTGCGAGCGGACTTTCCTGTATGTGTTGCCAGGACAGGATCCGAGGGTCTGACGACACTAGGTGAGCTTTTCCATTCCTCGTTCCCACTGCTCTCTGTGTGGACTGGAGGTTCATATGAATCCTCTCCACGCTCCTTAGCTTTCTTCTCTGCCCATATTTGGGCGGGAGTTTTCCCCCCTTGATCGGCAAATGTTCTGCTTGCTCCATGCAAGGCTGACGGTGTTGGTTTCGACATAGAATCATTGGGGAGGGGTGGTTTTGTTCCGCTGAATGCCGGAGTAGCCCCGAATTTGTTGGAAACTTTGGGCTTTGGCAAGCTTGTAAGCCTTTCAGAATTTGGCTCAGGAAGTACCCTGGGGTTAGCAGTCGGTGCATTCGATGGCGTTGTAAATTTGTTATCAGCTAGCACGGGAGGTTCGGCTAGATTTTGTGCCTTCGAGCGAATTGCAGCGATGTCAACCTTGCCAACAGGCTCATAGGCGCCTTTGATCGGTTCTGGGCGGTCATCCTGGAGATTGCCGGTCTCGCGGGCTTGTCTTCTTATAGCTGCAATATCGACTTTCCCCACAGGCTGATAACCACCCTTAACGACGTTGCTTGAATCCTCCCTGGCTTGACCCATACTTCCACCGGAGGGTTGTTTCTCGGATTTGAGCTCATGCATATTTACTTTGGTGGGCCTGTAGGCGGGTTGAACCTTTTCCAGTTGCGTTCTTGTGACCGGGGGTGCATCAGGGCCCCAACCATCATCTGAGGACTTCCTCTCTGGTAAATCATGCGGTTGTCCGGCTGGTGTCTTATTTAGGGCAATGCCACCTGATCGAGATGGCGTAAAGACGGGCTTGGTGGAGACAGCCGGTTTAGGAGCGGTCGACAACGATTGATCACTCTCCGGGGTGTACTTGGCACCTGACGCATCGCTGACCTTTTTAATAATACCTTCGACTGTCAAATCCGCGTCCGAGCGAGCCGTTATCTGGACATGATACCCCTGGAAAAAAACGCGATGTCAGTACAATGGGTCATTGGACATTCTGACACGAAGCAGCTTACATGCAAGAACTTCGAGACTGCAGACATGTGACTTGTAAAGTAGCCTTTGGTTCTCTCGGGAACGCCCTCTCCACACCACGCAATAAGCACGTTCTTGGGTAGTCCCGTGTTAGGATCGGTCACCTTAGCAAAGCCGAACTGGATCTTGCCCTCCGAGAACTCATCGATGAGATCCGCCAGTTCGCCCTCTTAAGAAGATTTTATCAGCCATTCGACCATGCCTCATATCAGGGGAGAATCCTGTACGCACCTCCTGAACTCTGAACCTTCAGAACACTCTCTTTATTGCCCGCATCTGGCTGAAAGGCATTGATAAGGGGGGTAGAGACAGAAAACACAGCCCAATGGCTATAGGTCGGAGAGATTGCTGGAAGAGCGGAGTTAACCACGGTTTGATAGCTTTTGGATATGGAGGGCCCATTCGATGACAAGTTGAGCGTTGTCATGTCGGCAACTTTTGGGTGAAGTGCGGAAATTGGCTCTATGAATGTGTTTATATGTGCCTCAGGCGAATTATGGGCTGCTCATGGGTTATAGGGGTGAGCTATCAAGAAGGGTCTCGCTGTTGGGCAAAAGATAAAGAAAGCACGATGTCGCTGTGCTATGGTTTAAGTCTGCCTAACGGGGGACTAGTTAACTACTACTGCTGCTGCTAGGTGGCAGCTGATGTCTTACCTAATACGTGGGAACATACGTAAGTACCCGAGCCGCGTTTGGGTTTGGATTTGCCATTAGTATTATGGTTACGAGGGAGCAAAGGACGGTGGAATTATCAGAGTCATGATTCTTCACCTATAGTGTAGATTCTATGGTTCCCCTGTAGGTGTGTAGGCATAAATCCACATAAGAGGTAAGAGGTACCTGGGTAGGTACCTGGTAACTAAGGTACCTACTTACTCCGGAGTACGTACTGTGACGCCATCACCTGACCTCGAGGTTCGGAGAAAGAAAGAACCCGTACTTGCCGCCCGTTATGGAAGGAGGACTTCGGGTTGTTTTGTTTTTCCTCTTCAGCAGACATAGCTTGATCAATTGATTCATCATCATCGTTGCAATGGTATACCTTCGTTTTCATTCTACAGACGTTTATCTCCGTACGTAGGGATGTGCCTCCTTATGCAGGGTACCTACCTCTAGGTATCTGTACGTTTTAGTACATATGTACATACGTACAGATAGTGCAGTACAGTACCTTAACTCGTGAGGGGTACACCATACCTGGTACCTAGGTAGGTACCTAGCTATTGTGAGCAACGTGACGGGAGTTCGGCGGATGGGAAGAAAATTGGCCCGACCTTCCCGGACGAGGTTGTGGACGAGGGTCAGCATGTTTCCTTTGTAATTCTACATAGGTTTTATTGAATCCGCAATCATCAACCCTATCCATAAGCAGTATACCATCATTTTCATCCTAATTGTTACCAGTACTTTGCCTTACTTACCTGGGTACTCCGTATATTGGTAAAATATGGGTATAAACCTAGGTGCCTACCCTACCTGCCTAGAGTACGTAGGTACGGAGTGAAGTCTAGACCTTCCGCGCCTTCCTATGATGCCGGTGTCATTTCGGAACCGAACTCAGTTGGCATGGGGGTAAATGCATGAAAATCGTGTAACGATCATCAGACTGAAGAGAAATTCTTCCGCAGAGTGATACGCAACCGCAAATAACCCGCTGAGCCCGTGATCCAAGGGTGTGTGGGTAGGTTAGGGGGTACGATCAAGTATCATTTAACTGGTGAAAGTCAGAACATCTGGGGACTGATGGACTGAAGTTTCTAACTCCACTCGGGGAGGGGAGTAGGTCAACTACTCCGGAGTAGAACCCAATCAATAGCCTAGGCAGATTAGAAGGCGGTCAACTGACAGAAAGAATCCTGACCGCTTTACCTACAAGTGGGCTGCAGCTGATCCTAATAATAACTTCCCGGGAGCCAAGACTCTGCTCCCAGCTTGAGGCCAACGCAATCTCAGACCTTATTACAATTTCCTGCGACGAGTCCCGGTGTCCATCCCCGCGATGACTCTCGAAAATGATGAATTCAATCATGCACCGAGTAACCCAAACCTCTCTGAGGTGGGAGACTCACCTACAGGAGAGATTCTTCCAAGGGATAGGCAACTGAAAACTCCTACGTACGACTACGCATATGAAAAGTCAATGAGCCACGCAGAGGCAAAGCTTTTTTACCAACAGCACCAGTTTGCTTCTCGAAGCACTGATGGCGAGACTTCCCAGACCACAGTGCTTCCCAGCTCTTACACCTCAGCAGAAGATCCGGGCCGTGACATTCCGCTTGTCAAACCTAGGGACAGCCCAAGCCCAATAATTAACACCGCCTCTAGCGATCGCCCGGGACGGCACTCAGTTAGTGAACACTGGGGTTCATTTTCAGATACGCAGAGTCTTGATTTGCACGAAGAGTACCCAAAGAACATCATACACAGTACGGAGCAAGTCTCCAAATCTCATGCGATGTCTTCCGAGGGCCTCGGGGAACAAAGAGCCGGTGCCTCTGAAACAGACGTTGCCCGCCATGAATACGATGGACTGGCAACCATTGAAAACATGGTGAATATTACGTCAAACAGCAGTACCGTCGCATCGGAGCTGAATGTCATTTGCCGCAAAATCCAGGGCTTGTTGGAGCGGCGATCCCAGTATATTCAGCTATCCTTTCAAAGGTCTGAGGATAATCCCAAAGACAGCCCTGGCTGGGATGTTTACCCACCCCCACCGGAGCCAGCCTGGGAAAATGACAAAGACACTGGGAAAACTCATACTGAACAGAAGAGAAGAAAGATGGGCCAGGATGTTGGTGAAGATTTCAATATGGGCGAATGCCTCCCTCTCCCTGGGGAATCATCTCGGGTTTTCAAGTTGGATGAAAACAGTGTGTATCAGGTTTATGAAAATGATGCTGCCGCGGATTCAGGCCGACCGACTGTTCAAATCCCTTCATTGCGGGATTTCTACATGGACCTCGATGCGATCATAGATGTATCAACTGACGGACCCGCCAAGAGCTTTGCATTCAAACGACTTTCATATCTGGAAGGAAAGTTCCAGCTGTATACGCTATTGAATGAGTATCAGGAAATAGCCGATAGCAAGAAGGTTCCTCACAGAGACTTTTACAATGTCCGCAAGGTGGACACGCATGTCCATCACTCGGCATGTATGAATCAAAAACATCTTCTTCGTTTCATCAAAAGCAAGATGAAGAAGTCTCCTGATGAAGTTGTCTTATTCCGAGATGGAAAACACCTAACCCTAAAAGAAGTCTTTGAAAGTATCAACCTCACTGCGTACGACCTGAGTATCGACACCCTTGATATGCACGTAAGTTATCCATTTCATGACTGGTCTTCCTCATTGCTAAGTGCCTTGCAGGCGCACACCGATTCCTTCCATCGGTTTGACAAGTTCAACCTGAAGTATAACCCCGTGGGCGAATCAAGGTTACGTGAAATCTTTCTGAAGACAGACAATTATATCAAAGGAAGGTACTTGGCTGAGATAACCAAGGAAGTCATCTCCGACTTGGAATCAAGCAAGTATCAAATGGTGGAATGGCGCATCTCAATTTATGGGAGATCCATCCAAGAATGGGACAAACTAGCCGCCTGGGTAGTTGACAATAAGTTGTTTTCCCCTAATGTCCGCTGGCTTATACAAGTTCCTCGGCTTTACGACGTTTACAAGTCGAGCGGTATGATGGAAAACTTCGAGCAGGTTATCACAAACGTCTTCCAGCCGCTATTCGAAGTGACCAAAGACCCCAGCAGCCATCCAAAACTCCACATATTCCTGCAACGCGTCGTGGGCTTTGATAGTGTTGACGACGAAAGCAAAGCCGAGCGCCGACTATATAGGAAATACCCAATTCCGAAGGAATGGAATACAAAGCAGAACCCACCGTATAGCTATTGGATCTACTTCATGTTTGCAAACATTGCCTCTCTGAACACATGGAGAAAGCAGCGTGGGTTTAACACTTTCGTGTTGAGACCACATTGTGGCGAGGCTGGTGATCCCGATCATCTTGCGGTTGGATTTCTTTGCTGCCATAGCATTAGTCACGGTATTCTACTCAGAAAGGTCCCTCTGCTTCAGTATCTGTTCTATCTGGATCGAATCGGGATCGCCATGTCGCCTCTTAGCAACAACGCCCTGTTTCTGACGTATGACAAGAATCCTTGTGCTAATTTTTTCAGAAGGGGTCTGAATGTATCGTTGTCCACAGACGACCCACTGCAGTTCGCTTTTACGAAGGAGCCCTTAATAGAGGAATATTCAGTGGCCGCTCAGATATACAAATTTAGCGCGGTGGACATGTGTGAACTTGCAAAACATTCGGTCGAGCAGAGTGGATTTGAGTTAGCATTAAAGCAGAGATGGCTGGGCTCCAGCTGCTCTTTGCCGGGAGTATCTGGGAATAATGTCGCAAAGAGCAATGTCCCGGACATTCGCGAGGAATTCCGTCATCAAACCCTTGTTGGGGAACTAAAACTGTGAGCAACCCCTTATTAGGTCGCTATCGAAGAGGGCCATTGAGCTAATAAAAAATCAGCATTGAGAAATATTCTCCCGCGTCGCTAGCTGCAACTTCGCCTGCAGACACCAAGATCCATTCGAAATACAATATGCCGACGTCTAGCCAAGTTGCAACGTCGCCGTGCGCTCCCAAATCTGTGGACTTGGCCGTTGCCGTGAGCAAATCCCCTCTCAGGGCTTCTCCTGGGGCTGGTCATGTGTATCCTGAGGCCTCGGGTTCTTCTGAAGATGGCGCTGGTCAACCCGATGCGTCCGGCACAGGTACTCAGCCCATACCGGTACCTCCCACCCGACCAGACGCCTTCTCGGAACAGAAGATTTTCCCTGGTCTTGTACACGAGAGGGCGAACCGAGTAAATGTTTCAAGTCAGCCATACGAGGGAAGCGTTTCGCCCAATAACCATGGCTACTCGAATAGTTGCTCGGATTCACCCTAGGCGGGTAATCTCCCCATGCGTTGTGCTCATGTTGGTATCAGGGGTGAGTTCGAGGTGATATTGTAAGAATAATGCAAACTAGAGTGACCAAGACGGGGCGAAAAGGGAGGAGAGGTTGGAGGAGATGGCAATATTGTGGTAGGCTGCTCAAAAGCCTTTCCTTCTACGGCTGTTCAAACCAGAAAGCCGTGTCCTCGAATGGGACAAACTGACTCGGCGCACTTGTGGCTATATATACCCCATAAACCCTATGGTCCTCGATATATCGCACCCATAACAATAACCTGTCATGTTGACTTAGACTGCCCAACTTCCCCTTCGTTCGAGTACACCCCATTTCTCATGGTTTGCATCCTCTTCGGGCACACATGGCCGCTGGCTACCCCGTTTGTGTATGTACAAGCGCAAGGCATGCCATCGCTTGCAACTATTGCTTGTATTTTTTCTTGCTATTTTCTGCGCTTCCTGGAAGACGAAACCTTTGGCGTCCGTTCTGATGTCATCTTGCCTGAGTTCAACTACCGGGATGCCAGAGACCTTGCTGAGTTCATGATCATAATAGCGGGCAACACAAGGGTATCCTAGCGATAAATAGTTATATATCTGGGTCACAAAATCATCGGAGGGATACGATTCGGCGTCCTCATTGATAACCGGATTTCGCATATCAAGCCCTCTTGCTGCTGCTAGTGAGTTTCCGGCTCCCGGAGACTCAGCTGTCAGTGTCGACTCCCTGGCCGTGGGCACTGAAATACTCTCCTGCATATTGGTGACTGGAGTTTGCATTACTTCCAGGCGTCTGTTGTTCTTGCAGGTTCCCATCCAAAGACCGTCCGCCCCATGGTCACCCTGATGCGGCGACGCGTGCCAAAGACCCGGGTTGGTGTATATTCTATGAGTCGTACTAAAGGAATTACCACTGTCATATATTGTTGTCTCGGGCGAGGAACTCAGGGGAAATATGAGATCGTTTCCAAGCATAGGTGGGCTTGCGTGTCGCCCGTTCTGTGCTGGTTTGCTGCAGCTTTCGACATCCATCGAGCCGTCATGGCCAGCTGGAGGGTGAGTTAAAGGTTCCGACAGCAAAGGAATATTTCCATAGTTTTCAATAGCCGGTGATTGTTTCACCGCCGTCTTCTGCTTGTAAAATCGCAGGCATTCAAGCTCCGAAGATAGATCAGCGGCCGATTTTCGACGTGCATCCAATTTATCTAGCTGCCCAGGAAGGAGTAAATCTTCGTCATGTGAAGATTCCTCATCATCATTATCGATGGCGAAATGATCTACGGGCTGGTAGACCTGCTCATTTGGGAAAGCCGCAAGTGCCTGTTCTTTCAGCTGTTGTTCTGCTGCCTGTGCTGCGAGAGATAGTAAGTAACTTGAAATTTCTTCGTCACAACTTTCTCGGCGAGCTCGGTCAGAATAGAGGATTTTAGATGGGTTTTGGGGTGGCTTTTTAGATAGCGTGGGCGGGCTATCCAGCTCCGACTCGTCAGACGCCTCGCTACAGCTCGATGGAATGGCAGGTAGGTCTGGGACGCGAAACGAGTGTCTTCTCGTCTCATAGCGCCGCTGGAGACTGTGATATGAGAATGATGACTCAGGCGTAGTAGAGTAACCATTGTTCATTATGTCGGAATCTTGTAAACTTTCCGATCGAGCTTGAAATGGGCATTCTGGGGCATTATGTGGAATCGATCCCCCTCGAACTGAGCGCCTCCCAGTTTCCACGAGCTGGGGCGTAAACTTTCTTCTTCGGCGTATCTGAGACCCTTCTCCGCCAGTTAATGTGTCTGGCTGAGAACATGCATGGCCCTTCCATGTCTGTTCCGCTGTTCTAGGAGTATGCATGGACATGGCATTTTGTCCACGCACAGCCTTATTTTTTGCATGCTGATGTTTCTGCCATGGGCTATGTGTTGTGCGCTCATTTGTGTCTGTGCCGGGCATGGGAAGTGACGCACGATGGTCTAGTTCCACTGTGGGGTGGTGTGCAGTCAACCCCCTAGCTGAATGATGGTGGTTTGGACCGCGGCTAGCATGTTCCAGCGGGCGATCCGTCGAGCTGCGCGAGGATATCTCAATGGGTTCTGGTAAAAACCTTCTGGGCTTCTTTGACGAACAAATTTCGTTGGACATCTTTACGGGGTATGTATGTCCTTGGGCGATAAGTGGGGTAGATATTTGTCCGCCTTCCTTTCTAACCGAATCGTGCTGCTTGTTTCGTGTCGAATACAGGGAGCGGGGGACGAAAGGCTATAGCTAGAATAACAATAATAATAATAATAATAATAATAATAATATTGTAAAAACGTGATGGTCTGTTCAGTTCACTGGATCATGCGTTGTTGTCCGGTTATATTGTCAAGTTACTAATATTCCTGCATTAGCTTAATCCGCGGCAGATTGGTGGCAGTGGTCACTACGCTGCAAGTAAAGTAGGAGTAGTAGCTGATAGCAGCAGTCCGAAAAACCAGATCTGAATACTTCAAGGAATCAAAATGAAATAGGTACATAGGTATAGGAATATATCTTTTGACATAAAAACCGTGGTTGGTCAAGTAACTTTGTACCCGCGCCAAGCGTTAACTGGCCATAAGGTATCATCGGTGCCCCGTGACCTGAGCGCCTGTTTCACTGCTATACATCATCACACCCTGGGTTCTTCGCATCCCCAATGCCACCTCCGACAAACCTTGGGGTTTGGCCAGAAGCGAATAGCATAAACTGCCAACCTTGACTGTGGCTGTCGCCAGTGATGATCATCGGGACACATGTCTTGATGGTCGCAAGGAGTCATCTTGAACCGAACAATCAACTGGGTTGCTGTTCAACTCCGAATTCTCTGAGGGCGCCGGGTCGCCAGGCGCAAGTTTGCCTTTGCTCAATCTAAAGGCGACTACTTTTCTATCGTTCTACCGCTCTCGACGGCTGTCTTCGAGCATGTGCCAGAAAATCGCCCTCTACATCATTACTTGACTTGTATCATTCTACCAGGAAGCTCCTGGCCGCCGCTTCGATCTTACTATACAAACGGATTTCTATTTCGGCCTAGCGATCAAAAGCCACCCATCGTATTACTCGAGCTCAAGATGTCATCACCCTCATCGACAACTTCATCTCCAAACCCTACCAACTCTGACCATGGTGGAAACGACAATGGCTCAAGTCCTACGAGTTCTCCTCTTTTGTTCTTCGTGGCTCTTGGATTTGGGGTTGTGTTCACCAATCTCTGGTATGTACTCGCCAACCCGCTTATGAATAATTTGGGTTCTAAACACTAGTTGCGAAAGGATCATCGTTGGGGTGAAATACTGTTTTCGCTACAATCAACGCAATCGCCAGCTGCGCAATGAAGAGACCGGTGAACCCATAGATTTGGTTGCCATACCTAGGCCACACAGAAGAAGAAGAGAGAAAAAATTAATGACCATGGATGAAGTTAACGATCGGTTTCCATTAATCAAGTATAAAGCGTGGAGATCTTCGCGCGCCAATGATGGCCTGCCAACAGCAGGCGGTATATCGCCATGGAACAACACGCCTGAAAGCCTGAAGGATGGTGATGTTAAATTGTCTGTCACTGCGGAGGTTCCGGACTCAACCCCTGCCCCGCAAGAGAATCATCCGGATTTGTCCGTTTCGCAGCCTGCTCTTGCTGGGTTAGCGGAACTTAAACAGCCTCGCCAGGAAGAAAAGGCAGAGAGAGACCTGTCTTTCACTGAACAAGAGACCCCCAACCTCGGTACAGAGCCCAATGTCGTCGACGGAAGGAATCCAGGGTATGATCACACCTCGGAATATCGTGGCCATGACATCGATAACCAAATATGCACTTCGGCGCCCGTCGAGCTTTTACCAGACCCCGGCGACTCATGTGCAATTTGTCTTGACGTGATTGAGGATGATGATGACATACGTGGGCTGACGTGCGGACATGCTTTTCACGCCTCTTGCGTTGATCCGTGGTTGACTTGCAGGAAGGCCTGCTGCCCCTTATGCAAAGCAGACTATTATATTCCCAAATCTCGCTCAGATCCTACCGTACCGACAGCGAATTCAGAGCGTGTAAGTCGCCGTACTGCTAGTCGGGCCCCGGTTATTAACCCTCCGGAGGCTGTGTTTATTGGAGGACGCATGAGCGCGAGTCGGGGGGGGTTCTCATTAACAAATCGACAACATTTACCATCAAGAGCTAATCAATCCAATTCAACAATGCGTTCTTTTTGGCCTTGGCAGGGTTCACATTCTCAGGTTGGCGGACTCCCTTCGGAAACAGCGTCAAACCAGCAGGAGCGGCGAAATTGGAGACAACGCTTGATTTCCCCTCGTTCGTTTCAATTCCCTGCTTTCTCGATGCCCTCTCGAAGAAATGCTGTTCGAGAAGATCGCACTCTGGGCGAACTAGAGTCAGGCTCCGTTGGTCGTGCCGTATCCTAGCAGAAATTATCGGAGTGTACTATCTGTCCCAAATTCTGCCATATCCCATAAGTACTATTATATATTGCTCTAGTCAGCAGAATCCTTAACGTTAGTTATTTGTTCCATATGAGAGCAGCCTTGTTGGAGTGTTCGAGCCATATGGAGACTTGGAGTATTAGAGGAACTGTAGTAATAGTATATGACTATCACGGTGCAGACCTAAGAACCCGATGGAACTGCCATGTTAGAAAAACCTGGTCCCGATCCCGTGATGTTGAGTAGCCAACTGTTGTAGTATTCTATATTATTATCATATATCGCGTACCATAGCACCTAGTCTTCTACCACTAGTAAGACTTAATAATAATCTTAATAACTTTATTACTTTTCATTGATCTAAGATGCCAACAGTTAGTAGTATATTGTAAGAAGCAGCCACGAAAGTTCTAGTTCAAGCACAGTTCTCTTAGATGTATCAAGGAGTTTAGAACATCTGTGATACGCCTGCGGACTACCTGCTACATGCTAAGAAATATAAAAAGATAAAAAATAGATATAAAATAAATAGAATTAATTATTTAATATTTTAGAGGTTAAGTAATTAGTCTTTTTAAATAAGAGATTTCTTATATATAATATTATTACAGTAATTATTTTCTAAATATCTTGATAATCTTATAAATTTTTAATAGTCTGGTTATTGTAGGGTAGCTGAAGGCTTTACTCGATGAGAATGTAGTATGATTGATGATTGATCCTAAGTACAGAGGTAAACAACTAACCTACTTATACCTCCGCTCACGTGCTGAGGTCCTTACTAACTAATAGGCGACATGGGTATAGAAAATTTAAGATGTCCGTGTCTCTAAATATAAAAAAAAAAAAAGATATAAGAAAAGAAAGATAAAAGAAAAAAATAGACTTTACTAACTTAAAAAGGATTCCTAATGTAAAAAGTATTATTAATATTAATAATAAAATTAGCAAAGTCAGTAGATTATATAGCCTATAAAAAGATTATAATTAGGTTAACATTTTATAAATTTGCTAGTTCTAAAAAATCCTTAACTAAATAATATACAAAACTAAGACATTATTAAACAAAAGCTAGATTATTAATAAGGTAAGTTTTATTAATAAGTAATTATATAATATATTTATTAACTGCTGTAAGTTTATTAATAAATTTTATAATTTATTATTTAATATTATTAAGCTTTTAACGTAAATTATAGTTAGTAATATTATTATTAAATATAATAATTTTATTAGTTAATTTAGCAGTTTACTGCTTGGTATTATTGAGCAACTTAGTAAGATAGTTATTCTTTATATATAGATAGTTATTCTCTGTATATAAAGGTTTAAGCTTATTATATAAAGTAGTAATTAACTTAGCCTTATTAGCGAGTTACTTCTCGAGAATTATAACTTTAATATTTAAGTTAATAATTGTAAGGGGCAGTATAAGGTTGAATACCTTGGTGCCTTAAGGGTAAGGCAGCGTGAAAGTAATTGGCTAGGGATATCAAACATATGGTATATTCTACTTAAGGTATTATCGCTGGGATTCAGGGGAACCCCCGCGAGAACATGTTTTTATTATATATTTACTAGGCTATAACTAAGCACCCGTTCTGACTAAATATCCTTAGAAGGATCTTATATAGATCCTTATAATTACTCCCCTCTTTCGAAGGTCTTAGTCCTTAAAACACCTTATAAAATTAATTAATTAATATTATTAAACTTTATAAAGTTACTCTTCTCGCAAAAGCTGCTACCTTGCGAGATTATTATACTATATAAACTTTTTTCGCGAATATAGCTATTAACTAATCCTTTTTATCCCGCGGGGATTCTTTACTTAATAATCTTTAGATATTAATATTTAATTTATCTTTTTTTATAATTTTATAAAAAATATTATTTTATAAGTTATTTCTTTCTAGGTTTATAAGTATTAACTATCTCATGAAACCCTAGTACAGTATAATATAAATAATCCTTGTGAAAATATACTCTGCCTAAAATACTTTATTTATAAAATTTATTATAGTTAGTTTTGTAGTTCTTTATGAATATATTTTATATATACCGCGGATTTATCTCACGAGATTACTTTTCTACCTAAAATATTCTATTTATAAAATTTATTATAATTAGCTTTTTAGTTTTCTTATAAAGCTAGCCTTCTTACTATAAAAACTTAACTAGTATAATTATCCTAATCTATTCACGAGCTCGGTATTTACCTAAGATATCTTATTTATAAAATCTATTATAATTAGCTTAATCTATCCTTAGTAGACCTTACAAAGCACCTCTGTAAAATATTTATAAAAACCTTTTACTACTAAAAAAACTCCCTTTAGGAAAAAATAATTATAAAAAAAAAAGATTATTTTAATCTTCTTTCTTATAGTTTATATAGTATCAGCAGCTCGCGAACTTGTTAAACCTAGGTCTATTATTATAAAATCTATTATATTTTATTACAGCTATCTTTATTATCTAGTCCTGTAAGGCCTTTTTTAAATTAAGTATTATTATATTATATCTTCTATATTTATTATTAAACCTCTAATTCTGCACTATAAAAAAATCTTTTTCGTGGTTTTTTTTTTTTTTTTCTTTTTTCTTCTTTAATAACCACTATTCTTAGTAAGTTGACCCTTAGGAGTTAAGTATATTTTATAAACTATAATATATAAGATTTATTTTATTTTAATCTTATCTTACTTTCTATACTATAAGAATTTATTTTTTATTTTACTACTTATATTATAAGACTCTGCTTTTATTTTACTTTCTATATTACAAGACTTTTTATTTCAGGTTAGATTACTGATTTCTAGACTTATTTACAGGTTTCCTGTGTGTGGCAAATTATAGTACTATATTTATTACTAAAATTTCTTAAAAATATTAATATTATTATTATACCTTCCCCTCCTTATTTTTTAAAAGAATATTTTTCTTCTAAAAGATTTTTTTTTACAGGTTATTATCTCCTTTTATTTTAAAAATAAGTCCAGGGAGCCCTAGTTTTTATATTAATATTTATAATTTTTTATAAATAATATATATTAGCTAAGTTAGTTTTTAGTTTAACTATATAAATAACTTATAAAGCCTTTTTAATTATATTTTTTATACTAGCCAGTCCCTCCGGCGCGATAGTTTTTATTTTATATATATTATACCGGCCGCAGATAAATATACCTTTTATTATAATCTCCTAATAATTACCCATTACCTACTGCCTTATTAAATTACTTCTAATTTAAATTAGCTAGTCCAGCTAACTAATCTAGTTAGACCACCTATAATCTGACTTTTTTACTAACTTTATATAACTAAACCCGCGCTTTTTTAAGGCCCAGTTAATAAAAAAACTTAAAATAAAGCTCTAGTACTGCTAGTAAACTATATTATATAAAATATAGCCTGTATAATTAAACTACTTATGCAAGGATTATATCTCTTATAAATATTTATTTTTATTTTTAATTTTTCTTCCTAGTCAGGCCCGGAAAACCTGATTATCTATAAATAATAATAAATTTAATAACTAGTACAGAAACTTCCTCTATACTAAGAAAAAGTTTTATTTATCTGGCTTATTTTATATATCTAATACTACAAGAGCTATTTTATAACTTATACTGGGGCGTAGTCTCTTATTAAATATAATTATAAATAATATAATTTTTCCTGGGGTATTATATCTTAAAATTTTTATATTTCTAACAGGATCGGGCAGAAATATAATAATTATTTATACTGCGGTATTATTTACTTATTTATAAATAAATAAATATCACCGGACAGTAGTTATTTTATTATAATATATTATTATATTTTTAGTAGTATTCTGCTCCCTAAACACACGAGGTAGTTAATATCTTAGTATTAATAAAATAGGCCTGTATTATTAGGATTTTTATTATTTTTTTTTTAGAAAAAGGTTTTTCTTATTTCTTAATATAAGGATAGTTTTTCTCTGTTTATAAATTATTTATACAAATCTAAATAATATAGATTTATAATAAGTTCTTAGGTTATATCTTTCTTACAAGAATATTTTTTTTATTAAACTAAAAATTCTTTTATTTTATTCCGGGTTTTTTTTATTTAAAATCTTTTTATATAATACTTTTAAAACTCTTTATTCTAGTAAATTATAAAAAATTACTTTATAGACCTTACTCCCGGCATCTTCTAATACTTATATAATAAAAATATATAAAATATATTATATATCCTGATCCCTACGGGAAATTCTAATTAATAAACTTATTTTCTAATTTTTTTTATTATATATAATAATTTTATACTTAGTTAATTAAATTTTTTATTTAGCTGTAAGCTCTGTTAATTTTTTAAAAATAACTAGACTAATTAATTTTTAATAAATATTTTTATTTACTTTTTCTGGTTATAATACTAGGCCTGGTACTCACGAGTATATTTTAATAATTTTTTAGTTATCTCGCGAACTTTTTTAATTTGTGAGACTTATTCTTATACTAATTTTCTTATTTTTAGACTTTTTTGTAAGTCCAGAATAATTATTTTAAAATATTTCTTAATTAATATATAAAAGAATAATACCTGGGTTAAGTTTTATTAAATATTATTATATACAAACTCTGCAAGGGGAAGATAATTAACCTAATTATTTTAATTAAAGTTAATATATATTTATAAGTATTACTTTAATATATTATTTAATCACTCTATCTGGCCATCTATTTAAGGATAATATATAATATTTAACTCTTGCTTAATTCGCAGATAATATATAAATTTAAATTAAAAGTCTTTCGCAAATATTAACTTATAATTAGTAATTATTTTTATAAATATATTATAAAGTCTGAAAATCTTATAAGTTAGTATTTATATTAATTTTTTCCTATAAATTATCTTTTTCGCGGGAATAAAATATATTATTTTAGTAAATTAGTTTATAATTATTAATATATAATTAAAAAAAACTCGCGAACTATTTATTATAAGTAGGCTCACGGGAAAATCTATAATAAAATTTATTATTATTTATTTTTAAATCTTCCCGGGAATTAATAATAATTTTAATAATCTATATTACTTTTTATAAACCTTCTGGCCTCTCTAATATTTTTTATAAATTATATAATATTTTTTAATAAATATTATTATCTGCGGCTAGTAAAACCTCCGTAAGATTAATTTATTAATTCTTCACGAGATAAAATACCCAGTAAATAAATTATTATAAACCTTTACTAGAATAACTAGCTTTAATTTTAAATTATCTAAAATATAAAATTTATTCTCCTAGTATAGCTAGTCTCCGCAAGACTCCTATTTTACTAATTTATTTTTTTTTTATTTTTATAATAGGTAAACTCTTCAGGCTTTATAAGCCCTTAACAGATCCTTTATATAAAAATATTTATTTAAAATAATTAAAAAATCTTCTTTAATAGTTCTTCTGAAAAATTTTTTTAATAAAATCTTTCCTCGCGAGTAACTTTTATAATCTATATTTATATTTTAGCCTAATCAGCCGCAGTAATTCTTTTTATAAGGATTTTTTTTATAATTATTTATTTTATCTCTAAACTTAAGAGATTTATAAGTTATTAGAGAGCTTTAATATTAAACTCCTATATATTTTTTTAATAGATAGATTTTTTATAATTAGATTTTCGCGAGAGTATATTTACTAGATTCTTTTTTCCTAGATAATATTTTAAAATAAAAAAAAAAAACTTATAAACTTTTGCGCCTACTATATCTATTTTTGTGATAATTCTTTTATAATAAAATAATATAATATATTATAGTCTATAAAAACCTTAATAAGATATTTTATCTTTTTTAGATAATATTTTTATTCTTTAAAACCCTTTATTATCGCAAATAATTCCTAGTTATAAATCCTGTAATTCTGCTCTACAGGAATTATTTTATAAAAAAAAAAATAATTAATCTTTATTAACTGTCCTTACTTAGCTATGAGAGAATTATAC